CCCGGGGCTGCGCTCGCGCGGTGGGCGCACGCGCTGGCGCAAGGCCGTGCACCGCCGACACGAGGGCCTCGAGCGCGGGGGGCACGTCTTCGTACGCGTGCGCGTGCACGACCGCCCAGCAGCGCAGCGCGTGGTACGTGGCCGCGACCTCGCGGGCCGCAGGGGTATCGACGGGCACACGCGCCCAGCAGGCGGCCATGTCGGCCCAGTCGGGCGGCGTGCGGCGGAGGAGCTGGAGCTCGGCGCGCCGGCACACGACTCGCGCGCGTTCCAGCGGGCACTCGGCGGCGGAGTATGTGCCTAGGGCATCGAGCAGAACCTGGTCGAGCGCAGCTGGCGCCTCGTCGCGGGCGAGCATGGGCTCCAGCGCGTCGGCGAGGTGCTCAAGCACCGCGCCGCGCGTGCGTGGGGCAAGCGTGCCGAGCTCGTCCAGGAGGCGGCGCGGCTGCAGCAGGCCAAACACGCTGACGTGGTGCGCCGCGGTGGCGAGCTTGGCCACCGGGGCGAGGGGGCCGTGCGTCAGGTCCAGCGCGTCGCTGGGCGCCTGCGCCAGGGCGGCGCGTCCGGCGTGCATCCACCCGGCGAGGTAGGCGTCGTACGCGCCAACATAGTCCGCGAGGTGCTGCCGCGCGCCGCCCAGGACCTGGTACTGCCGCAGGACCTGCATGGGCTCCATCCCCGGCGCGCCGGCGCCGGCAGCCAGCGCCACGCGGCAGGCCTCGGCCACGTAGTGGGAGGCTGGCGCGTACTGCCGCGCCGCGTACAGCCGGCTGCCGTAGTGGAAGAGGAGCGACGCGACGTGGTGCTGCATCGCAGCAGGGCAGGCCGCGCTGGCGTGGCCCAGCGCCGCCACACACAGGGTATGTGAATGGCTCTCGTGCTCGGTGAACATCGCCGAGACGAGATGCCGTGCCGCATGGAGGGCACCGACGTGCAGCGCTGCGGAAAGGTGCGCAGCGCCCACACTCGCGAGCACGCGGAGTGTCTCTGCCAGAAACGCGCGCTCGTCCGCGGAAGGCGCCGACGGCGCACGTACAGCCGCACGCAGCGCTGCATCCAGGGGGGCCAGGAGCGTAGGTGGTATATTGCTCGGCGAGCCCAGCGCCGCGAGCGTCTGCGCCACGGCACTGGGCGACGCCTGGCCACGACTGGCAGCCGCTAGGGCGTCGCAGCAGGCCTGCACGGCAGCCGGACTGGGCTCATGCGCCTGGCCGGCCGTGTCGTCCGGCGCCGCCTCCGCCGGCCGCGGACTGGGTGTCCGGCGCGCAGGCGTCGTCGGCTCATGCGCCGCGGGCCCTGCCTCGGCCCTCGGCGCTGGGCGCCAGGGACCGTGGTGGGCCGCGTCCGCTGCCTCGTCACACCATGCGACCCACTTGTCGAAAGCCGCACACGGGGGAAGATGAGTGCCCTGGCGCCACAGGGCCGCTAGCTGAGGACACAAGGATGCGAAGCCCGTTGCGCGCGCATGCGCCATGGACACGCGAAGGACACGGTCCCAGAAGGCCGGTAGGTCCAGGCCGTCCACCTGCACGAGAAGGCACAGGCACGTTGTGCGCAGTTGCCATGCCTCGGGCGTCGGGCGGGCGGTGCACAGCAGCTGGGCAGCGGCGCGCTCGGCGGCGTACGCCGCGCGGTCGGCGCTCGGCGTGTGCGTGCCCCCCCGTGCACGCTCCATCCACGGTGCGGCCGCATCGCACAGCGCCTGCAGGACGGGCGCCGCCTCGACAAGCGCGGCCGCGCAGGCGAACAACAGCGCATAAGCATCGAGGACCAGCGGCACAAGCGCCGAGTCGCCCGCGTACTTGGCTCCCTCGGCCAGGCGGGTGCGTGCATCGCCTGGCTCGTGCACACTCGCTGCCTCGGTGCCTGTGCGCCCGCCGAGACACGCCTGCAGAGCGACGAGCTCGGTGAGCGCCTTGTCATGCTGCGCGAGGTCCACGAGCTGCCGGATCACCGACAGGGCCACGGGCGCGAGCTGCGTGGGCGGCACGTGTGCCGTGCACAGCACACCCATACTGATCCGGAAGCAGTCCAGCAGCACAGGCACCGCGTCGGTGGACGGCGCAGCGCGTGCCTGACGAGCGCGCGCGAGCGACTGGAGCGCCTTGAGCACAGCATTGACGCCCTGCTTCGCGATACGCATGCGCTCTGGATCGACACTAGCATCCACCACACACCGCCAGCCGACGCCAGCAGGCGTGGGGGCGGTGGAGCGGCTCGTGTACAGCGACAGCGAGCGGGCAGTCGCTGACGCGTCGAGGATCGCGATGAGCGCAGCCACCTCCGCACGGCGCACCGGTCCACCACGGGTGATGCAGTTCAGTACGTCGTCTAGCGATCGCGCAGGGGGCGTCGCGGCCCCCGCAGCCGCGCGGCGGGGCCTCGGCGCCATAGCCTCGTGAACGAACGTGTTGCGCCGCGCGCGGCGGCATTCATCACGTGCGCATGAACCTGACGCGGCCAGGCCAGCGGCGTCCTAGCCCCATCTTCGAGCAGCGCTCGGGCCTCGGCGGTTCATGGGGCGCCCGGTATAAAAGACGTGCTCGCGTGCGTCCTGGCGCCACACTGTGCCCAGCATGGTGCCCAAGGCGTCTCGCTTCCTGTGTCAGTTTTGCGCGCTGGCGCGCTTCGATGCAGAGAGAGGCGCGACGCTCGATGCGTCGCTGCCTGACGTCCTGGGCCTCGACCCGCAGGCACTCGCTGAGCACATGCTCCCGGATGGCTTGCACACCGTCGAGGAGGACTGGACGGTAGCTGTGCGACCCGTCACACAGCTGCGCCTGTGCGACGCGCCAGAGCGCCCGGAGCATGTCCAGTGCAAGCCCGTGCTGCCGAGCGCCGAGCCGGACGAGTGTATCTACATTCTGAGTGCGTCACGCACGGCGCTCTCGTCCGAGTGTCCACGGTACGCGGCCCTACTGACACCAGGGGTGGGTATATGGTGGCTCTTGCCATCGGCACGATGCACCCCCACCTGACCCTGTTCAAGCCGGTGATCGCGCTCGCCCTGGACACGTACGTGAGGCGCCGTGACAGGCGGGTCCTGCGCGACATGTACGAGGCGATCAACCGCGTCGATGCGAGTAGTCTGCCCTGTCTGAGCTACTCGGAGAAGATGCGCATGCGCAGCGAGTGCGTGTGGGACGCGCATACGCAGCATCTGCGCATGTGCCGCCGCGCAAGTAGTACGGGCTCCGTGGACAGTGCCGGTGTCAGTGGTGGTGCGCTGGATATGGAACAGGCGCCTCTTGTGGGGCTCATGTACGCGCTCTCCTCGTCGACGTCGGCCGCGCACGAGCGCGCATCTGTGCCGCGAAAACTGAAGCGACACTCTGCGCCATCGGCCCTACTTGCACTACACCGCCGTCGCTATCATATCTCCGGGCCGCGACCCCATGCTCGGACGCTGCACGCCGACCTGACGCCGGTGTGCTTCGAGCAGGTGACGATCCCGATGCGTGTGCCGCTCTATCTCTTCCCCGAGGAGGTTGGCGAGTACTCCCTTACGCAGCTGCTCACGACGTTCGGACACGCGCGCCACGCGCTCCAGGGCCCCATGCATCCACACCTGCATTCGAATGGCGCCTACACACATCCACTCACGGTGCTCTTCAACGCGCTCCTATCGTGCAAGCGTGTACTGCTGATTGGACGCGACGTGCCCGCGCACGTCGTCGTCGAGCAGGTCCTCGCGGCGTGCGCGTTTGCGAGCGGGTGCGGCACCGTGCTGCGTGGCTGGATCAGCCGCGCTGTGCCGTATGCCACCCTCGCGGACGTGGATGCCCTCACATCCGGGGGTGGCTTTGTAGCGGGTACGAAGAACCCGCGCATGGCCGAGCTGGACGTGTGGGACGTGCTCTGCGACTGCGATACCGGCTGCATTACCGTATCGCGTACCATTGTGCACGCATCGATCCCAGAGAGCCCCGAGATACGGAGGCTGTGGATCCGCCAGGGGCTCATCCAGTACGACCGCGAGCGCGACGCGTTCCTGTGGACGATGGGCGACGAGCACCCGAATGCCAGTGACAACGTGTTCATGGAGGCGTGGCTCGCCGCGGTGCAGCAGCATGCTTCCGAGGCATTTGTGCGATACTGGTGCCAGATGTATGTGCGCCAATTTGTGATGCATGCAGCGCACTACGAAACGCTGTTCTACGGGAGCACACAGCTCGCGCTGCTCGGCACAGAGATGCCCTTGCAAACGGGACTTGGTGCAGCCGAAGGGGAGCGCCTACGACGCATGGCCATGCGCTTCGAAGGCTGGCGCGGCACGCCAAGCTACCGGCATTTCGTTGCAGACTTGCACCAGATGCGCACGATGAATGGGGCCGACACAGCCACGTCCCTCGCCGTACCTTTGTAGCGTGGACGTAGCGCCCATCGCCTAATGCGGTCATAGGTCACGTGACGTGCTTCGCACAGACAGGGTGTGGAGCCGCGCAGGCGCGCCGAATCCGTCTCTTATCGGCAGCGTGTCGGTGTCTTCTCGCTACGTCGTGGCTTTTCGGCAGGGATTCGCTTCTTGCTAGCGCATCCAAAGGTACATTTGGCTTTGGACGGTCCTGTGCCCCCACACGAACCGGCGCGGCGCTCTGTTTCCCTCTTGGATGAGCCACGCAGGTACCGACTATACACATTATCCTGTTGTGACGCCTTCCCACGAGATCGTCATTACGGACCCTAGCGTAGGTCCATTACCCGACACACCTCTTTATCCCCGTATCTCCATTGGAGAGTCTGACCGTCGCCACCCATCGGCCTCTGTCACGCCCGACACACGGTACTCTCCCCTCTCTTTGGAACCTGCCGCTTCGACGCACACGTCCGTGCACACACCGCTCATGAGCCCTACACCACTCGAAGCCTTCACGACGGCTATGAAAGGCTCCGTCCGCATGTCGGAACGCCCTACCTACCTGGACGTGTCGGCGCTCTCCCCCCGCGAGTACCCAGTGTTTACGCAGTGGGTCGAGCGCATCAAGCCTGCACATTCGCGCCGCGAGGGCCGTCTTGACGAGCACGCCGCCGTCAAGTTTTTGCGCTCCGAACTGGGCGTCTCTGTGGACGAAGAAGTCTGCGTACGTATTGGCAAACTTACCACAGATCATGTCGCTGTTTGAGCGGCTTCCCCTCGGTCTCCTGCCGGGCCACTTTTATGCCATGCTCCGCCTCACGGCATGGGCGCAGCGGGGCCACGCCGTGGCGCGCGATCTGCTCTTTATCCAGACGGACCCCCCAGAGATTCGCCGCCGGCGTCATGCAAACACACGCATTATCAGCACGGCCTCGCTACCCGAGACTGTGCATGGCAGCCCCGCAGCCCTGTCAGCGATTGACCAGGTATCTGACTCGCATGGCATGAACGTGCCTAAGGCGCCACAGCGCCCTGTGCCTGATATGCGCCCCGCACAGTATGGCCCGATGGAACATGTACAGGAGCCTGAGCTGGGCTACCACAAGGTGGTATTTTCTCCATCAGAGCCACGTCTCGTGCGCCCACGGCCAGTGGTGGCGTCGATGCCGGCGCATTCTGTGACTGAACCTCGACCACACTCACCGGCGCTTCCTCCGGCGCCTGCGCCACCGGGGCAGGCTCTGCCGCCTCCGCCCGCGGAGGAGGCCGAGCCCGCGGCACCTGCGTCGTCGAGCAAGCCCATAAGCGTGCTACCTGACTCGCCAATTTCGGTGCCAGCGCTTCGTCCACATGCGCCAATGCCATTGCAGCAAGTAAGTCCGCTGATCCAGGCCAGTCTAAACGCACGGAGTGAGTTTAAGAAAGCGTCGCGCCAGTGGCGGCCCAAGACGTTTACTGTGCTGTCGAGCTCGACGGGCCAATTTCAGCCGGACAAGCCCCATCTCCTGAACGGCCAGGAAGTATCGCCGCAGGCGCTCTCTGTTCATACAAAGCGGCGTACCACCTCGGCCACGAAGCTGTCATCACAGCTAGCGTCGCAAGACCTGAGTGGCGTTGGCGACTCGAGTCACACGCAAACTATTGCGCCAAGGCCCTTGTACTTTGGGCGCGAGCGCGGCGTCCTTCCAACGTGGCTTCGTGAGCAGTACGAGGAAGGTAACGTTCTGTATCCCCCCCCTGATCCTGCGGACGCATCGGTGGTAAACGTTTTTGACGCACTACACAGAAAGGCGCAGCAATCGATGAATGGCAGTGAGCGTGCGGCGGCCAGTATCAATCGCAACACGCCATTCTTCCCGCCGCATGAGCGCGACCGTGAGCGTGCGGAGCGCGCCACCGCCAATGGTAGCGGCCCTGAGCAGTACCGCAGGCTGAACGAGGAGACTTCGGTCGGCATGCGCTCGTCCGCTGAGACCCTAGGCGAGCGGGGCAAGCTCGCTACGAGCCGCTCCAAGCCACACCTGAGAAGCCGCCGGCCCGAGCCGGGCATGGCGAGTCACACTTGGGGCACGCAGTTCGAGTCTGGTACATACGCAGGCTTCAAGACGCCTATGGCGCGTGACCAGCGCCTGCAGCTGCCGCACGTATCGTCCAAACGCTCGTTCCACTACCGTCCGATCCAGGAGTTCCAACCGATGTTGGCGATGCCCCACGACGGCGCCGACGCAGTCCCTGCGGATGATCCAGACCGTTCGCGCGCGACTGAAGATGGCGAGCCAGTCAGCGTGCATGCGGGTGATATGCCGCGCCTCTCGCGCACCCAGTCGCTCACACTGCGTCCTTCTGAGACACAGCGCTCGATGCCTGGCGATGTGTCACGCCCGCGCCTAAAGGCGCAGCACCAAGCGAGTACCTCGCCGCTGTTCACTCACAGTCGACGTGCAGATGATGAAGTGGTTTCGCGCAGAAGCAGCCGCCGCATGAGCAAGTCCAAGAGTGCAGACATGTCCAAGTGGATTTCGACGTCGGCCAATGCCGCTGCTGCGCCAGATCTAGATCCTGTACCGCATTCCGCCACCGACGAGACCGCGCCGACAGATCTGAAGGCGCCCGAGCCAAGCTCTGAAAGCGCTGCCGATGCGCGACCGCTATCCCAAGAGCCCGAGGCCAAAGATCCGTCGGGCACAGGCGACAACTCTGATGCAGGTACGACGGTGGACCTCGGTGCGCGAGATGGTCCCGGCCCGCCTGCAGCAGAGTCCGAAGAGCCAGTGGATCGTGATGCTGAAGGAAAGTCGAACGAAGGATCTTCCTCGGTACCTGCTGACGAGACCAAGGCCGAGGCGGCGACGTAGCGTAAAAATAGACGTTGATCCAGGCAGATCCCAGTGAGGCCCACAGACCTCCACCCATCACCACCAGCATGGCACGGCGCAAGTCGGGGCTGGTGGACGAGGGATCCGACTCGGATGACTCGATCCCATCGGACGCCGAGGTATCAAGGCACCATGCCCCATCGTTTGTGCCGGGCGGGCGCTCGGCCTTTCCCATGTTTGTGAGTGCGTCGCAACACACCGAGACGCCCATGGACGAAGACGACGACGAGGCGACACAGGCCTCAACGACGGAGCCTGCGCCAACATGGGCCCGTCGTACACCCGGTGCTGGCCTAGGAGCGCCTTTCGCAGTGGAAGAAGATGAACTGGACGCGGCACCACGCGTCGGATTGGGCCGGGGCACTGCGCACAAAGACACGGACGGCAGAGCACCGGTCGGCGCGGCGCCCGTACCCGCCAGTGCAGGTCCCGCCCTCTCGCGGACGTCAGGCTCAGGCGCATTCGACCCTGCTGCGTATATGCGGCAGATGGGCTGGACCGGTGGCGGTCTCGGCAAAGAGGGCGAGGGTATCGTGAATCCCATCGAGGTGCAGATTCGCCCGAACCGCGCTGGTGTAGCGTTTGGCGGGCGTCGTGAGAAAAGCAAGCAGGCGCGCGTTGAAGAGCGCCGTCGTCAGGGCCTGCCGCCAGACAGCGACGACGAAGCATCGACGCCCACGAGCGCTGCGCCCCCTGTCGAGAAGGTCTGGAAAAAGGCACGTAAGGTACGCAAGCCCACAGTTGTGTACCGCACATACGACGAGATTGTGGCCGAGGTCCGCCCTGATGTGGAAGACGGCCCTATTCTGGATGCGACGGGTGAGCCGATCGCGGGTATTTCGTCAGTGGCCGAGGCGCTGCAGCGCCACCCGGTGCCTACGAGCGAAAGCGCGCAGCTGCCCGAGCTGCGGCACAATCTGGCGCTGCTTACACGTGGCCTGAACGAGTCCTTGAACAAGCTGGCGCACCATGGCGCTGGCCTGCGCGACAGGGCGCGGTGGCTGCAGCGAGACCAGGAAGCATCGACGCTGCGCGCGCAGCAGAGCCGCGAAGACCGTGCGCGGGTCGCCTCGACCGTGGACGCAGTGCGTGCGCTCAGTGCCGCGGCCACGAAGGCTCGCTCGCTCGCAGATTTGCAGGGACCTGCGCTGCGTGTCATGGAAGTGGAGCGTGCCCACATGGCGCAGTGGCGATTGGACGAGGCCATGGCCGGCGCGCTCGTCCCCGTGCTGCGCAGGGATCTCGCCTCGTGGGAGCCCCTGGCCGAGCCGCTTCGCTTTGTGACGGAGCTCGCGGCGTGGGCGTCGGTGCTGCGGCCTACAGACAGTGGTACTGCAGAGCGCCCAATGACGCCGTATGAGAGTGTCCTGTGGAACCTGTGGATGCCCCGCGTACGGCATGCGCTGACGAATGCATGGAGTGCACATGATCCTGCACCCGCCATTGCACTTGTCGAGGCATGGCGCGACGTATTACCCGCGTTTGTGCTCGACAACGTGTTTGAGCAGCTACTCATCCCCAAACTGCACAAAGCCGTACAGGCATGGACGCCCAAGCAGGGCGTGGCGCTGCATACGTTTGTGCTGCCGTGGCTGCCCGTATCGGAGGCGCGCCTCGTGCCGATTCTTGGCGATACGCGCCGGCAGTGGCGTCACGCGCTGAGCTCGTGGCGAGTCGCTGATCGCGTTCCGCGCGAGCTACTGGCGTGGCAGGGTGTGTACACGACGAAAGAGTGGGATGCACTCCTGCTTGATCGTATCGTGCCAGCGCTTGCGCGGGCGCTGCGCACACAGTTCCGCATTGACCCGAGCGCGCAATCCATGGAGGTGCTGGAGCACGTCCTGGCCTGGCAGGGCGTGCTGCGGGACAGTGTGCTCAGCCGACTCCTAGAGACGGAGCTGGGCACACCATGGCTCCATGTGCTGCATCAGTGGATCACGCAGGCATCGACCAACTTGGCTGAAATCGCCGCGTGGTATGAGTTTTGGCGCACCTGGCTGCCGCCTGCCGTGGCGCGCCTCGACGGTGTGTCGCACATGTTCCAGCGCGCGCTGCAGCACATGAATGCAGCGCTGGACCGCGGCGCCGATCGCATACACCTACCGCCACCATCGACAGCGCCGCTCAAGCGTGCCGACGCCGCAGCGGCGCCGCCCCGCACGGCGCGGCACCCGCCGCCCACGCTCGAGGACGTCACGTTCCGCCACGTGCTTGAAGAGGTGGCTACGGCGCACGACTTGTTTGTGCGCCCGCTGAACCAGCTGGAAGCGACGACGGGCCTCGCGCTTTTGCGCATGTCGCTGCATGTCGATGGGAAGCAGGGGACAACGTTCTATGTGGATGATGATGTTGTGTTTGTGGCGGACGATACGGGGGCCGAGCGGACTTACGAGCCCATCTCCGTAGGGGAGCTGGTGCACCGCGCGCGCGCTGAGACGTAGTACATCTATACCCTAGCTTGAGATCTCGCCAGATTCGCGCGACGGAGAGCGCGCACGGCGCGTCGACTCGTCCGTGGGAGCTGCAGGTTCTGGGGCGCTGGATGCCTCGACAATGGGCGGCGGCGCAGGTGGCGCGCGGTCGTCGGGCCGCGACCCTTTTGCAGGCTGCGAGAGGCGCTGTAGCGGCGTGTGGAACTCATATACGTCCTGGGTAATGGCATCGGCGGCCGCTTGCGCCTCCTCTTCGTCGACGTCAAACACATCGAGCCAGTCGAAATAGTTGTCGTCGTCGTCGCGGGGCGACGGCGCGTCGTAGGGGCGCGCCGCATAGAACATGGCCGGGTCCACGTTGCGCAGCGCGCATGCCTTTTGAAAGGCACCTGCTGCCAGCACAGGCGCATCGAAAAAGAGGCACGTCGGATCTCGCATACAGTCGTTCAGCACGGTCCAGGCGAGACGCGCGAGTGGCTTGTCGACGTCGAGCTGCCGGACAGCCTGAACCAGGCACTTGTGCGGCTGTGGTACAATAAGATCAAAGCACAGTGTCGTGAGCAGCGCCTCTTCGTGCAATAGGATGCAGTCGCGCCACTTGACGTACTCATGCGAGCTGTGGTTCGCGCGGAAGGAGCGATCTGCCCAGTGCATCTGGCCCTCCGGCGACTTGTCGAGCGACGCCATCGCCGCATCGACAACGGACGAAAGCTTGCGCAGAGACTCTTCCGACTTGCATGCAAGGAACATGCACGTCGCGGCCATCTCGTAGTGCGACCAGCCGGCGCCCGAGCGGCTCGTCTGCAGAGGCCGCCGCATAAAGAAGCGATGGAAGTAGGTGGCAGCCGCGACCATGACGTGCTGGCCTACCTGCAAGAACTCGCCCATCTTGTAGATCAGGTGCACGCCCTTGCCGCGCAGCACACGCTCTTGCTCGCTCGACATGGTGGGCGCCGTCCGTGGCTCCGACGTGCCCGGCGCTGGGAACAAGCCAGTGACACTGGGCGTTTGTGCCAGGTCCGCACGCGAGAATAGCCACTGGGTCGCAGAGGCCTCGGCAGGGGGAGATGACGTACTCGCCATGTCCAGCACGGCCACGGCGGAGCACTCGTCGCACACCAAAACCCGGCGGGGGGTCACGCGGCTTATGTATGGGAATTACGTAGTTGCGGGGGGCCGCGCTTAGCGCAGCAGCGGATGAAGCACTTGCTCCTCCAGGGCCCTGCCGGCGGGAACCATCGGATACACATGCTCGGACTTGATGACACGCGCCTCGAGGATGATCGGCTTGGAGTTATCATACTCGACAAACTCCTTCATCTTGGCTGGCAGGTCTGCCAGCGACTCGCAGCGGAGTGCCTTGACGCCCATCGACTCGGCGAGCTTGACAAAGTCGGGGTTGTGCATCTCTGTGTGCGAGTAGCGACGTTCATAGAAGAGGTCCTGCCACTGCAGCACCATGCCCTGGAACTCGTTGTTCAGCAGCAGCACCTTGACACCAATGCTGTACTGCGCTGCTGTGGCCAGCTCCATCGCAGTCATGCTGAAACTTGCATCACCATCAATATCCACGACCATGCGTTCCGGCATGGCCACCTTGGCGCCAATTGCCGACGGCAAGCCAAAGCCCATGGTACCAAGGCCGCCCGACGAGATCCACGAGCGGGGATGGCGCCAGCGGAAGTGCTGCGCGGCCCACATCTGATGCTGGCCCACACCGGCCGTAACAATGACGTTTTCCTTGTGCGCCTGCACAGCGTGGTCCAGTGCCTCGACCACCTCCTGTGGCTTCATCAATTCGCCCGCCTCCGGATTCGACGGCACATACGTGAACGGCAGTGAGGCCTTCCACGCCTTGATCTGCTCTAGCCACTCGGTGCGGTCAGGCGACCCAGAGAGCATCGGCAGGAGTCGCCGCAAGTTGTCCGCCACATCACCCTCAACAGCGCATGTCGCTTGCACCACCTTGTTGATGTTCTTCGGCATGATCTCAAAATGGATGATGCCGCCGCGGCCTTCCTGTGCCGCCGCATGCGCCGCCGGTGCAAATCGGTCCACAAGACCCGTCACACGGTCGTCAAAGCGCGCGCCGAGCGCAATGATTAGGTCGGCGCTCTGCATCGCCAGGTTCGCATAGGCCGATCCGTGCATACCCAGCATGTGCAGGCTCAAGTCGTTCAGCTCGTCAAACGAGCCTAGGGCATGCAGAGACGTGGTGACAGGAATGTTTTGCTGCGCAGCGAGCTTACGCAGCAGCTGAGGCCCATCAGGCTGCGACAGCACGCCATGTCCCGCAAAGATAATCGGCCGCTTCGCGATGGAAATCATGCGAGCAGCCGACTCGAGCTCCGACTGGCCGTCCGAGATATTCAGTGCCTTGTGTAGGCGCGACAGACGCTGCAGCGCCGTCGCACGACTAGGCGTGTGCGACAGTTCTGGCTGTGTCCATGTATAGGGAATGGGGTGCTTGAGCACCGACGCCGTCATGTCCTTCGGCAGGTCTACCAGCACGGGACCAGGACGGCCACTCATGGCAATGTGGAAGGCCTCGTTGATGCGGCGCGGCAGCTCAGCGACATCCTTGACCATGACATTCCACTTCGTCGAGCTGCGGCTGATGCCGACCATGTCTGCTTCCTGGAATGAATCGGAACCGATCGCTGAGGTGGCCACCTGGCCACAGAATACAACAAGAGGCACACCGTCGCTCAACGCATCCTGCATAGGCGTAACCACATTGGTGGCACCGGGACCAGAGGTTACGAGGACGACGCCAGGCTCGCCGCTGGCGCGCGCATAACCCTCGGCCATGTGACCTGCGCCATCCTCGCGCCGCGGCAGCACAAAGTCAAAGTGCGTCGACTGGTAGATGGCGTCGAACACGGGAAGAATCGCGCCACCGGGATAGCCGAACACGGTGCGCACCTTGTGGCGCAGCATCATCTCATGAAAAATCTGTCCACCGGACATGCCAATAAACGATTTGTCGAGCTCCTCCGGTGCATAGCACGTCAGGGCCCGGGGCAGGGGACTTTCGTTTTGGAAGGAAGGGGCAGGTGCGGGGCGGTTCGGCCTCAGCGGTACGCGCGACGCATGCAGCGCGCGACATGCCACCATAGGCGCATTTCGCGGGATGGCGGTCCTTGGCAGGATCGAGTGCATCGCACTCAGGCGGCCCATACAGAGGGGCAAGTGGGTCGCCATGGGGGTGAAACTAGCGTGAGGCGCAGCATCTTTGCTTCGTGACTCAGATATGCACGTGATTCCGGCGCCAATGTGGGGAGCTGACGGCACGCCCAGCTGCAGCAGCCAGCGTCTACGAACTTTATACCGAGGCTTGGCGCAAAAGTAGATCGAGCGCCTTGTCCATGTCGCCCCCCGCTTCGACAATCGCAGCTTCGGCAACGTGTACGTCAACAAGGAGCTCGTTCGTCTGGGGTTAGAACGTTTACGCGTACCAAAAAGGCAATATCAGCGCCTTTGACCTTCACACCCTTGTGCTTGTCCTGCTTGAGGGCAGGTGGAACGCCCGCGGGGTCCAAGAAGCAGATCGATTGTATGTGCTTCTCCATCAGCCCACGCTCGAACTTGGCGCCGTTCGCATCCAAGTCAGCCCACTCCTGGAGCACCTCCGACTTGTTATTCTTCGTTGAGACCATACTTGCAAGCAAGTGGCGCAGGTGGGTCGTGGGTGTGCGGACCTTTTTGCTCGAGTGCGCGCCCACGGTGGAAAAGGCAGAAGAGGCGCGGATGACTGGCGCAAACTTCGACCTCCACAGGCCACGGTGGAAGAGCGCCACCCCTAGCTTCTCCATGACGCCACGCCACGCCAAGGTGGCGCCGCGCCGCAGCCGCGCACCCACAGAGCCACGCGCGTATGCGTCCTCACCGAATCGACTCAAGTGGCTGCTGGCCATTTTGGCCGTCACCACGCTGCTCCTTGTGGCGCAGCAGCTGTACCGCCTAAGGCGTCATGCGCCTGTGCCTCCCACTTCCACGGCTATGGCGCCCGCTGTGACCCACGAAGAAGGCAACTTACCGGTGCAGTTTGATGAGGATGGAGAGCTCGACCTCGGCACGATGGAACGTATGCTGGACATTCTGTACAAACGGCCTACGGAGATGGAGGGGTATGAGGCCCTAGACACGGCACCTGGATCCTACCGCTTCCGCAAACAAGCAGAGCACGAGAGCTTGTAAGCCAAATCTAGGCTTCGTCTTCCGACAGCTCGTCGGCGGCGGCCACATCCGCGTCATCTGTATAAGTAGTGGGTATACATACCGTAAGCGATATCGTCCGCACCAAGGTTCGCCTCGGCCCGGCTCATCGTCAGCATTTGCAGGAGAGCCTGGCCTAGCGGCGAAGTCGCCTTGTCGCCGACCACGAGGTCGGCTGGTAGCAGTCCCGCATGGTTCCGCGTAGCAGGACTCGCGCCCGCATCCAGCAGCTCCTGTACGAGCCAATTGCGCGCTTCCTCATGCTCGACCTGGCATGCCACATGGAGTGGGGCATTGCCATCCAGCCGGTTCTGCGCATCCACGTCAACTTCCTCCTCAAGAATGGGGTCCAGCACACTGGTCGAAACCATCTGGCACGCATAGTGCAGCGGCGTGTTGCCCAGGCCGTCTGCATAGTTGATGTCATACGCGATTGCAGGCTCAGCCCGCAGAACCGAGTTCAGCAGCTCCAGATTGTCCGTGCGAGCGGCATGGATCAGGATTTTGTCTGTGGTTAGCCTGCAAAACGTACTTGCTTGGATCGCTGCGTCGTCCGCCATGTCGCACAGGCTCGCTAGCGCCAGCGCCGCGCCTGGCGGGCGCGGCCGCCGTTTTTGCTGAGTCAGCCACATCCACCCTCGTGCCCTTTTTACGCGCCTCGTCTAGCCACCAGCATGCCGAGCGCACCGCAGCGCAAGGGTCCACGCACAGAGGCTCAGCGCGCTCGTGCGCAAGAGCCTCAGGAAGACGTGCACATGCTGTCGGACGAAGATATGGAGGGCGGCTTTGAAGATCTCGAGGCCGAGGATGGCATGGACGGCGGCTTCGTCGACCTTGAGGCGGAAGAGGACGCCGAGGAGCCCGCTGATTCGCCACCCAAGGTCCAAGCTCCGCCCGCGGGTTCGTCGCATTACTCGCTCCCATCGAACGAGGAGATTCACGGGCTCAAAGAGACAGGCGACTTGTACCTGAACAATGTGTTCAAGTTGCAGCTGGACGAAATGCTCCAGCATGTGCGCCCTCGCATGGACCGAGCCAAGTCGCTCGAGCAGACACTGCGCAAGCTGCAGGCCCTGTTTGAATCACTGCCAGATATTGACATGCAACCTCTTAGTGCAGCCACAGAGACCCTCGAGCGCATCGTCGGCCACGCCGTCGAGGTGCCCTGGGCCGATCCCGTGCCGCGCGGTGATCCCGCATACTCTATTGGCTTTGCCAAGCCATCTGCGCTACACCTCATTGGCAGCTGGCCCCTCAAGGCGGCCGCCCGCCGCCCAGGGGCCATGGATGTGGACATGGAAGTCTGCATGCCCTCGTCTCTGTTTCAAGAAAAGGATACCATGAACGCACGCTACTTTACCAAGCGAGCGTTCTATCTAGCTGTCTTGGCCGAGTCGCTTCGACAGGCAGAGTCGTCGTTGCACCTGGACGTGGACTATCTCGACCTGTACGGAGACCGCCGCTGCACATGCCTCGTGCTGCGACCGCAGCCGGACGCGCACGAGTGGGCCTCCCTGCACGCAGTGATTCGTGTGCATGTGGCGCATGCGTCTGGCACCTTTCCCATCCAGCGACTTGCACCGGACCGTAACAGCTTGCGTGGTGCGCTCGTGGGTGCAACGGAAGGTGCTGAACTACCGGCTACACCTCTGTACAATGCCTGTATTTTGGCCGATTCGATGCGTCTTGCGCATTTTGTCTACTTAAATGCCACAGCCGAGATGTGTGCCGCGTTCGCAGAGGCCTGTCAGCTGCTCAAGACGTGGGCGACCCAGCGTGGGTTTGGCTCGCTCCTCCTGTTTGGACACGATGCTAAGAAACACGCCGCTCGTCGGGTCGTAGCCGGCACAGACGATGCGCGCTTCGTACTTTCCATGCTACTGGCTCACCTCCTGCACGGCGAGCCTAAAGGCTCGGCTACGCGCCACAAGCTTGCACCCGGTCTCTCGAGTGTGCAGCTGTTCCGCGGGACGCTGGACTACCTGTCAAAGCAGTCGTTTGCGACACCTGTGTTTATGAAGGCCCAGCCGCGCTTCGGACTGGCGCCCTCCACGATCCCCGCCACGGCCATGGCAGCCTCAGAGCGCGCCTTTGTCGATCCGAGCGGCAGTCTCAATCTGCTCGCGCACTGGCCCGCCTCGTCCGTGGATTTGTTGCAGCGCGAGGCTGCACAGACCATGCGCATGCTGAACGACAGCGACGACCATTTTGCCACGCTGTTCCTTACGCCGCAGTCGATCCTTGCGCAGCGCTTTGACGAGGTGGTGCTCTGTCACGTGCGAGACGACATGGCCGACGTCGTGCGCCGCCTGGATGCCGGCGGCGCGCGCGCGTGGGGCATACGGCGCGCCCTGGACGTGGCTGCGCGTGCGCTGGGCCAGCGTGCCCAGGGCCTTGCCGTATGTGCAGCGCCGTCGCAGGCCTACGCGCCAGGCGCTGCGCCTGCGCTGTCGCTGCACTTGGAGCTGGGTCTCCTGCTCGATGCGGACCATGCATGGCACCAGGTGGAGCATGGGCCACCGCCCGAGTCGCCGGAGGCTGCACAGTTCCGCGCCTTCTGGGGTGATGCCGCCGAGCTGCGTCGCTTCCGAGATGGCCGCGTGCTGGAAAGCGTCGTGTGGCCTGTGGCATCACTGGCACAGCGCTATGGACTGCCGCGCCACGTTCTGCGCCATGCGTTTATGCACCACCGTATTGCAAAGAAGGTGCGGTGCATGGGCGAGGGCTTTGCCGGCCTGGTCGATATGACACCCTCGCTGTCGTCGCGTGCCTATCTCAAGGATCCAGCGGTGCATGGCTTCCAGCTCGTTCAGGCCGCTTACGACCAGCTAGTACGCGAGCTGCGCGCGATGGATGAGCTGCCGCTTTCCGTGATGGGTGTGGCGCCCGTGGCGCCCGCGCTGCGCAGCATGAGTCCTCTCGTACCGGGCCCGCTGCATCTCGCCGAGCTTGGCGGCCAAGTGCCAGATGTGGCCGCGTATCTACCCCTACAAGCGCTCCTCTTGACCATGGAGAGTTCCGGCCAGTGGCCAGATGATCTAGCCGCGATCCAGGAGATGAAGACGGCACTGTACGAGCGCATGGCCGACGTACTAATGAAACGCCTGCCTGGCTCTCTCGCGCGGGTCGTGTACGACAATGATGCTACGACGGGCGAGACAATCCAGGACCAGACGGCGCTGCACCTCACGCTTGCGACGGGCTTTGCGTTCAGCCTGCGCATCCACCACGACCGCGAGCAGACGCTGCTGGAGCGCCTTCTGCGTGACAAGAGTACGCGCGCCGTGGCGGCGCACGCCCTGCAGCGCTACCACGTGCGTTTCACCTACGCACCCGCACACCATGCCGCACTGCAGGCGCTACAGGACCGGCACCCCGCACTCGGCATGACGGTGCGCCTGGTGCGCCGTTGGTTCGCCGCGCAGCTCCTCTCGCCACATGTGCCAGTGGAGGCCATGGAGCTGCTCGCTGTGGCCGTATTTGTGACGAACGCGCATGCGGCGCCTGTGACGGGCGTGCATGGCCTCGTGCGTGTGCTGCACCTGCTTGCTCACTGGGACTGGCGTGAGACGCCACTACTGATCCCGCTGGAAAATGCGACGCGCCTCGCACACCAGCGCAAAGCCGCGCTCAGTGATGAGGGCAGCACGCTGCTCAAGGAGGCTGCACCGTCGTTCCCAGCGGCGCAGCGCGCCGATGCAGAGCAGCAGTTTTCTGCGCAGCGCGCACGGGATCCCGCGCTCAAACACCATGCTTGGGTGCTCGCCACCGAGATGGACATTGGATCCAAGGCGTGGACGCGCGACGCGCCGTCGGCGATGGTCGCGGACGGTGTGCGTCAGCTTGCTTTGCGGGCTGTGCGCATGCTCGAAGAGGTGCCTACGCGCCTTGCGCACATCCGCGCTCTCTTTGCACCTGCCTACGATGCATACGACTTTGTCATCCACATTCGCCCGTCGGTGCACATGCGGTACGCCGAGGCCCTCGCGCCCGATGCCGGCGCCTGGCTGCAGCCGCGCAAAAAGCGCTCGTATGCGAACCTGGAGGACGCGCCGCTCCGCCCCTCGGTATATGGCAGTGAGCCGCGCGCTGGCCTAGACCCCGTGGCCGAGTATGTGCAGCTGCTTCAGCAACTGTACCCGGATACCTTTACTCTGTTCTACGATGAGCTGGGCGGCACGGCCATTGGCGGCCTATGGAACAGGGCCCTCGGCAAGCCTCACGCGTTCAAGGTCCTGCTGGGCCACTCAACTGCACCGCATGCCAAGGGCGTCGTGCTGAATCGCGCCGCTATCCTCGCGGAAGTGCAGCGACTAGGGCATGGCCTCATCGACCGCGTGGATGTCTTGTAGGCTAGGAAAACATGGACGATGGAGGCGCAAATTCGTCCCAGTCGGGGTCGCCGCGACGCCGCATCGGCGCCAATGGACCGACGGGGTCGAAGCGCGCCCCCGGCGGGGCACCCATGGGCGGCAGCCAAGGTGCGTTATCCTCACGCCGTCGGCTTTGCCACAGCGGATGATCAGGGCCTACTATCATGCCGTCGGCGCGCGGCGGGCGAGCAAGCGGGAGACCTCCGCCGAACACGTCAGGGCTCGCAGCCCATGGGTCACGGTCTGCGTCACCGATCCGAGGGGGGAAGGCGGACACCGGCGGCGCGTCTGCCGGCGGGGCGACACCTGGCGCCACAAGCGCCTGGGGAGCGTCACGGCATGGTATCGTCGCGCCCTTGTCCGGCGCGCCCGGTGCAGTCAAGGGTGCCCACACACGCTCGTCGAGCAGATGCTGCCACTCGTCCATACGCATGTAGAGCGAGGCAAGCTGAGCCCTGTCATCCGAGTCGCGCCATGGCAAGGCGGTGGCGTTAATGTAAGTCGGAAGTGCCACATCCAGCATACAGCAAGGGCCATCGTCGATCAGCGCAAGGACCGCCGCGCGCTGGGCGACGCGTGTGACCACAACATGGACCGTGTGGCCGTGTGCTGCGTACGACCACGCGTGCCGATCCCGGTCCGAGCGCCACTGCGCTGCGGGGCCTGGCGCGTCGTAGCCGTGCGCGACGGCCGACGCATGCACAAAGACGGCTGTCGCATCCAGTGTCGTTTGGGGCGCACATGGAGCATGGGCCTGTAGGAATGACTCCATGCTCGCGAGCAGCTCCGTGCGCGATGGCTCGGCCATGGCGGCGATGGGGGGCTACGAGATACCTCCACGAGCTACGCACTCTTGGCGTGGGCGGCAACCGCCTGGACTTGAGGGAGAGTGGCCTGCCACCTGTGGTGAGTAGCGCGACGTACCATCCTGTGGCCAGGACGGCAATGCATCCATGCACTGCGGCGATCCAGATGGGCATGCGATACATGCCGAGCCAAGGCAGGAGCTCCAGGAGCTTGGCCGGCAGTTGGAACGTGACGACGCCATCGGGGAGCCTCATAAACACGGCCGACACAATTCCGTGGAACAGGAGCAGCTGGATCGCCACCGCGCGCTTTCCGGGCATGTAATCAGGTAATCCGAAGCACAAAAGCGCACAGATGCTCGAGGTCAGAAGCATGGCACCGAGGAGCTGCCGTAAGCATCTACAGCGTACCTGAATGAGCAAGAGCGTGGATCCCGACGGGTGCGCAAGCGGGATTGCCGCCGGATCCAGGAAGGCTAGGATACCCAGCGGCAGCTCCGCTATGACATGCAAGAGCCAAAACACATTCAGATACGACAGCGTGTACGTAGCCGACGGCATGGTATGGGGTGGTGCGGATGCTACTCATCCACGTGATTCGACCCTGTGGACCGACCGCCATGGCATCCACGTCGGGGCTGCAGCGTCGGCGGGGGGCAGGGCATGCGTCCCTGTCCAACGAGCTAGGCGACGAGGAGATGGTGGATGGTGTGCGTAGTCTGTCGGGGCAGCGCAGCGCAGCCGCTATCGAGCGGTCGTCCGGGTCAGGCTCGCTGAACCGCATCGATCCTGGGTCCGGTCACCAGGTCGCATACGATCCACGCGATCTGATGGACGCGGGCGAGGAGCGGACATGCCCCCGCCTTACTCTCATGGAAGAGGTGCTGCTTCTGGGACTTAAGGACACGCAGGGCTACCTTTCTTTTTGGAACGACAAGCTCTCGTACACGCTGCGTGGGTGTATCCTCATGGAGCTCGCGCTGCGGGGGCGCATTGGCGTAGCTAAAGGTGCTGATCAGCGGCGCGAGGATGTGAGTGACTCGCATATCCGACTGTACAATGCCAGGCCTACAGGCGAGCCGCTGCTGGACGAGACCCTGCGCCACATACATCAGTCGCCGCCCACTAGCATTGTAGAGTGGGTCAACCTGCTAAGCGGCGATACATGGAACATGATGCGACTCAACATGCAGCTCAAGCAGGTGCGTGAACGACTCGCCAAGGGTCTCGTGGAAAAGGGGGTCCTCTGCACAGAGAAGCGCAACTTTCTCCTATTTGACATGCCGACGCATCCCGTGGTGGATATGAGTGCCAAGGATGCCGTGCGGCGCCGCGTGTATGCCCTCACGCTGTCACAAAATATACATGGGCCCAGCCTCTACAAGGACGAAAAGGATGGGAGGGCAGTAGCCCTGCCCGTCACACGGTCGCTCTGCATGCTGTGTAGTGCTCTCAGCGCGGACGTGCTCGAGAATGTGCTGCGGCACTTGTCGACGCAGGTGCGCGATCAGGCGACGGCGCATGTTGACGACCTTCTTAGGGCATTTGCACAGTGGCCCATGGCGCCAAATACACCGGGCGGAGGACTACCGCCGCGGGGCTCCGTTGAGACGCCCCAGGTGCGGACGGCCAAGGCGCCCTCTTTCCTTGCAAAACGGCGCACACCCAGCATGGGTGTGAGTTCTACAGACCTTGCTAATGCGATGCGCGCAGAGTACGAACACGGGGGGGTCGAGTCGGCCTTTGAAGTGATCGCTGGCGTCCTCCAGGTATTGGCGCGCATGGAGTCGCTCGTATAGACGTAACGAGATGGGCCTAGGCCCTGTACAAGGCATGCACTTGATCGCAGCTGCTATGCTGCACGCACACACGAGTTCCATCCAACATGCAGCGCACCTGCTCTGCGAATGGACAGGGGCAGTCCTCTGGCTCGTCTACACACGCGAGCGTGTCAGGGCACAAGTAGGTACGGCACTGCGCCGCTTGGACGCGATCGCGAAACCATGACGCATCGCCCACATGCTGTGCCTCAGGTTCCTGGCGCTGCTGGAACATATGTGCGCCTTGAAAAAAGTTTTGGAAGAACTGGGCATGCGCAGGCCATGCCAGCAGAGTGCCTAGTACCGCCACAGAGACGACGTGCATCGACGAGGGAAAGGCACATTGCCTTCTCCACCTATGTCGATTGTGGACGGCACCCATTGCACTCTCGCCTCGTGCCACGCACTCACATGGCTCCCCATCGCATGTCCGAGCTGCCGCCGTGCATTTTGTGAGCAGCACCACCAGCCCGAGGCCCATGCGTGCCCCGTTCCTGCGCGTATTGCACCCAGCACCTCAGTCACAACTCCCAGTCGATGGCCGTGCAGCAAAGCAGGCTGCCAGCGCCTTTCTCTGCAAGTGCGCGCATCCGACACGCCACTGGCCCATGCGGCGCCGCGTTGCGAGCGGTGTCAGCAGTACTTTTGCGTCGCGCATTGTGCGCCTTATGCTCATCACTGCACGGCGCCAGCATCTCCCACGCCTGGACAGCGGCGCGCACAGGACGCTCTAGCTCGCAAAGCCAAAGCGAAGTTGATACTGGCCAAACATTTCCCTGCACGCCCAACATCCTGAATCCCTATATATTACACTACAGGCTGGTACTACGGTAGGGACGCCTGCTTGTCGTTTGTCTGCTTTTGAATAAAGCTTTGCAACTGGCGTATATCCTCCTCGAGCGACTCGGTCATGCGCCGCGAGGCGGCAAGTGCATCGAGAACAGACTGCACTTCCTCGTCCAGCACTACATCGACATGCCGGATCTTCAAGGGGCGCGATGAGTAACTGTCGCGCGTGAGAAGACGGTGCGGATTTGTGGGATCGCGCGCTCGCACGGGTGAGCCGTACCAGGATACCCAAATATTGAGGATGAGTAAGATGACAATGAGAAAAGCGAGGACCAAGCCAGAGGGTCGCATGTCGAGTGCATGGGAGATCGCCTCGAGTGGCCGCCACAGAGTGCTGGATGTCGACGACGAATCGTTCTGCGGGGAGTTCACATACGTGTTTGCAGCGTCCTGCTCGGCGACCTGCTTGGTCCTCTTAGACTGGGTTGACTTGGGGACACCATACACCTCGGGGTGCTCGCTAATATGTTCGCGCATCATCTGCCCGAGATCGCGGAAATAATCCCGTTGGCCATCAATTGATGCCTTGTCGACAATACTCTTGATCATACTGCGCCCGCTCCATTCGACAGTACAAGTCACATAGAGCCGTACCCGCCGGTTTTCGGCCCATGTGAAGCACATGCGAGTAAGCACCGCAAAGTTGTTACCACTTGGTACATCGGGCGTGCGCGTCGTCGTTTGCGTCGTGCAGAACTTGTCAAAGTCAATGTGCAACTGCTCGTCCGTGATCTGACAGCGTGTCTGCTTTGGGCCAATAGGGCCATTGAGCGGCTTTACATATGTGACCTTACGCGCAGCCTTCGCCTCTTCTTTCGTCTTGTCTTCGCTGTTCCACTCGCCGACACTAACCTCCCCGAGGTGCTGGTTATCCTTGAAGAATCGCTCCATAAAGTCACTCACAAACATCAAATCAAAGAGCTGATGCGGCGTAGCATCAAATATATCATCCATAACCACTTCCTTCAGGTGCCCGCCTTTCTCTTCACAGTCACACGACGTCACGACATGCTCTTTCCCATCGTCGTGGTCCAGCCCGTCGTCCGAATCTTCGGACTCGTTGTCCGCATCATCCTCGGGCTCTTGATGCCCCTTCTTCTTTGCATTCAAGCGGGCCGCATGCAGCTTGTGTCGCAGCTTTTCACGCTTGGTAAGCTTGGACCGCGACGACATCTGAGAGCTTGCCCCTTCGTCGATCGATTTTCCCGGTATGGACGTGTCCCCCGTCTCCTCTTTCGTCTGGTCGATTGAGTCCGGAGGTACTTCGACATCGCTCTCATCAGTCATTTCTGTGTCAGCCATCTGCTGCGCGGCCGCACTCGGTGCAGAGAGGCGCCAGATATTCACCAGCATACCGTACGTGAGGTCACGCGACACAAGCGAGCTAAAAGTGTAGCGATTTTGCAGGGTCTTGACGATGATGGCGTTGGGTATCAGATACGCCGTGTTTCGCTTCTCAATCGAGACCACGTCGGAAAACGGCACGACAATCGAGGTCACCCATCCAAGTATGTTGGAGTGGAACGCGAGGTGCGCCTCTGACACGTACAGCCGGCCTTGAATTAGCAGATCGCGCGAAACAGCACACGCGTAGCTCTCGATGAGGTAGTCATCTTCCGGTATGGACGGGAAAAACGCGTGAAAATCTTCATTCCGCTTGGAGCTGGCCACCGCAAAGCCTGTGACCTGCGTACTGAGGGCCTGTGGCCAGGCGCCTGCACCGTCCCCACTCGAGTCGCTTTGCACACCCATATTGCGCTGTCGCTCGCTGGCTTCTCCATTCTCTAGCTCGCGCTCTTGGGGTAAGAAGTTCGCAGCAGCTGCGAGACCCGGCATTTCGATGTTCGAGAGCGATAAGACCGGAAGGCCCCCAGGCGCTGACTGCTGGGTCGGCGACGATATATTTGGATGCACTGTTGGCTCCGCCTGATTGCCTTCTTGGTCCGTCTCGACCACAGCGCCAGTGGCCAGGTCGCGATACGCGCCGGTGGCTGGGTTGCTCTTGCGAGAGTGTTCCTGATCCTGGCTGATCGGAGTAAATGCTGCAATATCATCTGTGGATGCATGCACATTCGAGGGAATGGACACATGCAGCGGCACATTCGGCAGCCCCAGTGGTGTTGAAGCGCAGCTGTTGCCTGAGGTACTAGTAGACAAGTATTTGCCGTCCTCACCATGTGCCTGTGGCGAAGCTGTCCGTGCATTTTTTATTTCCGGACTCTTTTGTGGCAAATGTGTGCCTTGAGAAGTTAAAGATTTGCGAGCATCAGGTCGCTCGGTCCCTGAGCCCGGAAGTGATCGCTCAATTTGCTGCGACAAGCTAACACTCCGCATAAGCTCGGCCTGTTCTTTTGTTTCTTCAGGATCTGGATCGTGCGCTGATAGTGTATCTGAGTTTCTCGATGCACTCCTGTGAGGAAAATGAGAGAAAAGGTCAAAAGGTTTAGAGCTCATGCGATTCAGAGGATTCATGTTCGAGTATCCAAATGTCAAATTCGCCAGGTCATGGCGGTTCAGTTTGTTCTTGCCGTTATGTGTCTCATTTTTTGAATTGATCGTATCGGAACGCTTGAGGCGATGAAAGGGCGCCATACTATGAGAATACGCCACAGACTAAGGTAAAGGACCTCGCACGGCCGCCAGTCCAGCCGCATCCGTGCAACGGGGAATTATGTGCTTGACCCTCCACCGCCTCCGTCGCCTTCAGTGGCCGACATGAGCCGCCACGATGCGTCTGTATCGCCCATGGCCGCGGGCCCATGGACGCGGGTACGCCCTCCGCTCTCCTCGTGGATGTATGTAATAGATGCTTACCCCAGCCTTGGCGTACTCGAGTCACTGGGTTTTGCGCAGATGACACCCGTGCAGGCATCCGCAATACCTCTGTTCCTGTCCCACAAGGATGTGGTGGCAGAGGCCGTCACAGGCTCTGGAAAGACGCTGGCATTTGTGATACCCATTTTAGAGATTTTACTTCGACGTGAGACGACCTTGAAGAAGCACGAAGTCGGCGCCGTGGTCGTGTGTCCTACACGCGAGCTCGCGCAGCAAACGGCTGGCGTGTTCCAGCAGTTTCTCGACCAGCAGCCCGAAGCGGCGGGTGCACACGCGCGCGTTGCGGGGGTCCAGCTGTGCGTTGGTGGTACAGGTACCACGCCATCCGAGGATCTTGCCTTTTTCCGCGAGCATGGCCCTGACGTGATTGTCGGTACGCCTGGGCGTATGGAAGAGTTACTGTGCCATTCGGGCGTGCGGACGGCTGAACTGGACGTGCTGGTGATGGATGAGGCGGACCGCCTGTTGGATTTGGGCTTTACGCAAGTCATCCGCACGCTGCTGTCGTATCTGCCCAAGCAGCGACGCACGGGCCTTTTTAGTGCGACGATGACCGAGGCGTTGTCGGAGTTGGTGCGCGTAGGCTTGCGCAACCCGGTGCGGGTGGTCGTCAAGGTCGAGCTCAAGCAACGCGGCATTGGGGGTGCCCAAGATATCCGCATGCCGGCGACGCTGTCGAGCTTTTACCACGTGTCGCGGCCTGAGCACAAACTGGCGCAGCTCCTGCGCCTTTTGCAGTACGAGTCGCAGGGGACCACAGGGGCGCGCAAAGCGATTGTGTACTTTGCGACTTGCGCGCAGGTGAACTATCTCTTTTCGCTGCTGGCGCGCCTGAGCAAGGCGCATGAGCCGCGGCTACAGGGACTGCAGTTCTTCTCTCTACACGGTAAGCAGACACCCAAACGGCGCACCGCCACTTTCTCGGCATTTGCGCATTCGACGCACGCGGCCGATGGCGACTCAGCGGGTGCTACCAATGCGAGTATGCGGGTGCTGCTGTGCACCGATGTGGCGGCGCGTGGTCTGGACCTGCCGGACGTTGACTTGGTCGTGCAGTATGATCCCCCAAGTGACCCGAAGGTGTTTAACCACCGCAGCGGGCGAACCGCGCGTGCCGGCAAGCGTGGGCGGGCTATGGTCATGCTGCATGGTGGGCGGGAAGAAGGCTATGTCGAGTTCTTGCAGATCAAGCAGCTGCCGCTTCAGCCGTATGGCTACGTGTGCCGAGATGCACAAGGTACCTTGTCCATCGGTGAAGAGCCGTCTGAGCGCGACGCGGATGCGCATGCCTTAGAAGAAGCGCTCCGTGCAACGGTGCGCCGAGATCGTGCCTTGTATGAGCTGGGCCTACGTGCGTTTGTGAGCTGGGTCCGAGCGTACTCCAAGCACGAAGTCGCGTATATCTTCCGGCTCACGGACCTGTCACTGGGCGGGATGGCGTGTGAATTTGCCCTGTTGCATGTGCCGCGCATGCCCGAGCTGCGTCACTGGCAGCTGGATGATACCTTGTTTGTTAATGAGAAGGTCGATGCCAGCTCACTAGCGTATGCGGACAAGCAGCGTGAGAAGCAGCGTCTTGATGCACTGGCCCGCAAGGCTGCGGATCCTGTGCCAGAACCGGTCACGCGACGCACGACGAGCGAAGCCTGGAGTGAGCAGAAACGGCGTAAGGAGACGCGTGCGTTGCGTCGCGATAAGAAGCAGCGCAAGCGCCAGTGGCAGCAGGCACAAGCCGCACAGGCGGAGGCGCACAACGACGGCGAGGATGACGAAGATGATGATTGGAGCGCGGACGAGCGTGCCGCGAAAAAGCAGCGCAAAGGAGCGCCAGGTGTGACCGACACGGCTGCTGCCTTCTATGACGATCTATAGATACCCGTGCTACGTTAGAACATCATTTCTGCGTCTTGCCGGAACATGGTCGAGATGCTTTCGCCATGATGCGCGCGACGTATCGTTTCGCCGATCACAGCCGACATATCCATGACCTCGACCTTGCCGTTGCTCTGTGTCGCTTTCTCGCGGTTGCTGATCGTATTGGTGACGACCAGCTTCTCGAGGGGAAGGCGGTTAATCAGGTCCATCGCGCGGCCCGAGAGGAGACCGTGCGTAATAATGGCGAACACGCGCTTCGCCCCAGCTTCCTCCAGGGTCTTGTATGCTAGTGCGAGTGTGCGGCCCGTATCGACCATGTCATCCACGAGAATGGCAGTCTTTCCAGCCACATTACCGACCAGCAGCTCCATTTTCGAGTCGTTCTCATCCTCTGACATCTGCGCCTCGTCCGAGAGCGCCGCGAGTTTGCGCGTGCGACCGCCGCTGCGGATGCGATGACCACCCTCCTCGGTAATGAACCACTCACCACTCTCGCTGAGCGAGTGCACGCCATTGGCGACCTCGCTGCATGCAAAGTGGGCCGCAGAAGCGGCCATATCGACCGACTCGCCCGTATGAGAGCGCGCGCGGTTGCGGTTCTGCTGGTGGCGGCTGCGGTTGATCAGCGCAAAGTCGATGCCGAGCGCGTCTGCTAGAGACGTGGCGCGCTTTGCACCACCGGCGTCTGGCGACACGATAATGGCATCGCGCCAGTCGTCGATCTTATGGCGCACCCAGCGCGCGATGCTCGGCTCACACGTGAGGTTGTCGACGGGGATATCGAAGAAGCCCTGGATCTGGCTCGCGTGTAGGTCGACGGTGATAACATGGTCTGCGCCTGCGATGGTAATCATATTCGCAATCATCTTAGCCGTGATCGGCACACGGCTCTTGTCTTTCTTGTTCTGCCGCGAGTACGGGAACGACGGGATCACTGCGGTGATGCGGCGAGCGGAGGCTGTCTTGCATGCAGAAAGGATGATCATCAGCTCCATAAACGCGTCATTGAGGTCAATGTGTGGCGAGTGGCCCGACTGGATCACAAATACATCCTGGTCCCGCACGGACGACCCAATGCGCACATCGATTGACTGATCCGCAAACTTCCGGCACACGCATTCAGTGAGCGGCACACCGAGGCGTGCAGACACCAGCGCCGCCAGCTCCGTGTGACTGTTGCCCGTCAGAAGCTTGATTGAGTTCAGAGCCATCGTAGCGGTCGTCACCTCGGCAGACAGCGGCGAACCTTTGACGAGGACATCACGTGCGCGGCGCGTGGCGGGCCTTGCTCGCACCTCTGATCCAGCTGCAGCATGCCGGCGCGGGGGGTGTCTATCGAGCAGGACCCCCACTTTAAAGACAAGGAAAAGGTCCTGCTACAGACCAGCAAGTTTCCGTCTGTGTTTTCCGAGCGTGTCGACATGTCTAAGGTGAGCGTACCAGTAATGCGCCCCTGGATCGCGACGCGCGTGGAGCAGATGCTCGGTTTCGAGGACGAAGTGCTCGTCGAGTTTATTGTGGGTCTCCTTGAGGCAGAGCAGGTACGCTACGTTACTAACCTAGTTTCCCGACCCACGCAAGATGCAAATTGCTCTCACGGGCTTTCTCGAAAAGCGCGCGCCGCCGTTTATGCACGAGCTGTGGGGGCACCTCTTGTCGGCGCAAGTGTCGGTAGGTGGTGTTCCCCGCGCTTTTGTTGAGCAGAAAAAGCGCGAAATGCAGGCACAGCGCGAAGAGCATGTGTCGATGATGGACCAGGTCCGCACGCGCGGTCCGCCCGCCCCGGAGCGCCGCGGGCCGCCGCCGGAGCGCCGCTGGGACCGCGGCCGCGCGCCTGTTGAGGCGGACCGCCGCCGCGACGTCTTTGTTGACAAGCGCGGCAATGTGACACGCCGCGAGCGTGATCATGGCTGGGTGCGTGCCTCTTGCTGACGCTAGGGACGACGAGCACCGCCTGCTGACCGCGACCGCGACCGCTCGCCTGTGCGGTACGTGCGCGACGAGTTTGGGCGTGACGTGCCCGCGGGCCGCCACGAGCGCGAACGCTCGCCGTCACCACGGCGCTACGAGCGCGACGATTCGCCACGCTACAGCCCGCCGCCACCCGCCACGTTTGGCGAGCGGGGATCCCTGTAATATGCCCCTATACCTCTGCCCTGCTACTTTTCCTTGTACGACCAAATCCGTGCGCTGCGGTGAGAATGGCAATACATACTTGAAATCGCCACTGCCCGTCGCCAGGAGCTGACGGGTCTGGCTCATACATGTGGCGATAACTGAGTTCTTGTGGCCCTGTAGGACCAGCTGCGTCTGGCCTGTCTTGGGTTCCCAGAACTCGACGCAGCGGTCCTTGGAGCCGGATGCGATCCAGCGGCCGTCCATGGAGCAGGATACCGAAAGAACATAGTCCTGCTGTGAGTAAAGGCACATACCTTGTGGCCTGTGAACGTGACAGCGTTCAAGGACGCATTTGAAACCTCGTCGTCCATGGTATCGAGCACCTTGATGACACTCGTGAGGCCCCACAGCCGGAGCGTCTTATCGAGACTGCCACTGACGAGGGATTGGCCATCTGGCATGAAGCTCACGCTGTAGATGCTGTCCTTGTGGCCCTTGAGACGGCATCGCAGCTTGCCGGTCCTGGTATCCCACAGACGCACAAATGTGTCCAGCGCGCCGGCGGCCACCAGTCGGCCATCGGGGCTCAACGCCACAGTGGTGACGCCGGGACCGTAGTTCAGGCCAGGGCTCGTGTACAAGACATGCAGCGTCTCCCCCGTCTCCGCATCCCACAGACGGACCGTCTTGTCACCCGAGCCACTAGCCAGCATCTTGCCGTCGCTCGAGTACGCCAGAGAATAAATCTCCTGCTTGTGGCCCGTCAGCACCTTCTTGATCTGTTTCTCCGCAAGGTCCCAGATGCGGATCTGGCGGTCTTCGGCACCCGTCGCGAGGAATTTGCCGCAGGGACTAAAGCACACGCTGCGGATATACAGGTCGCCAGGGATTGCCGGCGGCTCGTCTCGCAGCACACATACCTTCGCGCCAGTATCAATGTCGTATATGTGCGCACTGCGGTTGCACCCAGTCGCCAGGAGCTTGCCGTCAGGCGAAAAACGCACGCAACAGACAACGCTGTCGTGTGAAAAGCTGTGCACAAGGTCGATATCCAGCGACGGCTGCATATGCGGATTGTATACGACCACCCAGTCAGTACCCTCCTTTTTGATTTCTTGTGCTGGCTCGGACTCCGCGGCAGGGACGGCCGGAGCATCGGCGGGAGCAGCAGCTTGGCCCTCCCGAGGCTGACTCGTACTCGCCGAGCGCTCCACCATAGGCATGGCCTTCGCGGGAGCATGTACATCTTCATCGATCTGCTTGGGCTCGCGCTCGTCGCGTGTCGTGCGTGGCAGCTCCGGCGGCACTGGCGCCTGCGTGGTCTTGGCACGCTTCGACGGCGGCCACGCCGCCTCAGCGACTGGTGGCGAACGCTCACGTGGATCACGCTCATATGCCTCGGCCATCGCAGGCAGTGGTGCATCAGTAGCCGGCGTCAGGGGAGCATGGCTGCGGGGAGGAAGTACCGGTGGCCCGTCGGGCACGCTGTTGGCATTGCTGCGCGAGTCGAGGCGCGCCCGAAGGTGCTTGATCTCATCCTCGTAGTGAGCCACAATCTCGAAATGGCGCTTCTCCAGCTCGTAAATATGCTCTTGCATGAGGGTGACCTCGTTGTACTGCTGGGCAACTAAAGGTGAGTAAGGAGAACATACTTCGGTGTTCCAGTTCGTCGCGTTGCGCCTTGAAGTGCACGGCATCGTTGCCAATCACGTCAAATTCGTGACGAACCAGGTTCAGTAGGTCTACGAGGCGCGCGGCCCAGATGGCCTGCGAGCCCGGCGGCGCCACGGCCCCACCTAGAGGAATCGCGCCGGCCGGTGGCGGCGGAGAAGGAGGGATGGGTTGTGCATGTGCTGGAACGGAGTGCGAGGGGGTTATGGAGCCTGGGCGAGCAGACGAACTGCCAGCCGCAGCTGCTGCGGCCGGTACAGTCGCTAGCGAGTTCACGGATGCCATGCCGGACGGCTCCGAATGAAGGCACTACAAAATACGCTCGGCGTTTCAGTGTGCGATCCCAGCGGCGAGTGTCACGTGAAGTGGAGCAGGGTCCCTACAGATCTCCCCACACGAGCGCGGCGTGGAAATAAAATGGGCGTCGTGGAGATGATTGGTTCGGGCTACACGGTCGCCTCGACGCCGGCCCAGGGCGGCCACGTGCCGACCGATGCGCAGGAATCTGCAGCGCATCGGCCTCCGCCGTCTCGGCGCAAGCGATGACGTGATCAGGATTGGAGCCGGTGCATTGAGTTCTCGGCCGCGTCCAGTTTCGTTTGTGTCTGCTGCATGTGTGTTTGCATAGACTGCAGCAGCTCCTTGTGTACCTCGAGCTCGTCGTGAATAGTCAGCCCCAACTCCCGCTGTCGACGCAGAATTTGAGCAAGCTGCTCGGCCTGGGCATCCTGGTTTGCCATGAGCGTGGACGTCTGGTGACGAAGGAGAGCGTGGTCGTCCATAGGTCGCGTCACGTCTGTTTCCTGCCTTCGTGCGGTGGGCGGTGCACGTGAGTACCACGGACGCGGCAGCGGACCCGCTGCTGCAGCTGGCAAGCCTTTGGGCGGCGGCGGCGGCGGCGGCGGATGCTCTGTTGCGACCGCTGGCTCCCGCTGATGCTCCGGGACCTGGAGGAACTGTAGAAAAGCATCACTTTCGCGCCAGTGGGGGTCAGGCGCCGTGATAATGCCGCGCAGATACCGCTCAAGGCCTTGCCGGCGCTCTTCGGCCGCCGCATCGTCCGCGCGCTGCTGTGCAGCCGTGACAGGGAGCCACCCTCCAAGACCCACAATCGCACGCCACGAGTCTTTGGCGGCTTGTTTGGGCGGTAGAGGCGCAGGCGGAGCGGGGGGGGGCAGCGCAGCCTGGAGCGCCGCAAACTCCGAATAGCGACGGTACACCGTCCACGTCTGTGACGGCAGTGTTACCTGGATGGCATAAACCATGTGAGGCCGCGGCTCATCGCGGCGCTCAAATGTAGGCACACACACGCGCTGGATCGGCGCCGCGGCCATACACCGATCACCAGCTGCCCCGGCTGGTGGCGGACCAGCAGGGGAGGTGGAGCGACCTGTGCCACGTGATGTACACGCGCCACCGAGGCCAGGGGCGGTCCAAACACGCGCCCTGTTGTTCTGCCTGCAGCGCCAGTGCGACAGGCCGGTCCGCAGCATGCCGCCACGCAGAGGTGCGGCGCGAGCGGCATCCGCTCGAAAAGGTGCGTTGCGACGTCTAACGCCAGCCCCCGCACGCGCCGGCGGCCCCACGCGCATAGCGCCGACGGCATCGCCCCAGATGTTGCACCACCAGATTATGCGCAACGCCTACGTCGTCGCGCAATCGCAGCTACTACAGCTGGCTAAGCAGATGGAGTTCGATGCAGACTTGTCCATCTGGGAAGAGGAAGCATCAGAGAAGATGCAAGAATTCTGGGACCAGTCGCGCCAGAATGTGAGCGACTTTTGTGCGCGTGTGCAGTACGTGTTCATGGCTGACCGCAGCTCAAGCATGGAGCCGATGCCGAGCCTTGCCGCCGAGGTCGTCAAATCGCCACGGAAAAAGCTCGATAGCAGCATGGTCACGGCCGTGCCGACCGCGCCTCCCTCGCCGACCCCTGCGCCACGCACTGCAGCCGCAGACGACGCTGCTGTGTGCCTGTCGCTGCAGGCGGAGCCGGCCTCGGTGCCGTTAGCGGACGCTCAAGCCTCAGCGCCACCCGCAGATGCTCAAGCCTCAGTGACGCCCGCGGAGACTCAGACGACAGCGACACCTGCAGAGGCTCAGGCCTCAGCGACGCCAGCGGAGAGTCAGACCTCAGCGACACGTGCAGAGGCTCAGACCTCAGCGACGCCAGCAGAGACTCAGGCCTCAGCGCCCACGCTCGCGGCACCCGTGTCCGAGTCGCCCAATGAAATACCACTTCCCTTGCCGAACTCGACCCCAAGCACCACGCTTCGCACCAAGCGCACGCTCGGCACGGCAGTGCTTCGCAGCACGAAAAAGCCAGATACCACGGATGAGGCGCGCCCGCCGCTACGGCCACCCGCGCGTTTCCGCTCAAGTTTCTTGAACAAGAGCTTGCGACATGCTATGGAAGAGAGGCAAGTCGGTTCGTTAGACCGCGATCTCGACGACAGCATTTACGAGCCAAGTCCCAAGGACGCATCGCCGCAGGCTGAGCCGCCCGTGGACCGCATTGAGCCGCGCGCAGTCCCAGGCCCGTCTCTGGACGCGCTGCGCACGCGTCTCGAGAACGTGCGCCGCGCCAGCACAACGCCAGCGACGACGGCCTTGGGCACATTCGCCGCCGAGCGGCGTGCGAGCGCACTCGCGTGGCCCCTCTCCGATACCCCGACGAAGCTGCCGCCCGCTGATCTGGGCGGTCAAAGTCGCAGCAGTCGCAGCATGGGCGACGAGCGCACGACGCCTGATCCTGCTATGCGCGCCAGTCCGGCACCTCAGCCTGCTGTGGCTGCGTCTGTGCGCAGCGAGAACGCTGAGCCCGACGGACCCAACGTGTCTGCGCCGGCGACGCACGCGACACCGGCGCGCCCACGCGCGCTGCCACCGCCCAGCGTGCCAGGTCCGGCCGCTGCGCCTCCGACGCGCTCGCCTGGGCGTGAACGCCCTGTGACGCGCCCCATGCGTCCCCGCACGCCCGGCGCAACGCCGGTACGCAGCGGCAAGGTTGGCACAGTGGCCGCGCCGCCCTTTGTGCAGCCAGCAACGCCAACGCCGGCAACAAGTACTGGGACAGCGCGGGGACCCAATGCGACACGCTCGCCCGGTCGGCTGCGGGAGGAGAAGCTCTCGCCGTTCCGTGCCTCGACCAAGGAGCCCTCGCCGGTCCGTTCGCGCCTGCCCGTATCGCCCGCGCGAATGGGTGCATCTAAGATTCCAAGTCCAGTGCGCAAGCCAGTGCCACCCGTGTCAATGCGAGCTGCCTCGCCCGAGTCGGGTAGCGTACAGCGCGGGATGCCTGCGCGGCCTGCCTCTGTGGCAGATGTGCGATCGATGGCGCCTGGGCTGGGCGAACGCCTCAAGGGCCTACTTGGCCTCAACGTACCGGCCAGGGACGCGCCATCGCGACCCGTCTCACCCACCGCGCGCGGCAGCGATGGCGAAGAGGGACCTGCACCAATGCCAGGGTCGTTTGATGAGCCCGAGGCGCCGCCGGTGCGTCCTCTATCCATGTCGACGTCGGCAGTGCCGGTTTCTGCTTCTGCGCCCAAGCGTCCGTCACAGGCAGGTTCCACGCCGCTCAGGCCCACGCCGCTGCCAAAGAAGGGCGTGCCTGTGCGGCCCCTTGCGCGGCCTGGCAGTGCTATGCGTGTCTCGAGTGCAACGCGGCCAGCGTACACGTATGATACCGAAGGGAAGCGGCGCAAACTATCGCAGCGCCCGCTCCACGAGTCGACCAATGTGGAGGAACGCGCGTCGACGGAGGATGCGCTAAAGAGCAAGTTGACTACGGCGGGCGGGGTGCGCGCTGCTAGCCACACGGTGCGTGTATCGAGCAGCACGGCACGCAACGCGCCTACGGCACCGCGGCCGTGGGCGGCGGCGCAGCGCTCGAGCACGCTGAGCACGCAGAATGTGTTCCAGCAGGCGGCGCCCCCTGCGCCCTCGGCGGACGAAGAAGAGCTGCCGGATGTGGCGAGTGAGTACTCGGACTCGGACGACGAGGCGTCGATCCGTAAGCGGTCGCAGGAGCCGTCGTGGACGCGCGGTCGCGAGCTCGAGGCGCTCCTGCTGCAGCAAGCGACGGTGGACCCTGACGAGATCTTTGGATGTCAAGTGGGCCCTGTACCGTTGGACGCGATGCTGCCGCCGCGCAAAGGCGACCGGCGGCGGCAGCGGCACCGAACGAGCTCCGCAAACTGGAATGGGCCTGATGGGCTGGCACAGTGGGAAATCGATCGCTACAACGAACGTATGGGTATTCACAGTGCACGGACAGATCTGTAGCTAGATATGCGTGCGTGGCGCATCCTGTACAATGAGTTGGTGCGTCGAGGAATAGGGTCGAATCAAAGGGCTGCCGTGCATGCGCCAATCGTTGGCAGCACTGCCGCGGTGCCATGCTAGGCGGTGGCCGACGAGGGCAAGGGCCGTTTCGTAGAACCACGTATCGCGCTTGAGATAGTGGACGACCACGGTGCCGCCTACGGTGCCGTTCAAGTACCGGTCGCGGTGCAGCTGTTCCTCGTGCGCAAAGAGGCTGGGGCCCCATGCCTCGTTGATGCTGGGGCTCCGCGCCGAGGCGGAATGGTTCGCTGGCACCGCATACACCGGGAGACCCGTAGACGCGTCGTACGTGACGGCATCGTGCGGCCACGCCAGCGATACGTCGACCTTGGCGCCTAAGCGCTCGTCGTTCGACTTGAAGAGGAAGTCGTGCCGCGAAACGGCGCGCGGCGAGTCGGGATCGCGCGTTGTGCGGTACCACGAGTTGGCCCAGCGACCGCCGCCCTCTACGAGCGCCTCGACACTTTCTTCGATGGTCAGGTCGGGGCGCGGCGGAGTGTAGGGGGTATTCCAGTGCGTCGTAGTCGAGTAAGACAGTGCCTGGGATGGGCCGCCGCGGCGCGCGAGCTCCTTGGCGGACAGGCCATGCAGCGCCTCTGTCTTGATTTCAAAAACGTGGTCGGGAAATAAAAACCCATGTGCATACGGCGTCGGCGCGCGCGGGTGGTCGTATATCCAGCAGTGCTCAGAAAGCCAGTGCAGGTCGCGGTGCCGGGGATGAGTTTCGAGCCAGCGAGCCAGTTGTTCGTCTTCCTTGCGCGACGCCGAGGCAGCCACGATCGGTGAGTTGGCGAGGTACTGCACGAGGTCCTGCGAAAGCGCATACAGCTCTCCGCTCATGAACCAGTCGGCGACCTTGTAGCCCCAGTGCGTCATGGTGCGCGGCGCGGCACGCAGTCGGCGCTCGAGCTCGTCCAGCACAATGAAGGTGTCGTCGTCCGCTTTGAGCACGTAGTCGACCATCTTCCAGCGCACCTCGTAGCGCGTCCCATTCACGACGTAGGGGTGTGACTGCGAGTTGTGCGGCACGAGCACGGGGACCATGGCGTTCTCGGCTGCCCACCGGAAAAACTCGAAGGTTTTGCGGCTCCACTGCGTCTCCTTGGTGTCGAGCACGACAATATCGTTGTACATCTCCATCTCGAGCGCAATCCGTTCGGCATGCTCTTTGCGTGGACGCCCCAGGACAAATTTGACGAGCACGTTGCCGAGCGGCTGCCCCGTCTCGGGATGCCGCGGCGTCGTGAGCGACGCGTACGTATTTCGAATGACCTGCCGCCGCTCAAACTTTTCGTCGACGGTGATGACGCCCACGAGCAGGTTGACTGGCGCTAGATGTTCCACGTCGGCATTGACGAACCATGGCTCTTCGGCACAGTACTGGCGCCACGGCATGAGCGCCTTGTCCGGGTCCTCCATGTGACGCACCTCGGCGACGAGGGCGGTGAGTGCAAGCACAGCAATGCATGCGAGCAGCATAGCAACATAGGCGCTCGATAGGGGCGTGCGCAGCATCCTCATCGAGAGGTAGTGGAAGAGCGCCGCCATGCGCGCCGACCATGACATGCGCCCGTCCAGAAACGTCGGCCTACCTGTATCGGCGCGCACAAACTGTGCTGCAAACGACATGCCAGAGTCCAGCTCTACCGCAGGACGCATAGACAGAAAACCGTCATGGGAAGCCATGGACTCGCTGCGCGTTGTCACGCTCGTCCCGTACCTCTCCAGCTCTGCGGGCGGCATTGCCCCCCGGGACGATAGCTACTCGAGGACGCGCCCCGGGCAAGTCGAATACACAGATGGTATGTGCGCTGCTCCAATCCAGAGCCAGGAACACCACGCCGCAGATCTCGCGTGCGTCTTCCAGCGTGGGCGGTGCACACGCGGCGACAGCTCACGCTGCGACAGACTGGCCGACGAATCGCCGCGCGCAGCCAATCGACGCGCGCCAAGCGTCCTACGTACGTAAGCCGAAGTTCGCCGTCCGTGCACTCCGCCCGCGAAGACGTGTGTTGTTCTCCCTCATCATGGAGAACTTTGTGAATATGGGCCGCCAGTTCCTGCAGAACCAGCAGGGCGGCGGCGGAGATGCGCAGGGCAGCAACGGTGACGGTCTCAACATCAACAACATCGTCTCGCACGCGATGAATCATAACCAGCAGCAGGGCGGCGAGGGCCAGCAGCAGATCTTTGGCCAGGTCGCCAGCTTCCTTCAGCACAAGCAGAGCAATGGCCAGATCGACGAGAATGTGAGCGAGGGAGAACTGATGAATTCGTTCCGGAAGATCACGCAAGGCGGCCACGGCTCTTCTCAGGAAGTCGGCCAGGCCGCTGCGGTCGGCGCGTTCCAGCACCTGTTTGGCCAGGGCGGCAAGTCGTCTGGTGGCACCGATGCCCTTATTGGCAAGGCCCTCTCGCTTGTACAGCAGCATGGCGGCGATAGCGATGCCATGCACCACGCAAGTGAAACTGTCATGAAGCTTGTCATGAAGCACAAGATGCAGAGCATGCTCGGCGGCGGTGGCGGCGGCAACCTCAGCGGACTCATGTCCCTTCTCTCGTAAGATGTAGTATTCGAAAGCCTATCTATAAGGTGGCGGATTGGCGGGGCGTAGTGCGGTAGGGACCGTCCCCGAAGCGCTAGGCGGGAGCGGCGGCAGGGGAGCTGCCTGCGCACCCTGCGACAGTCGCGGAGAAGGCACAGCCTGCACACCGTGCGGCGGTGGCGGCATGGGCGTCATGTCAGGTGCAGTCGGCATGGAACGCCGCGGCGGCGGGGGCGCCACGTCGCTGTTGATCGAGGGGCGCACCGAGGGCGCCGGAGGTGGCGGCACACCACGCCCACCCTCCGACGGATCTTCTGGTGCGTCGTTGAGCATCACATTTGAGGCGACCGTCGACATTGTGAGGACTAGTCCGGGCCATGGCGAGAATGTCGTAGTCACAGCGCCCATCTCGGTCGAGGGGCCCGCCGGTGCACAGTCCTGGATGTGCTGCGACGGCATGCAAGCGACGCTCGCAGCCGCAGGATTGTCGCTCAGGAGCGACAGCTGAGAGAGACCTTGAGTCTCCGTGGCCAGGGATCTCGATGGCACTTCGGATACGCTACCCGGCGTGCTGAATTGTTGGCGCTCGCGGCGCAGCTCTGCCTCAAGCTCCTTCTGGGCCTGGCGCTGTGTGCGCTGGGCCGCTGCTTCCTGCTCCTGCCTCTTCGCCCACTTGTCCCAATTCTCACCAGCTGTCGTAAAACTGCTTCGAAGTCCCTGCTGCGCAGACTTGGACGAGGTGGCGACCCACCGCTGTGCGGCAGCCTGGCGCTCGGGGTCCGTAACGGCGTCGGCGATTTTGGCCTGTGATAGACTGACAATCTCAACAATGGCAGAGCGCTGCTGATCTGTGAGCATGGGTCCCGCTGCGGCCGTCAGTGCTGTTTCCACAATGGTGGGCAACACGGACGTGTCCTTGAGCACCTCGCGCGTCCACTTGTTCTTCCCTTTGACCTCCTTCGCCGCATCTTTCTTGACAACTGCGTTGGGTGCTGGCGCGGCGGGTGGGGGGGGCGGCGCCCGCACCTGCGCTGTGGCGAGGAGCGCCTGCAGCTGGCGACACAGCAGCGGGTCTAGTGCCTCCGTAGCAGCGAGATGGTCCACGTTCAGCCGCACCTGCTGCAACAGAAATTCTGCATGGGCCGTAGATGCACGACTCGCGTCCATCTGCGGCCGCCCAGGCGTCGAATGGGCGCCGTTGGGTAGCGGAGCTCCTGAGCCTCGTAGCATGTCGTTCGGACGCGCTGGGGCCACGAGCCGATATGTGTTATCACGTGCGAGTGAGGGGCCACGCCGGGCGGCGCGCCGCGTCCTTTCCGTTATTCGAGGCGATCGCTCGCTACGTCGGGCTTCGAAACGCGCCGCCATGGACGCCGTCGACGATGCACCCGGACTGGGTGTGCGCTTGAGGCAGTCGTTTGTGCGATGCCTCCAAGCATTTAAACGCATTGATTTGAATCCCGAGACCGCATTCAAGCGCAGACGCCCGCCACCCGCACCACGCCGCGTTTTGGTCAACCTGCCGCTTCCCGAAGAGGCCCTGGATGCTCGTGGACGTGTGCACAAATCGTATATATATCCGACAAACCAGGTGATTTCGGCCAAGTATACCATCTACAACTTTGTTTTCAAGAACCTACTCGAGCAGTTCCGCCGTGTAGCGAATATTTTTTTCTTGGTGCTTGTAATCTTGCAGTTCTTCCCGCAATTCACCACGATCAGCCCAGGTGTCGCTATGCTTCCACTGCTGATCGTGCTCTTTATTACCATGGTCAAAGACGGGTACGAGGACGTCAAGCGTCACCAGTCGGACCACGCTGTGAACCACCAGCGTGCGCGCGTACTCGCCGGTCAGGCATTCAAGAACCATAATAGGACTGAGCTCAAGTCACGCAGCCTGCAGATGGTCATGCAAACATGGAAGCGGTACCTGATCCCGGCGTCGATGCGGAAACGCTTTGGCCCGAAAAAGTCCGCTGTGCCGATCGACGAGATGAACGACCATTCGATACACGAGCCGATACCGCGTACTTTTTCGCCAAGACCCATGTCACCGCCGCTCATGTCACCCATTTTGGAGAACGACCCCGACGGGATCATGCCGTCGGAGCCGCTGCCTGGCGGGCACACGGATGCAGTGCGCCCCAGCCACTCACAAATGCGCCCAACAACGCCCCACTCTACCATCAGTGAGGCAGCGCGGCCGCGCACACCGCAGCCGCGGGACAGCTTCATGTCCGAGCGTAGCGGACATCATATGTCGCGCTTGCGTTGGAAGTCGCGCCACTGGGAGGACGTTCATGTGGGTGATATTGTCAAGCTTCATATCAACGACCCGGTTCCGGCAGACATGCTGATTTGTGCAACGAGCGAAGAGGACGGCAGCTGCTACGTCGAGACCAAGAACCTGGACGGTGAGATCAATTTGAAGAGCCGCTTTGCAGTGCCGGAACTGGCGGATATGCGCACAGAGGAGAGCTGTATTGAGCGTCAGTTTGATGTGCAAGTCGAGGCGCAGCACACGGACATGTACCATTTTAATGCGCGTGTAAATTTGCACGATTCGGTCGACGAGAATGGCGAGTCGGTGACATGTCCCGTAACGCTCAACCAGGTGCTGCTGCGTGGGTGCACCTTGCGCAACACGGACTGGGTGGTTGGTGTCGTGCTCATGACGGGTGTCGACTCGAAGATTGTGCTCAACTCGGGCGATACGCCAAGTAAGCGTAGCCGCATGGAGTTCCTTATGAACAAGATGGTGTATGTGAACTTGGCCATTATTGGTATTATGGCCGTCGTCTGTGCTATTGCCGACTCGCAGCTGGAGAAGCATTACTTTTCGCGCAACGCATACTGGGAATACTTGGCGACTCAAAATGACGACAATCCGAGCTTGAATGGACTCGTCGCATTTGCCAATTCGCTCATTACCTTCCAAAACATTGTCCCTATCGCTTTGTACATCTCGTTTGAGGTCGTGCGCACCATTCAGGCTCTGTTCATTTTTGAAGACCATGATATGTACTACGAGAAGAACAGCCGCCGCACGACGGCCAAGTCATGGAACTTGTCGGACGAGCTGGGCCAGATCGAGTACATTATCAGCGACAAAACCGGCACGCTCACTCAGAACCTCATGATTTTCCGCCAGTGTGCAATAGGCGGTAATGTGTACAAAGGTGGCGGCGAAGCGCCACGATTGAAGGAGGGCCGCCGTCACCTCACAGTACGCGCGTCCTTACCCGATGTGCCGTCGTATTACGACGACGACTTAACCCAACACATCCACGACACCACATTACCGGACCACGAAATTATCAACGACTTTTTCCACTGCCTTTCGTTGTGCCACACAGTGCATGTTACGCACACTGACGAGAAGAACGTGATCCAGTACCGTGCCGAGTCACCTGATGAACAGGCGCTCGTCCAGACGGCAGCCGATAACGGCTATGTGTATTGTGGACGCCATATCAATACGGTCGAGCTGCAATTACCCAACTCGGAGCAGCGTGAGCGGTACGAAATTCTGCAAGTGCTTGAGTTCTCGTCCGCGCGTAAGCGCATGGCTGTTATTCTCAAGGCGCATGCCAATGGCAAGATTATCATGTACGCCAAGGGTGCCGATGCAATGATATACTCGCGCCTTGCAGCTGGCCAGGACGAGGCAATCCAGTCAACCGACAAGGCCCTAGAGCAGTTTGCGAGCCAGGGTCTGCGCACATTGTGCATGGCGAAGAAGGAGCTGGATTCCGCCTGGTACAAGGAATGGGCGCGTAAGTACCAACAGGCAGCCGTCTCGACGGAGAACCGTGAGGAGCAAATGGAAGTGCTGGCCAGCGAGATTGAGCAGGAATACATACTCCTAGGTGCTACGGCCATTGAGGACCGGCTCCAGGACGGTGTGCCGGAGACGATTGCGGATTTGAAGCGCGCGGGTATCAATATCTGGGTGGCTACCGGTGACAAGCTTGAGACGGCCATTGCCATTGGCTACAGCACGATGCTTTTGTCGCCTGACATGAACCTCGTCGTCGTCCGGGGTGGTGAATACGGCACGCCGAACTCTGCCTATGCTCAGCTAGAGCATGCGCTGGAACGCTTCTTTGGCGGTGTTGATGAGTCGGCGATGACGCACCCACCGCCGCCGGTGACGACGGATGCAGCTGACCCAGGGAACCGTACCATGAAGAGCATCACCTCGCTTGTGGGACAGGACAATGGTACGCGCCCTGGCGGCTATGCGCTGGTCATTGACGGGCATGCCCTGGGCTACGCGCTCGAAGAGCCACACAGCCGCGAGTTACTGCTAATGGTGGCCCAGCACTGCCGAGCTGTGGTGTGCTGTCGGGTTAGTCCGCTGCAAAAGGCGCTGATTGTAAACCTGGTGCGCGATGGGCTCAAGGGTCTCACGCTGGCCATTGGTGATGGTGCGAACGACGTGTCGATGATTCAAGCGGCACATGTCGGTGTCGGTGTGGCCGGTGAAGAGGGTCTGCAGGCGGTCAACTCGTCGGACTATGCTATCGGCCAATTCCGCTTCCTGAAACGCCTGCTGTTGGTGCATGGTCACTGGTCGTACTACCGCAACAGCAAGATGGTCAATGTATTCTTCTACAAGCAGATGGTGCACACGGGCACACTGTTCTGGTTCCAGATCTACTGTGCGTGGTCGACGTCTCAAGCTATCGATTATGTGTACTTGCTGCTGTATAACGCCATTTGGACCGTCTCAGCTGTTGTTGGCATTGGTATCTTTGACCGCAATTTGTCTGACCACGTGTTGATGCAGGTGCCTGAGCTGTACAAGAGCTCTCGCGAAGGACGGTACTTTAGCATGTGGAAGTTCACGGTGTACATGGCGGATGGTGTGGTACAGTCGGTGATATTGTTCTTCTTTGTCATGTACTACTATGACACAACGACGCCGCGCCAGGACGGATACGATATTGACCTCTATGAGCCTACCTCGGGCATGGTGCTCGCCACAGTGTTGGCAGCCAACCTGTATGCGGGTATTGAGTCTCTTTCGTGGACGTGGTGGATCTTTGGTGTCGTGTGGATTCCGACACTGTTGATGTTTGTGTTCGAGCCGATTTATGCGGCTTTCCCGCCGGACACGATCTGGACATACTCGTGGGGCAACAACTACTTGCTGTACCGCTCTGCCCAGTTCTGGCTTATGGGCATTATCACTGTGTTTCTGTCGCTCCTTCCACGTCTTTTGTATGAATACCTCCGCCTCCTTTTCTTCCCCACTGACGTGGATATCATGCGGTATATCGACACACGTGAGCCGTCGCACGACTACAAGAATGACCCACGCATGCCTGGTCTACGGACAGCGCACGCGTATGATGCGGAACCGGAGGCCGATATCTCGCGCGGCCCGATGAATGATACCTACCCATTGATGCCGACGTCCAGCCGCACGAGCAGCATCTACTATGATATGAACACAGGCCAGCAGTCGCTTTACCGAGGTTACTCGTTCTCGGCCTCCGATGCACCCACGGCACGGCCGCGTGGCATGGTGCGACGCCTCAAGCGCTTGCTTCGTCCGCGGCGCCACCACGAGTCAGAGCAGGATATGCCGTACATGCGTGCGCGCGACAGTGCGATGGCAGTTCCGTTGTCCAGCGGCCCAGATACAGAGGTTGAGACCGAGGAACTGAAGCGCGAGTCATTTGTTGATGAGTCTGTGATACCGGATCAGACCCACGACTCGGACCATTCCCGCTACGAGACGGCTGCGGCGGCACCCGTTACTTCACTGCCCGAGCGCACTCAAGACACGCGCATTGAGCCGCCCTTGTTTATGCCTAATTCCTCGTCGCATCCCACTGTATCGGACGCATTTTTCACTGCCCTGGACCACCAGAACAACGTTTCGTCCAATTCAGGACGCGCTTTGTAGTTATCAATAGTTTGCTTGACCATGCGTTTATATAACACGTGATGCTAGTGCGCTGCGCACAGACACTTTGCCACCATGTGGCGCTGGCTCCGTTCGCTGCTTTTCCAGCCAAGCACGGAAGAGAGCAACCTTGGCTCATCGTCGTCATCCGAAGACAGTGTACCTGTGCGCCCGAGGCGTGCGTGGCATGCCTTTCAGAGTGACGGATCTCTGCAAGAAACCCTGTTAAACCCACCAGCTCCGCCCGTGCCCCAGGGCTGGGATGACCCAGAAAAGCGCTCTCTGCGAGTAGAGGCACAGCAAGAACGTCATGCAGAAATTCAGAGGTTATTGGCTCACCAAGGACTGCCGCCCGAGCTAATCCAATACATTTGTCTCGATGCGAACGAGGGTCTCTTGTGCAGAGTGTCGCGTGATGATCTCGTCATGTACACGGACAATGCGAACTCGGTATACTTGACGACGCCTCCCCTCTCCTCCAGTTTGGTGCGGGATTTTGTGCTGGAAGTGACCGTCGATACATGGAGCCATGATCAAGGATGGAGCAGCGATCCGAACCGCCAAAGGCTCGGGACGTATCAAGGAAGCTATACATGGTGGGAGCTTACGCTCGACCGGCCAATCGCACCGCACACAGAAGACTCAGACGATGCGCCATCGTCGCAGACGGAGGAAGTCCATCGGATCCACGTGTGCCATAATATTCATGCTTCCCGTGAATTCAAGCATCATACCCTCACACTGCACCGTGATCACCCACTGCTGCGCGGCATCCAACAGGGTGATCGCCTAAGCTTATGGGCACGTACGCAGTACCCCGGATGGACAAACATTGTACGCTCGGCCCAGATCCACGTACGCTTCTGCTGGTCGTAACTATGGTGTCGCGCGAATAAGAATGGGCAGAAACGCTCAACGTTAGACGTGCACGGGCCAACATACCCCCTACCACAGGCTCAATGTCGTGGTGCGATGTGATTTCAAAGATCCGGTGCATGACACCCCCATGACACGTAAGGCTGAATACTTGGGTAAGCCGTAGTGATATGCGTACCCGTGGCTTCCTTCGCCTCATGTTGCCAGATATCTTCGAGAGCATGGTGGATCCGCGTCCGCATAGCATCGTCAGTCTCGCGGTTCGGCTATCATGAGTCGATGCGACATACCGTCCACAAGTGATCATGTTCGGTGAAAGTATCATCGAACACGATGGTAAATACATCCTGCTGGACACACTCTAGAATCTCTGACTTGGTGCTTCGCTGATCGCAAGTGTTCTTGCCGATCACTTCCCGCAGATGCTCGCGCACATGCACGGGCTGGGGCGGACGCTGGGGTAAGAGCCCGCGCCATGTAAGGAACAGCGTGTGGAGACTGCGCCGCAGCGGGCTCGAGCACAGCACCTGCGGTAGCGGCGGGATCATGGCAGGATCCGGCACCCGCTCGGGCGCTCGTCCCTGCGCATCCGGCTGCCTTAGAGCGGTCCGCCAGGCTTTGTGGACGTCGCGCGCTTGGGCCTGGCCCAAGCACGTGAGGTCCGGATCAGGACCCCATACCAATTCGCCGTCGGTCGTGCGCCGGGCCCAGTAGCGCTCCCATGCCTCCTTACCGTACTACGGTGAGTACGCGATTCCTACCTTGAGTTCTGCGAGGTCTGTGTGAGAGTTTGTTACGTACTGTGAACGCCTTGGCCGTGCCTCGCAAGGTATAGAAGCTTGTAGGAGACGCCTTCGTCCTGCGCATTCAGCCCTCGGGTTAGCGGAGGTCACGCACGTTGTAGGTCTGCCCGCACATCGTCCCAGGTCATGCCGGGCCGAAGACCCAAATTAGGTTCGATGCGTTGCATATGTGACTTGGTGGGATCATCGTGAACAAAGTACGGGACCGCCTGCTATCAGGGCTGTGACCGTACCTTAAAGCGCATAGCAAAAGGCCAAGAGCGATAGACAGGAACCTATTATATATAAATGCGCACAACTAATCTATGCACTTAAAAGCCACGCTCCTTCGCGGTCAGGTTGAAGATGGTGTTCAGCTGGATATTGCTGGTACCCTCATAGATGGCACCAATCTTGCTGTCACGCCAGTATTTCTCAACACCCTGCTCGCGGGTGAAGCCCTGGCCACCGAGCCACTCAATAGCCTTGCCAGCAGCACGTTCAGCCACCTGGCTCGAGATGAGCTTAGCCATAGCCGCCTGCTTGGTGAAAGGACGGCCCTCCTCCTTCAAACGCGCAGCGTTGTACACCATCAGGCGGGCGGCCTCGATCTCTGCGGCGATCTGGCCCATTTGGAACTGCATGCCCTGGAACTTAGCAATCGGCTGGCCGAACTGCTGGCGCTCGAAGGTGTAGGCCATGGCCTTGTCGAAGGCCCCCTGGGCGAGACCAACCATCTGGGCACCAATACCCACACGGCCCTCGTTGAGGATCTCGATGGCAATCTTGTAGCCCTTGCCCTCTTCGCCGATGAGGTTCTCAACAGGCACCTTGACGTCGTCGAAGTTGACCGTGCAAGTGCTCGAGGCACGGATACCCAGCTTGCTTTCCTTCTTGGCGATCTCAACGCCCATCTCCTTCTCAACGGCAAAGGCCGAAATACCTTTGTATCCCTTTGCAGGGTCACCCTGGGCGAACACAATAAAGAAATCAGCCTCACCACTGTTGGTGATCCACATCTTCGAACCGTTAATGATATAGTGCTGGCCATCCTCCGACTTCTTCACAGAGGTTCGCATAGCAAATGCATCCGAACCCGAACCGGGCTCCGACAGGCAGAAAGAGCCGAGCTTGTCTGCAGACAGCGACGGCATATACTTCTTTTGCAGGTGCTCGTTGGCGTACTTACGCAGCACCGTGTTCACGAGAGTGTTGTGCACATCACACAGCACTGACACCGAGGGGTCGACCTTGGCAAGCTCCTCAATCACAAGGATGGCAGAGAGGAAGCCGCTGCCAGCACCACCCAGTTCAGGGTCGGTCTCAATGGCCATGAGACCCTGCTCGAACAGACCCTTGATGATCTTGGGGTCCATCTTCTCCTTCTCGTCCATCTCAGCAACAAGGGGCTGCACCTCGGTCTCAGCAAAACGGCGCACAGCCTCACGAAGCATCTCCTCTTCCTCAGTCAGCTTGTACAGCGAGTTGGGACCGAAAGGGTTCTCGAATTCGTCGGCACGCAGCGACGACGAAGAGAAGGCGCGAGCAGCCGGCGCCGCGGTACGAGACACTTGAGGCACACGAACTGCACCAATGGTACGGGCAGGGATAGCACTGCGCGCCATAGAGCGCAGAGAAGTAGACGAGCGAGCAAGCATGCGCAAAGACATGGTAGGCAGTGAGTAGCAGGTTGGGGGTCTTCCCCCACGCCAGTGCAACGCATAAATCCTCGAGCATCAGAAGATTGCCGACGAACGGCTGGTATATCCTATTGAGCCGGAGGTTGCCGAATGTGGAGAATGCGGGCCCCCCGTGTGCGGATCGCTACACGCGCCGCCGCTGAATGAATTCTCGAACACGCGCATGTCCCTCTGCTGTGACAAAGAGCATGCGCTTGGCCTCGCTCTCCCATTGCAGTACGCCCAGACTTTTGGCGTAATCGCGTACCTGGAAATAGTCCTCCATCGAAGTGAAATCGGTATACAGGTTGCCTGGGGTCAGTACAGTACGACGCACCGTTGACCGCTGCAACGCGGTTCTTCTCGCGTTCCCATAGCCGGATTTGATCGGATACAGTGATAGGGAGAAGTGGGTCCTGAAATTAGGCGGTTATACGTACATTTTTGTACATTTGCGGGTGAGCATGGTGCGACATATAAGTGATAATCTGGTCGGCAGTGATGCCTTTGTTCAAGGCGGACTTGACGCTATGCCGCGTTAGCTGGCCTATGACCAGGTTCGGAAGCCGGCTTTTCAGCGTTACAAAGAGGTTCAAAATGGCAATTCGTAGCAGATTGGCTGGCATGAGTTACTGACACGTACAGGTATACGCATAGACGCGGTAGTTGGTCTCCAGGATCAAGTAACCTTGTTCTTCTTGATCATTTAAGCGGGAGAGAGAAGGGGAGGCCGTGCTCGTCAGAGTAGAAGCCAGCCGAGTTGGAAAGAAGTATTTCACGCTCTTGCTTGGTCGGTATACAAGGCCGTAATCACTTAGCTCCTCGAGCGTCTGCATTTGCGTCGTCGAAAGACCTTGTGTTTCATAGGCGCGTCCCAACTCCAGGCCACCGACAGTGAAGAAGAAGGACAGGATTTCTACAAGGTCCATGTTTCGTTCTTCAGCCATACTCAGGTAGTGCAGGAGCAGAGCCCACAGTTGCGAATTTACATCCTGCAACAGAAACTGGAAACCCAATGACGTGATGTTCAGGTCCTCTCCTGCGCTTCCACGCTGCATGAGACCCGCTCGCTGAAGTAGAAAGAGGACCGTATTCCTGGGACGCGAGGAGTGCTCACTTCCCACCATGAAATACAGGATGGTTTCCCACTGCGTCCGTGCATATTCATCCAAGAACTCAATGGGCACGGACTTGTGCTTGGAATCCGCGCATGGCTTCCCAAAGGATGCAGAGTCGCCACTTCCCGTGAGTGCACCGACCATTCCTCGTCGGAATACATCATTCATATAGACTTCCTCGTCCTTCACCATGAGGATTGATAGGCGCTGCATCTGCTCGAGCGGCTCCCTGTGTTCACTAAGGTTAGCAGTATGTACGCACTCTTCATTCTGGACTTTAAAGAACTTCATGCAGTTGCTCATGCTCAATGGGCGGTCAAGAAAGACCATATTCATGATAATCTGTCGCGCAACCATCGGTAACAAGCTGCACACAAGTGTCAGCGAGACGTACACACCGGAAAACCGCTAGACAGCTTGCTGGCTTTTCATAGAGTCGAATGAGAGTAGAACGTGGCTGCGCTTTCAAAAATGTTTCAATAGGCAGCTCCCCTGCACTCATGCTCGACAAGCGCGCGACGGCTTGCTCTTGCCGCGCCGTTGACAGAACAGGGACAGGTCGTGTATGGATCGGGCGATCGGGCCCCACTTAGTGGCTACAGAACTGAAATACAAATGATACGTCGTCGTGCAGAATTTCCGCACGCAGCAAGTCATCGTGAAGGTTCCCCAATTCGTTTTTGGAAACGTGATTCCACCTGAGAGTGAGAATGATGTACGTACGTGCTAGTGTCTCCATAGAGCATAGCTTGAGAGGGAATAACTTGCCTACCATCGCGGCACCTCTTACATTTATATGTGTCGTGCGTGTCAGAGACCGTATTTGACTTGTACTGGAAGAGTGCACGAAGTATTTCGCCAGAAAAATGCCTCTCTGCATCCAAGTCATCGTCAACGACACAGGAGGATAGAGACTGCTTGTGAGACTGGCGCTGCAAGATCTTTTCCTCAATCGAGCCTGTGGCCACAAATCGGTAGACAAAGCATGTCTTTTTCTGGCCATCTCGCCACACTCGAGCAAGCGCCTGTTGGTCCGAGGCAGGATTCCAATCTTTTGTTAGTCACAGTCACGTACCAGGATCGAATAAGACAAGTCGGTTGGCTCCAATCAAATTTAAGCCACAACCGCCTGCTTTCGAGCTAAGCAAGAACACAAACTCGGGCGCCTCTGGATCATTAAAACGGTCCACTAGCTTTTGGCGTTTGTTGATATTCATAGTTCCGTCCAGGCGAAAAAATCCCCAACGTCTGCTTCGGCAAAGTCGTTCGAACAGGTCTAAAGTTTGGGTATAATTACTGATCAGCACAATTTTGTCGTCAGTTGTAGTGCGAATAGAGGTCAAAAACCGCTCAAGAATTGCCATCTTCCCCGAGAGATGCACGGCCACGTTCCTCCTGTCTCCAGGTTTATAGCCCTCAGGGAAATACTCTTCGCTCCCTTCCAAATCCTCGGGGAGATTGAGAAGGTCAGGATGATTGCATAGTTTCTTCAAGATGCCAATGGCCTTTAGCGGTTGCGACACGGCACCCTTTAGCATCTTTTGGATGGCGGGTGCTTTTAAAAAGAGATGATATAAATCCAGCTGAAAAGGCGACAGATTGCAGAATACCACATGCTCGTACTTGAGGGGTAGATATTTGGACAGGATATCGTTCGTGCGTCGAATAATGAACTGGCTCACAATACCGGAAAGCTCCTGTAGCTTTTCCCTGCCGATTTGCTTTTCCTTGTCGGTAGCTTCCGCATCTCTTCCACGAAGGATATCAATTTCAAAGCGCTTACGGAACTCATTCCGGTTACCAAGAATATCAGGTATTGCGAAATTGATGAGCGAAAAGTATTCTGAGAGATCGTTCTGAATAGGCGTACCCGACAAAATCACCCTCCGCTGCACTTTCAATTGGTCTAAGGATTGAAAAGTGAGAGAGTCGGCGTTTTTTAACCGGTGGCCTTCGTCACACAGCATCAAGCCAATTTCTGTATTGCCAAGAAGCTCTTGAAGATTGCGGAGAGTCTCATATGAGACAATCATTACAGGTTGGACAATAGCTCTTCCTTTCGCTTCTGCCCAGCGGTTCACAGCTTGAAACATTTCTTCTCGGCCCATTTTACCATCGAGAGCGAGGGAGCCAGGGGCTGAGGTTCCTAGCCACTTAACAAGTTCATTAGCCCAGTTCCGAACTAGACTGGAGGGACATACCACAATCGCTTTGTCAATGGTACCCTTTCCTGCCCGTGGAGATTGGCGCAGAAGCGTCCACATGAGTGTGATACACTGGAGTGTCTTGCCAAGACCCATTTCGTCAGCCATAATACATCCGTGCGCATTCTCTGAAACCATTCCAGTGGTGCATCGGTATAAAAACTTGACACCTTCGACTTGATGTGGACGCAGTATACGGCCTAGACGTGGATCAATTACCACCGGCACCTTCTCTTCAATTACTAGCTTGGGTTTATCTAACCCCAGAATGCGCGCTAAACTTTTATGTGGGCCTCGGTCGAGTACCTTTCTTTGCTCTTCAAAGGCAGTTCGGAGACGCTCTCGCTCTTGTTCCGCATCTTTGTCATCAACTGTAGGATCAAACAGCACAATGGCATGCTCGCTCATCGGATCGTACAAAGGCCGAGGAGGCACTTCAATAGGCTTGCGCACACCAAGAGCCGCGTGCGTTAAGCGATTTTCAATAAATTCTCCTCGCTCATTTTTCATGCTTGGAATAGTGAATTTGCTCTTGATAGCATCTGGCTTTGCTTGGTACACGGCCCATTTGCGGCGATCTGCGTTGAGAGAGACGCCAGACGCGTCGATCCCCTTATAAACACCTTCCAAGCTGTTCTTCTTTTTGGGCATTTCCTTTTCTTCCTTGTAAGCTTCATCATTTTCGCTGGCCCCCTCTAGCCCCGCGTAATTGACTCGCGGTCGCTTGCGCAAGGATTGAGGCGCATTGGTTTGCTTCAATGGTGGCCTGAATGGCTTCTGGTCTGTAAGGATTCCATATCCGCCTCCTGTGGCCAATTGTCGAAGTGGTTCATGGTACGAACGCTGCTCTTCGTTATTCTGCCAGTCGTGCAACACAGCCGCCACCGCGCTCCTGCGCATCGCGAGTGACACAGACGCGTACTGCTTACGCAGCCATATGTGGCGCGTCGCTCACGTGAGTCGGACCACAAGTGCGCACAGGGCACGTAACTCCTTCGCCACTCAAAGAACATGCGAATTCACAGCGGCTTTGTTGCAGCTTTGGGGCTGCTCAGCTACGTCAGAGCAGCCACTTGGATGCTGTCGGATACTGTTCAGGGCGACGACTATTACGATAAATTCAACTTTTTCTCGGGAAATGATTTGCAGCTTACACAAGGCCTCGTCAACTACGTGGATCTTCAAACAGCGAAAGATATGAATCTAACTTACGTGGATGGCAACAACTTTGTTATGCGTGTCGACACGACAAAGGAGCAGCCACAGGGACGCCCAAGTGTGCGAATTGAGTCGAAGAAAACTTACGGTGACTCGGTGATTGTCCTTCAAGTATCCCATGTGCCGACGGGCTGTGCTGTTTGGCCCGCATTTTGGACCGTAACGCGGAATCAACAAGCTTGGCCAGCGGGTGGTGAAATTGATATTATCGAGAATGTCAATGATCAGTATCAGTATAATCAGGGATCGGTACATGTTGAGGTATGTGGTAAGTAACTGACGTCAGGGAGACTGTGCGATCACTAAACCAGATCAGTCAGGCACGACAGTCTTCAGTCAGTGCAATGCGAGCGCAAACGAAAACTCAGGCTGTCGAATTGCTATGAATGGAACCAAAACCGACACTGGAGGAGTGGCTCTGAACCAAAACGGTGGGGGTGTAGTTGCTCTGCAGCGCGACTTTTCTGAAGGCGGCCAAGGCATTCGTATGTGGTTCTGGAGTCCAGACTCAGTGCCGAGTGACCTGAAAAACCCAGGTGAAAGTGTCGATCCTTCCCGCTGGGGCAGGCCTGCTGCCGACTTTGGCCTGTCGCAATGCTCTGACAAATTTGACGACCATGTCATTGTTTTTGACATAACACTGTGTGGCAGTTGGGCAGGGACTGCAGTAAGTACAGTTGTTTTTTAACACTAAGTATGACCAATCCTCTTGCGCGTCCAAGTATCCTGGTTGCGGCGCCCAGGTAGGACAAAATGGTGATTCGGTACGTTACCTCATACTCATCTATCAGTTTAATGAGGCGTATTGGGAAGTGCAAAGTTTGTTCATTTATACTTCGAGCGCTTTTAAAGTGGGTGTCATCAGCAATTTGGTCGGTGCTTTTGCTGTGATGTTGGTAGTTCTTCTGGTCGGACTTTGGTAGACGTGGAAAAGCTGGCTACGATCTGCGTCATGTGGAGAAAGTGCCCTATTTTCCTTCCGGTTTCACTTACTAGTGATGACGACCTCGTTCGACCGGCGACGAGTCAATGGACCTGATGAAACGTTCCAACCCATCTACAACATATCTCTCAGCAATTCCAATGGGGAAAGACCTCTATGGAATCTGAATGAGTATTCCCTTCTTCAAGATCCCTGCGCCATGCCCACGCAAAGCTTGACCTTACATACCCAGGTGACAGGGCCTGATGGACTAAATGTAATGCGCATTGCTCAGAAGAATTTCAACAAACGTATTGATAGGAGAGATGCTCACGACTCGAGGCCCATATGTACGTTACTGCATATTCACTCCAGATATTCAGCCTGGCATTATTCCGAGTGCAAGCGGTAGCGCTCTTCTGGAATCTGGCAACACAAAGATTCTCTGCTCTGTGTATGTCTTCTATGTCTTACCACAGCCATGGGCCTCGTCAAGTTCGTGGACGGCAATATGCTGGCAAGGCCGAACTCAACGTGCTCTTTCAGCTTGCTCCCTTCTGTAATACGGAGCGCATGAAGCCAGGTAAAGAAACTGAACTTCCAGGGCCTGCTTCTCTTGTTCAGCAAGCTCTTCTCCCAGCGCTGCGCTTGGAGCTCCTTCCCAAGTCTTCAATTGATGTCCACATTACGGTACTCGATTCGGACACATCGACTTTGGGTCTCGTTGCCATGGGTGTATCGGCAGCCAGTACGGCCCTAGCACAAGCGGGTATTGAGATGTTGGGAATGGTCATGGGTTCTTCTGCTGTACGTATCTCAATAAGCCTAACGACAGAGCGCGGCAGTCACTTTGCCGGAGCAAGGCATGTCTGAGCAGAGATGGCTGGTAGACCCTGCCTTACATGAAGCTGCACATGCGAACGCTCATTTCATGATATGTACTATACCTGCACTGGCTCGTACTACATGCTACGTCCTCGACGGACCGATATTTGACATGAACCAAGTTAGGGTCATATCGGACATTCTAGTGGCCAGAGGCATCGAGATGCACGCTGCAGCTGCGCAGGCTCTATATAAATTAGTTTGATAAGCAAAACACACCCACACTAAGCTGCGAGCTAAACGTCCCGATTAAGTTCAGCATGAACACCGGATCGAGGAATAACATGAGCTCTGAGGAGGCTTCCCGTTTGGCACTGAAGGTAGCTATTCGGCATCGAAGCCAGATGCCCGAACACATGCATAAATACTGGCGTTTTCGCGAGTCACTCTTTAGTCGCTTTAACGAGGGAATTCTAATGGACGAAGAGTCATGGTATTCTGTTACCCCCGAGGCGCTTGCGTATCGAATTGCCGTTGAATGCAAATGCAAAGTTGCCATGGATGCCTTTTGTGGTTCCGGGGGGAATATCATCCAATTTGCTATGACTTGTGATCATGGTACGTGAGACTCACTCTCTTACCTAGTGATCGGTCTAGATATTGACCCAGTGAAGCTTGAAATGGCCAAACACAATGGTAGGCATTATTTTCTAACAAAAAGCGGCCATATATGGGGTTAAGGACAAAATCACGTTCCTCTGTGGTGACTACCAGGAATTTGCTAGAGATGCTGATCCCAAAGCTCGTGCGGAAGGTCACATCGTACCCGATGAAAAATGGGAAGGATGGCACAAGAAAAAAATTGATGTGTACGTATAGTATACTGACCATGTTACAGAATTTTCATGGTATGCCAATTCGACTAACCTAGTCACCTCCATGGGGAGGCGTTGATTATATGACTCCTTCTAAGATCGGTTCTGAAGCGGTACCTCACCCGAAATACTACAATGCATACCCTCTTTCCGCCTTACGCCCTTGTGGTGGATTTACCTTATTTGATATTTCTATGAAAATTTCCAACAAGGTAGTGATGTTCCTACCAAGGAATACGGACCTAGACCAAATCTCACAAGTCGTATCAAGAGACAAGTCAACAAAGTACACAGCTCATGTGGAAGAAATGTGGATGGGCACCAAACTGAAAGCATTATGCGTCTACTTCGCCAAGGAGCAGCCAAACATTGAGGGCAGTGGTGAATCTGAGGAATAAATTAGTCAGCAACCTCGGGATTTCCTCAGCCAGGCGCCGGGCTAAAGATGCTGTAGTATAGCCATTGTTGGTTCTTGCTGACAACCATATACCTTTCAATCTAGCTGCTCAAAGGCATTTGTAGCTTCACAAGTTAACATGGTATGTTGGATTTTTTTCGGTTATGTTTGGATGGTCTCGTTGGAATCCTTTTTGCAATGAGTCTATGCCGCACGACCTGTAATCCCCTACGAGCAGGCTGACTTCCGCAGGACTTTTTCTTCTGTATTCCGCTTGTATTCGGATGCCCTAACAAGGTACACCAAGAAGGCGATGGAACCCCTTACGTCTGCCCTCGTTGCCACAACGCCCAAGTGGTAGAGGCGAAGAGCCGGACCTGGTTCGAGCTTTGCTGGATTCCTTTGGTGAGTAATGGTGCATGATCGGTTTGCTTATACTACAGATCCCTTTTTCCTCTAAACACATTTGGCTCTGTGGTATTTGCCAGTGGCAAATGCCTCGTGACGGCGGATTCCAGCCACAACCTGCGGGTTCCATGCCTCAAAAGTTTTAAAGCAACAGACCTCATCTTCGTATTGATGCACAAATTATCCAATATCATGCTTTCTATGTACAGATCGATATTGGATCTCTGACTCCGTTGCGGGATCATTGGTAGAGTTTTATTTTTGCCACTACAACTGGCCAGTGCATGCTTTGCACTAGAACACTTTATTGGATACTAGGAAAAAGAAAGATGGCGATATAGCTTGTATTAATACAGAAAGGCTGCGCAAGAAGACTGGCTCAGTGACTATACTGAAAGTGGCGGAAAAAGTTGTTACCCACGTCACTGACAAATGTCTTGACCACGTGAGCGGCGCCACATCGCAGCCCAGGCCTGGATACTTTCCTGTTATCCCCAGAATCATCGCTCCTTGAGATCGTCTGGGTTTGACCCGCCACACGTACTGGCGTTCCCACTAGAAAGCGATCTATCATGGTGCGTAAGACAGTGCTGATGCCAGTCTACTCCATCTAAGCGACGATTGATTCGCGACTTCAAAAGGCTCTCCTCGGATCCCCCGGGTGGCATTTCTGGAGCTCCTTGTGCCGATAACCTTCTTGTTTGGAACGCGGTGATATTCGGACCTTGTATGTGCAAATAAGAATTTAACGACAGCCGATACGCCTTTTGAAGACGGCACATTTAAGCTTCTTCTTACATTTGACGAATCATACCCCAACAAACCCCCTACAGTAAAGTTTTTAAGCAAGATGTTCCATCCAAATGTGTATGCGAATGGCGAACTATGCCTGGATATTCTTCAAAATCGATGGAGTCCCACATACGATGTGGCAGCCATTCTCACCAGCATTCAGAGCTTATTACATGATCCCAATCCTAATAGGTGAGTACATGAAGACTCACTGCTAGCCCTGCCAATGCGGAAGCCGCTTCGTTGTACCGCGAAAACATGAAAGAATACATCCGAAGAGTGAAGCTCACTGTGGAGCAAAGTTGGATCGACGAAACCGAAGAGGCGGAGGCTACTAAGGAATAGAAAATGCCCATATTCTATAGGAAAAGAACTATGAATCCTACTGTCTCTACGAAATGGCGATGCTCTCGTTGGCATTTTGTGGGGAAAGGCTGTTGGACTGCCGTGTTCAGAGGTTGTCAGCCAGTCGGAGATATTGATTACATGAGCAATGCGCCGAGCAATCTGCTCATAACGGCCGAGAACGCGTTCTACCACGTTGTCTAAATGCCGTTAGAATCGGATCCAGACATCAGAGACCCCGTGTCTGGCTTTGCCGAACTGCTTCGAGATACCTTTAGGATCATACCAGGGTACAATATTATTACCCGGTATATTGCAAGCAGTTACCAGAACGATCCAATCCGGTCTTTTCTGGAGCTTGTCTTGTTCATCTTTGCTGTGCGGACGATCCTCCAAAACCGATCACGAAGCAGTTGGAGAGCCTCCAATTTCGTCCAGTTGACTGAGAAGGTACTTGTACCTCTACTAATGTTTAGGAAATTGATTCCCTTGTCGACGAATTTGAACCCGAGCCGCTCTGCACTCTGTTGAGTGCGGAGGAACAAGAGACTCTAGATGGTTTACCAGTGATTGTGGGGCATGCAAGTGCGCGTCCTATGGTGACGGCGCCATGGATGACAGGCACGAAACCTCGTCAGGTGCTCAATCTTGCATCATTCAATTTTACAGGGCTGGTCGAGGCCCCAGAGCTCACGACCCAGGCCAAATTGCTCCTGCGCGAGTACGGTGTAGGCAGCTGTTCTCCGCCCGGTTTCTACGGCACAAGTGACATGCACATGAAAGTGGAAGAGAGCCTGGCGAACTTCTTGCGCAAGGAAGGCGCAATTGTGTACAGTCAAGGCTTCTCCACCATTAGCAGCGTCATTCCTGCGTTTTGCAAGCGTGGGGATGTGATTGTAGCAGATTCGGGCGTGAACTTTGCTATTCAAAAGGGACTGCAGCTTTCTCGCAGCAACGTATACTGGTACGACCACCAGGACATGAGATCCCTCGAAGCTCTTTTGAGCCATCTGAATAACGAGCAGGCCCGCTCTCGAAAGCCATTGACACGCCGTTTTATTGTGACTGAGGGCGTCTTTGAATCTGATGGAACCATCAGTGACCTACCTCGCATTGTTGAACTGAAAAACAAATTCAAGTTCCGGCTGCTTTTGGACGAATCGTATAGTGTCGGGACACTTGGCCGCACAGGCAGGGGCTTACCCGAATACTATGATTTGGACCCGGACCAAGTGGATATGGTTGTCGGAAACCTGGCTACGTCCTTCGCCACAGCAGGCGGCTTTTGTGCATCCACAACAGAAGTGGTGAAACACCAGCGCATCAATGGGTTGTCTTTCGTGTTTTCCGCAGCCATGCCGGTGATGATGGCCAACGGCACCACTGTGGCGCTGAACAAACTCTTGCACGAGCCGGGCCTCTTTCAGTCTCTTCAGAAAAATATCCGAATTCTTCGCAGCGTGCTAGACGCTGTCGACACGATCACTATCCCGAGCGACCCCGACAGTGCTCTCATTCATGTACAGATCCGCCCAAATGATCGTTACTCGTCGCGGGAGGAACAGAAGCGTCGTCTAGGGCTGATTGAGCGCCTTGCACTCAACCAGGGCGTTCTGCTGTGTCAGTCACCCCACATCGCCAGTATCCGACCTGAGCTGGATGAGGGACCATGGGCACGGCCGAGCCTTCGCATCGCTGCTACCAGTGTTCTGTCTGAGGCAGAGACGAAGCAAGCAGCAGACATCATACGAGCGAGCATCGTGAGTGTGTTGAACAGTTAGACAGTCTATGTAGAGGCTGAATACACCCCTGCGGCAAGACACAAGTTGCGCGGCGAGAAGTGCACACTGTGTGCTGGTGTATTTTTGGTGAAGTACGTTGCAACGCAGTCACTGCTCGCATCCGCTTCACCGCTGGGCGACTCCTGCGCCGTGCGCACATCCCAGCAGCGCACTGTGTTGTCGGCAGAGCCTGTGACCAGCACAGCACCATCCGCACTAAAGTCCATATCATGGATCGTCGATGTGTGTCCCCACATCTTCTTGATCCGCCGACCACTTGCGAGATCCCACAAGCTAACCGTGTAGGCATCAGCGGAGGACCGTCTCGTTTGACCAAACTTTATCGACGCATTTCCATCGCTGGCAGACGCCAAATACCGTCCATCTGAGCTGATGCGCAGACAGGAAATGGGCGACTGGTGCCCAACAAACAAACGCACGCACGCGCCCCGTTGCACGTCCCACAACCGGCACGAGCGGTCTGAAGAACCAGTGGCTAGGTATAGTGAGTTGGGATGGAATCGCAGACAGTCCACGTCCGACAAGTGTCCTGCGTAAATCCTCAGCGGGTTGATTCGCTCCACACTCCACAGCCGCGCCGTGCGATCCGCGCTTGCCGTTGCAAAGTAGGTGCCCAGGGGGCCCCATGTTACGTCCCACAACGGGTACTGGTGACCGCGGTAGGCCACGAGCGCCGCAAACGTATCGAGGCTCCAGAGCCGGGCTGTGCCATCCGCACTGCAGCTCAGCAGGTGCCGCGGGCTTGACCCACTACCGCCCACAGGATCGAAGTCGACGCCATACACAGGGGCACTGTGTCCAATCAACTTGCGTGACGTCATGGTGCCAGGGGCCCGGTGCTGCTGCAGCGTCTTTCGATCGCGGATAGACGATAAATTAAAGTCACTGCGCAGCTCGCGTACTGGCTCGCCCTTCAGACTCCACACTTGCACATAGCTTTCCTCGAACCCAGCCGCCATCAGCGTCAAGTCCGACGAAAACGTACTGCTCGTAAGACCATCCTCGGCATCAAAAAAGGTGTACATGCAGACGCTCGGGAGACCCACGGTGCGCGGGACACCATCCCAGCTGCTCGGCGGCTTGGCATCGGCGGCAGAGGCAGCCTGAGGTGCTAGTTTGGGATCAATGCGTAGACACTTGCGTGCGTCTCGCACACGCTCGACCTCGCGCAGCAGATCCACAGTACGGAACATGGACGGCTGGGGGGGCAGATCTGCCAAGGTCGGCCCCAACAGATCTGATGTTGGCTCCTGCTCCATATCCTCGGCCTCCTCGTGCTGCGGAGGCACAGAGGGATCGCGCGAGCTCGAGGCAGGCGATGATGCGTTGGTATCCTTGGTGTCGGTGGGGGTTGACGTGTCTTTCTCGGTAGGCTCGACTTTGGACTTGGCCTGCAATTGGGCCTGTTCATCGCGCAAAACATGGTCCACTTCGTCCTTCAAGTCCTCGGCCAGCGGGATGCGGGGATGTAGTTTTAATTGAGGTCCTGCTGCACGAGCATTAAAGTCAGCAATGGCATCCGACTCAGAGACCGCCGCCGCATGGACAAGCGGATGGTGTCGCGACACGGACAAGGGGCCATGTGATGCGAAGGAGGGGCCAGCGCCAGTAAGGCCTGTCCCTTCCTCGAGTTCCAAGGGGTCCAGCTGGAACATGGCCGAGCGTAGAACCTGGATGCGGCAGCGTTCGTTGATAATCTTCAACATGGCCTCGCGGCCGCGTCGAGATGGCTCTAGCATGCTGTCCACGAAGGAAGCGTGATCCATAGACGAGAATCCCACAGGACTTGTACCATCCGTGAGCCACCCGATCAAAAGACCAAACACATTAGGCGACATCTTCAGGACGTAGCGTTCCGTACGAAATTGCTGCGCTAGCTCATCCGTGTTTATGTGTGATGGGAGGCACAGCGAGCGTAGATGGGATAGCAAGCTTGCGTGCATGGGCTGAAAGAAGGAAGCGTGAGCATGAAAAAACTCAGTTGCCGCCATGCCCAGGCCCATATCCACCATATTTAGGTAGCTGTGCACAAAAAGCGGAAGCAACAGAGGTAACAACTCTGGCTGGTAAATGTCCAGACTGCCCGTGCACCACGACTTGATCATAGCGAACCCGCGTGCCGTGTCTGTTGGATCTAGCAACAGCGCCTGCGCACCAGCCTGCTCTAACGCCGAACCCGTGCCGGTATCCTGGGCATCCTTTTCCCTGGGATCCCTAGGAACGTTCTTATTGGCGAGCTCAGTCATACTGACGTCCAGGCTGCCTAACTGCGCGCTGGACGCCTCTGAAGCCTCTGCAGGGGTAGCGCCTTTGGAGGTGGCCTCCATTTCGGTCTGAAAAGCACTGAGTGCTTTGGCAAACCCATGCGAACGCAGATATTCCATGACAGACGACGACGACATATCTGTCGCCGAAGCGCTCTTGGGAGCGCTCTCCCGCTCGCTGGCCGTCATAGCTCGTCGCAGCTCACGAACGACGGTCGTAGGCCCATCGAGACCACGTCACGTGGCCCACACGTGGAGCGCCCTCCGCTGAGGAGGCCGAGCCAGCCACACTGAAAGTTCGTTAGTTCATTTCCGGGGTGTATAAGACTATGAACAATTTCTAGAACATCTCTTAGCTGCTGCTCATCTTCAGCTGGCCACCAGCCAGACCGCCGCTACCCGAGGTGCGGCGCGAGTTGGGGCGTGTGGCGCCAGGCGAGGCGGGCGCCGAGGTACCAGGCGGGCCGAGCTTGCCCATCTTCATACCCTCGTCCATGTTGTTAAGGATATCCATGTCGTCTTGGTCCAGCTCAAAGTCAAACAGCTGGGCGTTGGCCTCAATACGGTGCTTGGTGAGCGACTTCGGCAGAATAATGTTGCCAAGCTGCACACCCCAGCGCAGCAGAATCTGCGCAGGGGTCTTCCCATGCTTGGTAGCAATCGCGCGAATCTCCTCACGATCTAGCGCAGCGCCCTGCGCCATCGGAGAATACGCTTCAATGTGAATACCACGCTTCAAGGTTTCTTCACGCAGCTTCTCATGCGCAAAGAAGGGGTGCGACTCGATCTGGTTCACCGCCGGCTTGATGCGGGCGACCTTGAGGAGAGCATCCAGATGCTCCACGTCAAAGTTGGACACACCAATCGAGCGGACCTTGCCGGCCTCGACAGCCGCCTCCATCTGACGCCACGCGTCGAGGAACGATTCTTCACCGGGCTCGGGCGAGTGAATGAGGTATAAGTCCACGTAGGATAGCTGCAGCTTGCGAAGCGACTCATCAATAGCCGCCGTTGTATCTTTCTGGTCGTCATCCCAGAGCTTGGTAGTGATGAAAAACTCTTCACGGGGTACATTGTGGCTCGTCGACCACTCCTTGAGGGCACGGCCGACGGCCTCCTCATTGCGATACCGTGAGGCCGAATCGATGTGACGGTAGCCACAGTCGAATGCCCATTTCACGGCTTGTTCAGTAGTGCCATCGTTAGGCGCCTTGTAGACGCCCAGTGCGACCTGAGGGATGCTGTGGCCCGAATTGAGCTTCACTACCTGGGTGGAAATGTTGCCAGGGATGATCGGTTCTGCGCCCACGGGAATTTGTGCCATGATGTTGTAGAGAGGAAAGAATGGCCCGCTCGTCTGCGGGGATACTTCTTGCGGCCGTGTCCGCGGATCGGGATTTCATAATCCAGCATAGATGCACTACGTCATTGCGGATTGGATGATGTGAATTTCCCGATCACATGATTCTCCCCTCTTGTGGGGAGAACGAGATCTACGCCGCGCTCGTGACATGCGATCAGCGCGGTCGGAACAAAGAGATTGTTTGAGGGCTCGGGTATATACAGAGGCACGCCCGTAGATGCTACGCCATGGACGAACTTTGCAGTGCATTTAGCGATGACGAAGAGGAGTTGGAGGCCCAGCAGGCGATGGAGGAGTGGATAGACGAAGTGAATCGCTTGCTGGGTGGTGAGGCCAGGCGAGAGACGCCCCGGCGCAAGCCCAAGATGACCCAGCACAAGCACGGTCACAAACATATGATATCTAGTGTATCCCCTCTATCTTCCATTGCTGAAATGGATGCGCCAGGGCCAACCGGCGCAGTGGGTGCGCCCACCATGGCACAGTGGCTCACGCCAATGCGATCACCGCCGCGTCCGCCTAAGAAAGAGGACACTGAGTGCCGAAAGGCGTCGTCGGTGAGTGTTGAATGGAGCGAAATCCACTCGTCTGGCGCAAACAGTCCGCCTGCTGTCAAATGGCGCCGGTACTACCAGCCTCTCCCCTCTCCACCCACACCACCGACGGAGCCGCTGCCCGCGCGGCCCACGGCCGAGGAAGTGCCTTCGGATATTGAGTCACGGCCGGGTTCTCTCTTGCCTAGTTATCTAACATATTCAAGCCCCACACAACTTCCTGCGCATATACGACCCATTTCCGCGCATATGCCCACAGTCGTGTTCCGGCCGTCGACGGTGCAGTCTATGTCCTGCGAAATAGAGTCGACCCAAGTCGCTTAGTCAGCCAAGCTTCGCTTTGTAGTGTCCTCTTTTCTCGATCAGCATGTCGGCGGTCGCAGGGACCCAGCCATGGCATGTGGAATGGCAGCTCGTTCGAGGGTCGCTGCCTGAAGAGGGCGATACAACTTCACTTGCATACCAGGTGGCGACCGGCGAGTTGGAAAGCGTGCTGCGCTCTGCCGACGCTCGTCGCTTCTTGCAACCGGTGGCACAATGCATGCAGGCTGTGAACCCGCGTGTGCGTGCAGCGGAGCGTGCACAAGTGCTTTTACCCCTAGAGCATGTATCTCTCCATGTGGCAGGGCACGAGTGGGAGGCTCTATGTGTGGCCATAGCCGCGCTACATGCGTTTGTGCAGCTGAATTGGACTGGCCCTGACCTGGCAGTAAGCCCTATGGCGCTCCTACGCTCGGCGGCACCTGACTGCTTTGAGGCGCGCAGTGTCGATGACGACGATAGTGTGTGGGATGGGATTGTTCATGCCTCGAGCCTCGAGTACCTGACGCTGCATGGAGAGCCGGCGTACCACCTATGTGAGGCGCCCTTCTACCTTGTGCTATCGTTGCTCCTGCTGCAAGCGTTGCATGAAGCACATGTTGGAGATGCACTCCCGTCCCTGGCTTTATGGCGTCTGCGTGCGCGCGCCGTCCACATGCGCATCCTCGATGAGCCTGTGGCGTGTGAGGACAAGCTGCTCGCGCCGGTCGATGCCCTTGTCCAGGCGCTCGAGACGCATGCCCGGACGGCCTCGGACACCCGCGTGCAGTTTCTGTGGGACAATATCCGTGCACGCGCGATGCTTGAGACGGCACTCATGTACCAGCGTACGGGCCAGGACCGTCTGGCGTCTGAGCGCCTGGTCCAAGCTGCCAAGGCGAATGGGCTCGAGTACGAGCTGAGCGGTGCGCTGGGCAAGCGGACCAAGTGGCAAAAGGAGGCCAAGACGCAGCTTGTGCTGCTCGCCGAGTCGCGTGAGGCAGGTGCGGACAAGGCCGAGGACCACGATACCCCTGCGCCGAGCGCCGCGCTCGCGGCACTTGCGCAGCCAGAGAACTCGGGCTGGCAGGCGACGGTTGACCCAGCGAAGCAGGTGGACCACCAGCCGCTGACGTACTCGCTGAATGACGACACGCTTCTGGAGCAGACCGAGTTTACTTCGACGCAGGCGTCGGATCACACCGCCAGGCACCGTCTGGGCCACTTGGATCCTGGGCACCAGCCCCCGCTGGCCGTCACGGACCAGTGCACACTGCTAGCGCTGTGCCTGAATATCCACAACACGCAGGCGTCGCATGGGCTTACGTCGGAGCAAATGTCAGCGTTCGTGGAGCGCGTGATGGCGCATCCCCAGAATTGGAGTGTGCACACAATGAGTCTGCTCCTGCGCTCGCGTCTAGAGGCCACGCGTACGCGCACTGTTGAGCGCAGTGCACTGCAGCTGCAGGCGCTTGTGGATCAGATGCCCACAAACGACTCGAGTGTGCGGGAGCGTCTGCGCTTTTTCCATGCTTTGGAGCTGCCGGCCAAGTGGGCGATGCAGGCCGAGCTCGCGCGCCGCTTCCTGTCGATGGGCGTTCTGCGCAGCGCGCTGGAGGTATTTGAGCGCGTGGAAATGTGGGAAGAGGTCGTGCAGTGCCTCGGGCTGCTGGGCCGCCAGGAGGAGGGCAAGGAGGTGGTGCGCGATCTGCTTGCCGGACACAAGACCGAGGCACAGGCGCGCCTGCAGGAAAAGCGCATTGCAACCGAGGCGAGCCATGTGCCGCACACGCACTTCGTGCGGGGCCGCCTCGCCAAGCTGTGGTGCCTGCTGGGCGACATGGAGCCGGCGAACGCCGAGGCGCACTATCTACACGCGTGGGACGTGTCGAGCGGCACGTCATCGCGGGCAGCACGCTCGCTGGGCGGGTACCACTTTGCCCTCCGTGCGTATGCGCAATCGAGCATGTGGCTGCGGCGCGCCGTGCGCATCAATGCGCTGTACCCACGCACCTGGTTCATGCTGGGCTGCAGCTACATGCGCCTGGAGCGGTGGCTTGAAGCTGCAGCCTCGTTTCGCCAGTGCACGGCACTCGAGGAGGAGGACGGCGAGAGTTGGAACAACTTGGCGAGCTGCTACTTGCGCATGCAGGACGCGCAAGTTCCCCGTCTCGATACAGTGCTGAATGAGGACGAGGAGGACAGTCTCCATGCAGGCGCGAGCGACTCGGGCGTCTCGCTCGGGTCCGACGAGGCGTCCGAGCCAGTGGCAGCGCCTGGTACCGGCTTCGAACTCCGCCTGCTCGCACACAAGGCGCTGGGGATCGCGCTCAAGTTCCAGTTCGAGTCGTGGCGCGTGTGGACCAACTACATGGTGGTCTCGGTGGACGTGGGTCTGCTGCGCGAGGCGGCACGCGCACTGGCGCGTATTGTCGAGATCCGGACGCGCGAGTCTAGTCAGAGTGCGCAGCCCACGCAGACGGCTGCCTCGATCGTGGATATGGCCGTGCTGAACAGGCTGGTGGACGCGGTGATCCGCGCGCCGGCCGCCGAAGCGGATGCGTCAGGGTCTTCGGTGCGCCGTGCAAACGAGGGCGAAGGCCTGCGCCCCGTCGTGGAGCGCCTGTTTGTGGATACGCTGCTTCCCCGCTTCTCGTCCGAGCCGGCCTTGTGGCAGGCGTACGCGCGGCTCCTCTTTGCGCAAGGCGAGTTCCGCGCGATGCTCCATGCGCGCATACGGAGCTTCCAGTGTGGCCTGGGTAGTCCGGACGCATCGGAGGTCGTGACGGACCGCGCCCTGTGGATCCGTGCCAAAGACGAGCTGCAGGAGCTGTGTGATCTGCTGGAGAACCTCGCGACGCGCCCTGCATCGCCGAATTCGACGGAGGAAGCGCTCCCCGACTGGCGCTTCCGTGCGCGCACTCTCGTGCGCACTTTCATGGCGCGCACGCGCGATAGCTTCGACACGGACCCTGCGTGGGACGAGCTCGCGGAGCTCGCCGCGGCGCTGCAGCGCCGCTCGTAGATCGGCGCCCGATATAGTGGAGGCAACACCGCGCGCGCCTGGCCCTGGGCCTCGATTCGAGGGCGATGGCGTACGAGCAGGCCGTGCATGCTGGGACGCCGCCGCCCGTGCGTGTGCGTCCCGCCATGCAGGGCATTGAGCTCTCGCTCTCGGTGTCGCCGTCGTCGAGTACGGGCTCGGACATGCCCGACTTTGTGGATCTACAGGCCAGCGGTGTGTCGTCGCCGGCGCCGCTGGGCGAGCGCGTGCCGCTGGAAACCAACGCGAGTGCCCTGCCCGCCGACCTTCCGCACGAGATTCTGCTGCAGATCTTTGGATACTGCGCGGGAGAGCAGCAGGACCTGCTCTCGTGCCTCCTGGTGTGCCGCCGGTGGTGCGCGTGTGGTGTGCAGCTGCTATGGCTCCGCCCCTGCTTCCACCGGCTCTCCGCGCTGTTCAAGATGATCCATGTGATGATCCAGCCGGAGGCATCATTCCCGTATGCCCTATATATCCGGCGCCTCAACTTCAGCCTGCTCGCCGGCGACCTCGACGACCAGCTGTTTGGGCGCATGGCCGCGTGCCACCGCCTCGAGCGCCTCACGCTCTCGGGCTGCTGCCAGATCACCGACGACACACTCACACGCGTGCTGCAGCACACGCCGCACCTCGTCGCCGTCGACTTGAGCGGCGTCGTACAGCTGACCGACCGCACCCTGCACCAGCTCGCGGCTACGTGCCCGAAGCTGCAGGGCGTCAACCTGAGCGGGTGCGAGCTGGTGACGAGCGACGGCGTGATCGCCCTCGCGAACGCATGCCACTCGCTGCGCCGCATCAAGCTCGCGCACTGTGTGCGCCTCGATGGACGGGCGCTGCCGGCCCTGCTCAAGGCGTGCCCCATCCTCCTCGAAGTCGATCTCGCGGGGTGCGCCCGCATGAACGACACGACAGTGCGCGAGGTGTGGCTGCGCCCCTCGCTCCTGCGCGAGCTGCGCCTCGCGGGATGCACGGCCCTCACGGACCGTGCGTTTCCCACGCCCACGGCGCTGGCGGAGGCGCCGCCGCCCGCGCCCGCTGCGTTTCCGATCTGCGAGCACCTGCGCATGCTGGACCTGTCGACCTGCTCCTTTATCACGGACGAGACGGTGCGCGCCATCGTTGCACATGCGCCGCGCCTGCGATACCTCACGCTGGCCAAGTGCGAGCGCCTGACAGACGAGTCGGTGTATGCGATTGCCGAGCTGGGACGGCATTTGCAGCACCTGCACCTTGCACACTGTGCACACCTCACGGACCGCGCCATGGTCCACCTCGCGCAGCACTGCACGCGCATCCGGTACCTGGACCTGGCGTGCTGCGTGCAGCTCACCGACGAGAGTATCGCGGCCATCGCGACCCACCTGCCCAAGCTGCGGCGGATCGGCCTCGTGCGCCTCGTGCGCCTGACGGACCGCGCGGTGTATGCGCTCGTGGAGCGGCACACGAGCCTCGAGCGCATACACCTCTCGTACTGCGAACAGATCACGGTGCCTGCCATCTTCTGGCTCATGCTGCGCCTTCCGCGCCTCTCGCACCTGAGCCTTACGGGCGTGCCTGCCTTTCGGCGTCCGGACCTGCAGGGCATGTGCCGGGCGCCGCCCAAGGAATTCAACCAGCACCAGCGCCAGTCGTTTTGCGTGTACAGTGGCCGTGGCGTGCACGAACTGCGGCGCTTTCTGCAGCGGGCGTACGCGGACCCCGCCACGGCGATGCAGTACGGCGCACTGCCCTCAGATCGGCAGCGGATCTTCTACGAGAGTCTCCACCGTTACCTGCAGCCGCGCGAGTAGCTACGGGCCTATCTCGGGAAACAGCTCGGGCATCGTGGTCGGGTGGCCAATCCGCTCGGCCATCTGCTGCTGCTTCTCGCTCTGCGGCGCTGCCAGCGACTGCTTCCACGCGTCGACGGCGCGCGGCACCAGCGCCGGCGCATACGTCCGCGCAAAGAGCGCCGCCTCGGGGAACCGCTTCGCGGCGCCCAGCACGTCCACGACGCCCTCTGCGTCGCCCACCTGCGTGAGTGCGGCCACAGCGAGGTTCAGCGCGCCCTGGGCGCGCGCTGCCGCTGCGACCTGCCGCAGCAGCGCTGCGTCCTGCTGCGCTGTGGCTAGGAGGAATAGCGAGTGCATATCGTTCGCCCGCTCATAGCACGCCTGCGCGAGCGACACGTTCCAGCGCGCCAGCGCCTGGTCGCCAATCGTGCGCCAGCGCGCCTCGGCGCCGGACGGCGGGCCGCTCTGCGCCATTTCGAGCGCCAGCTCAAACTCGCCCAGCCGCACCGCCAGGTCGAAGCGGTGGTCCGCGTCCGTGGCGACCTGCAGCGCGCGTTCCGGCATGTCCTGCGCCTCGAGGAACTTTGCCACCCGTCCGCGCTGCAGCGGGGGGACCTGCGGCAGCAGCGCGTCTGCGCGCGCCATGTCGCCCTGCAGCACCGCTGCCTGGTACTCGACCACCGCCAGCGAGAGCGCGAAGCTGTACAGGTGCATGTCCTTGTCGGCCGCTATCACGCGGCTCACCGCAGGCAGGTAGCCTAGCACATACAGCGGGTGGTCGCACGGGCGGATCGTATACGTCTGCTCGCCAATCAGGTACTGCAGCCGGTTCGCCGAGTTCGTGTACAGGAAGCACTCGCCTGTCCACCGACCGTTGCGCACAGACTCGCTGATCTCGGCGACAACCTCAAAGGCGTCCTCGATGCCATCGTCGCCGAGCGACTCGCCGCTCGCGAGCGCCGCATCGAGCGCCGCGCGCTGGAAGCGCAACACGTAGAACGAGTCGGCGGTGATCACAGCCACCAGCTCGTTCGTGGTCGACCAGAGCACTTGGCGCGCCTCGACGTTGATGCGGCGCACGAGCGCCCCAGTCGCCCAGTCGTAGAAGCAGAGGAAGCCGACGCCCAGCACCGCCAGCAGCGCGCCGCCGGCAATGCCCTCGACCGCGTAGTTGACCAGCACAAGCCCGCTCTGCTCCTTGAAGTTTTTGAACACGCGCACCCGCGCGGACGAGTTGTCGCGCACTGCGTACGTGGTCGAGTCGGCCGCCCACGCAAAGCCGAGCGCCGAGCCAAACGCCTTGTTGCGCCATGCGAGCGCCGTGTAGATCGTGTACTCACCGTCGCCCAGCACGGTGACAAAGCGCCCGTTCGGCGAGTGCTCCAGCAGCTGGGGGAAGACCTCCGTCGTGCCGAGCTCGCGCGGCGCTATGCGCACCTGCTCGCCATCCACCAGCTCGCTCTCCGAGGCCGCGCCGAGGTTCGCGCTAAGGACCTCGGCATGGCGCGCATACACCACCTTGCCGCTCACGTCCATGCTCACGCACGGGTCCTCCTTGCCGAGCTTGACGACGACTGCGCCCTCATCGTAGCCGAGCGCAATGTCGTGGCTATGCTTCTTGTACGCAATACACCACACACGCTCCAGGCCATAGTCGAGCGTGGACTCGAGGCGGTAGGTGTTGGCATGCCACAGCTTCACCGAGCCGTCCTCCGAGCCGGAGATGAGCAGTGGCAGCGAGGGGTGGAACACGGCGAACGACACATTCGACGTGTGGCCCGAGAGCGTCTGCACGCACGACTTGCTCAGGTAGTCCCAGACGCGCACCGTGCGGTCGTCGCTCGTCGTGACCATGTACGGCTTGTCCGCGCCGTGGTAGTAGTTGACCGAGTTGACGCCCTTCTCGTGCGCCTCGAGCGTAAAGTTGGCCGCCGCCGCGCCGAGCGTCCAGACCTTGACGGTGCGGTCGAGCGACGCCGACGCAAACGAGTTCGAGTCTTTGGGGTTGAAGCACACGTCCATCACAAAGTGCGTGTGGCCCTCGAACGTCTGCATGAGCCGCCAGCCCTTCTCCCAGTCCCACAGCTTGACCGTCATGTCGTCGCTGCCCGTCAGCACATACGAGCCTGTGGCATGCACCGCGATGCTGCGGATATAGTCGGGGTGCGCCTCAAACGCAACAACCTTCTCGTGCGTGTTGTAGTTGTAGCAGCGCAGGAAGAAGTCGTCACTACCCGCCAGGAACCAGTTCTTGCGCGCAATAAAGCGCACACAGCGCACCGGCACATCCGCGACCTCGAACGTCTTCACGACGGCCCCCGTCTCGTAGTTCCAAATGAACACGGTGCCATTGTACAGACCCGCAAGCAGCCACGGCTCCGTCGGATGAAAGTCCACCGACTTGACGCGCTCGGATCGCGAGAAGAACTTGCGCTGAATATCCAGCAGCATTCCGGCGGTACGCGTCGCACGTCAGCGCCCGAGACGAGCCAGCGCCGCACCACCGCCCCCGCCCGCGCGCTGGCCACGCGGCGGCCCCACGTGATGTCATGTGACCCACTCGCCCACGTCCACCCGCGCCGTGTTAGAACATGTTCTACGGACCCCGTAGGCCACATGTAGACATCCATGCAACTGCTGCGAGCGCGGCCGGCGAACGACTCGCTCTCCGCCACCCCCAGCGCCCGACACGAGGCGACGGTTTCCCTCATGAACATGGCCTCCACCGCGGCGCCGGGCCCGGCGCCCCGGCCTGGGGCGCACGGCTCGGGTGCTCTGCCGCCAGAGGCCCCCCCGTTGGCCTTGGAGATGCCTGCGGACACCGGCACAGATCCCCCCTCGTCCGTGTCGCCGCGGACGCCCTCGCCCATACTCGGCGCACCGATGGGCGACGACACGTACACGCCGCAGGGCGGGCACCTGACGTTCCCCCAGGTCGGCCTCGGCCTCGGCACCATGGAGCAGGAAATGCAGATGCTCATGGACCTCGAGAACGTGGACGAGCTGGACGAAACCTCCCCCGCGGACGCCGAGGCCGCTGCGACCGAGCTCACGGAGCTCGTCGCGCAGCTCGGCTTGCAGGCGCCGGCGTCCGACGCGCCTCTGCGCGTGCCGTCTACCGACGACACAGCCGCGCGCGAGGAGGCGTGGGCGCAGCTCACGTACCAGCTGGCGCAGCGCCTGCAGCAGCAGACCGAGTCGCGCGAGCGCATGCGCCACCTGCTGCGCGTGACGCGCCTCGCCTCCCTCTCCCTCTTTTCCAGTCTGCGGATCTCCTACTCGCACATGCTCCAGGCGGAGCGCGATATCAAGGCGCGGCTCGAGGTCGAGCTCTCCGGCTCCAAGACACAGTCCAAAATGCTCAGCGATATGATCTCGCGTGCCTCGCTGCAGACGCAGGAGGAGCGCACGCCGCGTGTCGCGCCGGCCACGCCTGGGAGCGCGACGGCCGACGAGGACGACGAGCGCACCAAGCTGCTTGCGGACAAGCGGTACCTTCGCCAGCGCGTGCGCGACACCGAAGCGCAAGTCGCGCGGCTTGAGACGGAGCTGCGCAGCCTGCGGCCCCTGCTGCTGCGTGCCAACCATGCGGACGACGAGACCCTCGATGCGCCGACGCACACGCCGCGCCGGACGCCGCGGCGCGCGCGGGGCGCGCGGCGCGAGGCGGTGATGGGGGATGCCACGTCCGAGCACCTGATCCTCGCGACGCGCATGCTGCGCACGCTGCGGCAGGCAGCGCGTCCCCCGAGCGATGCGCCGGCGCGCTCTGGGCCGGACTCGCCGCAGACGCCGCGGCGTCCCGTGGACCCGTTTCCGACGACGCCCAAGCACACGCGGCGCGCGAACGACGGACCCAATGGCAGTCCCTATATGCCGTCGTCTGTACGCAGCATGCCTGCATCGACGTACTCGAGCGGGCTGGACGATCTCCTGCACGCTGCGCAGTCGCTCGCGCCATCGAGTCCGCCGCACTCGCCATGGACGCCCCATGCGCCGTCGCTCGGCAGCCCCAAGCGCCGGCGCATGTCGTCGATGGACATGGACGACGCGCCGCCCACGTCCGCGCTGGACGTGCTGGCGAACCAGGCGGCGATTGAGCACACAGCCTCGCCGATGGGCCTGCACCGCCGCACACACTCGGGCCCCCACATCCTGCCGGGCTCCACGTCGTGGACGCCGGGGCCGCCGCTGCGCGCGCCAGCGTCCGCGTCGAAGGTCCGCGCTGCCGGCAGTGGTGCGAGTCCCGAAAAGCGCCTGCCATACGTGCGCTGGAGCGCGGAGGAGGACGCGAAGCTGCGCCGGGCCATCCACGAGCATGGCCAGCGGTGGGAGCACGTGGCGCGAGCGGTCGGCACGCGCTCGTACCACCAGTGCCGTCAGCGGTACCTGCTGATGCGGCGCAAGGAGGCCGCGGCGAATGGCACCGCCTCGCCCAGCAGGGCGCCCCGCACGCCGCAGCGCAGTGCCGCGGACAAGGAGGCGACACTGCGCCCCAGCGATCGCGGCGAGGAGAGCAGTGGCGGCGCGTCGTCGGAGATGGAGGCGTCACACAGCCAGGTCCCGCCGCCCGCGGCCCACGCGCGCCCTGCGTCCGAGGCGCCTGCCGCGCCGGCGTGGGCGCCGACGCCGGGGCCGATGCCAGGCCCCCTCTCGTGGACGCCGCAGCGGCCCGTCCTCCATAGCTAGCTTGGTAGCGACCATCCCTGGGTCGTCTCGCTGACCCACTGGTACACGGGCAGCACCCACACGAGGCCGGCAATGAGCGCTACCACCTGCAGCGGCTCGGCGTACGGCTGCGTCGGGGGAGGGACGTGCGGAGCATGACCATGCAGCAGCCACGCATGCTGCGCATCACGATAATAGCGTGTGAGGGCGGCGTGCGCAGCGAGCGGCACACCCAGGCCGAGTGTCCAGCGCCACACGGCGGCCGGGCGCTGCAGCGGCCAATGCGCATGCGCCATACTCACAGCGCTGTACACCGTCGAGGCTGCACACAGCAGCCCGGCGCTCCACGACAGATGCCCCGTCCATGCAAGCGCGGGCAGTACGACGCCGAGATGCGTCTGGTCAGCGCCGAGCACGTACCAAGCTGTACCCCAGACCGACGGCGCGCGCGCGCGCGGGGTGCGCCTCCATCCACTGGCTCACATGCAAGAGCCCCAGCGCTGCGTGAGCAGCGCGTACGTACCGATCGCATACAGCAGGCCGGCGCCGGCCGCGGCAGCCAGGGCGCCCGCGTACAGCGCCAGCACACCGGGGAGGGGCATGAGGAGTGGAGGTCTTTCGCCCCGCCTTTGTCCACGACGCAGCCATGGACGCAGGCGCCACGGCGCTCGCGCGCGACTTTCCCGGCGTGGCTGCGCTCTCGCGCGAGGACTGGCAGGCGCTTCTTGCCGAGTCGCTGGATCCTGTGCGGCATGCGGAGGAGGTGCGCTTGTACGAGGCGACCGTCGATCAGCTGCCGGCCGTGCGTGCCATGTACGAGGCGTACGAAGCGCAGCTGCGGCGCATGGAGCAGGCAGCAGGTACGTGGCAGGGACTTATGCAGCGGCGAACGAGGCGCAGCGCCCGGCGCTCGAGGCGCTGCGCGCGGAGGCGCGCGCAGCCTATGCGCGCGCGCGCGCGCTGGAGCAGCAGTGGCCCTACGTGGAGCAGGCCATGATAGAGGCACACAAGGTACGCTCCGCTTCTCACGCAGCGCTTTACGCCGCATGCCCTGTGGACGCGACTGCACATGGGCGCCAACGAGGCGCACGAGGCGAGTGAGGACCTGGCAAATGCGTACGTCGAAGGGCTCATGCCCTCTATGGATGTATGTCGACCGACTCACGCCAGGACGCCACGTTCGTGCGGCAGTACCGCGCATCGCGCGCGGACTACCACCGACGCGCGCTGCTCGCGGAGCGAGCCGGACGTGCACGGCGCTAGGCGGCGCACGTGGATGTGGAGGTGCACGTGCTGTGTGGACGGGCTGCGCGGCGAGAGCGGCGGGCCTGCATCGCTGCCCCTGGACCATGTCGACCCAGCCCCTGCTGCAGCGCACCGCCGGCAAGCGCATTGCGCTCCCTGTGCGCGTGGAGCCCAAGGTGTTCTTTGCGAATGAGCGTACCTTCCTCTCGTGGCTGAGCTTCACCGTGACGCTCTCGGCGCTCGCCGCCGGTCTGCTCAACTTTGGCGACCGTGTGGGCCGCGTGAGCGCGGCGCTGTTCAGCCTTGTCGGTGCGTTGTCCTTCTAACGTGTAGCCGTCGCTATTATGCTCTATGCCCTTGCTACGTACCACTGGCGTGCGCAGGCCATCCGCAACCGCGGCAGCGGCCCGTACGACGACCGCCTCGGTACGTGTGCCCCACTGACCCAGGCCCGACCATCCTCTCGGTGCTACTCCTCACGGCGATCATCGTCAACTTTGTTCTGCGCTTCAGCGAGTAAGCGTCTACATCTGCATAGCTTTTTGTGCAATAGGATTGGCATGAATCGTTACGCTCTCTGTGCGGATCTCGGGCACCGGCCGGTGCTTCGCATCGACGGGCCCTTTTTCGATCGCCTCGAGCGTGCCGCCCAGCTCGGCGCCCTCGATCACCTTGCCAAAGATGGTATACTTCCCGTTCAGATGCGGCTGCTCGCTGTACGTAATAAAGAACTGCGTCAGGCGCCCGGCGTACCTGCGAGCGGTTGGCGTTCGGTCCGCCCGTCGCCATCGCCACCATGCCGCGCGCGTGGAACTGCATAAGCGGCGCCAACGCACCTTGAGCGTCGGCCGGATCTCGTCGTCGAACGGGCGCCCCCAGATCGACTCGCCGCCCTTCCCTGTCCCGGTCGGATCGCCCGTCTGCACCATGAAGCCAGCCATGTTGCGGTGCCACAAAACACCATTGTACGTGCCCGCCGCACAGTGCGCAAGAAAGTTTTCAGCCGCCCGCGGCACCGCCTCGCAAAACACCTCAATCTGTGTGAGCAGCGCAACGCACCTTGACGTCGCCCAGCGTCGTATGCAGCGTGACGCTCATGGCGGTCAGAGCTCACCCTCCACCTATGACGACGCGCGCGCCGCCACCGCCGCCCGCCGCGCCGCCCGCGCTGCGGGCGTGGCTCAGCGGCGCGGCCACACTCACGGGCGATCGCGATGCCGAGCACGCGCTCAAGCCCCTTGCGCGCGGCACACCTGCGCCGCAGCGCATGGCGCACACGCTGGCGCATCGCCTCGCATGGTTCGACGCGCTGGGCCTGGCCAAGACGGCTCTGCCCGAGCTGCTCACGCCCGCGGACGACGTCGCGCGCCTCCAGCGGCGCACCGGATGGTGCGCGTGGACGTGTGCCGAGGCCCTGCACGCGCTGCTGTGCGAGACGTCGGCGCCGCTCGGCGCGAAGGACGCGCGTACGCTCGAGACGCTCCTGTCCCTTGCCTTTGCGTGGCTTGTCGTCCCGAGCGTCGCGCAGTGGGACGCGGCTCTGGCGTCTAGCATCGAGGCTGACACTGCCGACGTCGGCGGCACCGTGGCCACTGTGCTTGTGCCGTTCGTGGCAGCCATCGCGCGCGAACGCACACGGACGGACGTGGCGGCGCGCATGCATCGCCTCTATGACGTCGATATGCTCCGCGTGCTGCTTCGCGCTGCGTACACGGACAACGCGTTGCGCGACACAGCGCAGGTGGCCCTCGATGCGCTTCTCGGCGCGTGGCCCACGATCCAGGGCCTCTCGGCGCTGCGTCGAGCGCCGCAACCCAGCGCCCTCGGCGCGAGTGGCGGGCGATGCCCGCCGTTTGTGCGCGAGCACGCCGCGCGCCTCTGCACACAGCTCCTCCTGCGTGCCGACGGTGTGCGCGCCTTTTTCCTCGGCATGCTGGGGGCGAGTGAGGACGACCTGCTGCGCGGCGATCTCGGCGACGAGCTGACGGAGGGCGATGCCCTCTTCCAGCGCCTCGACGGCGTCGCTAGGCTCCTGTGTGCGCCGCCCAAGGATATGGCCCGCGCCCCGTACTATGCCACCATGGTGCCGAACCTGCTGCGTGTGCTCGACCCTGTCGCGCCGCCCCCTACGACGCCCGTGCACGGCGTGCACCGCCGTGCAGCTGCCTTTACGCTGGCGCGCATGCATGAGCGCGACGCGGCCAGCGTGCTGGACGCCCTGCGCGTGCCGATCCATGATGCCCTTTCGCGCCCCGCGCCGCCCGCGGACGTCGACCGTGCGCTGCGCCTGCTCAGCGCGCTCGTCACGCTGTCGCCGCCCACGCCCGACTGGATCCACGCGCTGTGTACGCCGCTGGCCGGCGCGCTCCTTGCGATCGATACCCTGCTCATGCAGCCGGCGCCCGGTCCGGGCATCGTGGCCGCCGACGCCGCGCCTCCGCCTCGTACGTGGCTGGCAGCGCAGACGCGCGACATCCTGCATACGTGGCTGAGGCTCGTGCCGGACGAGACGCTGAGCACGGCGCTGGACCGTGCCATGTCCGACAGCCTGCGTCCCGACGCCCTTCGGTGGACCGAGACGCCAGACGGCGTGACATGCGCGCGCGCGCGCGCGGCGCCCGACACGGCTGACCCACTGGACGCCCTCCTTGCGCAGAGCGAAGCGCTCTCGCTCGGCGAGGTGGTGCGTCGCCACGACACCGAGGCGCTCGACACACCGGCGCCGGTCCCACGCGATCTCGCACGTGTATTGCGCCTCCCCATCGACCCAGCGCGCATCGCGCAGCAGCTGCAGGCAGCGGGGCGCAGCGCGGCGGGCCGGGCCCTTCTCATGGCGCGCATGACCGCGTACCGCGGCACCGTCAGCGCCGCCGCTGCGGGCGTCGGTGGTGCCGCGGATCCTACGCGGGACTCGCTTGTGCACTTGTACGTTGTGCTGCAGCTGCTCGAGGCGCTAGGGCCCGCGCTCCTGGACGGCGACGTGGACCAGGCGCTGCCCTTCGTCGAGCTGGCCCTCGGCGTGCACAGCGACGAAGAGACGGGCGAGCCGGAGCTGACGCAGACCGCACTGCAGCTGTTGCTTGCGCTGCTCGAGCGGCACGCGCAGCTGACGCCCCAGACGGCGCCGCTCCTGGCCGTGCTCGCCGCGCAGGTGGAGCGCCTGCGCGATGCCCCGGACAGCGAGACGCGCGCGCTCGCGCAGGAGGCGGCCGTCGTGCTTATGGCGCGCGCGCAGGCGCCCGCGGCACAGACGGCCGCGCGCGAGGCGCCGGCGTACCAGGCCGTGTACCAAGAGGCGCTCAGGCACCTGCAGGACCCGATTTTGCCGGTGCGCGCGCACGGGCTGCACTTGCTCATGCAGCTGGTCGCGACGGACCGGCGGCACCACCCCGTGTGCTATGGCGATGTGCTCGATCCCGCGCTCGTGCCTGCGATTTTCGATCTGCTTCTGCAGGCCCTCCAGGACGACGAGAGTTTCCTGTACCTGAATGCGGTGCAGGGCCTCGCGCACATGGCCGTGACATGGCGCACGACCGTGCTCACGCAGCTGCTCGCCGTGTATGTGGGCGGCGACAAGACGCAGGACAGTGTGGCGCGTGCGCTGCAGAGCGCCGAGCCGCTCTCTGCGCGCGCGACGGATGCGCGACTGCGGATCGGCGAGGCCCTCCTCCAGGTGCTGCAGCATCTGGGCGAGGCGGCTGTGCCGGATTTGCCGCGCATCACCGGGCCGCTCCTCACCGCCGTGCGCCAGCCACGCTGGCCCGCGACGCTGCGCAGCTCGTTCCTCTCGATTCTCGGCACGTGTGTGGAGCTCGCGCCGCTCGCTCTGGCCGCGGACGGCACGTCCGTGGCCCTCCTGTCCCTGTGCACGGAATTGCTCACGCTCACGTCGGAGCGGCGCGGTGTACGCAGGCGGCCCAAGGTCCGCGCGACGCGCGTGGGCCGCGACGAGGCAGGGCGGACGATGGAGCGCCTCGTGGACGACAGTGACTCGGACGAGGCGGCCGATCGGGCGGAGCGCGAGGCGACGAGCGGCACGGATCCAGACCCACAGCGCCCGCAGCTGCGTCGCAGTGCGCTCCTGCTGCTTGCGCTGCTTGTGCGCGGCACGAGGCACCAGCTGGAAGAGACGCAGGAGAAGCAAGCAGCCGATACCGACGCGCCTCTTACCGCGCTGCGCCTCCCGGGCGGCGGTGTCCTGCCCGATGTGCGTGCGGGCCACGCGGCGGCGCGGACGCCCCAGGACCCCCTCCTTGTGACGCCTGCTGCGCTTGCGCCCGTCGCGCCCGTGCTGCAGTATGTGGCCGATGAGGATGTCGACCTGATCGTGCGGCAGCAAGCGCGTGATGCGCTGGACGAGGTGCGTGCCTTGGAGCTCGCGTGGGTGCAGGCCTCGCTAGTCACGTAGGGGGCCCATGCGGCAGGTGGAGGCCTGCCAGCCGTGTCGTCATGCCATCGACGGCGCCGGGGGGCGCGGGCCTCGTGGAGGCGCCGACGGGCGCCGCCATGGATGCACGCCACTGCCGCCTGATGGGCCCTATCGGCATTGCGACGCAAGTGCTTATGGGTGTGGTCGTGCTGGCTACGCTCTTGTACAAGCGGCACCGCGAGCGCCCGCGGCGCGCGTGGCGGACATGGGCGCTCGATGTGTCCAAGCAGCTGACGGGCCAGGGCATGGTGCACATGCTGAATGTCATGTGTAGTGCGGTCGGCCTATCGCACACGCGCCGTAATCCATGCTCGCTGTACTTTTTGAATATATTGCTCGACTCCACGCTCGGCCTCTTTGTGCTGTACGGCGTGCTGCACGGCGCCACGCGCGTCATGGAGGACGTCGGGCATCTGCGAGGCTTTGTCTCGGGTGAGTACTACCCGGCGGGCGAGCCAGGCCGCCCGCCGCCGAGCGTGCTCCAGTGCTGGCTGCGGCAGACGGGCGTGTATCTACTGGGCCTTGCGCTGATGAAGGCGCTCGTCCTTCTCATTCTCGCATGGCTACCGTTCCTCGTGGCGTTTGGCAGCTGGCTGCTCAGCCTCTTTGGCACGCACCGCGCGCTGCAGGTCGTGTTTGTCATGGCACTCTTTCCTATGGCGATGAACATGCTCCAGTTCTGGCTCATTGACTCTATGCTCCTGTACCGCCCCCGCAGCATGGAGGCCTATATGCCGCTGCCGCTGCCCACGGTGCAGCCGCGCGCGCCTGCTGGCGACGGGGAGGCGCCGGCGGCCGAAGCGCCCCGCCCGTAGTTGATACCCTGCACCGCACGTGCGCACCGTGCAGGCTCCACATGGGCGCTCCGTGCTCGTTCCTGCAGCGGGTTGTCACCGACCATGTCGACGCCTGGGCTGAACATTCCTCACTGCTGGTACGTAAGTGTTCTAACGCGCAGGGGACACCGTGGTGTACGCTATGCGCGCTGACACAGGCCTCTGCCGAGTTTCCCGAAAACACGCTGCGCTCCTTTGAGCAGGCCATCAAGGACGGCTCGGAGGGCATCGAGAGCGACGTCCACATTACGGCCGACGATGTGATTGTCATGTTCCACGACACGACGCTGGACCGCACGACCAACGGCAAGGGACTGATCACGGCGCGCAACTACTTCGGCGCCGACGGCCTCGAGCATGTGCGCACGCTCAAGGAGCCCGTGCAGCAGATCCCGACGTTCAAGGAGCTGTGCACGCTGCTGATGGAGCCGGAGAACCGCCACGTCTCGCTGAACGTCGACATCAAGCCGAACAACGACCCTGAGCGCCTATTCCGCATCATGGGCGAGGTCGTGCACCAGTTCCCGAACTACGAGAACGACCTCGCGCCGCGCCTGATCCTCGGCCTGTGGCACCCCAAGTTCATTCAGCCGGCCAAGCACCACGTGCCTATGCTGCGCCGCGCACACATCGGTGCGTCGCCCGCGGACGCCGTCAAGTACTTCTGGAACGACTGCGACGCGTTCTCGATTCGTTTCCCCTCACTTGTGGGTGCCGAGGGCCAGGCGTTCCTGCGAAAGGCCCGCGAGGCCAACAAGGACGTGATGGTGTGGACAGTCAACCGCAAGGACGAAATGGTCGAGGCTGCGCGGTACGGCGTCAAGGCGATTCTGACGGACTACACCGCCGACCTGCACAAGCTGCGCGACGAAATGAAGGGTACGTCCGCATACTCACCCAGTCGACTTCGACGCGGTCCACCGCCAGAACGTCAGTCCCTGGTTCTCTTGGGCATCACTGCGCTACTACGCACCCGCCGTGTACACGTACCAGCGCGCCTGCCGCTTCGAGGTCGAGCGCCACGCAGGCGAGTCGTTCGACGGCGCGCGCCTGGCATAAGCACGTGATAGCTCATAGACCCACCTCCATGGCGCACGGACATCGGTGGGTGCTGGTCGTGGCGGCCCTCGTCGGCGCGCTGTGCATACCGGCGCTGGCCGCGCCGGCCGCAATCACGCAGCCGCCTGCGATGGCACCGTGGCTTATGCGCCACCCGCGGCCCGTGGTCGTGTGGCACGGCCTCGGCGATGCGGCGCACTCCGACTGGATGGAGCGCACCAAGCAGGAGCTCGAGGCCATGCACCCCGGCATCTTTGTGTATGTGGTTGCACTGCAGCCAAGCGTATGGAGTGATCGGCGTGCGAGTTTCTGGGGCCATGTCCCGACGCAGGTCGAGCAGGTCCATGCACAGCTGCAGGGCGTGCCAGAGCTCCAGCACGGCTTCGATGCCGTCGGCTTCTCCCAGGGCGGCCAGTTCCTGCGCGCGTACGTGGAGCGATTCAACGATCCGCCTGTGCGGCGCCTCCTCACGTTTGGCTCGCAGCACATGGGCATCACCGACCTCCCGGCGTGTGGGCCGCACGATCCTGTGTGTCACACCGTGCACAGTGCCCTCGCGACGCACGTATACTCGGACTATGCGCAGCGACACATTGTCACGGCCCAGTACTTTCGGGACACGCGCACACCGGAGCAGTTTGCGCAGTACCATGCCAAGAACTCGTTCCTCCATGACATCAACAACGAGGGACCGCACAAGAATGCCACGTACAAGGCACACATGCTCCAGCTCGAGTCGTTCGTCATGATCCAGTTTACGGACGAAGCCACCGTGATCCCTTCGAACTCGTCGTGGTTCGAAGCGTTCCCTGATCCAGAGCCGGACGCGCCGCCAGCGCTAACCACCGTGCCGCTCCGAGAGAGCCAGCTGTACCGCGACGACTGGATCGGACTACGCGAGCTCGACCGACGTGGCGCCCTCGTCTTTGGTACCTGCGCAGGTGCACACATGCACCTGTCGGACGAGTGCCGCACGGCGACATGGGGCCGCTTCCTGGGCCCACCGCCCCTGCGCGACGAGCTCCGCCGGGCCCTGCCGCGCTTCCCCCTCGTGTATGTCCTTGTGGTGTGCATGGTGGTCTATGTACGGCTGCGATTTACGAGGCGGGTGCAGCTGCCTTAGGCGCGCGCGGCGCCTTGTGCCATGGCCGCAGCGCACGGCCAAGACCAGCTTGGAAAGCGAGGAGGCCCAGGGCCACGATCACATGGTAGTGCCACAACATGGCCCTGTAGCCCTGCAGCGAGCCACGCAGTGTGAGTGTGAAGAAAGGAATGACCACATAGTTGACCGACGAGATCGTGCACACCATCGACACGACCGAGTACAGCACCTGCACCGTGGTGTACTGCTTCCACGTCGACGGCGTCGGGTCGGGCATGCGGGGGTTCGCGAAGAAGATCGGACGCACCGACTTGCGCAGCAGGCGCGCGAGCCACTGGCACATCGCTGCGAGAAGGAACGCCAGGTAGTAGCCCGGCGCAATGCCGTGCCAGATGGCACTCGTGAGGAAGGTGCCAAACACACTGCCAAAGCCCGGCTTGTGCGGCCCGGCGAGGCGCTTGTACACAGACTCGCGCAGCCAGACGTCTGCGTAAGTAGGGCATACGTACTTGTATTGGCGTTCCACGCGTCAAGCAGCTCCTTCCAGTTGTGACTGAGCTCGATGCGCCTCACATAGACGTTCTTGCAGCGCGTCCACGTCGCGCGCTGCGTCGTAGAGTCGACGCCGTTGTACGCCAGACCTGACAGAATGCAGCCGGCGTTCGAGAGCGACCACACGCCGTAGAAACGGAAGCGCGCGACGAGACCGGCAATCTGCAGGAAAACGAGGCGGTACCAGAACGGGCGCGTTTGCAGCTCGTCGGCCACATTCGCGAGACGCTCAAAGTCGTAGTACGCCGACAAGGACGTCATCAGCACAAGCGCGATACCGGCCGTGAGGAGCTCCTTGAACGCCTCGCGCCAGCGGGAGACCGGCACGCCGCGGTACGGCGCATACAGCGTGCCATTCGCCCACTGCTGGTAATCACGGAAACGCGATGACGGCCCTACGAGCACGCCAGGGAAGTAAAAGCTGCGTTAATGCACACCACGTACCAATAGCCTAAGAACTCGAGCAGGCTCGGCATGGTCATCACACGGTCCCGCATCTGCACCTCGTCCAGCTGCTTGTCGGTGCGCAGCTGACCGTCGTAGCAGTTCCACGCGAACGACGTGAGATTCATCACAAGCACCATCTGCATGGACGAAATCTCCATCGTGGTAACCGGCACCTGCCCGAACTCGCGCATGCAGTGGGTGTAGAGCATGTGGCTCATCGCACCGACAAGCACGATCCACGGCATGTACTTGCGGCCGCCAATACGGAAGCGCACAATTCCGTACGTGAGGAAGCACGCCGCCAGCAGATGCATCACACCGCCGTACAGACGCAGAATGCCCAGCAGGAAAAAGGCCGAGACACCCAGGTTCATGCAGTGGCGCATCCACGGCGCGGGTAGGTGCGGCAGGATGGGGCTCAGCACAAAGGACAGGAGCAGCGCAATCGCAATCTGGTATAAGTGGCACAGCGCACCTTGGCATAGTCAGTCGGCAGGCCCAGCGAGGCGCCGATTGCCTCGAAAAAGCGCTGCAGCATGGGAGTGTCAAGGAGACCCAGATCGGCCGAAGAGCACGGGCCAGGCCCGCTCCGCTATGAACGGCTAGAACGTGCCGCCGAGGCTCTTGGCCGCGTCGGAGGCAGAGAGGCGGCCCCACCGCCCGTCCTGCGTCGTGCGCCGGAACAGCATGGACGGGAACGAGGGTGGCTCCGGCGCTGGTGCGGGGGACTCGGCACGCACCGGTGGCTCAGGCTCCGCTTCAGGCTCGGCGGGCGCAGGCTCGGGCGCAGGCTCGGGCGCAGGCTCGGCGGGCGCAGCGCCTTCGGCGACCGCGGCGGCCTCCGGCGCCGGCGCCTCCGTCTCGAGTTCCTTGCTGCGCTGGTCCGCATCGTCGTCGGGAGGCAGCTCGCGCCCCATCATTCGCGCGGCCGCCCGCTGCGCCGGTGTGATCTTGCGCCGCGTGCGCTCGCCCTGCTGCACGAGCGCCTCGACGTCCTGCGTCAGCTGACGCGACTCTTCGTCAAAGTGTGCCAGCATCTCGGCGAGGCGGCGGTCGACGATGGCACTGAGGCGCACGTGTTCGCGGAGCACGCGCTGTAAATCATGGTGCGTCTGCACGCTGTGCCGCTGGAGACTCTCGCGCATCGCGCGGCTTACCTGTGCGAGGTACTTGTCCAGCAGATCAGCATGGTGCTGCGCCTCATGCACCTCGGCAATCGCCGCTTCCACGCGGTCAGGGCGTATTGTTTTGGCGAATTGAAGCTGCTCCGCCTCGTGCTGCTTCGTCGCAATCACTTTGTGGGCCAAGGTAGACTCCACGACCATAGCTGTGCGCTCCTGGAGGCACTGCCGCACCGTGCGCATGCTCAGCTCATGGTACTCGATCACATCGCCTAGGGTCACCTGGTCCGCCCACATTTGCTCCTCGGACAGCTGCACCATCTGCTGCAGCATGGCCTTGGCATCGCGCAGCGTGCGAGGCAGCTGCAGGCGCGCTGACACGGGCCGCGTCTCCTCCAGCATCGCGAGGCCCGGCAGCTTGGCCATCACATCGCGCAGCGCCGTGTCGACGCCCTGCCGCGCCTGCGTCACCGCCGCGCTCGCGCGCGCCACGTCGCCCAGCTGCGTCTCGAGGCGCGTAACCTCGCCACGTGCCGCTGCGAGCGTTTCGTCAGGGTCCGACACGGTGACAGGCGATGCACTGGCCAGCAACGGCGGAACGAGTGCGGCTGGCGCGTTGCTAGGCGCCGCGCGCCGCCCACGCGGCACGCCAAGTTCCAGCGGGTCGTCCACGAGTAGGAGCGAGCCATCCAGCACCTGCGCCAGCGACTGGATATACGACTGTGTGCGCGCCGCTTGGCGCGCGAGGCCGGCTGGCGCTGTATCGTCCAGGGGCAGCGGCTCGTAGCTGTAGTCGGCTTCCACAAACCGCACCGTCTCGCGGTGCATGCACAGCGCCATCTCGCCCGAGACGCACGCAAACCAGTGTGCGACCAGATGCTGCAGCTCGGGGCCCCCGTCCGTGTCGTCGACCGTCGGCACCCGCAGCATCCATGGCGTCGGCAGTGGGAGCGCAGGGACAATCACCGACGGACTCGTGAGTGCGAGAGCGGCCGCGTAGAGCGCGAGCTCTCCGTACGTGCGCTCCACGTTGTCGTACTGCGGGCGGTGGAAGCTGGGAATATTCGTCTGCGTCAGTAGCGACAACGCACTCGACAGCGGAAGCGCACGCGCAGCGGCGGCGTGGCGAGAAGCTCAACGCGGTCCATGGTGAGTGACCAGGACGGGCGTGCTGGGCGGCTCGACGGTGCATCCTCCGTCTTCGGCGGCGGCGCCGGCGCACGCGCGTCCGACGATTCCATCCGGCGGGGCGAGGAGACTGTGGAGGTCTATGGCAGCGAGGACAGGGCCCCTGTTTCGTCGGCGTCCCATTCGCTCAGCAGCAGGGTGCCGTCGGTGGAGGCAGAGACGACTGTGTCAGCGCCGCCAACGTACAGATCGGCTCGTGGGGATGGAAGTCGATGGCTGTGCATGTGCCGCGGTGGCCGGGGAGCTGGGTGAGAGGCGCAGCGTACCTTGAATACAAGTGTGCCTTTTTCGACACTGCGTCAGCCTCGTGTACGTACTTCCACAAGTTCGCCGTGTGGTCAGCGCCGCCACAGCCGGCCCACTCGCCGTCGGGCGACCATGCGGCCTTGAGCAGCAGATGCTCGAACCCGCTGGGCATGCCGGTGAGCGTGCGCACGAGGCGCGGATGCGTCTTTACGCCCGGCGCCGGCGGTGGCGCGAATGGGCGCACGTCCCATACGCGCACCGTGTTGTCCAGCGCGGACGACAGGAGGTGCGTGCCAGCAGGTGACAAGGAGAGCGAGGCGACTGTGTCGGTGTGGCCTGTGTCAATAGGGTGCACGTACCGAGTAGCGACGACTGTCGAGACGCTGTCGCGCAGTCCATCACGTGGATCGCATTGTCGACGCCGCCGACAAACAGCTGCGTGCCGTCGTCGCTGAACTCGACGCAGGTCACAGGGTATCCGAGCTCGATCGAGGCGACGGGGTAGCGCGAGTCCGGCGCCCAGAACAGGACGCGCCCGTCGTCAGACGCGGACGCCCAGCGCCCGCCCGCGCGAGTGCACGCGACGCTGTTGACAATGCCTCGGTGCCCGCGGAGACGGCGGACGCGCTCGCCTGTTGCACTGTTCCACAGCACAATCGTGCTGTCCGCCGAGCCTGAGAGCAGCAGGCGCTCGGCGCCGCTGCCGGGCACCCACGCGAGGCACGTCACGGCGGCCTTGTGGCCCGCGAGCTGCCCAATGTTGCGGTGCTCGCCAAAGGTTTCCCATAGCGCTGCGTTAGCGTAACGGCGTACAAATCGTGTGGTCCGCCGAGGCGGCCGCGATGGTCTGGCCGTCCGGCGCAAACTGGACATCGAGCACGTCGGCCTAGGGTTAGCGGGGCTGCGTACCGTATGGGCCTCGGTGAGCGCCATGACCGGCGACGCCAGACTGCGCGTGCGGTCTTCGCGCGATATGAGCGCATTTCGTGTGCGCTTCGACAGCACCATCTCGCCGCCCAGCGGGGGCGACTTGCGCTTGTCCGCCATGGTGGACAGGCAGCGACGGCCGCCAGGGCCGTGTGGACATCCATGCTGACTCAGCAGAACGCCACCGGCGAGTGGCGGCCGCTCGTACGCACGCTATGCCGCCGCGCCAGGCGTTTGCGTCGCAGAACCTGCGGTGCTGCACGCTCATCGGGCATGTAGATCATGGCAAGTCGTCGTATGCCGACTCTCTGCTTGCTGCGAACGGGATCATCTCGTCGCGCGCGGCCGGCCAGATCCGGTACCTCGACAGCCGCGAAGACGAGCAGGAGCGGGGCATCACCATGGAAGCCAGCGCTGTCTCGCTCACATTCAAGCTGCGCCAGCGGCAGGAGGACGGGAGTGTAGGCCAGATCGAGGACTATACGCTCAATCTCATTGATACACCCGGCCACGTCGATTTTTCGTCCGAGGTGTCGACGGCGGCGCGCCTGTGTGATGGCGCGCTGGTCATTGTCGATGTCGTCGAGGGCGTGTGCACGCAGACGGTCTCGGTACTTCGCCAGGCGTGGCTTGATGGGCTGCGCACCGTGCTCGTGGTGAACAAGATGGACCGCCTGATCACCGAGCTGAAGCTCACGCCCACCGAGGCGCACCACCGCGTGCTGCAGCTGGTCGAGCAGGTCAATGCGGTCATCGGTGGCTTTTACGCTGCAGAGCGCATGGAGCAGGACCAGCGCGGACAGGACGCGCCGGAAGACGACGAGCTGTACTTTGATCCGCCGCGCGGCAACGTGATTTTTGCGAGCGCCATCGACCAGTGGGCCTTCCGACTGGAGCGCTTCTCGACCATGTACGCCCAAAAGCTTGGGATCAGTGAGAGCCACATCCGCGGCTTCCTGTGGGGGCACTACTACCTCGATCCCAAGACCAAACGCGTGCTCACCAAGAAGCAGCACGACAAGGACAAGCGCAACCTGAAACCCATGTTTGTGCAGTTTGTCCTCGACAATATCTGGAGCGTGTACCAGCACACGGTCATCGAGCGGAATCAGGAGCGGATCGACAAGATCATCGCGACGCTCGGCCTCTCGATCCACGCACGCGACCTGCGGTCGAAGGAGCCCGCGACGCTCATGCAGGCGATCCTGAGCCAGTGGCTCCCGCTCTCCGCGTGCACGTTTGCCGCGGTCGTGCGGTGCCTCCCGGCGCCGAGTGAAGCGCAGCGCGAGCGTGTGCCGCGCATGATCCGCCCGGATCTCAGCTTCTTTGCGTCGCAGGACGAACTGGCCCCGACCAACGACCTGGAGCGCGACCTGTTCGAGTCGCGCTCCGGCCCGGACGCATACACGGTCGCCTATGTGAGCAAGATGTTTGCGGTGCGCCACGAGGACATGCCTGAGAACAAGCGTGTGCAGCTCACGGCGGAGCAGATGCGCGAGCGCGGTCGGCTCCGGCGCGAGGCGATGGCGTCGACGGGTGCCGAGGCTGCGCCGACCACGGACGAGGCACCTGCTCCGCCTGCTGACGATGCGGACGAGCCGTGTGAGGTCCTGCTTGGCTTTGCGCGCCTATACAGTGGCCAGCTGCGCGTGGGCGATACGCTGTACGCCCTACTGCCCAAGTACGACCCGTCCCTCGGTCTCCACGATGCGGCCAACGCGCCGTTCGTACGCGAGGTGCGCATGACGCATCTGTACATGATGATGGGCCGCGACCTGCTGGCAGTGCAGCGGGTGCCGGCCGGCAATGTGTTCGCGGTGCGAGGTCTCGACGGAGCTGTCCTGCGCAACGGTACCCTGCTACGAGCCCCCGGTGGGGATGCACCGACACTCACGGTGAACTTGGCCGGCGTGCGCAACACGACCGCGCCCATGGTGCGTGTCGCGCTGGAGCCGCGCCATGCCGCGGATATGCCGCGCCTGGCTGAGGGTCTCCAGCTGCTGAACCAGGCCGATCCGTGCGTCCAAGTTGTGGTGCAGGACAATGGCGAGCACTGCCTCGTGGCGGCGGGTGAGCTGCACCTCGAGCGGTGCCTGCGGGACTTGCGCGAGCGCTTCGCGCGGTGTGACATCCAGGTGTCGCCTCCCCTCGTTCCGTTCCGCGAGACATGCGTCAAGGCCGCCGATATGGCGCCGCCCAAGACGAGCGGTGCGCCGCGCGGTACGGTGCACGGAACAGCGCTGCAGGGCGCCGTGCACTTTACGCTGCGCGTCGTGCCCCTGCCCCAGCGCGCCACTGACTTCCTCGTGGTGAATGGCCCGACGATCCGCCGCCTGCAGCGCCGGGGGCGCCGCGACGACGACGACGACGACGACGTGGAGCCCGTGCAACCGCAGGACCATGACGACGAGGAGGTCCGTCGCGTGCCTGCGAGCCAGTTCCACGATGCGTGGCGGAGCGTGCTGCAGCAGGCGGGGGGCGAGTGGCCCGGCCTGGCGGACGCCGTGTGTGCGTGGGGCCCGAAGCACGTGGGTCCGAACGTGCTGCTGGACCCTGCGCAGGTGCTGCGACGCGTGCGAGCGCCGGACGCGGACGCCGGCAGCGAGGCGCGCGGCGAACGGGAGCTGAGCGATGCGATCGAGGCGGGCTTCCAGCTCGCGATGGGCGCTGGCCCGCTGTGTGCGGAGCCAGTGCAGGGCCTGGCTGTGTGTGTCGAGGACGTGCACGTCGACGAGGCGCGGCTGGGCGATGCGCGCACGAAGCTATCGCAGCTTGCGTCGACGCTGATCTCGAGCGTGCGCGAGGCGTGTCGACAGGGCCTGCTGGACTGGTCGCCCCGCCTGATGCTCGCCATGTACGCATGTGATATCCAGACGCCACGTACGTTGTGCTACTAACATCAGCGTCTGCGCAGGGCAAAGTACATGCTGTGCTCGCGCGGCGGCGCGCGCAGATTGTCTCGGAAGAAATCCGCGAGGGCACGCTGTTCTTTACGATCCGCGCGCTGCTACCTGTTGTCGAGTCGTTTGGGCTGGCCGATGGTGCGTACCGCTCGCTCACCTCCAGAAATGTGGAAGCGCACATCTGGCGCGGCCAGTGCGCAGCTGACCATGGCCGGGTTCCGCCTGTACGACCAGGATCCGTTCTGGGTGCCCCGCACCGACGAGGAGCTGGAGGATCTTGGCGAAAAGGGCGACCGCGACAACACGGCCAAGCGCTACATGAACCTCGTGCGCAAACGCAAGGGCTTGCGCACCGATCAGCGCCTGGTGGTGTCCGCTGAGAAGCAGCGCACGCTCAAGTCGACATAGCGTGGAGGCCATAGAGCGCACGCGCTGCATTGCACGCGCCCCGGCATTGGCGCGCAGGCACGCTGACTCAGCGTCAGCGTCTGACGCGTGCTTCGCGTCGACGTCTTCACGGGTTGTACGCGCCGCTGCTCCGTCGTCTTCCAGGCCGCCTCGAGCGCTATGCCCAAGGCCACGCTCCTGGACTCGATCCTTGGTCGCCCGTCCCAGACCTATGCGGGGTCCGGAGCGTATGGCGGCGATATTGTGGCATCGTCGCGTGCTCCGTCCGAAGTGGGCAGCGCGTCGCAAGCAGGCAGCGCTCTTCGCAGCCCATCTACGCGAGGCTACGGGGCGTCCCGCTCGAACACATCGCGGGCGCGCCGCAGCCGCCACCCATCCATGTCAGACGCACATACCCTCGTGCCGGACACGAACATGGTGAACCCGTTTTCCCGCTGGTGGGAAGAGCGCTCACAGGCCGACTCGAGCGCGGGCGCGCGTGGCAGGGAGCTGGCAGAGCCAGCCACCCATGCCCGCGCGCCGCCAGCGCAGGACAGCAGCGATTGGCAGGCATGGCTGCGCTCGTTTGAGCAGCGCCGCGAGACGCCGCGAGGCAGTGTCTCGCCGCCATCGCAGCTGTACGTCCCTCTGACGCAGGACGAGTCGGGGCTCGACATGTCTGAAATGGGCTATGCCCTCACGCAGGATGTGCACGATCCGTCGCCGCTCCGCTCGGTGCACGAGGAGGACGAGTCGTTCGGCACGATGCGCTTCTCGTCGACGCCGCCGGTCACGAGCGCAAGTCGTCTGCCCACACTCGCGCTGCCCGCCGAGACGGTGGGCCGCACAAGCCCCGTTTTCTCGGCGCCCAAGCCGAGCGTGAAGCGGCCGCTGCGCACGCTACGCGAGCCCGCACGCAGCACGCAGCCCGGCGACGCGTTCGAGGCGCTGCCCGACGAGGAGCTCGCGCGTCTCTCGTGGGATGCCCTGTACCTCGCGGACGGCGGCCTGGTCCAGACCTCGCCTACCAAGCCGACGTATGCCGAGCCCACTGTCCCGGCGAGCCCCCCTCAGCCGTCTCCAGAGCGCGCGCCCTCGGTGCAGGAGCGCGCGCCCTCGGCGCAGGAGCGTGCGCCGCCGCCGCCGCGCGCCGAGCCTGAGCTACGCGCACCGACGACGCGCGCGACGCGCCCCGTGCTGGAGCCGTCGCCCGTGTTCCGCGAGCCGGCGTACGACCTGGGTGCGTCGCGGCGGCGACGCGTCGAAGGCCTCTTGCGTCCGCTGCAGGACCACCGCCTGTCGACCCTCTCCGTGTCCGAGTCCGTGCGCGAGGAGCTGAGCCCCGACGTTGCGCCCTGGACGGCCCATGCCAGTGTGCTTGGCCACCTGGAGCGCAGCGAGCTGCACGGCACCGCGGAAGGCCTCCCGCCCACGCCGACAGAGAGCAGCGCCATGCCGCTCCCCGTGACGCCGTCCGCCGCGCCGCCTGCCGCCACGACGCCGAATCATGCCACGACGCGGCGCATGCTCGATCGGCCACGCCACCGCGGCCCCCGGCCCACGGCCCTGGGCGGCATCCAGATCGCCCATGGCACACTCCCGGCTCCTACGCCCGGCCACACGCCGCGGCGCAGCGTATCAGACCAGGCCGCGCTGCGGTCCGCGCCGCCTGTGCCGTCCATGCCGCCGCTTCGTCACGTGTCGGATACACGCGTCGCGCGCGACGCGCAGTCATGGACGGACGAGGACCTGCCAGAGGATACCCTGCCTGCCGAGAGCGGGGGCACGAAAGAGGCGCCGCGTGTGGGCGACGATGTGTATACGCCGCCGCCGCCAGCGGAGCGTGACAGGCGAGAGCCGGCGCCTGCGCTCCGCACCGAGGGCGCGTGGTCCTTCGCGGCACCCGCGGCGGAGCTGCGTGCTGCTCTGGACACAGCGTCGCCCCGTCCTGCGTTGTCCATATCCCCCTCCAAGGCGATACCGACGTCACCGATCCCCGGACTCGCTCCGCCGCTCACGACGCAGGGGAGCCTGACAGCGAGCCCCTCTGCGGCTCAAGCCGCTCCAGTCCAGCGCGAGGAGCCCGTGCACACGTACCAGGTGTACGATGCTGACAGCATTGCACCGTCTCACGACGTGCCGGCGCCACCGATGCCCACGGAGCCGACGCTGCCCTACCTCGCGGTCACGCCTGCGCGCCCGGCGGCGCCTGTCGCGTGGTCCCCCGGTGCTGCGCCAGCAGTGAGCGCACCCCTCTCGCCGGTGCGTGCGCCAGAGTCTGGCGCTGCCATGTCCCCGTGGTCGCACTCACCGGAACGCTACGGGTCGAGCCCTTCGGCGCCGCTGAGCCCGTATGCTATGCGCCAGCCGGCGCCGCCCACACAGCCTACTACGCGGCCTGTGCACCAGCCAGCGCCAGCCCCGGTACATCCTGCCAGGGGCCAAGCATCCATGGCCTCGCCGTCGGCTCCATCGCACACGGCCCCCTCGCATGGGCCGACGCGCATGGCGCCTCCGTCGGGTCCGTTGCAGACGGCTCACTCGTTGGGTCCGTCGCAGATGGCTTCTCCATCGGGCCCGTCGCACTCTTCACCGTCGTATGGTCCAACGCGCATGGCTCCCCCGACGGGTCCTTCACACGCCGCCCCACCCTCGGCTCCATCGTACATGGCCTCTCCGTCGAGCCCATCGCCCATGGCACCCCCGTATGGTCCCATGCGCATGGCTCCCACGGGTCCGGCGCAGATGGCTCCCCCGTCAGGTCCATCGCACATGGCTCCCTCGTATGGCCCGACGCGCGTGGCTCCCACGGGTCCATCACAGATGGCTCCCCCGTCGGCTCCGTCGCACATGGCTCCCGCGGCTCCGTCACAGATGGCTCCCACGGCTCCGCCGCACATGGCTCCCCCGTCGGCTCCATCGCACATGGCTCCCTCGTATGGTCCGACGCGCATGGCTCCCACGGGTCCGGCACATATGGATCACCCGCCGGGTCCGGCGCACATGCCTCCCTCGTACGGGCCGGCGCGCATGGCTGCCTCGCCTGGCCCAGTGCCGATGCGCCAGCTGAATGTGACGCCTGCCTATGCCGGTCCCGTATCGCCTACCTATGCTGGTCCTGTGTCGCCTACCTATGCTGGGCCTATGTCGCCCGGCTATGCTGGTCCCGCGTCGCCTTCCTACGCGGGTCCCGTGTCGCCTGGTGCGTGGGTCCGGCCAGGTGCTGCGCCGATGCCAGGGTGGGGCCCCGGCGCTGTGGTGCCATCGCGTGTGCATATGGTGAATCCTGTGCGTATTGCTCCGCCGCGTGCCGAGCTCATGGCGCCATCGGAGCGCGATCCTGCGCAGGTCATGTCGATGCGTCGCGTGAGTTCTACGCCCGATGTGAGTCGCTTCCGGTACGGCGCCATGTCCGATACCGGCAGCATGATGCCCTCGCGCGATGCACGCGCTTTTTTATCGCCTGACGTGGCGCGCCGCGCACGAACCGGCGCCGACTCGGACGCAAACAGTATGACGACAAACATGCGGGCCAACACACCCATGGGGCGCACAGAGCCCTCGCTCGCAGACTCGACGTCGGTGCTCGGCATGTCGACGGCTGCGGCGATGAAAAAGGCGCCGCTCGGTGCCTCCACGAACCAGTACCTGGGCCTGTCGTCCGATGCATCGGGTCCAGCGGTGGGCGACTCGGGCAGCACACGATCGCCGCCCAGCAGCAGCGGGCGCGGCGGTGGCCTGCACGGGCGTCTGCGGCCGGCAGATGACTTGGTGCGTTCGCGGCCTACGATGGCTGCCGTGCAAGTCACGGGCGTGGGCTCGGCGAGTGCTGGTATGGGGGGCCGTCTGCAACGCCGCGTATCGACGAACCAGCTGAGCCGCCAACGACTTGATGTAAATGCGCCGTCGATGGAGCCGCAGGGCCCGACCGGCTCCATCTCGCTGGTGCCGAACATGGCGTCGCCGCGCAAGGTGGGGTCTACGCAGGTGATTGTGCAGGTGATTGCTGTGGCGATTGACCGGGTGGACCGCGCGCTGGTCGCAGAGAAGCTGCACAGCGAAAGCGGCTCGGTGCTGGTGCCCGGCCGCAGCTTCTGTGGCCGCATTGTCGAGATGGGCTGGGACGTCAAGAAGCTGCGCATGGGGGACATGGTGTTTGGCCTCCAGGACCTGAAGAAAGGCGGCGCGCTGGCCGAGTTTCTGTGCGTGGACCAGGACCTGGTCGCCAGCGCGCCCGAAGGCCGGCTGAGCGCAGAGCAGATATGCGCGCTGCCCGCGACCGGCATCATGGTCCACCAAATCATCCAGGAACACTGCGTGACGCTGCCGCGTGGCGCACGTGTGCTCATTCTGCAGGCGCACGACAATATGGGCCTGCTGGCCATGCAGGAGGCATCGCGCCTTGGCCTCGTGATTGTCGCGCAGGTGCCGACGCAGGCGGCCGACGCCGTAAGCATCTGCCGTGCGAATGGCGCCTCAGAGGTGGTCACTGGCGAGCCGCTCTGGTCGATCAACCTGCTGCATGAGTCGAGTTTCCAGCTCGTGATCGATACGATCGGTGGACGCGCCATTTACGACGCGTGTCGCCGCGTGCTCGCCAACCAAGGGCAGTTTGTCACCTGCTATGGTGACGGCAATGGCCTCCCAAATCCGACGCACCGCTCGCATCTCCGCAGCCTCCGCCGCTCCTTCTTCCGAAAAGACCGCAAGGTGCTCGGGTACGAGTGGGTCGGCATCGACGCAAGTGCGGACCACCGCGCCGCGCTCGAGTCAATCAAGACAGCCGCACAGCGCGGCGCTATTAGCCCTCGCATCCAGTCGGTGTTGCCGCTGGAAGACGCCTTCCGCGCTTTTAGCAGCGACGACGACGGCGTCGTCGTCGTCCGTGTGACGTAGCTTCCTCCACCTATGCTCCTCTCCCCTGGCACGCGCGTCGCGCGGCGCGGCGACACGGCCACCGTCGCGTACGTTGGCCCTCTGCCACCGCACGAGGGGACATGGTACGGCGTCGTGTGGGACCGGTTCGAGCGCGGTCAGCACGACGGGGTAGGGCCAGATGGGACACGCCACTTTAGCTGGTAAGCGACCACCACTAACGCAGTGCGCCACGCCAGGGCTCGTTCCTCCCGGCCTCGGCGCGCCTCGACACGGGCGTATCGTTTGTGGATGCCATGGCCCAAAAGTACGGCACCGGCCCCGAGGTACGTGCGCTCTCGGTAGCGAGCTTGGTGGGCGCGCCGCCCCCGCCCGCCCTGGCGGATGCCTCGTGCGTGTACGTACGCTGTGCATACCCGGACGGCGCCACAGGGCCCATGCCGTACACGCATCTCGGGACCATCGACCTCTCGCGCTCCCTGCTGGCCGACTGGGACGAGGTCGCGCGGATCGCTGCGCCTCTGCCACTGCATACGCTCGTCCTGCAGCAAGTGCGCCTCCGCCGCGCCATGCAGGTGCCTGCCGCCTTTGCGCAGCTCAAGTGCCTGCACTTGAATGATACCCGTACTGACTGGGCGCAGGCCCTCGTCCTGGGGCACGCGATGCCTGCGCTGACGACGCTGCAGCTCGCGCACAACGGGATAGAGGCGCTTGGTCCCTCGCAGGACGCAGGCGCAGCGTTTCCGTGCCTCACGTCGCTGCACCTGGGCGGCAACCGCTTGCGCAGCAGCGAAGATCTAGGCGCAGCGCTCCAGTCGATCGCGTCGCTGCGTCAGCTCCTGCTGAGTGGCAACGAGCTGACCCACATCACGCCCATGGCACGCCCCCTGGCGCAGCTGGACGAGGTGCACCTCGCGGACAACCCACTCGAGGCGTCCAGTGTGCCAGTGTTGGAATCGTGGATGGCTGTGCCCTACGCGCTTGTACTGCCGCCGCTCAGGGGCGATGAGGAGGCGACTCGACTGTGGGCTATTGCGCAGCTGCCGCGCCTCGCACGCCTAAATCACACGCCCATCACGCCACACGAGCGCACAGACGCAGAGCGCTACTTTTTGACCATCGCGTCGCCAGACGACCCACGGTATGGTGCGCTGTGTGAGGTGCACGGTGCGCCAGTCCGCGCGGCACCGCGCACGCTGCGCGACAATATGGTGGACCTGCGCTGGGCGCGCGCGGCGCATGCGCCGGCCGTGGCTGACGTGCCCGCCCTCCGTGCACAGGCGCAGCAGCTGTCGATGCTGGCCACGACACCCGTGCGGTCCGTGCTGCGTCATGTGGCCAGAGCTTGCGCGGCGCCTCGCACCGCGTCCTTGTGGGCCGTCTTGGCCGCTGAGCCCGAGCCACTGGTCGTCGCCATGGACGATGGCTGGCAGGACCTTGCGTGGTATGGAGTGCAGTCAGGCGACCTCGTCGTACTTGTAGACTAGTCCAAAGGTTCTACAGTTGGAATGCTCGCATGGCAAGAGGGCGCGCCGCCAGCCTGGAGCCACTCGGCTAACAGCGCCGCGGAGGCCGTGCCCATGGGCAGATACGATGAATTTGTCGAGAGCGAAAACATGTGCATGTGTGCCGTCACTTCGTCGGCGCTGTGGGTATCGAGGGGCGTGAAGTGGTGCGCGTAATCTGCTGACGCTGGCGGCACTACAATAAACGTGCGCGGCGGCATACCAGGCAGGCGCGTGTAGAAGCAGTGAAAGGGGATGCAGGCGTCTTGCAGGCGCGCATGCATCCCGCGCTCGTCCCACAAGTGCTGCACAAAGCTTGCGTGCTCAGAAATCCAGCGATACGCTTCGTACATGGGGTCTTTCTGCGTCATGGCTGCCGCCGCCGCTGTGCCTACAGCCGTCACCGCGGCGGTACCGATGCCAACCCACGACGCGGTGGACAGCCGCGAAAATGCGGACGTCTCCCGGTAGCGCGCAGGCAGCAGCATCGAAACGAGACTGCCCCCCACCGGCGCAAGCACTGCGCCGAACTTGAGGGCGGCATCGACGTAGCCATGATAGGTCGACAGCTGGTGCTTGAACACATGCGGATGCACTCCTAGGAATGGCGTGTCGTACGCCACGATCCCACATACGTGGGGCCACATGGGCCGGCCGGCCGGTGTGTTCTTGCGCAATGTAAGCGCGGCGTCCATACAAACGAGGCCGCCCATCGAGTGGCCACACAGTGCAACGATGCAGTGCGTATTATCGCTCGACTCACGCAGAGCCACTTCGGACGTGAGCCACGACAGCAGGCCATCGACAGCCTCTTGCAGCGACCCACGCGTCTCGTACGTAGGGTACACGATCGACGACACTTTTCCCTGGGGATACGTCTCCACAAGAATATGCCGCAGTCTCTCCGGGTACGCTAGAAACGTATGCTCCGCGCTTCCTTTAAATCCATGGACAAACACCAGGAGCAGCTCGTCCGCCACCGGAGACGGCGTCATAAGCGACTACAACCGCGCTATGTCATATGGCGGCCCTCCACCCACTTGAGCCCCGCGCGCACGGCCGCCCGAGCGGCCACCTTTTCCATCACGAGCCGGCCCCAGCTCATGCGCAGCGAGTGCATGGGCGTGATGAATTTGTGCAGGTAGACGACAGCATGAGCTGCGTCACATTTGCGCTCGTATTGCACAAAGCCACAGTCCTGCCCGCGGGGGATGTTGACCGACAACACCTTGCCAAGCAAAGGAAAGACCGAGTCAAGGGCAACGTCCGTCGACAGAGACAGTAGACTTCCAATAAACACGGTGGTGTTTTTAGGGTCAAACGCACTCGCACGGTGGGCAGATTGTAGTGCCGACACCAGGCCGGGGTTTGCGCTGGCCTTGCCCCGCGCCTTGCCCTCTTCCAGGAAATGCAGCTCGGTGACCGTGATGCATGTGTGGAGATGAAATTTGCAGTCAGGTCGGCCACAGCACTGGTCCACAGGGCGTCCTGCATCGCGATAGGGGGCTAGCAGAGGCCGTGGCACCGACGCTTGGACCTCTTTCGCGCGTCGGCGCGAAGGCTGCGCACGACGCGGTGCGTGGCGCGCGCCTAGACCTGCGCCTAGGAACGAGCCCTGGGGAGGCGGCTTGGCAGGATTCAGACTTAAGCAAAGCGGTGTCGCTGGCTGGTGCCGCGGTACAAGCACTGAATTCTGCATTTCAACCAGCGCACGGTCGCGGTCCGCTTGCGTGTGCATACGGACAAATGCGTAAGGCGCACGACTAGGCTGAGTCGTGTGAAGCACAATCTTAGTCGAATGAACCTGGAACGGGGCCAGTAAGAGCTTTCGGGGATGGCCGTCCTCGTAGGTCCAGGTGAAGGGCCTCTGGAAGTGCTCGGCCAACTCCTCCTCTGATATATGCGACGCCAGTCCTGCAATATGCAGGCTGGATAGATGATTCATCTCAAAGTCAGCTAATGGCACGTATGGTTTCGAACAGGCGCTGTGCTTGCGGGGAGAGGCGCTCAGCGCCGGATGCGTAGAGCAGAGCACCCACCTGGGGGAGGGTGACCTAGGGGGACACAGCGGCGTGGGGGCAGGCAATACGTGTTGCGATGCCGTGTCCTTGGATTCCATTTCGTTCTCTTGGCTAGGAAGTGCCTCGTTTCCCGGCAGGGAGTCGACCATGCTGGTCAGCCAACGAGGCACCTCATTGTTTGCGTCGGTCTTGGCACTATCGCGACTCGTTGGCCAGGTGTCATCCGGCAGGCTTTGTGCATTAATGGGTTTCCATACATCGTCCATGGGCATGAATAAGAGCGCACTATTGAGCAGCGGGGAAGAGCCCAGGGACATGATTGCGATGGGGACCTAGTCATGAAAGGCGGACTCTTTATACGTTCACCCCAGGCTGCCCTCTCCCACATCGTCAGCATCTGAGTGCATAAGAAACGCCCCATGCAGTATCATTTACTCCATAGATTGAATCTTTTTGGAATGGCAGAAGACGTTGTGACACACATTTGGGCCACAGAGTGGCGAGCATGATAGATCCAGCGCTCATCCAAGCTTAGTGTCAGTGCGCACTCCACATCATGAGAACGGTGCGGATAGCCTGACATGTCACATAGGCCAGCTTATCACGTCCTTTTCACTGCGTGGCACGTTGAGACTGCGCTGGCTCACGAAGGACGACACAGCGCACCTCCAGGCACCCTCCGCCATGGATCCATAGCACGTGATTGTAGATCTCGCGTTCTACCAACCCTGACACGATGTCGAGCCGCGCGTCCGAGATCGAAGAGGATGTGCGTACCGTGATGTACTGATCATTCTAGGCGGCACCCTTTCTTCTGAGATGTGCCGTAACGCGTTCAGAGTTTCGGTAAGTCCCAATATGCATCTCACACTCAGGCACCTTGACGACTTTCAAAGCAAGACCCTGCGCGGGGAACTGAATGTCTACGCTTGGTATGTGCCCTTGCTCTTCTCATGCCAGGCCTACAACAACACTGCGGGAAGTTGCTAATCTTTTATACCTGGTTGACCCCACCCTGTCTCGTCCAATGACGACGCACGACTTCCGCGTTGTATACTTCGATGGCGACAGAGGTCGATATGAGGCTGACAGGCCTGTGTATGGCGTCACCCGGATACCTACCGCAGCTGTAGCATCACTCTTGGCCTCCAAAGAGGGGTCCCTTGATGCGTCGCAAAAGGCCTCAGCGGCCGAGCAGGCTGCATCACGGACTCTCCAGCAACTACGTGTCAGAGACGACACAGTCCTGGAGTGCGCGCTGGATGCAGCGCCGATACCAGGAAGGCGCGAGCGCTCGCCACCCCGGCGCGGGCGGCGCTATCGTTCGTAGTATGGGAAAATTGTGACTTGGCACTATGCTACATAGGCTGTATCACATTTTGGAGTCATGGCCCAAGAAGGCTGAGCATGTTAGTATGGCTCGAAAACGCTGGCAGGTGAAAGAGGAGAGGCGCCTGCAGGTGCACAGCACGAGAAGAACGACCGGTGGTTCAGACAAAATTGATGATTCCGGATAAAGGATTTGTCCTCAAGAGTATCGGTAGAGGGAGTCCTGTTGCGTCATCCTTGCACCACTCCAGTACATCGCCGTTCCTCTTCCACCTGCAATCACACATACCAAAAGAATGGCCTCTTAGGCACGCTGGCTCTTGAAGTACTCGAGGAGCACGTTCAGACCCTCCGAGTCCTCACCGTAGTCGCGAACGACGACGCACGAGCAGCCGACGACCTTACGGGGGTTGCCCTCGCGGTCAATCTTGCACAGGCCAGCCCAGGTGCCGAGGGTCTTGGGGTCAGACACCTTCAGCAGGTTGATGTCGTGCTTGTTGCAAAGAGCCTCAATCAGCTTCAGGTACTCGGCCTCGTTGCAGGTCTCGCACAGCACACACAGGTGAGCCTGGCGACGGTCCAGGGCCTTGGCAGCCTCACGGAGACCACGGGCAAGGCCATCGTGGCAAAGAGCCTTCTTCAGCACCTGCTGAAGAGCGTCCTCAATGCTCATGGTGGTGCTCTGAGGGGCAGGGGCAGCCTCGGTCTCCTCGACCTGGACATCGACGGGGGTCTCCTCAATTTCAGACATGGTTAAAATACGTTAAGTGCTTCTTCGAAAGGACCGCAAAAGCAGTGCCGACTCTGTAGCCGTGTTAGCCTCAGTAAAGACGCCGCCTACGCACCAGCTCTGGGGTGAAGAAGAGACAATGGTGCACGACGCTCCCAAAGCTGGCGTATGGTCACGTGGTTCCGAGATGAAGGATGGTCACGTGTGTGATATAGTTCTGGTGAGCGCCGCAATTCCTTGCCGAGGAAGCTTGGAGGCCGTCGTTTCTAACCGCCTCAACAGCACAATGTCGAACCTTGAGCTTGGTGTGCAGACTGAGAAGGCCTTCCAGAAGCAGCCTCTGTTCCTTAACTCGAAGGTGGCTCGCAAGAGCACCCGTGCCAAGCGGTGGTACAAGGACGTTGGTCTGGGTTTCAAGACCCCCAGCGCCGCCGTGGACGGTACTTACATTGGTGAGTAAGGCGCCGTTGGCGTGTGTGTGAACGCGTACTAACACACTTAGACAAGAAGTGCCCCTGGACTGGTCTCGTGTCGATCCGCGGCCGTCTCCTCAGCGGCAAGGTTGTTTCGACCAAGATGACCCGCACTGTGATTATCCGCCGGGAGTACCTGCACTACGTGCCCAAGTACAACCGTTACGAGCGCCGTCACAAGAACCTGGCTGTGCACGTCTCGCCTGCGTTCCGTGTTGAGGTCGGTGATATTATCGTGGCTGGTATGTTACGAATGTCCGAGACGCGCTAACCCCTCAGGCCAGTGCCGCCCTCTCTCGAAGACCGTCCGTTTCAATGCCCTGAAGGTGATCAAGAATAAGAGCACTGAGCGTGCTAAGGCCTTCAACCGCTTCTAAGCGTGTATTTGATCCAAAAAATGGTTTGTAACTGATGGTGGATGCCACGGATCGCCCGGTCGGTGCCGTTGTTCGCCGAGTCTGGATATTCTGGCGTTCTTTACCCACTACGTGCATAGCTCTATCAGTAACAGAATCGAACCTTTCGAGCCGTAGTCTGTCGTGGCCAGAGACCAACTAGCTACCATGGCAATGGGTGTACGGTTTTTTACTACAATCCGAGCTCCCCTCACTTGAGCCAAGCCCTGGGTAGGTCTATAGACAAGCTGGGTACAAGCGTGCGATCAGCCATGTTGTATTCGGGAATGAAGCAAACCGTTTTTGGCAGCACATTTAGAACAGACGCTGGGGCTTGCCCATGGTCGACTTGATGTGCAGCGACTTGACGTTCTGCCAGTTCTTCTTGAGCAGCGAAATGAGGAAGTTGACAGCCAGCATGATGTTGGCGGTCAGCTGGTCCTCCGTCATCTCTACGTGACCGACGGCCACACCGAGACACAGCACCTTCTTCAGCTGGAACTTGATGGTCGACTTGACGTCGGTCACCTTCTTCTCGAGGTCCTCAGCGTGCGAGACGGGCGAAGGGAACTTGCCGGCCTTCGACAGACCGGGACCAAGCAGACGAGGGATCTGCTTGATCAAAGCGTCCGAGGACAGGAAAGCATCGTACTTCTTCGCCAGCTTCTTGACCAGCTTCTTGTTCTTGTTGAGCTTCTTCAGGTCCTCCACGGTCATGAAGTCGAGCTGAATGAGCTTCGCACGGTCAACATCGGCGGCATCAGCGAGAATGCACAGCGACATGCGCGGGCGAGGGACGTTGGGCAGCTTCACGGTACCGCTGAAACGCTTGTCACGCTGGGGGTCGTAGTTCTTCAGACCGATCTGGAGCTCGACGGTCTCGTTGAAGTTACGCTTCTTCTCTTCCGAGCCCTTGAGAAGGTCACGGACGGACGATCGCACGCTGGACACCTGGATCTTCGACACTGCACCGAGTTAGCGGCCCCATAGCCAAGACTTACTTTGGGAAGGCGGTTGGCAAAGAAAGAGGCGCGCCGCCTTGAAGGAAGAAAGGCCGCCGAAAAATTATCACGTGATATATAGGCGATGGCGCACGAGGGACCTCCACGTCCACGCCGAGGTGGAGCGTGCTCGACGTTGGCGACGACTATGGCTCGCAACCAGGAGAAGGCGCAGTCTATGCTCCACCGTTTCAGGCAGACCCAAGTGCACGAGCTTGGGTTGAACGTGCGGAGTCATGACAGGCGCCCGAAATTAATATCTACTGTGAACAGTGTGCGCGACTGCGACAAGTGGCGCGACGAAGTGATGAGGGAGATTAGTCGGAAAGTGGCTCGCATCCAGGACGGTGCGTGTGAGAAAACTCACAGGCAGAGGGCTTGACAGACTATGAATTGCGTGACTTGAATGATGAGATCAATCACCTATTTCGCGAGAAGGGGCAGTGGGAGCGGCAGATCGCCGCGCTTGGCGGTGCCAATTATCGCAGTGGCGTGCCCCGCATCTTGGACGACCATGGCGAAGAGATCCCAGGTATGCGCGGGTACCGCTACTATGGGCGGGCGCGGGAGCTGCCGGGTGTCAAGGAGCATTTGCGCCCCGCCGAGGCACAGGAAGACAAGGCGGAGGAGTCGGTGAAGGAAAAGCGCATCAAGGCGTACCAGGGACAGCCACCCGCATACTTTGGCAACGAGGACGAGCAGGACGGTGTGCTTCTACGAGAAGAAATGGGCGCGGAGGAACTCGGCTGGTCCGAGGGCTGGCGCCGCGTGGCTGCGACCCTAGAGCTGCCGAGCGACTTTGTGCCGCCTGCGATGCCCCGGCCGCCGCCCGTTCCGTTGGACCTGTCGGCGACTGCACGCAGCGATAAGGCTCAAGATACCCCTGCACTAGGAGCCTCCCTGCTGAGCGCGCTGCCAGCCGAGGAGCTGGTGATGCCCGAAACGGTGACACGCAAAGACATCGAAGCGTATATGCTCCAGGCCAAGAAGGCGGCGCTTCGCCAAGAGTGTACGTGGTGTCTACTAACAGGCAGATCTGGGCGCGTAGCTAGTACACGTGTGCTTCTGCCAGGTAGCGAGCCACAGGCGCAGGCACCATAGTGTGTAAGGCGTTGACGAGGTCTTCGCGGCTCATGCCCTGGGCCTCGGCCTCTGTCAGGAACGTGCGAACGGCCGTGGAACTGTGGCGCGCCACGTCAGGGTCGAGTGGACGGAGAGCAATGCCCCCCTGCTCGAGCCAGTGACGCGCGAGGGCGCTGTGTGCGAGCAGTTCATGCAGCTCTGGCGACGTGGCCTGTGCCAGCGCAGTTGCGCCGGGAAGGCCCGCCGTGCCCTGCACAGAGGTGGGCGAGCGCTCCGCACAAAGCATGTGCGACTGTTCCTGAGCAAAGAAGCGGTCGCACGCATGAACAAGCGCGGCCTCTGACCCGTAGTACTTGGGCTGGAATACGCGCACGAGGGTATCACTGCCCATGAGCCAGTGCAGGTGTAGCGGCGCAGACGCGCGCAGGTGCGTATGCAAGAGCGTCGACTTGGCAAATACGAGCGGCTCGTCCACCAGGGCGACGGCGACCTGCATATCGCTCTGCTCGAGGTGCTGCGCGAGCAGCAGCATCATGTGCAGACGCTGCAGAGGGCTGGCGTCGCCGGGGCGCCCGCGGCCCTTGTCGGCGTTTCGCACAGAAAACAGCAGTATATGTGCATCAAAGTGGTGCGGCGATATAGCGGGGCGCAGGTGTGCGAGGCCGGCATGTGCGCGAGTAGGTGGATTGAACGACGCGTCGAGCACGGCAATGTGGGCGCGCTCACACGACGCCGGGAGGACAGGCCATGTGGGCTGCGACGTATAGACCAATTTGAACCGCTGCTGTTCGGCAACAAACTGCTCGAGGGAGGGGCCGAGGCGGTGCCATGCCTCCGAGGCGGCCGGCCCCAGCGCGCGAGCGACAGCCTCCATGCAGGCCGGCGGCGCCCGGGCCAGGGTGGGGTGGATGTGCCACGTGCCATTTTTTCCTGCCCGGCCGAAAATGCGCGCCGTAGAGAGCCGCTGCGGACGTGGCTCCCTTCGCCTTCCTCCAGGTATACAAACGACATGAAGGTGTGTGCCTGGTAGCTTACATGCGCAGCTCTACACTGACAAGATTAGCGGCGATGAGATGGTCTCTGACGGCTACAAGATCCAGGAGGTCGACGACATCGTGTACGAGGTCGACGCCTCGATGATCGTTGTGCAGGACGGCGAGGTCGACATTGGTGGAAACCCGTCTGCCGAGGAGCAGGCTGAGGCTCTCGAGAACGGTGCTGAGCAGGTGATCAACATTGTGCACAGCTTCCGTCTGCAGGCCACCTCGTTCGACAAGAAGACCTACCTGTCCTACCTGAAGGGCTACATGAAGTCGATCAAGCAGGAGCTCCAGGAGTCCAACCCCGAGCGCGTGCCTGTGTTCGAGAAGAAGGCCGCCGAGTTCGCCAAGAAGATCATCGGCAAGTTCTCCGACTGGGAGTTCTACACGGGTGAGTCGATGAACCCCGACGGTATGGTCGCCCTGCTGAACTACCGCGAGGACGGTGTGACGCCCTACTTTGTCTTCTGGAAGGACGGCCTGAAGGAGACCAAGATCTAATCACGTAGAGCCTGTCTACTTTTTCGCATACGGTTTGGGTAGGCCGCTCGCGCGCGGCAGGTGCCGACCCACGGTCCCGCCGCGCCGTGCCTTGTTGAGGTAGTCGGTGTACTTGGCATTGGCCGCGAGAAACTTGTCCTTGCGCGCGCCGATTTCGACTGGCGCGATGTTGTCCTGTGCCTTTTTCAGGCGGCAGGGGCGCGAGCCGATGTACTTGCCGTCCATTTCCTTCCACGCGCGCAGAAAGTCCTCGGGGTCCGCAAACGCCACGAAGCCGTAGCCCTTGCTCTTGCCGTCGGCCTTGTTGCGCACGACGCGCGCGCGCGAGAACGACGGGTACTTCTGAAAGGCTTTCGTGAGGTGCTCGTCGTACACATCGTTGCCGAGATCACCCACAAAGAGGCGCTTGTGCGACGGGTCCCACTCGAGGAGCGAGCGGTCCTCCCACAGCTTGCCCGCCGCGCGGCGCAGCACCGTCTCGCGCGTCTCGCCCTTCTTCAGGTGCCCGGCCACCTTCACCTGCGTGCTGCGGCCCGCGCGCGTCGGCACATAGTCGTACACAGACGACTGAAGCTGCTGCTGGTACAGCTCCGCACTCGTCGGCTCCGCGCGCTGCCGCTGCGCCGTCGACGATTCCGGATACCCATGCTTCTTGTAGAAGCCCTCGTAGTCGAAGGCCCACTCGCCAGCCACGCCGTCCCAGTAGTAGAACGGCGTGTAAATATCGCCCGCGTCCGTGCTCATGCAGGCGGTGGCGCAAGGCGACGCAGGTGGAGCGCCACTCCACCCGAGCCGACCATGGACGTGGGCAAGCTGTTTCAGGTAGGCCGCTCCCACTGACCACAGCTGCCGACCGTGTCTTCATCGGCGGTGAACAAGCGCAAGTGGGGCGCGCCGCCCGCCGGCGCCGCGCCGCCCGCGGCCGCGGTCACGGACACGGACGCGGACGCGGACCGCGACGAAGGCGTCGCACGGGCAGCGCCCGAACTGAAACGCACGCGCGTGGACGACGGCGAAGAGCTGTACGACGGCGAGCCTGATGACGGTGACGACGAGGAGGGCGGCCGGTTCTTTGGTGGCGGGCTCACGGACGAGCAGGAGCGCATCCTCGAGATTATGAACCGCCACGCGACGGACGGCGCCGAGAGCGGCGCGCGCGCTGCCGACGACGTCGCAGAGACGCGCCAGCTGCTCGTGCGGCTTGAGCGGGCGATTGAGAAGAACCAGGCCATGCGCCTCAAGTTCCCCGACGATCCCCGCCGCTTCATCGACTCGGAGGCCGACCTGGACAGTGCGCTGCGTGCCCTGGTCCTGCTGACCACGAACGCGGGTGCGCTGTACCCTGTGCTCGTTCACCAGGGGTCCGCCGCGAGCGTCGTGGGTCTCCTCGCGCATGAGAATGCGGACATGGCGGCCGCCGCCATCCAGGTTCTGGAGGAGCTCACCGACGACGATGTGGTGGACGCCGCCGACGAGGCAGGCGCAGCGGCGATGCAGGCGCTCGTGGATGTGCTGCTGAAGCACCAGGTGCTGGAACTGCTCGTCTCGAATTTGAAGCGCTTCCACGATACGCCGCCCGCGTCAGACGATGCAGCGGCGATGGAAAACTACGAGAGCGACCGGCAGGCCGTGTACCACACGCTGAGCGTGCTGGAGAATCTCGTGTCGCTGCGCCCGGGCGTCGCCGAGGACCTGGGCCGCACGACGCCGCTGCTCGCGTGGCTGCTTACGCGCATGCACCGCGCAGGCCGCCTGGACCAGAACCAGGCGTATGCGGCAGAACTGCTCGCGATCCTGCTGCACGACAGCGACGCGAACCGCGCGGCGCTCGCGCGTGTCCAGGGCGTCGATACGCTCCTCCAAGTCCTCGCGCGTTACCGGCACGCGGACCCGCGCGATGCGGAAGAAGGCGAGTTCCTCGAGAATGCCGTCGACGCGCTGTGTGCGGCGCTCGCCGTGCGCGAAAACCGCGCACAGCTCCTCGAGGCCGAGGGCCTCGAGCTGATGATCCTGCTGCTCAGGGCCAAGCGCCAGGCGCGCAGCGGTGCTCTCAAAGTACTCGATCACGCGCTCAGTGACGCAGAGGGCGGCGCCGCGTGTCTGCACTTTGTCGAGGCGCTTGGACTGCGAGCGCTGTGCCCCGTTCTCATGCGGCCCATGGACGGAAAAGGCGCGCTGCGTGCACAGGACATGGAGCACCTGCTTGGCGTCTTTGCGGCCCTCCTGCACAACCTCGACTCGGACAGTGCACAACGCGCGCGTGTGATCGCCAAGTTTGTGGAGCAGGACTATGCCAAGACGGACCGCCTCCTCGCGCTGCGGGCAGCTGCCGCCGAGCGTGTGCAGGCGGCGGAGCCGCGCGTGGCCGAGGAGCAGGCGGTGCTCGCCGCTGAGGGTATCGAACCGGCCGATATCGACGCGCTCGTGTATGCGCGGCGCCTCGAGGGGGGACTGTACGCGCTGCAGCTGCTGGACTATGTGCTCGCATGGCTCGCCATGGAAGACGACGGCGTACGTACCGCCTACTTACCTCAGATCCAGGCGCACATGGCCGAGCAAAAGAGCGTGCCCTGGGCCGACATTGTGGCGACGCTGGACGTGTACGCCGCGCACATGGACTCGGCACGCACGGCGGCCTCGGGCGACGCCCTCGTCGACATTATTCGCGCGCTGCGCGCGTACCTGGCGGCGCTTTCGCCTCCACGTGCGTGACGCCCAGCGGCGCCGTGGAGCGCGCTGTGGAGGCGAACGGCGCGGCCTCGGCGCGGCGGCGGCGCGGGGCCTCGTCGCGCGTTGTGGACGTCTCGCGAGGCCGCTCGGCGCGCTCGGTGGCTGTGCGTGCGGGGGTCGTGATGCGTATGCGCTCGTGGCGCTGCTGGATGGCGCGGAAGTGGGCGAGCAAGTCGCTCCACGCCGTATCGGCCATGGGTGGCCTCGACGCACGCGCAGGTGCCGAGGACCGCGTGGTGAGCGCGAGGTGGCCGAGGCCATTGATGGCGTGTAGGCGGTTGCGCAGCGTCGCGAAGGCTGAGCTCTGTGGCAAGAGCATGAGCATGCCGTAGAGGCACTTGAATAGGAACGGGTTCTGCTCGGGCTCGAGCAGCTGGAGGCGCAGCGACGTGAAGATGGGCGACTCGATGAGCTGTACGAGCTTGTCGATCTGGAGGAGCATGGCGAGGCTCACCTCGAGGTCGGCGAAGATGCGCAGCATATGGTAGGCGTGCTCGTACGCCTGCGTGAGCAGGCAGAGGCAAAAGGCGGAGATGGCATTGTGGCTCCAGCAGCGGTACAGGCGCACGAACAGCTGCTGGTTCTCGCGCGCATCGAGCGCACGCAGCCGCCGGCGCAGTGGCTGCAGCTCCTGCGACGCGACGAGGATCATGTTCAGGTTCTGCACCATGATCGAGGCGAACTCCAGGTCCGCGTACGACTCGAGGATCTCGGCGAGCATGCAGAACACGCGCTCGGTCTGCAGGTTGGCGCACAGCTGGCGCACAATCAAGCTGCCCCACGTCTCGAGCAGCTTGCGGTCCGTGGCGAACAGCTCGAGCAGGTCAGACATGAACACGCGGAAATGCCGCTCGTCCGCCTGGCTGCAGATCTGGATGAGGAGGCGCATATCGCTTAGAATGACTTCTTCGTTGGGGTCTGACAGCACCCGCAAGAGCAGAGACACGCTGCCGTCCTCCATGGAGAAGAGTTTCGACGGGCTCTTCGCGTGCAGCATCGTGAGCCACTCGAGCGCCTGGAGGCGCGCCTGGTCGTGCTGGTCGACGAGGTGCTGCTTCAGTGCATTGGTCGTGGCGAACGAGTCGAGCGCGCTCGCGGCGCCGTCCAGCGCAGGGAGCTGCTCGACGGCCGTGTACAGCTGCTTGTTCGTTTCGATCGCGGCCACCTGGATGGCCGGCGCAGGGTGCGCAAGGCACGGCAGCACGGACGAGATGAGCCGGGGCGTGAAGGGCACCATCTTGTCCGGCACAGCGCGCAAGAACTCGGTAATCCACTCGAACGTGGTCGCCTGGATCTCCACGTCATGGTCCTGCACAAGCTCGAGGAGGATCTCGATAAGGGCATCGTACTCGATGCGCACGTCGCTCGAGTGGATCCACACGAGCTCATCCGCGTCGTCGTCGCCCGTGCCAGGCTCGTCGCCCGGCGCCTTGTCCTCGGGCGGCACCTCGGGCGAGCGATCCGCGGGCGGCGCCGGCGCAGGCGCCGGGCGCTCGAGGTGGGATTGGTGCTGCGCGGCCTCGCGAATCTCGCGCAGAAAGTCGGCGAGCACCTCAGCCGTGGCGACACGCACGTCCGTGTTCGGGTCGCCGAGGTACTGGAACAGGTGCTTGAGGAACACACTGAGGTACGCCACGAGCTGCAAGTCGGGGACCGAGTCGAGCACGGCGATCCAGCCGACCAGGTAGTTCCGCGTGAGGGGGCTGATGACCTGCATGCGCTCGGAGAGCAGGGGCACGAGCCGCGCGAGCGAAAAGGCCTTGTTGGAGACGGTGTTGCGGTGGTCATGCTGCTCGTGCATCTCGCCCAGGTACCGCTCGTGCTCGGCCTTCTCGCGCGCGACGGCCAGCTCGTGCGCGCCGCCCAGCAGGCCGAGCTCGCGGTCCTGCCGCGCGCGCACACGCGAGACGTCCTGGTAGACGGACACGTAGTGGGGCGCACACTCACACACAATGTCCTTGAACAGGCGGTCGAGGAGCTCCGCGCCGTTCTTCACCGACACTTCCGAGTCGGCCGCGAGGCGCGCCAGCACCACAAACACCTCGTTAAAGTAGACGAGGATCTCGCCCTTGCACACCTTGGCAATGTTGTAAAAGCTCTCGCACGCAAAGTAGCGCGTCTTGGGATCGGCATCGCTGAAGCAGGCCAGCACCGGCCCGATCATCTGGTCCAGGTACGCAGCCACCTCCTGCCCGAGCGCAATCCCGACACCCGCCAGACCAATGAGGCCGCCGTTCCGCGCATTCGCGTTCGGGGGCGGCTGCTCGGTGAGGAACGAGCACAGCTGCTGCACGATCGGCCCGATCTTGGCGCGATCCTGCCGCGCGACCAGGTCGCGGACATGCCTGCGTGAGTGGCAGGAACGTACCGCTCCAGCTCCAGCGCAGCCGCCTTGCGCTTATCGTACACGCGGTCAAAAAGGGCCTTTTGGAGCGAGGCGTCTGCGTGAGCTCACAGCACATACCCATCTCACCGTCGTGCGGCGCCACGGTCGCCCGGCGTGGCCCCTGCGCGCGGGCGGCGCTGACTCAGCGACCGAAGGGCCGACAAAAAAAAGTCGGCGCCAAGTGCGCGGTCGTCATGGTGCGAGTCGTGCGCGGCGTCCCGCGCCCGGTCGCGCGTGCCGGTGGCATGCGCACGAGCAAAATCAAAGGAAAAAGCAAGGCCAAGAGCACCGTCAAAGCGGCGGCGGCAGCCGCGGCTGTGCAGGCCGCGCGTGTCCCACGGGGCCTCGACGAGGTCGTCCGGCCCGGCGCCCAGCTTGCTGCGCTCCTGGACGAGCCGATCCGGTTCGTAGGGAGCTCGCGCGATGAGCTCAAGGCCAGCATGAGCCTGGACGCTGCGCGCTCAGCGCACCTCGAGATTGTCAACGAACCGGACGAGCCCGTCCGCCGTCCGTCGGCGGCGCCTGCCGAGGCGGCCCGCTCGCCGAACCGGGCACGGCCAGCTGGGCTGTACGCGCCATCGCTCGCACTGCGCCTGCCGCGGCAGGGGCTGCGTGTGGCGGGCCTGTACAACCGCGGCAACACGTGCTACCTGAACAGTGTGATGCAGGCGCTGCTGCACACGCCGCCGCTGGCGGCGGCGATGCTCACGCAGAGTGTGCCGACGCTGCTGGGGCGCTATGGCATGCCGCGCACGCAGAAGCAGGCGCTCAAGGCCGCGTCCATGTTCAACCCCGTGGCCGCCCTAAAAGAGCTGTTCGAGCGCGCGTACAGCGGGACCAGCGCCGTGGCACCGACGCAGCTGGTCGCGAATCTGCGCAAGTTTGCACGGCCATTGCGGCCAGGGCGCCAAGAGGATGCGCACGAGTACCTGCGCCTCCTCCTCGAGTCGATGCAGCAGGCGAGTGTGTGCTTCGCCGGCAAGGACGTGCCGCCCAACGACCCGCTGCTGGCCACGACGCTCGTGCAGCAGATCTTTGGCGGGCGCCTGCGCAGCCGCGTGACGTGCCACAGCTGCCGACACCACTCGGACACGTTCGACCCTGCGATGGATCTGAGCCTGGACGTGCGCAAGGGCATCAGCAACGTCAAGCAGGCGCTCGAGGCGTTTACCGCGCCGGAGGCGCTCGCGGACAAGTACCAGTGCGACAGCTGCCACGCGCGCGTCGATGCGACCAAGCGCTTCACGGTCGATCGCGCCCCGCTCGCGCTGACCGTGCACTTGAAGCGCTTTGGCCTGCTGGGCAATAAGATCAACAAGCCCGTGAGCTACACAGAGCGCCTGCACCTCGGGCGCTACATGAGCGAGCGGCCGAAGGCGGGCGCCGCGGACCCCGAGGCCTACCGCCTGTATGCGATCGTGCACCACTATGGGAGCGGACCGCATGTCGGCCACTATGTCGCGAGTGTGCGTGCGGCCGACGGCCAGTGGCTGCGCATGGACGACTCGGACGTGTCGCCCCTGCGCCACTGCCCCGTCGACGACCCGTCGGCGTATGTGCTCTTTTACTTGCGCGAGCCGAGCGCGCCCGAGGCGCCCGCCGCCAGCTCTGCGCGTGCGTCTGGCCCGCCCAGTCCCGCGAAGCGCGAGGCGCCCGTCGCGCGCCTTGACGATACCTTGGGCGAGCCTGTCTCGCGGGCTGCGTTCCTGCAGGCGCAGGGGCTCGCGCACCGGGGCAGCGAGTCGGACGACGACGCGCAGCGCTCGCCGGGCGAGCCGGCTTCGAGCCCCGGTCGCCGCCGCAAGAAACGGAAGCGAGCTATGTAGCGAGATATACACGGACGGCCTCGGGCTCGGACAAGTGCGCTTGCAGCGCGGCCCTGCTGGCAGGCGTAAGGGGGTACCAATGCGCGCCGGTGCCAAACACGTCGTCCATGTCCTGGACGGCCGGCGGCGGCGCATCGGCCGACCCGGTCCAGGCCGCCGCGGCGCTCACGCCAATGGCGTCCGACGCGTCGAGCGTGAGGGGGGAGCGCGCCTCGATGCCGAGAGCGAGGTGGTGCGAGTGGGACACGCGGCACTGCCACGCGGCGCCCAGCACCACGCAGTACGTGCACGCATCGAGCAGGACACTGCCCTGCACATCGCCGAGGTGCACGACGCACGCATGCAGGCGGTGCAGGTGCACGGCCCGGCTCGTGGGCGGGAGACGCACGACCTCGTGCTGCACGTCCGCGACGGTCGTCTGGCTCGGCGGCANCGCCGCGCAAAGCGGAAGGGCGCAGGCTGCGCCGCGTGCAGAGAGCGCTGCGCCTCGGCGAGCTCCGCCTCGTACTTCTGCCGGTCGTACGCCGGCAGCACGTGCACCTGTGCCTGGAGCGCCTGGCGCGCCTCTAGGAGCGCGGCGACGGCCTGCTCGTGCTCGCCGCGCTGTACATGCGTGTGGATGGCTGGGTCAGCGTGGCCCACGTACCGGCCAGGCGCGCGGGAAAGTGCGCGAAGAACGCCTGCGCTTGCGACGCACTGACGTCCATGGCGCCGGCAGGCGAGGCGCAAGCCACGTGATGAATGGCCCAGGCGCGGGGCACGCTTCCACCACGATGTACGGATACGGAGCACAGCCCGGGTATGGACCGCCGCCGAGCGGCATGTACGGCGCCCCGATGCCCGCGCCGGGTATGCGTGGGAATGGCCCCCCGACGTCGTACCATATGATGTCGGGCCCCACTGGCCCGCCCGCGTACCAGGGGCAGGTGCATGCGAACCCGCAGGGCGGCGTCATGAACGGCAGTACGTGGCTCTTCTGACACGAGACATGCGCTACGAGTACTCGAGCATGACCGGCAAGCGCAAGGCGCTGCTGATTGGCATCAACTATGCGGGCACCAGCAGTGCGCTGCGCGGCTGCTGGAACGACGTGCACAACATGGCGCGCTTTATCCAACGTGCGTGGCGCTACTAACCGCAGACCAGGGCGGCTACCACCCCGACGACATGGTGATCCTCACGGACGAGCCGACGCACAATATGCGTTCGCTTCCTACGCGCGAGAACATCTGCCAGGCGATGCACTGGCTCGTTTCGGGCGCGCAGCCGGGCGATGCGCTCTTCTTCCACTACTCGGGACACGGCGGGCAGGAGCGCGCGGTCGAGGCCGACGAGGAGGACGGGTACAATGAGACGATCCTGCCGCTCGACTACCAGATGAGCGGGCAGATGCCGGACGACGAGCTGCACGCGCGCCTCGTGCGCCCGCTGCCCGTCGGCTGCCGTCTCACGGCGCTGTTCGACTCGTGCCACTCGGGTACGGCGCTGGATCTGCCGTACGTGTATGCGACGTCGGGCAACATCAAAGAGACGAACATCTCGATGAATGTCGGCAAGGGCCTGCTCGGCGCGGCGATGGAGTATGCGCGGGGCGACGTGGTCGGCATGGTGAGCGGCCTCTTTAACACGGTCAAGAGCGCGACGACGAACCGCAACGCCGCCGAGTACACGCGTCAGACGCGCTCGAGCGGCGCCGACGTTGTCATGCTCTCAGGGTGCAAGGACAGCCAGACGAGTGCGGACGCTATGGAGGCGGGGCGCGCGACCGGCGCCATGAGCTGGGCCTTTATCAGTGTGCTCTCGCAGTGGCCGCAGCTGTCGTACGTCCAGCTGCTCAATGCGACGCGCGACCTGCTCGCGGCCAAGTACTCGCAAAAGCCGCAGCTGAGCGCGTCGCACCCGATCGACATGAACCTGCTCTTTGTGATTTAGCCAACCACGCGTCGTAGATCACGTGATCCAGGGCCGTCGCCCGCGGCGGCGCTTCCGTCCTTGCCCACCGCCGTGCGAGTTGCGCGATGACGGCCGAGTCTGTCGAGTACGTGTACGCGCTGTACAATTTCGATGCAGAAAATCCCGACGAGGTAAGCTTCCGGATGGGCGAGCGCGTCCGCATAGTCGAGAAGGACGACGCATACGGCGACGGCTGGTACCAGGGCACGAATGAGCGCGGTGAGACGGGCCTGTTTCCGTTCTCGTACACGACCTACGACGAGTCGGCCGCGCAGATGATGGTCACCGGCGCGCGCAGCTCAGCCTCCGCAGAGCCCTCCGCCGCCGAGCCTGGCGTGCTGCACTCGACGATGAACGACATTGACCACGCCCTGTCGGAACTCCACAGCCCCCGCACCGGCGACTGGGACGACGAAAACGAGGCGGAGCCAGACTTTGCCGCGCGCGCCGCAGCGCGCGCCGCGCTCGCACGCAACGCGCAAAAGAGCCTGGCGGAGGTCGCCCACGAGCAGGAGGCCGGTGGTGCGTGGCCCGCAGCGAGCGGGCTCGGCGAGCCTGGCAGCATCTCGAACGCCAGGCATGTGGGCCTCAGCACGGCGCCCGGCATCACGCCTCTCGCGATGCTCGAGATGAGCGACGAGAGCGAGGACGAAGACGACGCGCCGCAGGCCCTCGGCGCGTCAACGAGCACCGCTGTGCCGCCGCCCGCGCAGCTGGCCGAGACGGTGCCTGAGCCGCCCAGCAAGGCCGAGCCGGCGCAGTCGGTACCCGAGTCGCCCAAGTCGCCGCTCGGCGCTACGCCGCCGGGCCCCTCGTCCGCCGATGCACTGGCGATGCAGCCGATGCAGCCACAGCCTCTCTCGGTGCCAGCGCAGGCCCTCGCGTCGACGGCGCCGGAGCCGGCGCCGGCGCCGATGCCTGAGCCCCCTGCGCCGATGACCGCCACCTCGCCGGACGCCGAGGCGCCCACACACCCCGTCGAGGCGTCGCCGGCGCGCCAGGAAGTGAGCATTCCCGGCGGCTTTGTCGAGCCGCCCATGCCGGCGCGCGAACTTGCGTGGTCGGGGCCGTCAGTGCCAGAGGCAACGCCTGCTGCACCGCCCGTCTCGGCGCCTGTGCTGAGCGACTCGAAGCCGGCCGCGCTCGACACGCCGCCGCGGCCCGCGACGCTTGGCAGCCCCCCGAGCGGCGCGCCGAGCGGCAATCCCATGGCCTGGACGGTCGACGACGTGGTGGCGTGGGCGCGCGCAAAGAACTTTGATGCGCAGACCATCGAGAAGCTCGCAGAGCATGAGATCAGTGGCGATGCGCTGCTCGCCATGGATATCCACCTGCTCAAGGAAATTGATATTGTGGCATTCGGCCGCCGCTTCCACCTGGCGAACGGTATCAAGGAGCTGCAAGAGCGCGTTGCGCCGGGGCCCGTGTCGCCGACGCCCGTGGCACCGACGCCCGTGGCACCGACGCCCGTGGCGCCGACCCCGCCCATGGCGCCGACCCCGCCCATGGCACCGACTCCGCCCATGGTCCCGCCCTCGCCCATGGTCCCGACCTCGCCCGTGGCGCCGCCGCCTGCGCCCAAGTCGCCGTGGAACGGGACGGGCGCGGCATGGACGTCGCCGCAGCCGTCCGCGAGTCCCGTGGTCCGCGATGCTGTGCCGACGGCGAGCCCCATGGCGCCGTCGGTGTCGACGGTGCCGGGTCTAGCGCCGCCGGCGTCATGGGCGTCGGTCCAAACGGCGACGCCCATGCCGTGGGAAGTCGAGACCGCAGCCCCGATGCCAAGCACCGCGGCGCCGCAGCCGGTCCCCGAGCCGGTGGCGCCTGCGGCGGCGCCCGAGGTGCGTGCGGCGGAGCCTGAGGCGGTGCCTGCGGCGAAGCGCCAGGTGCCTGTGGCCGCGGGCGAGTCTGTGGATATGCCCCTGCCTGCTGTGCCGAGCGCGGAGCGCGAGTCGTGGCACCGCTTCCACCTGCGTCCTGTGCGTGCCAAGTCGACGGCGCGTGCGAATGGCCCGAACAAGAGCCAGATCTCGCTGCCGACGTCGAATGCGCACTTTATGCCGCCGCCCGCGCCGCCCAAGGACGGGGCGCGTCAGAGCACGGCGCAGGACGCTGTGCTGCAGCGTATCGGCCCTGTGGACAAGCAGGGATGGATCAAGAAGCGTGGAGAGCGGTACAACACGTGGAATGCGCGGTACCTGGTGCTGCAGGGCCACGACCTACTCGTGCTGCGCGACCCGAATGCGGAGCGCGTCAAGAGCCACATCCCGCTGCAGGGCTACAAGGTCATTTCGGACGAGTCGGCGCCGGGCCGCTACAGCTTCAAGATCGTGCACGAGTCGCAGCGCACGCACCAGTTCAGCCTGGAGGACCCGGTGGCGCTGCGCAGCTGGATGAAGGCCGTGATGAAGGCGACCATCGGGCGCGACACGTCGCAGCCGGTGATTTCGTCGTACAGCAACCCAACGATCTCGCTCGAGGAGGCGCAGCGCCGCCGCCCCCGCCCGCCGAGTCCGTCGACGCGTCAACGCTCGCAGCTCGAAGTCGCGCGCGAGAGTGCCGAGCTGCAGGTGGCGCGGGATATGGCCGCGTACGGACCGGGCAACGACCTGGTATAGGCAGTAGCTGTACGATAGTCTCTATGAAAAGACCCGGTGGCCGAGCCACACGGCGCCGCCCAGCACGGCGCTGACCTGCACGAGGCGCACAAGCGTGCTGGCACGCTCCGCCTGGTGCTCCTCGTCGCTCCAGCGGCGCTGGCTCCACGCGCGGAACGAGTCGGGGTGCGCCTGCGAATGCGCCGCGGAACCAAAACGCGTGCGGAAGCGCTCGAGGCGCGCCTCGCGCTGCGCCATCTTGCCGTACAGGTGCGTCGAGTCGCCCGGCGAGCCCGCCCCCGCATGTGCCGCATGTGCGTGCGCGCTGTAGCGCGGCGAGGCCGTGTGCGTACGCGCGTGCGTGCGCCGCTGGTACTCCCAGGCGTAGCGCGCCTGCTCGCGGCGCTGGGCATGTGTCATGGGGGCATGGTCGGGGTGCGCAGCGCGCACCGCACCGATACCGCGTGCGCGGTCATAGTCGCGCCGCGCCCGGTCGTTGCTGAGCGTAGCGTACGCCTCGCTGACGCGCTGAAACAGGACTTTGCCCTCCTCCGACTGGCTCACGTCGGGGTGGTACTGCTTCGAGAGGCGGTAGAACTGGTTCTTGATCTGCGCCTTGGACGCATCGCGCGGCACTTGCAGCACCGCATAAAAGTCCGGCTGGCTCGCGGACGAGTACGCGCGCACGCCACGCACCACGCCGCCGAGGCCGCCACCGACCATGGCGACAAGCTGGACGCCGGGTCGGCCGAGCGCGCCGCCTCCACGTTTTTGCGTCGAGCGATCATGGCCGCCGCAGGCGCCCGGGGGATCCAGTCGCTGGTGCTGGACGCGGCGCCACTGCTGACGCAGGCGCGCATTGCAGGTCTCGCGGACAAGTACTATATCCCGCCGTCCGTGCTGGCCGAGCTGCGCGACGTGCGCGCGCGCGAGTACTTGGAGAACCTGCACGCCACCGGCCAAGTGGACCTGCATGTGCGCGAGCCCAGTGCGGCGGCGCTCGCGAAGGGTACGTGGGAGTGGCTTATGCAGTCGTTGCCTTTGCGAAGCAGACGGGCGACTATGCGGTGCTTTCGCCTGCCGACCTGCATGTGCTAGCGCTGACCTACGCGCTCGAAGTCGAGGCCCACGGCACGTGGCGCATCCGCGAGACGGTCGGCGGCAAGACGGGGCAGCAGCAGCACGAGGAGCAGCGCCTCGCGGAGAAGAGCGCGCAGAGTGCGGCTGAGCCCAAGGCCGACGCGGACGACGCCAAGGCCGCGCCGTCCGAGGCGCCGTCGGATGCGTCCGACGGCTTCACGCTCGTGGCCCGCAAGACGCGGCCTGTCCACAGCGCGGAGGACGACGACGAGGGCGAGTGGATCACACCGGAGAACATCACACAGCACAAGAACAAGTCGCTGGGCCTCGTGGGCAGCGAGAGCACGGCCGAGGAGGTGCCGAAAAAGGGGCGTCGCCGGCGCGGGCGCAAAGGCGCTCCGTCGCGGATGAGTGTCGCGTGCATGACCGGCGACTTTGCCGTGCAGAACGTGCTTCTGCAGATGGGGCTCTACCTCGTCGGTGTCGACGGTCTGCGCATCGAGCGTGTGAAGAGCTGGGTCCTGCGCTGCCACGCATGCTACAAGCTGTGCCCCGACGTGGAGCGCAAGTTTTGCCCGTCGTGCGGCAATGCCACGCTGCTGCGCACGTCCGTCACGGCGGGTGCGCCAGGCGACGGCGCGTCGGGCCTGCAGGTGCACCTGAAGCCCAACTTCCAGTACAAGAACCGCGGCACGGTCTACTCGCTGCCCCTGCCGCGCGCGGGGAGTGCGTCGGGCGGCCAGGCGAGCGGGCGTGCGCGGAACCGCCAGACGGGCGTGCCGATCCTGCGCGAGGACCAGCTCGAGTGGCAGCGCGCCGTGTCGCAGCAGAAGACGCACCGGCAGAAGGAGGAGCGCGCCCTGCAGAAGGCACTCGCGAAGGGCCAGGACTCCCTGACGGCGCGGTACGCGGACCCCGACTGGGTGCCGGACCTGCTCCGCGGGACGCACACGCCCGCAGCGAGCGATCTGCCCGCACTAGGGATAGGGCGCAAGAACCCGAACGAGCGCCGCCGGCGTAAGCGCTGAATGTACTGTAGATCTACCACTACACGCGCTCTGCGCCCCATGCGCTATTTGTCGCGAACGATTCGGGGGCAATGGCATCTCGCTGTGGTCAGCCGCGCACTACGCACCGCCTGCCCTCGCTTCGTGCCTGTGAGTCGGAGGTCGCGGCGCATCATCATACGCTCCCAGTCGTCGACGTTGTGCCGCAGCGGCTACCGTTAGTTATCCCCACGCACCTTGCCCTCGTTTGCAAGACGCGACACTCCGCTGAAGCCAGTACCGGTCACGGTGAAGAGAGTGGCCACGATGGCCATCGGGATCACGGCCTCGAAAGGAACAGGCATGGCGTCTAGGAGAAACGGCCGCCGAGCCAGCCCGCGACGAGGATGGGGTCACGTGAATGCAGAGCTCGCCGCGGGGCGGGGCGCCGCGTGTGGGAGGCGCTCTCCGTCGAGCGCGAAGCGCCTCAGCGCGCCAGGTACGCTCGTGGGTGGTGGGCTGTGGCTGGTGCACGCGCGAGGGGGTCCATAGATCATAGGCCGCGAGGTGCATGGGACCACCGGCCAACGCACTTGGCCCATGGGGAAAATAGGCCCAATTCGTGGAGGCGGCCCGCCCGTTCCCATGTCCACGACCGTTGACATAGCGCCGGAGCTCCTCGCCGAGCTTCGCACGTTTCGCCTAGCGAAGCGGTCGTCCAAAGGCGCAGCGCTCGTCGCCAAGATCAACAAGGCGCAGCTGCGCATCGAGAAGGAAGACGTCTTCGACCCGATCACACCGGAGGACCTCGAAGAGGAACTGCCCGAGCACTCGCCGCGCTTTGTTGTGCTGAGCATGGAGCTGCGCCACGAAGATGGCCGCATCTCCTATGTACGTGCTGTTCGACACTCACACCACAGCCCCTAGTACTGATCCAGTACGTGTAGCGCACTGACACCAGCTGGGCCCCCGTCTCCTCGAGCATGGAGCTTTCTACGCTCTATGCATCGGCCGTATCTACGTTCAGCGTGCACGCGGACGTCGGCAAGGTCATTGACGTGCGTGAGGGCGGACTCACGACGGCCATGCTCGCCGAGCGTCTGGGCGTGCGCCGCTGATCTATAGAGCGCACCGCACTGGCCTGCGGTGCGCGCGCCTCGCCTTCTTCGGCGCGCGAGCGCACCCGCGTCAAGGGGCACAGGCGCCATGTGTATGGCATCCAAGTCGGCAGGCTGCGACGTAGACGGCCCGTCGACTGCCCTGGCACGTGTCGACGGACCGCTGGCCAGGGCGCTCGGGCCCCCTGCCACCTACTACGAAGATGCTAGCCCCCAAGACCATTCGCCCTGCCATGCTGCGTGCTACGCGCGGCACCCGCGTGCTGGCGCGCCTGCCGGCAGTGGCCCGTCCCATGCAGCGCATGGCGGCGTCCGCGTACTCGACGCAGCGGACGACGGGCTTTGACCCGTCGGTCAAGACGGCCATGGACAAGCAGACACCACCGGAGCCCGGCTCGGACTTCCGCGTGGTGATTGTCGGTGCCGGTAACATCAACTTTGGGTCGGACGAGGGCCCCTGGAACCATTCGTTCCGCCTCGAGCACAAGCTGGGTCCGCGTCTCAAGGTGGTGGCCCTGATCGACCCGAGCGCGGAGCGCGCGCGGGACGTGCTCAAGACCAAGTGCCAGTCGTTCGTGCTGAGCGCCTACAAGGACACGATCGTGTACCCCGACTTTAAGAGCTACCTGGAGTCGGTCACGGAAGAGAACCGCCCGCATGCGATCTGGGTCGGCTCGCCGCCCGCGTTCCGCGGCAGCACCGAGCCGGGCCGCAACTTGGAGCAGCTGCTGACCGACGGCCTCCCGGGCGTGCCGCTGTTTATCGAGAAGCCTGTGGCCACGGGCGACGTGGACCAGGCGTTTGCTGTGGCGGACATGCTAAAAAAGAGCGGCAACCTGGTGAGCGTGGGGTACATGCTGCGCTATCTCAAGGTGGTGCAGAAGATGAAGCAGATCATCGCCGAGAACCACCTGCGTGTGATGGCGATCAATGCGCGCTACATTATGGCGTACGAGCACACGGCCAAGCTCGACTGGTGGGACAAGTCGAAGAACCCCGGCCCGATCGTCGAGCAGGCGACGCACTTCTGTGACCTGGCGCGCTACTTTGGTGGCGAGGCCGACCTGAGCTCGGTGGTCGCGCACTCGCTCGAGCACTACGAGCCGGCCGGCCGGCTGAGCAAGATCCCGGTCGACGAGTCGCTCATCGCGCCCGAGAACCGCATCCCCCGCGTCACTTGCGCGACGTGGAAGTTCGACACGGGCGCCGTCGGCTCGCTGACGCACGCCGTTGCTCTACAGGGCACCGACTACTCGACGGAGCTGGACGTGTACGCGGACGGCTACTCGCTGCGCCTCGTCGACCCGTACAACAACCCGATGCTCTACATCCGCCGCCCCGGCGACGACCACGAGGAGGTCGTGCGCTACAACGACGACGACCCCTTCTTCTCGGAGGTGTCGAATCTGATCGACTGCATCGAGAAGGGCGAGGGCACCTCGCCGATCCTCAGCTCGTACGAGGACGCGGTCAAGACGTACGCGCTGACCTGGGCGATCCGCCGCGCGAGCGAGCGCAGCGCCCGCTCGCCGCCCCCGTCGTAGACCAGTCACGTGATCACACCGTAGACCCCGTGCCGCGCCGCTCGAGGCGTCCGTACGATGGAGCAGCGTGCGCAGCGTGCGCGGCATGCGCTGCTGAGCAAGGACGCTATGGCGCCCAGCACGTCCGCCGCCCCATGGAGCGGCATGGCATGGGCCCCCCGCGGCGCGTCGCCGCCGCCGCCGCCGCCGTTCGACGCGAGCGCCACGCGCAATGGAGGCGTGTCCACTGCGCCCGCGTCGGCCGCGAGAGCCGGTGAGGCGCCGGCGCCGGGGGCCGCGGACGCGCAGCGGGCGCCCAAGCGTGCCGCAGAGAGCGACGAGCCCCTGTCGAAGCGGCTGCGTGAGGGCCTGGACAGCCACGATGCGGCGCTAGGTGCCCGGTCGCTCGAGTCGATCCGGGAGCTGCACCCCGAGTTCCACGAGGCGTCTCAGGCGCCCATCGTGCTCGACGCGGCGCTGCCGCTCATGCTCAATGCGGCGTCCTCGAGTGTGGCACTGCGCGAGCCTGCGCGCGCAAACTCGCGCGCGCGGCGTACGAAGCCTGACCAGGAAAAGGCCCGCGCGCTGTTTGTGGCGGCGCATGCGGGCCAGACCTACGAGCAAATGGTGCTGGAGCACGCGTACTCGAGCGACCGCCTGTTCTGGCTCAAGGAGGCGTATGGCCTCACGTGGCGCACGGGGCGCTGGAGCGACGACGAGGAGGCGCGCGCGACCGAGGCTTTGCGGCAGTTCTGTGACCACTACAAGCTGACGCAGGCAGGCCTCGACGAGCTGATCTGGCACCGCAAGCCGGAGCAGAAGCACATGCACGAGGAGCTGTGGAAGCACATCTCGCTCTCCGTCGGCACACGCCCGAACTATGCGGTGCGCATGCACATCAAGAGCATGCGCAAGGACGTGGTGCGGGGCGGCCACTGGACGCCCGCGGACGTGGAAGCGCTCGCGGCGGCCGTGAGCGAGCTGGGGCACCAGTGGGAAAAGATCGGCGCGCGCCTTGGGCGCTCGGGCAATGTATGCAAGCACTACTGGCGCGAGCAGGTGCAGAGCCGCGCCGGCCCCGCGCCGCAGGGCGCGTTCCGGGCCGAGGAAGAGGCGGCGCTGCGGCAGGCCGTGCTTGCGTGCTGCGAGGAGGTCGGGTGTGCGCCGGACGGCCCGAATCTGCCGTGGACGCTTATCCACGAGCGCCTGGGCCCGTCGCCGCGGCGCATCAGTGTGCTGAGCCGCAAGTGGCGCGGCATGCTGAGCGCTGAGCGGCGCATGTCGGAGGAGCAGAACACGCGGTGGTACGCGCCGCACGACGACCACATCCTGCTGCAGCGGATCCGCGCGCAGTGCCGGCACAGTGCAGCGGACATTGACTTTGACAAGCTTGCGACGCCCGAGTGGCAGTGGCCTATGTACGTGATCAAGAAGCACTGGGTCGTCATGCTGCGGAAGCGCGCGCCGAACTTCCAGGGCACGCTGGACGAACTGCTGGACTATCTGAGCGCGCGCGTGCCATCGCCCGAGGAGTACAAGATGCTTGCTTCGGGCCGGCGCAGCGCCGGCGCAGCGCGCGGCGCGATCGAGGCGTACCGTTCATAGCGCTAATAGCCGGCAGCGCCAGGCGCCCGGTCGCCCTCGCGGCGCAGATGCAAGTACAGCTCCTTGAGCCGGGTCAGGTCGGTCGAGCCCGGGCCGCCCTTGGCGATCGTTTTCGACTGGCTGTTCTGCAGGTCCAGCAGCTTGGTGATGCGCGTCCACGTCGTGCCCTCCGCCAGCTCCTGCTGCATCTGCTCGCGGAAGCGCACCTCCGCCTCCTTGTTCTTCTTGATGTTCTTCTCTTTCTGCGCGTTGTACTCGGCGTAGAACTGATCGATGTCCTGCTCGGCCTGCGAGACGGCCTCGGCGCGCTGCCGCTCGGCGCGCGCCTCGCGCTGCGCAATGGCCTCCGCCTGCTCGGCCTGCCACGCGCGCAGCGGCGCCGTGTCCTCCTCGAGGTCGCCGTACGAGAAGGGCGTCGGCGCGGGCGCCTGCGCTGACACGGGCTCGGCCGGCGCAGCTGGCGCCACACCCCACGCCGCCTCGTCCACCGGCCCGCCGCGCTCGTCGGGCACGCCGAGCGACTCGGCCGGCTCCCTCGGCGCCGGCGCTTCGCCGTCGAGCGGGGGGAACGACGTCTGGAAGCGCTCCTCCTCACTGGCCGGCGCCTTGCTGTCGAGCGGGGGGAACGACGCCTGGAAGCGCTCCTCCTCGCTCGCCGGCGCCTTGCTATCGAGCGCGGGGAACGACGCCTGGAAGCGCTCCTCCTCGCTCGCCGGCGCCTCATCGCGCAGCGCAGGGAACGACGCCTCGAAGCGCGCCGTGTCGTCCTGCGCGCCAGGTGCCGCCTGCGGCACGTCCGGCGTACCCAGGTTCGTCGAGACGGCGTCCTCAAACGGAGCTTCGTCGTCCAGGGCGGGGAACGCCTGCGACCGCTGCGCTACATCGTCGCTGACGCGGCCCGGCACCGCCGAGCCGAACAGCGCCTGGTCATCGCCTAGCAGGTCGCCTGCCGCCAGTCGCTCGCGCTGCAGGAACTCAGACGTCGGATCCGCCCCACGGTTGCTCTCAAACTGGCCAAACTCAAATGACATCGCGAGGTCGACGAGCGGCGCGGCCGGGGCGGCCCTCGGCGCCTGCCCGGCCGAGGCGTCTCGTGGCCCTCCACTCTCGTCTTCGTTTTCCTCGTCATGTCGCAGCGCGTAGGCTCGGTACGTGGGCGCAGACTGACGCAGACTTCGCTCGCCTTTGCCCGTGTGTGGCACCAAGTGGACGCGCGCGAACGTGTCCTGGGCCGCCTAGCGCGCTCGATTGCCGTGACGCTGATGGGCAAGCACAAGCCCATCTACGACCCGGCCGTCGACGCAGGCGACTATGTCGTGGTGACGAACGCCTCGCACATTGCTGTGACGGGCCGCAAGGCCGAGCAGAAGCTGTATCGCCACCACACCATGTACCCCGGTGGCCTGAAGGAGATCCCCTTCAAAGCCATGCTCCAGTCGAAGCCGGAGGAGATTCTGCGCCGCGCCGTGTCGGGCATGCTCCCGAAGAACAAGCTTCGCGAGCGCCGACTGGAGCGCCTGAAAATCTTCCCAGACGAGTCGCACCCGTACGGGGCCAAGTACGTTGCCTACCTAACACCAGCATTGCCAAGCGCTACGACGGCCCCTCGGCGTAACTAGCTTTCATACCCCTCGTCGAAATATGCGTCTTCGTCAGCCTGTGCGCGGAATGGATGCGGGTCGTCGTACCGCTCGTCGTAGTCGCATGCATACAGCGCCTCATCGACGCGCAGCGTGCCCGCCACGAACTGCGCGATGATGGCCTGCTGAAACGCCGCCACGAGGTGCGCTGGCGTGGACGCTATGGGCACTGCCGCGCCATCCACCGCAGCCAGGTAGCTCCGATGAAGCTGCGCAGCGGGGCCCGTCGGCGCGAGAAGACCTAGGTCGCCGTCCTCAGGAGGCGGCGCCTTTGGCGCCGCCTCCTCTGCCTCTGCCTCGTCTTCCTGCTCCCCCTCTTCCTCCGCCACAAGCTCCTTCCATAGGCCCGGGTACCGCTCACGCTGCACAGCCGCGCTCAGCTCGTACGGCGCCTCGCGCTCCGCGAACTGCCTTCGCCGCTCGCGCACCTGCGGGACGCGGCCGCGCTCCGCGGGCGATAGCTGCTCGCCAACGATGCGGAGGAGGTGCGGCGGCATGCGGTCCACACACTGCGCCCACAGCGTGGCGGCGCGGCGGTCCGGCCCCAGTCCTACGGCCTCACACCACGCTGCCACGGCGCTCGCGCCGCGCGCCCCGTCGTCCATCGTGGGTGGGAGCGCATCACGTGCGGTAGCCGCCGCGACTCGCGCTCCGCCTCTGACGCGTCGCGGATGAGCTCGCAGGGCGCACGCCGGCGGCGCACGCCGAGCGACGAGCGCGCGGCATGCAGTCGGAGTGACCAGGAGTGCGTCGTGCTTGCTGACCCAGATTCCGACCGGGCTCGATCGTGCGTGTGGCGTGCGAGCACTTTGTCACGTACGATGCCGTCGAGTTCTTTCCGGGGCCCTACCTGAATATGATCATTGGTCCAAACGGAACAGGGAAGAGCACAGTGGTGTGTGCGATCGCCCTCGGTCTCGGCTGGAAGCCGTCGGTGCTGGGCCGCGCCAAGGACGTGGCATCCTACGTGAAGCTGGGGCACAGCCAGGGCTGGGTCGAGATTGAGCTGCAGGGCTTCCCCGCGCAGGCCAACGTCGTCGTTCGCCGCGTCCTCTTCCGCGAGTCCAACTCGAGTGACTGGCTCCTGGACGGCGCCCCTGCGACTGCGCGGCAGGTGAACGATGCGGTCTCGGCCTTTCACATTGAGGTGGGCAATCTGTGCGCCTTTCTACCGCAGGACCGTGTCGCCGACTTTGCCGCCATGACGCCCAGCCGCCTCTTGCAGGATACACAGCAGGCAGCCGGCCATCCGGCGCTCTCCGAGTGGCACACGCGGCTGATGGGCCTCGGGCATACACTCGCGGCTCTGCAGACTCGCCTCGAGCAGGAGCAGGGCGAGCACGACCACCTCGAGGAGCGCAATGCCGTCCTGGAGCGCGACGTGCGGCGCTACGAGGAGCGCGTCGCGCTCGAGAAGCAGGTGAGCGCGCTGCAGATCCGCGTGGCCTTTGCCGAGTTCCGCGAGGCCAAGGCCCAGTACGACGCCGCGCGCAACGAGCGCGAGGCCGCCAAGCGCGCGCTCGAGCAGATCCTGCGCGAGCGCCCCNCCCCTGCAGGAGCGGTGCGAGCGCGCGGAGCAGCAGTGCGCCAAGGCCGACCTCCGGCGCACGGCGTATGCCAAGGACGCGGAGCAGGCCCTGGTCGGCCTCAGGCGCGCCGAGTCGTCGCGCGAGCAGCTGGACGCGCACCTGGCATCGCTGAGCGAGCAGGAGAAGCGGCTCGACACCGCCGAGCAGGACCGCCAGCGCACGATCGAGGAGCTGCGCCGCGCCATTGCCGAGCTCGAGCAGCGCATGGCCGGTGGGCCGCCCGCGCCGCCCGAGCCGGCGCTCGAGCAGCGGCTGCGCACTGTCAAGAGCGAGCAGCGCGTACTCTCCGAGGACGTGCGCGACATGGACACACAGCTCTCGGAGCAGCGCGCCAAGAAGCAGCGCACACAGGCGCGCCTGCACGAGACGCAGCAAGCGTACGTCCCGCTACTTACTCAGGATGGAGCGGCTGAGCACCGTGCGCTACCAGCGCCTGCAAGTTCTTGCGCGCGCTGACCGCGACGCGTATGAGGCGATCCAGTGGCTCCAGAAGAATCGGGGCGTGTTTGAAAAGTGCGTGTACGATCCCGTGCTGGTCATGGTGGATATGACGCGCCCAGAAGCTGCGCGCGCCATCGAGACATGCCTGAGCTGGCCCGTGCAGCGCACGTTTGTGTGCCAGACGCGCGCTGACTACGACCTGTTCACGCACGAGCTCATCGACAAGCGCCAGTGGCGCCTGAACGTGGTCGAAATGGAGGGCGCGCAGCCGCTCGAGTCGTACACGCCGCCGCTCCCCGAGGCAGAGCTGCGGGCCCTGGGGTTTGACGCCTATGCGCTGCAGTGCATCGATGCGCCGACCGACGTGCTGCGGTACCTGTGCAGCGCAGCGCACCTTCATGCGATTCCGATCGCCTTCGAAGGCCGTGTGAACCCCGAGCACATGGAGCGCCAGCGCCAGATCCGGCGCTACATCTCCGGCGACACGATTTTCACAACGACCTTCTCGAACTACGGCCAGCGGCGCCCGCAGACCATGTCACGCGTGCTCAAGCCTCTGCGGAACTTGGCGCACGTCGGAGACATGGCCGAGCGAGAGCGCGCGACGGCGTCCCTGCGCGCGCTGCAGGCCGAGAGCGACGAGCTGCATGCCTCGATCACGCAGCTCGAGCAGGAGCGCGACACGCAAACGGCCAAGCTCGACGCGCTCTCCGAGCAGCGCGCGTCCCTTGCGTCCGCGCTCCAGGCAGCCCAGGCGGCCCAGCGGGACTGGGAGCGCCTGCAGGTCCGGTGCCATACGCAGCGCGAGCAACTCGCGCACGAGGAGCGGCGGCCGTCCGTCTCGGTGCAGCGCCAGCAGCTGAGCGAGTCGCGGCGCAAAGTCGCGGTGGAGCTGGCCAAGTCGGTCGAGCGCTCCGTGCGCTTCCTGCACCAGCTGGCCGAGGCGCATGCACACAGCGACAAGGCGTGCCTGGACGCCCTGCCCCTAGGCTCCGAGCTCGAGGCCGGCCGCGCCGCGCTGCGCCAGCTACAGACGCAGGTGGAAGAGGGCGAGCGGGCGCTGCGCGAGGTGCTCGCTCGCTTCACGGAGGTCAAGCAGCAGACCATGGCATGCCGCGACCGCGCGCATGCGCGGCTAGACGAGGCCGCTAGTGATATCCGGGAGAGTGTCGAGGGGGTGCTTGACGACGACAGCGAGTCGCTCGCGCAGCTCGCTTCGCAGCTCGAGCGAGCGCAGGCGCAGCTGGAGGTGCCGTGGGGCGTGGGCACCCATGTCGTCGCGTCGTTCCAAGCGCGCCAGGAGAAGATTGCGCAGCTGAAACGCACGATCGAGGCTGGGCGCCGCGAGCAGCGGGAGCTCGAGGCGCAGATCAGCGAGCTCGAGGCACAGTGGCTGCCCGAGCTCGAGGCGCTCCTACGCCGCGTGAACGAGCGTTTCTCGGCGGCCTTTGCACGTACGTATCGGCTACTGACGCAGGCCTCGGGTGTGCAGGCGAAATCCGACTCTCGCGCGATGCGGACTACGAAAAGTGGGGCATTGAGATCCTCGTCAAGTTCCGCGACACGGAGCGGCTCCAGCCCCTGACCGGGCAGCGCCAGTCGGGCGGCGAGCGCTCGCTATCGACCGTGTTGTACCTGCTCAGTCTGACGGGGCTCTCGCACTCGCCCTTCTCGCTCGTCGACGAGATCAACCAGGGCATGGACCCGCGCGCTGAGCGCGCTGTCCACGACCAGATGGTCGAAATGACGTGCCGCCCGGAGGCGGGGCAATATTTCCTCATCACCCCCAAGCTGCTGCCTGGCCTCCGGTACCACGAGCTGATGAAGGTGCTCATTATCAACAACGGAGACTGGCTACCCGAGCGCCTATCCTGTACGTGGCAAGCACTCACCACAGTGGCCGAGCTGGTCCGGCACAAGCGCGCGCGCCTCGCGCAGGCCCCGAGGGTCTGACCGTGTCGAACCTGATTATATAATCCATAGCGTCGCGCTGGTGGTCCCAGGCGCCTGGTGTTTCTCCGCTACGCCGGCGGATTGCGCGCTTGACGGCTCCTGACCATGCCCGGCGAAGGTATGTTGGGGCTACTGATGCCCAGGATGGCTGTTCCTCTTCTCTATTCTGCTGACGGCAATTCTGCTGTTTGTCATGGTGTTCTATGTGCGTACTGGGCGCTAATCCCAGGTGATCATGTACTCGGATCTCGAGTCTGACTACATCAACCCGATTGATCTGTGCACGAAACTGAACCAGGTAGGCACGCGCGTGCTGACGCAGTTCACGCTCCCGGAGATGGCGGCCCATGCCTTCCTCACAGTGCTGTTTTTGTTCCATGGCCAGTGGGTGGCCCTGATGATCAACCTGCCCCTGCTCGCATACAATGTTAACAAGTGCGTGCGCATGCTAACGTCAGGGTGATAAACAAGACGTACCTGCTCGATGCGACGGAAATTTTCCGGACGCTCATGAGCCATAAGAAGGAGAGTTTCATCAAGCTGGGATTCTACCTGCTGACCTTCTTCTTCTACCTCTACCGGTACGTGCCTCCTACTTACCGCAGAATGATCATGGCACTTGTGGCCGGTACGCACCGCAGCGCGTCTGACATGCAGAAGAGTAATCTGGTTCCAGGAGCGGATCCCGTACATGGGCTGCCATAGTCAAAGGTGGTGTCATAGTCTCTATGTAAGGTACAACTGCGGGATTAGACGGATCACGGATCGGATCTCTGCCGAGAGAGGTGCGCTTCTGCTCCTCTTGCTGAGCCGCTCGCGATGTATAGGTATAGCCTGCCAGGGACCCTTGCACAATGCAAAGCTACTCCTCTTCCGCATCATCACTGAGGTGGTCATCATCATCGTCGGCGACGTCATTATCGACAGCCGCTCCATCCATCACCGAGAGCTCGCCGTCAACAGCGGGGTCGTAAGAATAGCGCCTCTTCGAGGCTCTTCGTCGGCGATGACGCGGGTTCTCCTCCTGGGCCTGCCTGTAGCGGCTCAGGTACACCTTGAGGACCTGCTCATAGTTGTCAAAGCCGAGCACCCGCAGCGAGTACAAAATATCATCACCATTGATAGTCTTGCGCTTTTCGCTTCCGCACCGGTCGCTTGCTTCGGACGTGACGAAGCTAATCAATTCGCTCACACACTCTTGCATGCACTCCTTGGCGTTTTTGGCGATCTTTCCATTCTCCGGCAAGGCTCGCTTCATGATCCGCGAGATGTTCGCAATCGGCAGATCGGCGCCGGCCAAGTGCGGCGGTAGCGGCGGCAGAGAGGTGGGCCAGTTTCGCGACGCCTCCGACCCCTCGGTCTTGGACGTGTCAGGGCTCGCGTTGTCGCTCGCGCTGGCCCCCGCCACGGGGCCATAGCCAGGGCCCATGGCCTGCGCCTCGGACTCAAGCGTGCCGCCAGCGGGCATGGTTATATTTTTGGCCTCTGCAGAGTCCACGACGCTAGTCGGCAGCGTTTCTACGCCGTTGTCTGCACTTGTCATACTAAGAGGCTTCACCGATGCGCTTTAAGCGTGTGTTGCACTGGGCGAGGACCACTTCCTAGCCAATGGAGGAAGTCAGCACTTTGTCTCCCGAGACGGACAGCCACACATTCGCTGCCTTTGCAGCCACCGCATGAGGCCACGTGCCCACACACGTAATAAGCTGTCGTTTACATACGAAGGCTACGGTAGCCGCAACGACGGCGGAAGCGCTATGGCCTTTAGTTGGACTTGGCCGTCAGCTTGGCGCGCTCAATCGCATCGGCACTGTTCTTCATAAGGATCTTTTTGTAGTCTTGAATACTGATGTCCTGCTTGGTCAGGTTGACAATCTTGCGGTCCTTGACCTCCCAGAGTTCCTGCGCCACCTGCGAAATGAGGCGGAAGTCGTGCGACACAATGACGACACCGCCCTCAAACTCTTTGATCGCATTCGCCAACGCATCAATCGAGCCCATATCCAAGTGGTTAGTAGGCTCATCAAGCAGCAAAATATGAGGGTTCTCCATGGCAAGCTGCGAGAACACGACACGGTTGCGGAGACCGTCGGAGAGTGTGCGAATGGCGGAGGTCTGGTGCGAGCCCGAGAGACCGAAGCGGCCAAGCTGACCACGCCAGAACTGCACGTCCTTGTCGGGGAACTTCTCCTTGTACTTGCTCTCCATATACTCCAGCGGGCTCTTGTCGTACGGCAGCTGGTCCGCCGAGTGCTGCGAGTACTTGCCCAGCTTCAGACCCGAGTGGCGCTGCACACTACCCGTCACCGGCTGGAGATGGCCCGTAATGAGGTTGAGCAGCGTCGACTTGCCGGTACCGTTCTGGCCCACAATCGCCACACGGCTGTCCATGTCGATACCGAAGCTGAGGTCCTTGTACAAGAAGTCCTCCTCCTTACCACTGTAGCTGAAACCGACATCGTTGAAGGCAATGATCGGAGGCGGAAGCTTACGCACATCCTCAAAGTTGAAGCGCAGCTGCTTGGGCACCACGACGGGCTCCACCAGACCAGCCGCCTCCATCTTGTCAATGATCTTCTGCTTCGACTTGGCCTGCTTCACCAGGTTGGCGTAGGTACCCGCACTCGCAATGAACTTCTTGATATGAGCAATCTCCTCCTGTTGCTTGTGGTATGCCTTCATCTGGTTCACCTCGTTCTCCGTCTTGGTTCGGACATATGTCGAGTAGTTACCACCGTAGGTGATGAACTTCTTTTGAATCGTCAGGTCCAGAATGTTGGTGCACACATTGTCCATAAAGTCGGCACTGTGCGACGTCAGCACCAGAATATGGTTGTAGGTAGACAGATAGGCCTCCAGCCACACGACGGCCTCGAGATCCAAGTGGTTGGTCGGCTCATCCATCAGCAGCAGGTGCGGCTTAATGAACAGCGCACGAGCCAGCGACACTCGCATACGCCAACCACCCGACAGGTCACGCGTCGGCTTGCCCATCATCGTCTGCGAAAAGCCGAGACCGTGCAGGATAGCACCCGCCTTGGCCTCAAACGTGCTGGGATCCAGGTCCTCGAGCTCCTCCATCTTTAGCTCCAGACCCACCTCATCGACCTCATCGGCCACTGACATGTCCTCAATCTCCTTTTCCAGGCGAGCCACCTTCTCACGCGCAGACTTGATGATATAATCCAGCGCATTCTCGTCCGAGGGTTCTGCTTCACCACGGACCAGGTAGATGTCAATGTGCTCGGGGATTTCCACGTCGCGGTTGGCCAGAGCCTCCAGGAACGTAGTCTTACCAGAACCATTCTCACCAAGAAGACCGTAACGCTGACCATAGTTTAGTGCAATGGTCGCGTTTTCAATCAACAGACGGCCATGGAAAGACATAGAGAAACTGTCAATGTGCACGTCACGGCTCTGCTTGTCACTAATAATGACACCAGAGGCGTTGCGCTCCGTAGCAATAGCCAGCTTCTTCATATCCGTGATGGGACCCTCGCTTACGCTCGTAGCGTCGGTCGATGCCGTCTTCGAGGTCGCATCCGTGGTCACGGAGTCCTTCGACGAGCCAGTCTTTTCGGCCTTGGCGGCGGCCTTGGCGGCTTTCTCACTGAAAAGTTAGCTGTATTTATTGAAAACATACGCTTGGCGCTTAGCCTTCGATGCGGAAACAACCATTTTATTTTTCACGCACTTGGGCGGCCGTGAACGTCCGGTGCTGAAGTACTTTGTCCGCCTCCCCTGGAACACGGCACCTTTTCTTTTTTGTGCATCTGACTAAGTGTATGACAAATCATGTGATAACCTTCTCGCTTGGACAACTCCTTCTCTGACGTACCAGCATGTTTCGTGCGACTCAGGTGGCCTTCTCGAAGGCCAGCCGTCTGCCTCTGAACTCTAAGAAGGCCAATAAAGATTTCTACAAGGGTGAGTCGCCCTGTTAGTTCATTAACACTGTAGGTACTGGTGCCAAGAATGTTCTGCTTCGCAAACGTATCGCATTAGCGGATCGCCAAGGGCAGCAGCTTTTCGACCAATACGGTCGTCCGCGCACATGGAATCTTCGGACACACCGCCTCGACGAGTCTCGGATGGTCTCCTTTGTCGTCCCTCCGGGCCTTGCGGACACTAAACTCAAGCCCTATGTCTACCTCGGCTCCGAGTCCGACGGCGGAACAGAGCGACCCTTGCCAGGACAACCTGGCGCCCCCAAAATGCCAGCCGGCGGCATGAATGCCACATACTACTCGCGCCTCGTTGACCGGATGCTGCTTTCCAAGGGTAACCGCGGTTAGATTACTCGCATTCGCTGTATACCACTATCCTACCGCCGAACCAATCTAGTAGTTAGTCTCTCTATACGTACGTTGCATCCAGCTGTTGGATCTGCGGCAATGCCAGCTGGATCTTTCGGCGATAACCTGGCCCTTCAGTCTTTTGTGCTGGGTTCCCTTCCAAGTACACGGTCTCCAATTCAGGCATATTCTGGGGGCCCAGCTGTGCGTCCAGATGGTTGATATCATTGATGTGATTGTCATTGGCCTGCTGTGAGCGTGTCAAACGTACCCAAAATTGAGAAAGCTTCTTCAAATGTCCTACATTCTCGATCACTGTCACTTGATTCGCAGCAAAGTCGAGTGTCGTGAGGCTGAGATTATTATCCAGCCCTTCTAACTTCTGGATGCCATTGTGTGACAAGTACAATTCCTCCAACGCTTTGAGTGTGTCTAGGCCCTCCAGCTTGGTCAAGCGGTTCGACTGTATGGATAGCACGCGTAATTTTGTCAAAGACGCAATGCCCTGATTGTAAGTCGGTCATACAAACCCCGAGAGACGTGATTTTGTTCTTTCCCACCCACAACTCTTCTAAATTGGGCAGCTGCGACAAATTCTCGAGAGAGCGCAATCGGTTTCCCCCCAGTTCAAGACTTCGCAAACTCACTGAAATAGGGCCTGCGAAATCAGTGGGCCGCACGCGCGCAATTTTGTTCTGCACTAAATATAGCGTGTGACAACGGCCCAGATGCGTAATACGCGACACATGTCGGATGTTGTTGAAAGAAAGGTCCAGAACCCTGACATTAGAATCTGCCACTTACTCCAGCTCGTCATTTTTATCCAGTCCTGCGATGTGTTCAATAGCATTATCATAAAGGTCCAACTCTTTCAGGTGAGGGACACTGCCCAGGTCTTTGCCCCGCATATGATGGATTTCATTCTGGCGCAGATTTAATCGCTCCAGCGTCTTTGAGAATCTTGGCAAATTCAGACACTTGGTAGACTTAATGCGAAGATGCGTGAGATCCAGCTCTATTTCATTGTCTTCGAAGGCCGACATCAACTCCTCCATACCTTCATCGTCGTCATCGTCGTCGTCATGTGTGCCCACATCGTTGATATGCGGCTCCTCTACTTCACGTTCATTTTCAGAGTCTGTATCGTCTTGTACTGGCCCCCGAGTCAGCACAGGTGGCTCACCCACCACCTGCACCCGCTTCTCACGAGTTTCACTCATGGTCTTTGTGATGAGGCTTTTGCGCACGTGCCGCCTCTCCACCCCTTGCTGCCTCACCATGAGTGCGGAGGGCCTGGATCCTGTGGCCCTATCCCTGGATGTTTTGCGCCGCTTGCCGCCCGCGAATGTGAAAAAGAACTTGGATACCCTCGCCAGAGTACTTCCAAATGATGCAGATGACCTTATGTCCAATGTGGATCAGCCATTGACGCTGCAAATTGATATGTCCACCGAGGGAGCAGGTCGCGAATATCTATGCTGCGACTATAACCGAGACGGCCAAAGTTGGAGAAGCTGGTATAGCAACACATACAATCCACCATTGGAAACTGACAGCGATCCTGTTATGCCTCTTGGCGCATTGCGGGAGCTAGAGCTGCAAGCTAACGATGCCTTTGAAACGTACCTGAAACTCTACTATGACACGGGCTATACCAGCACCTACATGTGGGACCTAGAGGAGGGATCATCTAATGCTCTGCCAAATTCTTTTGCTGGCGTTGTCTTGTTCAAAAAAGGTTCGTGTACCGACCTTCCTGACACATCAGAGCTGGACGGTCCCGTGGATGCCGAAGCGTCTGGTACACTTGGCGCATGGGACTCCATTCATGTCTTTGAGGTCGGAGTACAGGAGACGTCTGCTGGAGCCCAAACGGCGCGTTATAAGCTGTCTAGCTCCGTGATGCTGACATTGAAGCGTCGTGACAGTGCGAGTGTGGGGGAGGTGGATCTCAGCGGCAGTTTGACCCGACAAACCGAAGAGACATTGCCGGTGGCCGGTGCAACTGGCCATGTGGTTAATCTCGGCCGCCTCATTGAGGATGTCGAAAGTCGAGTTCGCAACCAGCTACAGGAAATCTACTTTGGAAAGATGGTGGACGTCGTTGGTCATCTGCGCAGTACAGAAAACTTGGAGGCGAGCCGAAACGCTAAAAAGCTGCAGGAGGAACTTGTTGCTGGCTGGGAACGATAGTTCATAGGCCGATCGTTCGTAGATCTGCATGGCACCCACACCTTATGCACTCGCGGGCCATTTGCACGTGCCATTTTGGGGGACCAACACATACCTGCAAGCCGACGCAGATTTGGCCTGCCAGAAAGTAGTAAGGGACGCGGCGAGGCACTCATTACATAAGCGAGATGAAACCAACCAGCGAGGTTTTTGGACGACAGCTCTACGTGTCTAGCGCGGACGGGTCGTAGCTTTGCGTACACACGTTCACTCCCAACGTTCTTTTTCCGTGTCGCACCTTAGTTCGAAGATGGTTGAGAAACTTTCGCCTTCCCTGGATAATTCGAGCATCAAGTCGGCTCGTCAGCGCGGTGCCTCGCATATCGTATGTATTTCGCTACACTGACTGGCAGGACTTCAAGTCGGCTTCGTCGGCTGTTGCTAGCAAGGCCATGCGCAATGAGCTGAACGAAATGATTGCGGCTGTGGAAGACCCTGCTGCCAAGGATGTACGTGCAATACTCTAATCTTCAGGCCTTTGCCGCTGAGATGTCGTCGTTCTACCACCTGTTCAACCGCTTCTTGGCGGAGAAAGCTAAGGGCGAGAAGCTTGACTGGGAGAAGATCCAGCCGCCTGCGCCTGAGCAGGTGACTCCATACGCCTCTCTGCCCGAGGCTAGTGACCCCTCGATGCTTAACAAGCTTGCCGTGCTGAAGCTGAACGGTGGTCTCGGCACCACAATGGGTTGCACTGGCCCTAAGAGTGTCATTGAGGTGCGTGAGGGCATGACGTTCCTCGACATGTCTGTGCGTCAAATCGAGCACCTGAACGGCACCTACAATGTGAACGTGCCGTTCATTTTGATGAACTCGTTCAACACCGATGACGACACTGCGCGCGTGATCCAAAAGTACGCGAACCACAACGTGGAAATCCTCACGTTTAACCAGTCGCGTTACCCCCGTATCAACCGCGACAGCCTGTTGCCGTGCCCTCGCAGCGCGACCTCGAACAAAAACCTGTGGTACCCGCCCGGCCACGGTGATCTGTTCGATGCGATGAACAACTCGGGCTTGCTTGACAGTCTTATTGCTATGGGCAAGGAATACGTGTTTGTGTCGAACGTGGACAACCTGGGTGCTGTGGTGGACCTCAACATCTACCAGCACATGATCGACACGCAGGCCGAGTTTATCTCGGAAGTCACCGACAAGACGAAGGCCGACGTAAAGGGTGGCACGCTGATCGACTACGAGGGCACCATTCGTCTTCTGGAAATTGCGCAGGTGCCGAAGGAGCACGTCGAGGACTTCAAGTCCGTGAAGAAGTTCAAGATCTTCAACACTAACAACCTGTGGCTGAACCTGAAGGCCATCAAGCGCGTGGTCGAGAACGACGAGCTTGACCTGGAAATCATTATCAACCACAAGGCGCTCGACAACGGCGAGCCCGTCATTCAGCTGGAAACGGCGGTGGGTGCTGCCATCAAGCACTTCCGTGGTGCGAAGGGTGTGAACGTGCCCCGTTCTCGCTTCCTGCCGGTGAAGAGCTGCTCAGACTTGCTCCTGATCACAAGTGACCTCTACGGTCTTGAGCATGGCAAGCTTGTTATGAACCCGGCGCGTCAGTTCAACCAAACGCCTGTTGTTAAGCTTGGTGACACGTTCAAGAAGGTCGCCAGCTACCAGAAGCGCTTCAAGAGCATCCCGAAGATGATGGAGCTGGATCATCTGACTGTGATGGGCGATGTTTCTTTCGGTCGCAACGTCGTGCTGAAGGGAACTGTGATTATTGTCGCCAACGAGGGTAACAAGATCGAGATTCCCGACGGCTCCGTGCTCGAGAACAAGCTCGTTACCGGTAACCTGGCGATCATCGACCACTAAGCGGCACCATTTCCAACCATTCTGTTTTTAATTCTAAACAATATTCTTATCACGCTAAATTTAGTAGCTACCGAGACCTGATGTACTCTCAACATCGCTCTCAGCATCGAATAGCGTGACATATAAGTGAACCAATTCAAAGGGCGTCTAATAGGTGCAACTTCGTGCAACATCTCCACATCGGTGGTCCGTGTAGCCGGCCAGATGCAAGTCTCTAAATACCCCGCCTAGCTTACGAAATCCCTTAGGACTCAGACACCGGAAGCCGGGTCCTACTCTACCACGACGGTCGGCCAGATAATTGCTCATTGTAGCGACCCACCTGTCCTTTCCCCTACAGTATGGCCACTCAGCAGCCTCTTACTCCTTTTGAAAATGCTCTTGCCGGGGCGCTTGGTGGTGCGTGTTCCCTTAGCCAAACCTTCTAACGGTGATAGGTGTATTTTCCAATGCCGTGATATACCCTCTCGACACGTATGTGCTACTTTCTGACTTCCAGTGTCAAGACTGTGATCCAAGCAGACAAGAAGGATGCGTCTGATGAGACCAAAAAACGACTTGGTATCATTGAGACGCTGATTAAGATTATCCGTACCAAGGGTCCGGTCTCGCTGTACCGCGGCTTTATGGCCAACATGGCCAACACCTTCATCCAGCGTATGTACGCCTGCTCTGACGGAAGAATTTGCCTACTTTTACTGGTACACTCTTGTCCGCTCTGTGTATATCAAACGCATCCTGCGGTCGACCGTGGCTGCACCCTCACTGAATGTCATGACAGAGCTTGTGCTGGGTGCTTTGGCCGCTGCCTTTGCGCAGCTGTTTACCACACCTGTAGGCGTGGTTGCGACACGCCAGCAAATTGGCGCGGACCACCATGAGGCCGACAACACGTTCACCGGCCACATCAAGGATATTTTCCGCACCGATGGTATCACTGGCTTCTGGCGTGGTCTGAAGCCGGGCTTGGTTCTCACTGTGAACCCGGCCATTACATACGGTGTCTTTGAGCGTGTGAAGAACATCATCCTGGCCGCGTCGGACGGTCAGATGACGCCAGGCAAGTCGTTCGTGATCGGCGCTCTGTCTAAGACCCTGGCTACGATCGTCACGTTCCCGTATATCATCAGCAAGGTCCGCCTTCAGGCCAAGGACACACCCTACAAGGACTCCTTCCATGTACTGGGCCACACCTACAAGGAGAAGGGCTTCTTTGGTCTATACCAGGGCATGAACGCTCAGATCACGAAGGCGGTGCTCTCGCAGGCGCTCCTGTTCTACTTCCGCGACTACTTTGAGATCTGGACTCGTCAGATCCTTGCTCTGTACGCGAAGAAGGCGTAGTCTATAGTTTATCTACTTATACAGTGTGGGTCTAATCATGGAAGGATCGGGCATAGGCTCGTGGAAGGCTACCAGGCGCACAGCACTTGGCTCAGATGGATGCGCTTCTGTAATACGAGCGCGCTGCAAAAACGCCAGCACAGCTGGGTCGCATCCTTTCGTGCTCACGTACGGGTCACTGGGAGTGTCCCATATGGCGTTCATCAAATGCTCCAGCAGCAAGCGAAGCTGCACACAAAGCTCTTTCTCTGTAAAGGCAGCCTCAGTTACATTCACAAGCATCCGCAGCAGTTCGGGTGCCTGTGCGTCCGAGGCGAGTCGCGGAGGCGGCTTTGTCAACGCCTGCGCCATCTGCTGCAGCTCCTGCAAGCTCGCTTTATGGCTACACGTGAGAGCCCCAAACATACTCTTCACAATCACGTTTTTCCAGCTCGAGCTCTGCTTCCAGCTCGCCGAGGAGGACGCGGTGCTGCTCTACACATTCGCGCAACTGGGCTTCCAACTTGGCTGGATCGTGTGCCTGATCCAGTCGTTGCGGCGGCGCGGCAATGCCTGGAGTTATGATAAGCCACACGTACGTCGTTGTACATCCAGGATGGCCTCATCGAGCTGCGCACATGTCTGCTGTCAGGACACAGCGCCCACGCGACGTACCTCGCTCGGCGCCGCCTCAGCCATGGTGTGGAGAGGCACGTGGAGGAGACCCGCTGCACGTGTGGAGTGGGAGAGAATTGGCGTGCGGGTAGACCTGTCTGGGGTGAGCGTTTGGTGGCAATCTATGGCGCTGCGCGCGAAGTTATGGGCTGGCGGCTCGCGTGCTAGCCGTAAAATGATAGCACCGGACCAGTCGTTTGTCATCCTTGGGATGCTAGTGGGGTCTTCTGGACGCCCTTTACAACTGCGTGCCTTCAGCACGCCACCCAAGGAGCGATCGGACGAAGAATCGGGCCAAGTGTCTCAGGGCCCATCGATGTACCTTCAAAAGGCATCTTCTACGGCCAAGGATCTTGTGGATCGGAGCTTATTCCACAACTATCCACGCTCCCTGCGGCAGCTAGCGCTCAAAGCGCGCTCTTTTGCGCAGAGCAACGGACAAGGACCCGATACGGACAAGCACGGGAAGGAACAGCGGCCCACGAAGGACGAACTACTCCGGATTGCACGCGGATTCTGGACACGCATGCGCATTCGCTTCAAGTGGTTTACGATCCGTGGCTTCCGGCGCTTCAACATTGACGACCTCAGCGCGTTCTTCACGCTGGGCGGCCTGGGCACCGCCATCTGGGTGATTGTCGGCACGACGACGTTTGTGTCAGTCATTTTTGCCACACTCAACGCGCTTAATCTACAGGAGTGGTTTGCCATGCAATTGACTAAATTCCTCTCGCGACAAACGGGGTTCACGATCGTGTGCGGCAGTGCCATTGTACCCAAGTGGAAGGAGGGGCGCATTAGCTTCAAAGATGTGGTGATTTCGCGTCGAGCTGAACCCATGGATCCGGAGCGGCTCCGGGCAGAGCGTCAGTCTCAAGACACGGATACCCGGCGTCTGGACACCCATCTGTTGGAAATGCGACTGGGTGACGAGCCTACGATCCCCGCATTTGACACAGGCGATCATCTCGTGCGTCCCATTCGTGAGGAAGATGCGAAGAAGCGCGAGAGTCACGCTGATACCAACTTTTCCATGTTCGAGCTGCGCGTAGACTCGATTGATGTGCAGCTCAGTCTACGTCGGTGGCTCGATGGACATGGCTTCCTTCACAAGATGGATGTGCGTGGAATTCGCGGCATTGTGGATCGACGGCATGTGTTCTGGGACCCGGATGTCCCGTACGATCCGCGCCTGGCACGCCGCACACCCAAGCCGAATGACATTGATCTGGATTCGTTCACGATCGAGGACTTTTTGGTCACCGTGTATCAGCCCGGGGATTTCCGCCCCTTTAATGTGAGTATCTTCAATGCTAGCTTCCCGCGTCTACGGACACAATGGCTGTTCTATGACATGCTGAATGCCGATTCTATGACAGGACAGCTGGACGGCTGTCTGTTCAGCCTGCACAAGCCCCAGAGCGCCTACCACACAACACGGAGCATGTACAGCAAAGTTGGAAAAGACCATGCACCCTACATTCAAAACTGGGTACGCCTTGCTACTAACGACAGTCGCGTCTGCGTGTGGACGGCGTCAACATTGACCATGTACAAAAAATGGCCGGCTTGGCCGGGCCACTCATGTGGATCTACTCGGGCCGCTTTGACTGTATGTACTGTGTGCTAACGCGGCAGTGGTGGCCGATATCAAATTCCCCCGGCAATATGGCGAAGATGTCGACATCAATATGGTCATCTCTGAAATCTTGGAGAACCTCAATAATACGTTTGCGCCGGGTCGCTACGAGTCAATACACCCTGATGACGAGCTCATTCCCGGACAGCCAGTGCTGAGCGGCCCTGCAATTCTGGCGCCCGTCACCGCTGTGGGTCCCGTCGCAGAGCGGGCGCGGCAGCAGCGCGCCGAGCACGACGAGGCAGCGCGCCAGCGCCAGCGACCGCGCATCGGGCCACCTGTTCCCGCGGACGAGGTGTCTGAGTCGGACCGCGATTGGCATCTCTCGATGAACGAGGTGGGCGACGCGCCGGGGATTCCACCCTCGGTGGTCATCGAGCTTGATATTCGCTTCAAGGACATCAAAGCATCCATGCCCATCTTCACGCGCGCTCTGAGCTACTCGACCTATGCCCTGGCGCGGCCCATCGTGGCCTTTATGAATGCGAACAAAACCTTGATTCCAGTGAACTGCCGCGTGGTGATGGACCTGGTACGCTCAATGAGACTGACGCAACAGAGCGAATTCGACGGGTCCCTTGATCTTTCTCAAACGGGCCTGCCCCCTCTCGTATCGGACAAGGTACGTGGACTTTTCTTACACAGATCTGGGAGGCCATGGCGAACCATGTGGCGTCACAGCAGGCGAACAACCAACGGGTGCGCAATGTCAGCTTGTGGACACTGAGCCTAGTGGCACAGTCACTCCTGCGCATCGTGCGCCATCTGCGCAACACGCTGGTGCGGGCTATGCCATCGGAGGTGCCAGCTACGTAATTCTGTTCATACATGCAATATACCCTTGCTCCCATGATCCGGCGAAGAGGCTTTGGGCTTGGGCAGCAGGCCAGGAATAGCTCCGCGCCAGCTGGCCTTGTCAAAGTAATAGTTGGCATAAATGCCGAGACCCATACCCACTACCGAGGCCGACAGAAGCATGGAAAGGGGAGATCGATGCATGTGACGGAGTGCCGGAAGCGTAGCAAAGGTCACGTACGTGAGCGACCATGCCGAAAGGACGCCGCTGCCGTTTAGTACGTCGCCCTGCTCAATCATGTAACCACCAGCGCCAAAGAAGACACTGAATCCGAGAAGTTGCCAGAATGGCGGCACGAGACGCGGCGGACGCAACTTGGGATCTAGGCCTGCCGTCTTGGCCGTGTAGCCGAACCCAAACGGTATGGACATGGCACCTGGCGTTAGTCAAAGGGGCAACATACACAGAGCGGAGAGCGCATAGGCTGGTCGAGAGTCACTGGCATGCTCTCGAAGTCTGTGCAGAGTGCTCACAGCAGGCTGCCAAAGGCCCGAGGCTGCCCCTCCCTCTGGCTCGTGCTGCATGGTCGACGACTCGGCTCGCGAGCAGCGGCGAGCGTGCCCTCCACATCCTGGCTCTTCCCTGGTCCGTCCGCCACCGACCGCTGGACGATGAGCGGCCTGGAAAGTATGTCGCCTGTCCTGACCATGCAGAGTCGCTATTTCAGCTTAAAGTGTGTGATGTTGGCTAATACAGTTCACGGCCAAATCGCTTCAGCGCCAGGCGAACAAGGCCAGCCGCGATGAGGTGACGGAGAAGGCCAAGCTCAAAAAGGTGCGTGTATGCGCCTGACAGCAGGCCCTCGCTCAGGGCAACACGGAAGGCGCGCGGATTTACGCGTCCAATTCTATTAGGAAAAAGAACGAATCGCTGAATCTCCTGCGGCTCAGCAGCCGCATCGATGCGGTGGCAAGTCGTGTGGAAACAGCTGTGTCCATGCGCCAGGTAACGGGCAGCATGTCGTCCGTTGTCAAAGGCCTCGACAAGGCGATGCAGTCGATGGACCTGGAGCGCGTGCGTACCGGTCGCTCACACCAGATTTCGCTTGTGATGGACAAATTCGAGAACCAGCTCGAGGACGTTGACGTACAGACCTCCTATATGGAGACGACTATGAACTCGACGACGGCCCAGGGCATGCCACAGGACCAGGTTGACCTGCTTATGCAGCAAGTTGCGGATGAGAATGGCATTGAGGTCCATCAGCAGCTAGGTGAGGCCGGTCTGGCCGGTAAGGTATCAGATCTGCCCGCTGAGAGGATTGCACGCCGCGCTGCCCCCACAGCCGACCAGGACGAGGCGCTGGCGCAACGGCTGCGCGCGCTGCGGCCAGCGACCTAGAGCCGACATTGGCGTGGGCCTCCATTCTTGCACGCCAGGCGCACATGAGCCGGCCTATATCACATACATTAGTCAGCATAAATGTGACGCGCGCGCGTCTTTGGCATGGCGTGTTGGCGGTGGCGGCCGCTGTGTTTGTCACCATGTCGGGGGCGAGTTCCTCTGGGATGTCGCCGCGCTTGCGGAAGCGGCCTAGCGGCTTGCTGGAGGTGTCTACGTGCGCCTCTGGTGCGAGCTTTGTCTCAGAAACGGGACTGGTCGAGCTGGAGGAGTCGATCGCGGAGCTGCGTCGCCAGCCGTCGGCGGACTCGTTCAGCCGCATCGTCAACGAGATCAGCACGCACCGCCGGCTGCAGACGGGTCCGCGCCACAGGCGCAGTTTCCAGAGCTTTGCAAGCAGCGAGGATGGACGCAGCTCTCATAGTCGGCTCAGCAGCGTCGACGAAGACGCGTCTGTGTCGGGTGTATTGGTACGGCCCTGTTGCTGCCAGCAGCCAGACTGTGAGGTCGCGCGGCGTGTGATGCAGCACATGCAGGACATGGAGATGGATCTGCAGCTCAGCGCAGAGATTGGCCAGGCACTTTTGCAGCGCCAGGACGCGATTGTGCATCGCTCGCAGCAAGAGTCGGAGGACCATGCGCTGCAACGGGACCAGCTGCTCGCCCGGCTCACCCAGAGTATCAAGGAGACGCAGTCGCTCCAACGCCAGCTGTGCCAGGCGCAGTTCAATCTCGAGGCGGCGGACCAGAGCCACCACGCACTGCTCTCTGAGCTCGAAGATGCGCGGCAGCAGATGAAGCATATGAAGAAGCACCGTACCAAAGCATCTAGCCTCGAGGCCAAGCTGGAACGTGCCGAGATGGACTTGGAGGATACACGGGCGGAGCTACGTGCAGAGCAGCGGCGTACGGCCGCTGCTTCAACGCAGAACCAGCAGCTGGTAGCGCGCCGGTGCATGGAGCTGAGCGATCTGCTGCAAGAGAGCCTACGCGAGGAGGCGTCGAGCACGAAAGATGCCTATGCCAAGGCATGGGATGCCGTGCGTGCGCGCCTGGATGCGGCGCGTGCGTCGTGCGACGGTGAAGCTGAGCAGGACGACGACCTAGAGGCTATTTTGCAGGAGCGCGATGCACTCCAAAAAGAAAATGCACAGTTGCAGCAGCTCTTGCGAGGCGCACAAGACGACATCCTGCATCTGCGTGAGGCGACGGAGGCGCCATCATGCGAGTCGATGCAAGGCGCGGTGCTCAGTGCTGACCTCCATGGCGTGTCAGACACGTCGCGTACGGAAACCACAACCGACGGAACGCGCGGCAGCAATAGCACAGCGATCACGACGCCCTCGACGTCGCGCCTGTGCCTGGATGAGGACAGTGCCTCATACGACACGGGCTCGCTGCGGGGGATGGACTTTGAGCTCACCCTAGAGCACCGCACCGGCTTGCTCGGCGCACTCATTGAGGCCATGCACCGCACCTATACCAAACTGCAGCAAGCCGATGTTGACACGCTATCTGCGCGTCTCCAGCGCCAGAAACTTGCGGGTGATGTTGGCCACCTCTCGCGCACGACTGTCCAAGCCAGTGTACGCGACGTTGAGGGTCTGAAGGAGCATTTCCGCCAAATGGTCGAAAAAGAGGCGCGTCGTGGCGTGCACCTGGACGGTAGCCTTGTGACGCGCCGCGACTTTTTCGCACTCGTGAAGCTGCAGCGCGAGTCGCTGCTGGAACTAGCGCGCTTGCGTCGGTGCGTGAATGAGATTCAGTTGCAACCGCAGGCGGCTGCCAAGCTGCTGCATGAGCACCTTGGCGCGCAGACGTACAATACTGGGCGCAGTTGGATCTCACGTATGCTAACAGGCGTACTCTCGACCGAGTCGGCTGCCACGCCGGCTGAGCCTGGTGCAGCGTCCTTGCCGAGTGCGACCGACTCTGGTTTCGTACGCGTGGGTCCCACTGACGTGGCAGCGCCGGCCGCTACCGTGCCAATGGCCATGCCGCGACGCAATGCAGCGCCGCCGTCCCGGCTACTGCCACGCTCCGGCACAGCGGCGCTGTCCACATCGGTGGCCGTGCATGCCCATGGCATGCATGGAGCCGGAAAGCCAGGCATCCTGAAGACGAAGGCGTCGCAGCCAAGCCTGGCTGATGTGGGCCAGCGGGCGCCACGGCGGCCGCTGGCGAACATTACCAATGCGGCGCCACCGACGCGGCCGTGGGAGGAGCCACTCAAACGATCGCGGGCACGTGGTCTGAGTGACAGCTCGATCCACAGCACCTTCCTCGAGCATGGCGCGCCAGCGCACGATCCGCCGGTAGATCGCGTCATTACTACGGCCACGCTGACGCTCTCAGGTCACGATGCCTGAGCCGGGCGGTCGATAGCTATACCCGTATGATATCACGTGTCTTGCTTCTGCCATGCTCCCCCGTAGTCTGTCGTTGCCGGGGGCAGGCGTCGCGCTGTCGGGCCGCTGGTACTCGCCATCCGATGCGAGTTATGGACTGGCTATAATTGCACACCGTACGTGGGCCATCCTTACATGAGCGTACGGGTACGTTGGAGGAGATCAGGACAACCCAGTGGTACTCGCGCTCGTGCGCCATTTCCTTGCGCAGCAAGTGCATGTGGTCACGTACAATGCGCGTGGTGTATCAGGCTCGGAGGGGCGCATTTCCTGGACGATGCGCCCGGAGTGTGAGGATATGCAAAGTGTCGTGCAGTATGCCATGGAGCACACGCCACTGGCCACGTCTGCGCCCACGCTGTACGTGGTAGGCTACAGCGCCGGCGCGCTGCAGGCCTCGACCGTGCGGCCCAAGCTCGCGGACGGCGCATGGTCCCAGGCACGTCTCCACTACCTCCTCCTCGCCTACCCGCTAGGTGTGCGGTGGTTGCTAACGTGCCTACAAACGGGGTATTACGTCCGGGCCCTCGACGCGCTCCTCCGCGACGAGCAGCGGGGGCTCACGATCGTATACGGTACAAATGACCAGTTCACGGGGGCATCGTCCTATGAAGCATGGCGCACGCACCTAGTCGCGCTGCGACCCTCACTTGATTTACATACGCTGGCCGTGGACCACTTTTTCCGTACGGCGCCGATGCAGCAGGCCCTGCGCGCCGCGCTTCCGACGCGCGCGGCGCCTGGGGAGCACTGACCTCCACCTGCGTCGGCCGAAGATCGTAGACCAACACTGCGCGAACTATACACACAGCCACGTTGTCAGCTCGCTGAGAGCGACGTCGCTCGGCCATGAGTACAGGCACGCGCGACATCGCACAGAAGATAGCAGGCCCCGATGGGGGCGCTGTGAGCGATGTCAGCGTCGCCCAGCTGCTGTGCGACCGGCTGGAGAGCGGGCTGCCCTACACATGGGCGTCGGCGACCATGCTGGTCGCGCACAATACCTACCGTGATTCTACGGCCATGGATGAGGAGGCAGCTGAGGAGGCGCATTTATACGCGGACCTTGCATCTCTTCCACCGAGCCCCCAGGCTCTCGCGGCACGCGTGTACCACAAGATGATGCAGTCGCAGGCGCCGCAGTCGATTCTGTATAGCGGCCTGACGGATGCGGGCAAGACACACAATATGCTCCGTGTGACGGAACATCTACTCGCACTCTCCGCATCGCATTCCCAGCATGAGTCACAGCTTGCCGACCAGGTGCAATGTGCCCAGCAGGTACTCTCTGCGTTTGGTGGCGCCAAAACCCAGTCCAACGAGCAGGCATCGCGGCATGCCACGTACTGGGAATTGCACTTTTCTGCGCGTGGACGCCTTGCCGGCGCCAAGGTGCTTACGTTCGCGCTAGACCAGCACCGCCTACACCAGCTGCCTAGCGGGGAGCGCTCGTATGCCATCTTTTACCAGGTACTGGCAGGTGCCACACGCAAAGAGCGCAGCGATTACCGTCTCGACGAGCTCAACCTGGATATTGTGCCCACGCGCGACGATGCACGCACCTTCGAGTGGACGCGCACAGCACTAGCGCGCCTCGGATTCAAGGAAAAGCATGTGCAGGGCGTGCTTCGCGTGATTGCCTCGATCCTGCACATCCTCGCGATCGAGCTGGGCGACGCCGATGACCACGTCCAGGTGCTCAATCCCACCAAGCTCTCCTGTGCGGCGGAACTGCTGCAGGTGAGTGCGGCAGATCTGCAGCAGAGTCTCGTCATGGACACCTTGTTTGTACAGGGCGAGCGTGTGACGCACATGCTTGATGCACGTGGCGCACGACAGCAGCGCGACTCGCTCGCGCACCACCTGTATGCCGTGCTCTTCGCCTTTGTTGTCGAGGCAATGAACCAGAAACTGGCGCCGGCGGAAGTCCAGCCTCTGCAAATCGTGCAGCTCGATCCGCCTGGATTTGTCTCGCATATGCGTCTTCCGCAGCGGACGCCGCGCGCCTCGCACTTTGATGATCTCGCGAAAAACTACATTGCCGATTTGCTGCGTCACCTGAGCGTGCGCTCCATCCTGGACCCCAGCGGCTGGCGCGGCGTGTGTGAGGCCGAAGGACTGCCGGTCCCCGAGTCCCACATTCCCTCGGATTGCGTATCCCTGCTGCGTGGCGAGCCGGTACCGCTGGGCGGCGCGGCGCCCTGGGACGCACAGGGGCGACCGTCGCCGCCCGCGCTGGCGCAGCCCACAGGCGGGCTCCTCTCCGACTATGCACGTGTGCTGGACACCGTGCTGGCCGGCGAGCGCGCTATTGACGACGATGGCGCACTGCTGCGTGACTTGGAGCGCCATGCAGAACACCATGCCTTTGTCGCGCCGCGTGCGGGGTCCAGCGTATTTGATATTCAGCACTCGCTGGGGCCGTGTTCCTACACGGTGCTGTCGCATCAGCGCTCCGAGCTCGACTGGCTACCTACGCAGCAGCTTTCGATGCTGCGCGCCTCGCGCAACGCATTTGTTACACGGCTGTTCGCTGGCCCCGGCCTCGCGATCGAGTCACGTCTGTCAGAGCAGGTGCTGCTTCGTGCTCAAGTGTCGTCGCGCCCCTTGCGCCGACCCACGCGCCTAGGCGCCCGTGTGCCGTGGCCTGAGACGCGCATTGAGGGCGTTTTGCAGCAGATTGACTATGTGGTACAAAGTCTCTGGCACACGATGCAGCAGGCTGATACGTGCTGGCGAGTACTGTGTGTACGTTCGCTCGACTGGACTCAGCCACAAGGGCTCGACGCGCAACGTGTCTCGGCACAGATCCATGCGCTAGGCCTGACGAGACTGGTGAGTGCACAGCGCTACAGCTATGTATACCTTCCTCGCGATACCTTTGCAGCGCAGTTTGGCGACTTGGAGCAGGCGATCCAGTCCCGTGGATGGCTTGTGCCCAGCGATGTGAGTGTGGGCGAGTCGCTGGTGGCCCTGTCGTACCCTGCGTGGTTTGCGCTGACGGGTGCCGTCACGCCACCGCGTACGTCCAAGCCGCTTGTACGCCTATCGCAGCAAGCGCCGACGGTGCACCAACCGTACATGCAGGATCCTCCCGGCTCAGACATGTCGCTGCTCAAGCCTGAGGCGTTGGGCGAGGAGCCCATGCTCCCAACGGACCTCGCGCCTGCATGGCCGCCCATGGTCGACAGCAAGGAGGGTCTGCTGCAGCCGACCGAGATGGACGAAGAGCCTGTGTCAACTGAGCGCCGCTTGTGGTCGTGTCTGACGTGGGTGCTGACTTTTTGGATGCCCGACTCGGTCCTCACGCATGTGCTCGGAAAGACGCGCCCTGATGTGCGTATGGCATGGCGCGAGAAGATGACCATCTGTTTGCTCATCTTTCTGCTGTGTGCCATGATCCTCTTCTATATCATTGGACTCGGCCACCTTCTGTGTCCTGACTTTAATCGTGCATGGAACGAGGGGCAGCTGAGTGAGCACGGGGATGGCGACTCGTTCTATGTGGCGGTCGCGGGCAATGTGTACGATCTGACCAAGTTTTACAAGTTGAGTCACTCGGATATTCCCAGCATGCCCGTCACGCAAGACGTGATGATGCAACTGGCTGGCCAGGACCTCACGCCCTACTTTCCGGTGCCACTCAACGTGGGGTGCTCGGGGCTCGTCCAGGACGCGACGATGCAGCTGATGCAGCAGCAGAACCTCACAGCGCCCATTGCCCAAGCCGTGCATCAGTCCGGTGCAGCGCAGTCGCACAAGAACACCAAGCTCAACAATCCCAACTGGTATTACCAGCGCTTTTTGCCCACGATGAAAAAGTATTGGAAGGGGCACTATGTATACGACAAGGCGCGCATTCAGAGCGATGGCTCATGGCGCAGCTGGGCGATTGTGCATGGGCGCTTGTACGACCTCACTAACTACCTGTACACGCAGCAGCAGCACCCCGGCGATGACAAGTACAGCTTCCTTAACCACGACCTTGTCGACTTGTTCCAGGCGCAGGCGGGTAGCGATATCTCAGGCGACTACGACGCACTGTTGCAAAGCCTTTCACCTGCCGCGCAGCAGCAACATCAGCACTGTCTGGACCAGGCGTTTTATGTGGGCCGATCGGACTTCCGGCTCGAAGCGCGGTGTCTCGTCCAGAATTACTTGCTACTTGCGTTCTCGGTGATCATTTTCATCTCGATCTTGGCCAAGTTCCTCAGTGCGCTGCAGCTCGCACACCGTCCCTCACCGGAGCAGCAGGAGCGCTTTGTCATCTTGCACATTCCCTGCTATACCGAGGGCGAGGAGTCGCTTCGCAAGACGATTGAGAGTTTGGCTGTGCAAGAGTACGACGACAAGCGCAAGCTCTTATTTATTGTATGTGATGGAATGATCGTGGGCAGCGGCAACGAGCACGCAACGCCGCGCATTGTGCTGGATATCCTCGGTGTCGATCCCAGTGTGGATGCCGAGCCGCTCCCTTTCAAATCGGTTGCCGAAGGCTCGAAGCAGCTCAACTATGGCAAGGTCTACTCAGGCCTCTTTGAATGCGAGGGCCATGTCGTGCCGTTCTTGGTTGTCGTCAAGGTTGGTCGTCCCAGCGAGCGTTCTCGGCCCGGTAACCGTGGTAAGCGCGACACGCAGATCCTGCTGATGCGCTTTTTGAATCGCGTGCATTTTGATGCGCCAATGTACCCGCTTGAACTGGAGATGTACCACCACATGAAGAATGTGATCGGCATTGACCCGTCGTTCTACGAGTACATTCTCATGGTCGATGCTGATACGCTCATTACTCCGGATGGTCTCAATCGCCTCGTGGCTGCGTCAGTCGACGACCCCAGCACGATTGCCGTGTGTGGCGAGACGCTGCTTGAGAACGAAAAACAGTCAGTGTGGACTATGGTGCAGGTGTACGAGTACTACATCTCACACAACCTGTCGAAAGCATTCGAGAGCTTGTTTGGCAGTGTAACGTGTCTGCCCGGCTGCTTTAGCATGTACCGACTTCGCTCAAGCGACAAGGGCCGCCCGCTGTTCATCTCGGACAAAATTATTGACGACTACTCGGAAAACCGTGTGGATACGCTGCACAAAAAGAACCTGCTCGCGCTCGGTGAGGACCGCTACCTGACGACGCTCCTGCTCAAGCACTTCCCGCTTTACCGCACGCGATACCGACACGATGCGAAGGCCATGACGGCTGCGCCGGACTCACTCTCTGTCTTGCTGTCGCAGCGCCGTCGCTGGATTAACTCGACCGTGCACAATCTGGTGGAGCTGGTCAAGATGAAAGGGCTGTGTGGCTTCTGTCTCTTCTCCATGCGCTTCATCGTGTTTATCGACTTGGTAGGCACGATTATCCTGCCTGCAACGGCCGTGTACATGGTATACCTGATTGTGACGGTGTCGATCGGCCAGAGTCCCATTCCGGTGATTGCCCTGGCCATGATCGGCGCCGTGTACGGTCTGCAGGCGGTCGTGTTCTTGCTCCGTGGCCAGTGGCAGTATATTGGCTGGATGGTCATTTACCTACTGGCCTACCCGTTGTACGCATTCCTCCTCCCCATCTACTCGTTCTGGCACATGGACGATTTTTCGTGGGGCAACACGCGCATTGTCGTTGGCGAAAAAGGGAACAGGAAAGTGGTCGCTGGCACAGACGACGAGCCGTACGACGACTCAATGATCCCCCGCAAAAGCGTTACCGAGTACCAGCAGGAGCTATATGGCGACGAGGAGCCCATGTTGCTGTACGGCGCACCACCGAGTATGGCCTCTTCGACCCCCCTGGAGCCTGAGGACGACTACTTCCAGAGCACAAACTTACGCGACAAGGCACACCGCTCGCATCGCCTCTCGTCTACATCGTGGATGCCGTCCACAGGCAAGGCGCGCGACTCGCTCGCGACGCTCCCCTCCATGGCTAGCAGCGGCCTGGGCTGGCCCATGTATGCACCGTCCATGCCATCGATGCCCTCCATGTATGGGATGCCCATGTACCCGTCGTTCCCAGAGATGGGCACGCCATTCCCGCCGTCTAGTACGGACCATCATACAGGCCTACCGATGGTGTACGAGGAGCATCCCTCCGAGGAGCAGATCCGCACAGCAATTCAGTCGTATCTTGCGGCACAGTCAAGCTTGATGCACGTCACCAAGCGCGATGTTCGCGAGGCTGTGGCCGCCTCGATGCCCCATGCCGACCTAACGGGCCACAAGACCCTGATGAATCGCATTATTGATCAGCTGCTCTCTGGACAGATTGCCTAGCACAGCGCGCGCTCCAGCCACGCGGCCATACGCGCCTCAAGTGGCCACGATGAGCGCGGCACCACAGAGGGCGGCGGGAGGACCAGCGCATCGTACGGTGCACCGACGAGTGTCTGTGCCGCCTCAGCAAAGCCGCCTGCGGCCGAGCGCACATCCACCCTGTCCACGCGGCCATAAGTGCAGTGCAAGGTCAGCGTGCCCTGGCGGTCCCCATCGGGCACCGCCTGCGTGGATGCTGTCACGGAAAAGGCGGGCGATGTCCCGTACAACCACGACCACGTTTGCATGTCCTCATAGCTAGAACGAACACGCACATGTTTTCCCCGCACATGTGCCGCCGCATCGAGGCACGAGGCGTCCAATGTATGCACGTCTGTTGAGCCGTACATGCGCACAAACTCAGCACGAATCGCCTCAGTCACATGCGCCAAGGTGCACGGGGCACCCGGGAAGGTCTCCTGCAGGTTCGCCACGGGCGAAGGCACCGAGGCGACCGCCTTGGACTCCATGTTGTGCCGACGCTGCTTGAGCATGGACATACGGGCGAGATCTGCATGAAGAAGCAGCGTTCCGTGGTGATAGGCACGGTCCTGCGCGACTTTATAGGCACTGCCTGATACTTTTCGTTCGTGTGCCGCATCCGCCGTGGGGGCCCCCAAGCTGTACACGGCGAGATCGTACCGCGCATTGAGAAACACGGGTGGCCGGCCGAAGCGCGACGGCAAGGACACGGGCGGCGCGTGTAGTGCACGCGCCACCAGTTCTGTGTGCGTGCGGCGCGAAAATGCCGATCTCGGCATGTGGAACGAGTAGTTTAGGTTCCCCAGATCATGGTACACAGAGCCGCCGCCACTCTTGCGGCGCACCACGGGTATATGGGCCGCCCTCATGGCCCGCGGATCCACCTCGCCCCATAAGTTCTGGTTTTTTCCGATGACCACGCATGGCGTATTGACATACAAGAAACACACGGGCACGTCTGGAGCGACTGTGCGGAACAAGAAGTCTTCCCACGCAAGGTGCACGTAGGGGTCGTGCAACGACGACACATACATGGTTGGCCGTGTTGGTACGGCCAAGCTCGATGCATGCCGCGCCAGTCGCTGCTGCCCCACACTCGCACATCCGCGCCAGCGAGTGCATGCGCCCCATCGCGCGGCCCACGGCGCCATGGGCTAGGTACGCTTCGCCGTAATGGTCTTCACGTGACACAACGCGTCTTCGAGCGAACGGCCCACCCCCCTCCACGCCATGCGCGACACGCTCGTCGCGACGGTGCAGGCGCAGCTGCCGCCGCACTTCCAGGATGCACAGCATTCCGTTGCAAATCACCGAAAAAACTGTGTATCTCTGTTTAGATTGCACTCGCAGTGCGCTCAAGTTACGGAGTCGACGCCCCGCGGAACACGCTTGGTCGGCGAGAAAGTGTTCAATGAGTGCTTCTTCGACTGCTTGCATCGCATTTTGCCCCTCAAGAAGGGGTTTAAAGGAGCAGATCGTATAAGCAGATTTGTGGCGACATATGCGGCATATGCAGTTGAGCAGCTCTCGAACCCTGGCACGGATGCCCCGAACGACCACGAGGACGACACTCCCGCCACGCGTTTCGTCGCGATCCTCCTCAAGCACCTCCTCAAGGGCTTTCAATCCAAAGATAAAAACGTAAGATTGAGATGCTGCACATGTGTGGCACTGCTGATCAACTCGATGGACAGTGTGGACGACGACTTGTACGAGACGCTAGTCAGTCTGCTCATGCAGCGCCTCGTGGACAAGGAGTCGGCTGTGCGTGTTCAGGCGGTGATTGCATTGGCACGCTTGCAATGCAGTGAAGCAGGCACAGATGAGCGCACCATGCGTCTGTTGCTTCACTTGCTGCGCCACGATACCAGCGCCGATGTCCGTCGCGCCGCCCTGTTCAACATTCCTCCTACTACCGCGACTTTGCCGTATCTGCTGGAGCGCCTCCTTGATGTGGACGCGACCAACCGCCGATGCGTGTATCTTGTGTCGCTCAAATCTCTCCTGGATTCCCAGCCAACAGTCGAGCTGGAGAGTGGCCTCGTCATCAAGGAGTCGCTCGGCCTAGGAGAGGTGTCCCTCTCGGAAGTGGTGCGGATTGGCTTGCATGAGCGAGAGCCGACTGTGCAAAAAGCTGCACGAAAACTCGTCACGTACTGGCTTGAGGCGGCCGGCGGAAACATTCTGACACTCCTGTCAATGCTGCATGTGATGCGCTCACCCGACGGCGAGCCCGTGGTACTTGCCCTACTGGAGGATCTCCCCGACGTGCGAGCGAGTGTGTCACGCCTGTTAGCCGATCATCATACCTACTGGGCCGATATCACGCCAGGCAAGGCCCTTCTCGCGCGATGTTTCGTCCTCTATGCGACGACGCACCACATGGAGCGCGAACTGGAGACATGCGTGCCTGTCGTTACCGCTCTCGTATACCGCATCCAGGCTGAATATCATGCCCTTAACGCGCTCCTCGAGCAGCAGGCGGCTGAGGAAATGGAAGAAGATATGCCTGCACTGCAGGACGACCGTGCGCTTGCGCATGTGTTTGTCGTGGGCGAGTTGTTGGCCATCGCCATGTACTGCGACTACGGCGACGAGCTCGGGCGCCGGAACATGTTCATGCTGGTGCGCGATATGCTGAGCAACGCATGGCTGCCGGCTCAGCTGGTCTCTCGCTGCCTTGATGTCCTGCTGCGTCTGGCTAGCGGGCAGCGCGATTTCCTGCAAATTGTCGTGGAGCTGGTGCAGGCCCTTGATGCAGAGCTCGATGAAGCAGATAAGGATGAGGATGGCGATCTGTCCGTGCGTCAGTCGCTTTCGTGGCATCGGCGAGTGGACAAGGACGCCTCGCCGGCACAGGCGGCGGACCTGGCAGCCCTAGACGCTCGCCGCTTGCTGATTGTGCGAGCCATGCTCGAACGCATGACAGGCACACTGCAGGATGAGACGACGCTTGAGGGCCTGATCCAAGAGCTGATCGTGCCGACCGTGCAGAGCAAGGATGCGGCACTTCGCGAGCAGGGGCTCATTTGTCTGGGTCTGTGCTCCCTGCTCGACAAAAAGACGGCGCTGATCACATTCCCCTTGCTACTCAACCAAATTCAGCGGGCGAACGGCACCATCCAAGCGCGGTGTGTCGAGAGCCTCTTTGACCTGACTGTGGTGCACGGTATGGATGCACTTTGCACCCAAAGCGCCAGCGTCGCGGCCCGCAACGAGTTCGATGGCGACGAGGAAAAAGGGCTACAGTATGCTCGGCAGCAACTGCTCGGTTTCCTCTTGAGTCTCTTGGAGCACGAGGAGCCAGAGATTCAAGCCATTGCTAGCGAAGGTCTAGCCAAGCTGCTGCTAACTGGCGTGCTCAGCGAAGACGACGTGCTCAAGAGCCTTATTCTCACGTACATGAGCCCTGATACCGCGGCCAACCAGCCACTGCGGCAGTGCTTAAGCTACTTTTTGCCGCTCTTTTGCAGCTCACACGCGCGCCACCAGCGCATGATCCAGCACGTATTTATGGATGTGTTTGATATTCTGGCCCACTTGTACGACGACCCAGAGGCACGCACACACATGATCTCGCCCGCCCAGCTCGCCGCCCAGCTAGCAGAATGGAGCCATCCAGATCGCTCCATGCTGACGGACCCCGACGTGTATGTACATGTGGACATGGCCGTGGATGCGATGAAGCACGCTCTTCAGACGCCCAGCCGCGACCAGCGCAAGGCCCTAGCACAGATGCTCGGCAAACTGGCATGGCCTGCTGCCCTCGACGCGGCTCGCGCCACGTCCTTATTCCTTCTCGGGCGTGAGTGGCAGCGGCGGGCCGATGATGCTACCACCCGCAATGCACTCTTGAAATATGAGCAGGCTCTGTTGAAGCGATACAACGTGCCTGAGCAGGGTCCGGACAACGAGGTAATGTCATCGCTAGAAGCGCTGTTCCGCGCGTTGCCCCCGCCGGATACAGCGAGGCCACGCGCACGCTCTCGAAGCTCGCGGACCCCGAGTGTGGCCACGGAGCGGGATGCGTCTCCCTCGGACGTTGACTTGGACGATGCGACTACGTCCGAGGAGGAGGTGGTCAGCGAGCCAAGGCGGCGTCAGAGACCACTACCATCGCACGACGAAGTGGACGAAGACGAAGACGAGCTGGGACTCTAGCCATCTATATCCGGGGTGGCCGTGGGGGTGGCACTGGCTGGTTCCGACGCTCTGCAGTCGAGTGTAGTGCGGGTCCTGGCGGGGGCGCCGGCATCATGCGAGGCTCTGATGTCATATGTAGGGCCGCTAAATCCTCCGCCAATGTTGTAGACGCCGTGGGATAGGAACCCAGAGCCGCGGACGACGCAGGTCGCTCGGCAAAATCGGCGCGCGCAGCGCGTCGCTCTGCCACGAGACGGGCTGCCGAGCTAGCGAGCATGTCTGCCTGGCTAGCCATATCATCGTAAAAAGCATGGGCCTTGGCCAGAGTGGCCTGAATTTCCGTATAAGCCTCGTAAGCTTTCGAGAGTCGCGCGTCGCCATCGAGCGCGGTCGCCCGAGAGGCATCAAACGCTCGCCGCGCATCCATGGTGCCTGGGTGCGAATCCAGGCGCTGCAATGCATCTTTAAGCATTACCATGCGTTTCTGCTGGAGCTGGATGTGGTCGGTGATTTGACACTGCATTGGAAGGTATTTTCCGAGCTCCTGTTGGAAGACGGTGGCCTCTCCATTCGGCACACGCCGATTGAGCAGCAGGACCCGCGAGATGTCGTCGCTTCGCACACGCTGTTTGAACGCCTGCAACATACGCTCGCGTTCCTGAGGCATCGCTGCCACAGAGTCGAGTAGAGCCCTCGTCTCACGAAGTAGCTCACGCGCAGGGCCCGTATCTGTGACGTCCGCGTCCAGGAGATTCTTCGAACCCGACACGCGCGCCTGCTCTTTGTACATTTGACGAATATCTGCAGGGCCCGCGACCAGCAAACGCACATCCGGCGCGACTTGCTGCCATAGATGCACAACATCGCTATCGTTCTCATGAGCGGCATCCAGTGCATCCAGTGCATTTTTTAGATCTCGCCGCAAGGTCCGCGCAACACTGGCCGTCGGAGGCTGTGTATAGTCGGCTCCATACTGGACACGAGCACGCTCACATTCGCGAGCATCATCGTCGAGGTCGGCCAAAGCACCCCGAATCGTATCCACAATCGGCGGAGCGCGCTTCAGCAGGGTATCCATCACCCGCTCCATACGAGTTAGGGGCGCGGTAGAAAGCTCTTGCGCCATCGAAAGCACAGCTTCGGAGGGAGCACATTCACGTGGTGCGGCGCCTTCCAAGCTCGCGTATCGTTCGAGAGACTCGGGCAGGTGCAATGCCGAAAGGGACACAGAAATCTGCGCATTGGCCGCATCGACTCGCGCGCTCTCTGCACGGATCAATTTCGCTTGCTCCTCTGAGTAAACTGATGCACTTTCCAGCACACCAAGAGGGACAAGAGTGCGCAAGACATCAGGACCTAGAACTGATTGCACTTCGGGCTGGCTGAAAGTCTCTCGAATCGTAATCGGCATAGCCACAGATGTCTGATCAATAGCTGGGAGTGCTCCCTCTTCCAGGGCGCGCTCGTGATATACCAAGTCATTTTCCCGCTCCGCTTCTCGTAGCGCTTCCAAAGATACAGCCACCTGGGCACTAAAAATATGCTGTAACGCCGCCACTGTGTCATTTGGCAATGTAGATCGTAGGTGAGAGCTCAGAATCGGCATTACCAAAGGTGAGAAGGCGTGGGCCTCCTTAGCCAAGGTGTGAGCCAGTCGATACCGACTAAGCGCAATCGCATGATGATTTGCTGCGGCATCCACCTTAGCGCGATATAATTGCGCCATGGATGCAAAGTATCGGGACTTGTAATACGCCACAATGATCCAGGCGGGAGGAACATGTCTCGAAGCCGATGGCTCACTCCATTCACTATGGAGTGTGCCATAAGCGTGGCTTGTATGACTTGCTAGCTTGGCAATGAGACCTGCCCCTTTTCCGTCGTGGAGTGTTTTCTCCAGGAATATTTCTGAAGCTTGTGCTAGCAGTAGTGCAACAAGCGACTGAAGCATGGTCCCTTGGAGATCATCACTCGGTGCATACATGAAACTGTCCTTGATATATTCAAGAAACCCTGCGGCTTGACGAAATCCATTGTAGGCTCGTTTTAATGCATCCGAGCCGGAGTCAGCTCGATTTAATTGCGCCGATACGTGGGTGACACGCGCAGCCATATTAAAAATGGTGCAGGCTTTCTCGTACGCCAGCGAGTCCTGCTTGACTTTACTGCGCGTGAATGCATCATGCCACTGGAAATTCAGTTTGATCTCAGGGAAGCGAAACTCAATCATCTCAAGCATGTGAAAATAGGCAAAAAGCAAGTCTCGACCCGTTTCCTCACTGTTCGGCAAGCTCATGGCATCTTTGCGTGCCTGGCGAATCCGCTCTAGCTCCTCCTTGTATTTTACCGGACTCTGTTCATAACTCTTCACAATCAGCTCCGTGATGGGCTTCACTAAATCCACATCACGCGTTTCTTTCAACGGTAGTGCAATCAATGGCGACTGCATGAGGTCCGAGCGGGGGACTCGGCGGTGCGTTGCATTGATGATCACGTGAAGATAAGGCCGAGTGTTGCACGCCACCGTTCAGCAGCGTTGCCTCTTGCTATCTATGGGCGCCGCACACTCACGCGGAGCAAACGATATACCAGACGGCGAGGAACGCCAAAATAATCGCCCAGGTATATTCCGTAATAATCCCTTGCGTCGTCGCCGTGAAGATCGCAATGAAAATGATGGAGAGGAGCAGGAGCACACAGAGTCACGAGCTCGTCGCCGCCGCCTAGCACCTGGGCTGGGCTCCTCGTCTGAACAAGAGGATACGCGAGGGAATCCATTTTTAGATACTCTTGCGCGCGTTGAAAGTCAGTTCCAGCAGGGAGGTATCCCACATAACCCGCATCCTCCCAGCACTATGGACCGGCACTCCCCATCCAACTCTGGTACTACGCATGCTGCAGAGCAAGATCCTCTGGCCGAAGAACGTCAACATGCCATGAATTTAATTGAGCGCACTCTTCGAGAAACGGCCTCACCACATCCCCCACTTGACCCTACTAGACTCCCGGGTACATATGGACGCCGACACTTTCCTGTCATGCCTGCTCTTCGTCGAGCCGCCCTATTCGGTCAGCGTCCACGCCCAGCGTCCACGTTTGGTTCATTGCTGTCCGATGTTCTAGGGGCCCAGTCTGGTCAAACGTCCGGCCATGCGCCCCTTTCGGGTACTTCGGTCATTGTGCAGGGCGCCTTGGTAGCCCGTACATCACCAAGTGGGCAAACAATGGGTCAAGCGCCGAGTAGTTCTAGTCAAGATGAACGTACGGCTACCGATGGCTCATTACAAGGGAATCATTCAAGCGACTCATCCTCCTCCAATGCCTCTTCATCTCAGAGCACGACAACTTCTAGTCACACACACAATACTACACAATCTCAAATACCCCAGACTGCTACGATCGAAGAGCAGAGCGAAATGTTGGGTCGCATATTGCGTATTGCCGCGGCGGCCACGGCTGCCTCCGTGGTAGGTGCTTCGACGATGCCCTCTGCTGCCACTACCACCGATGCGGCACCACAAGACACCAATTCTAGCAGCTCAGAAACACAACATTCGCCAGAAGTGTCGCAGTCTTCTGCTCGTGAGTCCCGCCTAGGGCGAGATCTGCTGGAACGATTGTTGCCTCATCGTCAAGGATCGTCTACATCACAGTCGACCATGCCTGAATCTGAAGCGATTTCAATGATTTCGCGCCTTATGCGTGAGGCACTCCGCGCCTCTCTTTCGGCTCGAGGAGACCCACAGTCTTCTTCCGAATCATCTCGAACGACGCCATCAGAATCCGTGCAAGCAACACTGGACCAGGCCCGGGCAGGTCTGCCTCTGACACCAGGTGAGCCTGGTTCATTCGATCGTTTCCTTCATGACTTGCTTGAAGACTTAAGTGCGGCATTACATCGTCTTGGCGAGGAAAATGACCCAGAGCGACCGTCTCCTGCGAGGGAGGCGGATGCTGAGCAGTCGAATCGCCAGGATGGTGATGTGGTCTGTGGACAGTTGTCGTTTTTCCGGCTATTCCGCTTCGACCGTCACGAGCCCACATCACTTATTCCTTGTATCCTTGTTGGAGTGCGAAGCTTACGTGCTGATGAGCGGCTTATGGGTGAAGTGGCCCCACAGACAGATGACAATGGCCGTGGAATTTCACGCCTTGTGATGTTTGTAAGTGGCGGACGTTATCATGACGAACACCCGCTGCTAACGGCGCACCCTCGCGAAGCGGGTCGTGATCTTATGTTTATGATGGAACTCCTTGGCACAATGTCCGCTATGCAAAACAAGCGACCAACAGCAAGCGCAAATGATATTGAACGAAGTGGTCTCAAGAAGGTGCGCGGCACGGAGCTACCAGCTCTATTGGAACAAGGTGCCATTACGGAAAATACGTCGGAAAAGTGTTTGGTGTGTTTGGAGGAATGGCAAGACGATAGCGAATGCCGTGTATTATCCTGCAAGCATGTATTCCATACCTCTTGCATTGATCATTGGCTCGAGAACAGCTCGAATACATGTCCTTTGTGTATGTATATTTTGCGACTAACCTCAGGTCGTTCTGAAGCAGTTTCACTTTCCCACTAGATAGGTAACGCATCTTCAGGAAGCAACGAGTTTGCTTCCACTAGACATTTAAAGCGGGCATACAAGGAGGTATCTGCTTCACATGAGGCGAACATCTCGTTGTGGTGAAGGTACAAATGCGAAAATACCCTTGCAATCTGCTTGCAAACACCGGGGAAAAGACGCGTGCAATGACGAGGAATGGAAGTAAGTTTGGAGTGGAAAGCACCAATGCTTCCCAAAGTATCCGCCGCAGCATCCATAGCATGAAAAATATACTCTTGAGCTGTACAAGGGCGACCGTCATTGTGCTCACGACACAGTAAAATATCGTCACCAATCCGCATAGCATTACAGCCACCCGAAGACGTGCAAACTTCCTGTAGCCTGGTTAGCCATGGGACATTAAAGTCTTGGAGAATCCGCCTTAAGTGTGTATAAATCCATAGGGAGATATCGATGTCGGAAGATGGTAACTCAACTAGCCGGTGGACATCGTGAGGTGTTTGTCTCACAAGAACACCGACATATTGCTGGACACTCCCAAGATCATTTGTTAGAAGAGTCAGCGACGAAGGATCTTCCCAATTATTCTGAATATCCTACCGTTAAGAATGACCACATGCCTTCAAAGTCTGACCCCTTCGAATGCGCCGATGGTCCATGCCAGTGGCTATTCGACAAGACTTTTCTTGGTAAGCAAATTAAAGGCTGGTGTGCGGCATGTGTGGAACAGAGTTCTCTATAGTCTGAACATGTGTATACTTTCCCCAAAACTTCTTGGATGCCTATACGCTATTTAATTCGCCGCAGGGAGAAGAATCGTCCATGAGTAGATTCCATTGAATGCCAGACCCTCCTTCAAGAGGAGGAGGGTAAAAAATTGTCCCGTGCCAGGATCGAACTGGCGACCTCCAGATATCAAGTTCCTCGCGCCAGGCGCGATCATATTATGAGACCGACGTGATAACCAACTACACCAACGAGACAAAACCTTTCTATTCAATTGGAGAATTACCTACATCATTGTATTGGGCTGGTAGGGGGGTTAGGACGAAAAATTGAAAATGCTACACTGTTACTTCGGAACATTTAGCTTCTCTTATAATTACCAAATCAGTAGCTTATAACAATCCTGACATTCTATTTTCTATTCTCGATAAGTGTGTACGTATCGACTGCAAAAAATGTCCCGTGCCAGGATCGAACTGGCGACCTCCAGATATCAAGTTCCTCGCGCCAGGCGCGATCATATTATGAGACCGACGTGATAACCAACTACACCAACGAGACCAGATGTCTATCGCCGTTGCATAGACCAATATAACTTCCTCACGTTCGTTCCAATTACACAACATCACATCCTTCGATATTAATGCCCTCTCCTAAGGATGTGGTATATTACTGCTGTGATATTCCTAAAATTTCTTTTCGTACTTGAAGGAGCTGTTCACGGACTTCTTCTGATATTTTTAGTTCATTTGAGTCCATATAGTCTTCAAGATCGGTCTCCGGCATGTCAGAGGGGTCATCTGGCACTGATGACCCAACATCCTCTGTATTACCTAGGGCAATACCAAGATCGTCATCCATATCAATATCTTTGGCATCCATAGGTTCCAATAGAGGCTTGGCTGACGCCTCGTCCAAGGCACTCTTAGACTTTGCTTTGGCAGCCTCCAGCTGAATGATATAATTTTGGTGAATTGCAATTGCCTTCCTCTGTACTTTGCGGATTGTGCCTGCTGTAAGCAAACGTTCGTATAGTTACCACCACATGCCCGAACGCAGACGCGGACGCGATTCCCGTCAATCGTGTGTAGCAATGTTACTGCACCCCAAACATACCGCACGCCCTCACGGGCGCATCGAACGATACAAATTCCCGACTTGGGAGAATAATATTTACAGTTTAATGGCCCCGCAAAAGCACCTGCCGTGGCATCACCAAAATTTTTATGCAGTGACGCTCGCAAGGCTTTGGTGATATTGTACGCATTCAAGTTTGGCGCCCGAGCAGTCGGCAGAGCATCGGGACCATAATCTTCAGGTATGGCAGGAGGCTTTGATACAAATGTTAACAAAAGCCATCGGTTCTTTTGTGAGAGTGTTCGCGTACCTTGAATCGCACCATGTTAAAATTCGTCACAATGTGACGTGTGGAGGATTGTATACTGCTTCGAACCTGCCAAAATCTACGAAGTTACTCTGGAACTGGAGGGGGTGCACGCGGCGGTGCGCGAGGGGGTGGCCGTGTCGGCCTATTAGTCTTATGGAAAGCATCTTCATCAACCACTGCTCCATACTCTTGATGCCCATTTGGTAGCTCTGCCCCGGGAGTGGGGATACAGGGGGGCGTGCGAAGAGGTGGACTGGTAGGGCTTCGCAAGTCTTGGTTCTCAACCAATGTACTCTCTCTCGTCATCGAGGAAGGTACTTCTTGCACAGGAGCTTCTTGCATGCCTTCAACTGGCTCTGCTAAAGGACTGGGCGTCGTCTGCACTGGAATGGGACCCAAACCTGCAATTCGTTGACCACCCATTCGGGCCAAGCGCCGCGCGATGGCCTCACGTCGTGTCTTCTCAGACACCTCGGGATCTTCTTGTTGAACAAAATTATCCTTTTTAGGTATATCAGGCTTGGCAGTCTCATCTGAGTCTGTTTGTACAGGTGGCGCCTCTGTGTTACATTGAAGCAGTTGGTTTAAAAGCTCGTGCTGTGTTGAAAAATCATTGTTTCCATCGTCAAATTGTTTGGATGAGTTGTGTCGTTCAAGTGGGTCTTTCACGACGGGCATAGAGGGTGGGTTAACTGGTAATGCGACTGGTTCAGATGCATTATGCACAGTACGGTCAACGGGTTGAGCAGGTCTTGCCAATTGGGGCGATGAAAAGCTGGCTGGAGATACGTATTCTGCTCCTGGAATCACAGGGAATGATGAATTAACAGGTGCAGGCATCGTAGGACTCGTCACAGAGCTAGAAGCCACCTGGTCTTCAGTATGAGCTGGCGAATCTTGTACAGCGGATGCAGGCATTAGTCGGGTGACAACCGAGACTTGAGCGCGCTCATCCTTCATATCTGGAACGTTCACCGGTGAATGAGAATCCAGCGTATCTGAAGGGGATAACTGAGAGACAGGTTCCTCTTGGGATGATATATGATTCTGTTCCTCTGAAGCCCTCGTCACGTAAGAGGATGGTCCAGTTTCAATTGGGTCTTCTGGAGAGAGAGCCACACCTTCCTGCACTTGTTGAGCGCCCTCTTCAGCCCTCTCAGGGCTACCATCGATCTCTGATACAGCAGGTACTGTGCTTTGCAAGTTCTGAAGTGGTGCAGTTTCTTGAAAAGAAATTCCATCATTTTCTGCTAGACTTGTGCCACCCAAACGCTCCTCCAAATCAGAAGACAATGGAGTCGTGTCTAAGTTAGATCCACTCGGTTCAATAGCATGATCGTAGCATACTTGGCCTGGTGTAGCGTCCTGCTCCATGGAAGATTTAAGTCCCCTGTCTTGTGGTGGCAAAACAGGATCCGAAGCAGTGGTTTCGGGACCATCATTATTCATGAGAGTCTTTTCAGGCTCTTGACTCACTGAGCTGTCAGACTCGGCAGGCTTGGATCGACGTGTACGAGGAGCGGCTGTGCGTTTTGGAACCACCAAAGGCTGAGGTGCATCTGTGTGAGAACCATTTTCTACCGGTGATTCCATTTTCTCCTTAGTAGCTTCCATTTCATCTTTTTCAGGCTGCTTCTCTGTCACCACTGTGGGTTCTGAGGTGGGTGCAATTGAAGAAGAAAAAAGGCCCGCATCCACCCGACGACCACCTAAAGCTGCCATGCGCTTGGCAATTGCAGCACGACGTGTGGCTTCATCCTCTGTTGTGTTAGTAATGTTGGCTTGAGTCTGTTCTTCCTGTTTTACCACAACAGGGACAGCTCGTTCGGACGAAGGTGCTGGGATTGTGGTCCCACCTTCATGGCCACGTTGCAACGCTGCCATTCGTTCTTTCAAACTCATTTTAATGCTGCTCTTTGCATCTGACGCACTGAAGGAAGAAGATCCCGTATCTGCGCTTGCATCACAATCACTAGTATCAGGGGCTTTCTGAACACGCGGCACAGTAGTAGCGGCGAGTGCAGGCGGCACTTGATTTGGAAGGAGTGGTTTTTCGGCATTGTTGGAAATAGAAGGTCGTTTCCAAGTGCTCGGTTTACCTTTAGGGATTGGTGGTGGGGTTTTATTTGCCGTTTTGTTGAATGCTGCAATACGATCTCGGAGAGACATACGGCTTGGATCAATCTCTGACGGTTCTGATGCCTTTTCATCGGCCTCCATAGTTTGTGAGCCTACTGTATTAGTAGCTGAAGGAGTCTCATCGTAGTTTTCCGTCTTTGGCTCCTGCTGAAGCTTTGACTCAACAGCAGACAGTTCGGCGGGAGATGCAAGTGTGTCAGGGGGGGTGTATTCGTGAGGGATAATTTCTGTTTGATTGGTATTCACTTCAGAAGGTGAAGTCTGCGATGAAGTCACACTTTCCGCTGCTGTATCTTGATGAATGCGATCAACACGGGTCGCTTCTTGGTTTGTGTCTTCGACCGGCAATGCATTCGCTTCTTTGGTAACTGTAGGAATGTCAGCATCCTGAGAACTTTTCAAATCATCCTTAGGAGTCTCGGAAGTTTTTTGCATTCCCGCATATTCCATTTCAGCGGCACGCTCTTCGATTATGGGCGATGCTTGCGATAATACAGCAGAGTTGGGCTGAGCACCTTCATCTTGGGAACTTGGCTGCGTCTCAACTGAATATTCTGTATATTCAACAAGGCTGGCTGGGAATTGACCCTGTTTTGATCCGTCTAAGGACTCGCCCATGTACCAACGGTCATCCTCGTCTTCGTCGTAAGGATCAGCTGACTCGCTGGCTTCGACAGCGCGATCCGCGTAACCAAAGACACGGATAATCTCACCTTTCAGAAAAGAAAGATCCTGCGGGTGCGGACTTCTGTACTTCACAATCGACTTGACATAGAAGGGGAATGTCATGGTCAACTGCTGGAGTGTTGGTTGGCCCATATCCTGCCAACACCGAGCCCGATACGGACCCGATTTCTCCACATATGTCGCATTGCGGTCAGACAGGCTTTCACCCCACCATGAATAAACTATGGCCCGAGCTAGAAAATAAAGGTTCTGTGGCTCGAGACCATTTGGCGCTTGAGCGTACATTTTTAGCATGGATGAGAAGTTCACTTAGCCTCGTTGCAATTGGCATGTATGTTCTTTCTCACTGACAAGAGTGCTATTTCGCAGTTGTTTCGATTGCCAGAGTTGATTGTCGATGAAGGTCAGAATGCCCCGAAACCTTTTGCCCAATTGCGTGGGCAGTCCATCATGGTAGACGGCAAAATTCATCTGCAAACCCTACAAAGACTGTACGTATATGTTCTAACCTTTAGCGGCACACCTATTGGTATCGCGTTCGTCGGAGTCGGAGTGCTTGTCTTGCTCGTTGGTGCCGTGCGCTTTTTCCACGCCCAAAACATAATGATACGTGGCAAGTTTATCCCAAGTCGAGTTGAGAGTAAGTACTACATGGATTCTCATTCCTAGTTTTCACGCTTGCCTGCATTACAGGAGCGCTTTTGTTCGCAGCTTTTGGTACACTGGTTTCTGTAGCTGCAGGTGCATTGTAATTTGTTTATGCCTCATCCATGGCACTCTCGTAGTCCATGTTATGAACATGCTCATCATTTTCATGGTCAATCCAGTCTTCGAAGCCATCGTCGAAAAGGTCCACCAGCTGGTTCTGCTTGTCTTCCATACTCTCGTCGCTGCTCATAATATTGACCCACTGGGACCATTCTTCGTCGTTTAGAAGACAACTGTTCATGGTCATTCTGATCAATTCATGGTTTATACCATTGCCGATAAATACAAGCTCTTGGCGACGGTCCCCCCATGGTGTATCCGGGTCAAAATCGCGGCGGATGGCTTCTATGACATCAGGGTCTTCTGGCCATTCATCCCTCGGCACCTCACAGCGCCACCGGGCACCGCCGGTGAGAGTAAGCATGACACCCGCTTGCGACCACTCTCCAAATAGCATGGGGCGAGTAGCAAGCCACAGGAAGCCCTTAGAACGGAGAAGCGGGTTCCATACCTCCGACTTGCGCTTACTGGCAAGGCGAGCGTCTGGACGCAGCGCTGGCTGCTCCTCATCGTCGACCTCGATGTCCTCTTTATGCTCACCAGCTTCGTGCCCTTCCTCAACTTCCTCTTCGCCAACTTCACCATCATCCATGAATTCTTCTTGAATGACCACAAAGCACTCGCGGATCGTGTTCCACAGGCGCTGAGGATGGAAAGGCCGTCGAGAGCGGTATACAAAACTGCTGATACCGTACTCCTCAGACTCCGGCTTGTGGCCTTCGATCAAGCTGCGAAGCCAACCAGCACTCATGGCGGCCTTTTCAAAACTAAAGCTCTTAGTGCCGAGGACCTTCTTGACATCAATTTTGCCGTGCGTCGCAGGAATGATATTAGCCTCAGGGTTAAGTTTCTTCACTAGCGAGATCACTTGCTTGAGAGCTTCCCCAGACACAAGGTCTGCCTTGTTCACAATGACGCAGTCCGCGAACTCGAGCTGGTCAACCATCAAATCACTAATGTTGCGGTCGTCCTCTTCGGGGACCATACCCGCATGACGGTCGACCAGAAAGTCCGACGTATGGAAGTCATGGAACACGCTAGCTGCATCCACAACGGTGCAGCAAGTGTCCAGTTGCGCCACAGCGGGCAAGCCACCGCGCTGCAAGATGGCGGCCAGCTTTTCGTCCTCCACTGCATTAGCAGAGAATTCAGCACTAAATGTCTCCGCAACCTGCATAGGCTCTGATATGCCACTTGACTCAATGACAAGGTAGTCAATGTGGCGGTCACGCGCAAGTGCGGCCACTTCCTCCAGTAGGTCGGCTCGCAGGGTGCAGCAAACACAACCGTTGCTCATTTCCACAAGGTGCTCGTTTCCCTGAATGAGACGACGTCCTGCGATGAGCTGAGCATCAATATTCAGCTCACTCATATCATTTACAATGACAGCAATACGGAGACCATGGTCAGGGCTAGACAAGATATGACGCAGCAAGGTTGTCTTGCCCGATCCCAAGAAACCGCTGAGAAGCGTGACAGGAAGCTTACCTGGGCGCTGCTTTCCGAGAAGCTGGCTACACTGGCTCTTAAGCCACTGTGCCTCTTCCCTCATCTGCTCTTTCGTTCGAGGCTTACGCTCACTATCCATCTGCTTGCCCTGATGAACATCACGCAGCTCCAGGCCAAACTTGTCCAGCAGGTCGTACACCTTGTCATTAGGCTCAATGTCACGAGGGCGACGAGGCAGAATGTGAACATGGACGTGGTTCACCGTTTGTCCGGCCGACGCACCGTCCTGGATCGCAATAGAGAGCGAGTCTCCACTAAAGGCATGCTCGACAACACGGCCCACCTTTTGAACCACGTCAAACATGGCAGCCAGCTCAGCCGGAGGTACATCGGCAAGACGCTTATAATGTACACGCGGGATCACTAAGACATGCCCTGGAACCACAGGCTTAAGGTTCACGATGGCAGCAGCATCCTCCGTCTCGTAAAAGACTTGGTCCGTTACGTCGAAGGACGAAAAATGTGTGCTCTTGAAGGTGGTGGGCTCCTCACCATCAGTGGTACTTTTTTCAGCAGTGGCAACAGGAGCCATGTTTGAGAATATTGGAAAGAATCTTCCCATGCGGGCGCCCCTTTTAATGTACCATTTTTTTGTCTCTGTCGTTCGACCCTGCAGCAGTTTTCGTCTACCGAGAGCAATCTTTGGCCAAGAACTCTGCGAGTAACGCAATATTGAGAGAGATGGTCGGGAATGGTAGGCTCTCCCCAGTGGCCCCATTCCATATACAGCCAATACGATTGGATTCGACACCCTACCTTGTCAGTATGGTTACACGTCTAACTCGACGGGTACCCATCCAGGGCCCTCCACTTGAACATTTTTGCATATCATGGACTATAGTACTTGGGTATCTATTGGCTGCATTACCACACATCGTTGTTCTCATTCTCATTGTAATCCTCCTCATCGTCTGAGGCGGGCCTTCTAAGGCCACCTAAAGCCATCCAGTCGTCTTCAGTACGGGTCCGTTTGGAAGTGTGACCACCCTCATCATCCTCGTCACTTTCTTCTTCAGTGTCTTCCTCCAAAGCAGCGATGTCTTCCGGTGCGTCTTCACCAACGGTTTTTGAGCTCGGATGCTGAGGATCCTTACTGCTGGACTGGGTACTCGGAAACAAACTGTTCAATACATCATAGTTAATGCGACGAGACCAGCGTTTCTGTTGCATCATTTGCTTAGCTGACTCGGCAGCTGAGCCTGTGGGGGCTGTGGTGGCATCGCGCGGCTTTTGCCGCTTGCGATTTCGAGGTGCAGGCGCGATACCAGCCTTCTGATCAGCTTCAAGCTTGAGTTGGCGGGCCAATGCAGCTTCTAAATAGTCCTTGTTGAACTCCATCCACACTCGCTCCTTGATTTTCACTTCCTCGTCGTTGAGAATGAAGCTATCCAACTCTTCTTCGTCCAAATCAGCAAGGTCATCTTGTTCGTGATTGACAGAGGGAGGTGCAGCTTCCTCAGCGTTTTCCGAGGCGGTAGAAGGTGCATCAGACGGTGTCTCTGTGCTCTCTGTGGCATGCTGGGGTGCATGGCCTGCCTTGGCACGTTCGACGCGCTGCCGCTCCTCTTTAGCCAGATCTTTGTCGAGGGCATGAATTTCAGCTTGTTGTAAAAACGAGTTAATTTCTTGCTCCGTAGCCTGCTCAGCCAGTTCTTCAATATCGCTACGCAGAGGCTGGCTCTCCTCTTGAGGTGCCTGCACCTCTTCTTGAGGCATCGCCACGAGATGGGCATCGCCACTTTTTTCTTTCTTGGGGGCACGAGCTCGAGAAAATGCTGGGGGATTATTCTCTTCCTCCAGCCACACACTGCGGAAATCTTCGATAGTGAGCTGGCCACTGGGTGTGCTCTTGAACTCTTCCAAACGCTTTCTCAAGGTAACATCCGCAATTTTCACGACTTGGACAATTTCTGTAATCGAGCGGCGGAAATGGTTCATGCGAGCTGCCAGTAGAAGGCATGCGCCACAAATACCAGCAGGGCGACGTCCCTCTACCATCCAGTCTGTTTTGAATCGTGTGACAAGACGTGTAGCATCTGTTACGACGCGCTGTGTCTCGTCTCCAAACTCCAGCAATGCAGCAAAGCGGCTGATATAAAAAGATGGGTCAATTAAGGGCATTTGGAGGTTGAGCACACGCAAAAGACGTAGGTAGCTACGCCCAAGCACAAATACATTGACTTGGATTACATCGGCAAAATCGATCAGCATGTGTGTTGTCTTGGCCATACGACATGCGACATACAGACACGAAGCCACCGTATAGTCCGACTTGCGTCCTAGAACAAAGTTTTTCGGCTGCGATCCAGATGCCGTGGTCGTACCTCCATCTAATGCAAGTTGAAAAAATCGCAGCGCTCGTTCAGCCACATGGGCAGGCACGCCACGCGCGGTGGCCATTCGATTAATGTTCCAGCGGGCTGCGTCAGCTTGCATTTACGTACCATTCGCGATGGTACACTCGCGTGACTCTCCTGCAGAGCTTCCCCGAAATCCCGGTCCGGTCGTACGAGTGCGGACTTTGCATGAAATAGTTACCACGTACCTTGATCTACGCCAAGGTAGCTTCCCTGAACTACAGCGCCACCTGCCGTATTTTCCGCGAAGGTAATATCGCTGACAATTTGCGACTCCTCCAGTACTACACCACAAGCACTGCATACGGCTTGCGAGTCGGCAAAATCGATGGCCAACGAGCCACAGTTGGTGCATCGCATCGCGAAAGACGCGCGACTGGCGCTGAGTGATCGTGTGGGGGTGTTTAGCGAGACCAATTTTGTGCTCATGACATAAGCGATTATTCACGTGCTTAGACCCGCGAACGTTGACACCTCCGCTCCTTTCCGCAGTGACCATGTCGCAACTACTTCGTCCGGAACACTTGCAGGATCGGCTTCTGTTTGCTATTCCAAAGAAGGGTACGTGGTAAAATTTAATCCAAGGTCGTCTTTATGAAACATGCCTTACGCTGCTGAATGGCGCTGATATCCAATTTAAGCGCGCCCACCGCTTGGACGTGGCTCTTGTGACTAATCTGCCGCTTGCGTTGGTCTTCTTACCTGCAGCCGATATCCCGCGCTTTGTTGCCGAGGGAAATGTGGACCTTGGTATTACTGGCCAGGATATGGTGCAGGAAGCTGGCACAGCAGTCTCTAGCGCGATCACAGAGGAGCTTCCTCTTGGATTTGGCAAGTGCAAGCTGCAAGTGCAAGTACCCGAGAACAGCGAGACGATTAAGAACGTGGAGGATCTGATTGGAAAGACGGTAGCCACTAGCTTTGACTATATGTCTAGTGACTACTTCCGTAAGTTGGAGCAGCAAGTGGGCAAGACGGGCGAGAGTGGTCAGCTTGCCACGAGCATTCGATACCTGAATGGCAGTGTGGAGGCTGCGTGTGCACTGGGTTTGGCCGATGGCATTGTGGACCTGGTCGAGTCGGGTGAAACTATGCGTGCCTGCGGCTTGAAGCCGATTGCCACGCTGCTGGAATCAGAAGCTGTACTGATCCGCCCCACGAAGCCACACTCGACAAAGAGCTCGGAGATCATCTCGCTTATTACATCTCGTATCCGTGGTGTGATTGCGGCCAGCAAGTATGTCCTCTGCCAGTACAACATTGAGAAGGAGAACCTAGCCAAGGCACTCGAAATCACCCCGGGTCGTCGCGCGGCCACTGTGAGTCCCCTGCGTGAGAGCGAATGGAATGCCGTGTCTAGTATGGTGCTGCGTAGCGAGGTGGCGAACATCATGGACAAGCTGGAGAGCGTGGGCGCCTCTGATATCTTGATCCTGAGCATCAACAACTGCCGTGTGTAGGCCCATACTACCATGTTCTACATAAGGACAAAGTCAATCTAGCGCATCCGGCTCGGTGGGTGTGGCATGTGCCACGTCCATTTGGAAGAAGTCCGAGTTTTTCAGCGGGCGAACGGTCATCGCCAAGCTGGATCCGTCCACGGTGTTACCAGCCTTCGAACTCTGGCGGGCTTGCTCCACCTTTTCCCGGCCGGTGCGGCTGCGCAGCACCTCTCGCACAGGGACCATAGCAGCGTTCCGGCAGAGCTCCTTCAAATCACTTCCACTGTAGCTGACGGTTTTGCGCACAATTTCATCCATGTCAAACGAGGAGTGACAAGGGACGTTCGCCAGCATGATGGACAAGATCTTTTTGCGCTGGCCTGCGTCGGGGAGGCTCACGGCGTAACGCTTCGGCATGCGACGCAGAATCGCAGCGTCGATATCGGAAGGACGGTTTGTTGCGCCCAGAACAAGAATGCGATCAGTCGAGGACGTCAAGCCATCCCAAAGAGTCATAAATTCGGCCTTCATCATCGCCATCGCCTCATGGTCACCCGACGAACGTTCGCGCAAGAAACTGTCGATTTCGTCAATAAACACAATTGTGGGCTGCAGCTTGCGGGCGAGGCCGAACAGGGCAGCCACGAGTTTGTTGGACTCACCGAACCACTTGTTGGTCAGGGTGGATACGTGCATGTTGATGAAGGTTGCACCACTCTCCTTGGCCAGAGCCTTGGCCAACATAGTCTTACCTGTCCCCGGCGGCCCATAGAGCAGCACGCCTTTAGGTGCACCCAGTAGACCATTGGTGGTGCTGAAAATCTCGGGGAAGATCAAAGGGGCAATGACACTTTCCTGCAGGCTGGCGATGATGCCATCCAGGCCACCAATTGACTCAAACGTCACAGGGATATCATCCGGCAGGATCAGCTCCATGGCGATCTGTTCTTCGTACTCATTGAGCTTAACCTCTTTACGGTTAATACCCAACTTTCCCAACTTTGTATCGGAAACCTTCTTGGCGTCCGACTTCTTCTGGTGGTTTGGGTCCATGTAGCTCAAGGCCAGCTGCCGTTAGTGGATGCGCGTCGATACAAACCCTCGTAACGTAATATGTCGCCGCCATCACAGCAATGCTAGTGATACCTGCTGTAAGAACCGATTAGCTCACCATCTTGTGCCACACGGCGCAACTGTGCATTGCTGAATAGGCCCATGGCGGCTTGGGGTGCGTCCACACGTCCGGGGCGCCATCGACGTGGTCCCACGTGACTGATCGGTGGTCCTCCACGCGCTGCGTAGTGGCGACGTGCGCGTTGCCCACCTCCAGCCGCAAAGAGTACGTGGATGATGCTGACGATAGTGAGTATTATGGAATACAATGGTGGGAGTGTGATTGCCATGAAGGGGAAGAACTGCGTGGCAATCGCCTCCGATCTGCGACTTGGAAACCAGGCGTTGCTGGTGTCTACGCAGTTTGACAAGGTATTCAAGATGACCGACCGCACGTATGTGGGCTTGCCCGGACTCGCTACCGACGTGGATACCCTACGCGAAAAGTTCCGCTACCGCTTGAACATGTACCGCATGAAGGAGGACCGCGATATCGAGCCGGAGACGTTTGCGCATCTCATGAGCTCGACGCTGTATGAGCGGCGGTTCGGGCCGTACTTTATCGAGCCCGTGGTAGCCGGTCTGAACTCCAAAAACGAGCCTTTCATTGCCGCATCTGACTTGATTGGATGTCTGAACTTTGCCAAAGACTTTGTTGTTAGCGGCACCGCCAGCGACCGTCTCTTTGGTGTTGCGGAAGGTTTGTGGGAACCCGACTTGGAGCCCGAGGATCTGTTCGAGACCATCTCTCAGACTATGCTCAACGGCATCGAGCGGGATGCCCTTTCGGGCATGGGTGTGATTGTTCGGATTATGTACGTGTTTCGCGACTAACTGAAGTACGCCTGACAAGGTCATTGAACGAACTCTCAAGTGCCGTATGGACTAAATAGCAGCATAGTGACAAGGCATGTATTTGCTAGCACACCCAGAGTTATGGCGACATCATCTTGGGAGGAGCCGAGGGCGGTGGACTATGCAGCTGGGTATGTGGATCAAACCCTTTGGTTGCCAGGAGAGAGCCGGGTGCGTAGTCTTGCATCGATTTCTGTGGAGAGCCGAGACTGTGCCTGTGGTCATTCCCTGGGTCATGCTCATGGGGATGGCTATGATCATGACCATGACCATGGTCGTGATCATGGCTGTGATCGTGGCAGTGGCTGTGGTCGTGATGATGGCTGTGACCATGATTATGGCCATGACAGTGATGCTGCTTTACCACGGCATGTTCGCCCTCCCGCAAAACTTGGATCGTCAGATCACCCGCCGTCATAGAGCCGCGCAAAGGATCGCCCACCTGAGCCTGCTTTGACGCGCCGATGCTCGGAGCACATTGCTGCCACGCAAATCGGCTTACATTAAGGACGTCCTGGGCTGAAGCGTCTTTCTTCACCTCAATGTGCATGGTCACAACCACAGGCGCCGACTTGACGGTCTGATGCATTGACATGATGCCGGCCAAACCCCGCTTACCGTCGGTGCCGATTCCCGACTGGGTGTAGCCTAGCGACGGCAGCGTGAGCTGCCACATTTGCATCTTGGATACGCGCACGACCGATGGATGGCTCTCAATAATATGCACGGCCCGATGCATCTGCGAGGCCTTCCCCTCCTTGGCCGCCGGCGCTGCTTGAAGCAAGACCTTGCACAGAGGACGCAAGGCGGATGCACTGACATACATCATCGCTGTACCTTCCAGTCCAGCAAGCAGCTTATCGAACGAAGCGGCCTGTGCAGGTGGAAGCAGCAGTGCAGATGCAAACAGCACCGTGGCAAAGAACAAAATCATCACAGCAAAGGGATTCGTCAACGCATCATACAGCGGTCCTGCCGCGATGATGGGGCGCGCAAGCACAGAAACATGTCGCGCATGCGTGCGCTGTGGTCGCCCATCGAGCGTGTCGCCAGCATCGAAACTCATCCCACATGCCATCGAGATCCGCTGGTGATTCTTCAGTACCGCATTTGTCATAAAGCATACCAGCCACACAAGGCCAAGAGTGACCGTGGGGAGTGACACACCGGCGCGGTCTTCTTCATGCGGTGCGCTGGAGGCGAGCAGCGCATGCTCTGCATTTTCTTTGCACATATAAATACCAGCAAAGAGCAGGTACACGACCAACGTAAAGTCTAAAAGCGTCTCGAAGCGGCGCAGCCCAAATGGGCGCTGGAGAACTTGCAGCGAGTTGGAGCGTTGCACACGCTCCGTGAGTATGGCGTTGATGATACCGAGCGTATCGAATACCAGCAAGAAACCAAAACCGACGAGGGCGAGCGAGTCGCGCACCTGGCCGATCACCCACAGTACGGCCCCGAGGCCAAAGTCCACCACCGCGAGAGTCGCCAGCATGGGCATACTGCAGGGCAGTGCCTGCATCTGTGCAGGAGCAGTGGGCAGTTCAGCCGGCACAAACGAGCCTGACACAGCACGCGGCGGCAATGTCGACCAGGCCGCCGACGTGCTGCGGTGCCCTGACACCTTGCGTTCGGCTGTGGGATCAGGAGAGATCAGATGCGTTAGGTCAGGCGACGACCCGCCAGGTAAGAGGTGCGTGGACTGGTGTCGCGTTGTATCGATATCGCCTGCCGCATTGGTCCACACATAGCTGGCGCGTCGTTCGTAGCGACGATCGCGCTTCTTGGTCGGCGAGACTTCATCAGCGCCGGCCTCAGGTCCAGTCTGCTGGCCGTGAGGCATGGCCGTCGACGCGGAGGACGCCCATGTCGGAGACATTTGGTTAGGCGACATGCTGGCAACTGTCTTCTCCTCGATACTAGGCATCATCATTTTATCAGGAGAAATGAGGAGCGAGGAAGCGCGGCGCGCTTGCCATGGATTGCTTGTAGCGGCTTGGCTTGCCAAGAATGGGTTCGAGGGCTGGCGATGCTCAGGCGAAGACGCGGGCGGCCGTGCACCCGCCGCCGCGCGGCCAGAGGTCCATGGCACCGAGTGCGTGCGCCGATCTGGCGAGACACTGGCGGACGATTGTTGGTCTAGGGAAGCGCCGGGCGGCACAGACACAGGCGGATGACTCTTGTCGGGCGACCGACTGGAGACGCGTCGCCCCGCCGAAGCCACTCCGATTCGCCTAGTGGGCGAGCGTGCCGAGGGCATACGCCGTTCCGGCGTGAGACTAGGCGGGGGTGCCCGCTGCGGAGAGACCATCGGCGCGGCGGTCGGCGAGCTAAGACGCGCGCTGCTTGCCTCCCACGGCGTGCCGCTCTTCGGGGGGCTTGCTTGCATAAGCGTAGGTCCAGCCCCAGTTATCCTGCCAAAGAGAGTGACCCACTCACGCCGTAGGTCGTGTGATCCAAAGCCCTCCTGCCTAGGGCTTGCCGATCGAAAGCACCGAGCCTGGCCAGGAGCACACGTTGAGGCACGGCGCCTCTCCCCCGCGACCGCGCCGCATCACTATCACGTGAGAAAAAGGTTGAACATCCACGGCCGCGGCCCACGCTCGGCGCCTTTCCGCCACCGATGACGACGGCACGCAGCAAAGCTGGTGGGCCACTAGGCCTGACGAGCTCCAAGGCCGGCCTGAAGAAGGCTGGCGGAAAGCGGGGACAGAAGATTGACCAGGCCGTGCGGGCCATTGCTGCTACGCACGAGCCTTCTGCGCCGCCGCGCACGTACACTGACGCCGAGCTGAAGCTGGCGGATGGCCGCCCAGCGCTCGATGTGGACGATGCCAAGTACGATGCGCTCTGGGCCGATGCGTGTCGCACTATGGGTGGGGAGCCAAGTACGTACTCGGAGCTGACGCAGTTCACGCGGAGGGCACGAGCCGCGTTGAGCATATCCTGCGGGTGTTTGACCTGAATCCGGCGTACGTATTGTGGTATCTCATTGCAGCTACGGTCCCTGCATGGGGCTGACGCGGCTGGAGCGCTGGCACCGCGCACAGGAGATTGGCGAGAGCCCGCCCGAGCCCGTGCGAGACATTCTCGAGACGCGCGAAGGCGTGCTGGATCTGCGCCTTAGTATTTTGGACCAGACAGCTAGTCTGGCGTAATAGGAAGCACAGCTCATACCCTTTCGTCGAAGAGGACCGACTCGGGCAGCCGGACGCTTAGGCAGTACATGTCTTTGTTGGGCGCCACGGAGCGGACCAGGTGCAGCGACAAGTCCGGCGTCGCATCGGGCGTGCCGGGGGGGTGCAGGCGGTGTGCTTCGTCGAGTCCGAGGGCTTCACTCGCACGCTGCGTCAGTATGAGAGCGTACCTTGCAAATATCCTCGCCAGCATGAGCGACCTCCTTGGTGAAGCAGTGCACATGCACCATGGGCCATGGCTCCAGACCAGGCACGTTGCGGCGCGCATCCAGCTCCGCCCGCAGTGCCTCGTGGCCCACATGCGCGGCTAAGCGTGTGTACAGGCCGCGGTACGCATCGAGAAACTCGAGCGCCGTGGCTGGGAGGTTCATCACGAAATGGTCAATGAGGCGGTGCGGCGGCGCCGGGGCAGGGCCTGGCTCGGCCGTGTCCGCCTCGCGGTGGCGGCGGCGCTCCTTGCGCTTCTGGCGCTCGCTCACGAGGCTGTCGTCGTGAGCAGGGAACGCGGCGTCCCATGCGCGCACCGCACTCGCGCGGATGAACGTGCGACCGTCCTCACAGAACGCGAGGCAGTGGGCGTTGACCTTGTTCTGCGCGATATTGTGCTGCATACTCGCATGGCACTCGGGGTTCAAGTCGTTCGCGAGCACCCACACACCCTTCTTGGCGGCCGGCACAGCAAAAGGCCCTACACCTGCCATGACATCCGCCACGACTTGGAAGGGCTGGAACTGGCTGATGAGGCGCGCGTGCTCGGTGTGCAGCCGGCTATTCCAGTAGACATGTCGAAAGTCCAGCGTAAATAGGCAATTCGACTCGGATACCTGCGCCTCATACCGCGGCTCGCCTGCGAGCAGCTCCATGGCGAAAACACGGAACTCGGTATCGATGGTGTCGAGTTTGTTCACGACCGTTTCGACACGCGGCGTCTTTTCAAGGATAAGCTCTCCGATGAGGTAGCGATAGGCCAGGTACTCTTCCCGCAGATTTACGTGCGCAATGTGCCCCACCATCGAGAAGGCCGACGGCGCGCCTTCTTCGAGTTCCAAGGGGAGGATTGCGCGCAGGATCTGATCGACGGACCAATAATCCCAGTCGAGGACCACGGGGTGTGCTAGAACATGCCCACCGTATTCGGCAATGGCTGCGCGCGTCTCGTCCGAGAGGGCCGCCTCGTCTTCGAGGCCCAGCTGAAGCACACGCGCCGTCGCATCGCCCTCGGGGTCCGGGCATATGTGCTTGGTGCGCTTCGAGCGAAACACGTGCGCCTGCACCGCGGGATGCCGAGCCAAAGCGCTGCACTGCGTCGCAGCGCAGCGGACACCGAGGAGGGGGAGGACGTGTCGCAGCTCCTGCTTTGCCTGCACAAGCATGGCACGCTGCGCCTCTTGCTGCCGTACACGCTCATCATCGTCGGCAGCAGCAGCTCTCTGCATCTCTATGCCGGCCTGAGCGTGCGACTGCAGCGGCGGTGCATTGGCTGGCACACACGCAGCCTGGAGCAGCGGCAGGCGGTGGGCCGTGTACGGCTCCAGGAGCGGGTCAGCAGGCGGTGGCTTTCTGCGCGCAGGATGCGCGGGCTTGTGGAATCGTGGCTTGTCAATGTAACTCATAAACCGACAAAGAGGAACGGCGCGCACACCGAGGCGTGTGAGCGCGAAAATCCTGCCGTGCAGCAGTGCTGCCGAAAACGACGGCGCGGTGCGTGGAGGCGACACCGTTTCGCTGAGTCAGCGCCGTAGCCTTTCGTCGGCCCTTCCGTATGAGCGCGGCGTCGCCGGAGGGCCGAGCGTCGGACGAGGAGCACTCGAGTCCGTCATGGGCAGACGATGCGTGGTCGAGTGACGATGAGCGCCAGAGCCCTGCGGTGCAGACTGTGCGGATCAAGGTCAAGCGCTCTCGCACACGCCCATCGGAGGCGGATACGGATGCGGACGGCGACGTGACACGCGCTTCGGCGCAGGACGACAGTACCGCGGAGGTCGATGCGAGTCCCTCTCCCATCCCGTCGCAGCGGAGCGACCTGACGACCGCCTCTCTGCGGGCGGCCGTTGGCGGCTTGCCGCGTGCGCGCCCCCTGAAGCAGCTGCGTGCGAAAACGCTGCCGGTCGCGCTGGAAGCGCTCATAGCCGGCCTGAAAAGGTAGGTCTCTGTACTGACACAGACGCGATACCTATCTCTTTTTCCACGAGCCCGTGAATGCGGACGAGGTGCCTGGCTACCGCGAGGTGATTACGCACCCCATGGATCTTGGCACGATGGAAAAGCGTCTCCATGAGGGCTACTACAAGACGATGGACATGTTTCAGCATGATTTTATGCTCGTCACGCAGAATGCACAGACGTTCAACCCCCCCACGTCCATCTACCACACCGCCGCGCGGCGCCTCGAGACGTGGGGCCTGCGTGCGATTGCACGCGAGGCCATGAGCGTCGTCGACGAAGACGAGCTCCCATCGCGCGCGTCGCCACAGGAGGCCGAGGGCGGCCGTCGTGGGCGGAGAAAACGCACGGCGCATGAGCGGGCCATGGGCGATAGCCTCATTGAGGCGGAGCCTAACGCGGAGCACCTGAGTCGGCGCATGATGCGTATCGGCAGCGCTCGCTCGACGACCTGGTCGCTCCAGGGCGTTGATACCGATGACCCCGCGGAGCTCGTATTTCGGCGCACTTTGGCCTATGCGGGTGTCGGGCAGCACCAACTCACCGGCAAGAGCGCATGCAGTGCGCGTGCTCAGGCCAAGGCCAAGCCGCGACTCGCGCCCCCGCTCTCGCTCCTGCTTGACAGCACCGCACCGGAAAAGAGTGGCGATCCGGAAAGTGATGCGGCACCGCTCGTGTACCGAGACGATGGTGCACTCGAGGCCTCGGAGCTTGCGGATGCACGCGAGTTTCTCGCGCAGCAGGCTTACAACCAGCCGGTGCTCGAGTCCCTGCAGCACTTGCCCCTCTCGCTCTCGATGCCGGCGCCGACGAATGGTGGCGCACCTGCTGAGCCGAGTCTGGTGTTTCCGCCGGCCCAAGTCGGCCGGCCGGACGCTATGCTGGCGTCGACGCTCGCTGCGCCGGTCGCGCCGAGCACGAATGCGAGCCACACGTTTGCCGACACCCCTGTGCCTGAGGCCCAGCGGCCACAGCCGTATGCGGTGGCGTCGCAGCCCGGCCCTGCTGGCCTTGGCGCCACGAGCCCCTGGACGACCCTGCACGTGTGGCCGGCACCCGCGCCGCCGGCGCTCCAGGAGTCTGGGCTTCGACTGAACCGGCGCGAGCGCGAGTTGGAACAGGAGCTCGATGAGCACAACTGGACGTTTGGTCGGCCCCACATGCAACGACTCCTCGCGCAGGAAGATGTCGGACTGTATGCGAATATGCCGGCGTGGGCGGCGCGCCGAGCGGACCAGCCCCAGCTGCAGTCATACGCAGCTGTCGCAGGCCCACGTCTGACGCATCTGCTCCGTGAGCATTTGCGGGCGATGCCGTACCGTGCGCTGGGCCTGCCACGCACGGCGCAATTTGTGCCGCGTGCCTCGCTGCAGCAGCTACCTGTGGCGCTGCAAGTATCGATGCAGGGTGCCCAGGAGACAGAGCGGCTCATTGAGACGGTGTACGGCAGCGTCGATGGCATGGCGTATGCGCGGAGTGTCGCTGCGTTTGTGGGCGGTGCTACCGATGACCTGCCGGCGGACGAGCCGGAGCCCCGCGTGAAGCAGGAGTCAGGGCCCGCGGCGCCACCGCGGCGCACGCGCCCGGGCGCTTCAGATGCACTACCCCTTGCCGAACACGTGAAGTGGCGCGTGCTGTATCCTCTCACGGGCGGCCTGCTGGGCCTGCTGGACGACGCAGGCGCCGCACTGGCACCGCGTCATGGGCTGGCCGATCCTCTGTTGGAGCTGCTGGACGACAAGGAGGGACTGGTCTCGTCAGCGCTATATACAATGTAAGCAGCTAGACACCTTGATCAGGACGATGCGCCAAGGTGCCTTCGCCTTCGCCTAGGCCCCACTCGCGGCGGGTTTCAGAGCCGACACGCGCGAGGTGTGTGCGGAGGTGCGCCGCAAGGCAGCTGCGGATGTGCGCATAGCCCGGTGCGTCATCAGGGCGCAGCGGCGTGTCGCGGTACAAATGCTCAGAGGGCGCGTCGACGTCGAAAGCCGGCACGGCCGCGGCCGGCGCGGCGCGCCACTGCTGGTAGGCCTGGACAAACGTCGACACATCCACAGGGTCGCCAAATGTGATGCCGATATCTGCGCCCGGGCGGGGAAGCCACCGGGGGTGCGCGCGGGGGTGCGGCATGACCTGGTCCATGCCCATGAGCCAGATGGGCACGACGAGGGGGGTATGCGGCGCCTCGAGCACCAGGCGCGAGACGCCCCACTTGAAGCGGCGCATGCGCGTAGAGCGCGTCAGATTCACATAGCCTTCGGGGAACAAATGCACCCACTGGCCCTCGGCGAGGCGCGCCAGTGCTTCGTGGAGGGAGCGTTGGAAGATGCCGGCGCCGCGGACGACTTCGAGTGTCTGGCCGTGGCGGAAGAACCAGCGGCAAAAGTCGTTTTTGAAGATGATGTCACTGGCACCGAGGCTCCAGCGCACGCTCCGAGGGTCACGAAAGTATGGCGGAGGCAGCACGCCCCACATGAGCGGCTCGTCCAGCACGGAAATATGATTGGCGTCTGTGTGAGTGGCGCAACGTACAAGTAAGAAGGCCGCGGCCGGCGGCGCGGCGCTCCGGGTCATCGAGTAGCCGCAGGAATTTGTCCAGCCCCGCTACACGCACGCTCCGGCACCCAAGGCGCAGGTACGCGCGCGAGAGCGCGGCGACGGCGCGCAGCACCAGCGGCATCCAGCAATCGGTGGCGAGGCACCGAAAGATCACGTGCTCCCGCTGACGTCGCGCGCGGGCGGCGGCCGGGCCTGTCGGCCACCATGGTGGACTTTTCGTCGCTGACTGGATCCAAGCCGAGCGGCTCGTCGGCAGAGCAGAAAGAAGCTCTGAAGCAGCGCGTCTCTTCGGAGATTGCGATGGCCAATGCGCAACAGCTCATCTCAAAGGCCACCGACAAGTGCTACCAAAAGTGTGTGACGTGGCCTGGCGCGTCGCTGAGCAGCAAAGAGCAGACGTGCGTCGAGCGCTGCCTCGAGCGCTACTTTGAGGCATTCAACATTGTGAGCGCTACATACGTACGCCGCATCGCCGCTGAGCGTGCAAGCGGCGCGCTGGCTGATGCCTAATCAAGTCCTTCCTATGGCTTACATGCCCTGCGCCTTGGCGCGCTGCTCGCCCTTGACCTTGGGCGGGATGGCTCCCGTAGCTTCTCCCAGGTGTCGCGTAGCACTGCCAAACTTCTTGCGCGCCGAGATGTACGCGCCATCGTCGTCGCCATCGACCTCGCCCTCCTCGTCGCTCGAGTCGGCGCGACCAATGCGTGTGCTCCACGAGGTGGCACGGCGCTCGACGCCCACTTCCGACGCATCGTCGTCGTCGATAAAGACTTCACCCGCCGGCGCAGGTGCCGGCGTAGCGCTCTTCTTGCGGGGCACCTTGGCTCGGGGCGGGCGTGCCGGACGTTGGCTGAGTAGCGTCGCTGTTACGGCCGGCACCGCACTGGCCATGACCGGCGGCTCACTCGCCACAGCAGGCACCGGCTCGCTCGCGGGTGCAGGGGCTCGCTCGCGCGACACAGCCGGAGCGGCCGGCTCAGAAGCGCCCTCACTCGCCACAAACGACAGATACGTAGCAGCGGCCTCGCCGCCCAGACCACTCGCAGGCGCTTGGCTCGACTGCACGACAGGTCCGAGATACGAGAGCGCCGGCGCCATGGATGCATCCTTCGACAAGCCCAGCTCAGGCAGGTCCAAGTCGAGGTGACCCGTGCCGTCCACCTGATCGTCCATGGTCAGTGTGTGGCCCGTGTCAGAGCCAGCAATATGAAGGCGCTTATGCGTGGACGACGGCGTGCCATGCCCCTTCATCGCTGACTTGAGTGGTGTGCCCTGGCGCGAGGCGCTCGACACACTGGACGGACGCACAGGGAGCGATGCCGCCGGCGACTTGGCCGTGTAGAAGCTCGACGGCGCGGGCGGCGGGTGCGCGGCCGGGTCCTTCTTCTTCTTCCCCTTCGTCTTGGCACTGCCGCCCACCTGCTCGCTACTGCTGCGCTTCTTCACCTTGCGCACGCCGGCTGGGTCAGGGCGCAGTGTCACAGCGTCTGCATAATCCAGCGATGTGCTGCGCGTCATACGCGAGTTGACCATGCTCTGCGACGGAGGGCCCAGCCTGATGCCGTACTCGTCCGACTGGCGTGTACTGGGACGATTCTTGGCTGGCGCAATACCCTCGCCCATGACGCTTCGGCGGATGGCCTCGTCTAGCGCCTGCTCCTCAGCCGTCTTCGGGTGCCAGCTTGTCGAGCCGCGGCCATGGCTCACGCGCTCGTTGACGTGACGTACGACGTTCGCGCCGCCTATCGGCTCATCATCACTGCTGTCGTCGCGGTACGCGCGGTGACGGCGTGACACCTGACTCGAGCCCCAGCCAGCGTCAGAGCCACCGCCCCGCTGCGAACTGATACGCTGCGGACCGGTGGGCGAGCGCATGTCGGTCTTGAACAGGCCGGACATCTTGGACAAGAAGCTCGTACCGCTGCCCTGGCGGCTGTGACGGCTGCTGCCACGGAAGGCTTCGTCGTCCACTGAATGGCTGCGGCCATGGCGGGCCGATGGACGGTACACGACCGACGAGTCGACTGTGCTAGCATCGTCCGCATCTGCCGCGCCAGCATCATGCATATACAGGCGCGGCGCCGTCGGCACACCACCTGGGATGGTGGGCGCCACAAAGCCATCGCGCGCATGCGCCAAGTTCATCTGTGGCGCACTCGGGACGCCTCCCGGCACCGTGGGCACCGACATGGGCGTACCGTACGACATGATCGACGACGTACGGCGCTGGACCTTCTTGCTCGATGGGCGCGGCGTAGACATTGCCTCAGATGCACTGTTCGAGCGCGAGACACGTTGGCGCGACGATGCACGCGGCATGCGCGGCTCGTCGACGGGCGCCATGGGCTCAGCGCCCACGTCGCTGTCGCCCACCGGAAGCGGGGGGAGCGACCCGTGCCAAGCCGGCGGCTCATGGGGGGGCGCCTGCATCGTGGCAGGTTCCTCGTCAGGGAGGAATACGTTCTGGGAGCTCCGGGAAGGCGGTACAAATACAGACGGCGACATGGGCTCAGGCTCAGGGATCTCCATCGACGAGATAGGCATCGGTGCCACCGGGATGTCCGCATCAAACTGGTCAAGGTACACGAGGATTTGACGCGCACAGTCCGTCATTTGGGCGCCCATATCACCGAGCGTCTTGGCGCGCATCATGAGCGCCTCCTTGAACGTGCGACGCTTAACGCCGACGAGGCTCGCCATCTCGTTAGCCAGAGTCTGCTCGCACGCCTGGAGCTCGCGCTGTGCATCGAAAATACGGGCCTGGTATTCCTCCTCCCCCTTCATCATCTCCCAGCGCGTTGGCTTGCGCTGCGAGCTCTTGATGACACGGTTCATCAAGATGTCGCGATCACGCACAATGCTGCGGATGCTCTGCTCGCGATCGAGCATGTCCTTGAGCGATTCACGGTACTGGTTCAAGGAATACGCATACGTCTTTTGCGCATGCACCACATTCTCGAGCATGCGCGAGACATGCCCGGTCGCCTGGCCGAGGTCAGGCGTCTCGGACAGGCCCCAGGCATGCAGGGAACTAGCCGCGGAGAAGGCCGACGACGTCGCATTGAGGAGGTCGTCCACATACTCTTTCTCTGCTTTGATCAAGTTCTGCAGCGCACGGCTATCAGTGGCCGGCGTGCGGGGCTGGTTGCGATCCAGCTGCACATTCATCGTGTCGCCGAACAACACACATCGCGTGGCCCGTGGCCGTGGGGAGATTCTATCGGCCGAAACGTCTACGAGACCCGCCCGCGGCTGCTATGTGGAGTTCAGGCGGTGGTACGCGGGGCTCGGCTCCTCGTACTCGCGCACAAACAGCCGCGACTGTTCTTTGGCGAGGAACGCCAAGAACTCATTGAGATGCTCGCGCAAAATGGACACCGACTCGGGATCCATCGACGTATGCGCCACAATACCAGGCAGGTTCACTGCGTAAGTAGTTGCCACGTACCAAACAGTCGCAGCAGATGCTCGGCGCCGTAGACCTCGCTCGCCTCCAGCTCTGCAGCCGACGGACTTTCAGAGGGGGTCGGATGCGCGGTGCCACCACGGCTGCGCCGCCCCGTAGGCTTGGCCGCTGCAATCTCCGTCTCGACGTCGCCGTCGCCCATTTTGGGCCCAAGCCGTTTCCGCAGCTCCACGTACTGCCGCCGCTCAAAGCGATACAGCAGGTTCTGTGCGAGGCTCTTGTCAAAGTACAGTTTCAGGCCGGCTAGCACCTCGTCTAGAATGGAGGAAGTGTGTGTGCGCGCCGCCGTTCGCTCCTGAGCCGTGGCTTTGTAGTGCTCGGCGTATTCCTGCAAGATTTGCTTCACGTTGGGTTTGCGCGGAAGCGGGACCAGCTGCTCCTTGCGCGTGACGTTTTCCCAGTCGTCTACCAGCACAGCCTTGAGCGGGTCTGGCACATGCAAACGGAGGTCGGGGCGTTTCTCCTCGCCTTCGCTGGTATCGCGACTCCTCTTTGATCCACGGCTGCTACTTGCCGAGCTTGCACTCGATGCAGGCGCGCGGCGCGCGTCGGCCTTGCCGCGCGCGCCGTGCTCGTGCGCAGCCGCTACTGCTGCGGCTGCGGCTGCTTCAGCCTTATATGCATCAACCAGCGCCTTTTGTCGCGCAAGATTCTCATCATTCAATTTCAACAAGCGCATCTCAGGCACCCATTCATCCCATGTCTTTTTCCAGCCCTGGTAATGCACGAGGTAGTGAGGTCCCGTGGCCCCATTCTGGTTGTCGGTCTCCTTCCAGTTTTCCGCAAGCAAGATCTGGCGTGAGCTTGTGCGCATACCTTGGCTTGGTATATCAAGGGGCCGTGGAAACACAGCACCTTCTCATCCTGGTGGTACTGCATCGCACGCCTATCGCGAGACGAAAGCGTGCCGCGTTGCTACCTCCACCGGCGTCCCCACAGCCACGTGCCAAGCGGGCCCTGCCGGTAAGCTGGGCCGTGGGTGGGTCGGTCTTTGTGATGGACCATCTTAAGCATTGGACGGCGAGTGTGGCCCCCCTGGGTCACAAGCTCTCTGAGCGTTTCGGCACGCTGGTACGTCTGTGGTCTTGCTGACGTGCAGAACCAGCAGGCGCGCGAGCACTTCGGGCAGACGGACGACCTGACTGAGCTGCCAGAGGAGTACAAGCAGCTGGAGCAGCGCGTCGATGCACTGAGGAGCGCCCACCAGGCGATGATGCAGTATGTACTTCCTGCTTACGTGCAGCACAATTAAGGTGTATGAGACGGAGACGTACGATTATCCGGTATGTGGTCGGTGCTTACCCGCAGCATCACCTGCAGGAGTCTGTGACGCAGAGTGCGCAGTCGATCGGCCATACGCTGTCGCAGTGGGCGGCGCAAGCTACGCGCAACACGGGCCTGCCGCAGGTGCAGCCTACGTATGCGCCGCCGACGCATCCCCGCACGCTACACCATGCGATTGCGCGTAGTGCGACGGCTGCCGCGATGGACTTGGGCAAGTGCCCGCAACAGATGCCGGCGTACACGGGTGGTGAGCCAGTGACAACGATGGAGAGTAAGCTTGCGGAGCTGCTACAGAAGTTTGCCGTGGCCGAAGATGCCGTGGGTCACGCTCGTATCGCGCAGGACAAGGCGATCTTGAGCCAGTTCATTTCGGTGTGGAATGCGTTTGGCTCGCAGATCCAGCTTGCGATGAAGGCGCGCCAACAGGTCCGTGAGGCGCGTCTGCACCTAGACGGCTGGCGCGGCCACCTCAAGAGCGCCGAGGCGAGCTCGTCGTCGAAGCTGGAGACGTACCGCCTCGAGGTCGAACAGGCGGAGGACAAGCTCGTAAGCGCGACGGAGGAGGCGATCAGCCTGATGAAGACTGTGCTGGACAACCCTGAACCGGTGAAGAGCCTCGCGAGCTTCGTCAAGGCACAGCTGAATTACCACCGCTCGGCTGCGCAGACGCTCGAGCAGCTCAATGCCGAGATGAACACGCTGGTCACGAGTGTTGAGGCCGACTTCCGCGCATCGCGGGAGTAGACAGGCCGTGGTATACATGGCTACATAGAGTCGAGGTCATTACATGGCTGGGTCGTGAAAGTCGGCCGTCCGGGCCGAGTGGAACGTCGCGTCGAAGCGCGGCAAAATGCCCGGCAGCAGGGCCAGACCTAGGAACACAAGCGAAAAAGAACGGGTGGTGACAACGATCCACGTGTGAAAATCGCGCAGTTCCTCCGCGTACTGGAAGATGACGAGGAACAGAACCTGCACACACATTAACGAGAGAAAGTTTAGTGTGCAAAGCAAGGACCTGAGTGCATGAGGCGTTAGTGCAAGCTTGAATGGCGCACGCTCAGGTAACGCGCTCGCCCCGTCGGGGCCCCTTAGCCAGTGCCGCTGCACAGCGGCGAGGGCGACCGCGTAGATACCCCATTGTACGCAAAGTAGGAGGAAAACGATGGTGTGAAGAAAGCGTGTATAGGCGGTCCAGGTAGTGAGCACCCACGCCAAGTGCGAGAACACGAGGTACTGTCGCCATGTGGCCGTCATGGGCCACGCGCGGCGCGTAGTGCGCTCGAGCAGGAGCAGCATGCGGTAAAGAAGGAGCATGCACAGTCCCAGTGTCAGCTCAGCACTGGCGAGATCAAGCGCGCGCGCTACCATGGGCCGTAGCTCGGTGCGGATCCGCACGAGCATGGCCGCCGCACACACGGCGGACAGCAGCACGGCGTACGCGTGCAATACCCGAGTGCGCGATAGGAGCATGCGCACAAATAAGGCTGCAGTCATTAGCAAAAACAGATGGCCATAAAGGCGTATGTACACGCAATAGGTGGGCGGCCATCCCAAGCCAATGTCCGCGTCCCACTCGGCCATGGCAAGAGCAGCGAGCCGCAAGGCGACAGACGCAGATTCGCTGACTAAAATCAGGGACTACGAACGATCGCTGGACTGGAGCGTCATGGCGAGGAGCGCCATGCGGATAAACAGGCCGCAGCGCATCTGGCGGAAGTAGGCGGCGCGCTTGATGTCGAAGTCGACCTCGGGGTCGATCTCGTCGACACGCGGAAGCGGGTGCAGGACGATCATGTCAGCCTTCGCACGCGCGAGCACGTCGTTGTCGATGACGTACGAGCCCTTGACTGCCTCGTACTCCTCCGGAGACGCAAAGCGCTCGCGCTGGATGCGTGTCACGTACAGCACATCCGTCTTGGGGAGCACCTCGTCGAGGCTCGACGTCTCATAGATGGAGATACCGTGCTTCGACACCTCACGCACGACTTCGCGCGGCATGGCAAGCGATGCGGGGCTGACAAAGTTGAACGTGACGCCGTACAGCGAGAGCAGGCGCACGAGTGAGTGCGTCGTGCGGCCATTCTTCAGGTCGCCCAGCAGCGTGACGGTGAGACCGTTCACCGTACCAAGCTCTTCGCGGATCGTAAACACGTCCAGGAGCGCCTGCGTCGGGTGCTCGCCTACACCGTCGCCGGCGTTCATGATCGGCACCGGCGAGAACTTGGCCGCCTCCTGCGACGAGCCGACCGCAGGGTGGCGCAGCACAATCACGTCGCTGTAGCAGCCGAGCGTGCGCACTGTGTCCGCCAGCGTCTCGCCCTTGGCGACCGACGAGCGCGACGTGTTGATCGTCACGACCTGGCCACCCGCACGCAGCATCGCCGCCTCGAACGACGACGAGGTGCGCGTCGACTCCTCGTAGAAAAGAGTGCTCATCACACGGCCACGTAGAATGTCCAGCACGCCATGGCGCTCCACAAGGAAACGCAGCTCCTGCGCCACAGCAAACAGCGCGTGTAGGTCGTCGCGCGAGAACTGGCGCACAGAGAGAATGTGGCGGCGGGCAAACGAGGGGTGGTACAGCGACATGCGCGTCGGGAGCGCGGGACCGAGCGCGGGCGACACGTCGGACTCGACGCGGAACTCGTCCATGCTCGTGAGCGGGCGCAGACCCGTTCCACGCCGGCGCGGCGAGCGCGTGAGCACCGGCGACATGGGCACCACGTCAGCGCCCTTTGTCTCAGCAGGCTTGACGCTCGCGAGTGCACTCACGTTCGAGCCCGTGGCGCGCTCCACGAGCATGTTGCCATCCAGCACAATGGTCTTGCCGCGCAGCTGTACGCGCTCGATCGCGCCGTGGCATGACGCAGTGTCGAGCGGCGACCAGCCGTCGCGCGCCACGTCGCGCACGACGCGGTCGACCTCGGCTGAGACGAGCGTGTCGACCTGCTCGGGCAGCTGGAAAATGGTGCGCGGCTGCTCGCACAGGCGCTCCTGCACGGCTTCGACGGTGAGGCGGCCCTCGTTCACAGCGTTGAGCAGCAGGTGCATCACCTCGCTGAGGCCGGCCGTCGACGGCGCCGCATGACCGAGCTGCTCGGCAAGCTGGCACGGCATCGGGCCGAGCGAGAACGCGTCAATTTCGTCCAGGCTCTGCCACAGCGCTGCCTGGTCCTCCGCGCTCGGCAGGCACGCCGCAGCGGGGTAGCGGTCGCTCGCGAAGAAGAGCGCATACACCGGCACATCGCATGTGACGCTCAGGCCCTTGGCCTTGGAGAGCGTGATGAGCTGGAGGTCGTCGCGCGTGCGCACGTTGGTGACGTGGATCGGGCGGCTGTGCAGGCTCGCGATGAGGAGCACGGACGCGAGCTCGGCGCCGGCGGCATCCGTAATGATCGGCTTGTCCTCCGGCCAGTGGGCAAAGTAGCTCGCGACCATGGCAGGCCGCAGGCTCGCCTCACGCGCGCTGCCGTGGTACGACACAAACAGGGCGCGCACGCGGGGGGCGAGCAGCGCGAACTGCTCGACGTGCTCGGGCGTCGCGAGGAGCGTCAGCGAGACATCGACGGCACACTGTCCCTCGAGCGCGGCCTCCGCGACAGAGAGCGAGGCGTCGTCGACGATCGAACCCGCCTTGCCAACAGGGTGCAGTACAAGCGACGTAAAGCCGGCCTGTGCAGCTGCGCGCGTGTACGCAGCAACGCCCGCCTTGTCGAGCGCACCCAGCGTCGGGACCACCGCCGGCGCCCCCACCAGGCCGGGGAACTGGCACGTGATGTGCGACGTCTTCGCATCGATCGGGAGAATCTCCAAGGTGCCGCCCTGGCGGCGGTGCATCGCGAGCGCCTCGACAAACAGCTTGGCGTTCTTGACGTTCGTGAGCAGTGGGATCGAGCGGTCGATGGCGAGGCGGCGCGCACGGTAGCCCATGGACGTGAATGACGAGGGACGGCGGTACTTGTTCTTGCTTGGCAGCGAGATGAACAGCGAGCTGAGGCCCTGCGTCAAGTGCGTCAGCAGCGAGTACGACGCCTTGCTGTTGTCGTCGCTGCGCCAGTCGTCGTCCTCGGGCAGCGCCTCGAGGTGCACGACGGGGATGCCGTGCTCCGTGTAAAAGTCGGCGGTGCCGGACGAGCCGTAGAGCGTGAAGCCCAGCTCGTGCAGTGTGCGCACCGACGGCAGCAGCTCCTGCTTCTCGCTGAACGAGCCGACGCTGAGCAGCACATTGTTCGTTGGGAGGCGGATACCCGACGCGAGCATGGCGCGCAGGTACGCCTCGTACTTGTTGCGGCCGAAGCACGCGACCTCGCCGGTCGACGCCATTTCCACACCGAGAATCGGGTCCGCGCCGCTCAGACGCGAGAAGGAGAACTGCGGCACCTTGATTCCCACGTACTCCTTCGGCAGGCTGACCTTCGGGTACGGCGACACGGGCAGGCCCATCATCGCACACGTGGCCATTTCGATCGCATCGACGCCGGTCACCTTGGAGACGAAGGGGAACGAGCGCGCAGCGCGCACGTTGCACTCGATCACCTTGATCTCGTTGTTCTTTGCGATGAACTGGATGTTGCACGGGCCAGTCACGTTGAGCGCCTCGACAATCTTGCTCGTCGCATCTTCAATGCGGCGCACCGTCTCCGGCTCAAGGTCCTGCGGCGGCAGAATCAGCGTCGCATCACCCGAGTGCACGCCTGCATTCTCGACGTGCTCCGAGATGTAATGCATAATCAGCTTGCCGTCCTTGGCGACTGCATCCATCTCGATCTCCTTGGCGCCCTCCAGGTACTTGGTGATCACCACTGGGTGCTCGCGGTTGATCGCCGCGGCCTGAGACAGGTAGTTGCTCAAGTCCTCCGCTGAGTACACGACATTCATCGCCGCGCCGCTCAGCACGTAGGACGGGCGCACGAGGACGGGGTAGCCAAAGCGTGCGCATGCACTGTAGGCGTCCTCCAGCGACGACAGCTCCTTCCACATGGGCTGGTCGACACCCAGGCGGTCGAGCATGCGCGAGAACTTGTAGCGGTTCTCTGCATTGTCGATCATCTCGGGCGACGTGCCAAGGACCTTGACGCCCTGACGGTGCAGCGGCAGCGCAATGTTGTTGGGGATTTGACCACCCATCGAGATGACGACGCCGCTCGACTGCTCGAGCTCGTAGATGTCCATGACCGTCTCGAGCGAGATGTTCTCAAAGTACAGACGGTCCGCCTCGTCGTAGTCCGTCGACACCGTCTCGGGGTTGTAGTTCACCATCACCATCTTGTAACCCTGTGCCCGCAGCGTGCGGATCGCACGCACCGCACACCAGTCAAACTCGACCGACGAGCCAATGCGGTACACACCCGAGCCGAGCACCATGACACCCTTGTCGTTGAAGGCGACGTCGTGCTCCACCGCATTGTACGTCGTGTACAGATAGTTGGTTTGCGCGGGGAACTCGGCGGCCACCGTGTCGATCTGCTTGACGAAGGGCGCAATGCCCAGCTCCTGGCGGCGGCGGCGCACCGCCAGCTCCGCACTCGAGGAGCACTTGGCAATTTGGCGGTCGGAGAAACCGACCTGCTTCGCCTGACGCAGCAGTGCCGCAGGAATCTGCGCAGCGCTGCTCTCCTCCATTGCCTGGGCCACGGCCATGATGCCCTCCAGCTTCTTGAGGAACCAGCGGTCGATGTTTGTCAGCTGGTGCAGCCGGTCGACCGAGTAGCCCTGTGCCATGGCGTTGGCGATCGCGAAGATGCGGCGGTCCGTCGGGCGCTCGAGCTCTTCGTCCAGATCCGCCAGGTCGACGTGGTCGTTGCGGCCAAAGCCCTCAAACGAGGGGTCGACCGAGCGGATCGCCTTCTGCAGACTCTCCTCGAACGTGCGGCCAATCGACATGACCTCACCGACACTCTTCATGCTGCTGCCCAGCTTCGAGCTGACGCGCATAAACTTGCGCAGGTCCCAGCGCGGCATCTTGGTGACGATATAGTCGAGCGATGGCTCGAAGCACGCCGAAGTCTCGCGCGTCACCGAGTTGCGCAGCTCGTTCAGGGGGATGTTCAGACCCAGCTTGGCCGCGACAAACGCAAGGGGATAGCCCGTGGCCTTCGACGCCAGCGCCGACGAGCGCGACAGACGCGCATTGACTTCGATGATGCAGTACTCCTTCGAAAGGGGGTTCAGCGCGTACTGGATGTTGCATTCACCCACCACGCCAAGGTGGCGGATGACATTCACCGCGGTCGTGCGCAGCATGTTGTAGTCTTCATCGGAGAGCGTCTGGCTGGGCGCCACGACAATCGAGTCGCCGGTGTGCACACCCAGCGGGTCGAAGTTCTCCATGTTGCACACCGTGATACAGTTGTTGCGGCAGTCGCGCACCACCTCGTACTCGATCTCCTTCCAGCCCTTCATGCTCTTCTCGACCAGCACCTGTGGGCTGTTGGCGAAGGCCGTGTGGCACAAACGGCGCAGCTCGTCCTCGTTCTTCGCAAAGCCCGAGCCGAGACCGCCCAGCGCAAACGCTGCACGCACGATCACTGGGTAGCCAATCGTGCGCGCCGCCGTAAGCGCCTCGTCCCAGTTGTTGGCGCTCGCCGACGGAGCACAGCGCTCGTTGATCTCCTCCATCGCACGCGCGAACAGGTCACGGTCCTCTGTCTTGATAATCGTGTCGATCGGCGTGCCGAGGTTGCGCACGCCCAGCGGCGCCAGCTCGTCCTTGATTTTGATACCGACGTTCAGCGCCGTCTGACCACCAAACGTGCAGTAGATACCATCGGGGCGCTCATGCCGCAGCACCTTGAGCACAAACTCGGGGGTGACCGGCAAAAAGTACACCTTGTCCGCGAGACCCGCCGACGTCTGGATCGTCGCGATGTTGGGGTTGATCAGCACTGTGTAGATGCCCTCTTCCTTCAGAGCCTTGATCGCCTGCGAGCCACTGTAGTCAAACTCGCCTGCCTGGCCGATACTCAGACCACCACTACCCAGCACAAGCACCTTGCGGGGGTGCAGGCGCGGCGCGGCCGCCTCGTTTTCCGCCAGTGTGCCGCCCGGGAACGCTGTCGGGCCCTGCGCAAGCGATGCACCGCCCGACGCGTGGCGCACAGCCGCATTGTCCACGACACTACGCACGAACACGTCAAACAGGTACTCGGTGTCGCGCGGTCCCGCGGTGCTCTCGGGGTGGAACTGCACACTGAAGAAGGGCGCGTGCTCGCAGTAGATACCCTCGTTCGTGTGGTCGTTCGCGTTCACAAACAGCTCCGCCCAACCCGCCGGCAGCGACGCGCCGTCCACGGCATAACCGTGGTTCTGCGACGTGATGTAGCAGCGACCGGAGAGCTGGTCCGTGCAGGGAATGTTCTGGCCACGGTTACCGTACTTCATCTTCGCCGTGCGTGCGCCAGCCGCAAGCGCAAGCAGCTGGTGGCCCAGACAGATACCAAAGACCGGGATCACGTCGTCCGTGCGTGAGAGCAGCGCACGGATGCGCTCCACCGTGCCCATGCACTGCGTGGGATCACCTGGACCGTTCGAAATGAACAGACCATCGTACGGCTCCGGCTCATGCAGAAAGTCATAGTCAAACGGCACCACCTTCAGCTCCACGCCACGAGATGTAAAGCAGCGGATCTGGTTCAGCTTCATGCCCATATCCAGCGCCAGCACACGCAGGGGACGACCCGACGCGTGCAGCAGCTGTGGCTCGTTGACCGTGCGCAGCCCAGCAGGCGCCGTGTCCTGCGGCGTGTACAGCTCAGGGCGCTGGCGCGATACCCGCACGACAAGGTTGTCGCCGTTCGGGTCGTGCCACGGCACGTTCATCACACGCTTGTCCCAGGGGCCCTCCGCCGGCGCATCGGGTAGCGGCGCCAGGAGGCGCGCAAGCATACTACCCTTCGTGCGGATGCGCTTCGTCAGCGCGCGCGTGTCGATGCCGTACACGGCCGGCACGCCATTTTCCTGGAGCCAGTCGCTCAGCCCCGATGCAGCCAGGTAGTGGCTGAAGTCGTGGCTGTACGAGGCCACGACAAGACCCGCGACGTGGATGCGCGACGACTCGAACGGCGCCTTGAGCTTCGGCACCTCTTCGCCCTGGGGGCGCGCCGGCACACCGTAGTTACCGATCAGCGGGTACGTCAGAACAAGGATCTGGCCCTCGTACGACGGGTCCGTGAGCGACTCGACATAGCCGACCATACCGGTCTGGAAGACACACTCGCCGGAAATGCTCTTGCCCTCAGCACCAAAGCTCAGGCCCTGGAACACGGTACCGTCCGCGAGCTCCAGCACCATGGGAGAGACACCAGGCGTGCCAACTGGCGCCGATGTCGCCGGCGGCGCCGGCGAAGGCGTCCTCGAGGGAACCTGGTCCGCGAGCGCGGACCGCAGCGACGGCGAAATCGCTGCGGGTGCAGCCGCGGCCTGGCCGTTCACATTCAGCCCCGTCATCGTAGTAAATATGTTGCCTCGAAGATTCCCAATCCAGTCCTTTCCCGGTCTATGACACCGTGGATGCAGCAGCAAAAAGGCAAAACCTCAACAGCTACAGCCTGGACGTTGGTGGGCGCAACGAGGAGCACACCGCGGCCCAGCGGGAAAAAAAAGGGGCCCAGGCCAAAACCAGAGGCCCAGCGCGCAAATGTGTGTCAGTATTACTAATCTCCGACGACGGACATGCGCCAGGCGCCGTCGCCGCCGCGGCGGTACGGCGGCGGCAGGCCCACCTAGGCTATGGTACAGAGAGCGCCAGGTCTGTGCCTGGTCTCAGCATGGCTTACTCTTCGCTGTCGTCGGATTCCTTGATGGGAGGTTCGGTCGGCGCAGCGTCTGGTGACGCAGGCAGCTCCGTCTTGACAGGGGCCTCGGCCTTGGCGCCCTCGTTGGCCTCCTCATCCGCTTTCGCAACCTCGTCAGCCTCATCTTCCGCCTTGGGCTCGCTGCGGGTGACTTTTCGTCGTTTGGACGTGCGTGCGCCGCCCGATTCGAGAGGATCCGGCACCTTGTCGACAATATCCTTGAGAAAATCAAACATTTCTGTCGCCTGGGCTGCGCGTTTCCTGTGGTAAGCATGTCGTACGCACAGATGATAGGGAGACACACGCTTGCCGCCGGTGGAGCGCGTCTGTTCCGCCGCCTTCTCGACAATGTCCTGCATAAACAGCTCAAGTGCTTTCGCTGTGTGTGAGCCCATAGCACGTACAGATGACCACCGGCGTTGCCTGTGCTACCTTGCCGACATCCTCGTCTGCCTGCATGATGCGCTTGATGCGCGCGATGGGGAACTTGCTCGTCGTGCTGCGCTTCACCATCACGGTGGTCAGAGTCGCTGCGCATTGCGCGGCGAGCGCGTCGCGCCCGCGCTGACGACGCTGACTCAGCAATAAAAAAAGCGAGGCGCCACGAGCCCACCTGTGACTGCCTGCCATGGCGGACGAGCTCGACGACGGTCTCCTCCTCGAGGACGAGCTCGTGGCCTATTCGGACGATGCGTCCGATGCAGAGGTGCGTCCACAGCATCATGCGCCGCCACCGTCAACAGACGACGCCGCTGCTGCCAAGAAGCGCAAACGCCGCGAACAGGCCAAGGCGCAGCGCCGCAAGGTACGCTGGTCCACTGACCCTAGAAAGCAGCCCGGCTGCAGGAGCAGGCTTCGGCCGCACAGCACATTGCGGAGCAGCCGCGCGATCTGCAGGCCGACTTCCTCGTTGGTCTACAGCGCAAGGCGTTCCCGAAGCTGAGTGAGCTCGAGCTCCAGGAGCTACGTGTGCCAGGTGCGTCGGCTCGGCTAACCACAGCACGCGCATTTGCCGAGACATTCACATTCGACGCAGAGCGGACAGTGGAGCATCTCTCCCCGTTTGTCCGCGAGTGTACGTTCGTCCACTGACCCAGTCGTCGCTCGCCATAACGAGCTGCAGGACATGAAGCAGCCATGGATGACCGAGCCAGGCACGCCCTACATGCTCGTGCTCACGGGCAACGCACAGCGAGCCGCTGATCTCACGCGGGCACTGCGTGTGCTGCTGCCGGGCACCGACGAGCCGCCAGCGAAGCGGCGCAAAGGCACCGCATCGTCGCCTGTGCCCACCGTGGCCAAGCTGTTTGCGCGCCACTTTAAGTTGGAGGAACAGGTATCGTGGCTGAAGAGCCAGGCGACACCCATCGCCGTGGGCACGCCCCACCGTGTACAGGCCCTGCTGGAGCAGCGCGCCTTGCACGTCGACCACCTGCAGGCCCTGCTCGTGGATGCCTCGTGGACAGACGCAAAGCAGCGCGCCGTGTTTGATACGCCAGAGACACGCGATGCACTATTGGCCCTGCTGGCAGAAAACAGCGTGCGGGCCCTATTGCAGAAACCGACGGACCCGTGCCGGGTCGTCCTCTTCTGAGCCAGCGCACCGGCCGCCGGACCGACGCTGGCCGTGTCCGCAACAGGGTAGATAGGGTGCAAGCTCCTTACGCGGCGCACTGTACATTAGACACACCCGCAAGCGTGGAAAGTGCTCCTAGGGACCCGGCGAAGAGTACGGCTCCGCTTGCAGTTCGTACAGTTCGACGGGTGAGACGAGCCTCCTGCGAACAAGCGCAAGTGGGATGCGAACTGCCAGCGAGTACGAGTGCTTGCGGTCAGGCCAGGTAGCACGATTCCAGTTCCACGAACGCGATATGTGGTACACAGATCCGCCTCCCGCTTGCGCTGCGCTAGCCAACGTCTCTGGCGCAGCTAGCGCGCTCGCGCCGCCTCTCCGGCCACGCTATCTGTGCAGCATGCACAGAGGTGGAGGTTGAAACCCTGTCCACCTGTGCGCATGGGTCAGCCCCGCGCTGATTGGTCCACGAAAACGTGCCGACAGGGACGGTTCCACACCCACCCGCCCAGCGAACGCGACTACGACCAGCGTTGGATTGATGCCCAGCATGGTGACGGAGAAGGCGCGCCCCTCCAACGAGAGTGACCGTCTGTACACCTCGTCGTCGCCCGCCCTCGCATGGATTGCGTCGCATTCTCGCTCGAGCTCGGCAGGTCCAAGCCCGGTGCCGAACCTGTCGCCGGGTCTTGGCTCCATCGAGGCATCGTCTCGCGCGCCATTTACTGCTCCTGGTGCGCGAGCGTCGTTAGGACTCGGTCTTGATATTGGCGCAGATATGAGCCGACCGCTGCCGAGTCTTCCGAGCGAGGAGCACCTACAGGACCGGGGTCCAGTGAGCGCCACGCGGCCCGTGGCGCCTGCGGAGCAGGCGCCCGTGCCGAGCACCGCCATCAGCCCTGGCCCGTGGGACCTGAGTGACTCACTCGCGCAGATCAATGCGCCGCACACGCGCCGCCCAGCGGTGCCACCTATCCCCGTGTACGGCTACACGGGCCTGGCGTGGGAGTACCAGCTTGACATGGAGGTCGCGACAGCCTACGTGATCCGCACGATTGAGCGAATACGCGCCCTGGGCGTCGACGCGCCGCTGCTGCTCAGCAGCATGGCCGTCGACCTATCGTCGTCGGGCTCGATGCGGCTCATACGCACGGTTGTGGACTCGCTCCATGCGCCGAGCACCGAGGCAGACCGCGCGCTGGACCAAGAGCTGCAGTTCGCGAACGTGTACAGTCTGGTGGCCCTGCTCAAGTGGGTGCTCGCGCGTGTCGGCCGCGTTGTTGCAGAGCGAGCGCCTGGCCAGTCGGACCAGCCGCTGGTGCTGGTGCAGGAGCGCGGGTTCATGCCGTGGTCCTCGTACATGAGCTGGCGCGCACAAGAGCGGCAGCAGGGTCACCCGACCTCTGCGTATCTGACACTGACGCAAATGCTCGAGACGCGTGTGGCGCGCCTTCTGGACGTGCTGATGGACTTTTTCGCGCTGGTCGCGACCTACAGCAGCCAGAACCAAATGACGCCCAGCCGCATCGGTCGCCACATGGGCGTGCTGCTCTTCGGGCTGCCAGAGGATGCCTCATTCGCGGATACGTATGCAATGTACGTACAGGCGTCGAACGCCGCAGAGCACATACTCGTGGCCTTTATGCGGTACCATGTGTCGGTTGCGACGCAGTCGACCTATCTGCCGCGCCGCCTACTGCGCCTGGTTGACGATTACCCCCGCATGCTCTCGCCGGACCTAGACGCCTCGTCCGCAGCGGTGCGCACCGTGCCGGCCACCTACATGGCACGGCATGTGCAACAGTACTCCAAGGACCTGCTGCAGCGCTCCGCGTGGCCCGCCGCGTTGGCGAGCATGGATTTGGGCCCCGAGACGCGCAAGCAGCTGAACCTGGTGCCGGGCCACGTTCCGCGCCCCGGCTCGTCGCTGCAGGCGCCGGACGTGGCGAATGAGACGGCCGACGGACTCGGCTCACCGTCCATGCAGCGGTGGCACGAGTTTGCTTTCGAGGGCTTCGACGATCTCGACACGTCAGCGCTCGAGTTTGACCTGCGTGAGAGTGATCGCCGGCAGCGCATGCAGCGTGTCGAGAGCATGCACTGGTTCCAGTTCGAGGAGCGCGGCTTCCACCAAGGCGCTGACGACAACTCGCGCTGGGACTGGGTTATGCGCCTCGACGAGCCACTGCAAGACCGCAGCGACATGGCGCTGCAGCGCAGCGAGTCAGCCGCGCTCGGTGAGTCGGCTCCGCCGTTCCCCTACCGCTCCGATCCGCACGTGGCTGACACAGTGATTGATGAGCTGTTCCCCGAGGTGTGGGCCGACTACCTCGTGGGTAATGGCTGGAGCAACCGCGACGAGCGCGTGCACAGGGAAGCGTCGTTCGCCGTGCTACAGATGCGCACGACAAGCACGCCGGACAGCCGTGCGTCGACCAGGATTTCGACCTGGTTCGTGCTGGAGGAGGTCGTACCTTCCTCGTACCGGGATGCGCTGAGCACATCCCTCTGCCCCGTTCGTCGCTCGCGGCCCATGTTGCGCAAGCTCAATCAGTTCCGCATGGTACGTGCCGGTCAGGCGCCCGAGTCGATTGTGGCGGTCTTGTATCGTTTCCCGCCTGATGCAAACGCTGCGGCCCCGGCCGCGGAGCCGGAGGTGCCTAAGCCCAGCGAGCCATCGCAGACGTATACGGTTCCTGCGCAGGGCCCACGTCCTGCCCCGCCCAAACATGCGACGGTATTGCCTGCGCGCACGATTCCTCCCAGAACCCCCGAGCCTTGGTCTGTATCGTCCTCGAATGACAGCGCGCGGCCGCGGCCGATCCGCAAATCGGTGCCGCTTGGACTCCAGGCTAAGGCAGCGGCAGCCAGTGCACAAGCGTCGCCTGTGGTGCCAGCGTCGGAGCAGGTGTCCGTGCCAGAGCCTGCTCCGGAACCGGTAACCGGCGCGCCGCCTCTCAACAAAAAGCGATCAGTCCAGCGCATCCTTTCGTCACTTGGCTCGCCCCATGCCTCAGAGACTCCGCGACAAAAGCGGGTGCCCTTCTCGCCGCGCATGCCCAGTGAGGCAGAGGGAGAGGCACCGGAACGTGTGCCCCGCATCCTGTCAGGTATACGCAAGCGCTCATCACAGTGGCTCCTAAAGGGTAAACAGAGTCTGCGCTCGTTGCGCAGTGTGTCGGGTGACACAGATGAGGCTGAGGCGGCATCGCCGCGCCTGTTTGGCGGTCTAGGGCGATTTGGGCACCGACATGTATCGCGTGAACAGCCCATGAACCAAGAACCTGCTGAGCCTGATGAGCCTGCCGAATCTGTCCAGCCTGCTGAATCTGCTAAACCTGTCGAAGCGGTCCAGCCTGTCAAACCCGTCGAGCCTGTCAAACCCGTCGAGCCTGTCAAGCCCGTCGAGCCTGTCAAACCCGTCGAGCCTGTCAAACCCGTCGAGCCTGTCAAACCCGTCGAGCCTGTCAAATCCAACAAGCCTATCGAGTCTGCCGGGCTTGTCAGGCCTGCTGAACCTGTCGAACCTGACCAGCCTGCCAAACCTGTCTACCCTGTTAAGCTTATCAAGCCTGACCAGCCCGTAAGGCCTGGTCAGCTTGTAGGGCCTGGTCAGCCTGCTGAGCCTAGCAAGCCCGTCGGTCCTACCAGTCCTGTCCACCCTACCGGGCTTGTTCAGCCTGCTTCGCCTGGTCAGCCTGCTTCGCCTGGTCAGCCTGCTTCGCCTGGTCAGCCTGCTGAGCCTGGTCAGCCTGCTGAGCCTGGTCAGTCTGCTTCGTCTGTTGAGCCTACTTCGTCTGTTCAGCCTACTTCGTCTGTTCAGCCTGCTAGGCCTGGTCAGCCTGCTAGGCCTGGTCAGTCTGCTGAGCCTAGCAAGCCCGTCGGATCTGCCAGTCCTGTCCACCCTACCGGGCTTGTTCAGCCTGCTTCGTCTGTTCAGTCTGATTCGTCTGTTCAGCCCGCTAGGCCTGGTCAGCCTGCTAGGCCTGGTCAGCCTGCTAGGCCTGGTCAGTCTGCTGAGCCTAGCAAGCCCGTCGGACCTGCTAATCCTGTCTATTCTGTCAAGCTTGTCAAGCCTGTCCCTCCTGCCGGGCATGTCCAACTTGTTGAGCCCGTTCAGCCTGCTGGGTCTACTGAAGTGTTTTCGAAGGCTCAGCCTAAAGAGACCCTTGCGAAGCTTCCAGCGCCCTTGCCGCCGCCTACCGAGTCACTGCCCGCCTCGCCACCATCTTTGGCGCCAACCTCACTGCCGTCTCAGGCATCCACGTCATCGCCTCTACAGACACTGCCGCCACTCGCCAGGACGTCCCCTATCCACTTGTCATCGCCCGAAATGTCGCCGCTTCTACCGGACGACCCTGCGCAGGCTCTTCCGCATGCGAGTGCGCCGCTATCGTCTCAAACACCTGTATCCCCTAGTGATAGGCGTGAGGCTCAGCGGCCCTCTTTTGATCGCAAGAAAGGTGGCAAGGAAGCGGACCTGCCACCAGTGCCGACTGGCGAAGATGACAGTGAGCTGCGCCCCACGGAAACGCGTCGTCCTCCCCAGTCAAAGCGCAAGATGCCGCCGCCTGTGGCATCGCCGAACTTCACATCGAGTCCGGCCATGTCGCTGCTCCACAGCCCTGCATTGACCGGGGCCAGTGGCAGTCCGGCCGTGGGCGCTCGCTCTCCGACTAGCCCGCCCAGTACATGGGCGGCGTCGCCCGTTATATCAGCGGCGTCAACCACCTCGAGCGGCGCAGCGAGTCCTGTGGCACCTCCCATGTCGTGGACTAAGCCTGTGCCGGTCAAGTTCAACAGCACGGCTGCCGCGGCCCTGTCGTCGCCTGAGAGCACGGGGTCCGAGTTTGATGATGCGCACAGCTCAGGCCCAGGCATGCCAGAGCCCTTGGCGCCACGCGCGGCGCCTGCGATTCCCCTCGGCTTCGACGAGGTAGAGCGTCCATCGTATCGCCTGAGCCGTATCTCGGAACGCAGTGAAGACGATGCAACGCGCTCGCTGGCGCATGGCACGACTGACTCGCATGCGCAGCTAGCGGAAGGCGTGGTGCCAAGCTCGAGCTCACGCACGCTGACTGAATCAGAGGGCGAGACCGGTACCGAGCCGGCGAAGCCGGTGTCCAGCCTAGGACGGGGTTTGCGGCCGACTGGTCTAATGGATGCGGAGCTGCCACACATTCCCGAGCAGGCCGCGACCCCCGAACCGGACGGGCCTGCGACGCCTGCAACGACATGGGATCCTGCCGTGGAGACGCTGTCCACGGAGACGCACGATATGTGGGCTGAGGTGGAAGAGGGAACGAACGACGGGGTACCAGCGGTGCAGACGCCTACATTCCGCACGCTGGATCTGCCGGATGTGACGCCTGAACGTGCGCAACCATCGCGCATCGCGCCGCTGCCTGCGCTGACCTCGATGGGGCTTCCACCCTACCTGATGCAGAGTGCGTCAGGCGCATGGCCGGCTGTCGCATTGGCATCTCACACATCGCCGCCTATTGCAACGGTCGAATCACCCGTGCGCTCACGAGCGGCTGTACCACCCGCCTCAGTGACGCGTTCACCCCGCATGGACAAGCTACCGGTGTTGCGCGACCCAGTGCCCGAGCCAGAGCCAGAGTCAACGTCTGCGCTGGAACCCGTGCCAGAGTCTTCGTCGGAACCCATGCCAGAGTCTACGCCACAACCCGTCCCAGAGACCACGCAACAACCCATGCCAGAGTCTACGCCGCAGCCCGTGCCAGGAGCCACGCAGCATCCCATGCCAGAGTCTTCACCGCAATCCGAGCCACAGTCTATGCCTCGACTCATGCCGGAGTCTTCACCGCAGCCCGTGCCAGAGTCGCCGCAGCCCGTACCAGAATCTGTACCGCAGCCTGTGCCAGAATCTTCACCGCGGCCTGTACCAGAATCTTCGCCGCAGCCTGTACCAGGGTTTACGAGAGCGGACGAAGCGCCACAGCTGTCTCGCTCTGGGCCGAGCGAGGCCATGAGTCTGCTGGAAGAAGATGACGTGGATACGATACCACTGCAGGCCACAGCGCAGAGCCTCACGTCTACTGTGTCACGCATTAGCGTACGGACCGAAACGTCCATGGAGGCTACCTCATCACCAAGCCGCGCCCCGCCTCGCGCATCGACGCCCAAGGAAGAGGTATCAATGCAGAGCCCCTTCACGGGCTTTCACAGTCGGCGCAAGCAGCAGGACGAGCTTCGTGAAACAAATGAGTTTGTGGCGCCTTTGCCGACCAAGCCCTCTACGGCGTCGATGCCGGCGGTGCCGTCGATTGAGAATGTGAGTCATACAACGTTGAATGGCCATACGGATCTGGTTCCCCCGGTGTCCCAGCCGAGCAAGGCGGCAACGATGCACTTCGCAGGCTTGAGGCCCCGCAGTCCGGAGGGGCCGCCAGCGACAGACGCGGGCTTGGAGCGTCCTTTGGCGCCGGCGCCGACTCAGGACGCAGAGGTGCCTGAGCCTCTATCTTCAGCGGCCAAGCAGCAGCTCTCGTCAAGTGCAAGTACGCCCAGCGGCATGGACGCATATGGCGCAGAGAAGCCGGTGGCGCAGGCGCCTCGGAGTGGCAGTACCATTACGCTGAGGGAGAGCCGAGTCTCAAGGCGGGAGGTATCTAAGGGCACAGAGAAAGCTGCCGAGACCAGTTTGCCCGGAGAGTTTCCCATGTAGATAACATAGGGGTACCTTAGTCAAAGTCGAGCGGGTCGTAAATGACGCGGATCAGGAGGGTGCAGCTGGGACACCTCGCAATATCCTCCTCATTTTTTAGCTGCTCAAGCGAAATCTCGAACTTGTCACCACATGGGCATGGATAAGTAAAGGCCTGCTTGCCTTCATCAAACTCCATGTCTTCAAGCTCAATCTCATCATAGTACGACACGGCCATAGCGAAGAAAGGCGACACCGCCGCCCAAAAAAAGTATCACGTGGACTCCACATCCGATGCCGCCGACCATGGTCCCAGGCGCACGCGACGCGGAGCGGCACGAGCGAACGAAGCGAAAGCACGAGAACGAAGCGCCAAATGACATTGAGGACGATGGAATTGTAGGGGACTCGGATCAGGACGCTGAGGCGCTCGAGGATGAAGAGTCCGAGCGAGGAGCACTGCCGGAACTCACGCCAGAGGCGCTGCATGAGTTCCACAAGAAGCAGCAGAAGCGCGGCATTGTGTATGTGAGCCGCATCCCTCCGGGTATGACGCCCGCGAAGGTGCGGCACATCTTCTCTCAATTTGGCGAGGTAGGCCGGATCTATTTGCAGCCTAAGGACGCAGGTGCGAAGGGAAAAAAGAAGCGGGCGTCCCACTTTTCCGAGGGCTGGGTTGAGTTCCTCTCGAAAAAGGTAGCGCGAACGGCTGCCGAGATGCTAAACGCACAGCCGATTGGCGCTTTGGGTGGCGCGTCACACTCGTCGCGCAAGTCGCAGACGGGAGCTGGCGTCGTGAATCGATGGAAAGACGACGTATGGACGATGAAGTACCTCCAGGGTTTCCGGTGGCCCATGCTCATGGAGCAAATGTGTACGTATAGTAGCTAACAGGCAGCGCATGAGCGAGCGACGCATGCCGCGCGGCTACGGATGGAGCTGTCCCAGTCGGCCCATGAGCAGCGCGACTACCTCAAGAAGGTCGAGCGGTCGCGCATCCAGCGCGAGAAGGACGCCAAGCGCGTGCGGCGCGGCGAGGCGCCCCAGAGCGAAGCGCCCCCCGCGCATACCTACCAGCAGCGCGCGCCCGTGTACCGCGATGTGCGGGACCAACGCGAGCAGCGGGGACCCTATCGTGCGCCTGCGACGGGTGGCGATAAGATGGATCAGGTGCTCTCCCAGGTCTTCTAACCTAGCAGCAAAGCGCGCCGCCCAGCTGCTCGATCATCGCGTCGATCTCGTCCTGGTCATTCATATCCAGCTAGTCATTAGTATCTACTACGCACAGATTCAGCCGTGTCGTCGTCGCCGACGCGCTGGCCGTCGAAAATAAATCGCACGCTGTTCTCGGGCTTGCCCATACGCTCAGCATATGCGCGCTTCAGCTTCGCGAGTTTCGTCGTGCGCTTCACCTTGAAGAACACCTCGTTTCCCTCGGCATCCTTCACCTTGATGTTCAGTTGCTCAGGCGCCACCTCAGGCTTGGGCACTGTTTCCTCCGACATGCTGCAATCGCAGCCGTACGACGCCCTGCGGCGAGGGTAGCCCGGTGTCACGTGACAAATGGGCCGTCTTCGCGCGCGGACTTCGCGAGCGTTCCACCACAATGGCATCGAACGCATCTGCGAATAGCCTGGTCCGCTGGGTCCAGGACAACCGCTTTGCCGTGGCAGCAATTGCCGCTACGGTGACGGCTCTTAGTGCGGCTGGCCTGCTGTACCTGTCGACCAGCTCGTCGGCGCCCCGCCCGGCAACGGATACCAAGGGCCCCAGCTCGTCCTCGAAGAAGAAACGAGCGAAGAAGACCAAGAAGGCCAAGGCGAGCACTTCGGGCAGTGGCCCCATTTTGGATGACGCAACCGATGAGCAGCTGGCAGGCCTGAGCCTTGAGGAGCTGCAGCGCCTTCCGCAGGAGAAGAAGGAGTCCGTGGCGCAGCATCTCAAGAACCTCGGCAACAAGGCCTACTCCAATAAGAAGTACGAAGAAGCCATTGGGCACTACACCAAGGCTATCGGTGCAGTGCCCTCGGCCGTGTTCTACAGCAACCGCGCCGCGTGCTACTCGAACCTCGGTCAGCCGAGCAAGGTGATCGACGACTGCAACGAGGCTCTTAAGCTCGAGCGCACGTATATCAAGGCGCTCAACCGCCGTGCAGTAGCATCTGAGCAGCTCGGTGAGGCGTGTGACGCGCCGGGCGACGAAGGCGACAAGGCGCGTGCGCACATGGAGCAGAGTCTGACTGACTTTACCGCGGTGGCGATCCTCGGCCACTTCCGCGACGCCGGTGCCACGACCAGCGTGGAGCGCGTGCTCAAGAAACTTGCGTCCGGCAAGGCTAAGCTCATCCTGAGTACGCGCGAGCCGCGCCTGCCGAGCCCGACATTTGTTACCGCCTATTTCGAGGCGTTCCGTCCCAAGGCTCCGCCGGCGATCGCAGACGATGCGCCGCAGGGTGACCGCACGCTCAAGGCGGCCTTCGGGGCAGTTGAAGCGCGTGACTATCCCCATGCGCTCTCGCTCGTGGGCGAGGCACTGGAGCAGGGTCTCTCGACCAAGGAGCTGCAGGCGGCTGCCCACAATTTGTCGGGCACGTTCCACTTTGTGATCGGCCAGACGGCCAAGTCGCTGAGCGATCTGGACAAGTGCACGGAGTTGTGCCCTGACCTGGTGCAGGCGTGGGTGAAGAAGGCCAGCGTGCACATGGAGCTGGGCGACAAGGATGCCGCGTTCCACGACTTTGAGCGCGCGGTGGCCATCAACCCCGACGACCCCGACATTTACTACCACCGGGGTCAGGTCCACTTTATTCTTGGCGAGTTTAACGAGGCAATCCGCGACTATGAAAAGTCGACGTCGCTCGATGACACCTTCATATACTCGCAGGTGCAGCACGCGGTGGCCAACTACAAGCTGGGTAACATTGCCAAGAGCACGGCTGCATTCCGCCGCATCCTCAAGTCGTTTGAAACTGCGCCGGAGGCGCACAACTACTATGGTGAGCTCCTGCTTGACCAGCAGCGCCACGAAGATGCGCTCGCCCACTTTGACAAGAGCATCGAGCTGGAGCGTAAGAGGAACTCGACCAACGTGCTTGCGATGATCAACAAGGCACTCGTCCTCTTCCAGTGGAAGCAGGACCTCGGCGGCGCGGAGCAGCTGTGTCGCGATGCTCTTAAGATCGACCCTGACTGCGACGTGGCCATTGCCACCCTCGCCCAGCTGAGCCTGCAGCAGAGCAAGATTCCTGAGGCTATCCAGTACTTCCGTCGCTCTGCCGATGTCGCACGCACAGAGCCTGAGCTCGTGAACGCCATTACATACGAGTTTGCGTCGCGCGCCCAGCTGCAATTTGTGAAGGACTACCCGGAACAGGGCGCAGCGCTGAGTCAAATGGCCAGCTCGCTCATGTAGACCATTAGTCGCGCAATAACTCTGCCCAGGCACCAGGCCGCTGGTGCTGCGCACGTTCCCGAAAGTCCCATAGCCGGTGCCGCAGCTTGCCCCACACCGCCTGGTTCTTTTGCGTGAGTGTCAGTCGTACACGCAGCTGGGCCTGCCAGTGCCGCACCTCATCGAGTGGCTGGGCGATGGCGGGCATGTGGGCCCCAGCTAGGTATCGTAGGCATGCAGCCTCCAGAACATGTGCATCGTCCGTTGCGCGGCCGCGCAGCTCGTTGACTAGCGCCGTCTCCAAGTCGGGATGGGACACCAGCGCTAAGAGCACAGCACACGCGTTTGACCAGCGGTCACTGTGCGACTCGATGGCAATGGTCGCATGCGGCGCGGAAATGCGCAGGCGCCACACAGGGGTATGTCCGAGCTGCGCGAGCAACTGCAGCGATTTGCGTGGTTCCATCGGTACATATACATCCAGCTCCTCAACACGCGACCATACGACCATCCGCGCAAAGAGCTCCGGTCGCTCATTTTCATAAAAGGGATAGTACATCACCAGGCTCAGACACCGCGGCGTGCAAAGTCGCGCCGGAGGGCGCTGGCGCCACGCTGCTGGCGTAGGCAGTGCGCGGGGCACAAGCGGAAAGTGCGCGAGGTGTTGACGAGCAACAGTCTCGGCCGGGGCGCGTGCCAACTCGTCCTGAAGCCAGCGCGGCATGTCCTGGTCGACAGCCGGTGCATTGTGCTCCGCATCGTCCGCCTCAGTCGTGGAAGCCTCTCCTACCGCCCAGGCAGCTTTCGTGTGCTGTCCACTAACCTGCGCCGCGTCCCGGAGCAGGGCGCGCGACTCGGTCTGCCACAGTGACAAGTACTCGATCGTCGAGCCGCAATGGTGCAGGAGACGGAGCAGTTCAGCCTCCCAGCCCGCCGAGGTCTGCGTCAAACGCGTGATCTGCGTGTGAGGTCGGCGCACATACATCGTCAATGCCCACAAAGAGCGCACGCACATAGCCTACACACGGAATTGGCGGCTTTGCCTCTCGCATACGCGCGTACCAGCGCCGAAACTCACGCACATGCCGCGGAAGCACAAGTACATCGTATAGAGCCGACAGCGCCCAGTGGCGCACCAGTCGGCACACGGAGCTGAGGCGCAGCAAGGCTTGCGTAGCAGGCCAGTCGCCCTCAGAGGCAGGTAGGGACAAATAGGCTATGGCATCCGCCAAGACTTCGCGCGGCAGCACAGGGAGCCCTGCTGCTCGGCGCGCCTCGGCCTGACCCATGCCATCGGACGCACGGCCGCTGCAGGTTCGCGGGCCGCCAATCGGCGCATCGGCGGTGCTGGCGCCCCGCCACGGCGGCTAGAAGCACACGTGACAGAAGTGCCCAGAATTTGATAACCATAAACCGAGCTGCTCGTGCGGGACACTTAAGTTCACTCTGTTGCTCAGATCTGCCCTGCTGTGGCGCCCCTGTTTGAAATGAGTACACCACGAAGGAGCTTTGCGAACATCTTTGGGGATGCTTTAGGTGTGCCGAGCGGTGATGGCAGGTCAGGAGGGTCAGGGCGGAGTTCTCGGCGGAATTCTGATCAAGGCAAGTCCTCTCTCCAGACCTATGTGACACCCCCTGGGCATCAAGGCAACCTCTCGGTAGACCAGCAAAAAGCACTCGACGCAATCTCGAAGCAGTTGGAGGAGGCAGGGGCTATCTCCCTGCGCAATCCGCCCCACTATCAAGAAGCGCAGCTGTTGCGCTTCCTACGAGCACGAAACTTTGACGTGGAAGCCTCGCGCGAAATGTACCTGCGCGCGGAAGAGTGGAAGAAGAAGATCAATCTGGACCATCTTTACTCCGAGTTCCGGTTCACGGAGCGGGACGATGTGGCCAAATTCGGTTGGCGCATGTACTTCCACAAGACTGATACGGCAGGTCGCCCCATCTTTATCCAGGACTTGTCTGGCTTGGACGCCGAAAAAGTCTTCTCTGTAACAACGCCTGATCGCATTATCCAAAACTTTGCGGTGACGCTGGAGCACGCTGTGCGGAGACGGTACTATGCTTGCACCAAAGCCCAAGGTCACAATGTGGACGATAACTTTATGGTACTCAACGTGCAGGGCCTGGGGCTGGGCCAGTTTTGGACGATGAAGAATAAGCTGCAAGAGCTTCTGTCTATCCTCGATAACAACTTCCCCGAACTATCGGGTCGTGTACATATCATCAATGCCCCCTTCATTTTCAGCACGGCTTGGGCCTGCATCAAGGGTTGGCTGCCTGCGCACACGGCTGAGAAAATTAACATTTGTGGTGCTGACTACCTTCCCATCATCAGCCAATATGTGAATTTGGAGAACTGGCCTGCACACCTGGGTGGTCGCTGCAAATGCAGCCATGACTCGCCTCAGCATGCGTGCGAGACAAAAGACTTTGGCCCTTGGAATCAGTAGGGTATGGTTGTGTAGTACAGGGTATCGGTTGCAGCTATGTATGTTGCACGTAGCGCGTCAGAGTGAACTCGAGCAAAAGGATCCAGAGAGAGACATAGCCTAGAACTCCAATCGGCATAACGTTCCGCCACATGGCCACCTCCCAGTGGAACACTCGACGGGAACGAATGTGTGCTGCGTGATAGTTTTGGAAAAATGCCGATATGCGAGACCGCTTTGCCTTGCGGCGTCGCCGCACTCGGAAGCGATGTTTCCATTGGCGACGCTCATGGACGCGCCGGCGCCACCGCTCCATTTCCATAAGCGAGAAGATGGAGTCGGCCTCCGGTAGCCGGTCGGACGATGACATATGCGTCTTGTCAGACGAATCGCACTCGGAATCCGACGTTTGCATATCCTCAGGACCACCCATAAAGGCACGCACCAGGCGCACGCTGTGTTCACGGTACATCCGGAATCGATCCTGCCGACTGAGCTGCCAGAGCCATGGTTGAGGCGTCGACTCGAAGCCGTCCTGGTCCGGAGACAGAACACCATCAATGTCAGATACGCCAGTCTCGATGAGATCATATTGGGGCCTTCCCCCGCCTTGTATCGAGTCTTCTTTGTTGTTGATGCTGCTCGTGAGCCAGCGCGCAAAGATTTCGAAAAACGAAGTGAATGTGGAGATAAGTACCCAGGGTGTGAGTGGCTGCATAGGGCCGAAGAGATGCAAGATCACCCGCACCAGAGACCAGCATATGGACTGGAATGCCACCAGACGAATAAGAGAGGGCAGCAGCGTATAGTAAATTAGCCACCGCCGCAGAAGTAGCGTCATGAGCGAAAGTGCATGAAAGGCCGTGCTCATACTCCACAGAGAGCATACCACATACTCCAACGCACTCGGGCGCTGAAACATATAGTTTGTGCGAAGCCAGTGCATTTGGATTGCCTCACTGTAGGCATGGTGCAAGAGAAGCAAGGTACCAGCCAGTCCCGGCACAACGGCAAAAAGACGTAGAGAGTACAGTAACATTTCAAACGCACGTGGAAGTGGTTCCAGCGGCTCCATTGTCTCACATGCTTTTGTCGACGAGCTCATACTCTCATGAAGTGACTGGGGGTGATGGCTGCGCGGCGTGCGATGTCCCTCGTCATGTGTATCGGTATCAGAGACTTGTGATATCATGGGCAGCTGCGGTGTGGACCTGAACCGTTTGATGCGACTAATCCGCCCAACTTGATGAAGTGACTCATCCTCTGAAGCAATCAGATCCATTGACGAGATAGATGTCGTCTCCTGGCCAGCATCGCTTTGATCCGTGGAGAAGCTCGTGAGCCTGTGTGTACCACACGCTTCATCTGCGACGGCCGAATAGGGTGGTGGGAGTTCCGTCATAGAGAGGCCTAATGAACTGCTCGTAGATGCCTGAGTGAAGCGCTGGTGTAAAGGGGCGAATGCGTCGTGCAAGGGCGCCCCCCCAGATGAGCCTGCGGTGGCTTCTGGGCCCGATAAGGCGTCCCAAGGAGCGCGCCGACGCATGGACGGCATACTCCCTACCTCCACCATAGTACTAGTGAGTGTGGCGGAGTAGTCTCGGTGGCGACGCTATCAGCACAGCGTACAGGGTCAGTATCGACGGCGCTATTGACAGTCCGCTGTACTGGAGGCGCACAAGTAGTATTAGTCAAGGCCGACCTCCCGTCCACGTGGGAGGGTGGAGGGATAGAACCTCGAGCTCCACCGTAGGACGACCGTACCACGGCTGTCATGTCCGAATTTTATGTGCGATACTAGTACGTGCATGCCAGTAAGCTGACACGTAGCACGGGGCATCAAGGGCGTCATGGACACGAGTTTCTTGAGTTTGAGTACGACCGTGGCCGCCTCCGCTATGCAAATAACAGCAACTACCGCAACGACTCGCTTATTCGCAAAGAGAGTGCGTGTAATGTGGCTGACGCGCAGTGTGGATCAGTCCTTTGATGGTGCAAGAGCTGCGAAGAATTGTGGAAGAAAGTGAGATTTTGAAGTAAGTCAGGACGCACTCACATGACAGGGAGGACGACTCCAAGTGGCCGAAGAAAAACGTGGTGGGTCGCCAGGAGCTGGAGATCCGTCTGGGCAAAGAGCACATATCCTTTGAGGTACGCCAAATCCATTCACACATAGACCGCGAAGTTGGGCTCCCTTGTGGAAGTGCAAAATAGCGAGGACCCCGAGGGTCTGCGTGTCATGTACTATCTAGTACAGGACCTTAAGGTGCGTAAGACCGAACCAACGCTGAGTGTCTCATTTTCAGCTTGATCTCGCTGCATTTTAAGATCAAACCCATTTCTGTCTAGCGCCATAGGGCCATAGCGGGGGCAACTGTATGATATCCCTATAGAAAGACGAGTTGGCAGTAACGCACGCTATTTATTCGTTAATTTTCGCCAGGATCTCTGAGTCGCGAATCAACAGGTACTCCTGCCATGTGAGTGTGCGCTGCCACATACCTCTTCGCCGACCTTGATCGAATTGCCACCCCAAGAGGGAAGCAGCACCTTGTCGCCAGGCTGAACACTCGTGGGTACGACCTTGCCGTCCTTGTCCGTAGCACCAGGACCAGCGGCAATCACCGAGGCCTCTGGAAGCGGCGTCTGGCTCGACGACGAGGGCAGGAAGATGCCGGAGGCGGTCTTGGTCTCCGGCTTAAAGCGCTGAACGAGCACGCGGTCAAGCAGGGGAACAACAGACTTGATGTTGCGAATCGAAGAAGCAGACTGCGTGTTACCTAGCGAGTACGCACCATGGTATATACGGAGCTGGACCTACAGTGCTACGCGGTGCCCCACGAGGTCTTGTATTCGAGCGACTTCGTGGCCAGGCTGCATCGGCCGAAGCGAAATAATTTCCATTCGCTTCCGATTTCTTCCACGTTGCGCCTATGTGAAGCGGGGACGCACGGTGAGTGGCTGAAATGGGGACCTAGTAGGCTGCAGTGGCAAATCTTCTAGGATCTTCTGCCGGCTTCCTGGGCGCAGCATATAGTTGGCGACAGGTGCGCTGCGCAGCTTTTCCCACTATCTTTGGTCCGATCATGTCCATGTTGCGTGCTTCTGCGACATCGCGTATGCCGCGCGTACTGAACACGCGTGCGCTGTCGACTTCGGCGGCTGCGTTCGCTCACAAGGACGTCAAGTTCTCGAACGAGGGCCGCGCTGCTATGCTGAACGGTGTGAACCTGCTGGCGAACGCCGTGAGCGTGACGCTGGGCCCCAAGGGCCGCAACGTCATCATCGAGCAGCCTTTCGGTGGTCCCAAGATCACCAAGGACGGTGTGACGGTGGCCAAGGCTATTGAGCTCAAGGACCGCTACGAGAACCTGGGCGCCCGTCTGGTGCAAGATGTGGCGAGCAAGACGAACGAGGTGGCCGGTGACGGAACCACTACGGCTACTGTGCTTGCGCGCGCCATCTACGCGGAGGGTGTGAAGAACGTGGCCGCGGGCTGCAACCCGATGGACCTGCGCAGAGGCTGCCAGTCGGCCGTGGACGAGGTCATCAAGTTCCTGGAGAGCCACAAACGCGAGGTGACCACGTCGGAGGAGATTGCGCAGGTCGCGACGATTTCGGCGAACGGCGACAGCCATGTTGGCACTCTTATTGCGACCGCCATGGAGAAAGTCGGTAAGGAGGGTGTGATTACCGTCAAGGAGGGCAAGACCCTGGAGGACGAGATTGAGATCACGGAGGGCATGCGCTTTGACCGCGGCTACATCTCGCCGTACTTTATTACTGACGTCAAGACGCAGAAGTGCGAGTTTGAGAAGCCGCTCGTTCTGCTGAGCGAGAAGAAGATCTCGGCGCTGCAGGACATTTTGCCGTCGCTGGAGACGGCGGTGCAGATGCGCCGCCCCCTGCTCATCATTGCTGAAGACTTTGACGGCGAGGCGCTGGCGGCGTGTATCTTGAACAAGCTGCGCGGTCAGCTGCAGGTGTGCGCGGTCAAGGCCCCTGGCTTTGGTGACAACCGCAAGAGCATTCTGGGCGACCTGGCTATTCTCACCGGCGGTCAGGTGTTCTCGGACGACCTGGACGTGAAGCTTGAGAAGGCGACGCCCGACATGCTGGGCACCACAGGCAGCGTGACGGTGACGAAGGAGGACACGATCTTCCTTAATGGCGAGGGTGACAAGGATGCCATTACTGCCCGCTGCGAGCAAATTCGCTCGGCCATGAACGACCCGTCGACGTCGGAGTACGACCGCACCAAGCTGCAGGAGCGTCTCGCTAAGCTGAGCGGTGGCGTCGCCGTCATCCGTGTGGGTGGCTCGTCGGAGGTTGAGGTCGGCGAGAAGAAGGACCGCTACGACGATGCGCTTTGTGCTACCCGCGCTGCCGTCGAGGAGGGCATTGTTCCTGGTGGTGGTGTCGCCCTGCTGAAGGCCAGCAAGGCCCTGGATGTCATTCAGACCAGCAACTTCGACCAGCAGCTTGGTGTCTCGATCATCAAGGCGGCTCTTACCCGCCCGGCACGCCAGATCGTGGAGAATGCCGGCGAGGAAGGCTCGGTCGTGGTCGGCAAGCTCTTGGAGAACCCCGGCGAGTTTGGCTTTGGCTACGACGCCAGCGTCGGCGAGTACAAGGATCTGATCGCCGCGGGTGTGCTTGACCCGCTTAAGGTGGTGCGCACGGCTCTGCAGGATGCTGCGGGTGTTGCTTCGCTGCTCACCACTTCCGAGTGCTGCATCGTGGAGGCACCGGAGGAGAAGCCTGCGCCTGCCCCGGCCATGGGCGGCATGGGCGGCATGGGTGGCATGGGCTTCTAAGCAATGAACCCGAACGATACCGTCTTGTGTAGCAGAATACATACATAGCCTATGGCAAGTGGCTAAGCTTGTGGGCCGTGGTTAGTAGCTGAAGCGCGCTCTGCATGGCGTGGTGCTCTTCCGAGCAGACAATCTCAGGCACCGGCTGCGCGGGGAATGGCGACGGAATGAGCGCCTTGAGATATTCGTAGGTGACCAGAGTGGCACCAAATTGGGGACTCGAGCGTAAAACACGAGCCAGCGAGCCCTTGAAGAAGGCGCTCGGCGACTCCTTGCGGAGGATCTGCGAGGCGCAGTCCATGATGCCCTTGTAAGTAGCCTGGCCTTTGCGCGCCTCGACCTGGAGACGCGTTTTGATCACATCCGCAGGCGTCGTAAGGAAGGCAGCCGGGATACCCGCGATCGATGCTGCCGAGATGAGCTGGCCAAAGGTGAGCTTGACGCCGGGCGCCTCGCCAAACAGGTCCTTCTTAAGATGCGCGTACATGGGGAAGTAGATGGCACTGAACGGGATGTCACGTAGGAGGCACGCGCCTGCACCCTTGTACAGACCCAGCAGGCCCAGACGGCGGATGATCGTCAAGGCCCCCTTCCTCACCTGCGACGGATCGCTGGAGACCTCGCCCTGCACCTGCAGTCGGATCTTGACAATTTCCAGGGGGTTGGTGAACACAACCTGCGAGGCGCCAGCCACAGAGCCCGCAAGAATTTCGGCCGGAACTGGCACGCGGCCATCCTTATCCATGGTGAGGGAACGGACCAGATCGTTCACCGTGAGTTTAATCGCCTTCTCCGGTGCCACACCAAGCAGCTGAGGCACGAGACCCGAGTAGAAACCAAAGAAGCCTTCATTTTGCATCACCTTCTTCGCACAGTCGAGGCTGTTTTTGTACATGAGCGCCTCGCCGACGACATTCGAACGCTGGTTCTGCATGCGCGTCTTAACGAGATCGATCGGGTAGACGAGCGTCGCACCGACGGAGCCCGCGACACCGCCGAGCACGAAATTGTACGTCGACTCGCCAATTTTGTTGAGTGTCGCCATAAGGCTGCTGCGCGCAGGCGCCGGTGCCAGCACCGTCGAGTCAGGCGTGGGCCGCACACCAGTGTCAGTGATGGACAGTTTGTGCAGCGTCAAATCCGAGCCAGTCATATTCTTCTTCGAATACTGAACCGAACTCGATGCTTTTTGCGACAGGGCATCTAGATCGCGCAGCGTAGCAGCCAGAGCACCGCTAGGACCGCTGGGAGTATATATCTAAAATGTGAGAACCAGCAACCCCACACGTACATGGACGTCAATCTTAGAAGCACCTTTGGCTGATTCCAACGGCGATGATGCACCAGGCAACGCCTCACAGAGAAGCGGTGAGAAGAACATCCTGTTGCAAACAAGAAAAAAACTAGGCTGAAACTTCACAAACGTGGTACCTGGAGTCCAAGTGTCGCTGTATGTTATGCTTGGTCAGCATGGATTTTTGCGCATGCCTGCCGGGTCCAACCGGTCTATGGCACAGCTACCGATCCACTAACGACACGTGGCGCGCCTCGCTGGGCTCCCGCGAGCGGCCGCCGCGCACGGCTGTCTTTGTCGCCGTCGGCACCCTTCTGGGCGATGCGCTCCACTACACTGGTGCCGTCACGGAAGCGTGCGCGGAACAGCACGTTCGCATTGGAAAATAGACCCTCTTTTAGCGACACCACAATAAACTGCGAGCCTTTGAAGCGGGTGCGGAACAGGTGGCCAATGTGCTGCGTGTGTGACAGGTCCAGCGCCGCATCCACCTCGTCGAGGATGTACATGGGCGCAGGATTGAACTGCAGCAGCGACATGATCAGCGAGAGTGCAATGAGCGAGCGCTGACCACCGCTAAGCTCGGTAAGGCTCTGCTTCCATGTCTGGCCTAGACGCACACGCACCTCGAGGCCCTGCGTCAGCTCCATACCCTCAGGTGGCTGCAGCGCCGCGTAGTTTCCTGGTAGTAGCTCGCCGAAAATGGCGCCAAAGTCGCGGCTCACCTGCTCAAAGGTTGTCTGTAGAGCATCCTTCTTGTACCGGTCCAGCTCCGCAATCGTCTGTTCGATCTTATTCTTGTCCCGCAGCACTGTCGAGAGCATGTGCTGCAGACTCGCATCTTTCTTTTCAACATTATCGATCATGTTCATCACGCGCGGGTTCACCTTGCGCTTCAGTCCACTCTGCTGTCCCTCCAGCTGCCGGCACAGCTGCTGGACATCACGCATGTTGTGTTTGTCAAACTCGTATGCCGAGCCCGGCTGCCCGAACTGTGCGCACTCCTCGAGAATCCATGGGTATGACTCCTCTAGGGAAACCGCAGACGCACGCAGCGCCTCGCACTCATGTTCGTGCTGCTCCAGCTCGCGCTGGGCGTGCTTGATGGTGAGTTCCGCCTCGCCAATCGCATGCTTTTTCTCTCCTAGCGCCTTCTGCAGGGCCGCATGGTCCTCGCTAAAGGTTTGCAGCGACGCCTGTTCTTCTGCCACGGCGGTTTCCTTCTCGGCCACCTGCTCACGGAGCGCCGCCAGCGCCTCAACACCGGCTGCCAGGTCGGCCGCTGCCTGCGCCGAAGCGCGCCGCGCTTCATCCAGCCGCTCGCGTGCAGCGTCTGCATCCATTTGACGCTGACCCACCTCCAGCTCTGCAGCGCGTAGCGCCGCCTGTCGCTTTTTGAGCTCAGCCATGCGCTGGGTATGCTGCGCTTTCTGCGTACGGCACGCCTCGCGTACACGAGCCACTTTGCCGTCCTTGTCGGTGCTCAGCTCGGAAATATCGCGCTCCAGCTGCGCCGCCTGGGCAGCAGCGTCGTTTGCGCGCGCCTCTGCCTCAGTCACGCCTGCACGCAGCTCGTCAATGTGTGCGCGAGTCGCCGAAAGCTCAGCTTCCAGAGTCGCTGCGCGGCTGTGCTCGACCTGTTCCTGCAAAAGGGTCGCCTGGTGAGACTTGCGCTCATATTCGGACTGCAGCTGAGACACGCTGCGCTGCTCGCTCTGCAGCTTGCGCCAAGTCTCTTCGGTGGCCTGCAGTTCCGCTGAACATGCCTGGATCTGGTCCATTAGCATGGCCAACTCGTGCATGCGCAGAAGCACACTGCTCTGAGCGCCCGACGAGCTGCCGCCACTCAGTGTGCCAGCCGGATCGTACACGTCGCCCTCCAGAGTGACGCTCTTCATACGCACCGCCTGGTCAAAAGTAACTTTCTTGGCCGTTGCCGCGTCCTTGCACACAAGCGTCGAGCCAAAGACGTACTCGAGGGCCTGGGCCACCTCTTTTTCATACCCGATTAACGAGAGGGCCAGGTCAACCTGTCCTGGTGCAAGCGCCTGCGCTGCAGCAACCTTGGCAGCTGGCGCTACGTGCGCCTGGATCTTGGTGAGCGGAATAAGTGTCACACGCTTCTTCAGCTGGCCATGGGCGAGGAGCTGGGCGCCCACCTGCTCATCCTGCACGACCACGCTGTACAAGCGCCCGCCGGCGCACGTCTCAAGCGCAGTAGCATACGACAACTTGGCCGGGTCCAGACGCACGAGGCTCGCCACAAGGCCTTTCACCTTGGAGGCATCAAAGTCGCGCGACGGCTTCTCGTAGCGGAACTGCAGCGCCGCTGGCAAGCGCTCCTGCATTGCATCGCGCTGGGCGATCAGCTCCGTGACCCTGGTCCGCAGCCGCTGGCGCTCCGCTTGCAAAGACTGGTAGCGCGCTTCGTCCCAGCCCTGGGAATCAAGGGCCGCGCGCGCCTCGTCCGCATTTCGCTGTGCGGCGCGCCATTGCTGCACCAGTTTTTGGCAGTTGGACTGCTCGCGCTGGAGCAGTGGCTCCTTGGCTTGGCATTCGCGCTCCATATGCTGGATCCGCGCGTGAGCCTGCTCAATCTCGGATCGTGCCGTCGATTCGCGTTCCTTGGCCTTGGCCAACTGGCCTTGGAAGCCGCCATGGGTATCTTGATCGCCCGAAGCCATGCCGGTGAGCAGCGTCTGGAGAAGCGCCTCTTGCTCGCCGAGCTCAGCGCCTGCGCGGTCGACATCGCTTTTAAAGGTTTGGAACGAGCTGTCCAGCTCCGTGAAGCTGGCCTTGTGCGTAGCCAGTTCGGCCTCAGCCGCATGAAGTGCCGCCTCCTCTGTCTCGACGCGCCGCACCTCTTCATCGTGCGCCGACTGCCGGAACTCCTGCTGCGCCGTGGCCTCGACCAGCTCGTGATTTAGCGCCCTGGCCTCGTCCAAGAGGCTTGTATGCTTGCTGCCAAGCTTGGCAGCGCGGCGGCGCTCGAGTGCCTCCATCTCTTCCTGCAGGCTCTGCATATGTCCCTTCCATGCGTTTATGTCTGCCTCGGTCGATGTCAGCCGCTCTCGCGTGCGCTGCACGCCCTTACGCTCGCGCGTCTCGAGCTGCGTCTGCAGCGTCTGCCACTCGTGAGCCTTGGCCAAGCGGAGAAGGCGCTCCAGCTCGGTCGTGGCTTTTTGGTACTCAAGAAACGCGCGCTTCTCCTCGCGCAGCTTGTCGAGCTTGGGGCGGATTTCCTCATCCAGCAAGGCCGTGATCTCGCGGACCTTTTGGTCCTTCTTGGCCATAGTACGGAACGCACGCTCCTTGCGCTCCTCAAACATGCGTGTACCTGTGGCCTCCTCGATCATCGCCAAGATCTCGGCCGGCTTCATGTTCAGCACCTTCGTGATTTTGCCTTGCATAATAAGGAAGTTGGGGTTGTTCACGTTCAGCTGCACACTTTGGAACAGGTTCTGCACCGCTTGCTGTGTCGCCTTGTGGCCATTGATCAGGTACTTGGATGCGCCGCCCATCGCGATCTGGCGCGTCACGGTAATCGAGGCATAGTTCTCGAATGCAACGGGCGAGCGCTCCGTGTCGCTGTTGTCAAAGACGATCGTCACCGACGCTTTAGTTACGCCTGCTTGCCCGCGCTTGTAGATGAGGTCCTGAATGTTGGACGCGCGCACAGACGACAAGTTCGTGAGGCCCAGCACAAAGCAGATGGCATCGAGAATATTGCTCTTGCCGCTACCATTCAGGCCCGTGATGGCATTGAAACTGGGATCAAAGCCACGGACATGCGTGCGGACGGGGTAGCTGCCAGTCAGACTCCCCTCACTCACCTCTTGAACCCATCAATGATGAGTTCCTCGATGCGCATGCCGCCGTCGCCACCGCTGAAAGTGTTTATAGCGCGGCGTGTCGTGCGGCGTCGCGTCACGTGGGTTGGACGTGCCGCGCGAGAGCTGCGCGACACGACGCGCAGCGCGATGGCGAGGAAGCAGGCGACTCTTGAGAGCCTGTTCGCGGGCGAGCCGCCTAGCAAGCGAGCGCGCGCCGAGCCAGTGCCTTCAGAGCCGGCCGAAGTGGCGGGCTCTGAGAAGGAGGCCGCGCAGGCCGCGATCGTGGTGGCGGAGACACTCGCCGCGAAGCCCGTGCCCAAGGCTAAGGCAGCCATACCCTACTCGATGCTGGTGGATGTGTTTGCACAGGTCGAGGCGACGACGAAGCGACTCGAGATCTTGCAGCTGGTAACCAACTTGTTTGTGCGGGTGATCTTGCAGAGCCGCGACAACGACGAGCCGCTCGTCGTGGCGAGCGAGAATCTGCTGTATACCGTGTACCTGTGCATCAACCGGCTGTGTCCCGACTATGAGGGCCTTGAGCTGGGCATCGGCGAGGGCTTGCTGATCAAGGCCATTGCACAGAGCACAGGGCGCGAGATAACGCGCATCAAAAAGGACCTCGAGGCCAAGGGCGACCTGGGGCTCGTGGCGATGGCGTCCAAGAAACACCAGCCCACCATGTTCCGCGTGCAGGGCCTCACTGTGCCATCCGTATTCAAGCAGCTGAAAGAAATTGCGGCGGCGTCCGGCGCCAAATCGCAGGACAAGAAGCTCGGGATTATCAAGCGATTGCTGGCGGCGTGTACAGGTGATGAGAGCAAGTACCTGATCCGCAGCTTGGAAGGCAAGCTGCGTATCGGCCTTGCAGAAAAGACAGTGCTGATGGCCATGGCCCAGGCGGTGATGCTGGCCGAGATGGGCCCCGCAGCCCAGCACAAAGACGAAGAGGCATTGGCAGCGCAGCTCGAAGAGGGCGTGCACACCGTCAAGGCGATCTTTAGCGAGCTGCCGTCGTACGACTTGCTTGTGCCCGCACTGCTAGAGCATGGCGTCGCAGGTGCGCGCGCGACGCTCCAGCTGACGCCGGGCATCCCGCTCAAGCCCATGCTGGCCAAGCCTACGAAGGCGATTGGGGAGGTGCTGGACCGTTTCGAGGGGCAGGCCTTTACGTGCGAGTTCAAGTATGATGGCGAGCGTGCGCAGGTCCATGGTTTTCTGGGCTCTGACGGGCAGCGCAAGGTATATGTGTTCAGCCGCAACTCGGAGGACATGAGTGTGAAATACCCCGACCTCATGGCGCAGATTCCCCACTGCCTCACGGACGAGGTGCAGAGCTTTGTATTGGATGCAGAGGCTGTGGCGTGGAAGAAAGCGGATGCGGCAGCAGGTGAAACGGAAGGGCGCCTATTGCCGTTCCAGGAGCTCAGCCGGCGCAAGCGCAAGGATGTCAGGGCGGAAGATGTGCAGGTTGCCGTCAAGCTGTTCGGTTTTGATCTGCTGTACCTGAATGGGCAGCCACTGCTGCACGAGACGCTTGAGCGTCGGCGCGAACTGCTACAGGCCCACTTCCGGCCCGTGCGTGACGAGTTTGACTATGCGACACACCGTGACTGCATTACGACCGAGGAGATCCAGACATTTTTAGACGAAAGCATTGCGTGCGGGTGTGAGGGCCTCATGGTCAAGATGCTGCAGGGCGGCGATGCGACGTACGAGCCAAGCCGGCGCTCGATCAACTGGCTGAAGCTGAAGAAAGATTACTTGTCCGGCACGGGCGACAGCCTGGACCTGGCGGTGATTGGCGGTTACTACGGCAAAGGCAAGCGCACCAACGTATATGGCGCCTTTCTGCTGGCTTGCTGTACGTGCACATACTGACGCAGATGACGAGGACAGCGAGACGTACCAGAGCATCTGCAAGATCGGCACAGGGTTCACCGAGGCGGACCTGGCGTCACACCATGCGACGCTCCAGGCGCTCGAGATCCACCAGAAGAAGGGGTACTATGACGTGGGTGAGGCCAAGCCGGATGTACGTAAAGCCACTAACAATAGGTCTACTTCGAGCCGCGCATCGTCTGGGAGGTACTCGCCGCGGACCTGTCGCTGAGCCCCGTGTACACCGCGGCGCGGGGCCTCATAGATGCGCGTGGCATTTCCCTGCGGTTCCCACGTTTCCTACGTACGTGGCCCCTACTGACGCAGGCATCCGCGACGACAAGACACCTGAAGCGTCTACGACGCCTGAGCAGGTCGCCAACATGTACCGCGCACAGGCGGTAGCGAGCCAAGGCGCGCGTGGCATCGACGACGACGACGGGTTCTGGTAGCTCCACATAGCCGGCGACTCGTCCAACCATGACACACGTGCTGCACCGCGCTACGGCGACGATCCACGCCGCCGAGACGTACCTAGACACGGATGCGATTCCTTGGAAGCGCGTTGTCCTTACGTTGCTATGGGCCGTGTATCTATTCGAGACGTACGTGATGATGCGGCAGTACCCTCTGTACAGCCTGACGACGCCGCCAAAGGCGGTCGTCGAGCATGTGAGTTACGAGGACTTCCTCAAGAGCCAGCGGTATGGACGCGACAAGGCGCGCTTCGGGTTTGTAGCCGATGCACTGGCGCATGCGTTGAACCTGTTCATGGTCGCGTGCAATGTCCACGCGCACATGTGGGTGGTGTCGACGGCGCTGCTGGGCCGCCTGGGCGTGACGGCGAGTGAGCCGATGACGACGGCAGTATACATGATCGTCTCTTCGCTGGTTGCTCTGCCCCTTTCGATGGCTACGAGTGCGTACAGTCACTTTGTCGTCGAGGAGCGCCACGGCTTCAACAAGCTGACATGGGCCACGTTCCTGGCCGACACGGTGAAGCAAGAGGCGCTGAATGCCGTGCTTGGTGCGCCGCTGTGCGCGCTCTTTGTCGTGGTCGTGCGCTGGGCCGGCGATGCATTTGTGGCGTATGCGGTGCTCTTCTTCGTCGCGGTCATACTTTTCGGGTCGGTGATCTACCCTACGCTCATCCAGCCGCTTTTCAACAAGCTGACGCCGCTGCCCGAGGGCCAGCTGCGCGACCGCGTTACGGCGCTCGCAGCGCAGCTGCATTTCCCGCTGAAGCACCTGTACGTGATCGACGGGAGCCGCCGCAGTAGCCACTCGAACGCGTACTTTTACGGGATTGTGCCGGGCGGCGGCAAGCACATTGTGCTATTCGACACACTCATCGAGCAGTCGAGCACCGCGGAGATCGAGGCGGTACTTGCGCACGAGCTGGGGCACTGGTCGTACTCGCACCCTGCCCAGATGATGACTGTCTCGGTACTGCAACTGACGCTGACGCTGAGTGTGTTCACGCTCTTCTTCAAGAATGCCGCGCTGTTCCGTGCGTTTGGCTTCAGTGGCCCGCACGCCGTCGCGCGCGTGTCGTACCTGCCTGTGCTTGTCGGCTTTGAACTATTCAATATGGTGCTCAAGCCGACAGACGCCTTGGTGCAGTTTGCCTTCCATGCGCTTATTAGAAGCTTTGAGTACCAGGCCGATCGGTACGTTTCCTGACTGACACAGCTTTGCCGTGACATTGAGCCGCCCTGGGCCGACGCCCGCGGAGCGCGAGGCGCGCCGTTGGCTCGCGGAGCGCGGCCCTACTGAGGACGCGCCGGATGCGACCGTGCACGACTGGGTGCAAAAGCTGAGCGAAGAGGCAGACGCCGAGGAGACGTACGCCGAGCTGCTGAAGCGCGCACTGGTCAAGCTGCAGATCCACAAGTACGTGAAGTGACTAACGCAGTCTGTCGACGATGCATCATGACCCGCTGTACAGCGCCTACCACCACAGTCACCCGACGCTACCGGAGCGCTGGAGCGCCATTGACCGTGTGCAAGCGTCGCTGCGCAAGTCGCAGTAACTACTTCTTCTCGAGGCTCTTGCGGTACGCCGCCTCCATATCGGCCTGCACGTTGGGCATCACAGGCTCGTGCTTCTTGTACTCCATAGAGAATTCGCCCTTGCCCTGCGTCAGGCCACGCAGCTGGCTCGAAAAGCCAAACATGTCGTTGAGTGAGACCTCGGCCGTGATCGTAAAGTCGTCCTCGCGCACCTCCGTGTCCTCAATGGTGCCCTTGCGTTGGTTCAGCGCGCCGATCACGGCACCCTGGAACTCGACGGGTGCAATCACCTCGACAGACATCTTCGGCTCGAGGATCGTGGGCCCAGCCGCGCGGAACGCCTCACGGAACGCCGTGAGGGTGGCGAGGCGGAACGCCAGCTCACTCGAGTCGACGCTGTGCGCGGCACCGTCCTCGAGCACCATACGCACGCCGCACACGGGGTAGCCGGCGAGCGCGCCCTTCTCGAGCGCATCGTTAAAGCCCTTCTCACACGCGGGAATGTAGCTGCTGGGAATGTTACCACCCACGACGCTGTTCTCGAACGCCGTGTCCTTGCCCGTCTCCTCGTCGAGGCGCATCGGCTCGATGTAGCCAATCACGCGACCAAACTGACCGGCACCACCGGTCTGCTTCTTGTGCGTGTAGTTGAACTTGGCCGGCTGCATGATCGTCTCGCGGAACGCGACACGCGGCTTGCCCGTTTGGCACGGCACATTGTACTCTCGGCGCATGCGCTCCACGTAGATCTCCAGGTGCAGCTCACCCATGCCCGAAATGATCGTCTCGCCTGACTCCGCATCGACGTGCACGCGGAATGTCGGGTCCTCCTTCTGGAAGCGGTTCAGCGCGCGCGAGAAGTTGGCACTCGCGTCCTTGCCTTCCGGCGAGAGCGACAACGAGATGACCGGCTCCGGCACATACATCGCCGACATGGACAGCGCCGTGCTGCCGTCCGTGAACGTGTCGCCGGACGAGCACTCGACGCCGAACATGGCACAGATCTCACCGGGGCCAATCTCCTGCACGTCCTCCATGTCGTTGGAGTGCATACGGACGAGACGCGGCACCTTGACCTTCTTGCCCGTGCGCGAGTTGAAAATGATGCTGCCGCGGCGCAGCGTGCCCTGGTACACGCGCATGTAGGTCAGCTGGCCAAAGCGACTCTCTTCCAGCTTGAACGCCAGACCGACCAGCGGCGCCTCGGTCGCGGGCACGAGGCGCACCTCTGAGCCCGCCTGTGCAGCGGCCTGTACGGCGCCGGCCTCCTCGCCAGCCTCGTTCGCCTGCGCAGCGACCTTCTTGGCGACGTTCAGGTCGTTGGCAATTGCCGGCACCTCCATCGGGTTCGGTAGGTACGCACACATACCGTCTAGGAGGGCCTGCACGCCCTTGTTCTTGATGGCTGTACCGAGGAACACAGGCGAGAAGCGGCACGCCACGGTCGCGCGGCGCAGCGCAGCTGCCAATTCTTCGATCGTTGGCTCGCGCTCCTCAATAAAGATCTCGGCCATCTCGTCGTCGACATCCGACAACTGCTCGATCAGCTCCTGGCGCTTGGCCTGCGCGAGCTCCAAGACCTCGGTGGGGATTTCGTCGCTCTCGCGCACGAGGTTACCCTTGGTGCCCTCATTGTACACGGCCTTCCAACGCACCAGGTCGACGACACCGGCAAACTGGTCCTCGGCACCGATCGGCACCTGGAGCGCCGCCGCCGGCATGCGCAGCTTGGTGCGAATCTGCTCGATCACACGCCACGGGTTCGCGCCCGCGCGGTCCATCTTGTTGATAAACGAGAGGCGCGGCACCGAGTAGCGGCGCATCTGGCGGTCGACGGTCATGGTCTGCGACTGCACTCCCGACACGGCACACAGCACAAGCACGGCGCCGTCCAGGACACGCAGCGCGCGCTCGACCTCGATGGTAAAATCGACGTGCCCGGGCGTGTCGATGATGTTGATGTGGTAGTCTTCCTTGCGCGCCGTCGAGTCTGACTCGTCCGCGCCATCGCCCGTCATGTTGCTGCGCTCAGTCGGCGGCGTAGCCTTCCAGTTGCAGTATGTGGCGGCGGACTGGATCGTGATACCTTTTTCGCGCTCCAGGTCCATGCTGTCCATCTTTGCACCGACCTCGTCGCGTCCACGGACCTCGTGGATGTCCTTGATGCGCCCCGTGTAGTACAGCACGCGCTCAGTCAGGGTGGTCTTGCCACTATCGATGTGCGCGCTGATACCCACGTTGCGCTGGCGCAGCAGGCGCGCCACGTCAGCCTCGCTCGTCTGCACGTCAGTGGCGAGCGGCAGCTCGGAGGGCGTGGCGTAGGTGCGGCACTGCCGCGCAGCCGCGAGTGTCTCGAGACGCCCCGCCGCAGGGCGCGCGTGGCGAGAAAGCAGGCTGAAAGCAGTAGCACTCGTTGCGACAGAACGCATAGCAGGAGCTGCCCTGGGCATAAGCATCAGGGGCCCGTGTGAGCGCAAAGCGGGGCGGATCACACGCACAGCACGCATAAAAAAGGTCGTGGCACGAACAAACCGCGTCGCAGAGGAAGACAGCGACGAAATTCCAAAAATGCCATGGCGCTCATCCAGAGCAGCAAAAAACGACAAGAACAGGACTCGAACCTGTGCGGGCAGAGCCCATTCGCTTACCGCCGTACTCGGCGTCGAACTAAAGATTCGAGGCGAACCCGTTAACCACTCCGGCACCTTGCCTTGCGTGGGGCTCCCAGCAGGATTGTGTAGTTATGACCCTACGAAGGGAGGAGGTGTATAAGAAAAGATACGACAAGAACAGGATTCGAACCTGTGCGGGCAGAGCCCATTCGCTTACCGCCGTACTCGGCGTCGAACTAAAGATTCGAGGCGAACCCGTTAACCACTCCGGCACCTTGCCTTGCGTGGAAGAGTCCAACAAACGTATATAAGACAGTGGAGCAAGACAATGACACTGGTCTCGTGCGCGAGCGCCTCGTGGGCCTCCATGGCCCACGATGCCCACCCGTTTTTGCGCCTCGTTAAGGTATCCTCGGATGTACTACCGCAAGCTCAGGCGGTCGCGATCGTCGACGGGCGCCACGGTGGAGTGAGCATCGGGCGCGACAAGACATTCACACCGCGACTGCGCCTGCCCTCTATGGAAGTTAGCAAGCACCACGCCAACATCTATTCTACCTCGCGCGCGCCGATCCGCTACTCGGTATCAGATACGGGTTCTACGCATGGAACATTCGTTTGTCGCCGCGACCAGCCTACGTCGCCCAGCGACCTCGCTGCACTGCCTGGCTCGTCCTTCCAGCGCTTGTCGCAGCCTAAGCATGCGAGCCAGCCCTGGGATTTGCGTCATTATGACCTCCTGCGTATCGGCTTGCAGTGCACCGTCTTCGAAGTACACCTCCATGGCACAGCCTGGGATGTGTGTGACAGGTGCGCCATCAGTCCGGACGGCCTCAATGAAATCTCCCTGGCGCCGCTTGCTGGGAAGCAGATGACCAGTTCGTCGCGTCCGACTGCAGCAGACCGCCCCAGCAGCGGGCCACACCCAGTCCAGACAGATGCGCGCAAGCGCTTGCACCAGCTAAAAAAGGCCTATTTTCCACCGACCCACTCCACCGAGCTGGCTCCACGCACAGCTCCGACCTACCGCGACCGAGCTGCCCTCCGACGCACCAAGCAGCCAGGGCAGCGGCCACCTAGGCCAACGCCAGCCGCGGCCCCATCCCCCGCCGCCTCGGCACCGGCGGTGCCGCTGGGCTCCGACCACGTGGGCTACCAGTTGCTGGCCAAAATGGCGCAGGACAGCGGCGAAGCCATGCCGTCACGGGCGCCGATAGTGCCACGTGTCGCAGCGGGACGGGCGGGTCTCGGGAGTACGGGCATGCTAGACGCCGAAACGTATGCACAGGGCACACCGCAAGCGCGGTACCAAGCGCAAGGGCGCGAGACGGCGCGCCGGCGGTACGAGGCCGAGGCGCCGCCCTAAATGACAAACACTTGCGTGCGGCGGAGTCCGCCGGCCGGACCTGCCGTGCCGCGCCCCAGTTCCATAAACTTGTGCTCGCGCTGTAGCGCTGTGAATGCCTCGCGTATATGCCATGCCTCGAGCGGCGACTCAATATTGGGCGGAAAGCTGAAGAGCGTGCACTGCGCCTCTCGGTCCAGCGAGCCATCGTCGGCCTTCTCCTTCTGTACTCGCATGGCCTGCGCGCGCGTATCCCATTCATGCTTGATTTGCATGGCACGTGTACATAGCTCATGCACGACTTCGAATGCAAGAAAGCCCAGGATGTCGATGGTATCGTCGCTGGGCTTCACATCCAAGTACATACCTGCGTGGATGAATTCGCGGAACCGTTTCGCCTTGCGGAACGTGAACGACGCCTGTCGGCATTCGGAGTAGAACACATACTCGTCGCGCGTCATACGGCGCGTCGTCTCGTCGGCCGCCTTGAGCCGACGCAGCGAATCTTCGTTTGTCTCGATGATATCTTCGTCGTCCTCGTCGGCGTCGTCGGCGGGCGCGCCGGCCACACGGGGAAAGTCGCTAAACAACGACCCGAGGTCCCAGGGCAGGCGCATCTTACGCTTGTTCACACGGAGTGGGCTGTCATCGCCCGCCTCGTCCATACCGTCACCATCAGCGCCACCGCCGCCGGGCCCGCCGGTATCGCCGCCGCTGTCTTTGGCATTCTTGCGCACGTCCTTCCAGCTCAAGTAAGTGCGCAAGCGGTTCACCTTGGCCCGGTCGTACCGGATCAAGAAGATGAGGTCTTCCGGCGCGAGGTACTTGGACTGGCGCCGCTGTGCGAGTTGGCGCGACTGGATAATCTGCGTGTGAGCAAGGGCTCGTACCATTTCAATCACCTGGTTCCGTACAATGTCTTCGATCAGGCGTGTCACTCGGGGGTCAGGGTTGTCGATCTCAGTCGACACAAACATCTGCATGTCAGCCTCACACACACACCATCTGCGCAATCTCTTGCTGGTACCGATAGACGGTGCCCCCATCGACGCTCCCCGTGCGGGCCGCCTCGTCGTCCATGCTCGTCCCAGGCAGCGCCGCGGCTGCGTCCTTTTCCTCCACTTGCTGGGCCCGCGTCATGATCGACCGGTCGCGGGCGGCGGCGGATGTCCTTTCGCTCTCGTCGACAGCGACACTTGCGCCTGGCGCCCCTACCCAAGCAGAAAAGGACGAGGTGCGTGGAAGCTACTGACCCAGTTTCTCCAGCTCTACCGTGCGTAGGACCGAGCACTGACCCAGACCGGTGGACAGCGCTGGAAGATGTGCCTCAGCGGCTCGCATCCACGAAGCAGCAGCTGGGGAAAATGATGGGGGTGATCCAGACGCGCACGGCGACGGAAACGCGACTCCGAAATGCGGCGTACGTACCTTTCTCTTATTACAGGGCGACGCAGCAGCGAGAGCAAGAGCGACTGCGGAAGCAGCTCCTGACGCGACTTGCGCCAAAAGGCTCGCGGCGCTATTTGCGCTCCATCGCGGCGACGGAGGAGGCGGCGACGAGGGCAGAGGAGGTGGAAAGGTCGTCGCGCCTGCTCGACGAGGCGAAGACGGAGCACCAGAGCCTGGAGAAGCTGCGCACGGACCTAATGCGGCAACAGTTCGAGGCGCAGTCCCTCGAGACGCAGATGGATGCGATGGGCCAGAAACTATTCCCCCGCGGCATGTCCTACGCTGCCCTGGATCGGCTTGTGCAGGAGGTCGATGTGCTAATGCTTGTGCGTAAGCTGGTGCCACTCGAGACCCAGCGCGAGAAACGCGCGCGCGCGGCTCTGTTCGAGTCGGAGACCCGGCTGAAGCGCGTCCAAAAAATCCTGCGCGATGTCCTACATCTGTCTATTCGGCTGGGCATCGCGAACGACAGCCGCGACCGCGTGCTACCTGCGAGTGTGTCCAAGATGACAAAAATGTCGACGCCCCTCCTGCTGCGGGCCAAGAGTGAGCTGGGCGACTTCTACACATGGATCGCCAAGGCGCGCATGCGCCAGGTGTTTATCCATGGCGCCCCAGCGATTGACCTGATTGACCTGACGCGCCTGCCCGGCAAGAGCGACAATTCGTTGGACCAAACTGGCCTGCAGAAAGCGGTCGAGCGAAATTTCTCCGAGACGCAGCGTGGCCTCTCCTATCTTCAGAATGAGATCTTGGTCTCCAAGGCGCGCGAAAAGGCCCTGTTCACCTACTGCGACGAGCTGGGCGAGCGCACTCGCGCGGCTCAGGCACGCGTGCGCGCGGCGTGGGCGTGCGTGCTGGAGGCGGAGCCCAGCACGATTGCCACTAAGCTCGTGGAGATCGAGGCGCAGCTCGAGCTCGCTCCCGGCGACGTGGGCCGTGTGCCAACGGGCGTTGCGGCAAAAGTAGCGGCGGAGGCGGAGGCGGAGCGCGAGGCCGCCGAAAAGGAGGCGAATGCGCCAGATTCTGAGGCAGGTACGACCGTGACGAGCTTCTCGCTGACGTCAACGATGGTGTCGGTGCCAGGGGCGGCGCCCGAGTCGTACCGGGTCGCACTGGCGCGCCTGCACCACGTGCTGGCGCAGGGCGATGTGGATGCTCGCACGGACCACGAGGACGAGGACCTGCCGTGGCACATGCACGCGCTAGGATTTTAGCACATGTATCACGTGATCGAGACTGTCCTGTACGCGCTCCGCCGGCAGAGGTCGCTACGCTCGGCTGGCTCGGTGGACGGTGCGCGATGGGTCTCGTGCACAGGATCCGCTCGTCCCCGAGCTACCTCTTTATTAAGTGCTATCTAATATGTACGCTAGTGACGCTCTTTGCTGCGCGGCCACTGTCCTCGCGGCTGAATGCGAATGGCCCGTGGACCTGGTACGAGTCGACGGAGGGCGGGCATGGCATGTCGTCGTGGGGGCGCATGCAAGCGCTTCTGGCCGGCGCGACGAGGCGTGAGAGCCGTACTGAGGCAACAGAAGGCCAGTCTCCGATGGGCATGCACTCACTAGGCGCGTGGTGGCAGGAGCGCCGCTTTCCATTCCTGTTTCCCCCGCCGCAGATCCCCCTGTCGCTGCCGCCGCCGGTGCGCCTGCCGCGCATCCCGATGCTCGAGCGGTGGCGTCTCCGGTGGCACGACATGTCGCATCTGCGGCGCCTCGTGGAAGTGGATGACGAGGACGTGGAAACGTTCCCGGAGCTCGAGTGGGACGCGCAGGTGCGGTGCTCCTCGGAGCTGCATGCAGACGAGCAGGCGGCGATTGACAAGCGGCGGTACCTCATGTCCTCGGAGGGCACGAATGCGCTCGCCCACTTTCTCCAGCTGCCGGAAGGCGAGTATGTGCATCCCGACGATGTGCCGCTCATTGCGATCGGCGGCTCTGGCGGCGGGTACCGCGCCATGTTTGGCTACTCGGGCTTCCTCAAGGAGGCGGAGAACACGGGCCTATGGCAGTGCACAACGTGGTGCTCGGCGGTGAGCGGCTCATGCTGGACGCTCGCGGCCTACTACACCATCGCGCAGTGCTCGACGGACGTGCTGATCGCGCATCTCCTTGCAATGGCGCACGAAGAGGCGCACCCGATGAGTCTACAAGCGATGGACCGCATCGCACGCTCGTCGCGCGGTATCTACTACCTGCTTGGTCCTCTGCTGCGCAAGTCCCGCAACAAGAAGCTGCACTGCCGCATCATGGATTTTTACGCCACGCTCGTCCTCTCGTACCAATTTCTGCCGCGCCCCCTCGCGCTTTTCGGCACGGACTACTCGTACAATGGGCCGCGCACGAACCAGGAGCCGTCCTTGCACGAGCACTCGCTCTGGGCCAAGTACGAGCCGAGCGAGGGCCTCAGCCGCAAGTCGTTCCAGTGGTCAAAGGTGTGGGAGCGCACGCGTGTGAACGAAGGACTACAGCCTATCCCGATCCTCACGGGCGTGCGCCGCGTATGGCGGCCGTACCCTGCGGGCGATGCGCCGGTGCAGGGCCCCTCGCACGATGGCCCGCCGCTCGTCGGCAGCGGCTACGACTGGTACGAGATCTCGCCGCTCGAGCTCGGCTGCCGCAGCATTGGCGCATGGATCCCGACGTGGGCGTACGGCCGCACATTTGAAAATGGGCGCTCGACGCACCGCGCGCCGGAGCAGATGCTCACGGCAATCGTGGGCCAGTGCACCGGTGCGCCGGCGGGGCCACTCACTGCGTATATTACGACGATGCTTGCGTCTATTCCACAGGGCACCGTCATGTCTACGCTGCTCAGCTGGGTGAACGACTTTGTCAAGATGAAGCAGTGGGAGAAGCGCTGGGGCAATCCGATCCGCGCGGCCGACGAGCCGAATCCTTTCTACGGACGCGGCATGGACGATGTGGTCATCAACATGGACAGTGCGACGCCTTCTGTGCCCCCACCGCCCCCGGCTGTGACGCGGCCTGCATCGCCGCTGCCGCCGCCGCCTCCGCCGACGGACGACGAGGCGCGGCCTGCGGATCCGATCAACACATTCTTCACGCAGCTGCCGCGCCTGCCGGAATTTGCACTAGAGCACAGGTTGCGTCCGCGGCGCGGAAGTGATGCGTCTGCCTCGACGTCCCTGCTGGAGAATGATCCCGAGACGTTCATGGCGCCCATGGAGGACCTCGACGTCGTGCACGACGACGAGGAGGTCGGTGGAAATACGCACACGCGGCAGTGGAAGTGGGAGCACACGCGCCGGCTGCGCTTGATGGACAGTGGTCTCTCGAACAACCTGCCGAACCATGTGCTGGCGCGGGAGGAGCGCCAGGCCGATGTGATTATTTCGTTCGATGCATCCTCAGACGTCAAGACCGGCGCTGCGCTCGAGCGCCTGCACGAGTTTGGCCGCGAATTCCACATTGATATCCGCCCGCGCCCTGTGGGCGACGAGCCCGACGTGGAAATCAGCTCGACCGACGGCCCCGAGACGACTGTGGGGCAGCGCCCGTCGCTGTCGCCTTCGGCGATGCAGCGCGACCTCGAGTCGGAGGCGGAGCGCATGCGCCTCCAATACGAGCACAAGTACGCACAGCGCCTTGACGGCTGGCGCCAGAAGAACGGGCCGGCCGAGGGCCGCGAACCTGACATCAACTTTGTGTACTGCCCGCTGCTCCCGAACGCCGCGCAGCCTGGTTTTGATCCTACGACTGCCCACTACAGCACCTCGTACAACCTCATTTGGACGGCGGATCAGGTGCGTGCGCTCCTGCGCACGGCCATGGCCAACGTGGAAGAGGGCAGTCGCTCGGTGCGTGTCATTCGCGATGCGGTGCGTGAGGCGTACGAGCGCAAGAAGAAGGCGCGTCTTGCACGTGAGGCAGGCGTACCGAGCGTCACCGTGACAGACACGGGCCATGTGCCCCACAGGCGCTCGAGCCCGACGCCGGCCGACCCCGACCCGCCCATGGGACCGCGAGGCGTGGCGGGCCCAGTGCCGGGCGAGCACATGGACGACGCGCCCGCGGACGATAGCGAGCTGAAGTCCCCGCGCGCTCCTACTCCGGCGCCGGCGCCGGACAAGGACAACTCGCCGGCCGGCCCTGACTCTGTGTGTGCGACGGCGCCGCTCGGGGCCTCTCCGCTGGCGATGCTGGCGCCCGCCGTGACGGCGGCTTGAACGCGGCCGAGTTTCTTACGTAATCATAGAGTCGTTGTCTGGCGAGCGCCGCCTCTGTTCACCACGTTTGATGACCACGCGCACGCTGCTGGGGCGCGCGCTCCGCGCATACAGCTCGACGGCGCGCGCGGCGCAGCACGAGTCTGAGAGAGCCGTCGCTGCGGCGCCGGCCGCCGAGCGCCTCCTGCCCGATGTCCAGTCGCCGCCGCCGACGCATGGCGTCCACGTTGCGACGCTGCAGCTCACGTCGTACAACAAAAAGACGTTTGAACTGGACTTTTTCGCAGACTTTGCGCTGCGTGTGGCGCATGCGATGCAGATTCCGACGGGCGGCATTGCTACGCTGCCGATCCGCACGTCGCTGTGGACGGTGCCGCGTGGGCCCTTTGTGCACAAAAAGTCGCAGGAAAACTTTTGGCGGCGCGTCCACCGGCGCTCGATCAAGATCTACGATGCGAGCGACGTGACGATCGACCGGTGGCTGCAGTTCCTGCGCCACCATGAAATGGCCGGTGTGGCCTCCAAGGTGCAGCTGTTCCGCCGCTATCCGCTGGGCGTGGGCCAACACATGCAGGAGGCCGCCTCGGACGTGACGACGAGCGAGCAGGCCGTCCGAGCCATGGCCGACGAGATCCTCCGCTCGCACCAGGGGCCTAGTAAATCATAGGTAACATTTACAGAGGGCATTCCGCTACGTCTTTCATACATGGTCCGGGTGTATGTAGAACGACAGGGGCTCTGCCGAGCCCATGCCTTTGGCTGCCGTCGCAGGAGACAGCGCACGGCTCGGCTCACACTTGATGGGAGGGAAGAAGCGCTTTTGTGTAGCCGCTGCCAGCGTCCGGGCATGCTTTGACATCGATTCAGCGAGCGACGACGCTGGCAGGGGCGGCAGCTTCTTTTCGTCCACCTGGGACGACACCCATGGTCCCACGCCGGGCTTGGCGACCTCACCAGTGAGATCGTTTCCACACCATTCGTAGTTCTGGGGCGGCGGCGTTTTGCACGACCGCAAGTTGCTCAACTCATTCTCCAGGCCCTCAGGGATCCACGACATGTGCCTAGGCAAGTGCGACTGCGCCGAGTCGGGAGGCGAGTCCGTTTCGTCCTCGAGCGTCGGGGCCGGGGACGGCGTGTGTGTTGCGCGCACTGGCGACACAACTGCCATGCCATTGCCGCAACTCGGCCACCCGTAGGACCACCAGCAGTCCGACGAGTTGCACAGCACCGCCGACTGGTCGGTCGGCTCCTGCGTAGAGGACACCCGAGGTGAATATGTACAAGGAGTGTCGTTGGAAAGACAGAGGGCTCGCGGCCGTGCCACACTGCGGCGCACTGGCAGGCTCGCCGCTGAGGCCGCAGCGTTTACACGCTGCGAGACACTCTGCCACTGGGACTCAAACTCCCTCTGTGTGGCCACAGGCAGCGAGTAGCTCCGCTCCATCATTGTCGCCGCCGGCGCCGAGCTCTGCCGAATAGGAACAGGAGGTGTAGGGCGCACAGGCGCCGGCGACATTTCACCAGACCCCGCCGCCCGGGCCGGGGTCGACCGCCAGGCCATCCTGGGCGTCGACGCCAAGGTATCAGACATACACATGTCTTGCACAGCAGCTTCTGTGAAACGACGCCGAGGCACGCTCCGGGCACCAGGCCCGCCAGCCCCCCCTGTTCCGAAAGAGGCGTCGGAAAGAGGGGCCATGACTACTGGGAAGCAACCTGCGACCCGCGATCCTTTTAATCCCATCAGCCCACCTGCGCGCCCAAAGGCAATAGGCGTGGATTGCACTGCAGGCCGCGCCCTAATTTGAGCCGCAGCTGACGGTGTCTCGTTGGCCCAGCCCGCGTGCTGGCCTACGCCCTGTGGCTCTGTTTAGTCAGAAATAGCCTCGAATGTGGAGGAGGCATGGGCCCACAAGCCAATCGGGCCCTCCTCTGCGTGCGGGCGCTATACTGGCCACTCGACGCAGGGGGGCAGTTTCTATTCTGCCCAGCCAGCCGCTGCCGCGGTTCTGGATAGACTCGTTTTTATTTCGCGGCACACGTATTGCGCAATATTTGCAGCACTACTTATGCCCACGCATACCGGGCTCTTATTGGTATCTACGAGGGCCCTGGGGTATCAAATCTGCATGTCAGTACACCGGACCACGCACCAAGCTGACTTCGAGCGTCCACACACGTCGGACCCACACACGAACAAGCATGCCATGTCCCTGCTCGAGCCAAGTACGCTCTTGCGGCGACATGGCCGCCAGGGTGGCGGGCGAGACGCTCGGACGGTCTGAGCGGCGCTGTGCACAGGGGACCACTATGTCCATACCGTCCCACCAGCACTTTCGCTGCGCGTCAGTCTAGCAGTACATACCGCCGGCTTGCGCCAAAATAGCAGGAGCTTTTGTGTCGTAGATAACTGCTGCTGATTCACACGCAGCACGCCGCCCTGTCCATCATCGACCCACTCGCCGATGTCGCCCGTGTCACCAGGCATCGTGGGGGGGATGCCTCGTTCCATGTCCGTGCCCTTCCGCTGCACGCCGATGGGGCGTGGCGGGAGCGGCGCATTGGACGGACGTCCACCTGGCAGCTCGCCTGCATGCGTCACACCCGTCTTGAGCAGTACGAGGGCGGTGCTGATGATCCCGCAGCGCGCCGGTTCGCGCGCGCGGTAGCCCCAGTGGTCCTCCGGCTCAAAGCCACTCATGCAGAGCATGTCAATCAGGTGCTGCTCAGCCAAATTGTTCTCTTTGTTGACGTTGCGCTGCAGCGCCGTGAAAATCTGGCGCCGCAGCAGCAGTGTATCGCCACACGCGTTCTTCAGCTGCGTGAATTCGGGCGCCGCGGGCGGCGGCACATTCGGGTTCGCCGACCGGGGAGCCGGCGTCTTTTTCATCGAGGCCGGCGGGATCGTAAAGTACTCGAGCTCCTCCCGCAAAACAATCACGGCCTGCTTGTGGAAGAGCGGCAGGTGGAAGGGCTGCCCAAATCCATTTCCCATAGGGTCCACCGAATCGAAATAGTTGGCGCTCAGGCCCGGGCCTTGGTAGATGCCCGGCGTAGTATCCGTGCCGTAGAAGTACTCTTGCGCGCGGCGGAAGAATGTGAGCACAAACTCCAGAGCCTTTGCATCGGACTAGCGCTCGTTAGACCCATCCACGTACATCCACATACACAACCTGCCCCTCCTCGCCGTCCGTCGACTCGTCGGCCGGGTCTGGAAGCATCAGGCCATTCGGAAACAGACAGAGCAGAATCGATTCAGGCAGACTCATAAGCGTTTCCCTGTCGATAACAAAGCAGAGTCCGCGCAAGTCCAGTATAATGCGCGACGCTGACGCATACTCGTTGGCGGGCTGCGTCCCGAGGTCGCCCATGGTCGGAGATGCGGGCGTGTGGAGGCACGCCGCCGCCCAAGCACAACACCACGTGGTTGAGGCATGTGTCGCTCTCCACATCGGCGCTGCGCCTGGTCCGTCGCTTCGTTGCACAGCTCATGGTTCGCTCCAGCCAGGTTGTGCGTGTGTCCGACTCGCTGCCACTCGCACAGAGTGTGGACGAGGACCAGAGCTCTGAACTCACCCAATGCAAGCAGCAGGCCAAGATCATTTTCCGGAAGATCACGCCGCAGTCCGAGACCCGCTGCAGTATCGATACCGGGGCCTTGTCGATGCAGTACGTCGTGGCCACTTACACAGCTACCTCATCCAGCCACCACCGAGTGATCCTGCATCGGTGGTGTACCTGACAATCACCGACCGGTCGTATCCTCGCAAGCTCGCGTTCTCGTACCTGGATGAGCTGGCGCGTGAGTTTGGCCTGAGCTACGGGCGCCAGGTCGCGCAGCCGACCTTGCGGCCCTATGCGTTTGTGGCCTTCGACACGTTCATGCAGCGCACAAAGCGCCTCTATGCAGATTCACGCACGGCCGAGACGGCCGCAGGCTCGCACCTGGATCGGCTCAACGAGGACTTGCAGGACGTGCAGAAGATTATGACGAAGAATATGGAGGATTTGCTATGGCGAGGCGACAGTTTGGACCGTGCGTAGGCGCTGCTGACCACAGACATGTCGTCGATGTCGTCGAGCCTGCGCGACGAGTCGCTCAAGTACCGCCGTGCGGCGCGTAAGATTAACGTGGATGCCATGATCCGCAAGTATGCGCCGTACGTATGCCTCCCTGACGCGCAGGATGGGCGCGATAGCCGTGCTCGTGCTCTTCGTCCTGTATGTCAAGCTCATGTAGATGCACGTGATACGCTCGCGGGCGGCGCGCTCATCCAGGTACGCGCTAGGCAGCATGTCTGGGTCGGGGGGCCACGGCAGCGCGCTGCACTCGCATGCTCTGCCTGCCTATGCGGGCGACTATTTTCCAGCGGGGCATGGCGGTGTATCGACAGCGGCCAACGCTGAGCTGGAGGAGCGGGACCCCGAGACAGGCCTGACGCTCTGGACCGCGACGCGGCTTGCTACGCTGCAGGCGAAGCTGCAGCAGCGGCTGGGTCCCGAGTTCCTGAGCCAGCGGCCTGGCCCGGGTGGCGGCCAGAAGCTCACGTACCTCGAGGGATGGAAAGCGATTGATCTGGCGAACGAGATCTTTGGCTTTAATGGCTGGTCGACGAGTGTTGTCAGCTTGGATGTCGACTATGTGCGTCGCGCCTACTGACCCCAGCTGGACGTGCATCCTGAGACGGGCAAGTGCCAGTGTGGTGTGAGTGCGATTGTGCGCATCACCCTCCGTGATGGCACGTATCATGAAGACGTCGGCTATGGCCATGCCGAGGGCGCGCGGGGCAAGCACGCGGCTCTCGAAAAGGTAGGCGTCGCGTGCTGACCCCAGTGTAAGAAGGAGGCGATTACAGACTCGATCAAGCGGGGCCTCAAGACGTTCGGGCGGCTTTTGGGGTGCGTTGTGTGGCTAACCGCAGCAACTGCCTGTACGACCGGCAATACGCACGCGACGTGCTGCGGATGCCCGTCCCCCATGTGCCGCTGCGCTCCGACGATCTGCACCGGCATGCTGATGTCGTCGCGCACATGGGCACGAAGCGGCCGCGGTCCGAGGCGCGAGCGGTGCCGCCGGCGCGAGCGGCGCCCGCGCCCGCGCCACCGCCGGCGCCTATCGACGACGAGGCGGAGCTGTGGTGCCAGGACGATTCGGAAGCGGCCACGATGGCCCTGGAGTTGGAGCTGGAGGAAGACCTGATTCTACGGGAGTCGCAGCTGGCACAGGAGCTGGACGAGTAGCGGCGACTCTGATCCAGTCAGAGTGCGGGGCAGCCGCTCACCTCCTTTGCGCACGCGCAGACATCTGCATCGACTCGATTTCCGCCTCGAGCTGCTTGATCGCGCCGTGCGTCATCTCGAGGTCCTTGTTGAGGCGGTCGCGCTCGGCGATGAGGTGCTGCTCCCACTGGCGGAAGCGGCCCTCCTCGAGCTTGACCTGATCTGTGAACTTGCGCCGCAGGGCCTCTTCCTCCTCCTTGAAGCGGGGGTTCTCGACCTTCTTGACTTTGGGCTCACCGTACTTGCGCGTCTCCATCTGCGCCTGGCGGTAGGCTTCATAGTGCAGCTCCTCCGTGTTCGAGATGAGGTCGAGCATGTGCGTGCGGATGAGCAGCGAGCGGAGCTTCTTAAAGTCGCAGTGGTTCTCGTTCTCGACTTCGGCCACACCCCACACGTACTCGCGGCCGCGCACCGTGCGCCCGTCGCGCGTGCGCACGTCCTTGGTGCTGCCGATGATGCTGAACGGCATCGACGCCATGAGCGAGCGCGCGTGGTCCGCGCTCGCCTCGTCGATTGCGTCGAGCGGCGGCGCGAACACACGGATGCTGTGCGTGTGGATCACGTCGCGGATGCGATCCTTGAACCGCGCGAGGTCGTTCGGCGTGAGTGTATCGGCCTTGGCCACAACGGGAATCAGGTTCACGCGCGACGAGAGGCGCTTCATCACCTCAATGTCGAGCGGCTTGAGCGTGTGGCCAGTCGGGGCAATAAAGTACAAGCACGCGTGCACGCGGGGGTCGCGAATGTTCTGGCGCACCGGCTGCTGCTCCTGGCGCATGTACGACTCGTGCTGGTCGTCAATAAAGTCGACGAGCGGCGACCAGCAGTCGCGGTTGTTCACGTAGTCACCAAAGCCGGGCGTGTCGATGACCGTCAGATTGACGCGGAACTGCTTCTCCTCGAGCTCCGCGCGGATCACGTCGACCTCCACGGTCTTGTCGAGGTGGGCGGTGTAGCGCTGGGCGTAGTCGATGCCCGGTGCGAGGTCCGTGCGGAAGAGCGTATTGATGACTGCGTGAGTGCCAATAACGTACGCGTCGTCTTGCCCGTGCCGCTCTCGCCCACGACCATCAGCGTGAAGTTCGCCGGGGTCCGCGACGCAATGCGGTGTCGCTGGGGTCAGTCTAGGCTACGCACCTGATTCGGCAAGTTCGAGATACCTGGTGTCAGAGCATGCATATAACGTACCGATCGGCTCGGTAGTCGTGGTCGTCATGGTCGTCATCCCGTCGACGGCCGCCATACTCGCTCGGAGGTAGACAAACAGCCCGGCGGCAGCGGTGGCCCCAGGCACGCGCGCCTCGCGCGCTGCTCGGCCGATATCACGTGATAGCGACGTCGCAGCGTCGCGCACGACGACCGCCTCCGCCGCAGGCTATGGGTGCGTACGAGCGCGCTGACCGCAGACTACCAGAACCGCGCGGGCAACAAGGGTGCGGGTATTGCAAGCGCCGATGAGGCGGCGATCGACAGGCGTGAGCGCTTGCGCCGCCTCGCCATGGAGACGATTGACCTCAGCAAGGACCCATACATCCTGCGGAACCACCTCGGCACGATCGAATGTCGCCTGTGCTTGACGATGCATGCCAACGAGGGCTCGTACCTCTCGCATACCCAGGGAAAGAAGCATCAGACCAACCTGCAGCGCCGCGCCGCCCTCGAGGCGCGCTCGAATGATGCCGACGCCAAGGCTACGACGGCGCTGCTTGCGCCGGTGCCCGAGATGCCGAAAAAGACGTTTGTCAAGATTGGGCGGCCGGGCTACAAGATCACCAAGATCCGTGAGCCCCTCCTCCCCCCTGCGGAGGCGGACGAGGACGAGGCGACGCGGCAGCACCGCGTGAGCACGAGCGGCCGCGTCGGGCTGCTGTTCGAGGTAAGCCTGCCGGAGATCAAGGCGGAGGTCCTCCCGCTCCACCGCTTCATGAGCAGCTTTGAGCAGCGCAAGGAAGCGCCGAACCGCGCATGGCAGTATCTGCTCGTCGCCGCCGAGCCGTACGAAACCATCGCGTTCAAGCTGCAGTCGCGCGAAATCGACCGCTCTCACACCCTCACCGTCCCTGGCGTGCCGCTGCCCGAGCAGCGCGACGAGCCGGCGACGTGGAGCCACTGGGACCCCGTCCACAAGACCTATACCATCCAAGTGCTTTTCCGGCCGCTGCCGGGTGTACAGTAGACTAGGATACCACGTCGAGCATCGCCTCGACTGACAGGAACTTTTCGCGGCACTTGCCTAGCTGCGCGCCACGCGCGCGCTCCGCGGCATCGATCTGGCGCCAGTCGTCGTACCGCACAACGCGCCGCCCGGCCAGCGCCTCGGGCTCGCCGCCCAGCGGCTCGGCCTGTCCTGCGGATGCACACAGCGTGCGGCGTCCCACGGCCCAGTCGGCCAGAATCGTATCGGCTGCGGCGAACGCGTCCATCATCGTCGAGGCAATCACGCCGACGGGCCCTGTCGCGAGCCAGCCAGATACATACATACCCGGCACCACCGACTGCGCCGCCACGACGCGGTGCTGCTCGTTCGGGACCCTGTGGCGCTGCGTGTCAAATGGCAGCGCGCCAGGCGAGCCATCCAGCGGGCGCGATCGGTAGCCGACGCTTGCGACAACAAGGTCAGTCTGTGTCGTCTCCGTAGCGCCGGTGGTCTGCGCGCGCCCATCCACCACCTCTGTCACGTCCCAGTGCGCCTGCGCCACGCCGCCGTCGCCCGTAAAGGCGCGTGGCGCGCGGTGAAGATGCACGCCCCATGTTGGCACATGCGATGGCGAGTAGGCACACCGGCTGCCTTTCTTCAGCTGCTGCAGGAGGCGCGTCTTCGCACGCTTGGTACCTGCGTCGGTGCTCTGTGCGACGTGCGCTAAAGCCGTATCCAGCACCGCCGGATCCAGCGGCTGGAGCGCGACATGGGGCAGCGCGAGCATCTCGCGCAGCTCCTTGTTCGTAAATGCCAGCTCTGCCGCACCACGACGAACGAACAGGCCGACATGCCTCACATCCCACGTGCGCAGGCGCTCCAGCACTGTCTGCGGCACATCCGTATCTGCGAGCCGCTGCGCCGGCGGCGCGGCGCGGCACTGGCGCAGCAGGATGCGCGCGACGTCGAGCGCCACGTTGCCTGCACCTACGACAGCGACGTCGTGAATGCGTCTGCCGTCGACTGCGTTCAGACGCGCGCCTGCAGCGTGGGCGTCGGGGTGGCCATTGTACCACTGCACAAAGTCGAGCGCACTGTACACGCGGTCCAGCTCGCCACTGCTCCCGGGCACGTGCAGCGCGCGCGCATCGCTCGCGCCGTAGGAGAAAAGGATATGCGTGTAGTACGGCGCGAGCTCACGCAGCGATACGTGCTCGGTGGGCGGGCTCCGCGGCGCATCGTCGGCTGTCACACGCACGTTGCCCAGGAACGTAAAGCGCGGATCACGCGCGACTTGGTCAAACTTGTGCTCCACATTCTGTGTGAGTCGGACAACGTACGCGGACCTCGGGGTGGTCGGGCGCGACGCCGTAGCGCACGAGGCCAAACGGTGTCGGCAGTCGCTCATACATGTGCACCTCGACGCCACCGGCGCCGGTGCCGTGCCCTCCGTCAAACTTCTGCAGGACGCGTGCCGCTGCATAAAAGCCGCTCGGGCCTGCGCCGACAATGGCGAGGCGCAGCGGCGGCGCGCGCGCCACGCACGTCGCGGCGAAGCGACCCACGTGCGAAGGAAGCATGATGGTCCAGTGTGGAGGTGGGAGCGCTACGCGACCTGGGCGTTCTCGAGCCAGTCGAGCGTCGTGTTCTCGAGATGGTCGTCCCAGTCCGCGAGTGCGGCCCACCTGCCGCTATCTATGTCTTTCTCGAGCTGCGGCACGAGAGTGCTGGCGTCCGCGACGTCGACACGAACGGCCTGACGCGCAGTCGCCGACAGCGCGCTTGGCGGCGACTCGAGCAGCTTGTCGCCGTACACCTGCGTTAGTGGAGCAGCGTACAAAGAGAGAGAGCGGGGGCTGCGCAAGTTTCTGCGCGAGCTTCTGCGCGAGCGCGGCTGTGGTCGGCGAGACGCTCTTCTGGTCGAGGCGCTCGGGCACCTCGTATACGCCGACGATCTTGCAGGGCTTTGCCGCGAGATGCGCTTCAATCTGCGTCAGTCGGCGCTACGCACGAGAGCGAGGCCCGCCTCGATCATGGGGCTCAGTGTCGTCCAGTGGTGCGCGAGCGGCACCACATCGGCCACGTCGTAGACGCCGTCTACAGTGCCTACGAGCACGCCCACACACGTGTACGCAGGGTACTTGGCCGCATGGAACACAAGTTTCTTGTAGGCGCGCGCTGACAGCTGTGCGCGCGAAGGTCCGTCGCTGCCGCCCATCGTCGCAGGAAGACGCGGGCCACAACCTCCACTTGTCACCAACGTCCACGGATGGCCGAGCCGGCGACGACGGCGGAGCTCCCGACGCTCAAGGTGCTGCTGATCGGCTCGTCGGGCGTCGGCAAGTCGGCGCTTGTGCGTCGATATACCGACGATGTATTCGTTGAGGACGACGCTGCGGCCACGATCGGCGTCGACTTCAAGATCCAGAGTCTGTGCGTCGACGGCAAGTGGTGCAAGCTCAGTATCTGGGATACGGCCGGTCAGGAGCGCTACCGCACACTAACGAGTAGCTACTACCGCGGAGCACAGGGCGTGATCCTTGTATACGACGTCACGGACGCGCGCTCGTTTGACGACCTGCCGTCGTGGCTGCAGGAGCTCAACACGTTCCAGGGCGCCGTGCCGCCCCTCCGCCTCCTGGTCGGCAACAAGGTCGACTGCACCGCCGAGCGTGTCGTCACGTCAGAGCAAGGCGCCGACTTTGCCGCCGCGCACGGCTGCCTGTTCGTCGAGTGCAGCGCCAAGGCCGGCCACGGCGTCGACGACGCCTTTGCCGAGCTCGTGCGCCAGGTACGTGCGGCCTACTTACGCAGATTGTATCGACGCCGGCGCTCTGGGACTCGGTCGCGCCGGGCGTGCGCCGGCCCGGCGACCGCATCCCCGGCGGCGCGCCCGACGCGCGCGTCGAGCTGAATGCGCCGAAAGGCGCGCAAAGCTCCTGTGCCTGCTAAGCCGCTGCGCGCGCATCCTGTGCCTGCTTCGTCAGGGCCTTGTGCGCGTGCGCACTCGTGTCGGTGCGCAGCAGCTCGCGCAGTAGCACCGTGGCATACGACGACGGCGGCAGTTGGAACACGAGCTGCAGCGCCAGGTACGGCGCCGCGTCCGACGCCGCCGGTAGCGCCTCGGAGTGCAGCAGCGCATCCTCGTCCGTGGCGCATAGCGGCGCATCGGGATCGTCGTACCGCAGGAACGAGCATGTCATCCCTGCCGGTTTCTGGACCATGCGCCGGAACGCGCCTTTCAGGCGGTACTCGGGCTGCCGCGACGACGCGAGCGAGAGCGGCGTGAGGCCGTCGGCTTGCAGCATAGCCGTGTACAGATCCGCGAGCCATCCCTCGGGCAGGTGCACCTCGGCGCCGGGCATCGGCATCACAACCTGCTCGATCGAGGCGTGCGCTGCGTCCTCGGCCGTCAGCACACGGTGCGTGCCGTCTTTCTCGATCATGTCGCCGGCCACGGGCGCGCGCGCGCCGTGCCGCCGCACGCGCTCCGACACAAGCCGGTTCCATAGGTACGATTGGTACGCATGCACATACATGAGCCGCAGCGACCGCGGGATATGCTGGAACGCGCCGAGCGCATCGTTCGGCGACCAGTGCGGCGAGCACATCTTCTCCAGCACGGCGCGCTCCGCCACACACGTCTTGGGGTACAGCCGGTATGCCTCGCGGTAGTCGCGCGCAGCGACGGCGGCCTGCGCCGCACGCACCGCGGCTACAGCCGGCGGCGCACCCTCGTCCGCCGGCGCTTCGTCCGCCGGCGCCTGCAGCACGAGCCGCACGGCCTCCGCATAGTCGCCGCGAAGCACCGCGAGGCCGACGGCGTGCGTCGATACCTGCCCCGTGCCGAAGCGCTGCATGCCAAAGTAGTTGAGGAAGCCATGCTCCTCCATTTGCGCCACCTGCTGCGTGAGCGCAGCAGTGAGCGAGGGCACGTCCGCGGCGCTCTCGTCTGCCCAGCGCACGTCGCGCAGCGTAATGGTGAACTGGTTGCCCTTCAGGTCGCCCAGCTGCAGCGGCGCCGACGCATACGCCAGGTGCGCGATGCGCAGGCCCCGCTCTGCGCGCGTCGTGAGCGCAAGCTCGCGTGTGCGCCGTCTTGTCTCGCCAGGCGCGCTCGAGACGGGCTGGCCAATGTGGTTGATCATGTTCCACACGTCCATCGCCGTGCGCCGCCCGCGCTGCAGCGCGACGCGCTGCACCGTTACAGCGCGCTTGTCCTTGGTGCCAGCGACGCTGAGCTGGTTCGCCGCACTCGCACGCCCGCGGCTGTCGAGCTTGAGGAAGCGCGCGAGCCACTGGAGTGCTTCCTGGCTGTCGCGATTCGTCTTCTGGAGCGTAAAGTGAATGTACGGCGGGGCCGCCACCGCCTCGGAGCGCGGGTCGTCGCGGGGACGGGCGCGGGCGTCCGCGGAGCGGCGCGCGACGCGGATCGCGGGCGTGCCATCGCCAAGCGTTGCCGCCTCTGACTGGAGCGTGGCGCCGGCGAGCTCGCGGATCAGCTGGTGCACGCGCGTGCGGTCTGCCTTGTCGGGCAGCGCGCGCGAGTCGACAGGGGCCGCGTCCGCATCGGCTGCGAGCGCCTTGAGTGCGTCGACGGCATCAAAGTACGGAGCGAGGTCCTCCCACTGCCCCGGGGCCGCTTCAGCAGGGACGAACAGGTCGGTCGGTGGCGCGAGGGAGGTGATGCGTGTGACGTGGCCTCCTAGGTCAATTTCGTGCACGAGAAAGTCGGTGTAGCGCTGCTTGAGGATCGCGTGCAGCGGCCGCCAGTCGGCGTGGATATACTCGAGCAGGCCCACATCGCGCTCGCCCAGGCGGTGTGGCGCGTCAGTGCGCGTGCGCTTGGCGGGGCGAGCGTCCGTATCAGCGCTTGGCATGGTTATGGCTCGTGGCGGCAGCCTCCACGTGGCTGCTGCACGGTTATCTTGGCCGGTGCTTATCAGCTGCACCATGCAGCCAAGAACGCGGCCTCTTGCGCAGGAAAATTTCGGGTCTCGGCCTCTGTCTGACCGCGACCACGATCCCGACTACGGTGTCCGCGAATCGCTATGGTGGTGTTCAATACGACGGAGTCGAATGACATGATCATCGCGACGGACGATGGGCCACTGGTGTACAACTTGGGCAACATTGCGTGGGTGCTCGTGGCGTCGGGTCTGGTGTTCCTGATGATCCCTGGCGTGGGCTTCTTCTATTCGGGTCTGCTGCGGCGCAAGAACGCGCTCACTGTGCTGATCCTCACGATGATGGTCTCGGCGGTGGCGTCGTTTGAGTGGTTTTTCTGGGGCTTTTCCCTCTCGTTCAGCGAGACGGGCGGGCGCTTTATCGGCAACCTGGACAACTTTGGCCTTATTAATGTCGATATTAATGAGTCTACGGGTGGCGACAAGCTCCCGCAGCTCGTCTACTGCCTCTTCCAGATGATGTTTGCCGCGCTTACGCCGGCGATCGCGTGCGGCGCCTTTGCGGACCGCGCGCGTATCGGCCCGGTGCTGATTTTCTTCTTCTGCTGGTGCACGATTGTGTACAATCCTCTTGCATACTGGACATGGAACAGCAACGGGTGGGGCTACCGCCTCGGCGGCATCGACTTTGCGGGCGGCACGCCCGTGCACATCAGCGCGGGCACCGCCGCGTTGGTCATCTCCATATACCTCGGGCGCCGCCACGGGTATGGTACTGAGGCGCTCGCGTACCGCCCCCACAATGTTCCGCATGTGATTCTCGGCACGACGCTGCTCTGGTTCGGCTGGTTCGGCTTCAACGGCGGCTCAGGCATCGGCGCGAACCTGCGTGCCGCGCAGGCCATCATCGTCACGCACGTCGCGGCCTGTGTCGGTGGCCTCACGTGGATGCTGTGGGACTACCGCCTTGAGAAGAAGTGGTCGGCCGTGGGCTTCTGCTCCGGCGCCATCTCGGGCCTCGTCGCGATTACGCCCGCGTCCGGATACGTCGGCACGCCGTCCGCGCTCGTGTTTGGCGTGCTGGGCGCCACGGCGTGCAACTTTGCAACGGGCCTCAAGAACCTGCTAGGCTACGACGACGCGCTCGATATCTTTGCGGCGCACGCGATCGGCGGTATCACGGGCAACCTCCTGACGGCCCTGTTCGCCGATGGTCGCGTCGCCAGCTTTGACGGCAGCGATCCCTCAGACGGCTCCGGCTGGATCAACCACCACTACATCCAGCTCGGCTACCAGCTCGCAGACTCGGCCTCGGGCTTTGGGTGGTCATTTGTCCTGTCATTCGTGCTCCTGTTCCTGATTGATCATATTCCTTTCTGCCACTTCCGCGTGGACGAGAAAGACGAGCTGATCGGCACCGACATTGCTCAGGTCGGCGAGGAGGCGTATGCGATCCCCCACTACGCCCACCGGGAGGCGCACCAGCCCGTGGATCTCGAGATGGGCGAGCGTCCGTGGGAAATGCGCCATACGCAGGACACGGACGGTGCGTCTCCAGAAAAGGCGCAAGTCTCTGCGTAACTGCCTAACTAGCGACGGCGCCGGTGAACGGCGCACATTCGCACGGGAACCATGCTAGATAGGGAGCCGCCGGCGCGGCTCGCATGTAAAGTACAACGACGAGATCGGACCTGCTGCCTGCTCGGGTCATATCACGTGATAGCCCTCGGCCCCGCCCGACCGTGGCGGACTCCACTCGTGTACAGCGCCTTGCCCGCGACACATCGGCGCTGCTGGCTGCCATGTCGCTGCAGAACCTGTCCAAGTCGGCTGTCCGTGTGGGAAAGAACTATTTGAAGGGATACACGGACACACAGATCAAAGTGCGTGATGCAACGTCGAACGATCCTTGGGGCCCGAGCGGGACGCAGATGGCCGAGCTTGCCCAGCTGAGCCACAATCCGTATGTGCTAGCCACTGACCGCAGGACGGACTTTATCGAGATGATGGAGATTCTCGACAAGCGCCTAAATGACAAGGGCAAAAACTGGCGCCACGTCTTCAAGGCCTTATCAGTGCTCGACTACCTGCTGCACGCGGGCAGCGAGAGTGTGTGGAACTACTTCCACGACAACATCTACATTGTCAAGACGCTCAAGGAGTTTCAGTACATTGACGATGCGAGCGTTGACCAGGGCATCAATGTGCGCCAAAAAGCCAAGGACATTACGGCGCTGCTTCTGGATGAGGCCAAAATGCGCCAGCGGCGGCGCCAGCGCTATGATTCTGAGACGCAGGGCGATCCCGACGACTTTTCCGACGAGGCCGGGCGCCGCCGCCGGCAGCAGCAGCAGAGCCGGCAGACCGCCGAGGACCGCGAGCTCGAGCAAGCGCTCGAAGAGTCGCGCCGTATGGCAGCAGAGGAGGACGAGCGTCGGCGCCGCAACGCACAGCACGACGCGGATATGGAGCGCGCACTGGCCCTTTCGCGCGAGGAGGAGGAGAAGCGCAAAAAGAAGGACAATCTGATCAACCTGGACCAGGAGTCCGAGCCGGCGTACGGTGCGCTCCAGCCGCAGTACACGTCTTTCCTCCCGGTGCAGGCGACAGGCTTCAACCCCTTTTTCCAGGCGCAGATGCAGCAGCAAGAAATGCTGCAGCAGCAGTACCTGCAGCAGCAGGAGTACCAGCGGCAGATGGCACTGCAGCAAGCCGCGCAGCAGTACCAGTACATGATGACGCAGCAGCCGCAGCCGCTCGTACCGCAGCCGACGAGCTTCGGCTCGAACAACCCGTGGCTGCAGGCGAGCGCGCCAACACCGGCCGCGGCACCTGAGCCAGCGCCCATGCCCGCGCCTACGCCTGCGCCTGCACCTGCGCCCGCACCCGCGCCGACCGATACCCTGATCAACCTCGATGGCCCCGAGGAGCCGGAGCCGGCCCCTATGCCCCGTGGCCCGCCGCGCGTCAAGCTGAGCGATAAGCACGCCGAGCTGGATCGTCTTCTGGCGTCCGGTGACGGTATCGATACGTTTGGCAACACAGGCGATATGCGACTGGGCCACAGTGCCATGCGGCTGAACCCGATGATGCAGCAGCGCACGGGGCAAGCTGCCGCGCTGGGGCAGACCGCGTTTGATTCGCCCAAGCCGGTGTCGAATCCGTTTGCGATGTAGTTGTATATACGACTAAAGGGGCTGCACCCAGAACGAGAGGGCAATAACAGAGTAGAGCGCAATGAGCAGGGCGCCCTCGAGGTAGTTGCTCTTGCCGTCCTGGATGAGGCTGTTGACGAGGATGACCGAGATGACCAGCGTGATGGTCTCAAAGTCGTGGAAGTAGAGCGACAGCGGCTGACCGACGATCCACCCCACAATAACCAGCACAGGCACCATGCCCAAGCAGATCTGCACCGAGGAGCCGATCGCGACGCTGAGCGCAATCTCCATCTTGTTCCTCGCAGCCATGAACACGGACGTGACATGCTCCGCGGCATTTCCGACGATCGGCAGGAGAATCGTACCGATAAAGACCTTCGAGATTTGGTAGTTGTTCGCCACATCGTCGATCGCCGAGACAAGGTAGTCCGCGTTGAACGAGGTAACCAGCGTGATAAGCAGCAGCGCCGCAATGGCCGAGCGCGGCGACATCTCTTCGGTCTCCTCCTCCTCCACCTCTTCGGCCTCGTACAGGAACGAGTGCGTACGCAGCTGGAAGACGAGGTAGCCGATGTAGATGGCCAGCAGGATCACCGCCGTGCCGCGCGAAATGAACAGAATGCCGCCCATCGCGTCAAAGTCCGGCTCCGCATCCATAGGACGTTTGAACGCATTCAGGACCATGTCCTTAGCGCCACCGCCTCGCAGGGCACCCCAGTAGGCAGCCGGGAGGACCATGGTGAAGCAGCCGAGCGTCATAATCGAGCCGGAGGCCTGCGCGGCCGTTTGCGCGAATGAGTTTTCTGGCTGGAAAAGGCCGCCTGCAAAGAAGCTAAAGCCGAGGACGAGGAGCAGGTTCGACAGGATCGAGCCCGCCAGCGACATCTGCACAATGCGCAGCTGGCCTTGCAGCAGAGCGACCACACCGACAATCAGCTCGACAGCGTTGCCGAACGTGGCGTTCAAAAGGCCGCCGAGCGTGGAACCGAGACGCAGCGACACCTGCTCCGTCGCATCGCCCAGCAGCTTGGCCAGTGGGATAATCGCCAGAAAGTTGAGCGTAAACACGGCGAGTGAGCCCCAGTGCAGCCACTCGGCCAGCAGGCCTAGCGGCACAAACACCAGGAACACATTGATCTTGGACGAGAATAGCAGCCACTTGAACGACTCAATAGTCGTCTTGCTCGAGGCACCCTGGCCCGAAGGCAACAGGGGCTGCGCTTCCGACGCTGCGCGCGACGAAGACATGACGTGAAGCGCGGGATGCGCCGGACAAAGACGGGGTTTCTATCACGTGATCCTATTAGGCCCCCGCCAGCTCGACGATGAGGCGGAACACGGCGTCAAAGAAGAGAAAGGGGTTCGGCACATCGCGCTGTAGTGCGCCTGCCGCGGGCGCGGGTGCAGTGCCATCGCCGGTTGTGGGCACGAGGGCGTAGCCTACATGCCGAAAGTCGACGAGGTAGGAGTGGGCATCCGCCTTGTACAGCTGCAGGTCCAGGCGGATCTTGTGGTGGTACAGCATGCACTGGGTCTGCGCGTAGAAGATGTCCTCGTTGAGAGCATCCAGCACCTGCTGCCGCTCGTTTGTGGTCATCTGGTCGAGTCCGCGCGCAATCGGCGGCAGAGGCGTCTTGGGACACCACTCCATGCCGAGCGCCTCCATCGTGCGGTAGAGCACCAGCATAATCTCCATCGGGTGGCTTCGGCTGCGGATACCAAAGTGCCACTGCGAGCGCGCACGCCGTCCGCTCGGCTTGCCATGCGCACTACCTCTCTCCGCCCCGGCCGGCGCCAGCGTCGGCGGCACAGAGGGGGACGGCGCTTCGCCCTCGCCCGACGCGCGGCGCATGGGGTATAGGGCGCGCTGCGCGGCGGGCAGACTGGTCTCGAGGACGGCGAGGTGCACGTGTCGGCGCATGTACGAGTTCTGGAGCGTGAGCGTCTCGCCGGCGTCGTCGAGAATCGGGTCGTCGACCATATCGAAGCTCGCATACTCCTCGTCGACGTCCGACATGGTCGACGACGCATCCGTCTCGTCGTCTGACACATCGCTCTCGTCCAGGCCAGGGTCGTCGAGGTCTGAGCCCTCGATCGCCTCGTCTTCCACGGAGGCGATCAGCTCGCTCACGCGCGTCTTCAAATCGTCGTCCATGGCTTTACGCGACGCAGTCGACGGCCGTCGCGAGCGGGGGGTATGGTCCGTATGCGTCAGGTCCGTTGTGGCGCCGGAGCGCTTGATCAGCGCATGGTAGTGCATGGGAGAGGTGCCGACGGTCGGCAGCGACGGCCGCGTCGACGCACGGCGCACGCGCGGCCGGCTGGGCGCGACGTCGCCGCCGTCGGTGCTCGTGGACGGCGACTGCGAGAGGCTCGTGGCACTCGAGGGGGCGTCGTCGCCGAGCTCGAGCTCGCGCAAGAGGCCCGTCGCCATGGCGAGCGTCTCGTGGTAGTCCTGACAGAGGTGGTACGCGACTTTGATCTGGTTCGTACCGGAGGCGCGCAGCATATCGAGCACCTGGCCGCGCGAGAGGCCCTCGACCTTGCCCATGAGCTCCTCGAGCACGTAGGAATCGATGACGCCGAGATCCGGCGACACCATCGCCGGGTCAGGCGCAGCCTGTGCCGACGTCGACGGGGCGTGTAGGAACGGGTGGCTGCTAAGCGTGTCGTCCATGACAGGCGCGGCAGTGAGCTGAAACTGCTTGTCCTCGACGCTCGGCGTGACGGGGAACGGCCGCAGGTACGAGGGGAGATCGATGTTGAACCACGGGAGCTGCCGGATCTCGGGGATCGTGATGCGCTTCACGGGGTCAACGACGAGCATGCGCGAAAGCAGCTCCTTGGTCTCAGACGACAGGTGCGATGGCAGCGTATAGATGCCCTCTGGGGGGTGAGTAAAGAACACGTACTGTTGATCTTGGTAAAGAGCGACGGGACGTAGTCGTCGTCGAACGGCAGGCGACCACACAGCATGACGTAGAGGATCACGCCACAGCTCCATACGTCGACCTCGGGGCCCGAATACAGGCGGCCGGAGATGACCTCGGGCGCCGCATAGTTCGGGCTCCCGCAGCTCGTCTTGAGAAAGTCGCCGTCGGCCATGAAGTTGGACAGGCCAAAGTCGGCAATCTTGACGTTGTAGAACTCGTCGAGCAGGAGGTTCTCCGGCTTGAGGTCACGGTGCGCGACTTTGTGCCTGTGGCACAGGTCCGTCGCGGCAATGATCTGCTGGAAAAAGCGCCGCGCCTCGCTCTCGGGCAGGCGACCGTGCTCGACAATGTACTGGAACAGCTCGCCAGCCGCGTACTCCATGACCATGATAATGTCCGAGGGCGTCGTGATGACCTCGTACAGCTTGATGATGTGGGGGTGGCGCAGCAGGCGCAGGAACTGGATCTCCTTCTTGATGCGCCCGCCGATGTCCATCGACGAAATCTTGCGCTTGTTGATGATCTTGACCGCGACGCGGTGACCGGTGAGCGCATGCGTCGCCAGCTTGACCTTGCCGAACGTGCCCGAGCCAAGCGTCTGGTGCAGCACATAGTGCCCGATCATCTTGGGCTCCTTGCCACTGCGGTGGTGCGTGCCATGCGTCTTGTGGTGGTGATGCGAGTGGTGATGCGAGTGGACGTGGTGCGTGTGATCGCGGCGCGCTGTGCGCCGCGACACTGCTGCAGCGCTGCTGTGGCGGCTACCGCCACTATCACTGCCGCCCGCGTGCTCCGTCATGCGCTCTCGCCACGCAGCCCGCTGCAGCGACGGCGTGACGACTCTCGCAGCCGAGCGCCGGCCCAAGGGACCTGAGTCACGTGAAAACTACGGGAGTCCTGTGCGCTGCGTCTCATGCCAAGCGCGCACGGGGCGCGTCGCCTCGAGGCGCAGCGCCTCGAGGAGGGTGCGGCGTTGCACAGTCTGGGGACGGCCTGTGCGCTGCGCAAGCTGCGCGAGCGCATGCCACGCCTCCGGCACGTCCCACCCGTGGCCAAGCGTCGCGGTGCGCAGCAGGCCTTCCGCGAGGCCCACGGTCGATAGCGCCTCGTCCGTGCGCCACTGGAACGCCGGCGACACGTCCGGCAGCGCGAGCGGCATGTCGGCAGAGCCGAGCGAGCGACTCGCACTCGCACGTGCACGCGCCTCGGCACTCGCCATGCTCACTGGCCCTTGCGCGTCGACGAGCGCGAGCTCCATCAGCGCGTTTGCATTCTCCGGCGCCGCTGCCACGGCCGACAGGGTGCCGGCATGCGACGCACGCAGCGGGAGCTCCTCGGACGCGTCCAGCAGCACACGCGCCAGGTGCACACTCGCAGCGACATGGTCCGTTTCACACGCGAGCGCCTTGTAGAGGCACGTGATAGCCGACTCCACCGGCGGCGCCGCGGCGCGGCACCACAGCGCCAGCTGGACCCACACGTCCGCCCAGCGCGTGTCGAGCTGCTCGGCCTCGGCGATGGCGCTGCGCGCCTGCACGAGGTCGTCGCCGCGGCGGAACGTGGCGGCACTCTGAAGCCAGAGGCTCTGTAGGAGGCGCGTAGCCACACGCACACGGAACGCGAGGCGCGCCTCGGCCGGCGACGCGGCGAGCGCCGCGGCGGGCGGCTGCACGAACTCGGGCGCCTGCGCCGTCATGTCGCTCGGGGCCATGCGCGTGGTGGACAGAGGCGCCACATGCACCTGGTATGCCGTAAAGAGGTCGCGCTGGTCCTCGAGCGCGCTCGGCACGCCCTCGGTCAGCTCAACGAGCGTGTTGTGCGTCATGAGCAGGCGCACATAGGTGCAGGCCCGCTCGAACGGCGTCGGCTCGTAGTCCAGCGACACCAGCCGCGTTCGTAAGGACGTCGACGGCCGCGGCGCCTCGCCGGCGGGCAGCATGTCCGCCTCATCGTCCGCCTCGATGCGCGAGAGTGCCTCGGCCGCGAGGCGCCGCGCTCCGGCAAAGTCCTTCTGTGCCGTGAGGAGCAGCACAAGCAGGTGCCACGCCTCGATCCATGCAGGCTCCAGTTCAATCGCCCGGCGCACCGCGGCCGTGGCCGCATCCACATGGCGCGCGAGTGCATGCACATAGCCGAGCGCCCAGAACGACTCGGCCGCCTGGTCATCGAGCGACACGGCCTCCTCGAGCGCCTGCTGCGCCTCGACCAGGTACGCCGAGCGCTCCGCTGGCAGCGCCGCCGGCACCAGCGATGCCCGCACCTCGGCACCCACACGCCACACACGCGCGGCCACCGTAGACGGCACCGCAGCGTGCGCGTCCTGCACGAGCGCGAGCAAGGCTTCTGTGAGTGAGAGTGCGTCCTTGGGCTGGCGCAGGTACCGCAGATGCACCATCGCACCGAGCAGGAGCGTGTCAATGTACTCGAGCGGCCCGTCCACGGCCCGCAAAGCCGACGTGTCGCGCTGCGCGGGACGGCCGCTCGCCTCCCACGTGGTGTCGACGAGCGAGCGGTACTTGTCCACGAGGGCGCCCGCCTCCGCGTACGCCTCGGCGGCGACGAGCATGTGCACGAGGAGGCGCAGGACCGTCATAGAGCGGAACGTGATGCGTGTGAAGCCATACAACAGCTGCACGACGTCGTCCGCACCCTGCACATCGTGCGCGCCGTCCAGGCGCCAGCTCTCGACAAGCTGCTCAGCGAGGCGCTCCGCCTGCGCATTAGACTCGTTTGCGTGGGGAAACGACGGCGTCGACTGCAGGAGCTGTGCTGCACTTGTCTTGAGCTTGGCATACTCGGCTGACCAGGACGGCGGTGCAGCACCGAGGGCCGCCGCGCCGTGGGGGCGGCGTGTCGAGGTCGTGCGGGGGCCCGTCGCATCAGGGGCACGCACGGTGCCCGGCGCCAGCGCGCCGACCGAGCCGCGCTGCTGGTTGAGCAGATCGGCATGCAGCGAGCGCAGCACGTTGCGCTGCGTCAGGCAGAACCAGGAGGGCCAGCGCGTCTCGTGCGCCTGGTACACACGCAGGGCCTCGACACCGGCTTCGGTGCCGCGCAGGCGCAGCGTGAGGAGCGCTGAGCGGTACAGCGCCGTCTCGGCCCAGCGCTCCATCTCATCGACAAAGGGCATGGTGCGTGCGACCGCTGCGCCGCTGCGCATGCGCTCGTGCAGGCGGATGGCGTAGCTGTACGCCTGGAGCGCCCCGCTCAGGTCGGCGCGGGAGCGCTCCTGCGCCATGCCGTGCAGGACGGCGCCCATCATCGCGAGCGCGACGTGGTGCTCAGTGGCCGGGGTGCCGGCGCTGGGGTCCATCTGCAGGAGGTGTGTCTGCGTGACAAGCTGCGTCACCTCCTCATCGCGACCTAGCAGGAAGAGGCCCAAGGCCGAGAGTGCCACGCACGCCGTGGCATCGTACGAATCGCCGGCCGTGGCGCGCGCGAGCGACTGCAGCTCGGCGACGAGGTCCTGCACCTGCTTCGCGGACGCGTCGCTCGCGTCCATGACGGGGGGCAGGGCGGCGCCGCTGGGGCCGTCGTTGGCGTGCGATGCATCGCGGAAGCCCTGTGCACGGAGAAAGGTGGACATGTAGCGCTGCATGTCGTGCTCGATAGTCGCGATGCGCGCGGTCGTGAGCGACTGGGGGTTGTGCTTGCTGAACTTGCGAAGCAGGGTATGAAAGGCGTCCGCGGAGGCGCCGCCGGGTCCCTGGGGCCCAGCGTCGCGATCGGCCGGTGCTTCGTGTGCAGGGTCCGTGTGCCAGAACGCGAGACCACGGAGGCGTGCATTGTGCAGCTCGCGGGCATAGTGGGGCCCTTTGTTGGCCTTGAACATCCGGAGACGGCCTCGACGTGTGGAGCGCAGGCGCCGGCGGTCGGCCCGTGCCGTGGCGGCCTCCACGTGATGGAAGTCTCGGCAGGCGGTCGGCGCGATGTGGGGGTCAGGACCAGGCGGCTCGACACAGTCGGCCAGCAACCAATCAAACTATACGCTACAGGGCCAGGCCTTACATTTCGTCCTCGTACACTTCCTCGCCCTCGTACCCGTCGTACTCCTCGAGGTCGTCGTCGGCGGTGGCCTCCTGGTACTGCTGGTATTCGCTGATGAGGTCGGCCAGGTTCGACTCGGCCTCGGTAAACTCCATCTCGTCCATACCCTCGCCGGTGTACCAGTGGAGGAAAGCCTTGCGGCGGAACATGGCCTGGAACTGGTGCGACACACGCTTGAACAGCTCCTGGATCGCCGTGTTGTTGCCGATGAAGGTGACGGACATCTTCAGGCCGCGCGGCGCGATGTCACAGTGCGCGGTCTGCACATTGTTCGGGATCCACTCGACGAAGTACGACGAGTTCTTGGTCTGCACGGCCTGCATCTGCTCCTCGACCTCCTTCATAGAGAGCTTGCCGCGGAAGTACGCCGCCACAGTGAGGTAGCGACCCATGCGGGGGTCCGACGCGGCCATCATGTTCTTCGCATCAAACATCTGCGAGGTGAGCTCCGGCACCGTGACCGCGCGGTACTGCTGGCTGCCCTGGGCGGTGAGCGGCGCAAAGCCGACCATGAAAAAGTGCAGGCGGGGGAACGGCACCATGTTCACCGCGAGCTTGCGCAGGTCCGAGTTCAGCTGGCCGGGGAAGCGCAGGCACGTCGTGATACCGGACATGACGAGCGACACGAGCTGGTTCAGGTCATCGTAGTTGGGTGTCTTGAGCTTCAGCGTGCGGAAGCAAATGTCGTACAGAGCCTCGTTGTCGATACAGAACGTCTCGTCCGAGTTCTCCACGAGCTGGTGCACCGAGAGCGTGGCGTTGTATGGCTCCACGACCGTGTCCGACACCTTGGGCGACGGCATCACCGAGAACGTCGCCATCATGCGGTCAGGGTACTCCTCGCGGATCTTGGAAATGAGCAGCGTGCCCATACCCGCACCCGTGCCGCCACCCAGCGAGTGTGTGATCTGGAAGCCCTGCAGCATGTCACAGTTCTCTGCCTCCTTGCGGACGACGTCCATGACCGAGTCGACAAGCTCAGCGCCCTCGGTGTAGTGGCCCTTGGCCCAGTTGTTGCCCGCGCCGCTCTGGCCAAACACAAAGTTGTCGGGGCGGAACAGGCTGCCGAGCGCGCTCGAGCGGATCGAGTCCATTGTGCCAGGCTCCAGATCCACGAGCACCGCGCGCGGCACGTACTTGTTGTCCGCAGCCTCGTTGTAGTACACGTTGATCCGCTCCAGCTGCAGCGGCGACGTGCCCACATAGTTACCGCTTCCATCGATGCCATGCTCGTCAGAGAGCACCTCCCAGAACTTGGTACCGACCTGGTTACCGCACTGGCCGGTCTGCAGATGCACAATCTCACGCATGATTCACCGTTCACGAGTCGATCGCGGACGAGGGACAAGCGCCGGTTCCGCGCCCACCCGGGCTGACGCGCACCACACACGCCTCCATCGCCACGCGTCCACGCGTAGATCACGTGTCTATGTTCGCTACACGTAGGCCTCGGTGAGCGCAATGCCCTCCTTGACGAGCTCGAGGCGGATCGGCTCGGTCGTGTCGAACGAGTACGGCGCGACGATGCCGACCTTCTTGATGGCCGGGTGGCCCTCGAGTAGCAGCTTGGTCGTCACCGCGCACGGCAGACCCACCAGCTTCGCCATCGACGTCCAGCCGTTCGGCGCACCATAGTCGAGCAGCGTCGAGGTGAGCGTCTTCGTCTCGCCGTCCTTGGTCAGGATGCGGAACTTGTGCTGCAGCATGACCATGTCGCGCTCGCTCGGGCCGTACGCACACTTGCCCTCCAGGTTCACGCACAGCGTGTCCAGGAGGTTGCCCTCGCCGTTCGCGCGCTGCTCAGGCAGGCCGCCCACTTCCACGGGCGCCGCGCTGAACAGGCCGAGCCAGCGCAGGCCGCGCAGCACACGGTCCGCCTCGTCGTCGTCCTTGAATGCGCAGCGCGCGAGCACGGCCGCGACCAGGGACGCCTCGTCCGTCTTCTCCGTGCCGACCAGACGCGCCGTCAGCTGCGCCCACGTAAGGCCGGGCGTCGCGAGCCACGACTGCGCCGTCTCGTCGAGGAAGCCGAGGCGCACAAGCGCGAGCACAAACTCGGGGAAGCCCTGGTAGCGCAGCGTGCCGCGAATGCACTCCTCCGCCTCGGGGATGCCGTACCACTTGCGGAACGGCGTCGAGTCGCGGTTAGGGTACGCGACAAACGCAAACGAGGGCATAATGTAGTACGGCTTGGCCGACGCCATCAGGTCCAGGCCACTCACGCTCTTCATCTCGTTGTCCTGGATGAACTGGGCCGTGTTGCGCAGCGCCAGCAGCACACCACGCGACGACCATGAGAACTTGTAGCCCAGGGGGTTCGTCGCGGCCTCAGGCGCCGGCAGGCCACCACAGTACGACAGGAACGACTTGACCTGGCCGCCCGCGTCGTGGATCTCCTTGATCGCCTTGACCGCGTACAGGTGGTCCAGACCCGGGTCCAGACCAATCTCGTTGAACACGGTGATGCCCGCCGCCTTGATCTCCGGCTCCAGCGCGCGGATCGCGTCAGACACGTACGAGGTCGTGACGACATCCTTCTTGTGCTCGCACGCGGCCTTGATCACATTCACATGGTAGATGTACGGGACCAGCGAGATGACCAGGTCGTGCTGCTGCACCGCCTGGCTCAGCGAGGCCGGGTCCCTCACGTCGACCTGCATCGTCTGCGCGCGCGGGAACTTCTCGCCCAGCTTGGTCGCGTTGCGCGACGAGCCGATCGTCACACTGTACTCGGGCGTGCGCAGCAGGTACTCGACGGCGGGACCAGCGACGTAGCCCGAGCCCAGCACAAGCACCTTCTTCGGCTCGCGCGCATGCACCGACTCCCCGGTGCCGGTGGCCACGACGGGGCCCGGCGCAGGCTCGCCGCGCGCCACGACGCGGTGCGCAAACTCGGGCAGCACGAACGCGGCGCGGTGGATGTCGTTGTTGTAGTAGCGGCAGTTCGGCACGGTGCGCAGCGGCTCACGCACGTTGCGCTGCGCGTCCAGCGAGCACACGACAAACCCGATCTGGCCGCAGGGGTAGGTGGGGATCAGCGTGTACGCATAGTCTGCGACCGGGAACAGCTCGCGCGTCGACTGCGTGAGCTGGCGGATGAGGCCGAGGTGCAGCCACACGCTCTCGGCCTGCGTCGAGATGTGGCCGCCGGGGCGCAGGGCCTCGCGCAGCAGCTCAAAGTACGACTTTTGGAAGAGCACCTCCGCGGGGCCGTCGGGGTCCGACGAGTCGGTGATGATCACGTCAAAGGCGCCCTTGTTCTTGGGGTCCTTGAGGAACGCAAAGCCATCGCCGATGATCACCGTCGACTTGGGGTGGTCGAGGCCCTCGGCCATCTTGGGCAGGTACGTCTTGGAGACGCGCGGCACCGCCTCGTCAATGTCGCACAGCACGGCCTCTTCCACGCTGTCGTGCTTCACGATCTCACGCAGCACACCGCCGTCGCCGCCGCCGATCACAAGCACACGGCGCGGGTTCGGGTGCGAGTTGATCGGGAGGTGCGCAATCATCTCCTGGTACGAGAACTCGTCGCGCTCCGTGCACTGGATCGCACCGTCGAGCACCAGCACGTTGCCGTACGTCTCGCTCTCAAACACGAGCACGTCCTGGAACTGGCTCTGCTCGGTGTGCAGGATGCGGCGCACCTTGAGGCTCATGGCCTGGCCGGGCCACTGGCGGCTCACCTCGTGGAACCAGCCGTCGACAATGAGGGGGTGCGATAGGACGGTGCTCATCGTGGCAATACGGAGCGCAGCGCTCCGCCGCGGGCGCAAAAGGGCCCTTTTGCACGTGATGCCAGCCCCGCCCCGCCCCGCCGCTTGCGACGCGTCGACGATGGACGACGCGGCGGGCACCAAGAAGCGCGCTCGCAAGTCGGACGCGGCGCCGGCGGACCTGGCGTCCGCGCCTGCGAGCCCCGGACCGGGTGGCGCGGACGATGTGCTGGACGAGGTCGACGACGAGCTCGTCGATTGGAACACACAGAAAAAGAGCAAGAAGCGCAAGGGCGACGCTGCGCGGGGCAGCACGCGCGAGCGGTCTGGCTCGGCGCGAGCGCCGAGTGCCGACGCACTGCGCCGCTCCGTCTCGCGCGTAGACACCGACGCGGACACCCGCAAGGACGATGCGAGTGAGCAGGACGACGATGACGCCGAGTCTGAGGGCGCCGAGGGCGATGCGCTCGCCGAGGACGAGTTTACGCGGCAGCAGACCATCTATGCCACGCAGCAGCGGAACATGGGGTACGTCGCATGGCTCACACAGTCTTCTCTCGCACCTCATGGACGAGGAGCAGCTCGAGCGGCACATGGCATCGCGCCGCGGCACGCTGAACAAGGGCAGTGTGCGCAAGGTACGGCACGACACTCACCGCAGCTCGTGAATCATGTGCTGTCGCAGTCCGTGAACCAGCATATCGTCATGGCGGCCAGCGGTGTCGGCAAAGTGTTTGTCGGCGAGATGGTCGAGCAGGCACGCGCCGTGCAGCGCGAGCGCCGCGAGAGCGGCCCCATCCAGCCCGTGCATCTGTACGAGGCGTACCGGCGCTACAAGCTCGCACAGGAACGCCCAGGGCACTACCCGCCAGGCCTCTCGAGCGGGGCGCCGGGCCTGGGGCGTCCCCGCCGCCTCTTTTAGCTAGATACCAACTAGAGCGGTCCAAACGACTGCGCGAGAAACTCGCGCACGCGCTTCTGCTCGAGACCGCCCACACCGTCCATCTCCTCAGGCAGCACGCCGTCGGCGTTGGGGCGCTGGCGGTCCGCACCGCCTACATCGATCAGGACCGCCGCGGTCTGCGCGTGCGCCGAGTCGATCGCGAGGTGCAGCGGCGTGTTGCCGAGACGGTCGGCAGGGCTGCGTGAGTACATTCGACGTACTTGACACGCGTCTTTGCATGCGCCTGCCCATCGAGGCGCGGCGGCGGGCGCAGCAGGAGGCGCACAATCGCGTCATGGCCAGCCGAAGCGGCGCGGTGGCTGGGTGAGTGGCGCCGACGTACATGGGCCGCTGCTTGGCGCCATCGAGCGCATTCACGTCCGCGCCATGCTCCAGGAGCTCACGCACAATATCTGCGTGGTTCTTGCTGCTCGCATAGTGCAGCGCAGTAATGTGCTTGTGGTTGCCAGCATGCACATCCGCGCCCCTGGCGTCAGCGCACGATACGTACCGCTGGAGCAGCGTCTGCACGATGCGGCGCGCCCCCGACGACGACGCGATCATCAGGGGCGTCCATCCGCTTGCATCCGGCGCATTGACGTCCACGTCGCCCGCGCCCAGCAGCGCATCGACAATCTCGCGCTTCTCGTCGCTCGTCACAGCCCAATGGAGCGGCTGGCGGCCGTCTGCATCTGCGCGTGTGAGGCTCGCACGCCCCTCGTCCGTATGCAGGAGCTCCTGCACGCGACTCAGGTGCCCATCGAGGCACGCCTGGTGCAGCGGATGGTCCTGCGACATGATCGCGGACCGACGCGTGGCGTCCTCCACAAGGGCAGCTACGTGAGGATGTAGATGGCCATGATCAGGCACGCTATAGAGCAGTAGGGCGACAGTCGTTCGCCTGGGTAAGCATGCCAGCGTACCTATGCGTGCTGCCTTGAAGAACACGCCAAAGACACTGCGTGAGCGGTGCGTGACGTACCCCTTCTTGTTTCGGTCCACGAGCGCCGGCGCCGCCGCACGCACGTACGTGCACGTACAGATGAGCAGGAGGACCACGAGCAGCAGCGACTGAAAGTGGAAGAGCGCAGACTCACGTTAGCGCGTCGCACGTACCATGGGGCGCGGTGTGGGCGGTCGACAGCAACCACGTGGGAGGTGGAGTCGTGGCGTGATGCAGCAGCGCCGCCACTTGACCGACATGAGCGACGCGCCGCCGCTCGGCACGACGGATCTGCGCCGCTGGCGCCTGCGCGTCTCGGACGGAGGACGCCATGTGTGGCACTACCTGGAGACCGACGAGGAGGTCGATGCATGGCCCCAGACACAGGAGGACAAGTACTGGCTCGGCCTCGACATGGTACGTGCGCTGCTCTCACGCTAGGACGTGCCGACGCTCCCGCGCGCTGCGACGCCCATGGAGGCCGCACGCCATGGCCTAGAGTTCTACCGGCACCTGCAGTCGAGCGACGGACACTTTGCGGGCGAGTACGGCGGCCCCATGTTCCTCCTCCCCGGCCTGGTGATCGGCATGTATGTGACGCAGACGCCCATCCCCGAGCCGTGGCGCATCGAGATTGCGCGCTACCTGTGGAACCGGCGCCACCCCGTCGACGGCGGCTGGGGTATCCACATCGAGGGCCACTCGACCGTGTTTGGCACCGCGCTCAACTACACGGTCCTGCGCCTCGTGGGCGTGCCGGCGACGCACCCCATGATGGTGCAAGCGCGCGCGACGCTGCACCGCCTCGGCGGTGCAACGGCCATTCCCAGCTGGGGCAAGCTGTGGCTCGCGGTGCTCAACGTGTACGACTGGGACGGCCTCCATCCCATCCCGCCGGAGCTGTGGCTCCTCCCCGACTGGGTGCCCATCCACCCGTGGCGCTGGTGGGTCCACACACGCATGGTGTACCTGCCGATGGGCTACCTGTACGCGCGGCGCTTTGCAGCGCCCCTCGATCCGCTGGTCGCTGCGCTGCGCACCGAGCTGTACACGGAGCCGTACGCGCAGATCAAGTGGCCTGCGCAGCGGAACCATGTGGCCCAGGCGGATCTCTATGCGCCCCACACCCGCACCGTCGACGCGCTGTTCTACGTGCTGGGGCACTACGAGCGCGTGCATGTGCCGTGGCTGCGCCGCGCCGGCATGCAGCGCGCGTACGAGCTCATTGTCAAGGAGGACATCAACACAAGCCACCAGTGCCTGGGGCCCGTGAACAAAATGCTCAACATGATTGTGCGCTGGCTCGTCGATGGGCCGGACAGCGAGGCCATGGCCCTGCACCGCGAGAAGCTCAAGGACTTTGCGTGGATGAGCCGCGAGGGCCTTATGATGACGGGCACGAACGGCAGCCAGCTGTGGGACACGTCGTTCATGGCACAGGCCCTCTGTGAGTCGGGCCTCTCGCGCGACCCTGCGTTCCACGACGTGGGCGCGCACCTCCTGCAGTGGCTCGACGCGTGCCAGATCCGCGAGAACCCGCGCTTCTACCGCTCCGCGTACCGCTTCGCGACCAAGGGCGCGTGGCCCTTCAGCACGCGCGAGCAGGGCTACACCGTGAGCGACTGTACCGCCGAGGGCCTCAAGGGCGTGCTGATGCTCCAGGAGGCAAGCGGCGCGAACTTTGGGCGCCCCGTCGACGCGCGTCGCCTGCACGACACGATCGACCTGCTGCTCACGATGCAGAACGCGAACGGCGGCTACGCCTCGTACGAGACGATCAATGGGCCTGCGCTCACCGAGTGGCTCAATCCCGCCGAGGTATTTGGCAACATCATGGTCGAGTACGCCTACCCCGAGTGCACGACGTCGGTCGTGTCAGGCCTGCGCATGTTCCAAAAGTACGACAGCTACCGCAGCGCAGACATTGACGCTGTCGTGGAGCGCGCTGTGCAGTACATCCTCGGCGCACAGCGCCCCGATGGCTCGTGGTACGGCTCGTGGGCCATTTGCTTCACGTATGCGGCCATGTTTGCACTCGAGAGTCTCCAGCACGCGGGGCTCACGTACGCGAACAGCGAGCCGGTGCGCCGCGCCTGTGCCTTCCTCCTCGCCAAGCAGCGCGACGACGGCGGCTGGGGCGAGAGCTACAAGTCGTGCGAGACGCACGAGTACGTCCAGTCGCCGTCGCAGGTCGTGCAGACGGCGTGGGCCGTCATTGCCCTGCTGCACGCCCGGTACCCCGATCGGGCGCCGATCGAGCGCGCCGTCGCCCTGATCATGGCGCGCCAGCGCCCGGATGGCTCGTGGGCCCAGGAACAGATCGAGGGCATCTTCAACCAGTACGTATGTGGCGCTGACACAGCAACTGTGCGTGTACCATACTGACCCAGGCGCGATCTCGTACCCCAACTACAAGTTCAGCTTCACGATCTGGGCGCTCGGCAAGGCCGCCCGCGCTTTGGCAGCGCCAGCGCGTCCATAGACATCGGCAAGTGGAGGTCCTCGGATCGCATGAACGCGACCTGCCTGGCGCGCGCCAGGGCGTCGTTGTCGTCTGTAGCGGGCGTTGCGCGGGCCCTGCGCGAGGCGGGGCGCGAGGCGCATGCGTGCTGGAACGAGGCGCGCTGGGTCCTGGACGATGTGCGGCGGCAGCACCGCGTCCCTGCGCACGCCGCTCTTCCGCCGCGCGCGACGCAGCAGGTCGCCGATATGCTCGCGCGCCTCGCTCGCGACGAGCCGATCGCCTATGTGCTGGGCACACAGCCGTTTGGGCCTATTGACGTGCAGGTGCGCGCGCCCGTGCTCATTCCTCGGCCGGAAACGGAGTCGTGGGCGCTGCGCGTCGCTGCCCAGCTCGAGGCGAGTTTGCGCCGCGTGCCGCGCCCCATGCACATCGTCGACCTGTGCGCGGGCACCGGGTGCGTGGGCCTCGTCCTGGCGCATGCGCTGCGTCATGTCAGCGACGCGCGCGTGACACTGGCCGATCATGACCCCGACGCCCTCGCGCTGTGTGTGGCGAATCGCGCGCGTGCCCCCTGCGACTCTACGCGCGTGGCTGTGCAGGCGCTGGACGTCTGGGACGCCACGGCCGCTGCCCAGCTCGGCGCGTACGACCTGCTCGTGTGTAATCCGCCGTACATCGCCGCACACGAACACGCCACGCTCGACGCATCGGTGCGTGCGTACGAGTCGCGCCGTGCGCTCGTGGGCGACACGCCGAACACGGACGGGCTCGACTACTACAGGCGGCTCGCTGAGCTGCTTCCCCGGGGCTATGTGCGTCCTACACGCGATCCCGCCCTGCCGTTCGCTGTGCTCGAGGTCGGCGCCGGCCAGGCGCCGGCCGTCGTGCGCCTCATGCGCGAGGCGGGGGCCGGCATGTTCACGACCGAGACGTGGGCCGACGAGGCGGGGTGGCAGCGCGTCGTGGCGCTCTACACAGCTGAATAGTAGTAGTACTCGTCGACCAGAGACAGGTACTCGCCGATGATGCTGCTCAGCAGCCCGACGATGCGGCGGTTCTCGGTGCTGGCAACAAACTGCGCCACCTTGGGGCGTGTCCAGCCATACCACATCGGGCCACGCAGCAGGTACCACCATAGAGAGCGGTCGCGCGAGCTCCATTCGTCGCCCTCGACAGCGCTGATCGGCTTCAGCGAGGGGTACCGCGGCTGACCACGCAGGGTGCTCGCGAGCCAGTCGAGGAACGAGTTTTCCACGCCGAGCATCGTGAGCAGCAGCGAGACGGACGATGGCGGCGGCGGCACCGCGGCTGCCCCCTTGCCGCGCGGCACAAGGGCGTGCCGCCGCAGCAGGCGCGCGAGCAGCTCGAGCGCGAGCGAGACGGAAAATGGGCGCGCGTCGCGCGCGCCATAGTGCCGCAGCATCAGCACATAGAGCACCGGACGCAAGATCCATACGCTCTCCGCCAGGCGGCCCAGCTTGTTGGAAAAGGCACGGACGAGCAGCGGCGGCGGCGATACATCCTGCTCCGTGAGGGTCTGCGAGAGCAGCTGCTCGTACACGTCCTGGCCCGCCATGGCCGCGAGCGAGCGGCGCACGCAGCCCGTGCGTGCACCGCGCCACGAGAGGGCCACACGTGTGTGCTGCGCCTTTTCGAGCAGTGCCGGATCAAACTCGCGCTGCGGCAGCGGCGGCGCTACCACTGGACGCTGCTGCGAGGCATGGACGAGCGAAAAGCGCGCCCATGCCTTGACGACCTCGATCGCCACAACCACGTCCCAGGCGCGCTGCCTGCCCAGCTGCCGGCGCGCCAGCATCTCGGCGAGCAGCTGCATCGCTTCGATGACCATCAGCAGCGTAGCAGCCCGCCGGTACCGCGCGCTGGCAGTGCGCCAGTACGCCGTGTAGCGCGCATGCAGCGACATTTTCGGGACGTCGGCACCCAGCGGCGCCGTCGCTGGCGCTCCGACACCTGCCTTGGATGCATGGCGCCCCGCGTGGGCGTACACGATCTGGCACAGCACCGAGTCGTGGTACATGCTGAGCACCTGCACAGCCGTATAGATCGCCTCACCGGCAAGCTCCGCATCCTTGAAGCGGCCCGGCAGGATATAGGTGATGCTACGCAGAGACGACTCAACGGCCGTGATCTGCGATGCATTCGATAGGAGAAAGGCCTCGTACGCCTTCCACACCGACGGCATGGCGGCGCAGCAGTTCGTCGTGCCGGCGTCGCGGGTGGCTTCCACGTGATGTCTCCACACGGGCGGGGGCGGTGCGTGCGCCCCACTGCCGCCCAACAGCGGAGCCGTGCTGTGGGAGCTCGCCGCACGGACTTCGTCGGCTCTTACCATGTCTGCGCCCACGTCCGCGGCGGCACGCGATGCCGCGGAGCGGGGCGCCTCCAAGCTAGATACGGTCCTGTACCACTTTTTCGCCAAGACGGTGGCCATGGTGCATGAAAGTCGCACCACGCCCTCCGGCTCCGCCGAGAGCCGCGGGCGCCCCAACAAGTGGTTCTCACTCGAGCTCCCCGAATGTGAGGCGCTGAGGAATGCACTGCGCCCGTGGCGCACTCTATCCACAGCGACGTGCCCGCCGTCCCTCGTCGTGGATGTGTGCTTGCAGACAGCCGACGTCGACGACGCCTACGAGGTGCACGCCCGCACCAGCACTGGCACCCAGCGCCTGGGCTCGAACGAAATCGTCTTGGAGCGCTGGCGCTTGGACCTGCAGTTGCAGGATGCACACCATGAAGAGCGCCTCCCAGCCGTGTACAAGCAGGCCGTCGTGCACTTCCGCACTCTCTTCTCTATGGCGCGGCTCCTGCCTGCTGGCCGCCTCGCTCATCGCCTCCGCGCGGCGCGTGGCGCAAGCGCCCAGCTCGCCCTCCAGGTCCAGGTACGCACCGAGCCGCCCCCTCTCGCGATGCCCACGGCGACGTGGGCTATGGTGCCCATCCAGACGCCCCTCGGCGCCCTGGCATTCGGCATCGACTACTGCGACATCCACGACATTGTCCTCGAGAGCCGCAGCGCAAGACTGCCGGCCAACGCCCGCCCCGTCGTGAACCCTGCACCATCAAGCCTCGGCGCCAGCCCCGAGGCCTCGTCCCCTCTGTTCCAGGCCATGCTTGCTCCGGACTCCGCCGCACGCCGCCCCCTCGATATGGGACGCCCACGCACCAACAGCCTGTCAACGAGCCCCTCCCTCGCTGCTTCGCGATTCCGGCGAGTGCCACGGCCCACAAGCCTCGGTGGGGCAGCCGCGAGCCCCGGCCCCAGCACCGCGCCGAGTGCGGGGATGGACGCGCTCAGTTCATCCGTGCTGTATGCGGCCGAGCCAGGTGCGCTGCGCACTCTGTTCGCAAGCTCGGCGCGTAGTCGTGCGTCGCCGAGCTCAGCACACTCGGCGCGCACACCACCGATACACATGGGCAGCTTTGACACCATGCTCGGCGCGAGCCCCATGGGTCGGCCACGCCCCGGCGAATCGCCACACCGTGACGACGCAGGGACGCGATCGCGACCACAGCGTATTGAACGGTATTCGCGGCAGCTCAGCTACCGCCAGCGCGAGCTGTCGCAGTCGACGGGGCTCACCGACGACGCCGGGCCTGCCCGCAGCTGGTCGCAGCGCTCCGAGCGGCGGCGCCAGACGGACTGGACAGCCGCTACGTCGCCCTTGTACTCGCGCTCACCGGGCGGGGCCAGTCCAGGCCCCTCACGGGTGTTTACGGGCCCATCGCCGTCACCGGCGTTTGCTCTCCCGCACCCCTCGCTGTCGCCATCACAGCAAACACCATCGTCTGCCGACGACGTGCTGGAACTGGTGGCGATGATCGATACACGTGTTCCCCCTGCGGCCGCTGCGCCGGCGCCGGCGCCGGCGGCGCCGGTTGCCCGCGCGCCCGCACCGGAGGCGCGCTTGTCCGAGCACTACTATGACGATATGCTAGCCAAAATGACCAGCTCGCTCAGACTGCTCGCCACGGACGAGGCCCTAGGTCCACGCGCAACGGACGCGGGCGCCGAAGACGAGGCAGCCGGGCGTATGGAGTGGTCGCTGAATATGTAGTGTAGATATGAACTATGTTGGCATCATGCGGATGAGGATGGGGAGGCTGGGGCCGCAGCGTCCTTGTCGGACAGTTGACGACGATGTGAGTAGGCATCATGGACCCAGGCGGCCATGTCAACTTGGCTGGCATGCGCGACAAACTCGTGCTCGAGCAGGGATGCATAGCTGGGGCGGTCGTCGGGTGTTTTACGAAGACACTGCGACACAAAGTCGCGCGCAGCGTCCGAGTACTCGCAGGAGCCGAGCTCCAAGTCAATGCTCGTGCCCTGCGGCGTTGTAATGGTGATGGGCGTCGCAGAGGGATGCGGCAGCTGTGGCGGCTCACCTTCCACGATGGCCTGCAACTGCGCAAACACATTCGTGAAAGTCTCTGGCGGGTAGGGATACGAGCCACACGCAATCTCGACGAGCGAGATAGCGAGCGACCACACGTCTGACGCGACCGTGTAGGTAGTCACGTTGCGGCCCTGGCCGGTGATGCGCTCAGGGGCCATGTAGCTCTGGCACCCAATGTTGGTCTTGGCCAGGCTCTTCTCCAGCTGCCCGGACACACCAAAGTCACACAGCTTGACCTCGCCCCTCGAGTTGATCAGCATGTTGCTCGGCTTGACGTCGCGGTGAATAATCTGGAGCTCGTCCTTGAGGAACTGCAGTCCTTGGACTGTATTGAGCGCAATGTTCGCCAGCACCTCGTTGGGCACCACGCAGTGACGTCCCGCACACAGCTTATCGAGACTGCCGCAGTCCATAAACTCCATGCAGTAGTACACGCAGGATTCGACGAAAAAGGCACCGTAGAACTCGACAATTTGCGGCGCCATCGCCCGGTGCAGAATATCTAGCTCCATAATGATGGCGTTTAGCTTCGCCTCGTCGAGCTCCAAGCGAATCTCCTTCATCGCCATTTCCACCCTGGTGCGCGTGTGACGCACACGCGTCACTGTGCCGTAATTACCATGGCCCAGCGGCTCCAGCAGCTCCAGCTCGTCCATATTGATGTTGAAAGATGTCCCATTCTTGAACTCGACACCCGAAGCGTGCAGCACCGCCTTGCCATCGAAAATCAGCCGACCAGATGGGTCCCTGCTATAAGTGAATGCCACGTACACAATCTCGCTAAAGGTGCCGAAAGCCGACGTTGGTACTGGAGCCCCAGGCATCATGCCCAACTTCAAATTGGGCCGTCCACCCGGTCGTTTGGGTCCACTTCCTGCCTGCCCCGGCACCGACAGACCCATATCACTCAAACGCAGGTTAGGTCGCGCGCGCTGGGCGCCCGCCTGTGGCATCGGAGGTGGATGCGCACGCGCAGACGCCGAGGTCGCAGGCATGCTAGGACCTTTGGGCATCAGCATCGCCGAGTTGAGCTTATCTCCATGGCCCATCACGCCCGCCGTACCGGGCATGGCATTCGCCGACCGCCGCGCATTCTATGATTAGCAGACCGAGTACATACCTCTTCCAGCTTCGCGCGCAAACTCGGCGGCAGCTTCGCCGTGGCCATCTCTCGTGTACGGGCATTGATACCTGCCAGACCCCGAGGTACGGACGCCGGGCCTTGTATCGGTCCCTTGGGAATCACATCACCCTCCTGATTGGGAAGGTTAAGCACAGGCACTGCCACCTTGTTGGCTTGCGACGTCGGTGGGTCTCTTGTAGGACCACCTTCCATCGTCGTCAGAGGCGAGCGCGAACACGGCACGAACCGGTCACCTTTAGTCATGCCACGCGAGACGGGGTCAACCGCTTGACAGTGGAGGTTGCCTGCCATGCTCCGTGCGTGGTGCCTGGCGCATGCGCTCTGTGCGCTGGCCACGAGCCGGACCGTGTTCCAGCCTGACGAGCACTGGCAGTCGCTTGAAATTGCGCATGGTATCGTCTTCGGGTACGGGTACCGTACGTGGGAGTGGACGGGCAAGACGCCCATCCGCAGCATTGTGCATCCCGCCTCGTTCGTGCCCTTGTACGCCTTTCTGCAGGCATGCGGCCTCGATGCCTCTACGTTTATCATGGTATGTTTCTTTGCTCACAATAGACCACATTGCCTGCCATCCAGCAGGCGCTCATCTCAGCGGTCGGCGACGCATGTGCGTTCGGCCTCGTCCAACGCATCGCCGGACGCCGCGCCGCCTGGTGCTGGGTATGTTGCCTTGCTCACACCAGGCATTCTTGCACATGTCTTCTTTATACTGGATGTTTACAGCCACACGCACATTTTCGAATACACTCGAGGCCGCTCTTTGCAGCATGGCTCTCTCCGCATGGCCACTGTGTACTGCAGACGTCCAACGCCTAGCCTCGGGTCCTGCACGCCGCGCCTACCGCCTAGCTCTGTTAGCCGCTTTTACTGCTGTACTCGTGCGCCCTACTAGCCTTGTGATCTGGTCATTCCTCGGCCTCAAACTGCTTTGGGATGCCCACTCGGATGCCCAAGGCCTCTGGCGCGTCGTGCGTGAGCCGCTGTGGATCGGCCCTTTCGTGCTGGGTCTCGGGGCCTGTGCTGACTATATGTACTTTGGCGTCTGGACTCTTGCACCCCTGCGCTTCTTCCTCCAAAATGTCATTCACGGCGTATCGTCGTTCTATGGAGAAAATGCATGGCACTGGTACATCACCCTCGGTCTCCCTACGATTCTCTCGGTCTATCTTCCCTTCTTCTTTCGCGGCATCTATGTGACGTACAAAAAGGCCGTGTCCGCGCAGGTTCGCACACTGCTGAGCATGTGCGCCTGGACTGTGGCCATCTTCTCGCTGCTTGCCCACAAAGAAGTGCGGTTCCTGCAGCCGCTCGTACCATGGTTCCACTTTGCCGCAGCCATCGGCATGGCGGATAGTCGTCCCATGAACATTTCATCGCTGCGCACAGCATTTCAAGCCCTGCCTCGGTGGATGCGCGCATGGATATATGCCCAGCTGCCCTTCTTTGTGTATCTGACCGCCTTCCATACACAAGGGCAGGTTGGTGTCACCACCCACATGCATCGTGTGGCCACCTCTTCGAAAGCTCCCGTGACAGTGGGCTTCCTCATGCCATGTCACTCCACACCTTGGCAGAGTCACATGCACTTTGCTCCTTGGGGCTCCGGCGGCGATCGCGGGCGTGCCTGGTTCCTTGCGTGCCCCCCGCCGCCTGACGCTCATTTGTCGGACTACTGGGACCAGTCGGACTTTTTCTTTGCAGACCCACTCCAGTATATGCATTCGCGCTTCCCTGCCACGGTGGACCCATCTTTCCCTGCCATGGACCGCTCCAAGTTTATCGTGCCATTGACGACGGGCCTGCCGCGTGCACATGCAGCGTACGATCTTGGCTGGGCGCATCCATGGCCGTCGCACTTCGTTATGTTTTCTAATCTACTGAAAACAGGCAATGAGACTATGTCCATCGCCGAGCTGCTCACAGCACAAGGGTATCGGGAGACAGCACGGCTTTGGAATTCAGTGTTCCATCCAGAGGAACATCGCCGCGGTAATGTCGTCGTATGGAGCCACTACTCCAGAGACGCTTTAGCGTCCTGACTCGAAAATACCGCATAGATACCTGTCATCAGTTTCATGTACATACGCCGAGATAGCTGCAGACCCAGCGACCGCTGCGTGCGGCCATCACACACCAAAGAGGCCAGTAACTGTGGGGCTTCCTCAGGGACACATGCATCAAATGCATCAAGCAACAAACGCAGCGAAGGGTAGCGGTGCACAATGGCGGACGATACATTGGGGGTACACCGCGGCTGGGTCAGTAGGATGTGCGTACAATTTCCTCCAGCATCGCTCGGTAGATTTCCTTCGAGTCCGTCAATGTCTTCGTCGAGCGGCGTGCCATAGGAACAGATTGCAAGAGCCTGGGTTAGTGGGGACCACGCACTTGTAGGGTCGGAACGAGACATCACTAGCAATCGCATACAGCCATTCAGCCGCTTCGTCGACTGTGACGGCTCGGACCACATGACATCGATGCTGCAGCTGCAGCTGCAATAGTGCTCGCTCGACTTTTTCACCCGCCTGCTCATGATGCTTTATCACTGTAGCCATGCCTTGCCCTTGGATCTGCTGTCGCACACCTGCCGCAAAGGCACGGTTGGCTTGGTTTCGCAAATGTCGAAGGTGGGTATCGAGTCCAATGATCAGAAGCAGGCGCTGCGTCTGAGGGTGGTCCGGCACATTCGTGGAGATTCGATCCGCCAAGGATCCATCTTCCACAGCGCGAAGAACCTGCTCACCCCCGGCTACCATAACCAGTGTCGGCTCTGAAATACAAATTTCCTCGGCTAGCGGTTCCCACCACTTTTGCACGGGGTCATAACGTGAGCGCACTTTTCGCTTGAAGCGCACAGTCCCGAAACGGTCAGGATGCAACTGATCTGCCAGAGAAGGCTCACGCGGCTCAATAGTCACCATTTCCGACGTGAGTCGCTCATTTACAGTGTCATGAACTTTGTGAAGCAAGCCTGTGTTCGGAGCAAACAGGCTCGTGTCCCACTGCATGATGAGATCACGCATCGTATCAGATTTTCGGTGCCGAGTGCGATTTGCCTCACGCCAGCGTTGACGGTCTGCTAGCGCCTGTACGCGTGCTTCTTTCACAGTAACTTTTGAGTTAGTAGCTGCCGCACGCCGTCGCTTAGGAAGGGGGTCGGGTGAGGAGCTCGGAAAAAATAAGGGCGCATGTGTCGACACAGGCTCTTTTGTGCTGGTTTGGCCAGTTAACCGAAGCGTAGGCGATTTTGGCCATGGCATAGGACTTGAAGGCATGGAAACAACACCATCACCGCGCGTCAGTGGATCAGAACTCTGCGATGAGTACCGTGTGTCGATTATAGGAGGCGCCATGTAGGCCACAGGGAGGCAAGTCGCGTCCAACACCTGATCATGTGGAGGGAAAGCCGCACAACGATCAACCATGGGGACTGCGAAAGGGAATGTGCTGGATCAGTATCGTTGCATGGACTTATACAATGCAATCGATTCAGGAAGTTATTCTATTGCTGTGAAAAAGGCAGATGCACTTCTTCAAGCAGGTCCCTTTCCTCTTGCAAGTGCATTAAAGACAGTCGCATTGTTTCGTCTGGGCCAAAAAGAGCAAGCAGCGCAGGAGGCTGATAGGGCACTGTCGCAAAAGGTGGACTTGAATGTGATCATGCCTTTGGAGATGGTTCTTCCGCGACTAGGCCGTGCTCAGCAGCTTGCAGATCTGTACTTGGCTGCAAGTCAGGCACACCCTGATGACGAAGAGCTCGCTGAGGGTGCATTGCTCTGTATGGTCAAAAACAGCATGTACCAGCGTGCATTGCAACTGCTTCTTAAACGCTTCCGCATATCAAAGGAAAGAAAAGACTTTTGGCGCTACATTCAGGTGGCAATTTTACATTCGCAACGCCTCCAGCCCCCTGGTTCGAAGCTGGCTCTAGAGGTAGCTTATCGCCTTTTTCAAGAGCAGGCCCTAGACGATACCAGCTTCTCCGAAGAGACACTTTCTCTGTACTTGTCCTTCTTTCTGCTTCAGGGCACAGAGCGCCTTCAGGGAGCCATGCAAGTGCTCGAACAGCCCCATTGCAAGTCACTCGCGAACAATAGCTTGACAATTCAATTTCAACTTCGTGAATGCTGGAAAGTACTCGGAGACAATGAGAGCCTTCTTCGCGATTGTCGTTCTCGCATTGCGCAAGGTGACCGCAACTGGGCCGTTCTCTCTGAATACATCCATACTATGGGTCAGGTGGCAAGTGGGTCCATGAACCATGAGGATGTTGACTTGATTGTCAAGGCTGCAGAGCAAGACAATTGGAAGGATCGCGGCTCCTTCCTGGGGGTATTAGAGCTGTTCCGTGTCTCTCATGACTGTGGTCTTGAAGAGCCATGCGACTTGATCTACGTTGTCCTTGTGCGCAAGTATTTGGAAACATTTATCGTCAAGCCTTCCTGTTTTGAAGATATCCGACCCTACCTAGCCTCTATCCCTGAAACAGACAGAGGCTCTTTGCTGGCATGGGCGCATGACGTACCTGATCTCTCAACCGAGACTAATATTGTCCGAAAAGTAAATGCAACAAAGCTCTCTTGTTACTTCCAGACAAACTCTGATCCAAATAAGGCGACTTATCTTTCTTTGCTACAAGATTACTCCCGAACACTTCAGCATTTTCATGTGCCCGATACGGAGATGCATCCTGGTGACGATCTGGCTTTGCTCGCAGTTATGGAGGCTTCTGCTACTGGTCCTGAGGCCCTTAGCAATGCGGCTATGATTGCTATTCACGGTTGCCAAAAAAGCAAGCGTGCATACCGCCTACGCCTACTGCTGATTCGCCTTCTAATTCGTCTTGGATGCTTTAAGCTGGCTATTCAGTATTTCGAGGCATTTGGTTTAAAAGCTGTCCAACTTGATACTGTTTCTCACTATATGATGGATCGGAACTCATCGTTCGGTGGCTCTCATGCAGCCGATATCACCAATGTATGGGATGCTCACATACGAGATTTCTATGTGCATAGTGCCTATGAAGTACCTGAGGCATTGGGCCGGGCTTTCAGCAATGGCAAGTTTTCGCAAGTCTCCGATTTGTGTGAATTCAACGACTGCCTTGAGCACTCTTGCGCCAAAATCATTTTACAACTGGACATGATTCGCAGCAAATTTGTCAATCAGGATTTGGTTGATTCAGAATACACCTCGGCCCGGGAAACGGTTAAGAAGATCATTGAATTTGTAAATGGTAAGTCGGAGTTAATGACAACCAGCCGACCGCATCAGTGATCAGCGTGACCTGCGTCTTATATCGTTTGTATGCCAAAATCAACAAAAGGTTGTTGAACATGCCACCTCTTGTGGACCGTTGCGGGGTGTACGTATGAGATTTCTAACATCCAGAACCATTGGATAAATGCTATGCTAGAAATGATTGCTCCAGTACTCGATCTACCTACACAACCAGGACCATTCCAATTCAATCAGGTATGAAGTTCGACTTGGCTGACCCTATCCAGTTGACAAACCCTGAACGTGATCTAGTCACATTTGTTCGTTCTATTAGAGCCGGCGACAATTTGACAGACGCAGTCCACATCTTCTTAACAAGTACGTTGAGAAAACATCTAACTTTACAAGAAATACTGTCAGCTATCTCCCAGTCGCTTTTGCTGTTTGATTTATTGCATGCAGCCTGGATCGGCATTGAGGTATGTTACTCAATCTAACATCATAGGGTATTCGCCATTTGGAGTTCTTCGAGGATGAAAAGAATATCGTACGTATTTCCCTTGGACTAACACTAAGGACGTTCCCGAGCTTCTGAAATCATGCAAGGATCTTTTTGCACAAATCGTTCGTTTATTGAACGAATCGATGGACCATGCGGACATACAAAACGAAGCAACCAGCTTTCTCCCACAAGGGATTCCCGAAGACTTTAAAGGCTCTGCTTCGGCTATGACCACCGCCCGGGTTGTTTCCGTGAAAGATGTGCTCAGGCCATATCAAGCCATACAACGGACACTAGATTAGCTTATTAATAGATAGATACAGCGTGCCTCCACAACGCGCTAATTTGCACGTCATGCATAGGCGCGGTACTCGCAAGGCGTTCGCACGCGTTTCACTACCATAGCTACTGTCCAGTGAGACTAATATAATCTGCTACGCACCTAATCACTGCAACAACAAGTTTCATTAAATCCATCGATTAGTTTAAAAATGACTGAAGCTCGTTATGCTGAGATCGATCGTCTCTACGGAGATGAATGTGAGTCGTTCACCGAAAAGGAGAAAGTGAGTTGTACACAGGTGTTAGAATGGTCAAACTAACAGTTTAGATGATTAGAGGATTATCTTATAACCCTCTTGACAAAGAGTTGATCAAGGATCGGCTGATTGCGCGTCAGCTCATGTATTCCTACAATAATACGCCTCCTCCAGCTCTTCCTGCCAATGACAAGGATCTAGAACACATTGATTCGTTTGGACCAGAAAGGCGAGGGATCCTGGCCAAATTATTTTCTCTTACTCAAAAGCAAAGTAGCAACATTGACATCGAGCCTCCTTTCTATTGGTATGTATTATGCCTAACTAATATCAAGCGATTATGGATACAATATCAAGTTTGAAGGTGCATTCTATGCCAACTATAATGCGACTATTCTTGATTGTGCTGAAGTAATACTTGGAGATGGTGTACTATTTGGACCGAAGTAAGTCGAGCTGCGTGTTAATATTATCAGCGTACATCTTTATTCAGCAACTCACTCCACAAACCCGACCGAAAGGCAGCAAGTACTAGAAAGAGCATTGCCGATTAAAATTGGAAACAATTGCTGGATGTAAGTATTTAAATAATATTTGATTCTAATAAAACAGAGGAGGAAATTCGACGATTTTGTAAGTATGAAAATTAAAAATTAAAATTAATAAAAAGAGCTGGCGTAACAATTGGAGAAAATTGTACAATCGTACGTATAATTTTTAAATTTACAAATAAGGGTGCAGGAAGTGTTGTCACTAAATCAATTCCAAAAAATTCTGTGGCAGTCGGAAATCCCGCAAAAGTTATTAAATATATTTGATAATATTATAAATTCTATTCATACATGTTAATTTATTATTGTATTTTTAAAAAATAAATTTAAATAATGATCATTAATAATTACTTAAGGAAATTGATTATATCATTTAAACAGATAATATCCTTGTAATTAAGAATAATAATGTTGTTTTCTTTATTTCGAATTTGTTTCTTTTCTTCAGGTATATCGTTTGGCTTATTCGGTAAGTGGAGGGATTGCTGCTGTTGCATGACAGTCCATGCAGATAGGACATTTTTGTCTTGCGACTCCCTGTGCACCTGATGGTTACTTTGTCCTAGGTACAGATCGCTTTTGGAGTCACTCAGCATGATCCTTTCCTTCGAAATTATGCGAATGTCCATGGTATAGTTTTCAGAGAAGTGAATTCTGAACCAGTTATAGTCACGGATTTCAACGTCAGGGCAGTCTGGGTTCGTCAATGCTTCATAATATAGTGGTTCTAACGTTTGCAACACCGGGAAAGTTATTTCTAACATCTGATAATTAGTCTTTCGTGTAGTAACGTACTTGAAACATTGAGTACCATATATCCATCCTTTCCTTTGCCAAAGAATCCAGTGAACGTCCTAGGACAGTGGCTATCAAGCTGTGAGGGTTTCGCCTCGTAGCCTCTTTGTTTTCATGTCCATACTCGTCCACACTGAAATCCAAACCAAAGCGTTGTCTGTTTGACTGATTTGGTCCATAAAACTTAATAGAGGCGCTCAGGTGCAGTTTCTGTGCCTCTTTCTCTGTAGGTTCGTACAAGAACCTTACATATGTATGGTCCACGGACTTTAGCGACACATTCAATCTCTTTCCAGAATACTGCGATATGGAATTGACCAATAGGCACATACGAGCAGCTTGATCCCAATATTGATGGAGAGTATCGATCACTGTAGTCAAATCCTTGCAAATGAGCTTGAGGACGCCGGTGCCTAAATTAAGTATCGCCCCTTCAAACAAAACAATATCCCCCCCTTCAAGTGTTGTTTTCAAGTGTAACTTCATGCTAATTTCAACCCGACGTTGAGCTGGAAGCCACCAGTCACAAATTTGCAAAGAAACATTTGGACTTGCCAAATCAGCGGAGGGGCCGAGTAGTTCTTTAGCATGTATACAGAGACTTGGAAGTAGAGGATCAGGGCTAGATTCTGGAGGCGCGGTCATGTTCGTGGTGGCCCCAACCAACATGAAAGGAATTAGCTTGAGTCGGAATTGCACCTCAAGATGAGAGTAAACCACTGTGGCTATGCAATAATGCAATGCGAGTTCAAGCTCTCTAGATTGGATTCCCTCATATCTTGAAGTTGTCATGGATACCTCAGGGGCATTTCGTTTAGGTACATGAACCAAGTCCTGTCCGGTAATTGAGTATTGCGAAAGTTGGTCTTTGTCGAGCCATTTGACTGAATTGATCGTCTGCATAGATTTTCCCTCATCGTTCTGGGTCAAGATAGATATCAGAGCCATACTCAAGGGCCGTCCCGGGACAAAGTAGAGCATTAAATAGAAGCCAGGTATAACGATCAAAGGTAGGAAAAGCAATGGATGGCCATCTGAAATGCCCAACTTTTTTAGCTCACCAGGGCCAAGCATAACAGAAGTCAAATAAGGAAGACCCATCCATGAGGCTTGGGTTTGTACATCTGTTCTCAAACACTTGAGTCTGAATGTAAATAATAGCTCCGTTAATTGGGATATGTTCGCATTGATCTGGTCTGCCAAACGAAGTAATGATACATCATGTGATTGACTCAATGACAAGGAAAGTCCATTTGCGCTGTCGACACTCTCAAGCATCTTTAGTCCGAGTCTTCCAGTGATGACAGACACGAATAGGACTATTTTGATCGTATCTGTAACATACAGCTGGAGACAGTTTCGCGGCTCGTACTTGCTCCCTGCATGCATCCGTAGAGTGCAAATGTTTGAGCTACCGGCGCTAAGGCCATTGTGCGAGATGATTCGTTCCTGGAAAAACTTCATGAGGGCCATGGAATGCATTTGAATTGTACGAAGTACTAGCTCTTCTCCGTCTAGATTCTTCAGCTGAATATTGCGTTCTTCAGGCGTGAGATAAGTTTGAATCCGGTCATCTGTAGACCAATTCACCTCGATGAAGCTAGAGTGGCTGACAGCGTCTGAGCCAGAGAAGATCTCAGAAACAACCTTGTCTTTACCGATGCGCTCTTTTGTTTTCAACGTAAGTGTCAGCTGTCCTTGAAGGAGGGTTTTCTCGGTTTTTTGGGTAGCACCAACTGAGTGAGACGTCCAGTAGAAAATTTCCAAAGAGCGTGATTCAGCATTCAACATAAAGCGAATACTAGATCCCCAATTGAAGCGGAACATATTTTCCAGTTGATGATAGAGAATATGGAGTTGTCTTTGCAAAGACTCTTGCTCCAAGAACTCATGCAATCTTGTAAGGGTAGGCCGGGCGTCATCATTGGACGAAGATTGCTCTAAGATAGAGTCAGAAGTACCGTAGACATGATCCAGATATGGATCCGTGAGGATGGTATCCAAGTTCTCTAATTCTGAAACCTGGTCCACAAACGAAAAGTCCAGCAACCACCAGCGATCGTCCTCAGCAGGTCCGCTGGTTGTTAGACAGATATTGTATAGCTCTGGAGCTTCAAAGTATGCTTTACCGCTTTCAATCTTTGATAAATAAAGACCCAAAGGCGTCAACTCTGAGTATGCAAGTCGTTCACGCAAGACCATATCCAATTGTGACATCACTTCCAGGGCCTCTGAATCCGTCATTGGCTCTTGGGGCACCGTACTGTCTTTAATGGCCTTTGGAAGACGATTATAGGTGCCCGTTCTAAGTATGTCAATCGCCGTGACAAGATCCGCATCAAACATACGCGCATTTGGCAAGATTTTACGGACTTGGGTCAACCCTGAGAAGACATCTTCATGTGCCCATTGCTGCTCAACAAGTAATCCAATTACATTTCTTGCCCTATTAAGCATTTCCACATCCTTGGACCAGCGAACAATGACAAGTAGCTTCACAAATATCTTGCGCAACTCGATCGCTGTCGAAAATATTTTGGCTCGCTTGGCATGACTGGTCAAGGAGGGCAGCGTGTCAGAAAGGCTTTGGATAGTCTGATATGCCAAATTCGACAATCTCTCGACCAATACACTCAGATTTACTAGATTTGAGTCCTCTAATGGCAGCTCCTGGAGCAGCTGTTCTATTGGCACGTCCCCAACGCCTCCGCTGGACATCGTGTCGTTGACGGAATGGAACCTCCACCTATAAATTGGCAGTGTCCCTTACCACTTCACTTCCGTAATGGATTACTTGCGGTCATTGTCGTCTGCGCTGACGAAGGGTGCAGGACCGCTCTCAAATTATGACGTAGGCTTGGAGGTGGAATCGTATAATGGCCAAAGTATATGGAAGCTATTTGAAGGCAAAAGTCGTGTATGTCATTAACTACTCACAGCAGAATGACAGCACTCTTGTAAGCATTTTTGTGATGGACCAAACCCGGGCATCTCGCGAGCAAAATATCATGGCTCAGAATGCAGTTAAGAAAATGCGGTCTATTAGGCATCCGTACTTGGTCAAGTTTCTTGAGGTGGGAGAGAGTCAGGGTGCTATCTACCTCGTCGTGGAACACGTTGAACCATTGGTCAACAGGCTCGCAGCTTTATCAAAAGGAAGTGGTCGGGATCCTTCCACGCCATCATGGATAGCCTGGGGTTTAGGACATGTGGCAAAAGCACTTATCTTTCTACATGACCAAACAAAGTGTGTCCATGGCAATATCCACCCTGGAAGTATCTTTCTCTCATCTTCTGGTGAATGGCTCTTGGGTGGCTTGGAGCTTCTTAGCAGCCCAGCGGAGCCAGATGCACTGATTTTGAAGTGGGGTGGCATCCCCCCCAGATCTAGCGCGTATGCTCCGCCAGAAGTCTTCCAGAGCGGGTGGAAAGTTGTCCAAGAATACCCGGTTCATATTGCTGATTCCTACGCGTTTTGTTTGCTTGCCATTGAAGCATTTAATGGAAAACTGCCATCGACCTTGCCAAATTTCGCAGCAGGAAGAATTCCAGCGCAACTTTATCCGCTGCTTAAACGCATGATCCACCCGGATGTTAACAAACGTCTAACTGTGGGCGAACTGGTTTGCCTTGGCAGACAACCTGGAGGGTTTTTGGCTACCAACATGTTATGCGAGGTTGAATCACTGTTAGAAGAATTCCGAATTGGCAACAAAGACACCAAGATTAATATTTTGCATCAAGTTTTGGCAAAACAAGAACACCTAGCGCTTGTATTCGTGCAATATAAGGTCCTCCCAATCCTCATTGAAGCATTCCGCTATCAATCAGGGTCACGTCCTGATGATATTGAGTTTTCGACGCAACAACTTCTCCCTGTTATGTTAAAGATAGGTCAAAGCATGGATTCAGCGAATTGGATGCGCCTACTTGGCGAGCCCATCATCGGAGCGTTTGCAACACAAGACCGTGCTATGCTGCATATTCTTCTGACACATGCCTCCTTGTTCTCTGAACATTTAAGCGACTCTGTGGTGTCTACCAAATTTTGGCCCTTGCTCTTAAAGTCGTTTCATTCGCCACTTGATCCTATTCGCTCTGCAGCTTTGGATTGTGTGACACTTTTTCTAACTAAATTTAACGAACGGATTCTTAACAACGAACTTCTTCGCGAATTAGCCAAGTTGCAAAAGGACGTTCGACCTGCCCTGCGTCTCCAGACTATCAAGATTCTATCGCAATTAAGTCATCGCTTGCGCGCATCGACGAAAGCTGATGTGCTAGTCCCTGCATTTGGATATAGTTTGCGGGACACTTATGATCAAATTCGTCTTTTCGGCATTGCTGCGTTCCGCGATAATGCTGATAGCTTTGATGGTGAAGTATCCGCAAAAAGTGTGATCCCAGCACTTTCACCTTGCCTTATTGATCCGAATGGTGAGGTTCGTGGTATGGCCCTTGAGGTTCTACAGCTGTACCTGAACAAAGTGACTTCATTTACAGAGACCTTATCGTCTGTAAATACTGAAATACCGACTCTCATACCAGACAAGTCTGGAGTGGTTGAGCCACAAGCACAAAGCACCAAGTCCAAGGCGACAAGCAAGTCTGCATTTTCTGCATTTTTATCAGCTACTGCAGGAAATGCAGCCACTGCCCTGACTGACTGGGCTATGGCTCAAATTGAAGAAGATGAGAGTTTGGCTACGCAGGTAACGTTAGGATTGCAAAACGAGAGTATTCACTCTCCTGACACAACTGAAGCACAGGAACTATCGCCCCCTCCAGCTGTGCCGTTGCATGCGACCCGTGGCATGTCGCTGAGTGACAAGAAATCCAAAGGCGAGCAGGTCTCGCAAGCTATTCTATATGCAGAGGAACCCAAGACAATTGTGACCAAACTTGATGATACCAAGCCTATTATGCCCCCTGCACCCCCTCCATCAAGTCTTTATAATTTTACTTCCAATGATTTTAGTACACTAGCCGGCGCTTCATCAAACTCCGGGGATAGCGTGAGCTGTCCCATCAGTACGACTTCTCGGAAGCCGCCTTCAACCTCGACAAAGCCCACACCCGTCGAACCAACCAGGGCGCCTTCTGTATCCTCATCTAATAAGAGCTCGACACAGAAAGCGTCACTTGCTCCTGTTATGACCAAAGAAGAAAAGATGGCCCAGCTAAATAAAATCCGAGAAGAGCGACGTGCGGTATGTTTCGATATATACTTACCTATAGCGGATTGCACAACTAAAACAATCGAAATCTTAAGTAAATCGCAAGTGAGATAAAACACTAGCGCTATCAAAACCAATGCGAACGTCAACCAGAGGATCAACGCGTGTTGGTCCACGGTTCAGCAATACAATTGGCTTGCCTGCTTCCTTCACGTCACGAACAAGGCGATATGCTGAATAAGTAGCGACGGTTGTGCCAACGAGTAATAGAGCATCACATTCATTCACCCATTGCTTTGCTTGTTCTCTAACTGTCTTTCGAACATTTTCGCCGAAAAAAACGACATCGGGTTTGATAATGCCTCCGCAGTTAGGGCAAGTGGGGTATGAGAATGTGTCATAGGATACACCCTCAAGTTGTACATCACCATCAGGATTGCGGCGTAATGATAAATGAGGCTCATTTTTCAAACGCACAGACCATTCATACCATCCTGGATTCATGACTGTAAGTTGATCCTGTAGAGCATCTCTCGAACAAACAAAGCCACATCCATGATCTGCATCAGTTTTTGCAGTATGTGTTGGATAGTATCGATCCACTCGCCCGAAGGCATTCGTCTGTGCCTTTTCCCACCAACTAGTTTCTTTTGGTGAGCTATTTCCTTTAGAAACACATCGCACTTCGCTCAAGGAGCCGTGGAGCTCTAAGATGGGTGGTATGTTGCTTGATAGACGTTGAGCTGCCACATGATGGAGTCGATCCACGTTCTGCGTAAAATTCACAAACACATACCTGTGTGATAAGTTTATTTACACGCCCATGGTGTTGAAGCTCAGCTAATACTTGATGGGTAATATTTGGCTCTGCAACACGAAGAGGTGGGTATCCTAAGTATGAGCGAGCCCAGTATCGTCGGCGTTTTTCGTCGCCCAATTGCCCTGAATTGATAAACTCATGAAAGAAAATGGGCCGATATCCTTTGTTCTCTGGACAGTAAGAACCTTTTTACGCACTATATAGGCCATTTGCTCCACGATAGGATGAGATTCCACTGTCAACGGAAACGCCAGCTCCTAGCTGTTAAGGCAGATTCACTAACCTGTTAATACCAGTACCCGTTTATTTTCCTTAAATAACAAATCAATTAGTTTTGCAGAATCATCGATGGTCAATACAGTTGAACTTAGATGTTTCGTTTGAGGCAGGGAGGGGATCGAGATGCGCATTTATGCTACCATGTCTGTGCACTTTGTTGGCCAATACCTTCATCACGTGTCAGTGGAGGTAAGGTTCATATCGTAAAATGGGACCGTGTCTAAAATAACGTCATACCGTCATACGGTTCCGCTAGTCACTATTAGCACCATGGTCCTAGAGGTATCCGACCCTGTGTCTTACGCCATTATGGGATGTATTTTTGTTATTGCATACTTTCTTGCATTGGCAGCAGGCATCTTGGTCTTTATGCCAATCCAAGTAGTCCTTACAGCTAGCCGTGCTAATTATACACCTAAAGCGGTTAATTTAAACCAACAAAGTATTGAGTCTTCGCCGTCAACATCAGCTTTGGGCTTTCTTTATGGCTTTTACTTTTACAAAGATGCTATTTCTACGACTGGAACCTCAGAAAAGACAACACTTTCTTTCTTTGGTCGAATCAAACGGTTGGAGGGTAGCAAAGGCTTGTACAGAGGCACTGTTTGGTTTATTTTGTCAATGCATGTTTTAATGTTGATCGCTTTATCTATCGGACTGTCAATATATTTCCTATCAAGAAAACTTTCTATCGATGCCGAACACGTATATGTCGGTTGGGAAGGCGAATTGTTAACTATGTTTATAACCTTTCCTCTCTCCGTAATACAAGCGCGGGCTATTGTGCACCCTGTCAGACTGAACTGGTTTAATTTGAGAGACTCTTTGAAGAATGTTACGAATGAATCTGAATATTCGCAACCATGGCGTCTCTATAAAATCCCTGGTGCCTTCCTTGCATATTTCTCGAGATGGTTCTTAATCGGACCTTGTACAAGGTTACTCAAGTGGATTTTTATTGGGGGCGGTGTCTCCATGTCAAATGAAAATTCTCCAATCACCTTTTCGACTCGACTCCTAGGAATTGTCCCCCTTTTTGTATGGTTGGTTGTATTAGTATCAATTGTTACGATGCTGGATTGTATCTTTGTACGTCTGGCTATTCAAAGGAGCAAGAAATCTTATCGGGAGACAATAGATACCACTGGATCGCAAGCAGGCGACATTGAAGCAATGCGTTCCTCTGAGCCGATTGTATCGCTGCGACCCTGTTTCGGTGAACAACATCCTGGGTGGAACTACTTTAATTTCCCATACCTAGAGCCTTACAAGGGTATTCTGGATTGTGCAAGGAAAATGAGAGACGAAGAAGGGTGGGGCAGTCTTCGACGTGCTGCCCTTGTCTCTATGGTATCTTGTCTGGTAGCGCTCCTTTCATAGTTTGTTTACGTGAAAATGACGAGGTTAGATTAAGTAGGCGTAGGAAATTGCTTATTTGATTGGTTCCTGCATCCAAGCTAAGACCATCCATTGAATAGATTTGACGTGCCATCATAGATATAATTAATTGAGGCCATACGAATCTGTTTCATATATAATGGCTTACAAGTTCGACAAGATGAAAATAGACTAGGGATTGCAATGGCAACAATAGGCCCTATAGTTATAGATACAAGAGCTCGGGCAATTTTTTGCCTAACAGTTGCTGGTTTCGTCCTCGTGTGTGACTTTCAATGATGTTTCAATATTGCCATGGAGCGTAGGACGAGAGCATAATTCTCCATTTTCAGTATATGGATCAAAACCAATGCAGGGTGTATTTCCCTGAAACCATGGTGAAAGAAGAGGGCCTAGTGCCTCCATGTCTGGCTCCCAGGCTGGCTGCGAAGAGCCAGTCATATCTTCGTATGCGATAGATATAGAGACAATCGCGGAACGCTCCATGCATCGCTTGCGACGCACCTTGATCAACCGAACACACATGCTCAAGAGCGTCAAGATTAGGAGAGCTGGAACAAATACGTTAATGATCACCGAATTGAGCATGGTGACTTTAACGGCGAGGATTGTTCTGTTGAATTTTGGAAACTAGACCCCTCATATATACGATATTCCATAGTGCGGGGATAAAGTGGCGGGCCGGAACATTACCGGTTTTCTGATGTGAGCATGGGGCCAACTGCACATGAGCCATGATCTGTTCAATCGCAATCTAATCGTAATTCCCTTTTACTGGATCGGATGTTAAGCTTCAGATGAAAATACAACAAAAGCAAATCCTAGAAAAGTGTACAGCATACCACGAAACAGACTCTCTGGGCCTTCCTCCCTGTACATTTTCTGGATACAGTCAAAGAGACCAGCGTATGGTTCAACCTGAGGAGTGACAAAATAGTTCAAAGAGGTATTATCAGCGTTAAAGCAATACCGCAAAGAAAGGACAGGCTCTTGAGTGAGCTGTTGTTCAGAAGCAGACATGGGCTCTGCATCCACTTGCGCCTGATGGTTATGCGGTGCAGGCGCAGACATTGTAGTCGACTGGTCGTACTGAATCATCAAACGAACAAGTACGCAGTCGAGGACTGTACATACGCAAGCGACCACACCCACCCATAGCAAGAATGTCAGCATCCCCATTGTGCTAATCTGATATAGAGCAGAAGTAGGTCCTTCGAACACATCATCTTTAGGATCGGCTGGAGCGACATTCTTGAGGCGATCAAAAGCAGGTACAAGTAAGTGTCGCATAAGCAACGTGAGGCGAATCAGGATGACATTTCGAAGAAGCACGGCTGGCACCAGACCAGGAATCATATACAGTCGCCATGGTTGCAATACCTCTTTGGGAGAAAGAACCTGTCTCAATGCTGTGCGCGGACGCTGCCAGTTCACGAAAGCAGGGTGCGCCATTGTGCGCCGCATCAGCAGTTCAAACGGGAAGGCGGCCAAATAGGTAATTATACTGAGCATAAAGTCGCCAATGGGATGGATCTCGCCCGAAGGTTTCAAATGTCCTGAGCTCATATACGAAAAGTCGACCCTAGAAGCCACGATCAGGACGGACACGATCATAAGTATTCCCATTGGTGTCGCTCCTTTGAATAGCCCACGCCAGCCTTCGAGACGCCGGATCCGTTGCATCATGGCCCACAGTCCTGGAACCACAGGACCAATCTTGCTTGATTTTTCGTGTCTCCATGGAATTAATCGAGTAAAAATATTAGTGCGTTCGGGCTCGGGACCACGGCCATCTTCCATGACGCTGTCAAGGGATACAGCACGGGGAAGAAAATTAGCACGCAGGCGTGTGAGAGCATTGGTGACAGGTAAAATGATACCAATTGCAATAGCAATTTCAAATAGAAGGGTGATCGAGAAGACCACGAAAGCGAAGACGAGGCCGACAGAGCCCTGCTGCAGCATGTCTGTGCTTGAATGAGCGCGCCGGGCGATCCAACGTGGGGCGATCATCACGTGACATCCAATTGCGTCCGTCGCCAATGCGGCCAAGGTCACTAGAGAACATGGCGAACCAGGCGAAGGAGTATGCGATGCAACGTATGTGTGATGTAAGAAACTTATTACTAGTCGTGGAACGTCTGAAAGACTTCCGGGAAACGAGGCTTTCAAATGTGCGCCCGTTCGGCGAGTTCTTTGACTACCACCGGATTAGTGTGCCGCGCGACACCAACGAAGCTATCCAGGTATGTGGGGAGCGACTTACCACAGCGTATCACGTATAATACCCGACATTTCTCGGGTAACTATGCTGTTGTGATTGCTCTTCTATCCGTTTACGGGCTGTATGTGATGTGTATTTGACGTCAGGTTCACGGACTTACTGCTGTTGGTCGCTGTTGTGGTGCTGGTCGGCGGTTTTGCGGCCATCAACCGCTTTGGTACGTGATCGACTTTGTCCCTGACTGGTAGCTCCCGAGCCGATGCAGGTGGGAAATCACGTTGTAACGCAGAAGAGTCTCTATGCTATTCTACTCGCTGTTGGTATGTCCATTTGGAAGGCCGTGCACTGACGCTCAGGCCTGGTGCTGCTGTGGTTCGCCGAACCTTTCGCACTGATCTTTTGGCTCGTGGGAAGCAGCGCGCTCATTATTCTCGGTCACGCGGCATTTATTGAGCCTCCTGTGTCTAGTGAGTACGCCGGTGTTGAGGTACGTCCTGTCACGTCTGACACCAGTCTGTGTAGAGCAAGCCACGTGGTTGGACCGTGCATCGACCCACCGATATGCAGGGCGTATGTAGTCTTGCGCATGTGACTATGAGCCATAGTCCTGTGGGGCAAGATCTGCTGCCCTTATATTATGGCGATGTACTTTCGATGCGAGAATATCTATCGCGCATTGTGCCACACGAGCGCGCTGCTAAGCTGTGGCAGGCTGTGCCGCCGGCTGTAGAGGAAGAATGGCGGGTCATGCTCGATGGGCTGATAGGCCTCGACGATGCGTCGAACGCAGAACTAGCAACGTATGATGTACCGTACGAGTTAGCACGCATAAACTCAGAACCTTCCAGTACACCGCACATTGTGCGCATGATGGATTACGTCCAGACTGAGATCCAGGCATCCAAGCGCTCCGACATTCTACTCCTAGGCTATAAGTCTACGCCTGGCATAACGGCTCGTGAGCGCTGGACTAACACACACCCCAACACTATTTTGACATCCTTGCTCCTGAATACGGTATGGCATATACTGTTAGAGCGCCTGGGTATGCCAGTGTTTGCCTATCTTTTGTTACACAGCAGCTTCTTCCTCCCGCTGGACGCACAAGCGCATGATACGTACGTCCAGATGTGGGGCATCCCCCTCACCGAGCGTCAGCCACGTCGAGACAGAAATCTCAGCAGCGTGTCGCGGCCGACAGGATCTACCAGCCTCACTGTGCCTATGCAGCAAGTCTACTTGCCTCGCTCGCTGCTATTTTATGCACGTCCACACATGATCGCCCGGCGCGGCGTATGCTTGGGCCTTCCACCAGAGCACCCTTTCCAGACAACGACGCTGCCTACGCATTATGAGCGCCGCGTGCACACTGCCCGCATTGTCCAAGGCATGTTCCCCCAGGCCTTTGGGCAGGGCTATGCATGGGAACCCCGCGTACCAAAACGTGTGCGGCGATGGCCAAAGCACCTGCAAGCCGTGTCTTCACTCGTATCGGCAATGCTAAAGCGGCACGCCAAATTCCGGTACGACCGGGCACTGGAGCTATGCTGTCCTAGCGCCCTCCCACGCGGCCGCGCAGCTCGCGCGCGGCGTAGCCGACTGGCTACTCAGTTTGCCGGTCCCGAGACAGCTGTCGCACCGTGGCCCCATGCCAGTACGCAGGTGGACGCATCACTGACCCGTGCGTCCGTGTCGCGCATGGCGACGGAGCCTCGGTTCTTCAAATATGCCACGTCAGCGGGTCGCGTTAGCTGGTTCGTGCGCCTGGTCCTGCATCATGTCGTGCCGTTCGCCTTCTTTGGCAGTGTGCACAACCGGCGCATTGTGTGCCGGAGTGTGAAGCGCCTTGTTCAGGCGCGGAGGTATGAGCGTGTGTCGCTGTTTGATGTACTGCAAGGCTTCCGCACACGCGACTGTGCGTGGCTTGCACACCCCGATTCGCACTGGGTTCAGCGCCGACTATGTGAGTGGATGTGGTGGCTGTTTTCCCAGCTTATCATTCCCCTGCTGCGCACGACCTTTTATGCCACGGACACAGCAGCTTTCCGTCAGCGTGTGCTGTACTTCCGCCAGGATGTGTGGGTGCAAGTTAGTCGACCACTTTTGGAGCGCCTGCGCACCGACCTCTTTGAGCAGGTGCATGAGCCTGTCCATGCGTCTGTGCCCTATGCAACGGTGCGCCTCGTGCCCAAAGAGACGACAGTGCGCCCGATCATTAATCTACGCCGCCGTATGCCTGGTACCGGACGATCAATGAATGCGCACCTGCAGAGCGCCTTTGATGTGCTCTCGTATGAAGCTGCACGGCAGCCCGAGCGTCTAGGCGCGGCAGTTGGCAGCATGAAGGGCCTATACATGCGCCTCAAAGCCTACAAGGACGTCTTGCTTGCTACATACGCCCAACTTCCGCGCCTATACATGGTGCGCGCAGATATTCGCGCAGCATTCGACTCACTCGACCATACACAACTCCTCAAGGTTGTGCGTGCTTTGCTGCCAAAAGAGGCGTCGTACGTCGTGCAGCGTTACACGCACATCCACACGACCGATCGGCATGTGTGGCGCGTCACGAGCCGCCGCGCCTGGCCCGATGCGCAGTACCCCAGTTTTGTGCCGAGTATGCAGGGCCAGGCGTCCACCTGGCACCATGTGGTGCTGATGGACGGCGTCACATACCCGGTGGAGGAAGCCTCCGAGATCCTCGAGCGCGTTGAAGCGCATATTACACGCAGCTTGGTCCGCCTGGGACCTGCACTGTATCGCCAGAGGAGGGGCATACCCCAGGGCTCGATCCTATCGAGCCTGCTGTGCAATCTGCTATTGGCCGACGCGGAGCGCACGTACCTCCCGCTCGACCCTGGCGACTGTCTGTTGCGGCTCACCGACGACTACTTATTCCTATCGCCGAGCCTGGAGCGTGCTCGTGCCATGTGCCTGGCGCTGTACCGTGGCTTTCCCGAGCACGGGTGCCATATTGCGCCTCATAAATGTCTCGTCAACTTTGATATGTTGCTGCCTCACGGCTACGTGGTGCCGCGCATTGCGGCGCAGGCACCGTTCCCGTGGTGCGGCGTGCAGATTCACCCGTGCACACTCGGGATTGCATCGGATACCCAAAGATACCCCTTCCATATGGGCGACACACTCTCTGTGCGTCGCGGCGGCCTAGGCGCCATGCTGATCCGCCTTGTGCGGCAACGCACTATGGCTATTTTCACTGATACGGCGCTCAATACCGTCGCGGGCGCGTATGCCAATCTGCTCGAATCCTTTGTGCTGGCTGCGGCCAAGCTGCATGTATGGCTGCGCCACCTGCCCTATGCGCATCCGCCGCATGTCCTGCGCACTATCACGCACGCCGTGCTCAGCACATGGCCGCTGCTACGCGTTCACACACGCGCAGCAGCACCAGGCGCCCAGTTTCATCTGAAGCGTCGGTGCGTCGAGTGGCTAGGCTGGTTTGCATTTGCACGCGTGCTGCACCACTGGCGCCAGCACGACGAACTGGTAGCTCAGCTGCACCGCACGCAGCTCGAGGCGCCGCAGTATGTCGAGGCGCGGCGCCAGGTAGGTCGACTTGCCCTTGAGGCATGGCCTACGCATGCCCGACGGGTCCAGAATGCCACTTGATTACTGGCTCGGCCCCGGCGGCGGAATATACCGTAGTGCCTGGAATGCTAGTGTTATCGCAGTCGAGAGCACCACAAGTGCAAATGTCGTGCCTAAGCCGAGAGCAAGTGAGACACCCACGACGGCGCCAATACCCAGCACGTTTCGCACCTTCGGAGGGCCCACATACGAGGCGAGTTCATGCCAGGCTCCTTCGTGTAGCTGTGCAAATGGAGTTGTGCTGTTCGCATGGGGCAAGGCGCCTGCGGCCAACACGACAGGATTTCCGTCCTCGCCTGCGTATGCAAACAAGTGGGACAGCCGGGTGTGTGATGGCACGGGCATGCGCACAAACGACCCATTGTAGTGGAACAGCTGGGTGTCGGAGCACTGCGTTGCCACAAAGGGGCCGTACGATGACACAGCGTGCGGCGCACAGGGCAGGGCTTGGTCGGGCACGGTCTGCCATCGACGTTGGGTATATACGCCCATATAATGTGAATTGTCTTGTAGTTGCAGATTGCCTACAGCCCAGAGGTGTGTGGTATTGGCACTCATGGACGTGACGAACCCAGCATGCAGGTCGTCAAGCTGATGCAGGAGGCCTCCATGCACGTCCCACGAGCATACCGGCAAGCAGCGACCCGGTGCCTGACCGGCGATAGCAATCAGCGGGGTATCTGGCACAGCGGCAAGCGCGGTCACATTCTGGACGGACACTGAGGGCCCCCAGCGCCGGCTCCGCAAATCCAGTGTGTACACGCCGCGGGAGTGACCGACAAAGAGGGTATGTTCCTGGGTATAGAGTGCCGTCACATGCTCCATGGAGGGTAGTCGCGGAAGCGGCTCGGTATGTGCCCCATCGTGGAGGACGAGGCGCCCACGCGTGGCCACAATAGCGCGGTCCTGCCACCATGTCACCACAGGCAGGGCAGGCGGCGAGCTGGCCAGCCCGATGGCCGGACGAGCAATGCGTTGTATATGTAGTCCACTAGGATGATGTGTTGTCCGCTTCGCAGCTGCTGGCGCAGGCAAGGCCAGCGAGCAGCAGAGCCACACCACAGCCAGCACGGCCGCCCTTGCGCGGCGCATCGCGGCGATGCGTGGAGCTCGCACACGCCGCGCGCGCGGGTTTTAAGTCACGTGATATGAGCACCGCGGCGGGCGCTGCCGTCTCCGTCGCTGTTCGGACGTTTGCTGACGACGATCATGGTTGCCCCGGCTCGCCTTTCGCGCGCATTTGCCTGGCCCTCTTCGGCTGCCTTGCGCACCCATGGTGTCTCGCGTAGTCTGCACATGTCGAGGGTGGTGCGTGCTGCGCCCGCCCCGACTTCGGCGGAGCAGACCGCCCAGTACCCGTCGGAGGGTATGTGACAATGGCTGACGCCAGGTTTCAACTCGTCTCTCTGGAAATACGCTCTTCTGGCGCTCGTTGGCGGTATTGTGGCCGTCCGCGCGCGTCCAGCGACCAAGCAGGAGGAGACGAAGCCCTACCTGACGGAGCTGCTCGAGTCGCTCTTTGTGCCTAAGGAGGAGGTGCAGGAGGAGAACCGCAAGCATCTCGACTGGTCGATGAAGAAGGCTGAGGCTCAGCTTCTCTTCCAGGACGCGCAGAAGCCACCGGCGCACCGCTTCAAGTTCCCTGCGTATGTATCTGCGACTGACGCCAGTGCCCTGGACCAGTACCCGCAGCGCAGCATCCCTGTTGGCTCGCAGCTCGATGCCTCGGATATCCAGCCCAACAAGGAGCGTGTGTAATCATGTCTACGTAGTTTGGCACTGCACTACAGATCTTCTGGCGCTGCGCTGGCCCGGGCCGCCTTGCCGCCGAGCCTGACGAGGGCCTTACGTAAGATGGTCAAAAAGGCCACGCCTGTCCACTTTTTTCTGAGCACAGGCCGATACGCTGCTGCCATGGCATCCTCGCAGAGCGGACCGGCCATGCGGCCCCGTCTGCGGACGTCGTTTGCCAAGGGTGACTCTCTTGTCCCCTTTTACTCGGGAGGTGCTGTGGCTGTGACCTCGGACGGCGCGCATTTGGCCACGACCTTCGGTTCCGAGGTGCATATGGTCGAGACTCGCACCTCGCGGATTCTGCACACTCTTTCTGGCGTACGTGGCTGCGGCTCACTCTAGGATGGCGAGGACATTAATAGCCTTACGATGACCAAGGATGATGCGTACGTTGTGACGGCATCGCGCGCGCTGGCCCTCAAGATCTACCGGCGGCCGGACATGACCCTCGTGCGCACGATCGCCAAGGCCCACGAGGCGCCCGTGGCACTTATGGCCACCGACCCCACATCGAGTCTTCTTGCCACCGGAAGTGCAGATGGCTCCGTCAAGGTATGGGACTTGGCCGGCGGCTTTTGCACGCATGCATTCCGTGGCCACGGCGGTGTCATTAGCGCCCTGTGCTGGAATGTGCAGGCGCGCCAGCCAGGCTCCCCAGCGCGCGCCGTGCAGCTGCTCACGGGCTGCGTGGACGGCAAGGTGCGCGTGTGGGACCTGCAGGGCTCGGGGCAGGCCGCGTCGAAGCCCACGGCGGTGCTCAGCGCGCACGCGGGCGTCGTGCGTGCGATTGGTGTGGCGCCAGGCGGTCACACGATCGTTAGTGGTGCGCGTGACCAGACGCTCGTGTTCTGGGACTGGAAGAATAGCCGCTGGCACCGCCGCGACATTGTGCTGGCGCAGGAGCGCATCGAGGCGCTCGGCTTTGTGGGTGACGCCACGTCGCCCCTATTCTACACGGCCGGCTCGCAAGGCCTGCTGCGCCTCTGGGATGTGCGCAATGGGCAAGAGGTGCATAAGACGCAGGTGCTCGAGCCTGAAGAGGAGGACGATGCGCTGCATGGCCTGACAGACGCGCTGTACGCTCCGTCGTGCAGCGCAATTGTGACGGTTTCTGCCACACAGGATCTCGCCTTCTATGCGTTGGGAGATGGCACACTCTCGCTTGAGCGCCAGCTGGTTGGCTATAATGACGAAATCGTGGATGTGGCGCTGGTCGGCGACGATACGCTGGCGGTGGCCTCGAACAATACGCAGCTGCGGCTGTACAAGCTCGATACCCAAGACCATGACGTGGTGCTGGTTGATGGCCACCGAGACATGTTGCTGAGCCTCGACACGTCGCCAGACCGTGCCTGGCTCGCCAGTGGCTCGAAAGACCGCACAGCCCGCATCTGGACGCGCGCCTCCGACGCGCGCGACGGCTGGGTCTGCCTGGGCGTGTGTGAGGGCCATGCCGAGAGCGTGGGAAGTGTGGCATTCGCGCGGCAGAGCGCAGGCGAGGTCGGTGCGCCGTTCCTCGTGACGGCGAGCCAGGACCGCACCGTGAAGCTGTGGGACCTCACGGCGCTCACGCCGGCGAGTCGGCAGGAAAAGCTGTCGTCGCTGCTCACGCTCAAGATCCACGACAAGGACATCAATGCCATTGACCTGGCACCGAACAATGGCCTGCTCGTGTCTGGCTCGCAGGACCGCACCGCCCGTGTGTTCCGCGTGCATTACCAGGCCCCGTCCAAGGCGAACCAGCACAAGGCAGCAGCGAGTTTGGAGCCGCTCGCGACGTGCAAGGGCCATAAGCGCGGTGTGTGGTCAGTGCAGTTCTCGCCGGCCGAGCAGGCGTTTGCTACGGCCTCGAGCGACCAGACGGTGCGTCTGTGGAGCTTGAAGGACTTTAGCTGTGTGCGTGTGTTTGAGGGGCATACGGGCAGCGTGCTGCGCTTGCGCTTCCTCCCGGGTGGTGCACAGATTGCGTCGTCCGGAAACGATGGCCTGGTCAAGGTGTGGAATGTGCGCGACGAAGAGTGTGCGGCCACGATCGATGCGCACGAGGACAAGATCTGGGCGCTGGCCGTTCGTCCCGAGACGTCCAAGGCGCCGCTGCAGGTCGTCAGCGGCGCGGCTGACAGCACGATTACCCTCTGGAACGACACGACAGCCGCCGTCGAGTCGGAGAAGGCGGCAGCAGCCAAGGAAGCAACGGAGCGTGAACAGGCGTTCTCCAACTTGCTCGTCCTGAAAGACTACCGCAATGCGATTGCGCTGGCGTTCCAGCTGAACCAGCCGCGTCGTCTGTTTCAGTTGTTCACGCAGGTGGCTGCATCGCGCCCTGACCACGATGCGATCGAGTCGATGGACCGCCTGCTGGCGGACGCCCTGGGCGTGCAGCGCCACGCGGACGCGGAGCTCGGCAGTATCACGGGGCTCGCGGCGGTGGACCGCATTATTGCAGAGCTGCCGCGCACGCAGGTCGTGCAGCTGCTTGGCTATGTGCGCGACTGGAATACGTCGGCGCGCACGTCGGCGACGGCGCAGCTGGTCCTGCATGCGGTGGTTCGGCAATGGGAGGCGGACACGCTGCTCGAGGCCTTTGACGAGGCGCGACGTGCGAAGAAGGAAGGCTTTGTGTCGGTGGCCGCCATGCTAGAGGCGCTCCTGCCCTACACAGAGCGGCACTATGCGCGGGTCGACCGCATGCTCGTGGAGAGTGCCATGTTGGACTATACGCTGCAGGCGATGGACGGTGTGCTGGGTCCTGTGGCCGACGCGGAGGCGGACACGAGGAACGATGTGGCCGTCGACGATGTGGATATGGACGAGGCAGCTGAGGTGGCAGAGGCAGACGACTCAGAGGTAGAATAGCTACACAAACATGCCTAGATCGTGCCGCGCATAGTCGTTGCGCTCGTCGTCGTGGTCCACGAGCGACGGGTAGTAAGCGACGAGAGCGTCTTGCGCACCCACATAGTTGGTGTTGTACGTGCGCACGTACGCCTCGCGCACCTTGCGGGCAGGGTGGAAGAGGCCCTGCAGTGTATGGTACAGAATCACGCCGGGCCCGAGCGACACGCGCAGCGCTTCCACGGCGTCCATCACAGCATTGATCACGTGCGGCGACGTCTCGAAGATGTTGGGCCACACGAGGTTCAGCAGGTGCTGCATCGCGTCCTCCTTGCCGAGGCCGGCCGTGCCCAGTGCGAGGTGCCTGACGATGCTCGCGGCGGTCTGGCGATGCACAACGTCGCGGTCCGTGAATGCATCGTCGAGCAGTGTGACCACACTGTACACATAGTCCTTGCTCATCTCGCCAATGTATTCAAAAACCCAGCTGAGCGCCTTGAGGCACCCGTGCTTCACGTTCAGCTCGGGCGTGCGATACTCATTCAAAATCGCAGGCAGGCAGGTGAACGGCCCACACGTCTCGGCCACGATCGCGATCGCGACCGTAGAGCACACTCGGCTCTGGCGCTCCTGCACACGCAGGTTCGTCAACAGAACTTGCAGCACATCCTGTGGCCCAATCGCCTTGGCAATGTACCCAAAGCTGTTGATTGCCGCGCGCCGCACCGCCTTCTTGTGCGCCTTGAGCAGGTCCAGCAGCTCGAAACAGATACGCATCCACTCGCGCGCACTCACAAACTCGGCGCCGCGATCCGCGATACGCCCGATTAGGTTGATGCTCGCTTCTTGGACACGCTCGTGGCGGTTGCGCAGGATCGGCGTCATGCGCGGCAGCAAATCCTTCACCGGCGGGTTCATTTGCGTCATGCCCACCACGTTGGCAATCGCGCCCTCCGCAGCAATAATCGACGCGAGCGCCTCAGGGAACTCTTCGCCCAGCTGCTCAAAGAGCACCACGCCCAGGTTCGACAGCAGTGAGTCCTCGCCACACTGCTTGATCACGACCGCGAGCTTGGTTGTGAGATCCGCAGCTTGCTGCCGCGTGCTCGCATTCTTGTTGTTCAACCGCCAGAGGATCGTCGATACAATCTGCATCAGGTACGGCTTGATCCGCATACCCAGCGCATTCGCAATCGTGCCTGTGCCGTCCAGCATCACCGAGTCCTCCACCGACTGCTCCTGGAATGCATACATCATGCCGTCCACGAGCTGCACCTCCAGCCGCTCATCCACGTCCGCGGTGCCCAGCGTGCCAACCACGTGCTGGATCGTGTCCATGGCCATGCGGCGGAACGGCTCGCTGTCGTCCTTCAAAAAGTGCACGAGGCGTCCCACAACCTCGCCGACGCCCACTTTCTCGGCCAGTGCACGCGTCGATTCCACGACCTCCTTAAAGTTGCGGCGGTCCAGCGCCATGCGACGCACCCAAAAGTGCTTGAAAAAGTCGGGCACCAGCTCCGAGCGCAAGAACGTGCCTGTGACACCGTCGGTCGCCGCCGCCTGACGCACGACGCGCAGCACAATGCGCCGCATATCGTCGTCGGCGCTCTGAAACTCGCGGATGAGCGTCGGCGTCACTTCCTTGACAAAGTACAGCGTGCTGTCCGAGTCCATGAGAGGGATGATAAAGCCGATCGCCTTCAAGAATGCAGCGAGACCTTTGCCCCGGTGATGCCGAATACCGACCCACAGCGGCTTGAGCACATTCTCAAAGCTTTCAATACCGTACGGCGCGGAGGCCTCGGCCAGCGCCGACAGGGCCAGCGCTGTCATCGTCTTGACTTTCTGCTGCTCATCCTCAAGACCCTGACCGATGCAGTCAATCAAGCCTTTGAGATGCGGTAGCACAGCGCAGCCCATCATGATCGCCATTTGCTGTACCACACGAATCGCCGTATGCCGCGCCTGCCAGCTCTTCTTCGAGCGGCATACCGCGCGGAGGAACGGCAGAATCGCAGGAATACCCAGCGCGGATGCCACCACAGCCAAGGCACGCGCCGTCGTGTTCCGCACGTACTCGTCCGCATGGTCAATGTCTGGGCGCATCGTGCTGATCATATGGGCGAGTCCGGCTGCCTTGGCCAGGTTGCTGATAATCTCGCGGCCCTCGATACGCACATAGTAGTCCTCGTCAATGAGCAGTGGCTCAATCACCACTAAGATGCGGTGGACGTACGGCCGCACGAGGTCGTCCAGCTTGTACAGGACCCGGTCAATGACCTTGACCAGTAGGTGCCGCTCATGGTCCTCCAGCGTACGCTCCATAAGCAGCGGCAAGATCTTGTCAAACAGCGGCCCAGGCCCAAAGTCCCGTGCGCCATCGGCAATCTGCCGCAGCGCCTGCTTCCGCAGCTGCGGCGTACCGTTCTTGATCTTGAGCAGCAGGCGCATGATCTCGCGCTCCTTGGCTTCAGCACGAGATAGGCGCTCCTCTTCGTCGTCTTCTTGGAGCACCTTGCCAAAGTACTTTTGGTCCTCGGGTTTCATAAATGCAAGCTGCCCAACGCCCGGCACATCGGTAGGCAGATCCGCCACAATATCGTCGGCCATCGAGCCGAGCGTCGACGACTCGTGCATGGTGAAGCCCTCGTTGCCCTCGGGCGCCTCGGCCAACTTGTGCGCGCCGGTGCGGATGGGCGCATAGTCAGGCGGCGGCTCGACAATGATATAGCCCTCGCTCGGAAGAAGCGCATCAAGCTCTGCATCTGACATAAATCGCACGCGAGGATTGCGCGGCGCACTCCCCTCAGCGGCAGGTACCTCGTCCCACCGCGAGCGCTTCTTCGTCGCCTCGTCCGCCGGCGCCTCGTCCCAGCGCGAACGCTTCTTCGTTTCCTCAGCAGGGGGCGCATCGTCCGGTGCCACATCCCAGCGGCGCTTGCGCTCCACGCGCGGTGTGGCTGGCGGGGTCACGTCTCGCTCCTTCGCGTCTGCATCGTCTTTGCCACCCTGCTCAGCCTCGCGCTCCTTGTCCTCAATAATGCGGCGCACACGCTGCTCCTCACGCTCTAGATTGGCGCGGCGCATGGCTTCTCCGTACCCTTCATCTTCCTGTGCACCATCCGCCGAGAATGGATCGCGTCGGTCTGGGCCCAGATCCCGCTGGAAGCGCCGGTTATGGTAGTCCGACTGCCGCGCGGCAATCTGGCGCTGCGCCACGCGGTCCGCGAGTGGATCAAACGAGTCGTCAGCGAATTCATTAAGTAGATGCTGGGGTGCAGAAAACGCGTCCAGAGGGTTTGCACGTCGGTGCGCGGCGCCAATGTCGTCGTCATCGTCGCCAGCGTCGCCGTAGCTGCGATCGGTCGGCAGCGAGTCGACGTACGACGAACGCGATGTGCGCGCGCCATAGGTCTCCTCGTCGCCTTTCGTACTCCCGAAACCAATGTCGCCCTTGTTGGCCTGTCGTGTAGCCTGCAGGCGCTGGACGTCGTCCAGCTCCTGGTTCGACATGGTCGCCACCGAGACTAGGAACGACGGCGCGCGCGGCAGGTCTTTCATCACGTGATTTGACGACAAAGCGGTGGCGTCGTCTCCTAGCGGCAACGGCCAGGATGGCGCCGAGGGCGAAGGCGGGGGACAAGCAAGGGTCGGAGCTGGTACGCAAGAGTGCCGGTGGCGAATACACGTTGAGAGATGTGCAAATAGGTGCCAAGTTGTTCGTCGAAAAGACGAATCCGGACAATGGAGAAGACGAGCAGCGACTGGCCGAGGTGTTGTCGATCCGAGAGCGACGTCAGAACCGTCTACATATGTTACAGGCGATGCAAGAGCGTGGTGATGAATGCATCGAGGAGAAGGAGCCTGAGATCGACTTTTATGTGCACTACTGCGACTTTAACAAGCGTCTCGACGAATGGGTACCCTCGACGCGGCTTGTCCTGTCGCGCGAGATGGAGTGGCCCAAGCCGCCCGAGCCTGCGACGAACAAGCATACGAAGCGCAAGGTCGTGCAGGGTGTGCGCTCGGTGCAGACCACACCGACGCCCGGCACGTCGCCGAGCGCGAGTGTTGAGGACGTGAAAGAGGAGGAGACCTTTAGCAAGGAGAAAGAGGTCGAGAAGCTGCGCACCTCGGGCTCCATGACGCAGTGTGCGAGTGAAATATCGCGCGTGAAGAACCTTAATATGCTGCAAATGGGCAAGCACCAGATCGAGGCGTGGTATTTTAGCCCCTACCCGATGGAGTATGCCTACATCGACTGCCTGTATGTGTGCGAGATGTGTCTATCGTACTATCCGTCTGAATTTATGCTCAAACGCCACCGGCACAAGTGCACGATGCTGCACCCACCCGGCAACGAGATATATCGGTGCGACGACATTAGTTTTTTTGAGATCGATGGCCGCCGCCAAAAGACATGGTGCCGCAACCTGTGTTTGCTCAGCAAGTGCTTCCTGGACCACAAGACGCTGTACTATGACGTGGATCCGTTCCTCTACTACATCATGTGCCAGCGGGATAATGCCGGGTGCCACTTGATCGGCTACTTTTCTAAGGAGAAGGAGAGCGCCGAGGGCTACAACGTTGCCTGTATTCTGACGCTGCCGCAGCACCAGCGCAGTGGCTTTGGGCGCCTTCTCATCGAGTTTTCGTACGAACTGTCCAAGCGCGAGAACAAGCTCGGCAGTCCAGAGAAGCCCCTCTCGGACCTGGGACTGCTCGGCTACCGAGCCTACTGGTCCGAGACCATTGTGGAGCTGCTGCTCCAGACGGACGAGGACATTAGTATTGACGAGATTGCCACCAAGACCTCGATTGTGCATGCGGACGTGCTGCAGACGTGTCAGGCGCTGAATATGCTCAAGCAGTACCAGGGCAAGCACTACCTTGTCCTGTCCGATGCGATCATCGAGAAGCATGAGCGTCAAATGAAGAAAAAGCGTCGGCGAATCCATCCAGAGCATCTGAACTGGAAACCGCCGGTGTTTACGCGCGACCAGCTTCGCTTTGGCTGGTAGTTGTATAGTAGGAATCTGTACAGGAGCCCATCACCTGGCTGCGCAACCCGTCGAGAAACGCCGCAGGATACAGGAGCCAGGTGTCCCACGCGTCGAGCACGGCAAGGATCGGCCCTCGCACCTTTTCGGCGGTCATGCGCCCCGGGCAGGCTCGCACCGTCGCACCGAGATGCGCAAAGATCGGCGGAAGGTGGACCTGGAAGGCGTCGCGGTATTTCCACGCGCCAGGGACCGGCGCCGCCCCGTTGCACAGGATGTCAGAGACAACATACAGCCGCGCCAACTTGCGTGGGATCGGCGTCGAGGCAATTTGGAGCGAGTTTGCCAGGATGGCCGCCAGGGTATCTGCCGCCTGTGCATGGTCAAGAGCGAGCACCATGCAGCGTGCAATGCGCTCGCGACGCAGGGTCAGGCTGCGCAGCATGGCTTTGAAGCGCTGAGCAGCGAGGGGGCCGAGTGTCGTTGACGTCTCGGCCTCAGAGGCCTCCTCCGAGTCGGTAGAATACAGCGATGCATACCCATCATCAGCGAACGACACACCCATCTCTGGATCGGCAGCAGGCCGTGCATGCTCTCCACGGTGTCGGTATGCGATGCGGCGCCGTGGCCGAGGCGCATCGCGTGCAGGAAAGGCCGGTACGGCAGGGCAAGGCACGGGCGGTGCCCACGCCACCTGAAGTCGTGCTGCGCCCCAGGCGCGTCCAGGGGCCTGTGTGTGCGCACGCTCTGCATCGGCGCGGTCCATGAACGCCACGTACCCTGCGCGTCCGTCTGGGGCATCGCGGATCTCGACGAGCGCAACGGCGCCCCATTCGGCAAAGAACAGGCCTAGCGAGCGTTCGTCTGCAAGAGGGGGTATTGGGCGCACGCAAAGATTGGTCGATAGGTCGACAGTCGAGTCCCGCGGCGCCGTGTCTGGGCGCGGTGGCGGAGCGACGGCCGCCACTTCGGGCGCCCTAGGTTCGCGCTGCTGCATTTGCGCAACGAGTGACGACAATGGACCATGCCGCGGCTGCTTGCGCGCGGGCATAGGTGCCTCGTCCGGCTCATCGTCGGCAAACGCCCGCGACACGCTCGGCGCCGGTCGCCGCGACGGCCCAGCGTCGCGCATCGCGCAAGTGGAGGCGCAGAGCACGATCGACTCGTCGAGTTGCACTGGCAGTCGAATCCTACGATAGTATGGACGCAAGGAAGCTCGGAATATGGGCTCTCACGCATCTCCCGCCAGTGGGAGATTCTCCAGACGGAGCCGAACGCAAGAGGCCAGACAACGCTTTTTTGGGGAGTCAGGGTCAGGCCGCGATGGCGCACTTAGTCCCAGCTCGAGGTAGCAGGCGCAGCGGCGCCCGTGTCGGCGGCCCAGTCCTGGGCAGCCTCAGCGCTCCAGTCGACCTGCTCGTGGCCGGCGGCGAGGTTCGCGGCGATCGACGGGTTCACGCCGCCGGCACCAGCGCCCTCAATGGCAAAGTCCACCGACTCGATACCGGCGTCCTGGATGGCGTTGGCAGCAGCAGCCTGCTTGGCCAGGGCGGCCTCGGCCTGCTCGCGCTCAATCTCCTCAGGGTCGCGGTAGAAGAACATGTCGACCATGACGTTCCAGCCGTTGGGGGTGCGGGGCACAATGCCGCGGAGACGCAGGAACTCACGGCAGAGCAGCCACCACATGAGACCGATCGAGTGACGGCCCTTGTTGTTGGCGGGGATGGCCACGTCGACGTGGCGCAGGGGGGCGTCGGTGTCGCACAGCGCAATCACGGGAATGTTCACGTACGACGACTCGCGGATGGCCTGGTGGTCCACGCGCGGGTCAGTCACCACGATCACGCGGGGCTCCTTGAAGGAGCGAGTGATGTAGTTGGTGAACGAACCGGGAGTGAAGCGGCCGGCAATGGCGGTGGCGCCGGTGTTCGCGGCGAACTTGAGCACGGCGCGGTGGCCGTAGGTGCGGCTCGAGATCACGCAAATGTCGGCGGGGTTCTCGACGGTCGCCAGGATACGGGCGGCGAGCACGAGCTTCTCCCACGTCTTGCCGATGTTGATCAGGTGGATACCGTCAGCACGGCGCTTGTGGACGTAAGGAAGCATCGCCTTCTCGCAGTTCTTGGTACCGATGTGGACCTGAGCAGCGAGAATGAGGCTGATGTCCTCGGGCGTGGGGTTCAGGGCGGCAGGGTGCTTGTCGGCCATGGTGGATCCTAGTGGTCAGGCACCGCGGGACGTACCTACTCCAGAAAGGTGCGTGTGAAGAAGAATGAGCGCCGTGCCGCGGTGCAGAAGGTATGTTCGGCCGAGCGTAGTAGTTGGTCACGTGTAATATAGTACTGCGGCCGGGGGACTCGCGTGCGCGCGTGGAGCGCGGCGGCGAAGAGGCGAGCGGATTTTCCCACAGGGCTGAGAACGTACAGCTTCGACTCCCTCAACGAACAAGGTGCGTAGTCTTTGCGGCCGCCGTGGGTGTGCTCCGTCCCTTGCGAAGAATGGCTACTAACACTTTTTAGCAAGATGTCTGAGCGTGGACGTGGTGGCTTTGGACGTGACCGTGGCCGTGGCCGCGGTCGTCGCGGTGCGCGCAAGGATGAGAAGGAGGAGTGGGGTGCGTATCGACCGTGCTAACGACAGTGCCTGTCACCTCGCTCGGTCGTCTCGTCAAGGACGGCAAGATCAAGTCGATGGAGGAGATCTACCTGTTCTCGCTCCCCATCAAGGAGTACCAGGTTGTGGACATGCTCCTGCCCAAGCTTACGGATGAGGTGATGAAGATCACGCCCGTTCAGAAGCAGACTCGTGCCGGTCAGCGCACCCGCTTCAAGGCGTTCGTGGCCATTGGTGACTCGGACGGCCACCTGGGTCTCGGTGTCAAGTGCGCTAAGGAGGTGGCCACGGCCATCCGCGGTGCCATTATCATGGCCAAGCTCTCGATCATCCCTGTCCGCCGTGGCTACTGGGGTAGCGCCCTCGGTAAGCCCCACACGGTGCCGACCAAGGTGTCGGGCAAGACGGCGTCGGTTATGTGCCGTCTTGTCCCCGCCCCCCGTGGTACGGGTATTGTGGCCTCGCCGGCGCCGAAGCGTCTGCTTCAGCTCGCTGGTATCGAGGACGTGTACACGCAGTCGAAGGGTCAGACCGCCACTATGGGTAACTTCCTGAAGGCCACCTTCGAGGCCGTGTCGAAGACCTACGCGGTCCTTACGCCGGACCTCTGGCAGGAGGTGCCGGTCCCTCCGACGCCCTACGTGGAGCATGCCACGCACCTTGCGCGTGCCGGCAAGAAGCTCCACTAACGGCCACCTAGCTCGTCGTAGCTACAAAATTGCACAGTCTGATGCCAATAGAGGGATTCGCGAGCCGGCGGCGGCAGCGCTCCGATATATCACGTGATTAGCCGGCGGGCTCCGCGGCGGGCGCCAGCACGGCGGGTCAGCGCTCCTCCCTCTCGTCGACGACGATCATGATTGCCCGTGCCTTCTCGCCCTCGACGAACGCCGCCCGTGCCGTGCGCGTGGCTGGCCAGCAGGTGCGCTACGCCTCGAACCTGCCGATCCCCCCGAAGATTGCCACGCCCAAGAGCGTCGGCAGCGGCAGCACGGGCAGCAACACCGACGCTGTGGTTGACTTTTACAAGGCTCTGCCCAAGGGTCCCGAGCCTGAGAAGCGCGTGACTGGCATCAAGGCCAAGTACTTTGATGGAAAGAACGCCAGCGGCAAGCCGCTCGTCGCCACCATTGCTGCCCTGATGCTCTTCGGCTATGCGCTCGAGTACAACGGCCACCTGAGTATGTATGTCTGACTGACGCCCAGAGCACCACAAGAACGCCCACCACTAGGTATAGGACGGTACTTGCCAAGCCTGACCCGACTCTGTGTCGTACGTGTGCCGCGCCGGCAGAGCCCGCTCCGCGGTCGCACTACGTATGGGCCTCTATAGCTGCGCGCCTCTATAGCCGTCGCGCGCCCTGCCGACGGACACGGCAGGCTGCTGCGTGGACGCGCGCTACCGCGGGCGGAACGGGCGCAGCGCTGGCGGCCGCCAAGTGGAGCGTTTCGCTGTCGCGCCATGTTCCAGTATACCCCGCCGCGGACCAGCGCGCTCTCGTTTACGCAGCTGGTCCTGTCGGACACGCTGCAGGCAGAGCTCATGCAGGCGACGCAGCTGCGCGCCACGCTCGAGCAGCTGCTGCGCCAGGCGCCGCCCGTGGAGCCGCTACGCCTCGTCCAGGTACGTGCGTGGCTATTGACGCAGGCCGTCAGCGAGTACCTGCCCTACGCGCAGGCGCTGTACGACAGTATGCTGAGGGACGCGATCCTCTTGCAGCAGGAGCCGACATTTACGTGGCGCTCAATCCTGGTGCCTGGCACACAGGTGCAAGTCTGTGGCCTCGCGGGCGAGCTGAGTGCGATGCATGTGCTGTATGGGATTGCGCTCAGCAACGAGGCTGCCGCCATGGTCGACGCGCTGGGCGCGTACGAGGTAGACCGCAGCCTCAGCACGGCAGAGCGCCGCGCGCGCGATGAGCGCCTCAAAGTGGCCACCGACCTGCTCAGCCGCGCGAGTGGCGTGTTGGATCATGCGGGGACCCATGTGCTGCCCGCGTACGAGCGCACTGCGCCAGCGGCGCGCCCCCTTGAGCTCACCGCCAGCGGCCTGCAGGCGCTGTCCCGCACCGTGCTGGCCGACGCGCACGCGCTGGCGATCCGCAAGCTGCAGGCGCCGGCGCTGGCGCAGGCCACCGACACACTGACGCCCGGCCCGCCGCTCCCAGCGGGCCATCCGTCGCCGAGCCTGCTCGCCAAGCTGCACCTGCACACGTCGTCGCTGTATGACGAGGCGCATGCGCTCTTGAGCCAGGGAGTGCGTGCCCCTGCGGCGCCGCGAGCCAAGCTCCAGGAGACCCTGCACAAGATGAAACTGGATCCGAGGGCGCCGGAAGCCGCCACGAGTGGGCTGCGGTACATGCGACGCGAGGCGCAGTGGCACCGGGCGCTGGCCTACAAGTGGCTCGGCGTGGATGCGGGCGAGCAAGGGGGCGATGTGGGGTGGGGCATCGCCTACCTGCGCACGGCGCTCGAGCTGCTGCAGGCGCTCGTCCCACGGCCGGCGCTGGACGCCCTGCGTGGGGCGCGGCGCTCAGGCTCCGTGCGCTTCCGCACGACGGAGGAACGCATGGCCCTCGAGCACGCGAGTGTCTCGCGCTGGCTGGGCGCCTACACGAAGACCAACGATACCGTCACGTTCCACCGCGTGCCGGCGCCGCAGGAGGTGCCGCAGTACACGCCCGAGGGGCGCCCTGCGCTCTTTGCGAAGCCGTTTGAGCCGCGCGTTGCGTTCCATGTGGATGCCGTGTCGCCTGACGCGCGGGCTGTGCCTGGCGGCTGTGAGCCCCCACGCACGTATGCGGGCGCCGACGCGTACTACTAGCGAGCATAAGACAAGATAGCTACGTTCACTGCTGCTTGCACTCCTGGGGGTCCTGGCGCGCAGGCGGCGCATCGTCGTCCTCGTCGTCGTCGTCCTCGTCGTCGTAGTCATCCAACGCATCCTCATCGTCCCACTCGTCTGCATTCTCCACCTGCAGGGCCTTGCCGGTGAAGAAGTCGATCGCGTGCGGGATGATGCGGTCCTTGAGGTCCTCGCCAACCTGGTAGTCGAGCTCGAGGCGCTCCTCGAGCGCGTCCAGCTCGTCCTCGTCCGCGTCGTCGTCGTCGCTCGGGGGCACGGGCGGCGCAAAGAAGTGGAAGAACGAGTCGGTGGGGACGAGCCGCTTGACGGTGCGTGTCTCGTTTGTGTTCTTGTTGCGCTGCTTCTTCGTCTCGACGCGGTGCGTCAGGTCGTTCTCCGCGGACGTCCATGCAATCTCTGTGCCCTCGGCGTGGTCGTACACGAGGTCGCCGGAGAGGCCGACCTCGTCCTGGTAGAAGTACGTCTTGGTGAGCACCTCGTTCGTGAAGAACTCGTTCTTCGCAAAGACGAACAGCAGCTGGAAGCCCTGCTGCGCCTGGTCCGGCGCAGCGTCGCCCTGGCTGTCCAGGTAGCGCAGGCGCACGTCCGTGAGGTGGCGCAGCGCGCCCTCGTCGCGCTCCGTGATCAGCTCCGAGAGCGCCACGTGGTTCTTCAGCGCGGTGAGCCAGAACTCAGGCACACCCTTCGGCGCGTCCGTCTTGATCGAGATGTTCGCGAGCGAGCGCGGCTTCTCGCGCGGCGCCTCGTCCTCGTCCTCCGCGTCCTCGTCCTCCTCGTCGTCCTCCGGGTCGACGGCCTCGCCAGCCTCGACCTCCGCGGCGGTCGGCTCCACGGAGCCAAGCACAATTTCACGGCGGCGCGCGTACAGCGGCTCGTAGCGCTCCGCAAACGCCTTCTCGAGCGCCAGGAGCTCGCGCTGGAACGCCGCCTCGAGCTTCTGGTGCTCCACGTTGAGGCCCTTGAGTCCCTCCACGCGGCGGCGCACCTCGTCCGGCAGCGACTCGATGTAGCCCGACGAGCGGCCGACCAGCGTCGACAGGCGGTCCTGGATCATACCCGTCAGCGCCGCGCTCGGCAGGCCGGCGACCGCGTCGGAGGCGCCCTCGTCCTCTTCGCCAATCGTCGGCACCGCCGGGCGGGCCAGCGCCTCGCGCTCAATCGGTGCATTGCTCAGTGGTGTGTTCTGCGGCGTAGGGGCCGTCAGGTCCGAGTCTTTTTTCCTGGCGTCAGCGCATCCTACGCACTTTCCAATGTCCATCGTGGCGGGCGGAGTCGTCGCAGCCGGGGCCCTCCGCGTGTGGGGGTCAGGAAATATGCCGTCACGTTGTGTCCCGCGGCGCACGTGGCCGCCGCCGTGGCCGCCGCTCCGCCGGCGGAGCAGCGACGCGAGGCGCGATGGCTACGCCCGAGCGCCCGCGCGACGTGGCCGCACACGTCGACCGTCTCCTCGCCGAGGCGGGCGGCATTGAGCAGGGTCACCTGCAGAGCGCGCAGGCGCGCGTCCATGCCGCTCTCGCTGAGAACCGCGCGCACGCCACGGCGCTGCGCGAGCGCCTCGCGCACGGCGCGGCGCCGTCGGCGACGCACGAACCTGCGGCGAGCGCACTGCTGCAGGCGCTCGCCACGCTCGAGACGCATGCAAGCCGTGCGGAAGCGAGTGTCGGCGAGATCACCGCCGATATCCGGTGGCTCGACATGGCGAAACGCCACGTTGCGCAGTCCATCGTCACGCTGCGCCGTCTGCAGATGCTCGTGCGCAGCACGTTCCAGCTCGAGCAGCTGTGCGATGGCCGGCAGTTCCGCGAGGCGGCGTCTGCGCTGCAGGCCGTGCAGGCGCTCCTCGAGTACTTTGCGCCGTTCGAGCGCGTGCCGTACGTGCTCGAGCAGCGCACCAAAATGGAGCAGCTGCACGAGCGCCTGCGCACCATGGTCCTCGCCGAGTACGAGCGCGCGTTCCAGGCGCCGCGCGCGCGCTGGGACGCGCGCGAGTCCGTGCTCCCCGACGCTGCCCTCGTCGTCGAGGCGCTCGGCGCCGACGTCCGCGACGCCCTGATGGATACCTACTGCACGCGCCAGCTGCGCGAGTACCGCCGCGTGTTCCGCGCCGTCGACGAGGCGGGCCAGCTGGACAATGTGGCGCGGCGCTACGCGTGGCTCCGCCGCCTGCTGCGCACCTGGTCCGACGAGCACGCGCCAGCCTTTCTGCCGGCGTGGCACGTCGACCGCCGCCTGCTCGCGCTATTTGCCGAGCTCACCTTCGACGACCTGCGCAGCACGCTCGTGCGCGAGCAGCCGCGCCTGCACGTCGATATGCTGCTGAGCGCCCTGCATGCCACGCAGGAGTTCGAGGCGCAGGTCGCGCGGCAGTACGGCGAGCCTTGGGCGCGCGTCGTCGGGACGCGCCGCCTGTCCGATGCGTTCGCGCCGTACCTCGGCGTGTTTGTCGAGGCACAGGACAAGCAGCTCGCCGAGATGCTCGCGCAGCAGGCGCCCGCGCCGGGCGCCAGCGCGGCTGCCGCTGCTGCGTCGCGTGTGCCGGAGCCGGGCCTGAACGACGAGCCGGTGCGTGTGCTCGCGTCGTCGACGGACCTCGTCACCTTTTACCGGCAGACGCTCGAGCGGTGTGCGCAGCTCGGCCCCCATGCGCCGGTGCGCGAGCTCGCGCAAGTGTATGCCAAGTGGCTGAAGCGCTATGCCACGGATGTGCTGCTGCCCATGGCGCAGCAGTCGCGCGACACGCTCGAGCTGTGCACGGTACTCAACACGGCCGACTATGGCTCAACGACGTGCACGCAGCTGGCGCAGCGCGTGACCGAAAAGCTGCGCGCACTCGAGGGCGCCGCCGAGGCGCCGCCGTGCGTGCTCGACGCCGAGAAGGAGGCGTTCGTCGGCGTCGCGGCGGCGGCCCTGCAGGCCCTGGTGCGTGGGCTAAGTACGTCGCTGGACGGCGCGTTCCACGCGCTCCTCCGCCCAGACGTCCCGTGGACGCAGCGCGAGACGGTGGACGACAAGTCGCCGTGGGTCGATCTGCTCGCGAGCGGCCTCGAGAGCGTGGCCGTCGTCGTGCGGCACCACGTCGAGAACAAGAGGTACGTGCGCGCGTGGTGCGACAAGGCCGTGACCCTGGTCACGACGCGCCTCCTGCAGACGATCGTACGCCTGCGTCCCGTGCGCGCGCGCGCCGCCGCGCAGTGGCTCGCGGACGTGCAGCATGTGCGCAAGATGCTGCACGAGCTGCCGCACTTTTCAGCGCCGGGCCGGGCCTGGGAGGCCGGCGGCGCGCCGCAGGCGATGCAGGCATCGTACGTGCGCCTCGTCGACCGCGCGGTCGCCAAGCTCGAGCCGATCCTGCGCGTGCTCGCGGGCCCCGAGGAGCCCGCGGCGATGGTCGCGGCGTACCGCGAGCACGTGCAGGACCAGGCGCTCGCGAACTTCCAGAAGCTGCTCGATCTGCGCGGCCTGCGGCGCCCGGACCAGACGCCGTGGGTAGAGGCGTTCCTCGCGGCGATCGATCGTGCGCCGGAGGCGCTGCCGACGACGTCGGCGCTGTCGGCGCTGCAGCTCGACCCGAATGCGGACGTATATGCGCTGCCGGAGCTCGGCGAGCGCCGCGACGAGTCGCACGATACGCTGTCGCCGAACCGGCCCAGCACGCCGTCGAGCGCGACGGCTCTCTCGCTGCCCGACTGGAAAAAGTTCGGTAGCATGTTTGGTGTGGCCCTCGGGCAGCGCCGCCCATAGGCACTGGTATCAGCTATGCAAGGCGCACGAGGCGCGCGATGTCGGCGGAGGGCAGGTCGCCGCGGACGGCCACGCGCCTGTGCAGGGTGTCGGGACTCGCGGTGTCCGGCGTGTGCGGCGCAGTGTCCCGCAGCGCGTCGTCGGCGGCAGCGAGCACGCGGCCCATGGCCACGGCGTGCTCCGGCGAGGCCGTGCGGACCCATACGAGGCCATTCACGCCCACGGCTGCCTCGAATGAAAAGTGCGCGGCCACATGCTTCAGCAGCTGGTGCTGGGGGCGCAGGAGGCTCTGGGCGAGGGAGCACGCCACCGGCCACACCATCGCCGTGTCGGGCTCCGTGCTCTTGAGCTCGCCGAGCCCCTCGGCCTTGCCGGTGACGGCGTCCACGCAGCTGATCTCAGGCTCCGTCCACGCCTCCGCGCGCACGACGCGCGCGTACACGAGCGCGCCGATCTCGAGGTTCGGCCGGTTGCGCCGCGTCGCGCCCTCGAACGCCAGCACCGGCAGCGTCGCGCTGTGCGCGGCGAACAGCGTCACCGTATACGACTCCATGCCGCGGTTCGTCACTTGCCCGATCACGCGGTCGCCAGCCACCGGCACGTACCGCCGCTGCAGGCCGTCGACGTACCATGCGTGTACGGGGGGCGCGGCGCCCGCGCGAGACCGCTCCGCCTTTTCGACGTGCCCCAGCGCACCGGCGCGGAAGGCCGTGAGCGACACGGCGCCGTCCTCCGTGCGTGCCGGCGTCGGCAGCACGCCTGGACCCAGCTTGGTCTGCGCCATGGATGGCGCCGCGTCGCGGATCTCGTCGCCCGGCAGTACTACGACCATGGGCGCAAAACGGGCGTTCCGGCCGGCGTAAATGCGCCGATTTTCATGTGGAGCGCCGAGGTCTTTCTCTTTTTCACCTACGTCTCCATGGTACGTTCGCCCAGACGCCCGGCCCAGGATGCTTGTCTATCTTATCCACATTATCCGAGCACGACTCCGACGACAACACAACGACACTGAGGCCCGGGCTCAGCTAGGGACGCGGCTCACACCCAGAATCTCGATGGCGCCCGTAGCAACGTAGACACTGCGCGTTTGGCCCATAGCCCGCCGCCCACCGTGACCTGGCAGGCTGCTGCTGCTGCTGCTGCTGCTGCTGCTGCCGCCGCCGCCGCTGCGCACGCTGCCGCGGTGCCGCTCTTGCCCGGCCGCTCGCAGGCGCCCTTGGAGGCCGCGTACTATCACGTGACACACTGCCCGCGCCGCTCTGTCGCTGCGGGCGGCGCTCCGACGTCCCATCACGATGAGTGGCCTTCTGCGTCGTTCCCTGCTGGCCGCGCGCCCCCCCAGCGCGCGTGCCATGTCGTCGAGTGTGCGCATTCTCAAGAGTGCCGATGCGCCTGTGCCGGCGAGCGAGGCGACCGCGAAGCGTGACCTGGTCGACGAGCAGGTGAGCCGGATCGGCGACCCGGCCCCTGTGTCGCTCGTGAGCGATGCGCCGGGTACGTGCATGTCCTAACACGCAGAATCGCTCCACCAGCGCACTGTGCGCATCTTCCAGCCGGCCAAGCCCGCGACGATGTCCGGCAAGGCCGGCACCAAGGACTGGCGCGTCGACTTTGACATTCTCCAGGGCTCGGGCCGCTGGGAGAGCCCGCTCATGGGCTGGGCCAGCACGTACGTACCTCCCTCTGACCCCAGTGCCGATAGCCAGCAGGCCCTGTCGATGAAGTTCGACACGAAGGAGGACGCCATCCACTTCTGCGAGAAGCAGGGCTGGAACTTTTTCGTCCAGGAGCCCCACAAGGCGCGCATCCCGATCAAGAGCTACGCGGACAACTTCAAGCACTCGCCCGGCAAGCTGCGTATCGTGCACACCAAGTAAGCTCCGTAGCCCATAGTCGCCTGTGCCACGCGAGCCGCGGCGCTCTCCTCCACACTCGTCGCCATGGTCCGGTACGGGCAGCTCGTTGTACGTGCTGGCGGGTCACTGACGCGCAGGTTGGGCCGCCCGGCTCGGGCAAGACGACCTACTGGTAGGCAGCGCACGGCATTAACGGCAGCCACGGCATGCACCAGTTTCTCACGGCGCTGGAGCGTGGCGTGCACATTGTGAACCTGGATCCCGCCAACGACACGGTGCCGTACCCCTGCGCGATATCGCTCGCCGAGCTCATATCCGTCCGCGACGTCATGGAGGAGCTCCAGCTTGGGCCGAATGGAGCGATGCTCTACTGCATGGAGTACCTGGAGCACAACCTCGACTGGCTCGAGGCGCGTCTCGCGGCGCTCGAGCACGACTATGTCATCTTTGACCTCCCCGGGCAGGTCGAGCTCACGACGAACCACCCGAGCCTGACGCGCATCCTCGAGCGGCTGCAGAAGCAGGACTGGCGGGTACGTGCGCGCCGCTGACGCCAGCTGGTCGCCGTGCACCTCTCGGACGCGACGCATATCACCGATCCCGCGCGCTACGTGGCCCTACTCATGCTCGCGCTGCGCGCGATGCTCATGCTCGAGCTCCCCCACGTCAATGTGCTGAGCAAGATGGACCTGCTGGACGACGCGCAGCAGGAGCAGCTCGGTACGTGCGGCGGCTAACGCAGCGTTCCCGCTCGACTACTATACCGAGGTCCAGGACCTCCGCTACCTGTCCGACCACCTCGCCGAGACGCAGCCGCGCGTCGCGCGCATGTGCGCCGTGCTCGGCGAGCTCGTGGAGGACTTTGGCCTCGTGGCCTTCGAGCCGCTGGCGGTGGAGGACCAGGCCTCGATGCTGCATCTGCTCGGCGTCCTCGACCGCGCGATTGGCTACACTGTAGAGGGCGCTGCATAGACCCACATGCCTGTCCCCCCCGCCGGCCGACGCTCCCACCGGCTCTCGATGCGTGTCGTGGCGTGGTGGCTCTGTGTCGCCGCGCTCGTGCCGCTGGCGGTGCAGGCGGCCGCGAACGCAACGGCGATGCCTGTTCTTGCGCTCGTCCCCACGAACATCTCCTCGTCATGCTACACGCTGCTGACGCAGCTGGACGAGGACCACGTATTCGACGAGTGCACACAGCCACTGATCAACGCGACGAATGCCTTTGCGACGTCGTCGCAGGGCCCGCAGCCCGCGAATATGTCGAGCGCGCTGCAGGGCCTGTGCGCGGCCAACGACGGGTGCGATCGCCCGCTCGTGCACCAGTTTATCGCGCAGTTCTGGGACCAGTGCGCCGACGAGCTCGAGGCACGGCAGGACCAGGTCGTCCAGCTGTACGAATACCTGTACATCTTCATTCCATTCCGCGATGCGATCTGCTCCCGGAACCAGCAGGGCGACTATTGCCTCTCGGCGCTCGCGCCCAGCATGGCGGGCGATGCTGACACCGACATGGTCCAGCTGTACCGCCGCGGCGTGCCGGACGTGGATGCGAACGACGTCGAGAGCGATGCGTACTGGGAGCGCGTCCTCCCGTCGATCCCCCGCGCATCGACGCTCGCCGCCAAGGCGCCCGACCTGCCCACGCTGCAGCCACAGCAGGTCTTCTTCTTTCTCTCGGGCTCCTCGCCCAAGGACACGCTCTGCACCGAATGCGCGCACCATGTGCTGGCGTCGTACATCCGCTTTGAGCTGTCCGCACCCTTCGCGCTCGGCCTCGACTCGTCGCCCGTCCTCCAGTCGCAGCAGGCCATATACGAGCAGGCAAAGAAGGTGTGTGGCGCCTCGTTCGTCGAGCAACTCAATGCCGAGGCGGGCATCCAGGCATTCTCCGAGCCGGCCTCCGGCGCAGCATCCCTCTCGCCGCCGCGCCTGTACGCCCTGGCGGCCGCACTCGCCCTGCTCCTCTGTACTGTATAGACCACTACGGCCCCGACCCTGACGCACCCCCCGGGAGGTTCTGCGCCGCAAAGCGCGCGACGCCCGCGCCGTCGCCGCCCGCGCCCTGCGGCGCCTGCCCGCTCAGCGGACTCGGCGCATGCGCCGCAGGGGCACTGGCAGCGGCGCCCGAGGCCGCCTGCGCCTGCGCCTGCGCCTGCGCCTGCCGCTGCTGCTGCTGCTGCGCCTGCGCCTGCTTGTACAGCTGCACAGCAAGCCCATTGATCTGCTCCTGACTCAGGTGCGAGGCCGCGAGCGTCATCGCCAGCTGCTGCTGCAGCGCATGCAGGTTCGGCGGCGCCGCATTCACCGCGGGCGCCGGCGGGCTGCCCAGGTGCGCGCCGCCCGCGGGACGCACACCCGCCGTGCCGGCACCGCTCGGCATCGTCTGCAGGCCCATCGGCGCCGAAAATGCGAGCGATGGCGAGCCCGGGTTGGGACTCGCCTCGCCGAAGCCCAGCGGCCGCGCATCCATCGCACCCGGCGGGCGGCCCATACGCAGCGCCTGCGACTGCGGCGACGNGGCCAGCCCGCACAAACGGCAGTGTGCCTGGCATGCCGGCGCTGGCCGCAGCGGCCATAGCCACATGGGACGTGGGCTTCGACGCACCCAGCCCCTGGTTCGCGGCGAGCGCCGCCAAGTACGGCTGCGCCGGCACGGGCGACGGCGACCCCTGCGCTGGCGGACTCGGACGCGGCAGGGCCATCTGCGCGGCATGGGGCGTGCTGCCGGCCGGCGACTTGGCCGGCGGCGGCGTCGCTGTGAGGACCGGCGCCTTGCGCTGCTCGTCGGCGGCCTGCGCCTGCGTCTGCACGATCGGTCGGCGCTGCGGCGCCTGCGGCTGCTGCATCTGCTGCTGCGCCTGCTGCGCCAGCGCCAGCTGTGAGGCCCGCTGCTGCTCAAAGAACTGGCGCAGCGCCGCCTGATCGCGCTCCGCCTTGAGCAGGCTCAGCGCCTGGGGCGTCGGCGTGGCCAGCGACTTGGACTGCCCATGCGTATCGTGGGCGCCCAGGGCCGCGCGCTTCGTGTTGGCATTCGCGGTCGCCGCGGCCGCGGCCTGGCGCTGCGCCTGCTCGCGGCGCTTGGCCGTCTTGCGCATGATCTCCAGGAGGTGCTGGCGGTGTTTGCGTGCATCCTTGCCGTCGGGCCGCTGCTCCCGCTGCTCGTTCGCGAGCCACTTGCACCGCTCATAGCAGTCCCACGCCGTGCGCCGCTCGGCGGCGCGCACCCACCGCGCCGAATTGAAAATGTCCGCAATGAGTGCCCAGTGCTCCTGGTAGTGCTTCGCGAGCGCCTGCAGAAAGGCGTCGTCGTCCGAGGTCCACGACAGCTGCGCAATGCGCGCTTCCGGGTTCGCTGGCGCGGCCGGCGCGCCCAGGGGCGACGCGTGGTCGCGCGCCGGCTTGCCCGCCTTGCGCGCAAACAGCAGCGAGCCGGGCGGCACGGCCCACGGCGACGCGCCCCCCGGCTCGGCGCCGCGCTCCGCCACGTCCGCGGCGCCGAGCGTGTAGTCGCTCACGCTGTGCCAGTGCCCGTTGGCACGGTGGTTCGCAGGATCGAGCGTGCTCACAAGCGCGGGCTTGGCGTCCAGCAGGCGCGAAACGTGCACGAGACGCGACATGGACGCCCCCGCCACCTCGTCGCGCCGCTTGGGCGCCGTGCCGTCCTCTGGTGTCGCTGCGGGCGGCGCATACTGCGGCAGCTCGGGAAACAGACGCCCAAAGTCGAGGTCCTGGGCGTCCAGCGTGCCGTCGAGCCGCATCAAGGCCTGGCTCGTCTGGGGGTCCAGATTCTGCAAGAGCGCCCAAGGCGATACGCTCGTGGCGGTCATATCAAGCCCAAAGATGGGCGCACGGATGGCCGTCATGAGCGCGAGCGGCAGCCTGTCGGCCAGCGTCACTTGCTGGTCCGCGTCTTTGCGCAGCGGCGCCGACTCGGAAGGCGCTTCCGACTCGGCATGGGTGAGCGTTGGCCCCGACCGAGGCTCGCTCTCGGCGTCAGCGTCGCCCTCGGCACGGGCATCGCCGTCGGCATGTGCCTCGCCCTCCGCATGGACCTCGCCGTCGGCGTCCGACTCGCCATGGGCGACAGACTCTCCATCGGCATGGGCCTCACCATCCGCAGGTGCCTCGGCCGGCGCTTCCGAGGCTTCTGCCTCGGCCACCACGTCGGCGCCCGACTCGTCCATCTCCATGGGCGGCCGATCCGCCGCCGGCTCGTCCAGCTCCATCGCCCACGCGCGGCGTCGGCCGCGCTGCACACACAAGGCTGCGCGCTCTTCCGGCGTAGCGCGGTGCCACTGGGCCACCTGGTGCACGAGCTCATAGGCCATCGCCAGCTTCCACTTGCGCTCTTCGCGAAAATCTGTCTGGAGCCAGCGCATCTCCTCGAGCATAAAGTCCCAGTGTGTCTTGCGCTCCATCGGCCCACGGCTGCGCTTCGGCTGGCGGAAGCTCCAGAGGCCCGCCTGCTTCAGTTCATCGATACGGGCCATGGCCTTGATAAACTTTTGCTCGGTAAACGCCACTTTCCAGTCGCGTGTCAGCAGGCACTTGTTCGCCTTGCGTACGAGACTCGCGCTCGACGCCGCTCGCACACGCACACTCCAGCGCGCAAGGTCCGCGGACGCCGGCGCCGTCTTTGCGCCCGGCTTGCCGCTCGCCGCGCCTTTGGGCGCGCGGCGCGCGCGGTGGTGAATCGAGCCGCCGCCCATGCCGATGCCCGTGAGCCGCCGCGTAGGATCCGACGGCAGCGGCCGCAGCGACGACGCATACGTCACAGACAGCGGATTGGGCGCGAGCACCTGCAGCGCCAGGGGCGCCATCGGGTTCGGAAGCGCCTGCTCGTACTCCATCGCCGGCCACGGCATCGGCGACGGCGGCAGGCGCGTCGTGCCACGCGACGGCCGCGCCCTGGGTGGCTGACGCACCGGCTCCGCAGGCGCACTGCCCTCGCGATCGGGCTGGAGATGCGCCGCGGCCTGCGCCCGAAGCGCCTGCGCGGCTGCTGCGACGCGCTCCGCGAGGTCCGCGGCGCCGCGCGGTAACGCGTGCGCCTCTACGCCAGGGTCCGTCTCCGCCACCGCGGGCAGCCCGGATGGCACATGGGCGGCGCCGGCGGGATCACCCTCACTGGCGTGCAGGAGGAAGAGCAGGTGACGCAGCTCGGCGCGATGACCCCGGGCTAGCGTGCTGCGGTCAATATGCGTCACGTACCTCTGCTGGTCCCTGCACTGCGAGATGCACTCACTGCGCAGCTCATCGAGCGTGAGGCGGCTGGACGATGCTTCCACGTCGCGTGTCGTCGCCGTGCCCACATCCACCGCCATGCTGGCGCCGTCGACCACGTCGCCGACGCTGCCCGCCTGCGCGCCCTTTTGCAAAAACATGTTACATGGTCTACTGGGTACATATAGCAGAAAAGGCACGTGCCTACCAGGCCCGCCCTACCACTCCACCCCGGGCGGGCCGGCGTGGTGCGGCTCGAGGTGCTCCGTGACGACGCCGGTGAGCACGGTGACGTCGTCGTTCTTGCCACCGACGTAGTAGATACCCTCCTCATTAGCATGATACTGGAATGGGCTTACGATTCCGCGCGGGTCTTCCATGACGCCGCGTGCCCGCTCGCACAGCGCGCGGGCCACGGCATGCGGCAGGTCAGGGTCGTGCTCGAGGTCGGCGCCGGGGCGACTGTCCAGCACCTCGAGCACAGTCTCGAGAATGTCGTCGTCAAACAGGTTGTCAAAGAGGCCATCGCTGGCCATAAGGACCACGTCGCCGGGCTGCACCTTGAGGCCCCAGATACCCGCGTCGTGCCGGGGACTGTCGAAGTCGGGGTTCTCGGGGCTCGCATCGTACGAGTGGATGTAGCGGCTCATCTTCTCGTTCACGTCCGGCAGGTCGAGGTCCTCGGCGCCGTCGGGGATCGTGCCGTCGCGGTGCATGCACAGCGCACTCGCGAGCGTGACACTTTCCACCGTCGCGTCCATCATACCGAGCTGTACCGGGTAGTTGAAGCTGTGCTGCTGCTCGGCGCTGCGGAAGATGAGCTCCTTGTCGCGGATCAGCACAAGGACGCAGTCGCCCATATTCGCTACGCGCAGCTCGTCGCCGCGCAGCACGGCGAGGAGCGCGGTGGCGCTGCCCAGAATGCCCTCGCGCTTTGACGCACGCACACAGCGCTCCCACGCCACCTGCATGATCTGGACGGGGTCGCAGTTGAACCACGCGGTGAGCGCCTCGCTTGTGTCTCCCGCCCAGGCGTGGAGCTGCCGCTCGTCGAGCTTGCTGAGCTCGTCATGGCAGAAATGCATGAGCAGCCGCGAAAACAGCGCAGGATCTGCATGGGCATTCGACGCCCATCCACCGACGCCGTCGGCAATGCCCAGTGCATCATCCTTGAGAAAATAGGCGTCCTCGCCGACCTGGCCGCTCTGGAGCCGCGTCTTGACGATACGCCCGTGGTATCGGATGGTCGACTGCAGGCCTTTGCCGTGCAGGTACGAGAGCGACGACGGCAGCTGCGGCTCTTCGACGTCGTCCTCCGCGTCGGCAGGGCGGGCGGGCGGGTCGGCCGGTGTGCCCATGAGAAAGTCGGCGAGCGGCGCAAACATGGTCCGTGTGCGTGATTCGGCCTTGCGCTGCGGTGGCCGGTTGGCCCGTGGTTTGGGGATCCCATACACGGCTGCATTAAACATGAACGAGGTAGACTGAATCCCCAAGCTCCCGCGGTGGTACGTGCGTCGGCACGGCCCCGCCAGCGAGGCCGCCGACCTAGGTATCGGAGATAGGCGCTGCAGGGCGTCCTGGTGGGGCCGAACGCTCGCTGAGGAGGCCGCGCACGGGTACGCTTCCCTCGCTGCACAGAGTGTCCATGTGCCTATGCATGTGCGTGGTGTATGCGCCCGCATTCACAACGGCCCGCAACGGCGTGGCGGCGAACAAAAAATGACGGTTTGACGTCCACCACCACGGGCGTGCGCGATGGGAATGAATATATAGAGCACCTGCCTGAATACTGGCAGTGAAGGCGAGGTGCCGGAGTGGTTATCGGGAACGCCTAGAACTTCTCGTTCTACGCCGAAGCGGCGGCAAGCGTTTGGTCTCTGACCGCACAGGTTCGAATCCTGTTCTCGTCGATCTTTTTTTGCCCCTCCACCATGGGCTCCGGCACCGCGCTCCTCTTGATCGATGTGCAGCACGATTTTGTCCGTGGCTCCCGTACGTTGTGCCGGCTCACGCGACAGTGGCCGTACCAGGCGCACCTGAGCTCGTCCCCCGTTTGTGCGACCTGGTGCAGCAGCCGTGGGACATGATCATCGCCACGCAGGACGCACACCCCCCGAACCATGTGTCGTTCGCGTCGACGCACGGCGCCGAGCCGCTCGAGCTGCGCGAGATTCCGCACCCCTTCGAGGCGGGTCGCACGCTCTCCCAGCGCCTGTGGCCCGTCCACTGCGTGGCTGGCACGCCCGGCGCCGCGCTCGATCCCACGCTACAGAAGGCGCTCGATGCGTGCAGCGCGCCCGTGCATTATGTACAGAAAGGCTGCGATCCGCGCTGGGACTGCTACTCGGCCTTTGCTGGCGACCAGTATGTACAGTTCACCGAGCTGGCCGCGCTTCTGCATCGCGCGTCGCCGCGCATTCACACGGTCGTGATCGGCGGCCTCGCCACCGACTACTGTGTGCGCGCCACGGCGATCGATGCGGCCAAGTTTGGATTTCACACGGTGGTCCTACAGAACTGTGTGGCGGGCGTCGCAGCGGATACAACAGAGCAGGCGTGGGCGGCGATGCAGGCCTACGGTGTCGTTTCGGCCCTCGATGCGCCCTCGTCGCGCGCCGCCTGAAGCGTCGTATCCCCCGGCGCGTCGCACAGAGGCTCGGTCTCTGCGTCTGCGTAGCGCTTGGACCAGCGCTGGCGCGGCGAGAGGAGCGCCGTCGACACGTCCCATACGAATACAAAAAAGATATAGAGGATTGCCAGTGCCAATACAGCGAGCAGGACGATGCCGAGCACTGCACGGGGGATGCCCCATATGTTCACCTTGGTCGTGAGCACCAAGCACAGAATCCACGCAGCGAGGCGGAAGCACGTTAGCACGATCATGACCATATTGCCCTTCTTGTCACAGGCCGGACGGCATGCGATCAGCACCCCGAGGAGCAGCACGTCCACGATGAGGAGGCCCAGCGACTGCCGCAGGCCATAGTCGTGCTTTTGGGGAATCGCAACAAAGCATGCACGCAGAAACGCACACAGGAGCATCACGGCCCAGAACCACCAGTACCGCGGGCGGTACGGGTGCGACGGAGAGCCATAGTGGATGGCCGCCGAATCGGCGCGGTACGGCGACGTATTCTTGTAGTACAGGGTGCGCGGCCCATGGCGGCGCACCTGCTGCCACTGCTGGAGCCCGACGGTGGCCCAGATGGCAGCGAGTGCGGCGCACAGGAGCGCGGCGCCGAAGTGCGAGACCCAGCCGTTGCTGTGCACGAACTGGAAGAGCGCAAACGTGGTGATGGGCGGCGACGCACATTCGAGCGCGCGCAGCAGCATGGGGCGGAGCCACGCGTCGAAGCCATGCCGCATGGCCGCCGGGCATGGCGCGCCGTACCACCACACACACACTGGGACGAGCAACAGGCCACACGCGAGGAGCACGGCCAGGACGAGCAGCCACGACACGGCGACGGTAAGGAACGCGCTGTAGGGCGACAGCGGAATGGCCTCCAGGTAGAAGAACGCGCCAGCCTGGCTAAATGGCTCCATGGGCAGCGCCCACACGACGTTGGCGCGTGGCGAGCCGGGGTCCATCTCGCCGCCGGCGCCCGTGTTTGGCGCGTACAGTGTGCGCGGCGACAGCACGTGGTCGAACTGCGGGAGGCCATCCAGCGTGCCGAGCTTCGCGCTCTTGTCCATGTTGAGCATCTCGGACGGGTAGTAGTTGGCCAGGCGGCTGTACTGGGCCTCCATGAGCCCCGCGAACATGAGGTCCACGTCCGTGCTGCCGGTCGCCTCGCGCGTCTTGAGGATCGACGTCTGCACGGGCTCGATGGCCACGAGGCCGACGGCCCATGCGAGGCAGAGAGAAAAAGCGTGGACGACGCGTGGCGCGATATTGGTGAGCATGGACACCCATGCGACCGACTGCATCGTCGCGACGATATCGACGACGCGCCACTGCAGCGCGGACAGCGAGTCGGTCCAGGCGGTCGCGGCGGCGGCGGTGGCCGTCGCAGCGATGGCCAGTGCGCCGGTGCTCCATGTGATTTCGGGGAGCTGCACGGTGCGGCTGTTGGAGAGAGAGAGCTGCGCGCAGCCCATCTGCTGCTTCGTGTCCTGCTCGGTGAGATTGAGCACGGCGAGCGCCTCGATATCCGGCACATTGAAGGCGATCGTAGGCACCTTTGACGCGAAGCTGGGCGGCACAGCGACCGTGCCACTGCCTGTAAAGTTGTACGAGGGGATGGGGCACAGGGCGCCACCCATGATGGTGCACAGGTCGAGATCCATCCCGACAAAGTTTTCGCCGTAGATGTACAGCGTCAAGGACACATCCAAGTTCGCCTTGCTTTCCAACGACGAGACCTCGAGCGAGAAGCTGAACTCCTGCTGGTTCCCGTCGTACTTGAGGTCGAGCGCGGATATGAGGACGGGGCCCGGCACCGAGCAGTACGCCGTGTTCTGCGAGTAGAGCGTTCGGTTCTTCACGTCAATCGACGCCGCGTCTACCGAGAAGCCGGCACATAGGAAGAATAGCAGCCACCAGAGGCCGATGCGCGCCGCACGACACACTGGCGGCGCACGCCGCCGCATCCAGAGCCACGGTGGTGATCCGAGCGTGAACGCGGCTGCATGCTGACAAAGCCACGTGGGCCCTGCTGGCACCACGGCGCGGCGCTGCTGCGCCTCGCCCCGTCTTCTTACGTCTCGTCGATTCACTGCGGCGGGTCTCCTACTCCAGTCACCATGCAAGACGCTGGCGAAGCTTCTACGCCTATGGCGGACCCCTTCCCGAGCCTGGGTGAGCCCGTGAGTGCGGCGCCTGCGCCCTCACAGGCGCGGCGCGAGGCGCGCCCGGATGTGTCGTCGGAAGATGCCTTCCCGACGCTGGGCGCCTCGTCGGCGCGCGGCATGCGCGCCGCGCCGACCGCGTGGGTGAGCCCGGTGCCGGTGATCCAGCGTGTGGTGCACCAGGCGACCGTCTCGCTGCGCCTCTCGGACGAGCAGCTCGCGAAGCTGAACACGGTCCTGCCCCGGGTGCAGGCCAAGTGCCCGACGGTGAAGCTGGAGGCGAGCACGACGCGCAAGACGGGCTACACGACCTTTATCTTCAAGGGCGCGAACGAGGCGGCCGTGCAGCTCGCGAAGAAGGAGCTCACCGTGCAGCTTGCGCGCCGCGTCACCGGGACGGTGCTGGTGCCGGCGTCGCTGCGCGCGCATGTGATCGGTGCGGGCGGCAAGAACATCAAGCGCATCACGGAACAGACGGGCGTGCGCATCCATGTGCCGCCGCGCTCGGGCGACGCTGCGGCCGAGGAGGCGGACGACCCGCTGCTCGGCGAGCAGATGGAGATCACGATCGAGGGCGACGAGGTCCATGTCCAGGAGGCCCAGGCGCTGATCCAGGCGATTGTGGCGGAGCGCACGTCGAAGCTCTCGCAGTCGCTCGCGCACATCGAGCCGGAGTACTACCCCTTCCTCGCCGGCGTACGGGGCGCGCGCGTCGAGGCGCTGGCCGCGAACGAGGGGCGCGGCGAGGTCACGATCAAGGTCCCGCCGCCGCACCACCGTCATGCGCCGATCCTCGTGCACGGCGAGCGCGCCTCTGTCGGCGCCGTCGTGGACGCGATCGAGTCGCAGGTGCGCGACATGCGCGCGTCGTTCCACACGCTCTCGCTCACGATCCCCAAGCGGCAGCACGTGTGTCTCGTGGGCGACGGCGCCGCGGACATTCTTGCCGCGACGCAGTGCAGCGTGGAGCTGCCGCCCGTGCACGATGCGTCCGAGTCCGTGACGATCCGCGGCCCGCAGGCGCAGCTGCCGCTCGCGCTGACCGCGGCGCTCGAGCGCGCGAACGCCATCACCGTCAAAGTCGTCGACGTCGGCGCGCTGCACGCCGGTGCGGACGCGCAGCATGCGCGGTACCTCGTGCAGTGGCTCGGTGGACGTGCGCCGCGGGCCGAGGGCGTGCAGGTCTTTATGCCCACGGCCACCGCCCTCGACGCGGGGCGCGCGCATGTGGATGTCGTCGGCAAGGACGCAGAGGCTGTCGCGCGTGTGCACCGCGAGCTCGAGGAGCTCGTGCGCCCGCTCGACCCGAGTGCGCTGCGTGTCGCGGACCTCGATCCGCTCGCGCACGACCTGGTCGCGGGCAAGCGCGGGCAGAACCTCAAGGCGTACGAGGCGCGCGGCGTCGACGTGCTTGTGCCGCCGGAGCACTCGGGCCGCTCGGACGTGCTGCTGGTGCACCGCGGTGCGGCGGCGGAGCGCGCGGCCGTGCTGGAGGCCGTGCTGCAAGAGCTCGCGGCGGCGGCGGCGCCGGCCGCCGATCTGCAGACGGCGCATGTGTCGATTCCTGCGAAGCACCACGCCGCGCTCCTCGACCGCACGGTGCTGAATGCGCTGATGGGCGAGGACCGCATACAGGTGACGGCCGGCCGCCACGGCCCCGTGCCGGCGGGCGTGGACGCCCGCACGAACGACTCGGTCGTTGTGCGTGGCGCGCCGGCGGCCGTGGAGCGCGTCGTTGCGCGCCTGCAGCAGATGGCTGCGGACGCTGAGCAGGACAGCATGGAGAGCAGCTTTGTCGACGAGCTGCGCGTGCCGGGCGCGTATGTGCCGCGCCTGATTGGCCGTGGCGGCGCGGCCGTGGCGAAGCTGCGCGACGAGCTGGGCGTGCGTGTCGACTTCCCCGATGCCGACGACAAGGCGCGTGCGAAGCAGGTGCCGATTGTGCTCACGGGCCGCAAGGCGTGCGTGACCGAGGCCAAGGCGCGTCTGGCCGCGCAGGTGCAGCGCCTCGCGGACGAGACCACGGTGCGGCTGCGCGTGCCGAGCGAGATGCACGGCGCGCTGATCGGCCCCGGCGGCAAGTACGTGTCGCGTTTGCAGGACAAGTACGGCGTGCGCATCGTGTTCCCCCGCGGCGACGAGGCGCAGGCGGGCGACGAGGTGAGTGTGCGCGGCGGCAAGCGCGGCGTCGCGGAGGCGCAGGCCGAGCTGCTCGAGCTCCTCGCGTACGAGCAGGAGCGCAGCCAGGCGGAGGAGCTGGCCGTGCCGCAGCGCGCCGTCGCGCGCATCCTCGGCCGCTCCGGCGCCACGATCAACCAGCTGCGCCTCGAGAGCGGTGCGGAGATTGACGTCGAGCGCGAGGCGGGCGCGGGCGAGCAGGCGGTGCTGCGCCTGCGCGGCTCGCGCGCGGCCATCGAGGCGGCGCGCGCGGCGATCCTCGACCTGGTCGCGGCCGTGGAGCGGGAGGCGGAGCTGCAGCTCGACATCCCGTCGCGGTTCCACGCGCAGCTGATCGGGCAGGGCGGGCAGCACCTGCGCGACCTGATTGTGCGCGCGGGCGGCCCCTCCGAGCCGCGTGCGCAGGCGCAGATGGTGCGCTTCGCGCGCGACCGGAGCGACGCGGTCACCGTGCGGGCCGAGCAGGGTGTGGCGCAGCGCATTGCCGAGCTCCTGCAGAGCGAGGCGCGCGCGCTGGCCGAGCGGGTCGTGCATGGCGCCGTGGTGCCGCCGCGCCTGCATGGCCAGCTCGTTGCGCGCGGTGGGCGCCGCAACTCGCCGTGGCAGCAGGAGCACGGCGTGCAGATCGTGCTGCCCAACTGGCGCGAGTATGCGGAGCTCGAGGCGCCTGCGAACGCGACGGACCTGGTGGACGCGGACCCCGCGCACATCGTCAAGGTGCTGGGTGGCCGCGAGAGTGTCCCGCAGGTCCTCCAGGCCATTGACGCGCTCGTGGCAGCCGACGCGCAGCGCCGCCGCCCCCGGGCGCCGCGGGCCGCGCGCGTCGACGACGCGGACGACGACGAATAGTCATGTGATCGCACCTAGGCTATCTGATAGAGCTCGCTGCCTGTTGCACGTCCGCGATGCTGCGCCCGGCGTCGTCGTCGCCCGGGGCGCTTGTGCCGCCGTCTACGCCGCCGCGGCTTGCGCGTACGGCGAGTGCGCCTGCGGCGCCACCCATGCACGAGGCGATGCTCTCGTGGAGCCAGCAGATTGACGCGGTCGTCGAAGAGACGCCGCTCGTGGCGCTGCAGGCCAACCATACGAAGGCGCGCGAGCACACGCGCACGCTGCTGCAGCTGTACGTGGCCGTGTTTGTGCTCGCGCTCGCTGTGTCGCTCGACTCGATGTCGTTCAATCTATACCTCAACGATGCGTGCAGCGAGTTCGGCGCGCTCTCGAGCGTCGGCACGATCATGATTGTGCAGCAGCTCATGCGCGCCGTCTCCAAGCTCCCGCTCGCGAAGCTGGCGGACCTGGCGGGGCGCGTCTGGACGCTGGCCTTTGTCGTGGCGATGTACGCCGCCGGCTACGCCCTCATGGCGCGCGCCTCGACGCTCCTGCATCTCGCGGTCGGCGCCGTTGTCCAGTCGCTCGGGGCCACCGGCGTGTGTGTGCTCCAGTCGATCATCATCGCAGATACCTCGTCCGTGCAGTGGCGCGGCTTCCTGATCGGCCTCGTGAACCTGCCGTACCTCCTCAACTTTGCGCTCGCGGGCCCGTGGGTCGACGTCACGCTGCGCGCGGGCGGCTGGCGCCTCGGCCTCGCGCTCTGGACAGCGATCGTGCCGCTCGCGGCCCTGCCGCTCTTTCTCCTCATCGTCGTGGGCCACCGCCGCGCGCGCCGCCTGCAGGCGCCGCCGCCGCGCCGCGCGCGCGACGTGCTGCGCGAGATGGACGTGGTCGGCACGCTCCTGCTCTCTGTATCGCTCACGCTCCTGCTCCTCCCGCTCTCGCTGCATGGCCCCCAGGCGCTCGGCGACCCCGCCCAGCTCACGCGGTACGAGACCCTGCTCGGTCTCGTGCTGCTGGCCGGGCTGCTGTGGTGGGAGTCGTCTACGCCCACGCCGCTGCTCCCGCGCGCGGCGCTGCGCCACTTCACCGTCGTCGCCCTGTGCGTGGTCGCCGCCCTCGACTTTGCCGGCTTCTACCTCAGCTGGACGTACCTGGCCCCGTTCATCCAGGTGCTCAAGGACTGGGACTCGGCGCGCACCGCCTACTTTGTCACCGCGCAAAACGTCACATCCACCCTCACAGGCGTCGTCGTGGGGTGCTGCATGGCGTACACGCGCCGCTTGAAGCGCTACCTCGTCGTCGGCTACCTGGTGCGCCTCGCCGGCGTCGCGCTCATGCTCCGCTACCGCTCGCTCGGCCACTCGGCGCTAGCGCTGCTCGCGTGCCAGGTCCTCCAGGGCCTCGGCGGCGGCGCGCTGGCCCTCTCGACGCAGGTCGGCGCGCAGGTCGCCGTTGAGCCTGCCGAGGTGCCCGTCATTACGGCGTTCGAGCTGCTCACGACGGAGCTGGGCGCGGCGCTCGGCTCCGCGCTCGCGAGCGCCGCCGTGACAGCGACGCTGCCCACCGCCTTGCGCACGCACCTCCCGAGCCTCTCGCCCGCGACGCGCGCGGAGATCCAGGGCAGCCTCCATGCCGCGCTCGCATACCCCCCCGGCTCGCCGGAACGCCTGGGTATCGCGCACGCGTGGGTCGACGTGATGCGCCGGCTGTGCCAGCTGTCCCTGCTGATCCAGCTGCCCGCGCTCGTGCTCACCTTCCTCGTGCCCGACCTCGACTTGCACGGCCACGCACGGGAGCACCGCTTGAGCACGGCGCATGCACTGCCGCCCTGGCGCACCACGACCCCGACGCGGCGAATCGCGCGCCCGTGATACCCATAGTCATGCATACCACGCCCACGCGCCCGGCCCGGCCACGAGGATGTGCGCGTGCGCATCGCGGCGCACCGCACTCGTCGGCGCCGCGTCCCAGCCGACGAGCTCCTGCACAGCCTCGCCCTGCACCGCGTACGGCAGGCCGTCGCCCGTGGCGATCAGCGCGCCCTGCGCGTCCACCCACACATCCGTGACGCCTGCGTCGCTCCGCGACCACGCGTCGAGCGGCGTCGCCGGCGCCCGCGCATCGAACATCGCCACGAGCCCGTGGCGGCTGCCGACCAGCACATGCGTCTCGTACGCACACAGCGCCGAGACACCGCCGGCAGGCGCAGGCAGCGTGCACGCCCACGCCTCCTGTGGCGCGGCACGCACGTCCCATGCATGCACGCCATGGGCACCGCCAGCGAGCAGCGCGCCAGCGGGCGCCTCGGGCGTCCAGCCGGCCGCGCCGTACGCCGCGAGCGCTGTCACAGGCTCGTCACGCTCCCACTGCTGCACCGCCGCGCCGCGCCCCACGTCCCACACACGCACGGTGTGGTCGGCACTCCCGGTGGCGACGTGGCGCCCGCGCCCCAGGATCGCGCTGCCCACAATCGCGCGTGTATGCCCCTCGAGGATGCGTGGGCACGAGCCATCGATGGCCGAAAAGACGCGCGCGCGCATATCCAGCGAGGTCGACAGAAGCACCTCGCCACTGGGGAAGAAGCGCACGCTCGTTACGTCGCCCACATGCCCCGCGCACGCGATGCTCGGCACGGCCGGCGCGCTGGCCCCGCCGTGCCACTCGCCCACATACAGATGCCCATCCGCGCCACCGACCGCCCACCGCTCGGTGCCAGCGGCCGATCCCTGCAGGTCGATGACCGTCGGCGCCTGGGCGCCCGCCTCCCACGCACGCTGCACGCGCGGCACATGCACCTGCGTGGACATCTCGACATCGCCTTCCACAGACACGCCCCACACGTCCGGCTTCGCCGTCGCCTGCACATGCCATGTGGCGGCGCGGCCGGGCGTCGCCGCGAGGATCGCGCCTGTCCTGCCGCGCTCACACCGTAGTGTGCCGTGCACACTGCGCGGCGCCACATACGCGCTCACCCACACATCCTCCGCATCAACAGTCTGCGTCTGCACATCGCGCAGCACGTCGGCGACGGTCGGCTGCACGGCCAGCCAGGGACGCCGACGCACACCCATCGGTGAAGCCTGGGCGTGCCTGGTCGGCCTCCACGGCGGCGCGGCATCCACGTGCGCTGCGTGCCTGGGCCTGGGCGCGCGCGCGCGCGGCGTGTTGACGTACTCCCATCGATGCTGCGTGCGCTCCTGTTGAGTGTGGTAGGGACGTGCTTCCTGGTCGTGGCGCATGCGTCGTCGCCAGGCACGCCTGTGAGCCCCGGCCCCGCCTTCCCCACGAGCCTGTTCTCGTCCATGTACTATATGCCGTCCAAGCCCACGGCGGAGCCGCGTCCTGCCGTCCCGCGTCTCGGCGGCGGGTGGTTCCCTGATGCCCTGAACAACCCTACGGAGCTGCCGAGTCGTGCGCCTGCCTCGGAGGCCGTGCTCCCTGCGCCGCTGCATGGCACACGACAGGTGAAAGCACTGGTGGACGACGTAATGAACGCGGCGCACCAGCTTGTGCGCGGCGGCGACACGTCGCTGCTGTGCAACGTGTGCCGCACAGGGCTGAGCACGCTGCAGACGCTCGCGCATGTGGACCCTGAGCTCGTGCCTGACGTGCTTACCGGCGTGTGCCGCACCCTGAAGCTGTTTGGTGGCACGGCCGTGAGCGACCAATGTGCGCTGACCTTTGATCGCGCCATGTACGGCGGCCCTATTACGCAGGTCATGAGCTACGGCAACTTCTCCGGCAATGCGCCGGACGCCACGCTCGTGTGTGCGGCCGCGACGTTCTGTGAGCGCCCGTCCGAGGCGCTCTCGGACGCGTTCCTCGACGACTGGTTCCACGGCTCGCGCGCGCCGTCCCACGCTACGCTTGCACGCTGGCGCGCGAAGCAGGCGCATGCCCAGGCGCATTTTGATGAGTCGGCGCTCCTTCCCGTCCTGCACATTTCCGACCTGCACGTCGATGGTCGCTACATGGTCGGGAGCGAGAGCAACTGCACGTTCGGCGAGACCCGCTACTGCTGCCACTCGCTGAGCGCGAACAGCGCCCTCTACTCGAAGCCCATCACGCACGGCACCGTGCCGCGCGCCAACATCTCGGCGCCGGCGGGCTACTGGGGCAACTACACGTGCGATGCGCCGTGGTCGCTGATCGGCAGCGCCTTCCAGGCCATACGTCACGTCGGCGGCGAGCGGGGCTACGAGCTGGCGCTGTTCACGGGCGACCTGGCGTTGCACGACGACCTGTTCCGCTACTCGCACGACCTGATCCTGTACTCGGCGCAGGCGCTCTTCGGCGCCCTGAAGGGCATCCTGGGACGCGCGCCCCTCTTCGCGACACTTGGCAACCACGAGACGTCGCCCGAGAACTTTTATGCGCCGCACAACCTGCCCGACGGGCGCGGGCACCAGTTCGATTGGGACTCGGACTACCTCGCCCGCCTCTGGCGCTCGCTCGGCTGGCTCGATGCGCACGGCGAGCAGGATGTGCGCACGCACTACGGCGGGTTCTCCGTCTCGCCTCGTCGCGGTCTGCGCGTCATCTCGATGAACTCGGACTTTTGGTACTTTGTGAATGTGTTCAACTACATCCACTCGACGAACCCGGATCTGAGCGGCATGTTCCGCTTCCTCACTGACGAGCTGTTCGCGGCCGAGGCGCGGGGCGAGCGCGTGTGGATCCTGGGCCATGTCGCGACCGGCTGGGACGGCTCGCAGTCGCTCGAGAAGCCGAGCAACCTGTTCTACCAGATCGTGAGCCGCTTTGCGCCCCACACGATCGCAGCCATCTTTTTCGGGCACACGCACCAGGACCACTTTTCCGTGTTTTACCGCGCCACGTCGGGACGCTCCGCCGACGCGCCGCGCCGCACCGCCGGTGCCGTGACGGTGGCGCTGAATGCACCGAGTGTGACGCCCGAGTCGAACGTGAATCCGTCATTCCGCGTGTACCTGGTCGACCCTACCACGTACGATATCTACGACTGGGACCAGTACTACACGGACGTGGATGCGTTTGCCACGTCGGCGCACGGGCCCGTGTGGCACCATCTCTACCGCGCACGCGACACGTACGGCGATTTTCACGCAAGCGTGCAGGATGGCCAGTATACGGCACACGTGGCCCTCGACGGCACACACTGGCCGCGCGGCGCGCCGCTGAACGCTACGTTCTGGAGCGCAGTGACGGACGAAATGGAGGCGCGACCCGAGCTTCTCACAACGTTCTCGCGTCTACAGAGCCGCCGGAGCTCGCGCGCGAGCGTCTGTACGGACCACGACTGCCGCCGCGCGAATGTGTGCTACATGCGCAGTGCGACGGCCGCGCAAGGCCGCTCGTGTCCGTCAGGCTTTGGCTCGGTCGTGTGAGGTAGATGCCTTGATGACCACGTGCCGCATTGGAATGTAGATCGGTGGAGATGATTGGCCCGATAATGTCGTGGACGTCCCTGCACACGAGCCTCGCGATACATACAAACCGACAACCTCGCGGTGTTCGTTTCTTACCTAGCCTCTATGAAGTGGTCGACGCTTCTGGTTTCGGCGGCGGCTGTGCTCGCCGGCAGCGCCGCTGCGGTGGACACGACCTCGGGTGAGCCCGTGTTCACTGGCACCAAGGCGTTCCCCACGAGCCTGTTCCCTTCGATGTACTATATGCCCAAGAACATGGAGCAGGAGCCGCGTCCTGTGATCACGCGCGAGGGTGGCGGGAAGTTCCCTGACTCGCTGAACAACCCGTACCAGCTGCCGACGGCGCCGCCCGCGAATGAGGTGCTCATGCCTGCGCCCACGGAGCAGCGCGACGATCTCGACGAACTGATCCACAAGGCGTGGGAGCTGTTTGGCCAGCTGTTCAGCAAGGACAAGGCCTCAGACGCGCCGCTGTGCAACGTGTGCCGCACTGCGCTGCACACTCTCCAGCTGATTGGCCGTGCTGACCCCGATCTGCTGCCTGACCTCATGGGCTCGATCTGTGAGGCGCTCGACATCTTTGGCGCGCTTGGCTGGAAGCAGGAGTGCAAGCGCACGCTCTCCAAGGGCGTGTATGGCGGTCCGATCACGCAGGTGCTCACGTACGCCAACTTCACGGGCGATGCACCGGATGCACAGACGATCTGTGCGCAGATCCCCAAGCTGAACATTTGCAACCGCCCGACAGAGACACTGTCGGACGACTTCCTGAACGACTGGTTCCGTGGCCAGCGCAAGCCGCCGCAACACGCGCTCGACCACTGGAAGCAGCTGCGTGCGCGTGCGTACGGCGAGGGCTACGACGCGTCGAAGAACCTGCGCGTGTCTCACATTACCGATCTGCACCTCGACGGCCGCTACTTCGTGGGCGGTGAGAGCGAGTGCGACTGGGGCGCGACTGTGCAGTGCTGCCGCATCAACAGCTACAACAGCACCAAGTACCACGGCCAGTTTGTGCACGGCCAGCTCTCGCCGGACCAGATTTCTGCGCAGGCCAACTACTGGGGCGCCACGCGCTGCGACACGCCGTGGTCGCTTATGGCCAACTCGATGGACGCCCTGCGTGCCGTCGGCGGCGATCATGGCTACGACCTGACGATCTTCACGGGTGACCTCGTGGCGCACGATGACCTGTACCGCTACTCGCGCGACTTTGTCAAGTACTCGGAGCAGGCGCTGTACGACATGATCAAGTCGGTCGTGAAGAACAAGCCGTTTGTGCCGACGCTCGGCAACCACGACACGAGCCCCGAGAACTTCATGGCGCCCGCCGCGCCGCTGCCCGACGGCACCGCGTACAAATGGGACTGGGACATGGACTACGTCTCGACGCTGTGGAAGAACCGCGAGTGGATCGGCGAGCAGAACGTCGACGACATCAAGAAGCACCATGGTGCGTTCTCGGTCAAGCCGCTCAAGAACCTGCGTGTCATCTCGCTCAACACCGACTTTTGGTACTACGTCAACGTGTACAACTACGTCCACTCGTTCAACCCTGACAACAGCGGCATGCTGCGCTTCCTCACCGACGAGCTGCTCGAGGCCGAGAAGAACCACGAGCGTGTGTGGATCATTGGCCACGTGCTGTCTGGCTGGGACGGTGCCGAGGCGCTGGCGCGCCCCAGCAACCTGTTCTACCAGATTGTCAGCCGCTTTGCGCCGCACACGGTTGCGGCCATCTTCTTCGGCCACACGCACGAGGACCAGTTCGAGGTGTTCTACTTCAACGACAACGGCGAGTCCAAGTCCGCGTCGCAGCTCACCGAGCACGCCGTGTCGATGGCATACGTTGCGCCGTCGATCACGCCGTACACGAACCTGAACCCCGAGTTCCGTGTGTACCACGTGCACCCCGAGACGTACGAGATCATGGAGTTTGACCAGTACTACACCCCGATCCCCGAGTTCGAGGCGCTGGTCAAGCAAAAGAAGAACCACGGCCCCGTCTGGCGCAAGCTCTACACGGCGCGCGAGCTGTACGGCGACTTCCACGCGAGTGTGGGTGCACACACGTACCGCGCGGGTGTCGCGCTGCACAACAACCGCTGGCCGAAGAATGCGCCGCTGAACGGCACCTTCTGGGCCGCGCTCACGGACGAGATGGAGCAGCGCCCTGAGCTGGTCAAGACGTTCTCCGAGGTGCAGTCCGGCAACAGCCCTGCGTCCAAGACCTGTACGTCGGACGACTGCGTGAAGAACAACATTTGCTACATGCGTGCCGGCTCTGCCTCGCTTGGCCACAAGTGCTCGAGCTCGTACTCGACTGTCGGCCGCGGCTAATTTCCTCCACATAGATCGCCCGTCTCGAACATAATAAACTCGTACATGTGTCGCGTGCCGCTTTCGGGTGGCACGTGAACGTGTGTGGTATGCTGATTGGCCCTCCACCAGGGGCGAAGCCGCCGCCGGCGGGCTGTTGATGGCGAGCCGCCGCGTATATGAAGGAGCTTGTCCCGTCCCATGGGCCTAGACATTGAGCGCCAGCCTCTCACTAGTGGTCCGCCTCAACCAGTCTACTCGCCCCCTCCCCGCCAACGATATCTTTTCACGATGGTGAAGGTGGCCGTGTTCTTCTCTGCCGCTGTTTATGCTCTCGCCGTGTGCTGGCCTGCCCAGGCTGCGAGCTCGTCGTCGCAGCCGCCCAAGATCGACACTGTGCGTCCATCAAGCTCAGGCGTGTACACGGCGCCCAAGGCATTCCCGACGTCCGAATTCCCGTCGATGGACTATATGCCCAAGTCGCAGGAGGCCGAGCCCCGCCCCCACATCACACGCGTGGGCGGCGGTGCCTACCCGGACGACCTCGTGGACCCGATGAAACTGCCGGCGCATGCGCCGGATGGGGAGGGCGTGCTTCCGAAGCCGTCGCCGAGCGCTGCGCCACTCGCTCACCGCCCGTCGTTCCGCTCGGAGGCGATGAAGAACCTGACGGCCATCCTTGACAACAACTCGACCAGTACGTGCAAGCGCTGCCACGAGGCACTGCGTCTCGGCCAGCGCCTCGCGTGGGCGAACCCGTCGGTGGTGCCGGACCTGATGGTCGAGTTGTGCGAGAAATACAAATACGCGTCGTCGCCGACCGTCAAGAAGGCGTGCGAAGGCACCTTTGGCCTGAACCAGTGGGGCGGCGCCTACACGCAGCTGCTCAGCTACGCGAACCTGACTGAGGGCTCGCCGACGCCTGGCTGGCTGTGTGCCCGGTACATCAAGGGCGGCGCATGCGAGTACCCCGAGCTGGAGCCTCTCTCGTCGTCGTTCCTGAACAAGTGGTTCAATGGCAAGACGCAGCCGCCCGCGCACGTCGTGCAGCGTAGCAAGAAGGTCGGCCCGAAGCGCAACAAGCCGCTGCGCGTGTTCCACGGCTCGGACTTCCATGTGGACCCCCGCTACCTCGTCGATGCCGAGGCCAACTGTGACAACGGCCAGTGCTGCCGCTCGGACAGCTTCAACTCGACGCTCTGGAACCAGCCGACGTTCGAACCGGGCTCGCTGCCTAAGCGCAACATCTCGCACCCCGCGGGGTACTGGGGCTACTACCAGTGCGACACGCCGTGGTCGCTGATTGCGGCGGCCATGGAGGGCCTGTCCTACCTGCAGAAGGACGAGCCGCTCGACCTGGCGCTGTACACGGGTGACCTGACGACGCACGACGCCGAATGGCACATTTCGCAGAACCTGACGACGTACTCGGAGCAGTCGCTGTACGACATGTTCCACCGCCACCTCGGCAACACGACCATGGTCGTGGCACTGGGCAACCACGACTCGTCGCCGGCTGACTTGTTTGCACCGCACTCGCTGCCGGACAGCCGGGGCGACCAGCTCAGCTGGGACTGGGACAATGTGGCCGCGCTCGTCAAGAGCAACGGCTGGGGCGACGACAAGACCGCCGCGACGATCCGCAAGCACTACGGCGCCTACTCGATCTCGCCCCGCAAGGGTCTGCGTGTGGTTGCGCTGAACAGCGACTTCTGGTACAGCGGCAACCCGATGACGTACGTGGACCTGTCGAACCCCGACGTGAGTGGCTTGCTGCGCTTCTTCACCGACGAGCTGCAGGCCGCTGAAGACGCAAACGAGCGTGTGTGGGTGGTCGCGCACGTCCTCACCGGCTGGAACGGTGGAGACGGTGTTGACGCGCCGACGAACCTGCTGTACCAGATTGTCTCGCGCTACAGCCACACGATCGCACACATCTTCTTCGGCCACACGCACGAGGACGAGTTCCAGATCTGGTACGAGTCGAGCAACGGTAACTCGACGTCGGTGAGCCGCAAGACGGAGGATGCACGTGCGATGGCCTTCATCGGCCCGTCAGTGACGCCGCTCACGAACGTCAACCCGTCGCTGCGTGTGTACGAGGTGGACCCTGAGACGTACGAGGTCATGGACTACCTGCAGTACTACACCCAGCTGCAGGACGCCGACGAGCTGCGCAAGACCGGGCCCGTGTGGAACCTTCTGTACAAGGCGCGCGAGACGTACGGGAACTTTTCCGCGAGCCAGGCAGCCGGCACGTACGCCGCGCCGGTGGCGCTCGATCAGGGCGGCGTCTGGCCGCAGGACGCCCCGCTGAACGCCTCGTTCTGGGCCGCGCTCACCGACGAGATGGAGCAGCGCCCCGAGCTCATTGAGCTGCACCAGGTGTACCAGGGCCGCAACAGCCCGCGCACGCCCCAGTGCAACACGAAGGCCTGCCACGAAGCCAAGGTGTGCTACATGCGCAGTGCATCGTCGGCGCTCGGCCGCGGCTGCCCCTCCGGCTACGGCTCTGTGCAGGGCGGCTAAATAGTTTCTAGACACGTGATGGTTGCGACTCGGACGGTCGCGAGCGCAGCAGCGCCTCGGCCAGGGCGCCGGCCTCGGCGCGATGCCGCACGAGTTCTGCGTGAGTGCATCGCACATACCTGTACCGTAGTCGTCCTCGGAGCGCGCTGCGCCCCATCGCACATGCAGCACGGGAATGTCGTACTGGTACTTGCGCCGCCAGTGCTTCACGTTCGGCGCACTGTCGTCGCGGATGTTGTAGAGCGCCAGCGTAAACGGTGTCGTCAAGCGAACCGTGTCCAGCACCTCTTTCATGTCGTCACACAGCGAGCAGTGCGTGCCCGTGAAGAGCGTCAGGTGCGGCTTTTGCGCGCAGCTCGACAGGGCACGCGCCATCGGTAGCGCGCGCGCCACGCACGGTCGCAGCGGCCCCATCAGGAGGTGGAGGAAAAAAACGAGTGTAGTCTACGGGTATATGGCCGAGAGCTCAGTAGCTCAGGTTGTTGCTGAGGCGCCGCCAGCGCGCCTCGTCGTTGGCCGTGCGCCGCTCGTACACATCGTCTGGATACATTCGCGAGCCACGGTCTGCATATGTGTGCTTGCGATCGCGGCTGTAGTGGCCTGCTGTGCTGCGGTGACGCACATGCGAAGTCTTGCCAGAGTCTATGCGCCGTGCGGGGTATGCATCGTAGTCGTAGTCGTAGTCATAGTCAAAGCCGTGGTGTGGCAGCGTGTCAGTGTGGCCCATATCGCTCCTGTGGCGGCTGTGGCGATGGCCCTCGCTGTGGTGCCGACTCGCACGCTTCTCGTGGGGCGTCCGTACACGCTCGCCAGGGCGACTGCCCGCGTCACGTTCATTGTATACCTGTGAGTACCGATTCAGCATGGGCGCCGCCGTGCTCTCGTACGGCACGTCCGTCTCGTATGCGCGTCCCATGCCGGTAGAGTTGATTAGCGGTGGCTGCATAGCCGATTCGTACGGCGGCTGCGGCGGCATGTACATGGTCTCGTGGGCCGGTGCAGGCGGCGGCAGCGGCGTCGGCGCGCGATGCGTGTACGTCGCTGGCGCCGACGCCATGGGAAGCGGCGTTACGGGTGTGTGCGGCACATCGCCCGCGTGCGTGTGGTTCGTAATAAAGGCAACGAGTGCCACCACGGCGCCGATGATGGCGGCGGCTGTCGCCGCGACCTGGATCCAGTTGCCCTTGCCGAGACTCACCGTGAACTCATCAAAGGCGTCGATCTGATCAAACATTTGGCTGAAGCGGGCCTTGGCATTCAGAAACAGGATGAGCTCCACGACGAGCGTCGCGATCGACAGCGCGGCGGCCCACAGAGCGGCCAGGACCCACAAGAACGAGTTCGCGCACACGGCCAGCAGCGCCGCGCCGGCTGCGAGACCCGTGAAGCCCGCTGCGATAGGCTGCAGGACCAGAGCCTGCGCGAGATGGCCGAGGAACGGATCCTGGTACGGCACCGAGCGCGGCGCCAGCGTCTTCTGCAAACTGCTCAGAAACGCATCGTAGTCTCCGGGGCCGGTGCGGAGGCATGCCGTCGCGCGCCCCGTCTGCTGCGAGCACCAGCCCCATATACCAAAGTGAAACTCGCCTTCATTGCCCTGTGAAACGAGGCCGAAGTCCAGGAAACTCAGGCCGCGGATGATCGGCACCGACAGGGAGTTGACCAGCTGCAGCACAAACGAGGCGCCCAGGAGCATAAAGGCTAGCAGCGCAATGCTGCGACCCGTTCCCGACGTGGCTCCCATGCGACTGGCAAGTGTGAGAGCCGCGTGAGGACGCGATTGTCGCCGCCCCAATCCACGCAGGGTACTGCCCCGCGCCAATCCTAGGGCGCGTTGCAAATGTGGAGGTACCTGCACGGCGCGAACGCCAGCTGCGAGGAGGCCTTAAGTGCATGCCTACGTAATTACTCGACATTGTAGAACGCGAACGACGGCGTACCTGGCTCGGCGCCCTCGACCACCTGCTTATCAAAGCCACGCAGGCCTTGGAGCTCGTCCGCGCGCGCCAGCGCCTCCTTGGCGCTCGCGATGTGCACGTCGCGGAAGTTGAGCGTCTTCTTCAGGTAGCCTGTCGCCGCCTTGAGTGTCGCTGTCTCGTCAAACGGCAGCTGGCGGTTGAAGGCCATCTCCGGGCCAAACTCGGCGATACGCTTCTTGAACGCCATGACGAATGGCATTGCCTTCTTGTCCTTCAGCAGACCTGCCGCAGCAACCTCCTCGCGCACCTTGACGTCATCCACCTGGCCCGTTGCGCTGTCGTAGTGCTTCTGCACCGCACTCACACACGTGTCCTGCCATGCGGGGAACGCATCCGCGACAAAGATCGACACCTCCTTGGGCTTGCGCTCGTCGTATTTGGCTGGCGCAGCAGGGCCCTTGGCCTTGCGGCGCGTCACGGCAATCTCGGCATCACGGATCGTCTTGATCGTGCCGCGCACGTACTGCGCCGCCGCCGTCATCGCCACGTCCTCTGGCTGCGTCGGCTCGGGGAAGCGCGCATCGTGCACCGACGTAGTGTGGCCCAGCACCGACTTCCACACGTGCTCCGCAAAGTGCGGCGCAATCGGCGCAATCAGCAGCGCCTGCGTCTCGATCCAGCGGCGCACTAGGTCCGCGTGCATACCGACATCCGCCGTCGCCTCGCGGTACAGGTCACGCGCCGTCTGGAACTCGTAAAAGCCAATCTTCGACGCCTCCTTGTACGCCGCACGCTCGTACGCGTCCTTGGTCGCAACAATGGCCACGTTGATTTCATTCGCCAGCGTCTTGTCCCAGAACGAGTCAAGCGCGCCCGTGCGCAGCTTCCCGTCGCGGATCTGCTGCATCACGTCCGCACACCAATCGATGAGCGTGTGGATACGCAGAATGTTGGCGTTCGCCGTCTTCTCTTCAAAGTTGGCGTCCTCGATACCATCACCTGCGTCTGCCAGACTCACACGCGTCGCATCCGCACCGAACTTATCGACGGCCTGGCGTAGCGAGAGCGAGTTGCCCGTGCTCTTCGACATCTTGGCACCGTTGAGCATCAGGTGGCCGTTCGCACGCATCGCACGCGGCCACAGCGCCTCAGGGAACAAGGCAGCGTGGTTGTAGATGCAGAACGTCAGGTGGTTGTTGATCAGATCCTTGCCCGACGAGCGCAGGTCCATCGGGTAAAAGTAGAGGAACTCGCGGCGCAGCACGTCCGCCTTGTCCTTCGGTACACTTGTGTTCGCAGGGAACGCACCCGAGCCGAGAATATACTCCCACACCTCGTCCGTCAGCTCCTCCGCCTTGATGCCCAGCGAGCCAACCTGGCTGCCATCCTCGACGCCGCCCTGCAACAGGTGCGCCACCGTGTAGTATGACATGTAGATCGTCGAGTCACTCAGACTCTCGACCAGGAACTGTGGATCCCACGGCAGCTTCGAGCCGAGACCGTACGAGCGCGCGCACGCCCACTGGTGCAGCCAGCTTAGCACGCCCTCGAACGAATGGCGCGTCTCGGGCTGGAACGTGTTCATCTGCGCAAGCAGCTTCTCGGCCTGCGCCTTCCATGTTGGCTCACCGTAGTCCAGGTACCACTGGTCGCACAGCGCCACAATGCAGTCGTCGCCACTGCGGCTCGTGATCTTGCCTTCTGGCTCCGCATAGGCGAACGCCAGGCCCGAAGCGATCATCTGCTTTTGCACCTTGTTCTTCGCCTCCTGCACAGGCTGACCCTTAAAGTCGCCCTGCAGCATTTCACCGTGGTAAAAGCCCTGCTTGTACGCAATCTCCTTCGCCTCGGCCAGCAGATTCTTGTCCTTAGGGCTCTGGATCTTGAGCTGCTTCACCAGATCAGCCGCCATCATGTTGCTGTAGCCGGGCGCCTGCACGATCGGCACAGGCTCCTTGGCCACCCACTGGGGGTCGACCTTGTAGAACTCGGCCTTCTTGCGCAGCTCCATGAGCATGGCGTAGTCGTCCGGCGAGTCGCTTGGCACACACGTCACCACACCCGTACCCTTTGTCGCGAGCACCGTGTCCATCGGCACCACATACACCGTCTCGTGAACAGCCAACGGCGCTTGCACCTGCGTGCCGACGAGCGCTGCACCAGGCACCTGCGCGAGGCACTCGACGCGGCCGCGCTCGCTGACAATGCCCTGGTACGCAAAGTTGCGTGCCGCACGCTCCGTGCACACAAACACGTCCGTGTCGTTGATCTTGTACGCACCGTACTCGATCTTTGGGCCCACATAGCAGTTCGTCTGGCCGTACATGGTCTCGGGCCTCAGCGTCGCAGCAATCAGGTACACCTTCTTACCCTGCAGTTTCTCGTCCAGTAGCGGCGCCGCATCGGCGCCCCACTGTACGACCTCCATCTTGAGGCCAGTGTACTCCTGGGGACCCAGACCCTCGCCGTCGGAGCGATCGTGGTCCATACACGGCTGGTCGTCCTTGGGCGAGAAGATAGTGTAGCGCTCACCAAACTTGATCTTGTCCATCTTGCGCAGCTTGTTGATCTGCCATCGCACGAACGAGTCGTAGTACGGGTTCACATCCGTCGTCAGGAAGGCGCGACGCCAGTCGATGCGCAGACCAAAGTCGTTGCAGTCGCGCTTGGCGATCGGCGGGAAGTAGCGCAGCCAGTGCGTTGGGTCCGCAAACTTCTTAATCTCGTCGCGCGGCACACCGCTGTTCTCCATGATCTGGAACTGGTACTTGAGCCCCGTCGACTTGCCCGCAAGCTTACCCTTGGTCGCCTTGTCTACGCGCTGCGAGCCCTGCTCTTCCTTGGGCTGTGCCTCCTGCGCCTGCTGCTCCTCCCAGCCACTGAAGTCTTCGCCGAAGAGCTCAATCTCGCGGATCAGCTTGTCCGCCGCCGCACGAATTGGCATACCAGTGCAGTGGAACGCCCAGGGGAACAAGGCACGCTTGCCGCACATGCGCTCATAGCCCGTGGCGAACTCGACCTTAGATAGAGTGAACGCATGACCCAGGTGAAGGCTGCCGTTCATGTACGCATACGGGATCGTCGCGAAGAACTTGGGATACTTGGCCCGCACCTCCTCTGGAGACATGTCGCGCAGCTCTTCATCGTTGACGGGACTGTCCACATTGAACAGCTGCGCCTGCTGCCACTCCTGCTGGTACTGCGACTCAAGCGAGCGCAGAAAGTCACGCTTCGCCGTATTTTCAAGCTTGATCGGGCCTGCTGTAGGTGCTGCCGATTTACTCGCGGACATCACTGCAGGTCTCGTACAAAAAGCCCTGCGCAGGGAATTCAAGACTTGCCAGGAACGCACACTGAACCGTCGCGTCGGGTGCGTAGCGCTCGAAGACAAAGAGCTTGCGGCACAGGCCGTCTTCGTTCACGTGACCGTATGGCGCCGCGTCGCTCGCTCGTGCATGGCGCCAGCTCCACATGTCCGATGGCGGCGGCGGCGCCGCACGAGCGCCAGTGCCGTACCAGCTCGAGCCGCCGCCGTGGCGTCCCGCACTTCACCACTCTGATGCATCTCTGGGGACCCCTGGTATACGAAAACTGCACGGAATGACGCCACCGTCTGAACATACGCTGCGTCATGGCGCGACGCTTCCTCCGCTTGTGCCCAGCGAAACGGCGTCCATGCAGACCCACATGCTCGACCGCATCGGGGGACCAGCCGCACTGCAGCTGCTAGGAGACTTGTTCGAACGTGTCCGCGATAAAAGGCGCAGTGGCGCGCAGCTCGCCGGCGCTCCTTCGCCCCTCCCTTCTCGTGTCACACTCAACGACGCGAAACTAAGCGAGTACGTGCACCAGCTTGCAGATCCTACTGTACCGCTTTATCGGCTGGCAGAGCGCATACCCCATGGATTCCGCGGTGCGCGCCTCCTCGATATGCTCTTGCACGGCTCGCTTCACGGCTCATCAACAGCGCGTTCAGTGCCGCTATCTCGTGCTCTGTGGCTAATTCGAATCATTGGCGCACTGGAGCTCGATGCAACACACAAGGACGTGCACAAGTACACATGCGACTGGACAGTGCGTGTACTGCACTGGATGACCCAGCTCGTCGCTTCGCTGCGCGAGCCGACGGCCTGGGCCTCCCAATGGACTTATGGTACGGCGCTGGTCGACCGCATGGTACAGGAGTCACTCATCGAGCCATATATGCTGTATCGCTGGATCATCACGCAGCTTGGAAAAGCGCACGACGGGGTGCGCGCATGCCTCCTGCAATGGGCGGTCCTACACACACCTGCAATCTTGGGTCATGCCGCCCTGGGCACAGCACTACTCTCTGCGCTTGGAGACCTGGCTGCCGAGCCATCATGGCTAGGGCAGCAGGCTGATATCCATTTTGCTGCATGTGTAAAGGAAGCTCCCTTGCTTTGCACAGCCTTGCCGCTTTCGATGCTCGCGGCCCGAGGCGTGCCCGAGCGCCTGCAGACACAGGCGCAACTCCTACATGGCTCACTCGCGCCCCTACTCAGTCCTGGTGTCGATATCGTGGATGCCGTGGCCATCTCGCTGCTCGATCGCGGGACTAGTACGACCACTCTATTTGCCGACTATTTTCTTGCGCGGCACGCCTCGGCCGCCGTGGCGCAGCATCGCCTCTTTTTGCTGTATCACTGGGCCTGTACAGAGGCGCGAATGGGGCATCACCGGATCTTTGTGGCTGCAGCCCTTGTGCAATTGCTCGACGAGTGCCAGGCGCAGCGACTTGTCCTGCCCGATGGCCGTCACTTGCCCTGTCCATGGACCCCATTCTCTCTGGGCGACGCGACACTCCAGTGGATCGACTCACTCGACGCCAATGGGCCAAAGCATCACCTCCATGTGACGATGGCGGCGCGCCTACTCGGCGTGCTCGCCCAGAAAGAGCTGTTCAGCTATGCGGCCCTCCTGCAACGGCTCATGGCACGTGGCGATGTGCGGGCGATCAGCGAACTGAGGACATCGCGACACAGTGCCACCGTGCCAATCCGCCTACTCCGCAAAATACCCATACCACGTGCGTCCATCTCACTGCAGCAGCAACGGCGCTTCACTATTTATGGTGCACGGACCTCTGAGTCGTACGAAGAGGCCACAGAACGCCGTGCCATCCGCGAGCTGCGCCGTCTCTTTGAGTGGGACGAAGTAGTACCAAGTGCTCTGCCCTCCTGCGTTAGCTCACCTATGCTGTCTTCCGCACCACTGAGCGTACCGAGCTCGCCAAACCTCTCGAGCGCTCTCGGGGCCCAGCCCCATGGAGCAACGGACCTCCTGAATGGCTTCCAGCTCCATCAGCGTCTCCCGCACCTATGGAGCGCGTCGCCCTATATTCAAGCCCGCATTGTCGACAAGTTCCTGCTTCCCACCTTGCTCAATGACGTTTCAGGGATTCACCCAGACCGCTTTGCCCTTGCCGCTACCCTGTTAACGTCCTTGCATGCGATGGAAGCCCTCGCGAAGCTTATGTGTGCGCTGCTCGATGGCCACAATCTCATGTGCGTCGTGTCCATCTGCCATACGATCGCTGCGCACGCGCGCGTTTGGGACGCACTTGACAAGACATCATCGCTGGCTGATCTCATTTCTCCTTACGCATTGGCCGATGCGCCCCTACTTCCGGGTATAACTCGGGTTGTGCCAGCGACGGGGCGCGGTATGACTCTTGCCCTAGCGCGTCATGCACTCGCTGCCTTGTCGGATCTAGATGAGTCAGTGATAAGGTATGCGCCACTACCTCAAGCACCGCTGCCCAGCGCACTCTCCCCGGTTGCTCTGGCCACGGAGGCGGTCCATGTATTGCTCACGCCAAGTGCAGCATGGGACGATGCGTGTACGGCTCTGATCGCAGCTGTGCCGCTGGACGAAGCTGCATCGTTGCTGTGCACACAAGCCCTTAATTTCCTGGCAGACGGACACTTCGCCTCCGATGCTATGTTGACGTGTTTGGCTTCTCTGGCCGGCACAGCGGGCGTTTGTCTGGACCTTGTGGCACACACGTGGATTCGCTCGGCATGGGAGCGACAAGCGACTGAGCCTGCATGGACAACCTTGCTTCTGTCGCTGATTCGCTTTGGCTACCTGGACGGCGACCGTCTCGTGCAGGAGGTGCTATGCCCCTTTTTACGCACGGCGCACCCTTCGCATGCGGGCTGGAGCACTTGCATCATACTTTTGCATGCCTTGGTATTCACCTACACGGTACCAGGAAGCCCCTGCTCTCTGGACGTTATGGGGCACGCTTGCTGGTACGACGTGACACTCGTACGAATGAACTTGGGTCTGACGGACGGCTTTGTGCCTTTGCTGCATGCGCTGGACATTTGCCAGGCGCCGTCCAGCGCGGACTGCACGCAGCTATTGCAGAAATGCAGGCCTCAGCTACGCACTCTATGGCTCAGTTATCCAGATGCCGTGTGGCATGGCTTCCAGGCAGTGGATGCCCAGCGCCGTCCCGAGGCCCTTCGCGCAATCCAGGCTGTGCTGGACGGGTCTTCTAACGAGCGTACAGATGCGTGGTCCTTGCGTTTAGATGATGCTTTTGAGGGCGCGCTGGCCGCCTTGGATATACGTATGAGATGGGACGTATCCACCGAGCCACTGCCATCCCCTGTGATATGGCGTGCCCCGATGGATATCCTGCTGCGTTGGGACTTGCCCCCTGCCATCGTCGCACCATTTACGACAATGCTACTGATGGAACTGGCTGCGAGCGATCGTCCGGGACCTACCATTGTGACCCTAGCGCGTTTCGTTCAGGCATGGACAGGAAATCTGATCCCATGCGATACTAAGGCAGCCACTCGCGCTGTGACTGCCCTGCCCGCTGTGGCCTCCCGCGTGTCCCGGGACGAATGGCTCTCCGCCATATTAAGCGTGCTAAGGTGCACGACAACCGCAGCTCCATGGGTGAACGTACTAGATCTGTTGATTCAGTCTGCAGGTCCATGGGAGGCAGCCGTGGCCGTGCGTGTGCAGTCGGTGCTCCCGCCCGCTACCCTGGATGCATGGCTGTACCAGCGACTCTCTTCGAGCCTGAGGTGCACATCTGCTTCCGTGGGGTCACTGACCCGGTATGACAGTGCGCGTACGTCGCCATCGCCCTGGACGCAGCTAGAGGCGATGTATCCTCCTGTCGAGCCGAACCGCGATCCCTGGGCGTGTCCTCTGCTAGACCGCACGGGCCTGCTCTCCGACTTGCACGCACAAAAAACTCGTGAAACTATGCCATCTATACAACATGGTGCCCCGCCATGGCTCCCCTCTGAGCAGTCCTACGGCGACGGCGACGATGCTCTGTCTCGATACCCTGCGGTGCTACCGCTTACGAAGCGACGGCGCTCGTCCATATCACCGGCTCCGAAGCGTGCCCGTCATTGATACCCAGTTTTAAAACTAGCCAGTTAGTCGCCGGACGTACCACACTGAGATAGGACTCGGCCACAATGCGCGCCCGCGCATTGAGGCTCAGCTTCATTTCGCTAATCTCCTTGTCGACCTCCTCCATGAATTGAATGATAAAGTCCACGAGTTTGTGTTTAAGCAGCGTCTCTGTGTGTGCATTTGAGATCAAGAACGAGATATCATAGCCCGGCATGGGCTTGCGCCGCAGGATGACGAAATTGTCTGCGCGCTGCATCAGGAAGCGGGTAAACTTGTGGCACAAGATCTGCTCGATCTCATCCGCCTGCTTGATTTTGATGCTCAGGCGCACACTGTTGACGGATGGCTCAATCAACACATGTTCGTGCTCGTTGCGGCTCACGGTGAGCGGCACTAGCACGGCTTCGGCGGTGGCCTGTGCCTCGACCTCGGGGATGTTGTGCCGCTCGACAACCTGCGAACCAAAGTTTTCAAGCGTGAGCGCCGCCGTAAGACTGGAGCGCACGCACTCCAGATAGGGACGGAGCGTATTCGACTGCGGTCAGTGGGTGCCACGCACCATGCTGGGCAACGGTCGTTCAGACCCGTCAGTGCACGTCCGGGCCGTGGAGGCTCGATCACGTAAGCCTACAAGGTCGTGATCATGGTGCCAAGACTGCATGCTATGGTGGTCCCAATAGGTAGGCGCCTGGCGTGGTGAGGCGAAGATCGTAGCTTTGCATCACACACCCCTACGTTCCATGCAGCGATCGTGGCGAGGCGCGACGGGCTCGTCGGGCGTGAGCCGACGGCCAGGTAGCAGGCGTGTGGAGTATCGTGCGCGTGACTGGTTGGCTGGTGGCGACCAGCGCAAGCCGATGGCGATCTCGACACGAGGCACGTGGTTTCAGGGGAGGCTGGTGGAATTCCACGAACGCTTTCTCCTTCCAGTCCGGACGTGGTAGCGGTGATTGCGGGGCCAAGTGCAGCATGTCTGGTACGTTCTAGTGATGCTGACATACAGCTATCACAAATGCAGAGGGCTCTGGCCTCGATGGGGCTGCTGCATCCTTGGCGCCGGTGCCTGAGCCCCGGGGGGACGAGCGGTCACATGCTCTTACCGAGTCGGGGCCGCGCGTGAGCCGCGCTTTCCGGCCTGAAATCATGGATGCGGAGGCCAATCCTGACCTCTACGGACTTCGGCGATCGGTGCGTGGTGTCTACTCACACACAGGGACGTGCTCCGACGCGCAAATCTGTACGTGTATGAAACTTACGCAGTACGTGACGGACGAGGCGAGCGATGACGAGCCCGTGCCAAGCGATGACGGCGACGGCGATGCTGCCGTCAGTGACGACGCGCCAACCAGCGACGATGACGCCGATGAAGACTTTGGCGGGCCGCGTCGCAAGACCGCGAAGAAGCCCGAGTCCGAATGGGGTATGGCCGTGCGCATGTCGAGCCGCACCGGCGGACGCGTCGCCAACTATGCCGACGACTACCACGACATGGATGAGGACGACCCCTTCGAGGACCACGTGGACGAGCAGGCCCAGGACGTCGAAGAAGTCGCGGTCGACCAGATTGAGGGCGTGTTTGGCCATGAGCGCGACGAGGCGCGTTCGGATGATCCTGAAGATATACCCACAGAAAATATGCGGTTTGTGATCAAATGGAAGGGCTACTCCCATTTGCACGACACACACGAACTGTACGACTTTCTGAAGCGGTTCCCCGGCTTTAAGCGGGTCACCAACTATATTAAGTCGGTGTGGCAGCCAATGCACGACATTGCCATGGATCCTGAGGCGACCCGCGAGGATCTTGAGACTCTGCAGATCCAGCGCGAGCGGCAGCGCGAGCTGCTTGAGAATTATCGCACGGTGGAGCGTGTCATTGCGCAACGCGACGAGCCGCCCACGAAGGAGGTGCCGTACACGCACGCCGCGTATCTGTGCAAATGGAAGGACCTGGGCTACGATAATGCATCGTGGGAGTCGGAAAACGATGTCGCGCCGATCGGCCGCACGCAGATCGATGCGTTCCTGGCGCGCGCCACATCAGCTACAGTCCCCGCACGGAGTGAGGTATTCAGCCGCGGACGCCCACCGTATGTGCGCATGACCGAGCAGCCCAAGTATATTGGAGCGCATGGCACGCTCAAGGACTTCCAGATGACCGGCCTCAACTGGCTTGCGTACCTGTGGAGCCACGGCGACAACGGCATTCTTGCCGATGAGATGGGTCTCGGCAAGACGGTGCAGACCGTGTCGTTCCTATCATACCTATTCCACTCGTGCTACCAATACGGCCCCTTCTTGGTCGTTGTGCCCTTGTCCACACTGCCATCGTGGCAGCAGCAGTTCGAACATTGGGCCCCAGACATGAATGTGGTGTCGTACACTGGCAACTCGCACAGCCGCGAAGTGATCCGCGAGTACGAATTTGGACCACCGCGCAAGACGCGCATGAACGTGCTGCTGACGACGTACGAGTTCATCTTGAAGGACCGCGCCGAACTGCAGCCGATTAAGTGGCAGTTCCTCGCGGTTGACGAGGCCCACCGCCTAAAAAATGCCGAGTCGCAGCTGTACGAGGCGCTGAGCTCGTTCCACTGTGCGGGCAAACTGCTGATCACCGGTACACCGCTGCAGAACAATGTGCGTGAGCTGAGTGCCCTACTGCACTTTTTGCGCCCAGACCAATTTGACCTTGAGGCTGACTTTGACATTGCCAACGTGGACCAGTCGAAGATCCAGGAGCTGCACGAGCGCCTAGAGAATGTCATGCTTCGCCGACTCAAGCGCGATGTGGTTAAGGAGCTGCCGACCAAGTCCGAGCAGATTCTGCGCGTGGAAATGAGCGCGATGCAGCAACGCATGTACAAAGCGATTCTGACGCGAAACTACTCCTTGCTGAGCGGTAATAATACGACGCAGTTTTCCCTGCTCAACATTGCGATTGAGCTGAAGAAGGCGTCGAATCACCCGTACCTCTTTGACGGGGCAGAGCCTCCTAGCCAGAACCGCGAGGAGACGCTCAAGGGTCTGATCATGCACAGCGGAAAAATGGTCCTGCTGGAGAAGCTCCTTGCGCGTCTCAAGGCGGATGGGCACCGGGTGTTGATCTTTAGCCAAATGGTGCGCATGCTTGATATCCTGTCGGACTACTTGTCTCTTCGTGGCTATGTGCACCAGCGCCTCGATGGCACCGTCTCGTCCGACACGCGAAAGCGAGCGATCGACCACTTTAATGCGCCCAACTCCCCTGACTTTTGCTTCCTGCTCTCGACACGCGCGGGCGGTCTGGGTATCAACCTCGAGACGGCAGACACCGTGATCATCTTCGACAGCGACTGGAACCCCCAGAACGATTTGCAGGCCATGTCGCGCGCTCATCGCCTGAACTCGAAATTCCACGTGAGCGTCTTCCGGTTCTTGACCAAGGGCACAGTGGAGGAGGATGTGCTGGAGCGTGCGAAGCAAAAGATGGTGCTGGAGTATGCTATCATCCACCACATGGATACGTCTGGCACCAACTTTGCGCCCAAGTCGCTGAACAAATCGAACCAGAACTTCAGCCGTGAGGAGCTTGGCGCCATCCTAAAGTTTGGTGCACAGAGCATGTTCAAGGGAGACGAGGATGGGCAGCAAAAGAAACTGGATGAAATGGACCTGGACGAGATCCTGCAGCATGCCGAGGCCCGCGACACGGAGGCCGACAGTAACACGGCCTCGTCGGGTGGCCAAGCTTTCCTGCAGCAGTTTGCCCAAGTCCAGGACTTCAAGGCAGACGATGTGAGCTGGGACGACATTATTCCTGCCGAGGACCGTCTCAAGGCGGAAGAGGAGGAGCGCGAGCGTGCTGTCGAAAGTGCGATGGCCGCGAGCTCCTCACGGCGTCGCGCGGCTGTGGCGTCTAGCGAAGCGACGGCCAATGTGGCCGCCGAAGAGGGCATCACAGAGCCGAAGTCCAAGGGCAAGGTCGTGCGTAAAACGTCGGGTCAGCGCTCACTAGAGCTCAAGGAGCGCGATCTACGTGTGCTGCTGCGTGGAATCCAGCGGTGGGGCGATCTACGCTACCGCTATGACGTGATAGTCAACGAAGGCAAGCTCCAGGACAAGAATCGGGCGGTGCTGATGCAGGCGTCGAATGAGTTGGTCGCCCTGGCGGAGGAAAAACTCGCTGAGCACCAAGCGTTTCTCCGCGGGAAACAGGAGCGCGGCGAGGAAATTACATCGGCGCTGCGTCAGCGCGCGGTACTGATCAACTACCGCGGCATATCCAACATCAATGCAGAGACGCTCCTGATTCGGCATCACGAGCTCCACCTGCTGGCGGAGACACTGGAGGCCTTGGACGACCCACTACAGTGGCGCTTTCCGGCGGAGAATCTCAAGGCCACGCTCAACTGGCACTGTGAATGGGGCCACTTGGAGGACTCACGTCTGCTCGTGGGCATCTGGCGCTACGGCTTTGGTTCGTGGGAGCAGATTGAGGCGGACTCGTCGCTGGGCCTGCAGGGCCGCTTTTTCCTGGAAGAGGGCAAGCGGACGAACGAAGCGAAGGACGAGGAGGGCGATGCGTCGAAGGACGAGACCAAGCCGAAGACGGGCGCTGGCAAGTCGCGTCCGATTCCCAACGCCATCCATCTCGTGCGCCGCGCTGACTACCTTCTCAAGACACTACGTGAGACGGTCACTGCAAGCAGCGACGAAAAGGACAAGCCACGGAAGAAGTCACGCTCGTCTGTGAACCGCTCTGAGAAGAGCAAGCGCAGCGCCGCGCAGTACTCGTCAGACGAATCGGACGACGACGGGTATGCCAGTATGGACGAGCTCGAGTGCAAGGAGATCATGCGTCCCTGCAAGCGCCAGCTGAAGACGCTCAAGGACGACACAGAGCACCTAGAGCGCGACCGCAAGATCGCCACGCTGAAGGAGTGTCTCTCGGCCATTGGCACCCACATCGACCACGTGATCGCCACCAAGTTCGCGCACCTGCCCAAAGCACGGCAGGACAAGTGGTACGAGCACTTGTGGGCCTTTTCGTCGTTCTTTTGGCCGAAAAAGGTTGAACCAGAGAAGCTGCGTGGCATCTATGCCAAGCTGACTGGCCAGGCCACGAAGGAAGAGGCCGCAACCAAGCGGAAAGCAACGCCTACCGATGAAACGGATGCTGCCAAAAAGCCCCGCGCACAGTAGCTACAGCTCTTCCTCCTCGTCGGATGCGGGCGCTGGCTCGACGGCGGCCATACCCGCATCCAAGTCCATAAGCGTGTCCATAGTCTGCGCCAGACCCTGTCGACGCTTCTTCTCTTTCCGCGCTTTGCGCCGCTCCTTTCCGCGCGAGGGCGCCATCCCCTCGCTCTCTGCCTCATTGAACATGGGCTTGGGAGCCGCCTTCTTCGGCGGGGGCGGCGCCTCGGGAAGATCATCCTCGTCTTCATCGTCGCCTTCCACATCCAGGACACCCCAGGCGGACGGTCGGCGCGTGCGGTACGATGTCATATCCTCGTCCGAGTCGCTATCGTCGCGTTCGCGCTTGCCCAGTGTCGAGTCAGTGACGTCATCCACATCTGCGCCGATGTCAAGAGTGCCTGGCACAGGCACTGGATCAGGCTGCGGCGGCGAATAGCGCCCATCACCCCCGAGAACCTCAGCATCCGCCTCGCCCAGCAGGCCGGCCAGGTCAAATTCCTCGCTAAAGCTTGAGAGAATGGCTGCGGATCCATCGCCAGCAGGCGCTGCTTCCACGGGCTTAGTCGGCTTTACGAGGCTGGGGTGTTTGGCTGGCGGCTCGGTCTGGTACTTGATTTTACCAGTATTCCAGTCGTGCAGGACGGAGCGTGCCGTACCGTCGAGGTCTGGCAGAGCGCCGCGGGCAATTCGCCCTTTTTGGTACGCAAGACGCAGTAAAAAGTCTTGCACGTCGCGCGAGGGCAACTCGGGTATATCATACACTTCCGCCAGGTACTTGGGGTCCATGCGGTCAAGAATGGCTTGCACGGGCTCTTGCGGATCCTCGACAAGCTCAACTTTGAGCACGTTGCGCAGCATCGCCGCCTGTGCTGCAGCTGCAATCTCCTCGGATGTGGCACCAGGTGGCGCATTCGCGTCCGAAAACACAATACCCGGGCTGTCGAGGAGGCGGACATGCCTATCGAGCATGATGCCCTGTACCACTTTGGTATGGCCGGGCGTCGACGCAACACCACACACACGCGAGCGTTTCAGCGAGTTGATCAGACTGCTCTTCCCGACATTGGGCGCACCGATCGTCCCGACCGTGATGCTCGATTTGAGGTTCAGATTGCGCGAGTAGTTTTTGATCAGCTGAAGGATGGCGCGCGTGCCGACGGCCTCCGCGCCGCCTACGACCTGCTCGTCCCCCTTCTCTGTCTTCCACATCGCCCCATGGTTCTGTCCGAGATGGTGGCGCTGCTGCTGCGTCGACGCCTTAAACGGCAGGGTGGGAAACTCTTTCCGAAGATACTCGAGCCAGGCCCGTGTATTCGATGCCGAGACAAGGTCAATCTTGTTCAAAATTAGCACCACCTTTTTACCGAGGCGCAGCGCCTCCTGCTCTATGGTATACGCCCTGGTCATCAGTGGCGATATACGTACCGGCACCCAAGTGGGTCACGCACATCTAGGACCTCCAGAAGTACATCTGCATGCTCTAGCACCTTGCGTAGCTCTTTCATAAACATCTTTGAACTGTTGTCCTTCTCTGTCAGTTTCGAAAGCCGCATGCGCGCCTCACGAGCGGCCGCCTGGGCGGCGGCCGAGTCCTCGTGACCGACGTCGTCGACCCTGTCCAGCTGGAGCAAGTCGGCATTCGACTGTTTTGCACATGCCACACGTCCACGTCCACCGCGACGGAAGGGCAGGTCTCGCACTCGGTGCGCGTCGACCGGGCGCCCGACAGGCGCCCCCGTTGGCCCTCGGCGTCCACCGCGCTTGCCCATGGCTGTCGCTGTGGAGGTTCCATTTTTTGCGCCGATCCCAGTCACTCGATAAGATCACGTGGAGCATAACCTTCCTTCGCTCATGCACTCCACGCCCCAGGCCCCGGCCGTGTACCGGCACCAGCCGACGGCGAAAGCGAGCAGCGATGCCTCGAAGAAGATGTACGAAGAGCTGAAAGCCCACCAGCGTCTAGAAGATGGCTCGCCCGACTATTTGCGCATGATTCTGGGGGCGCATCTGTACGACCTTGCCCGTCTGACTTCGCTCACGCCGGCGACGCACTTGTCGACGCGTCTTGGGTGCGAGGTGCTGTTGAAGCGCGAAGATATGCAGCCTGTGTTTAGCTTCAAGCTCCGTGGTGCCTACAATATGATGCGTCAGCTTGACGATACGCGCAAGTGGAAGGGCGTGGTCGCCTGCAGCGCCGGCAATCACGCACAGGGTGTGGCGCTCGCTGGCGCCAACTTGTCGATTCCGTGCACAATCGTCATGCCACGAGGTACTCCTCGCATCAAGTGGGAGAATGTACAGCGCCTGGGCGCCAAGGTCGTGTTTCACGGCGCCAACTTTGACGAGGCCAAGAAAGAGTCAGTGCGCCTGGCCGAGGCGTACGGCCTGACTATGGTCCCGCCTTTTGATCATCCCCAGGTGATTGCAGGGCAGGGCACCATTGGCGCGGAAATCTGCAGTCAGACGGACATGGAAAAGGTTAGTGCGGTGTTCTGTGCTGTGGGCGGTGGCGGCCTCCTCGCTGGTATCGCTGCGTACATCAAGCGCGTCGCGCCGCCGCACGTCAAGGTCATTGGGGTGGAGACCTTTGATGCCGATGCCATGACGCAGAGCATGGAGCAGGGACACCGCGTGGAGATACCGGACGTGGGTCTGTTCAGCGACGGCACCGCCGTGCGTCTGGTTGGCGACGAGTGCTTCCGCTTGTGTCATGGCCTTGTGGATGGTATGGTGCGTGTGTCGAACGATGAGATTTGTGCGGCCATCCGTGATATTTTTGAAGATACCCGCGCGGTCACCGAGCCGGCCGGCGCGCTTGCCCTGGCCGGCCTGAAGCGCTACGTGGCGACGCAAGGCGCTGCGGCCGCCGGGCAGCGGTACGTCGCCGTGATCAGCGGCGCCAACATGAACTTTGATCGCCTGCGGTTCGTCTCGGAGCGCGCAGGTCTGGGCGAGAAGCGCGAAGCTATCATGTCTGTGACGATCCCCGACCAGCCCGGTAGCTTCCTCAAGCTGAACCAGCACCTCTATCCCCGTGATGTAACCGAGTTTTCGTACCGCCACAATGGCACAAAGCAGGCGCAGATCCTCACCTCCTTCCTTCTCAACGGCAGCATTCCCGCGTCGGAAGCCAACCCGATCGTGTCCAGTGCGCTGCCGCCCGCCGATGGCGCCACAGTGCGTGAGCTTGAGTTGAAGGGTATCTTGGACGGCCTGAACAAGGCGGGCATGCATGCCGTGGATATCAGTGACAATGAGCTTGTCAAGTCGCACGCACGCTATTTGATCGGCGGCCGTGAGCCTGTGCCGAATGAGCGCCTGTTCCGTTTCCAGTTCCCGGAGCGCCCTGGCGCCTTGCAGCACTTCCTCGTGAGCATTGACGCGGGGTGGAACATCTCCCTGTTCCATTACCGCGCCGAGGGCGGCGACGTGGCGCGTGTATTGGCCGCGCTGCAAGTGCCGCCCGAGTCGAGCGACAAACTGAACGACTTTCTCGAGACGCTGGGGTATGCCTACGAGGAAGAGACCCACAACCCTATCTATCGGCAGTACCTGCTGTCCGACGCGAGCTAGGCTTTGTAGGGCTACAAAGACTGATGCGAGATCATGGCTTGATACTGGAGTGAGAACGTGCGACGCACCTGTGGGCAGGACTGCATGAGCTCAGCATGCGTGCCGCGCGCCAGGATCCGCCCATGATCGAACAGGAAGATGATATCGGCGGTGCGGATCGTGCGCATCCGATGCGCAATCGCAATTATAGTACACGTGCGAGTTTGGTGGAGCTGAGGTCAGAGCGCCGTACGTACCCGGCGAAGCGTCTCTTGGAACGCCTGCTCACTAGCGGCGTCCATCGCAGACGTCGACTCGTCGAGAAGCAGCAGCTTCGGCTGCCGCACGAGCGCGCGGGCAATTGCCACGCGCTGTTTTTGGCCACCGCTCAGTTGAGAGCCGCCAGTGCCAACGTCGGTATGGTACTGGTCGGGCAGAGCCTCAATCGTGGCGTGCACATGCGCTGCCTCGCACGCTGCGACGATGCGTGGGTCGACGGGCAGCCTGTGTGATGTTTCATGCATTTGCCTCTCGTCCGTCTGTGCGCGCACGGCCGGCACAGAGAGCGGATCGTCTAGGCCGAGCGCCACGTTAAACTCGATCGAGCCGCAGAACAGCATTGCCTCCTGTGGCACAATCGCCATGGCGCTGCGCAATGTGCTGGCGGGTATGGACGTTGTTGCATGTCCACCGACACGCACCGTGCCGTGCGAAGGCGCGTAGAAGTTTTCAATCAGGCTCATGGCCGTGCTTTTGCCCGACCCACTGGTGCCGATAAAGGCTGCAAACGCACCGGCTGGAATGTCCAAATCAATGCCATCAAGAGCAGGCGAGTCACGACCCAAGTAGGTGAACTGCACGCCACTGAACGTGACGGGCAGCGGGCCCTGGTCCATCGGTGGCGGCGCCTTCTCCTTTTCCAGGTCCACGGCGGCGGCGCGCGCGCGGCGCGCGCGGGGCTTGGGCGCCTCGGCGCGATCCAGTAGCGAAAAAATATTCGAGGCCGAGACTTGCGCCTTGGTAAAGTCGGGCGCAAAGGCCAGCAGCTGGCCGGATGACTGGGCGGAGAAGAGCAGCGCTGGCAGCACGGTGAAAAAAGCCACCTGGCTGTAGCGCTGCTCGGCGACGTTCTTGGAGCCCCACCAGTACGCAAAGCCATAGATAAAGTACGAGATGCTGAGCGAGATGGCCAAAAACATGTTGCCCACAACCAGGTGCCGCAAGCTTTCGCGGTACGAGCGCTCGAGGCTGTAGGAAAACAGCTGGAGAACGTCCTGTTCGCGGCCCAGCGCGGCGACCGTGCGCATGGACGAGACAGCCTCGACAGCCAGGGCCGTCGACTGTGCGTAGGCTGTCTCGTGGCGCTTTTGAAAGTCGGCAATGACTTTGAGGCGCAGGTAGCCTGCTGCCACAAGGATAGGCACCATCGCGAGGATCACGACGGCGATGCGCCATGCAACGATATGCGCCAAGGTAATCCCTGCAATGAGATTGACGAGAATGCTCACAATGGTACCGATCACGGTGCCTGTCAGCCCGCCCAGGTGACTCGTGTCCGTGCTCAAGTTCGCCATGAGGGTGCCAGGCGCAATGTTTTCTTTTTCGTACCAGGCCAAGGGGCGCGTAACCAGTACCGAGAACACGCGCTGCCGGAGCTGTATCAGGAGCCATTCCGACACGAACCCGAATGATGCTCCACTGAGAAAGTACGCCACCAGCTCAATCAGCGCCAGCACAAAGAAGAACAGGGCGAACCGATCCGAGCGCGACTCCACTTGCTCAGGTGGCTTGCAAGGATTCAGCGCCTCGATCACATGGCCAAAAAGCACAGCTTCGCCGGAGAAGGCCCCACCAATCACGGCAGACGCACACACGCCCAGCAGCGCGTACGGCCAAGGCCCGAGCGCCATCGACAGGAGGCGACCGAGTGCACGTGTGCAGGACATGGTGGGTGCCTTCGTGGGCTCCTCCGTAGGCCCTGACACACCCAGATTCGGGGGCGGCACGACGGGCTGCGCCGGCAGCGGCATAGGCAGGCGTCCTTGCAGCACCTCGGCATCATACTCAGGCGGGCTGGCTGCGTCCATGTCCTTGTCGGAGGACGCACTCTCCGTGTCCAGATCTGCCTCCGCAGGCTCGTGCTCCGATTGCGCGCGCACCAGGGCCGCATAGTGCCCTTGACGGCGGAGCAGCTCGGTGTGCGTACCGTACTCTAGCACCTCCCCATGCGCCATAACGACAATCTTGTCATAGTCGCGGATCGTCGAGAGTCGGTGCGCAATGGCAACGGTCGTGCGGTTCGCCGACACGCGATCGAACGCAGCCTGCACGGCCATCTCGCTCTGCGAGTCGAGGGCAGCGGTCGCCTCGTCCAGCACGAGCACACGAGGCTTCTTGATTACGGCACGCGCCAGTGCAATGCGCTGCTTTTGGCCGCCGCTCAGCGAGCGACCGCCATCGCCGACGCGCGTCACATACCCCTGGGGAAGCCGGAGAATAAAGTCGTGCGCAAACGAGAGTCGCGCTGCCTCCTCGCAGCGCTCGATCACCTCGTCCAGCGCTGCGCGCAGGTGCGCAGGGCACTGGTCCGCCCAGTCTGTTGGCAAGCTGGGATGGTCAAATGCGTACTGCTCGAGCCAGCGAATCACATCAAAGAGGTGTGCCATCGCAGGACTGCCTAGCAGGCCGTGCGCAATGCTCTCCAAGACAGTGCAGTTGAACAGGACGGGCTCCTGGCCAACGAGGCTCATCTGGGAGCGCAGCCAGCTGACTCGGAGCGAATGGATAGGCGTGCCATCATCCAGCGTGATGGTGCCGTTGGTGGGCTCGTAAAAGCGGTGCAGCAGCGATACAATGGTGCTCTTGCCACTACCACTGAACCCGCAGATACCGATGCGCTGCCCCGGCTCGATATCGAGCGTAAGGTGGCGGAGGACTGGGGCCTCCGGGCGCGCAGGATACGCGAGGCAAACGTCGTTAAAGCGGAAGCCGAGCGGGCCATCGCTTTGCGGCGGCACGATGCCCTCTTCGGAAAGGGCGTCGATATGAGCGGGCAGCTGGATGGTGTGCAGGAGCTGCGCGCCGGCGCCGCCAGCCGCTGAGAATGTCTGGAGGTACGGCGAGATTTGCCCCACGACGAATGAGGCATCCAGGAGAAGAAAAATGACCGTGTACACGTTGCCCACAGTGCTGGAGGCGTCGTCGCCGTCGGTGCGCATGTGATCCGAGACCATGCGGCTGCCCGAGTGAAAGGCGAGCGCATTGGCGGAATAAGCGACAAAGAAGAGGCAGCCGAGCATGGTGGCGGCGGACAGAGCGCGGTACATGCCACTGCGGCGCACAAGACCCAGATGCGCATGGAACAACTGGCCGAGCGGTGCCTGCGCCTGGAACGCCTGGACGACGGGCAAGTTCTGCAGGGCCTCGGTTGCGATGCTGGATGCATCGCCCATGTGCGTCGACATGCGCTTCGTGTAGCGCGAGACAAAGTGAGCGCCGACCAACGATACGATCAGGAACGCAGGCACGAGCGAGAGGAGCTGCGCGGCGAGCACAGGGAGCAAAACGAAGGCGGTAATGTAGCTCGCGAGAAAGTACGCGATGGAGGACAGGAGGATGCCGACCTTTTCACTCGTGCCGTTCTGCACGGTAATTAGGTTCTCGCCGAGACGCGTACTGATCTCGCCGGGAGGCAGCATGTCAAAGTAGCTCATGTCCTGCGACAAGAGCGCCCGCACGTACCGCTCGCGCAGGCGGCGCACGATGCGTTCACCGAGGAACGACCAGCAGCTCGTGTAGATCCAGATGAGTGCAAAGTTGACGGCGGCCACGATAATGATCTGCACGACATGGTCCTGCACGTCCTGCAGGAACTCGGCCTGTTGCGCGGGGTCCGGCGGCGCGAGGGTGTGCGCGACACATGCCTGCTCGTTGAACCCATTGACCATCTTGCCGAACAAGACGCCGATAATGGGCAGCGGCACACCCGCTGCGATGGCGGCGACTGTACCGACGACGAGGGCGGCGTACTCGGTTTTCGAGAGGTCGCGAAATAGGCGCACATAGCTCATCGACGGCAGGCCCCGCCGTACACGCGCGAGCCACGCGCGCGGCGTCCAGGCCATCTGCTCCGATGTCTCCGTCATTTGACAGGACAGGGAGGCAGCAAGCAGCGAGCAGCGCGCCTGCCGAGAAGGTCCAGCGCAGGCGCGTGGCTTCGCGCTCTTCTACCCGGCCTTGGCGACTTTTTATCAGATTAAATCAACGACATCCCTGTCTTCGGCCGATACAGGCACCACGATCAGTGCACCTTCCTGAGCAGGCAGGGGCGTCGTGCGTCTCCTCTCTTAGGTCTTCACCTAGCATGGGACGAGCGCCGTTTCCTGATGTGACGGGCCTGCGCCTACGGGCGCGCTCGCGTGACGCGTTCGCGCGCAGCGGCGCCCTGGGCCGTGCGTCCATCGAGACCACTCTCTCCTTAGAGGCCCTCCATGCACATGCTGAGGCCGCCCACGTAGCGGTGCGCAGCGTGCTGGCGGCCGCCTGGGTCACTGTCGCGTACATGTACATGGCACACGAGCTGGACGTGCTTGAGATGGATGCGATCGATGCTGCGCAGCAGGCCGCCGCGCTGCGACTCGGGCCGGCCGTGTGCGACATGCGCGACGCGCATGCGGTCCTCGGGGCGGTCGAGTCGGCGTGGCAGGGCGCACCGACCTCATGCGTCCAGGGCCCGATGGTCTTTGTCGATGCGCTCCAGGACGATGCATCGGCCGCCTGTGCACTTGCCACGCGTGTGCTCGGGCCAGATGTCGCGGTCGCCCTCGTGGCACACCGCGGGCGCGGCGCGCATGTCGGCCTCTCGCTCCTTGCGATACCGAGCGTGCACGTCGCTGGCTCAGCAGTGATGCAGCTGCGCCAGGTGGACGCGGCGCTCACAGCGCTCGCACACGGCACGGATCCAACGGCGCTGCCCGTGGCGCTGCAGGCTCTCAGCACGCCCCCGCCCCAGTACATCGACACGGACCAGCCTCACGGAGTGGCACATGAGCGCCTCGAAGATCAGTTCCGTCGACGCGCGCGCGCCATCCCGAGCGTGCCGGCCCTGGTATGCTGCAAGTCGGTCGCTCCACTCCACTTGGACACTTGGACGTATGCGGATCTCGACGCGCGGTCCGACGCCATTGCACGCCTCGTGTGGTCGCACGGCGTCGGCTATGCAGCGCCTGGCAACGACGACCAGATCGTGTCGCTGTGCCTCCCAAAATGCTTCGATATGTACGCGAGTATCCTGGGCATCCTCAAGGCGGGTGCCGCGTGGTGCCCGATCGATCCCAGCTGGCCCGCCGCGCGGCAGGCGGCCCTCCTCGACAAATCACGCGCGCGCCTCGTGCTGACGACGCAGGCGACCGCGGCGCATGTACGGGACGTGTGCCCGCCCACGATCCGCATGGCCTCGCTGGACGATCCCATCCCTGCAGCACCGACGCCGGTGCGCACGGCTGCGCGTGCGTCGCCCAAGCAGCTTGCCTACCAAATCTGGACGAGTGGGACCACCGGCCTGCCCAAGGCTGTCGGGATTGAGCACGAAGCCGCTGTCCAAGCGATGCGCGCGCTGCAGGCGGCCGTGCCGACGGACCTGCCTGACACGCCGGGCGAGCTGCGGTACCTGCAGTTTGCCGCGTACGTGTTCGACCTGTCCATCTTTGACATCTTCTATGCGTGGGGCCATGGCGGCACCGTGTGCTTTGCCCCCCTCGAGCTTCTTCTCACGCGCCTTGTCGATGTGGCGCAGGCCATGGCCGTCACACACACTCTCTTTACGCCCGCCGTCTCGGCGATGGTGCCGCGCCGCGCCGTGCCGACGATGCGCGTCATGGTCAATGGCGGTGAGAAACTATCCCAGGTCGTGGCGGACGAGTGGTCCCAGGGGTGCCGCGTCGTGAACATATACGGGCCGGCTGAAGCGACGCTGTCGCTGACGGCGCGCGAGATTCCCCCGGACGACGAGGTCAAGGCGCACAATATCGGCGTACCGTTTTCGGATGCGCTGTGCGTGCTCATGGACGAACATGGGCGGATCGTGCCCCGCGGCGCCATTGGCGAGCTCCTCCTGGGTGGCCCGCAGCTCGCGCGCGGCTACATGGGCGAGCCCGACAAGACCGCGGCCAAGTTCGTCGAGCACCCCACACTCGGGCGCCTGTACCACACGGGCGACCTCGCGCGGTACTTGTGGGACGGCCAGCTCGAGTACCTCGGGCGCAATGACGATCAAGTCAAGATTAACGGCGTGCGTATCGAGCTGCTGGAGATCAATGCCGCGGTCAAGTCGGCGTCCGAGCTCGTGCGTGATGCCGACACTGTCGCTATGCCGGCGCTTGATCCGTCGGAGCCGCCGAGGATCGTGGCCTTTGCCGTGGCGCCCACGAGCGACGCGCAGGACGCGCCGCTCATTCGCACTGATGCCGAGGCCGCGAGCCTGGCGCGCAAGCTGCGGAGCACTGTGTCGGACCTGCTTCCTGCGTACATGGTGCCTCTGCACTTTGTCGTTGTGCACGCGTTCCCCCGCACCTCGAGTGCGAAAATTGACCGCCGCACCGTGCAAGCCGCGTACGACGCGCTCGACGTGGCCGCCTGGGAAGCACAGGTTGCGGGGCCCACGGATGATTCGACGGACATCCTCTCGCACCCACTCGCCGTGGCCCTATGTGAGCGGCTGCCTGAGCTGCGCGCGCCGGGCGCGGCGCACCTCTCGTTCCCCCTCTTGGGCCTCAACTCGGTTCGGGCCATGGCGCTCTCTGCCCACCTCGTCAGCGACGGCTGGCCTGTGAGTGCTGCGGACTTTGCCAAGCACGATACGCTCGCCAAGCTCGTCAGCGCGCTGGATGCCGCGGAGCCAGCCGATGACCGCACCGCTGCGGCACAGGCCGTCGCGGAGGCGTGGATGTCGCTGTGCCGCACCGAGATCCCTGCACGCTTGGGTGCGCAAATACTCCCTGTGACGCCGACGCAGCAGGGCATGCTGCTGGAGACGTGTCTCGACCCTGCGCGCTACTGGCTGTACCGCTCGTGGCCCACACATGCACCAGTAGCGCCCGCCCAGCTGCAAGACGCGCTTCGCCGCCTCGCCACCGAGATGGACTGCTTGCGCATGGGCTTTGTGCCAGCCACGTCCGACTCGACATCGCCGTACGCGCCCGTGTACGCCGCGGTCGTGTACGAGTCTGTCACGCCCGTGGTGCATGTGTACACGGGTGATGCCTTTGCAGCGCTCGAGCCGCATCGCCCTGCGTGCACGTCGGGCGAGCCGTTGTGGCTCGCTGGATGCAGTGCCGAGAGCGTAACACTCGTGCTGCATCATGCCCTGTACGACGAGCCGACGCTAGAGCTGCTCGCAGAGCGCCTCGATGCACTGCTGCAGCGCTCGGACGCTCCTTGGCCTGCCGAGCCGTGGGCCCTGGCGCTGCCCGACATGCTGCCGCTCCCTGGCTCGGAGACCGAGTCCTCGGTCCTTGCGGCCTGGGCCGACGCCCTGCGCGGCCCATGGGACCACACGCCATGGCCGGCCCTGCGGGAGACGCGCGCGGCGCCGACCCACACGCTCCAGCGGTACGTGCGCCACGCCCGCACACCATGGACGGCCTTGGAGCGGGCGGCCGCGCAGCTCGGCGCTTCCGTCCGGCCGATGGCGCATGCCGCGTGGGCGCGCGTGCTGTGTGCGTATTTGGGCACGAGCGCCGTCTTGCTGGGCGACGTTGTGTCGCTGCGCAGCCGGCATGCCTCGAATGCACGCATCGGCGGCCCTCTGTTGTCAACGCTGCCCGCGGCGTATTCGATGGAGCATGGCGATACTGTGGCTGCGTACGTCGCGCACTGGCTCCACACGTACGCGCCGCTCCTCGACCGGCCGCCTGTCCCGCTCGCGCATGTCCGCACCCTCGTTGCGTGCCCGGCAGAGCAGCCCCTGTTCCACAGCTTGTTCGTGCTGGAGGCGCCGGACGCTGCCGCTGACGGCGCCGTGCTGGACCTACCGCGCGCGCACGACCAGGGCGTGCATGTTGAGCACGGCCTAGCGCTCGAGATGCGCGTGGACGGCGAGCAGCTTGTCCTTGCCCTCAACGCCCTCGACTCGCACGTGTCGCCGGCGTATGCGGACCAGCTGCTCGCGCAGCTGGACGCGCTCCTCGACGCCTACACGAGCGAGGTGCACATGCCGCTCGCTGCTCTGCCCATGCCGCAGACGCTCCTTGCAGTCGGCTCGTGTGTGCCGCCGGGCACGCCGCGCTACACCAACGTCGCGGCGTGGGCTGCACACCATGCCGCAAGGACGCCGCGCGCCGTGGCCGTCGAGATGCGCGATGCTGTGCCCGCCCGCCAGGTGGCTACGCTCACGTACGCGTCGCTGCAGGCACAGAGTGCCGCGACGGCAGGTGCCCTCGTTGCGTATGCGCCGCAGAGCGTCGCCGCCGTGGCACTGCGTCGCAGTCTCGACACGTACGTGGTGCTGCTCGGTCTCTTGCAGGCGGGCCTCGTGTACCTGCCGCTCGACGAGTCGCTGCCCAGCGCACGCAAGGCGCAGCTCCTGCACGACAGTGGGGCGGCGTGTGTCATCACCGACGATGCCGATCCCACCTGGGCCGGGCGCGTGGCCGTGCACCGCCCTGCGGAGCTTGCGCGCCATGCCCCGGCGCACCGCGATGTGGCGCCTGGCGACGCGGCGTACGTGCTGTATACGTCGGGGTCGACGGGCCAGCCCAAGGGATGCATCCTCTCGCACGCGAACCTGGCGCATGCCGTGGACAACTTCCGCTGCGCCTTGGAGGACGCCCAGCCTCGCAGCCTGTGCGATGCGCGGTTCCTCGCGCGCTCCGCTGAGGCCTTTGACGTGCACCTGCTCGAGTGCTTCCTGGCGCTGCAGAGCGGCAGTACGATTGTGACGATGCCGCGCCATGCGCTGCTGGCGGACCTCGGCGCTGCGATGGCCGATGCGCAAGTGACGCATGCGTGCGTGGTGCCCTCGCTCTTTTACACGCGCGGCCGGCGTGTGAGGCCCAGCGACGTGCCGCACCTGCGCGTGCTCGTCGTCGGTGGCGAGCGACTCGCCGACGACATCGTGGACATGTGGGGCGCGTCGGACGTGCCGGTGCTCAACGCGTACGGGCCGACGGAGGCGACGATCGGCATCTCGTGCACGCGCGTGCACGCCGACACGCGCGCCTCCAACATTGGGCGCGCGTTCCCCGGCAACCAGTTTGTCGTGCTGCGCACACGCGACTCGGCGGCGCTGCGTGGCGAGCCGGGCGAGCTGGCGATCGTCGGCACGCACGTCGGCCTCGGCTACGTGCACGCGAGCGAGGCGCCCTTCTTTACGTGGGACTCACAGCGTGCGTACGCGACCGGTGATCGCGCGCGCATGACACCGAGGGGCGACATTGAGTATCTCGGGCGCGTGGGCCACGACCAGGTCAAGGTGCGCGGCGCGCGCGTGGAGCTGGGCGAGATTGCGTCTGTGCTTCAGGCAGGCGGCGCAGCGCAGGTCGCCGTGCGCCTGCTCACCCACCCGCAGTGGCCTGAGCCGCACGTGGTGGCGTTCGTCGCGCCGACCGCGCGCGTCGGCCCTGCCGAGTGGCAGCCCGACGAGGATGTGACACCGATCCGTGCTTATGCACGTGCGCACATGCCCTCGTACATGGTGCCGAGCGTCGTGCTGCCCCTGCGCGCCTTGCCGCTCGCGCGCGTGAGCGGCAAGCTGGACCACGGCGCGCTCGTGGATGCGTACGCGCGCTTCGCCCCGGACGCCGCGGCGCAGGCGGATGCACCACCCGAGACGCCCGAGGCGCGCACGGCCGCGCGCGTAGTCCAGCGCGTGCTCGGCGTCGCGCACGTCGGGCTCCACACGGATCTCTTTGGGCTCGGCCTCGACAGTGTGCGGGCCGTGCGTCTCGCACAGGCGCTCGGCGAGGCGGGCGTGCCTGCGAGCCTGCCCACGATTCTGACGCAGCCGACGCTCGCGGGCCTGCTCGCTGCGTCGCCGTGCGACGCGCCGCCCGAGGCCGCGGCTGACGGCGCCCTGCCGTGCCTTCCGCTGCAGTGGGCCACGCTCGCCCACTCGCTCGCTGATCCCGGCCGGCGCCTGTACATCAACCATGTGCGTCTCACGCTGGATGTCGCCGATGACAGCGCGCGCTGGGCGTATGTGCAGCACTGGCGCGATACGCTCGCGCGCTTTGGCATCTACCGCAGCGTGTTTGAGCTGGGCGAGACGGCAACGCAGCGCGTGCTCCCGGCGCTGCCCAGCATCGAGGCCCGTGTGCGTGCGCCCTGCTCGCAGGCCGCGCTGGATGGCATCGCAGACGACATGCTGCAACGCGTCGCGTCGCGCCCGCTCGTGCGCCTCACTCTGTTCGACGACGTGCTCTGTCTAAGTGTGCATCACGCCGTGTACGACGCAGCGTCGCTCTCTCTGCTTATGGCCGCGGTCGACGGCCGCGCGGCGCCCGACACCTTTGCGGATGTGGCGCGCCTCGCGGCGCGCACGAGCGCCGCGAGCGCCGCACACTACACGCGCGTGCTCGATGGCATGGTGCGCACGCCCGTCCCCACGGTGACCGGGCGCTACAGCGCGCGTGGGCCGAGCGTGTCGCTGACGTACCGCGCGCGCGTCTCGGCGGCGCGCCTCGCGGCCCATGCGCAGGCACACAAGGTCACGCTGCCGGCCCTGCTGCTCCACGAGTATGCCGCGCTCTTCGCGCAGTATGTGGGCGAGGCGGAGGCCACGCTCGGCGTCGTGCTTAGCGGGCGCCTCGCGCATGTCGCGCATGCGGATGCGCATGGCCCATGTATCTCTACGGTGCCCTTCCGCTGGACGGGCCGCGATCTCCATGCTGCGCACGAGCAGCTTGCCGCCGCGGTGGCGCACCCGTTCGTGCACCTAACGGACGTGGCGCACGCCCTGCACATGGACACGACGCTCTTTGAGGCGCTCTTCTCGTTCCTGCCGGCGACGCCGTCCGTGTGCCCATGCGGCGTGCGCGCCGTGCACGACGCGATGGCCTCGGACTTTCCGCTCGCGCTGCAGGTGTCCGTCGACGCTGACAACACGCTGATGTTCGACGTGACGTATGCGCCTGACCGCCTCGTGCCAGCGCAGGTCCAGCTCCTGGTCGAGCAACTGGAGGACGCGCTGCGCGCGTGCCTGGGCGAGGCACGCACGGACCTCGCACTCCGCTCGGTCGTGCATGAGACGCCTGTGCAGCCCACGCCGGCGGACGCCTTCCTCGCGCGCTTCGCGATGCATGCGCGTACGCGGCCGGACGCCGAGGCCATTACGTTCGCCACGTCGATGGAGCCGTTCGTCGCGCAGACGCTGTCGTACGCCGAGCTGGACCGCCGCTCGAGCGTGTATGCCGGCCACCTAGCGGCGTGCGAGGGCGGCGCCGTGTATGTGCACCTGCCACGCACGCTGGACCTGTACGTGGTGCTCCTCGCGACGTGGAAGGCGCGCAAGACGTACGTGCCGCTGGACCCGACGCTGCCCACGGAGCGACTCGCGTACATGATCGAGACGGTGGGCCCCGGCACGCTCGTGAGCGCGGCGCCGTGGCGCGACGTGCGCTTGCCGCTGCGCACGCTCGCGGACCTGCAGCGGCCGTGCGCGCCGCGCACGCCGGTGCCGTCGCTGGACGGGCCCGCGTACATTCTCTTTACGTCGGGGTCGACAGGCAAGCCCAAGGGCGTGCAAGTGTCGCACCGCGCGCTCGCAGCCGCGATCGTCTCGTGGGAGGCCATGCTGCCGCATACGCGCGCGTCGCGCATGCTCCAGCTGGCGTCGCCGGGCTTTGACGTGTCGCTGTTCGAGGTGTGCCTGCCGCTGGCGCTCGGCTTTGCGATGGCCAGCGCGCCGAAAGAGGTGCTGCTGACCGACCTGGAGCTCGCGTTCCGGTGCCTGCGCATCACGATGGCCGACCTGCCCGCGGCACTCGCGGCGCTGGTGCGCCCCGAGCGCGTGCCGCGCCTGGAGTGGCTCATGAGCGGCGGCGACGTCATTGACGAGCGCGTCGTGCGCGCATGGGGCACGCCGCCGCAGCGGCTCGTCAATGCGTACGGCCCCACGGAAGGCACGATCGGCAACACGCTCGGCTTCGTCGACGCGCACACACGCCGCTCGGTCGTGGGCGACGCGTACCCGACGTCCGCGGTGTGGATCGTGCGAGACGGCGACGTGGCCTACCGCGGCACGGTCGGCGAGATTGTCGTCGGCGGGCCGCAGGTGGCCGACGGCTACGTGGGCGCGCCCGAGCTGACCGCGGCGCAGTTCCCGACGCTGCGCGGCGCGCGCGTGTACCGCACCGGCGACCGCGGGCGCATGCTGTGGGACGGGCGCATCGAGTGCCTGGGCCGCCTCGCGCGCGGCCAGGTCAAGGTCAACGGCCAGCGCGTGGAGCTCGACGAGATCGCGCACGAGCTCGCCGTCGAGGAGGGGATCGCCGATGCGTGTGTGCAGTACCTGCAGCATCCGTCGCACGCGTCGCGCCAGCTCGTCGCGTTCGTCGCGCTGCGTGCGGCGCCGCTGGAAGGCTCGTCGCTCGCTATGCGCACGGACGACGAGGCGCGGCAGCGCGCCGCCGCCTGCGTGGACAGCGCGCGCCGCCGCCTCGCCCCGTACATGGTGCCTGCGCACACGATCGTGCTCGCGGGCCCGCTGCCGCTCACGCCGAACAACAAGGTCGATACGAAGCGCCTCGCTGCGTGGTACATGACGCTCGAGCCGACGGGGCTGCGCGCGCCGCGCGCGGCGGCACCGCTCACAGAGCGCGAGCGCACCGTGCTGCGTGCCATCGCGCAGGTCGGCGGTGTGTCCGTCGACGACGTGGACCGCCATGCCTCGTTCTACGCGCTGGGCTTCGACTCGCTCTCGGCCATCCGGCTTGTCACGGCGCTGCGCGACGCCGGCGTGCGCCTCACGGTGCGCGAGCTCTTGCAGCACGCGACACCGGCGCGCCTCGCGCGCGCCCTCGACGAGGCGCCGGCGCGCACGGACGACGATGCGCAGGCGTACGCGGCGCTGTGCGCGGCGGGCGCCGACCTGCTTCGCGCGCCTGGCGCTCTGCCGTGCACGCCGCTGCAGGCCGGCATGCTCGCCGAGTGGGCCGCGAGCGATGGCGCGCTGTATGTGCACACGCACGTGTGGGACGTGGATCGCGCGCCGCCGGCCGTGGAGGCGGCCTGGCGCGCGCTGGTCGCGCGCCATGATCTCCTCCGCACGCGCTTTGTCGCGCACGAGCACAAGATCGTGCCGTGGGTGCAAGTGACGAGCGCTACGCACGCCCCTGTGGTGCGCACGCATGCCGCCGAGGACGCCTGGGCGTCGGTGGGCGCCGCGGCGCGTGCCCTGTGTGGCGCAGCGCAGCCGCACGCCCTGGACCTGCTGCCGACGGCGCACGGCACGCGCATGATCCTCACGCTGCATCACGCGCTGTACGACGCACACACGCTCGGCCAGGTGCTCGAGGACATGGACGCCGCGCTGGAGGGCCACGCGCTGCGGGCGCGCCCGCCGTTCGCCGCGGTCGTGCCGCACCTCGCGAGTGGCGAGCCACACGTGCCGTACTGGCTCGACACGCTGGCCGGGCATGTGCCGGCGTGGCTCGGGCCGCCCGGGGGCGCGCGCGCCTCGTGCACGGTCGAGCGCGCTACGGTGCTGACGAGCGCGGCCGTGGAGCGCGTCTGTCAGTCGCTCGGCGTCTCCGTCCACGCGTTTGCGACGCTCGCCTTTGCGCATGTGCTCGCCGAGTGCACGGGGTCCTCGGACGTGTGCTTCGGCCAAGTGCTGAGCCTGCGCACCGACGTCGACGGCGGCCTCGATGTGCTGGGCCCCGTGCTGAACACGGTGCCGACGCGCGTGGCGCTGCGCGAGGCGAGCGTGAGGGCGCAGCTCCAGGCGCTGCAAGCCCAGATCGATGCGTCGCGTCCGCACCGGCACGCGCCGCTACGGAGCATTGCGCGGGCGCACCAGCGCACACACACGTCGCCGGCGCCGCTCATCGATGCGCTCCTGGACGTGCAGCGCCACGAAGAGGGCGCGGCGTGGGCGCATCTGGCGCCCGTGCCGCTGCCCCGCGACGACGAGGCGCAGTACGCGCTGAATGTGGAGGTGGTACAGACGTCGCGCGTGGCGCTCGTGGCGCGGAGCCGCGTGTCGTTCCGCGATGCCGCGGGGCTGGCGCAGCTGCTAGCGCGCATGGAGGCGCTCATGCAGGGCATGCTGTCGCCGTCCGATACGCTCGAGCTGGACCTGGCCCCTGGGCGTCCCGCGGCGCCGCGCGCGACGGCGCCGGCGCCGGCGGCGCTTGTCGACCGACTGCGGGCGCTGCTCGCGGACCTCGCGCGTGTGCCTGTGGAGGAGGTGGACGCGACGACGCCGCTGCTCGCGCTGGGCCTCGACTCGATCGCGGCGATCCAGGTCGTGGCGCGCGCGCGTGCGCAGGACTGGGACCTGCAGGTGAGTGACCTGGCCGCCGGCACGCCCGAGGGTGTGGCGGCGGCGTGGCTGGAGCGGCATCGCTCGGCGCCCGCGCCCGCGCCCGCGCACGACTGGCGTCGCGGCGCCGAGGCCGTGTGCGCGGCCGTGCGGCGCCCCCTCGACGCGGTGCTCCCAGTGTCGGCGGGGCAGGCCATGCACCTGCGGCAGTGGGTCCAGACTGGCTACCGGCTTGGATGGTTCGCGTTCGTGTACGAGACCCGTCTCGGCGACGTGGAGCGGTGGCGCGCCGCGTGGGAGCAGCTGCAGCAACGGCACCCGATCCTGCGCACCATGTTTGTGTGTGTCGAGGGCCGCGCATGGCAAGCGGTTGTGCCAACGACGCAGCCGCTTCAGGCGCATCCGCGCGCGGCTGCGCCGCACGATGCCGTGCAGGCGGTCCTGGACCAGCGCGCGCAGCTGCCCGCGGACACACAGCCCTGGGCCGCCGCGGACGTGGTGCCGGCGGCCGACAGTGTGTACTTGGTGCTGCACCTGTTCCACCCCATGTACGATGCATGGTCGCTGCCGCTGCTCCTGGACGACCTCGTCGCGCTGTACGAGGGCCGGGCGCCCTCCGCGCACGCCGACATGGCGGACCTCGTTGCGCTCGCGCCGGATGCGTCGGCCGTGGCGCACCACTGGGCGCCGCTGCGCACGGTCGCGCCGTGCATGCTGGGCGCGACGGACGTCGCCATCGGCGATGCATGCACGTTTGTGCATCGAATGCGTGCCGTGCACGGCGTAGAGCGCCTGCGCGTGGCGCTCGCCGAGCAGCAGGCGAGTCTCCCCGCGCTCGTCGCCGCGGCGTGGGCGCATGTCCTGCACCAGTGGACGGGCGCGGCTGCGCCGGTCTTTCTGCTGCACCACGCGGCGCGCTCGGTGCCGATCGAGCACGCGGCGGACCGGGCGATTCCCTGCCTCAACCTGCTGCCTACGGTGGTGCCGCTGGCGTCCTCGCTCACAGCTACGGCGCAGCACATGACCGCCGTGATCGCGGCGCGTGTGCCGCTGGAGCAGGCATCGCTCGAGCAGATCTTCGACGCGATTGGGCGGCCGGCTGCGCCGCTGTGCAACACGGCGCTGAACGTCCTGCGGGGCGCGCACGCCGGCCGCGCGCCGAGCGCGCTGCAGCCGCGCCAGGCCCTCACGCAGCCGCGCCTCGCGCGCGCGCAGCGCATGGTGCCGTCGTCGTCGTTCGATGCGTGGCCCGGCGCCCAGTTCGTGGCGCCGTCGTTGGTCCATGTGGATGTGTGCGTGGAGGCGGACGACACACTCTCGCTGGCGCTGCGGTGTCCCGCCGCGGTGCTCGGTGGGGACGAGGCGAAGGCGGTTCTGGCGGCGCTGGCCGATGTGCTGCGTATACCATAGACTACTTGCGTTTTTTGGACGGGCGTGCATTCTTTGCCTTGCGCTTCGCCTGCACCTCGCGGGCGCGGTGGATCTGCTGCGCACTCTTGAGCTCGCTGTGCGCGGCGCGCGGCGCGTGCGGCGAGAGGCCCTTGCGCTCACGCGCCTTGCGCTTTTTGTGGTAGTCGTACTGCAGCTTGTCCAGCGGCTTCGGCGCCTTGGTCTGCGTGTGGTGGAAGCCGCGGTGCCGTGGGCCGCCGCGCTGGTTCACAAGCGCAGCGACGCGGCGCGCGGACGCGGCCATCGAGCTCTCGTCCTCGCCCACATGCGGCAGCTCCACCTGCTGCTCCTTGCGCCACGCGTCGAAGCGCCCGGAGCGGTAGCTGGCCGGCAGCTTGAGGCCTGTTTCCGAGCGAATCAGCTTCTGGTTGTCGGAGCCGGTGCCGTCGCCCTGGATAAACTTCTTCTTCTTCGTGTCCCAGCGTCGCTGGTTCGGCCGCTGGTTCGGCGTGCCCGGGCCGACATCGTCGCCGGCCATGTCGACGCTCACGCGGTTCGCCTGCTCCGTGAAGGAAGGGCCATGCAGCGAGTAGCCGCGCTCCTCCGCGGCGCCGCGCTGCTCGTAGTCGAGGTACACGGACGGATCGCGGAAACTCGTGCGTGTGTCAAAGACGGACGCAATCTCCGCCTCGTCGGCGGGCAAAGAGGCGGCGGCCGGCGCCTCCTCCGGCACGTCCGCGGCGGGCGCCGTGTCGCCGCGCTTGGCCGCCTCGATCGCACGCGCACGCTGCTGCTTCGCGTCGAGTGTGCGCCGCCGGTCCTGCATGAGGCGCGCGAGCGGCATGTTCGGGCCCCGTGCGCCTACTTCCAGCACCGTCTCGCCGGGACGGAACGCGTTCACCTTGGCCAGCAAGGCCGCGCGCGCGCCGGCCAGGGGGTCGTCGTGCGTGCGGCGGCGCTTGGCGTCCTCACTCGTGGCCAGCTGGTATACGTCAGGGCGCCGCAGCACATCGTGCACGCCCGCTGCCTCGAGCGGATGGCCCGCGAGGGCCCAGCCCTCGGTGCCGCCCATGAGCGCGCTGCGCTCGGCCGCCTTGAGCATGTCCTTCGCGCGGCGGTGGCTCTCTGCACTGGCCTTGGGCTGTGAGCGCACATACATGCGGTGCGCGCGCTGGACGACCTGCGCGAGGGCATCGTACGCGGTCGCCGTCGAGGACGACTCGTGCATCGCATGCCGGATCGACTCGCTCTCCGAATCCAGCACGTCGCGGGGGAACGTGCCCAGCACCAGATTCGCATGCAGGTCGTGCGCCGCGTCGCCCTGCAGCGTGTGCGACGACACGAGGGGGCGGCCGAGGAACAGCTGCAGATCACACAGGTTCGGCAGCTCGGCGTGCGTGCACAGACTCCACGCCCAGCCGCGGCGACCCGCACGCGCTGTGCGGCCGACGCGGTGCACAAAGAGGCGCGCCTGGGGCGGGAAGTCGTAGTTGATCACATGCTCCAGCACCGGCAGGTCGATACCGCGCGCGGCCAAGTCGGTCACGACGAGCAGCGACGTGCGCCCCGCGCGGAACTTGTTCATCTCGATACTGCGGGCGGCCTGGTCGAGCGACGAGTAGATGTGCGAGCACGCATAGCCCATCGTCGTGAGCATCAGCAGCAGGTACTCGACGTGGTGCTTGGTCGCACAAAAGATGACGGTCTGGTACGGCCGCAGCTGGTCGACCGGGTTCATGCGCTTGCGCTTCTTGCCGGCTGGCTCGTCCGGCTCAGGCGCGCCGGTGGGCACCTGGATGATGTGCCGCAGCAGCTGGAGCAGCGCCGCGTCTTTTTCAGCGGGCTTGACGCTGAAGAACGCCATGCGCAGGTCAGGGCTGATCTTGCTGTCCGTGTCGAGGCGGATCAGTTTCGGGTTCGCCTCGAGGCCTGCGCGCGCAAACTCGACGAGCGACTTGGGCAGCGTCGCACTGAACAGGAGCGTCTGGCGCGTCGTCGGGAGGCGGCGCAGCAGCTCCTCCAGCTGATCGGCAAAGCCCATCTCAAAGAGGCGGTCCGCCTCGTCAAACACAACGTACTCAACGGCCCTCAGGTCCAGATTCATCTCCACGACCAGGTGCAGCAAACGGCCCGGCGTCGCAATGACCACATCGGGGTTCGCCGTCATCATCGCAAACTGCTCGTCGAGCCCCTCACCACCAACGACCAGCGCCCAGCGGATCGCCTCGCGCTGCGCTTCATCGTCGGAGCGCCAGCCGCGCGCGAGGTCCTTGCCGACCTTGAGGATCTGCAGCGCCAGCTCTCGCGAGGGGCACAGGATCACCGACTTGATGCCGAACGTCGTCGAATGGCGTCCATGCAAGCGCTGGATAAGCGGGACCATGTACGAGAGCGTCTTGCCGGAACCGGTGCGCGCCATGCCCACCACGTCCTGGGGGGGCTGCGCGAGGATCGCCGGGATCGCGCGCCGCTGGATAGGCGTCGGCGTCGTAAAGCCGCGCAGCAGCAGCGCGCGCAGCAGCGACGGATGCAGCCCCATGCTCTGGAAGCTGCCGCCGCCGCTCACTATGCCGCTCGCCATAGGCGACTTGGTCTTGCCCTTGCTGGCCTGCTTCGCCACCTGCATGCCAGCCTTGACATTGTGCTTCTGCGCGGCAGCAGCAATGAACGCGGCGTCATCGTCGTCCTCCGGCGCCTGGGGCGGTGCTCGACGGGGAGGGGGCGCGAGCTCGGCGTCGTCCTCCGCGAGAAAGTCAATCTCCTTCGCCATCACCACGCAACGTCCGTACGCGGCGGACCGCCCTTTTTTGTGCATCACGTGGCCTCCGCTGTCCTACGACAGGACCATGGCGGCAGCGCTGGGTGCGCAGAGCGTCGCGCGCGCGGCGCGCCTGCTCCTCCCTGCGCGGCCTGCACAGGCGCCGTCCGGCACGGCACTTCGGTCGTACATGGTCGTGTGCATGGCATACTTTGCCCATCTGCACGGCACGACGCCGCAGCCTGTGGCGATGATGGCACACCTTGCGCGCGCGCTCCTCAGGCACCACCGCCTCGCGCGCGCCTCTCAAGTTTTGTGCGAGCTCACGCACGCGCCCATGCTGCGCGTGTGTGCGGCCGACGATACCCTCCTTCTCGATACCCTGCGTCACGGCATCCAGCGACTCGGCCGCCGCTCGTCGACGCGCTGGGTGGCGGGGCCCGACGGGCCCGCACATCCTGCCCTTGCCCTCGCGACCCTGTACGACCACTGCGCCGAGGCACACATTGCACTGCCGTGCGATGCGCTGAGCAGCTTGATTGCCACACTGGCGCGCTCGATTGACCGATCGGCGCTGGTGCGTATGCTCGACGTCCTGGCCGCCGATGTCGTGGCGCGCGCCCCGGCGGCGCACACATCGAGCGTGCTCGCAGCGCTCGTGCATGCATACGGACGTGCCAAGGAGCCGCAGCGCGGCGAGCAGATGCTGGCACACTTGGCCGTGCGCCACGGCGCGTCGATGACGACGCGCGCCTTGGCTATGCAGCACGACCCCCAGCACTTGGTGTGGCTGCGGCGCTACACGAGCGCAAAGTATGTGCCCTACGACGTGCCCCTGCATGCGCTCTGGACGAAGCACCCGGATGTGTGGAATGCCCTAGTCCGCGGGCGCATCCTGGCGGGCCATGTGGTGGGCGCGCGCATCTGGCTAGAGCGCTACCGCCTGCTCACCAAGCTGCGTGACACGGAGTCGCTCGCCGCCGTCGTGGGCCCCAAGCCCACCGCGTCGCCCTACCTCACGCTGATGCATGCGCTCTCGACATCGTCCCACTTGCGCGAGTTGTTTGTGCACGTATCGCCGGCCGAGCAGGCGTCGCTCCATGCGCGCGCGACGGATCTCGACGCGCCGTTCAAAACGACAGCCATGTACGACATTCTAGCGCTCGTGCGGGAGGACCGGGTGATTCCGGGCGTGTCGATGCTGAACCTGCTGGCCGGTTTCGAGGCGGGGTGCGGTCGGCTGGCGCGCGCTGTGGCGCTGGCCACGGAAGCGTGCCTGCTGGAGAACGGCCCTGCGAACGTGGTGCACCGCACGCGAGGAGCGACGCCTGCGGCGGCCGAGGCCGCGCATCGTGGGCTCCGCGTGCATATCTCGACGGTCCCTGTCCTCTTCACGCTGTGCGCGGCGCATGCGCGTCAGGTGCACGGGTCTCGGCCTGGGCGCGACGAGTGGCTGCCATGCGAGGTGTTTCCTGCATCGCATCCTCTTGCCTCGACCGCTGGCTCGCCTCGTGCCGTGCTGCGCCTCTGCCAGCGCTTGGTGCAAGCGCCCGCGGCGGCCAAGTATGTCCGCACCAAGGGCACCAGCGTGCTGAACGCGGCACTGGACGCGATGCTAGCGACGAATGACTGGCAGGGTGCTTGGTATGTACTGCAGCTCTATGAGCAGTGGGACGTGGAGCCCAATGCGTGGACGCAGCTGACGCTGTGGCGGCGTCTCTCGATGCTACCGCACGCCCCGGCATCGGGCGGACACAACGTGCATGCGCTGCAGCATGCGGGTATGGTGCTGGAGCACGTTCTGCAGGCACAGGGCCTGTCGCTGCCCAGCACGGAAGCAGCCCTGGACGACTTTGTACAGTAGGGTATCATTAGAGGAAGTACTCGATCGTCTCGTTGCGAGCGTGCGCTGCCTGCAGTGGCCCGTCGTGCTCATTCTCCGGGGCCGCCTCAAACGTATTAAAGTGGCGAGTGCCGTCTGGCCCGACCTCGAGGATCGACGCGAGGTTGCCACAGCGATAGCAGTAGTTGGGAGCGGACCATACGGTGCTGAGCAAGTCGCCGTACAGGACATTGTAGCCCTCCATGCACAGCTGATGCGCTCGCAATATGTGCTCCAGCTGATTTGACGCGAGAAAGTGACGCACCACCGACGCCCCAAACGTGTATCCGGCGCCGCGAGGCGAGATGGCAAACTCCTCCTTGTCCGGATCGGGGTCGGACCAGACCAGATCGGCAATGGGCCCCTCGTGCGGGATCTCGCGGAAGCGATCGAGCACCTTGATCTGGTCGAGGTAGTGCACCGACGGGGAGAGTCCGCCATGCACACAAAAGATGCGGTTGTCAATCACCACCGAGAGCGTGAGAAAATCAAACATGTCGGTAAAGTACTGCCACACGTTCGAGTCGGGATACTTGTGCATGCACTCGGCATAAAATCCATACATCTGCGTCACGGCGCGGCTCTCATGGTTCCCGCGCACCAGCTGCACACGGTGAGGGTATCGCAGTTTCAAGCATGTCAGCAGCGAGATGGTCTCGACGGAGAACAGGCCCCGATCGACATAGTCGCCTGCTATGAGCGCGTGTGCACGCACCAAGAAAGAGGTAGTTCGTATTGGGCGCATCGCCTCCAATACGGAAGATTTCGAGCAGGTCATAAAATTGCCTGCACGTCAGGCTGCGCAACCTACCCGTGAATGTCCCCGACGACCGTGACCGGCGCACTAATATGCACGACATTGCTCTCGGACATGAGCAGCTCCTTTGTCTTTTCGCACACCTCCTTTATGATGGTGTCCACGAGCAGCTGCTTGTTAAGCAGCTTCTCGATGCAGGCATCAAGATCGAGCGCCATGGCGGCTGCTGCGAAGCGGCGTGCAGGCGGCAGGGCCGGCCGTCATGATGAGTCAGCATCCCAGACCCGCGCGCGATGGTCGTGCGGCGCACGCCGAGCTCGTCATGGTGGACCAACGCGTGCTCGCTGTGAACTCGCCTGTGCTGGAGGACCCGCCGCTGGACTTTGCGCCACTGCCTGCGGTGTCATCCCAGCTGGTCGTGTTCGATTTTGACTGGTCACTGGCCGATCAGGACACGGACCGGTGGGTCCACGAAGTGCTCTCACCGCGCCTGCGCATAGAGTTTGTGCAGAAGAAGCCTACGATGCAGTTCACCGACATGTGGTATGTACCGTGGCTGACACCACAGCGCGTATCTGCTGGTGGAGCTGCACAAGGAGGGACACTCGCGCGAGGCGATCGAGGAGGCGCTGCGGTCCATGCCCATGGTACGCGTCCCGCGCTGACACGCAGCATCCCGCCATGATCCGCGGCGTGCGCGCGCTCGAAGAGTCTCACCCGCATACCGACTTTTTCCTGCTGTCCAACTCGAACGAAGTGTACATCCACACGATCCTGCCGGTACGCACGGTCGCCTCACAGTAGAGCAAGGGCCTGATGGACCCCCCGCTGTTTAAAGAGATTGTTACGAACCCTGCGCATTGGGAGCCTAGTGGGCTCCTGCGTCTGTCGCGCCGCATTCCGCCGGACGGACCGCAGCACGCCTGCCGCGTCGGATGCAGTGCGAACATGTGCAAGGGTAGGTCACACGGCGGCTGACGAGACAGGAGATGAGCTTGATGCGTTCCGCGCGCGGCACGCCAGCTCCAACTACGAGCGCATTGTCTACGTGGGTGACGGCGGCAACGACTACTGTCCGGTCCTGCGGCTAGGCAAAAACGACGTCGCGCTCGTCCGCCGTAACCGGGGTCTGGCGAAGCGCATCCTGGAGGAAGGGGGTGTGCAGTGCACTGTGCGCTACTGGAGTGGGGCGTGGGAGGCAGAGCAGCTGCTGCGTCGGCTGGGCGCCGCGGCCAGCGCGTCAGACGCGCTCTGATCCGCGACCTATGCACGCGAAGCACCGAGACGCGGGGGGAGCCTTGTACATAGGATGCGTACAATGCAATTCGTTGCGCCTCACGTGATGCCGTCGAGTAGGCTGCCGGGTTGCAGCGTGCAGAAGCGCGCTGCGTGCGCCGAAAGCCAACCTTGTTACCGCGCCGATCGTCAGGCGTGACGATGAACGTGGCTGGACCAGGGAACAGTGGTACCACGCCTAGCATGTCAAGACCTGGTCCAAATGCGCCAGCGGGTGCTGATACAGGACTCCAGCGCAAGCGCACCAACCCACTGGGCGAGCTGATCGCCACAGAGGTGCGGTACGTACACGAGATGGGTCTGGCTATTCGTCGCGTCGCGGCGGCCTGGAATCCCAGCAACTTTCCGCCGAGGGAAGTGGATACCATGTTTCGCAGCCTGGAGGCGGTCCTCCGGACGAACACGGAATTCTTGCGCTCTCTCCAGGAGATCGGCCCGAATCCGGCGTCGCCCAAGGGGCTGGGCAATCTGCTGATGCACTGGGTCGACAAGCTGCAGCCGCCCTACTGGCAGTATCTTGCCTCGTATGTGCCCAACCTGAGCGAGCTGCCGCCGGTCCAGGCTAACACCGAGCTGGCGGCCATCCTTACGCAGCTGTCCAGGGAGGTGCCGAGGACCGCGGCGGAGCCGACCTGGACCCTGGACGACTTTTTCGAACTGCCGCTCCTGCGCCTCCGGTTCTACAAGAAACTCTACAGTCGCCTGCTGCGCAGCACACAGCCTGGCCGCTCCGATCACGAGCTGCTCGCGAATGCGAATAAGAAGCTCGACATGCTCGTGGAGCGCGCCCAGCAGTGCAAGGAAGCGAAGGGGCCCGGTGCTGTGCCCAGTTCGCGAGCAGGACCTCTGGATGGGGTTCCGTCGCACGCAGCCGGCGGTGCAGCGCCGCCGCTCTATGTCCCGCCAGGACAGTCAGCCCCGTCCGTGCCCGTGCCTCGCGCGCCTGTATCGCCGGCTGGCCCAGCGCCTGGGCCTACGGGCGCCCCCATGAGCTCACCTGCACCGCCTCCGCCCTCCATGGCAGCCCCACATCGCAGCACGCCAGGGCCACCACCTATGCCGGGTAGCAGCCCGTCGACGATACCAATGAGCATTACCCAGTCTATTGAAAGGCAGTCGCTGGCCCAGATCCAAGACCGCATTGATTCCACCGCGACCGTGGACGTATTCACGCTAGAGCCAAAACACTGCCGCCTTCAAATGGCACCTCCGACGTTGCCGTTCCAGCGCCAGCTGCGTATCAACGATCGCGTACATCTGAAGCTAGCGACGTCGAACAAGGAGCGCGTGTATGAGCACGCTCGACTGATCCTGCTGACTGACCTGCTGCTAGTAGGTGAGGACCTGATGCCCCAATCGCGGCCGTCGCCTGCGCATGACATTCGTCTCATGTTTCCGCCGCTCTCGGGGCGTTTTATCGATATGGACGAACAGGCCAGCTCAAACCCGAACGAGATCCGGCTCTCGATCATGAAGCGCGTGCACCTGACTCTGGTGCTCCCTTCGCCGGAGCGCAAGGCGCAGTGGCTGCGTGACCTTCAAGCGTGCAAGCAGTTCGGCACCCAGGGCCGCTCACCCCAACAGCCGCGTGCGAGCAACGAAACGAATCGTGCGGCTGGTCCGCCTGGCGCTACGAATTCTCGTCCGTTGGTCGGTGTGCCACAGTCGCCCGAAGCGCCGCCCCGTCCGCCGACGATGATAAGCTCGCCGCCCGCGGCATTCCCGATGGGGAGCTCGACCGGCGCTCCCATGCGTCCGCCGCCGGGCCCTGCCAGTGCGGGGCTTGTGCGTCCAGCCGCACCGGGGCCGCAACCGGGCCCCACGCCGCGAGCGGCTCGGCCGCCGATGCGCTCGAGCCCTATGCCATCGCGGCCGCCGCCTTCGTCGGTGCCACTGCAGAAGGTGATGCAGCCGCTGCCGCTCGGCCCGCCCGTGGGTGGGCCACCCCAGGGTGCCGGGGCGTCTCCAGCGGTCGGAACGGCGGTGTCTCCGTTTGCGCCGGGCGGCACGGGTCCATCGAGCTCGGTGCCGACGCCGGCCCGCCCGACGTTGCCGCCCCTGCTGCTACCCAAGTCTGCTACAAGCGAGACGCTGCCCCTCGTGACTCTGGCCGAGCAGGATGCGGGGCGCGTAGCCTCGCCGGCGTCGACGGAGGCACTGACGCGTGCCAGCTCGCTCACCTCGCAAGAGTCGTTCCCCCGCATCGGCCGGCGTGCGGTAGACACGCCGGACCTGCCGGAGGGCTCGCGCGGGGAGGACAGTTACGGCACCAGCCCCATTGTACCCTCGTCCCTTTCGCGCTCGCTCGGGAGTGCAACGGAGCAAGCGTTGGCTGGCTTTACGCCAGGGGCGCCGGCGGCGGTGCGCCCGGTGAAGAACCCCGCGGTCAGCGGCGCACAGAGCGCACCGGACACACGAAAACCTGATGGCAGCGCGCCGCCGCTGCCATCACAGATGATCAAGTCTGCCGCGAATCGCCGGTCGACCGATTGGATGGGCGAGGAGGACGTCGATGCGTCGGCGGCCAAGGCGGCCATGCATCACGAAAAGCAGTCGTTTAATTTGTGCGCGCAAATGCGCTGCAAAGTCTTTCTCAAGCAGAGTTATGCACAGTGGCGCTCGCTTGGGTCGGCACGTCTGCGCCTGTACCACTTGATGCCCTCCCAAGCCAACCAACTGGTGGTGGAGAACGACAAGAAAGTGATTATCTCGTCCATCGTGCTGCCGATCGCCGTGGAGCGCGTCGGCAAGACAGGTGTGGCTGTCGAGCTGTCAGATATGGGCCGCCTCACAGGCATCGTCTATATGCTGCACATGCGCAGCGACGAGTCGGCCAACGGCCTCTTTGAGCAGTTGCTGCAGGGCTCAAGTCGCTCGCCCGTGTCCAGCCCACCCCCCAACTAGATGACATAGGAATATCGGGCCATCGGGATATGCATCGCCCACGCCCGAGCCACCAGCGACGACCATGGCGCCCCCCTCGCCGCGCGATGCGCTCCGCTGGGCGCCAAGCTCGCGCGGCACATTGACACAGCGCAAGAGGAATGGCGGCACGGCGCCAGGCGCGGAGATATGGGACATGTCTTCACACACGCCCGCCGCATCCAATTTGCAGCTGGACGCCGGGCACACAAAGGGCCACAAGCACTCGTACACGGGCGATGCCCTTGACCGCTTGGAAGATTGGCTGGGACTCAAGAGCGGGTCCTCATCTTCAGCGCAGAGCTCCGCATCGGCGCCTCGGCCCGGACCGTCACGCACGACGCACCAGGGGACGAGTGCGCCCACGGGCCGCGTCGATGTGCTTGTGCATGAGGTTGCACCCGCAGATACGCTGGAGGGCATCTCGCTGCGGTATGGCGCGGACGCCCACATCGTTCGCCGCAGCAACAAGTTATGGCCCGGCGATGCCGTTCAAATGCGTGAGCAGCTATATATCCCTCTCGCGAGCTGCCGAAAGCGGCCTCCTCATGCGCCCAGCCAGACGATGCACCGCCACACCGACGGCTCGCTGCATGCGGTGCAAGGCCCACAAGACGCGGATGCGCCAGCGTCAGACAGCGAGTGGCAGCTTACAAGTGTCGAGACAGACCAGCTCAAGTTCTTTGCTGGCGAGCGTGCGCGCCCGACGCGCGGTATACCCACAGGCCCCATGGGCGACTCGGGCCTGGATGACCTACTGGAATGGCAGGATGCACAGAGGGAGAGTATGGCGCTGCGCCCAGCGCCGTCTCCGGCGCCCGTGGTGCCCGCCCCTCCAGTCTCTCGTGACGCGGCGTGGGAGCCCAACAAGCGCACGCTGGGAGTCAAGGCGCCCGAGCGCCCGCCCGTGGACGTGGCCGACGAGCCGCTGCTACAGCAGCTGGCGTCGCCAGAGCCTGAGGCAACACCCCAGCGCACAGACCTGTTCCGCGGCACACTCCCCAACTCGGGTGCGGCGGCGCACTGGATTCGCCCGATCCACGAAAGTCTGCCGGCGCATGCGCCGCAAGCGCGTGGCCCGCGACCTGTGAATGCATCGCACCTTTTATCGGGCGTTATGAGTGGGCGCGTGCGCGTCGAAGAGGCGGTGGGCGCAGCTATGAACGAGCTGCGGCAGGCCGTGAACCGCGGGCCCCGGCGGCCCCGCGAGGAGAGCTCCCTCTTGCCATGGTAGTTATGCGCGACCTGATGCGCGCATAAACAGGAATAGCATCTCCATAACGACTTGGGTGAGTTGTCTGCGTACATACATCCGCCGCCCAGGAGCAGCAGCACAAAGATGGCGAGGTACTGCACCCACTTGGACGTCTTGGGCCCCACCTCCTTATGCTCGTGCAGGAGGCCGCGGCGGTTCGCACCCTTCGCATTCCGTAGATTCTGCGTCTCGCGTGCCTTCTGAGCGAAGCGCTCGTTCCGAGCGCGGATATCCCTGGCCGATGGCTGCGTGTGAGTGCGGCCCACGTACCATGATCGTGGTGGTCGACGTGGAACGCACGTGATGAGAGCCTCCACCGCCGCCACGCTCGCGCCAGCGCGTCCGCGACGGCCATGGAGGGCGAGTCGAGGCCGAGGCCGCGCGTGAAGCGCAACCTGACGCCAGCCGAGCAGCAGGCCGAGAAGATCAAGGAAATGTACGAGGATCCGGAAAAGGGGATGGCCCTCCCCCCCGAGATGCCGGAGCAGTGGAAGGCCTATGCCCCCCCTGAAATGGTGAAGCATGTGCAGGGCAGCACGGCCGCCGTGGGAAGCGGGGCCTTTCACATGTACAAGATGATGCGCCGCTTCGAGTCGGATCGTATTCAGGCCATGCAGGCGGAGGCCGACCGAGTACGTGGCGATCACTCACGCGCAGATTCAAGCGCAGGCAGCCTTCGATGCGAAGCGCGACGCTCAGGCCCAGCTCGATGAGGCCAAAACGAGCAAGAATCGGGCCAAGCGCGAGAAGAAGAAGAGAGCGCAGCAGCGGGCCAAGGAGGCTTCGTCCAGCACACAGACCCCAAACGCCGAGCCAGAGGCGGCCGATGACCTGCCACGCAAGCGCCGCGTCGTGGCCGGCGCGAGCAGCGACGCCCCCGCCTCCGCGCCCGCCGATGCCTAGCTGCTAGCCGCCATAGATACCCCTCGGCATCACGTGCAGTATGCCCGTGCGCTTCGCTTGCACGATCATGGCAGGGACCGCCGCCGCCGGCGTCGGCCACGGCGAGGACAATATGCGGCCGCCTCCGGACCATGTCATGCAGGACATTGCGGATTATGTGCACAACTACCAGATTGATTCAGACACGGCGTACGATACGGCGCGCCTGTGTCTTCTCGACTCGCTCGGCTGTGCGATGGAGGCGCTGCGGTTCCCTGCGGCGCGCGCACTGTGTGGGCCGGTCGTCGACGGCACGATCGTGCCGAACGGCACGCGTGTGGTCGGCACATCGTACGTACTCGATCCGATTCGCGGGGCCTTCAACATCGGCGCCTTGATCCGCTGGCTCGACTTTAACGATACATGGCTCGCGGCCGAGTGGGGCCATCCGTCGGACAACCTCGGCGCAATTTTGGCTGTGGCCGACTGGCTCTCGCGCACGAACCAGTCGCGCGGCAGAGCGCCGCTCACGATGCAGGATGTGTTGACCGCCGCCATCAAGGCGCATGAGATCCAGGGCAACTTGGCCATCCTCAACAGCTTTAATCGCGTGGGACTCGACCACGTCGTTCTCGTCAAAGTGGCCAGCACAGCCGTGGTCTCGCATATGCTGGGACTTAGTCGCGACCAGACAATCGATGCGATTTCACAGGCGTGGGTCGATGGGCAGCCGCTGCGCACGTACCGCCATGCGCCCAATGCAGGCTCACGCAAATCGTGGGCGGCCGGCGATGCCTGTGCACGTGCAGTCAACCTCGCACTGCTCGTCCAGCGGGGCGAGGGCGGCTACAACTCGGTGCTAACCGCGAAGACATGGGGTTTCTATGACGTCCTGTTCAAAGGACGGCCGTTCGAGTTCCAGCGTCCATACACCTCGTATGTGATGGAGAATGTGCTGTTCAAGCTGGTGCCCGCCGAATTCCATGCGCAGACGGCCGTAGAGGCTGCTGTGGAGCTGCACAAGCAGCTGCAACGCCGCGGTAAGACGAGCGATGACATCCAGCGCATCCGTATCCGCACGCAGGAAGCCGCTGTTCGCATCATCAGCAAACAGGGCCCCCTCAACAACTATGCGGACCGCGACCACTGTATCCAATACATGGTGGCCGTGCCGCTGATTAAGGGCTCCCTGGAGCCCAGCGACTACACGGACGAGGCCGCGGCCGATGCTCGAATCGATGCACTGCGTGCCAAGACACGTGTGGAGGAAGAGCCGCGGTACACCCGGGAGTACTATGAGCCCGACAAGCGCTCGATCGGAAATGCCGTGTCGCTCGTGCTGAACGATGGCTCGGCGATCGACGAGGTCGCTCTGGACTATGTACGTATGACGCACTGACTCTTGCAGCCCGTGGGGCATGCGCGCCGCCGCCAGGAAGCCGTCCCGTTGATCGAAGAGAAACTTGCCAAGCACCTACACGGCCACCTGACAGCAGAGCGTCGGGCCCAGATCTTGGCCCTGCTGACAGACCATGCTTCCCTGCTCCGAATGGAGGTGCCTGCATTTATGGAGGTAGGTCCCGCGATCGGCTGACACATGCAGCTGTGGATCCCGTAGTCGCCGACATAGCGCACGGACATGTGGTATCACGTGCTTCTCATCTTCGGACCATGTCCATCCTCCGGTCGCTGCCCCGCGTCCTGCCCACGGCTCTGCCTCGTGTTGCGCGCACCTATGCCAGTGTATCTGTGGGGGCTGCAGAGCCCGCCTCGGGACTCTGTGGCGCTATCGGCAACACGCCTTTGATGCGCTTGAACTCGATTAGCGACGAGATTGGTTCAGACGTATACGGTAAGGCCGAATTCATGGAGCCAGGCGGTAGCGTCAAGGACCGCGCCGCCCTGTACATTGTCCTGGATGCAGAGAAGAAGGGTCTGCTGAAGCCGGGTGGTACTGTCGTGGAAGGCACAGCCGGCAACACGGGTATTGGCCTGGCGCATGTATGCCGTGCCCGTGGCTACCGGTGTGTGATCTACATGCCCAACACGCAGTCGGAAGAGAAGATCAATCTGCTGCGCATGCTGGGTGCAGAGGTGTACCCTGTGCCTGCGGTGCCATTTGACAACCCGCAAAACTACAACCACCAGGCGGCCCGCCACGCGGAGCAGCTGGAGAATGCGGTGTGGACGAATCAATTTGACAATGTCGCGAACCGTGAGGCGCATATTCTCACGACCGGTCCTGAGATCTGGGAGCAGACGCGCAGCACCGGCCTCGATGGCTTCATCTGTGCGACGGGCACGGGTGGTACGCTCGCAGGCATCACGCGCTACCTGAAGGAGAAGTCGAACGGCCAGGTGCAGTGCTGGCTCGCTGATCCGCCGGGCTCGGTGCTGCATGGCTATGTGCAGTCGAAGGGCGCTGAACTGGCGCGCACTGGCACTGGCTCGATTACGGAGGGAATCGGCCAAGGCCGCGTTACCTCGAACCTGCGCCCCGACATCGATCTCCTGGACAACAGTCTTCACATTGAGGACGAGGCTAGCATCGCTATGGTGTACCGCATGCTGGACGAGGAGGGTCTGTACATCGGCGCCTCGTCGGCACTGAATATTGTCGCGGCTCAGCGCATGGCCGAGAAGCTTGGAAAGGGCAGCAAGGTGGCGACGATCATCTGCGATGGTGCTGCACGCTACCAGACGCGCCTGTTTAGCCGCAAGTGGCTCGAGAGCAAGAACCTGCTGGCCGCGATCCCGGAGCGCCTGCACAGGTATATCGCACTGCCATAGGATTATATAAGCAACCCAGCGTCTCCGTGCGCCTGCAGCCGCGCCCGTGTGCTCCATCCCACTCCACCGAGCAAGCGCCCGCGCCGCGGGAGCATGGTACGAGGTGGACACGGTATCGAGGCCTCCGGGTCGGAAGAACCCTGGGCGGACGACTCGACGGGGGAGGACTCTTCGGTGCCGAGCCATGGGAGCGATGGCCCCGAAGCGCTGGAGGATCGCGCCGAGACAGTGGCGGTGGCGGAGGCCCGCCTGATGGACGGGAGGCTCACTGAGGCGGCGCGGCAGCAGATACAGCCCACGAGTGATACGGCGCACTATGCGGGAGGCCCTGCGCAGCGTGATTCCCTCGTGCACATGTCGGCGTCAACGCGCTCCCCGTCGCCAGTGACCTCGAGCAGCAGCTCGTCGATTGAGTCGACATCGATGACTGAGGTGGTGCAAGGGCGCGAGACGGCGTCTAGTACCACATCCACAGCTGCATCGATGTCGATGCGCATGAAGCGACCGGGGCAGCCGCAGTTCGAGGGATTCTGGCAGGTCCAGTCGCTCGAGGACCTACGGCCGATGACAGACATCCGCGCGCTCTGCGACAAGCAGCGCCGTGCTGATCCCGCAGGTGGGCTTGTGAGTCCGCTCAAGGCGCTCACGTCGTATCTGCACCACACGTACCACATGGTGAATCCAGCGTTTGTGTATGAGTTGGCATTCAACCCGCGGCGGGTGCTCACCAAGCCGAGTAAGCCCATGTACAACGATGGGCATGACAACGAGGACAGTGACTATATTCTGTATGTGAACGACTATCTGGGAGGCGAGGATGGGCATCGGTACCTGATCCTCGACGTGCTGGGCCAAGGAACCTTCGGGCAGGTGGTCAAGTGCCAGAATATGACGACGCACGATATTGTGGCCGTCAAGGTGATCAAGAACAAGCCCGCGTACTTCAACCAAAGCATGATGGAGGTCACGATCCTCGAGACGCTCAACCAGCACTGGGACCCTGACGACCGGCATAACATCTTGCGTCTGCAGGACACGTTTATCCACCACAAGCACTTGTGTCTGGTGTTTGAGCTGCTGTCGTCGAATTTGTACGAGCTTATCAAGCAAAACTCGTTCCGAGGCCTGAGTACGAGCCTGGTGCGTGTGTTTGTTACACAGTTGCTCGATGCGCTCGTCGTGCTCAAAGATGCGCGGCTGATCCACTGCGATTTAAAGCCTGAGAATATTCTGCTGCGTACGCTGCAGACGCCTTCGATCAAGCTCGTCGACTTCGGCTCGGCGTGCCACGAGGAGCAGACGGTGTACACGTATATTCAAAGCCGGTTCTACCGCTCGCCCGAGGTGCTTCTCGGCCTGTCGTACACGGCGGCGATCGATATGTGGTCGCTCGGGTGCATTGCGGCCGAGTTGTTTCTGGGCCTCCCCATCTTCCCCGGCACGTCTGAGTACAACCAGATTAGCCGTATCGTCCACATGCTCGGCGTGCCGCCCGCCTATATGATGGAGCGTGGCCGTCAGACTCGCGAGTTCTTCAATGTGCACACGGACTCGTACGGGCGCCTCACATACCAGCTCAAGCCCATGGACCAGTACTCGCGCGAGCACCGCGTCCAGGAGCAAGCGAGCAAGCAGTACTTTCCGGGCACGACGCTGCCTGAAATTATCCGGCTCACGCCTATGCCGCGGCGCAGTGGGCGCGCCGCAGATACAGAAAAGGAGATGGCCAACCGCGCCGCGTTCACCGACTTTGTGGCGGGCTTGCTGAACCTCAACCCGTTGGAGCGCTGGACGCCCCAGCAGGCAAAGCAGCACCCCTTTATCACCGGTGAGCCGTTCACGCAGCCATGGGTTCCGCCCCGCACCACACCGCCACAGCCGGCCCCGCCGAGTGCGGCCGCCGAGGCGACGGCGGCTGCGTCGCCGGCCATCTACGAAGACACTGTGTCGGAGGACCCGTACGCAGTCGCCCAGCCGTACGCGCGCGCACAGGGCAAGCGCGCCTCCTATATATCGCCGCCCGGATCGCGAGCGTATGGGACTGACGCGCCGAGCCACACGATTGTGGGATCGCCGTCGACCGGCACGCATCACATGTATGATCGGGAGCCGGCGTACTCCGCCGGGGCGTCGCTTCCAGTGTATGCCACGGCGCCGGCGGCTAGCGTGGTATCGCACGAGCCCGATGCCGCATGGACGTGGAGCCCGGCCGGCACACCACTGGCGTCGGTCCGCGGTGGGGCAACGGCGCAGGCGACGCCCATGTATCCTGCCGGTGCACCAGCGGGCTTTTCGGTGGTGGTGCACGGCAACGAGCCATATGGGCACACCGAGCAGGGTGGTCGGCGGCCGTTTCACAACTTGTCGCCCGCGGCCGCCCAGTACAGTGTGCCGTATGGGCCGACACACGACACGACCGATACGATGAACGACCCGTACGCGCAGGCGCCGCGGTACGCCGGGCCGCCGCTGCACGACGACCGGCGCATGGATCCCAACGTGCTTCCTATGTATGTAAACCGACCTCCATAGGACTACCGCCATGGCCGCGCAGGCACCGCACGCTTCGTGGGCGATAGGATCGGCGAGGCCGCACGCGGCTTGGTGGGCGATGGGCGCTCACGTTGCGCGGAGCTGGGCCGTGGCCGTGCGCCAGGATGGGGCAAGCCACTGGGCCCCAAGCTCCGCCGCCGCGCCAGTGTAGCCTGGCGCGTCGCGGCCACGGGCGAGGCGGCCGGATCGAACTCCATAAACTCAAACGGCGTGGGTCCCACAGGGGAGTGCACCTCGCTCGCGAGACGTGATGCGGGTCGCGCGCTCCGCGACGCACTCCGCGATAGGCCGCCGACCGGCACAGGGAGAGAGCTTTTCGACTTGCGCAGCTCACCGGGCGTCTCCGGGCGCTGGGGCGATGCGGCATAGCTCGGCGTCGGTGCACGCCACGCCGGCGATGGCGGCACCCCACTGCCGCTTGCCGACATGCTCGAGCGCGGGCGCGGCAGCGAGCTGCGCTGCCAACGTCGCTGCGGTTTGTCGGCCGTGGGCACGGCCTGAGCGTGCTGCAGGCGCTGCTGCAGCTGCTGCATATGTTCGCGCAGACGCTCCAGTGTGTGCGCCGGCGCGGGTGCGGGCGCGGGGCGACGACGCACCACGAGATCAGCGAGCGTCAGTTCGTCGTCCGCCGAGGCGAGGGGCGCCGAGGGGCCCTCGGCGTGGGCATCAACGGCAGGCGCTGGGGCCGCAGTCTTGGCGGCGTGACGCTGGACAGCGAAGAGCTCTTCGCGCACTTCGCGCACCTCGTCCTTGAGACGCTGGTTGTCCGCCTCGATGCGGCTCTTGGCCTCGAGCTCCATCTCGAGGAGCGCGGTGCGCTCCATGACCTTGTTGTAACGGAGCTCCATATCGCTGAGCGACGACTGGATCATGCTTCGTCAGCGCCGAAACGTACCGCTCTGCATTCTCGAGCGCGTCATTGTCGAGCTCCATATCGCGCAGCTTCGCCTTATACATGGCATGCGTCTCGCGCAAGCTCGAGAGCTCCTTGTGTAGGTCGGCCATTGTCGTGCTGTGCTCCGTGAGCGACGCCTGGTGCTTTTGCTGTGGTCAGTCGACGTATGCGCACCCGCCATTCGTCCACATCTGCACGCAGCTGCTCGTTCTCGGCGGCCAGAGCATCGGCGCGCTGGTGCGCAGCGGCCATATCCGCCTCCATCTCCGCCTCGAGCTCCTTGCTGCTCTCCATAAAGTCTTGGAGCCCCGTCTCGGCCTCCTGCAGTGCAGAGCGCATCTGCTCGACCTGCTCGCGCCAATACCGCGCCTCCTCCGCCGCATTCGCGAACGACGGCAGCGCGTCCGTCATGGTGGGCAGCGAACCACAGTCACGTGCAAACCAACACAAGCCGCGCGCGCCGCGCGCGGCTGTGCTTCGGCGGCGCAGCGATGGACGGCGCAGCAGCGACGCCCGTGCGGCGGTCCGCAATGGTGGCCACGCCCACCCGCACACCGAGCCTGCGTGCGCGTACCCCGTCGCGTGCGGACGCAGGAACGCCCGCCCGCCGCGAGCGTGCCCTGGAAGTCGGCGACGCTGTTTCATTTGAGGGCACCGACCTGACTGGCGTGCTGCGGTACCTGGGCCCGGTGCACGGACGTGATGGCATGTTTGCTGGCCTCGAGCTCACAGGTCTGTCGTACGGCCAAGGCAAGAACGACGGCACAATACAAGGGTGCGTAACAGGCGCTGACCGCAGTGTACAGTACTTTGCGACCTCGCCCAACAATGGTGTGTTTGGCCCCGCCGCCAAACTCGTCGCGCTGCCATCCGTACGGCCCACGAGTGCGACGGCCCGCCCCCTGTCGTCGCTCTCTGGTCGTAACAGCCGCACAGACGGCCGTGAGCGCGATGCGCCACCCACCCCTAGCAGCGAGCGCCCGCGGCGACGCCAAAGTGGTGTGCCCATGCTGTCGTCGACGCCACGCGCGACGCCGCGGCGCAGCATGGGCGGTGGCGTAGCGCGCACGGCGCGCACACAGCCTGCGTGGGCCACACCGCCAGTGCCGCGCCGTGTGCCGACGCCCGGCCGCCCTGGCTCGTCGACTGCGCCGCGGCGCCCCGGAAGCGCGGCGCGCGTCCTGCCGCAGCGCGACGACCCAATAGGCTGGGGGGACGAGGCGGAGCCGGTGCCACATGGGGCGCACCAGGACCTGCTGGAGCAGCTGGCGCTCCCTCCGAGCGTCTCGAGTGGGGCCGTTGATGAGGCGGGTGTGCCGACGGCTGAGTACGAGCGCCTATGTGATGAGCTTGCGGACGTACGGCGCCAGCTCGCTGACTGGGAGCATGAGTGTGCCGAGCTGCGGCAGGCAGCGCAGCAGCGCGAGCAAGAAGGGGAGGAGCTCAAGCGCCTCGAGCTCGAGGACGAGGGGCGGCGGCGCCAGGCGCTAGAGCGGCAGACAGCCGAGCTGCAGCGCCAGCTGAGCGAGGCGCTCGACACAGCGACAGTGGCAGCCGACGTCCACGATGCACTCGAGCGCCAGAGTACGCAGCATGCTGAACGCATTGCCGAGCTTGAAGCGGCCTTGGCCGCTGCGCAAATCCGTGCGGAGCATGCCGCGCGGCCGCACGACGCCGAGACAGATGATTCACAAGCACTGACGCTGCTGCAGGCCAAGGTCGAGCAGATGACAGCCGCCTGGGCGCGTGAGCGCACGGACCTAACAGACCGGATCGCGACGCTGCAAGCGCGCGCCGACCGGACAAGCGTGCTGGAGCGCGAGCTGAGCGAGGCGCAGCAGCGCGCGGCGCACGATATATCAGGCCCCAGTGCTGCAGAGATTGATAATGCGAGCCTCAAGGAGCAGCTTGCGCACCTGCAGTCGAAAGCCGAGACGCTGGAGGCCGAGCTCGCGGAGGCCAGAGCGGCCCTGGAACAGACCACCAAGGCCAACGCGCAGGCGCAGGCAGCGTGGACAGAGCGCACGCAGGCCGAGGCCGAGCAGCTGCGCGACAACGCGGCGCAGTGGGAGGCGCGTGCGCACGACGCCGAGGCGCAGGCGCAGGCACTGCGTAAAGAGTGTGACGAATGCCGCGCGACGCTGGAGCGTGAGCGCGCCGATACCGAGGCCCTCCGTGATAGCCCTCACACGCCGCATTTGGGCACAGGGGTGCCGGCGTCGCCCGGCGGCGTGGACCTTGAGGTGGTGCGGTCGCTCGAGGCGCGCATTGCCCAGCTTGAGCGCGAAAAGGCAGAGGAGCGTGCGCACTTTACCAAGGAGATGGCCGAGCTCGAGTCGCTCGTCGAGTCGCGCATCTTCCGTGAAGACGAGCTGGAGACGGAGCTGGAGCGCCTGCGCGCTGCAGCTGCATCGTAGATCTAGTCGCCCTCAAAGCCACCCACATCGGTGTGGCGTCTGGGTTAGTGGTGCAGCGTACTGGATGCGCCCGGGGTGCGCGAGCGAGTACGACGAGTACGACGCGCGTGTCACGCGGTGGGCCGCAAGGAGCTGTGTTAGTGCATGTGCATACCTCGCGGTACTTGGCGCGCTCGGCGTCGAGTGCGGCTTGCGCGGCCTGGAGGGCCTGCTCCATCGTGGCCTGTCGCGTGCGTGCCGCATCTGCCGTAGCATTAAGCAAGAGCGAGAGCTGGGTGAGATGGATGGCGTACCTCGGCCAGCAGCGGCACACTAGCACGGGCCGCGTCGTGTGCGCTGCACGGCAAGAGGGTGACGACGTGGGGGCCCTGGGCCGTATGGATCTGTGTGAGGACCGCACACGTACGGTCAGCATGCATGACTCGGCCATGGATTCCTGCGCCTCGGTGTCCTCGTCGGGCGTATCATAGTCGAGCAGCTGGACATGCAGGTGCGGCTGATCCCAGGCACGCTGGATCGCGGCGGCCAGCGATGCATCCCAGATGGCAGGCGCATGCCACCAGCATGTGCGCCGCCGCCTAAGATCGGCAGACTCCCATGCTACGTATATGTGCCAGGCCGTCTCGCTCTCATGCGCCGCCACAACGTACCGCCCATCCGCCGCAGGCACGATACTCGCAAGCGCCGTCATCGCGCACAGACAGGCCACGTGGCAAGAAAAAAAGACAGTCGGCGAGCGACAGGCTTGCGACGTGCATCATGGTGCGGGTGAAAAAGCGCGCGTCCAAGCGCATGACGCTGAAGCAGCGTGCCAAAATCCATAAGAAGGTGCAAGAGCATGGGCGAAAGCAGCGGCGCGAGGCACGGCGCAACCCCCAGCGCAAGTCCAAGAAGGCGGACCCTGGCATCCCGAACCTGTTCCCGTACAAGGAAGAACTGCTGAATGAGATGGAGGAGCGCCGCCGAATCGCGGCGGAGCAGCGCATGCTTGCGAAGGAAAAGCACCATGAGGACGACGAGGACGATGCTGAGGACGAGGAAGAAGAGCCTGTGCCGGAGCCGGCACAGGCGACGCCACATGTGCGGCCGCGCGCGCCGATGCTTAGCCGGCCGCTCGCGGATGTTGTCGCGCCTAAAAGTGAAATCAAGGCTGTGGTGTACGTGCTGGATGCTCGTGATCCGTCGAGTTTTCGCCGGGCTTGGCTGGAGTCGCAGCTGCGCTCGAACAAGAGCCCCAAGCTGACGCTGGCGCTCGCCAAGGCCGACCTGGTGCCGTCGGAAGTGCTCACAGGGTGGTTGTATGATCTGCGGCGCGCAGGACTGGCCGCATTCCCTACGAGCGTGCGGCCGGGTGCGGAACCGGAGGGCGTGGATGCTCTTGCTGCGCACTTGCGCGCGGTGAGTAAGGGCGATGTTGCCGTGCTTGGCCTTGAGCATGTGGGCAAGACGGATCTTGCTGCCGCACTGCAGGACACTATGGAAGGCGTGCAGGTGTACGATACACCGAGTCTTGTCCGCTCGGCGATGCCTATGCCCACGGAGGACGACGAAGATGATATGGCCGAGGAGCTGAGTCGTATGGAGAACCAGGCCAAGCTTCTGTGGACCCTCATGCGGAACCAGGGACAGGTGCAGCGTTTCAAGGACCCTGTGGCCCTTGTGCGCATGCTGTTGCCGCGTGTGGCGCATCCTGTGGATCTGATGATCGCGTATGGAACGCCAGCCTTTGGCTCGTTTGTGCCGGAGCGCGCGACGTTGGCCGATGACGTGCCTGATGACGAGGCGATGCGCGAGTACGAGCGACAGACCGAGACCAAGGCTATGGCCGATACGGAGGAGTTTCTGATCGGCGTGGCGCGATCCGTCGGTCGCCTGAAACGTATGGGTATGCCCGATACGGCCGGCGCCGCGCGCCTGCTGCTACGCGACTGGGCGCATGGCGGACTGGGATACTATGCGATGCCTCATACCAAGGCCAAGGCGGTGCAAACGAAAGGCTCGAAGCAGGACAAGGCGCTGTGGGCCGAGGTCGAGCAACTTGTACAGGATATGGGCGCAGTGCTCCCGCGCAAAGAGTGGCGACAGGCCTGGGCCTCGAAGGAGCTTCGCCTAAAGGCACTAGAAAAGGCGCCTTATGATGAGGACAAGCTGGCCTTTATGCCGATCCTGGAGGACCTTGACGAGGACGACGAGGTGGAAGAGGACGACGTCGAAGAGGACGACAACGAAGAGGACGACGACGAAGAGGACGACGACGACGACGACGAAGAGGACGACGACGATGAGGATGAGGAGGATGAGGAAGGCGATGATAACATTGATGACGACGATGAGGAGGATATCGATGATGGAGACCTCGACGAAGAAGACCTCGACGAACAGCTGGTCCCGCCGTCTTCCAGGAAACGCTCCAAGGCCCCGATGAACGAGCGTGCCCGTAAACTATCCAAACCTACCAAGGAGGCGCGACCGGCCAAGGCGCCTCGTCCGTCCAAGGCGACTCGACCTGCGCAGGCGCCGCCCAAACGACGTACTCCGGCACCTGGAGAGGCCTATGATATCAATGCGTACTTTTAGAGCGCGTTTTAGCACTATACATCTTTCGCAGCGAGTACAGGGAGCTTGTCACCCGGTACAAAGTGGCGCTCGACGCGATCCTCGGTAATGACAGCGAGGCGGATCGTGCCACCAGAGGAGCCATCGCGGCGCATCGCAAGGCTGAGCGCTGGAGTCAGAGAGATCCACGTACCGTTCCGAACAAACTCAAGTGTCTGCTCCTTCGACCAGCCTTCGCGCCATGTGGCATCGCAGTAGCCATAGATATACGCCGAGCCCGAACCACCAATTGCCCATGGCTGCTCAAAGACGCCGCCGCCCAGAGGCACATTGAATACGCGGCCGCCATGCTGCTTGTCCCAGCCAGCCACAATGATACCTGCCGTAAGGCGGTCCTTGTTCTGGTAGATGAGCTCCTGGAAAAGGTTCGCTGCCACGGCGGTTGGCGGCGGCTGCTCCTGCATCACGCTGTACAGTTGCAGATGATATGTCACCACATCCGCCAGCGCCTGTGTATCGGCTGCCGATCCTGAGCGGCAGCAGTAGATGCGGTCCGAGAGGTGCGTCAGCTTGTCAGTGACACGGTTTGCCTGGCATGAGCAGCGCATGAGCACGTACAATATAAGAGCCCATCGTCGTACGTGAGTCGGCGCCGATCACGACACCGCCATCAAAGGCGACAGCCATGATGGATGTCTGGTATCAGTGCGTCCATACATACGCCGAGGTCGACTTCTCCTTTCTTCAGCTGCGCCACGTCGACGGCGTCCATGGAGGCAGGCGATGCACCGTAGGGTCGCGCCTGGCTGGCGTCAGCGCCTCGCCCGATCGTCCACGTGATCGAAGCCACAACGCCCCACCCCGCGGTCCTGTCTCCACCATCTCAGCCGCGATGGGGCAGCAGGGGTCGCAGTTGCTCAATGATATGGAGCAAAACACTCATTGTAGGTTGGTTTCACTTATGCATAGTCTCCGCACAGGAGATTCAGCGCCTAAAGAAGCGATTCCTGAAGCTTGACCGCGACGGATCAGGCTCAATTGACCGCGACGAATTCTTGCAGATCCCTGCGATCGCCAACAATCCGCTGGCCCAGCGGCTCATATCGATTTTTGATGCAGAGTATGTGTTTGCCGCTCACCTCAGTGGCGGAGGTACTGTGGACTTCCAAGAGTTCGTGCATGGCCTGAGCGTCTTTACGAGCCAAGGCAGCCGCGAGGAAAAACTGCAGTGTATGTGTGATGGGCTCATGGGCAGTCGTATTCAAGGTTTACGATATGGACCGGGATGGTTTCATTTCGAATGGTGAACTATTTATTGTCCTCAAGATGATGGTTGGTGGTAACTTGAAAGACCAGCAGCTCCAGCAGATCGTCGACAAGACGATCATGGAGGCTGACAAGAATGGTGATGGAAAAATTGACTTTTACGAGTTTCTCGACATGGTAAACAATACGGATGTCGCGAAACAACTCACGTTGGAGGTGCGTCGCGGCCGTCTTACACACAGGACCTGTTCTAGAGGATTCCCTCGACCCCGCCCCTTCACATAGATGTATGACACAAACCGCCTATCGTTTGGTTCCTATGTAAAGCGCGCACGCGCCAGAGGGCGCAAGGTATCTACCAACGATGCCGTCGAGAACTGCCGACGCTCCAGGCGGTTGAGCCGGCGCGCCGTCAGAGCGTTGCGCTGCGTGCGTTGACCCCGTACAGGGAAACCGCCCGCATGCCGGCGACCTACATAGGAGCCGATCGAGCGGTGGTGTGCAATATTTGCCAGCATTTCCCTGCGCAAGTCACCCTCAATCCGGATGGAGCGAAGAGGGTCCATCCCCGAATTCGGCCGCTGCGACGGCGGCAGGTCTGCGGCATTTTCAGAGGCATTGGCCTGCGGCACCGGACCATCTACATTCGCCCGTGTTGGAGAAGCGGATCGCGCTGGAATCAGACTGGGCGACGAGAGGTAGGCAGAGAGCTCGGTAACTTGGGCCTCGGTGAGCGACCCTACTGTCGCACGCTCATGCACCTGGATACGGGCACAAATGCGGCGCGCAGTATCGTACGAGATACCATAGAAATTTGTCAAGGCAATCTGCAATCAGTAGCATCGTACATACGCGCACGAGCTTGTGGTCCGGCAAGTACGCGCCCAGCAGGTACATGATGGGCCGGGGCCATGCACCATCGCTGCTGCGCGAAGACGAGACTGGAGGTCACGTGTCCATCACAAGAATACAGGCTATGGTACAGGGCGCCGAGCTACGGGGAAGAGAGCGGCGAGGGTATCTGCGCAGGTTGGACGTCAAATACCATATCGATGTGCTTTTGAAGCGTCTCGATTATGTGCACAGTGGTAGGGCGAGCGTCCGGCTTAGCCTCAACCATGCATTGGATGAGATCGCGCAGCTCGTCCGGCAGGCGATCGCCTCCTGGCATGATCAGCGCGGGTGCCCCATCCGCATAAGGTCGTTCATCCCTCGCGACCGAGTCAGAAAATGTGTGAAGAGGGGGAAGTTCGTCATGAAGCTCTTGCATAGGCAGATCGCGCGACGAAGCAGAGGGGGTCCGGGAACCCGCCAAGCGCGCTGTCGCACCGACCGTTTTCGCGCGTTGTCCCGGCTGCTGCACGGTGCGCGAGCGCCTCAGCTTATGCTCCTGAGAGGTAGGCAGAGTTAAAAAGGATTCATGGGCCACGCTCGCTGCATTGCTTGTGCTAGAGGTATGGATGGAAGCAGCCCGCATGAGGGAGGCTCCATGCGACGTCGGTGGCTTGGCCGTAGCAGCGATGGCTCGTGGCGTGTATGTGGCAATAACTCCTTTAGGTGAGGGGCTTGGATCTAGTAGCCGGTCCACCACATGCAAGGGGAGCACGTCGGATTCGTGCATGACTGACGAGTGCGAGTCTAGACTGGGGCTGGACGTGAGCGAAGACAACGGCGAGGCGGATGGGGGCTGAGTATCAAGGCCCATGTGTATGCGCTCGATACGATCTCCCTCCTCGCTGCTGAAGAAAACGTTCTGCCGCTGGCGCATGGCCATAACGCTGTTCACGCGGTGGCTGGGCTCAACACCTGTGGCAAGCGTATACAATAGAACACCTAAGCTGAATATATCCAGTGTGTACGACAGTGCCGGATGGGCAAGGCCGGTCATTTCGGAGGGCGACCAGGGTGTGGTATTGAAGAGTTCAGGTGCGCGGAAGGCAGGTGTGCCGACTGTGTACGTATCGGTTGCCGGTGACGATGCATTCGAGAAGAGGACCGAAGAAAAATCACACAATTTCACCGACAAAGTGGGCGTCAATAGCACATTCTCTTGCTTGATGTCACCATGGACGCAGCCCCGCTGGTGAAGCCACTGAATTGTGCTGGCTAGTTGCAGGGCCCAGTCGAGCCATTGAGGTAAAGTGACGGCCGTCGGCCGCCGCCGGACAAAAGAGCCCAGCGAGAAGGGTAGGTACTCCAGCACGATTAGCAAGTGCGGTGGGTCATCATGGGCCTGGCGCATTTCGGCAGAGTCTTGCACGCGAAATTCGACTTCATCCAAGACGCCCAGCAGACGCACAATATGCTCGTGGTGGCCGAGACGACGCAAGGCAAAGGCCTCTTCTAAGCCTGCCAGCTGTGACTCGCGGTCCACCTGGAGCCGCTTTACGGCACACAGCTGCCAAGACACTGACTTGGTAGTCTGATCATGCGAGCGCGGAGCATAGGCACCCAAGTAAACCTCGGAACTCCGTCCTTCACCCAGCTTGAAGGCACGCTCGAGAAACACGCGAATGTCAATGTTCTGCTCGGACCGAATGCGTCGTTTCTCTGTCTCACGCTCATCAACAGACATGCGCCCAAATGAGGGAGTTTTGCTGTGCTGAGGACGCACGGGCCGGGTCACGGCAAAGGTGCTAGGCTTGCGCGGAGAATCATGCTCAGAATCTATGCGCTTAGGCGGCAAGAGCCGCGGAGGCGAGGGAGAATCCACATGGCTGTAGAACAAATCGTTTTTGGACATGGATGTTGTCATACGCGCGTCCATAGACCATCGGTGGGACGCGCCGGACAAGCACAATTGTGCTAGTATCACTTCCGCCTACACTCCCTTTCCCCGCTATGCACGGGCTGCGCATGCACTGCGCCGTTGATATCACGTGACTTCCAAAGACACGGCCAGCCTGGTGCCGCTCGACGCGCCCGCAACCAGAATGTCGTCAGAGGCCGTGCAGGGCCGAAAGGTATGGACGCCTCCCCAGGGAAAAACGCGTATAGATCACTTCCGTGAGCGTGTGAATAAACAGCATGGACTTGACCTTCAAGACTACGCAGCATTGCACAAATGGAGCATCACACACACGGGCCCCTTCTGGCAAGCCGTGTGGGACGACATGGAAATTGTCGCGAGCCAGCCTGCCGTGGAAGTGATCCCAGAGAATGCGCCCATGTTCCCACCTGCCGAATGGTTTTCGGGTGCTCGCCTGAACGTGGCCGAAAACCTGCTCAAGCACGGTCGTGACGATGACGTGGCTCTCATCGCTTGCACAGAACGCGAGGACGATACGCGCCGCATGACCTACAGGGAGCTGCGTCGTCATGTAGCCTCTGCCACGCGTGCGCTACGAAAGCTGGGAATCAAGCCGGGTGATACGGTGGCCAGCTACTCGAGTAACTCGCCAGAAAACCTCATTGCGTTCCTCGCTTCGAGTGCCGTCGGCGCGGTGTGGACGAGTGTGGCCCCCGATTTTGGCACGGCCGGCGTGTTGGAGCGTCTGCTGACAGTGCGGCCCCGCGTTCTTTTTAGCGTCAATGCCGTGTTGTACAACGGCAAGCTCCACGACCATACTGAAAAGCTCAACTCGACGATCGTCGGTCTGCTGGCGGATCGGTCCAAGCCCGACACAGAGGCAGAGCCGGCGGACGGTGAGCGTCAGACCAAGCGTCCTCGTCTGCATGCGTCCGAGTCTGTCTTGGAGCATGTGATTGTGGTACCCTATGGTGGCTCTCATCCTGAGAAAGAGCAACGCAAAACGGGCGTCGAGTCCATGGCCCAAGATGGGGATCTTCAGCGCCACCTATGGTCGGACTTTCTCGCCAGCGGAGAAGGCAGCGATACAATCGAGTTCGAGCAGCTTGACTTCAACCACCCGCTGTGGATCCTGTTCTCGTCGGGCACAACCGGAAAACCCAAGGCTATCACTCACCGCGCGGGGGGCATGCTGATTCAGTTTGGCAAGGAGCATCTGCTGCACGGTGGCTTGACGCGCGAAGATGTCTTTTTCCAGCACACTACGATAGGCTGGATGATGTGGAACTGGCTGGTGGGCGCTTTGCTGGGCGGCTGCTCCGTGGTATTGTACGACGGTTCGCCAGCCTTCCCGACAGGTATTCTTTGGGAGCGCGCCGCGGAACTGGGTATAACCGTGTTTGGCACGTCGGCTGCCTACTTGTCACTCATCGAGCGCCGCAACTATGTACCTACCGAACTGCATGACAAGCTCAAAGTGCGCATGATTCTGTCGACCGGCTCGCCACTACGTGCCGAGCTGTACCTGTATGCGGAGAAGCTGGTCGGACGGCCGGTCATGGTAGGCAGTATTACGGGTGGCACAGATCTCTGCTCGCTCTTTGCTGACCACAACGTGAGTCTACCAGTCTATGCAGGTGAGCTTCAGTGCCTTGGTCTCGGTATGGATGTTGATGTGTTCGACGCTCAGGGCCAATCTCAGCCCGACATGGTCGAGGGCGATCTGGTATGCAAGAAGCCTTTTCCCGCGCAGCCGCTCGGATTTTGGCACCAGCCCAACGAGCGCTACCGTGACAGTTACTATACCCAGTACCCAGGCGTGTGGTACCACGGTGACTTGGTCATGCGCTCTCCGCGTGGTGGTCTGATCATGCTCGGTCGCTCCGACGGTATTCTCAATCCTAGTGGAATCCGCTTTGGCAGTGCAGAAATCTACGAAGTGCTTGAGAGCTCCGAGGCTACATCTGAAACTTCACCTCTGTCTAAGATTACCGATTCACTTGTGGTTGCGTTGAAAACGCCTGCCAAGGACGATGAAGTGGTGGTCCTGTTCCTGGTCGTGGCTGAGGATGCAGACTGGGACTCTATCGTGACCAGCGCAAAAGCCCTCATCCGCAAACAGCGCAGTGCGCGCCACGTACCTGCCTATATACGCCGTGTGGGTGGCTGCCCCAAGACCCTTAATGGAAAGCGCGTCGAGGTGCCAGTGAGAAAGTGTACGTTTTACGTCGAAGCTCGCTAATATCAGTGATCAACGGTGCTCCTATCAGCACTATTAACCAGGCGACTCTTCTGAACCCAGAAGTCCTCCCTGAATACATTGAGGTTGGCGAACAACTCCGCTCAGACCTGGCCAGTGCGAAGAGCGCGCAGGGCCCAGCGGCCGCGCCGGTCCCGGCTCCAGCGCCCTCGGCGGGAGCCTCGTAGTATAATCACGTGATTTTTCTTTTTTGTGCCCATGCCAGCGTCGACTGGCTCGACGTCCAGTTAAGATGTTCCGTGGTGGTCGCGGCGGCGGTCGCGGCGGCGGCTTTAGTGGCCGTGGTGGCCGTGGTGGTATGGCGAATGTGGGTCCGCCTGCTAGCATTATCCCGTTTGGCAAGTTTGTGCATGCTGTGGAAGGCGAAATGTTCTGCTCAGGTACCGACCCTAAGCATGTGCCATACTTCAATGCTCCGATCTTTTTGGAAAACAAAACACAGATTGGTAAGGTCGATGAGATTCTTGGGCCTATCAATGAGGTCTACTTTACTGTGAAGACGGAGCCTGGTGTGGTGGCTACCTCCTTCAAGGCTGAGGATTCGGTCTTCATTGCGTCGGACCGTATGTTGCCGATCGAGCGTTTCCTGCCCAAGCCCAAGTCGGTAATCAAAGGTCCCAAAAAGCGCCCTGCTGGTCGCGGAGGTCCCGGTGGTGCACGGGGCGGCCCCGGCGGTCGCGGCGGTCGCGGCGGCTTTGGTGGTCGTGGCGGTGCTCGTGGCGGCGGCTTCGGTGGCCGCGGTGGTGCGCGTGGCGGCGGCCGTGGCGGCGGTTTCGGCGGCCGTGGTGCTCCTCGCGGTGGTCGCGGCGGCTTCCGTGGCGGTCGCTAAGGCAGGGGCGCATGCGTCATGCTGCTTTATGCCTGTACTAGGTACAGGACCTTGTACCATAGCTGTGACTTGATCTAGAAATACCGGATCCCTCAAGGCAGATATATTAATCTATGTGACCGCGAGGCATGCTGTAGAAGAATGCACGTATCCGACGTCTTCAGCGGTATCGACACCTATATGACTCGATGCTATACCTGCGGGCACAAGCGTGGCTTGGCATTCGAGAGTAAACCAATATTTCAGTGCAGAGATACCTGTCTCCGCAACGTTATATTACAATGGAGCCTTGTTGAAAAAACACCTATTGGCCTGTCCAGTTTGAAGATACCCTAAGACGAAAGGTTCCTACGACAACATGCACACGCTAAGGTAATCAATCAGAGCGCTGATACGATGCGCGCGAATCTGAAAGGTGGGCGCCGTTTCGATGATTCTGTCCCTTGGGTGTTTTATTCATCGTCTTAATCAAACCAATGAACGCTCGTAAATCAAACATTTGATGAGCAGGTCCCATCCAAGTCATTGATAAGGACTGGTCTGCAAGCCCCTAATGTGGATAGACGCCAATTCGTTGCGATAAGAGGAGATGTTGATAAAGAAGCAGCAGTCACAGGGACACCACTTCAGTTCTTCTCATTATGAGTGAAAATCCAGCCCAAGTGCTTGGCGTCGGTGTTGGATGGGCTGTCGTCGTAGGCCTGGGTTTTGCCTTTGCAGGCCTGATGATGATCATTACGTTCCTGCAAAACAGGTTCACGGAACACAGCACCAAATCTGTGGAAGAATTCAACTCTGCTTCCCGCTCCGTTAAGCCAGGATTGGTTGCGGCAGGCATTGTGTCTGCCTGGACCTGGGCTGCTACACTCCTCCAGAGTGCCGCCACTACATATACCTTTGGTTTGTCAGGAGCGTACTGGTACGCTGCTGGTGCTACGCTGCAGATCCTTTTGTGTGCTATTATGGCTTGTAAGATCAAGAACTGCGCTCCTTTTTGTTCGACTTTCCTAGAAGTCATCCGCATTAGGCACGGCAAGAAAGTACATGCTGTCTTCATGGTTTTCGCCCTCGTAACCAATCTGCTTGTGTCTTCGCAACTTGTTCTGGGCGGTGCCGCGGTCGTAAAAGACCTGACTGGTCTGCATATCCTGGCCGGCATCTTCCTTATCCCAACAAGTGTGGCCGTGTATACCGTCACGGGTGGTCTGCGTGCCACATTTATTGCAGACTATACACACACATTGGGCCTCTTTGTTGTAATCCTCTACTTTTTCTTTAGTATTTGGACGGGCAACGGCAAGATTGGCAGTCTGGGCAAGATGGTGGAGCTTCTTCATAAAGCGGCGGAACTGAACCCTGTGGATGGGAACGCGGCTGGCTCGTACCTCACGCTCCGGTCGCAGAAAGGTCTCTTGTTTGGCATTATTAACATTTGCGGTAACCTGGCAACGGTCTTCTGCGACCAGTCGTACCACCAGCGCTCGATTGCATCGCTTCCCACTACAGCATCGCGTGGCTTTTTGCTTGGCGGCAGTGCCTGGTTCCCCATTCCATTTGTTTTCGGTACTACCATGGGTTTGGCTGCGCGGGCGCTGTCGCAACAAGATCCGAGCATGGCCCTGTTGAATGATGCTCAAGTTTCGGCAGGGCTTCCTGCTCCTTCCGTGGCTGTCGCTATCGCTGGCAAGGGAGGAGCAGTGGCTGTGCTGATTCTGCTCTTTTTGGCGGTGACTTCGGCTACGTCTGCGCAGCAAATTGCCGTATCATCAGTGTTGACCTTTGATATCTGGAAGGTCTACATCCATCCGAACCCTAAGGGACAGCATATCCAATGGATTACTCATGGTGCTGTCCTCTTGTGGGCGTTGATCATGGCCATATTCGGTCTTATTTGGAATTACGCGGGCATTGGTCTTGGCTGGCTCTATACCATGATGGGTATTGCTGTGGCACCGGCTGTCTTCCCTATCTTTGGCTCGCTTGTGTGGAAAAAGACCAATTCAATGGGTTGCGTCGCAGGTATGGTCGGAGGCTGTATCCTGGGTATCATGACCTGGCTTGTTACTGCTGGGACATTGTACAACTCAGTGACTGTGGACACCACGGGTGAACAATACCCTCTCGTGGCGGGAAATCTCGTTTCATTGCTCGTATCTACCATTATCACGGTGGTGTGGAGTCTCATCTGGCCTCAAAACTATACGTTTGCCGATACGCGCGCGTTCAATGCTCCCCTGGATGCTTTGGTGGAGCGCGATGAAGACGCCATGAAGCCTGTACCATCCGATGAGAAGCAGCAGTACGACTCAGAGATGGGCAGCAGCAAGCCTGACATCGAAACATACACTCATCAGCGCGACGCTGGTGTGGACAACATCGAGTATGTTCGTGCCGCCGGCTTGGATCCAGTCGTGATGGAGGCTACGGTGAAGCGTGTTTCATTTATTGCAGTCATTTGCTCTGTGCTTCTTGTGGTCATTGTTCCGGCCATCGCTACATCGGCTCGTGTTTGGACACCGGCTGGCTTGGGGGCATGGACCTACCTAGGCCTGATTTGGCTCTTCTGGAGCATTGTGGCTGTCGGACTTCTGCCTTTGTGGGAGGCCCGCGCAGAGCTGATGACGGTGTTTGGTGGTATTTTGCACCTTCGTCCAGCTGCTGCGATGCAGTGAGTGATCGCGATGAGCTCGTTGGGCTATCAAGATGGTCTCGGCGACTTATCGGAGCCCAATCTCGCACATGTATCATATATACCGGTCACATATAGGAATTATGCGTTCTAGGAGTTACGTGGTGTTGCGACGGCAGCACTGACTCTAGGCAGCCTGCCAAGGGACGCGTGCATCGGATGACGTCGTTATTCAGCTTCTCGTCACCTATCGACATTGATATCCGGCTAGATGATGAGCATGACAGAAAGACTGTTGAAATAAAAACAGACAGTACATCAACGGAGGTATTCCCTGTCTATCTGGACGGAGAAACATTGAGTGGGACCGTGCGTAGGACGAAAAAAGAGATTCTGACCATCAGGTGGTTATTCAGCCCCGAAATGCTAAGAAATTGATGCATGAAGGTATAAAAATTGAATTTATCGGATCCATTGGTGGGTATCAGATAGCTTACAACAGAGTTGTTCTATGACCGCGGAAACCATTATGAATTTCTATCCCTGGTGCAGGAACTCGCTGATCCAGGAGAGATTCGCGATACCGAAACGTTTCCTTTTGAATTCAAAAATGTCGAAAAGCTGTATGAGAGCTATAACGGAATCAATGTCAAATTGAGATATTACCTGCGGGTCACGATTGGCCGTCGAATGTCCGATGTCGTGCGTGAGCGAGATTTATGGGTCCACTCGTTCCGTCTTCCTGCCGATTCTAACAATGCTATTAAGATGGAGGTTGGTATTGAGGACTGTCTGCACATTGAATTCGAATACAACAAGTCCAAGTACCATCTGAAAGATGTAATTGTAGGCAAGATTTACTTCTTGCTCGTTCGCATCAAGATCAAACATATGGAGCTCTCAATTATAAGGCGCGAGACAACTGGCTCTGCTCCGAATCAGTACAATGAATCAGAGACAATCACTAAATTTGAAATCATGGATGGTGCCCCGGTGCGTGGAGAAACCATCCCGATCCGTCTATTTCTTGGCGGGTTTGAGCTCACACCAACGTTCCGTGATGTCAATAAGAAGTTCAGTACGCGCTACTACCTCAACTTGGTATTGATTGATGAGGAAAGTCGCCGATACTTTAAACAACAAGAGATTACCTTCTTCCGCATTCCGGAGAACTAGTAGCCCTGTATTGATAGTCGAGTCAGTGCCCCTCCCCTCCACATTGCGCCGTTCTCTCGATTAGCATGTGGCCCCGTCTCGTCGGCAAGTTACAGCTATTCCTGGCCGTCAGTGTAGCATTCGTACATGTGAATGCCTTTGACTGTAAGAATGTTGTTTTTGGAAAAGAGGGTCCAATCTTAGACTTAAGCCATATTTTCGCCAACGGGCCTTTGAATGTTACGCTAGAGGAAGACACCCCGCCATCAACAACGATAACGACAATAACGTTAGATTTATGCAAACCACTAGAACTGATTCCTTGGATTGATCCTTTAGATCAATGCTCTGAAAATACCAATGTTTGCAAAATTGTAAAAAATCGACGTGGAACGAGCGAAAGGGTGGAACAAATTATCACTGCTGGTAAATCAGTCAGTGGTGACCTTCAAGCAAAATCCTGGGTCGAGCATTCTCGCCCTAATAATAAGTTGGGAATAAATATTCAAGGGACGACTTGGGCTAATCTATTTCAGTCCACAGCACTGAATATAGAATGTTCATCCAAAAACGTGCAGTCTGGAAAACTGGACTATGTGGGCCAAGATAAGGGCACATTGTCTTTGACTCTATCAATACCAGGCGAATGTACTAATTACGTTTCAAAGCGATTTCGAGAAAAGCATGGCTTCTTTTCGTCATTATTTTGGGTGATCATCACGGTGGTTGGCCTGTATTTGGGAATTGGTGTTTGGTACAATTACACTCACTATGGATCTAACGGTTGGGATCTGTTGCCTCACCGTGATTTCTGGCGCGAAGTGCCCTACATGGCACAAGATGCATTTCGGCATATTCGGAGGACTATCAATGAGCCATTGTCTGGTCAAGGGACCGGTCGCGCAGGGTATGAACCCGTATAATCAACGAAAAGCATAGTGGAAAAAAAAAATAGCCTACGAAAATCCTAGGTTGTTTCGTATGTTTGTTTATACAAGGGATGATTGAACTTTCGCAGCGATCACATTTGCATCCAGGCAACTGACCATTATGGGATATAAAGACATGAGCCGTTGACAACGATGCTGCGTGCCTGAATACAATGTCCTTGATTTAACTTGTGAGTTGGAAGCTGTTCGTATTAGATCATCGGTTCTTGAACAGGGATAATAGTCATGTCGGAGTTTGAGAATGTTAGTTCACGTTCACTTTCACTTGCAGGTACCCTAAGTCCCAATTCGTGGGCCGAACTCAAATCCTTCGGCTCGCTTGAATGGAAATCTGTACTTGTCATTGTGTGTCCGCCCATGTCAGACTTCAGTTCGCCGCGTTCAAGTTGGTCCAGATCAGCTGTCCCATGTTGAATATTAGTGGCGTCAGAGGAATGCTGATCAAGGCCACTTGCAAATACGTAAGATGGCGGAGGCGCCGTGGGAGGCACATTGGAAGGCAATTCTTCTTCCTCTTCATCGCCATCTTGAGGATCTGTGACATCTGGTTCGTCGTTCTCGTCGTAGGCTAGAGTAGGAACCGCCACTTCTTCGTCGACAAGGTCGAACTTCTTCTCGGGAGCGCCCACCACCTTCTTGCGGGCTGTAACGTTCCACTTCGTGAGGCCCAATACGTTACGGTAGTGTGCCATTAAGCAGATTATATTCTTAAACATCTCATAGAAAGGAGAGATAATAAGATACTTGATGTATGATTTCAAGTTCAAATCAGGATGTCTCTCGTGTCGCACATGCCAAGCGGCTAACAAAGCCAAGACAGGACCCTGACCAGCTTGGAAACCCGTGACAGGGAATAGATACCACGCAAAGCGGTGATCACGGGCATAAGAATAAACGCAAGCACCAAGAATCCACGGGGTTAGGTAGTAAAAAAGCTCACGCCAATGGAGCATGAGAAATATCATGAAACGACGATACAAGGATAACCGAGGGTTAACAAGCAGTCGTAAATGACGCGTGCCGACTTGACTCCAACCCTGTGACCAACGCACTCGTTGCTTCATAAGACCCTTTAGATCACTGGGCGATTCCTCGTGAGAGGTCACAGTCGGATCAAACTCAATTTTGGCACCGCTTCCCAGGGCACGAAAACCGGAATCCACATCCTCAGTAAGCATCGTGTCGTCCATCTTAATTCGCTGGAGTAGCTCAAATTTCCAAAAGCCATTGCTTCCACCGAAGATACCAAAGCCACGCACGAATGCACCACCCGCATGGTTAACCGCGTAAATAGTGTCAAACTCAGCAGCGATGTTTGTTGAACCACGAGAGACCACACAGCGACCTTGCACAAGATCCGCATTGCGATGCTTGAGAGTTTGAAGAGCATGGATCACAGAGTGTTTGGCCGGCTGATGATCGGCATCGTACATGACGACAACCTCAGGAGGACTAGTTTCCGCAAAGTAGTCGATGGCTGAATTTACGTTGTGAGCTTTAGAGCTAGAGGACAACACATTGTGATCTTGGACAGTGACACCAGAAGGCGGCTCCAAACTTGCAATAATACTGCGCAAGTACTTGACCTGTTCAGGCTTGCCGCCATTGTGAGCAACCAGGATACGAAATTGAGTTCCCTCGGGCAAATCCACACTCATTACGGCCCGGATACAGTCTTCGATCGTATCAATCTCATTTGGAAGATAGGCGGAGATGATAGCACCGATATTCTTGCACAAATCATCCGTTCCGGCTTCACGATGCAGCTTGTTGATGTAGTACCAATGAGGAATAGAGCCCAGAGCCTCAATGACCAACCAAAGTGTTGTCAGGAAAAGAGCACCAGAACTTATCCAGAAGACATAGATGAGACCTGTCTGTGGAATTGCATAACAGATACCGAAAGGTAAACCGAAGATGATGATCAAAGCATAGATGTATTGCAGGTTCTCCTTAGTCCATGTACCATAGACAGCTAGCTTGGAAGCGTTGTATTTAGCTTGGAGGCGTTGAAAGAAGTTGGAGCGCTTCGATTCATGCCCAATACTAGATTCAGTCCCCAGCACTGAACTGGCTTCACTCGAGCCACTACTCAAGGTTAGCAAGTCATCCTCAGGGCTGTTCCTCCCTAGCACGGGAACAGGTACATATTCGGGGTACGAGTCTTTGATGAACGCCTTTTGAGGCTCTCTTGGATCACTCGACTCCTCTGGATCCACAGGAATTTGATCCTTCACGTCGTGGTAGGTGCCATCGGCTGGATCGATCACTGGCTCAACTAGGATCGGCTCTCTCTGAACCATAGTGGCCGAATCCCTTTAAAGCCAGTAAAGCTGGTTAAGCTACAATGAGGTATATGAAGAAAATTCGTTGACTATAATGTGACTATCCGTGTCCGCTCTGTCTAGCAAATTCTCTGGGTCCGTTCACCGACAGACAAACTAACCGATACGAACTCGGCTTGGCTTATTCCTCATCACCTTACATAGAACGAGCGATAATTGGACTAACTGTATTCTTCAGGAATAAGATGCATTCAATTGCATTAGGCAACTTGGGCAAAATATCCCAACCACATGGTAGATAGACGAATCATAGAGCCTATGATGATGACAAAAAGCAAACCTGCGCCCTGAATGAAACTTAGCAACTAAGGTTCGTACCCAGGTAAAAATTAACTATTGCGACTTAAATCGGTACATGACTAATATCATCTATGACATTGCTCTCGCTAATTGGTTGTGCTCTGTGTGTCCAAAAAAACGTTACGAATGAAAAACGCTCTCATCAAACGCCGTCAGAGGAAAAAAAAAAAATCCTTTCGTTGGAGTGGCTAACTTGGGTGCGCTGCTCACACTTGATACTCTGCCCACGAGGAAGCCTGTGAGTGAAAAGCATTAAGGGAGTATTATCAGAAAATTATCTCGCCACTTTAACAAATCGGGGGGTCAGAATATTATGTATGAGTGGATAATTTCAGCGACAAAGTTTGTCTACGTTTAGCAGTGATATCTGACCTAGTCCATTGAAGATCCTCAGTTCTAGTATGTTTTTTTCATTATCAATGATTGATGTATGTAATGTGACTTTTCGTAGTTTGCCTAACTAGGTCGTCTTATTGGACATAACATTCGCTTTCAAATCAGTTGCCATCAGCGAACAAGAACACGTAAATGGGGACCATGCTGACTAATCTTGAGACAGCAGTATCACCTACGCATCGCGGATTTGAATCGATGGTTGCTTATGAAGACATCACAAGACTTGCGAGGACTCACGCCGCTTGAGAAGCGAATCCATACGGCAGCACTGGCCTCTGAGGGAAGTACTTTGACGGGCAATCAGTTAGAAACCCAGTTTGCCGATGTTCCAATCGAGGATCAGCTTCTCGCAATCAACGGTTTGCTGAAAAAGAACTTGTTCAATGCTCAGAAAGGACCCAGAGGTATCCAGTATGCGGCTGTTTCAAAGGGCGAGGCAAGTATTTTGGGAACGATGGACTCCAATGAACTCATTATCTACAATCATATCAAGGAGGCCAAGAATGAAGGCATTTGGACTAAATTAATTAAGGCGCGCACTAACCTTCATCAAACAGTAATGACAAGATGTCTTCGTCTCCTTGAACAAAAGCAGCTAGTCAAATCTGTCAAGTCAGTCAAGTTTCCTACCCGGAAAATATATATGCTATATGACCTGACGCCTTCGATTGAGCTGTCCGGTGGTCCATGGTATACTGATAATGAGCTTGATACAGGTTTTATCCACGAGCTTTCTATGGCCTGTTTGAGATTTATTCAGGCCAGAACATGGCCCAAGGATGGAAAATCGTCGGCTTTATACCCAGTGTCACAGACACAAAATCTTCCCACTGCTCACAGCGTTTATCGATATCTTAGAGGAGCTAGACTCACGGATACTGAATTAGAGCCGGAACATGTGGTTGCTTTATTGGATCTACTGATATATGACAATGAAGTGGAAAAAATTCCTGTGTTACCGACTCGGATGGCGTCGCAGTCAACAGGAATGGAGGGTTCAAGCAGTGATTCAGAGCAAGAAGATCGAAGGTTGCGCACAAAACGCAAATCTCGCAGATCTGTTGAATCTTCTGATCGTGAAGATGATGCTGAAAGAAATGACTCTGATAATTCTGATTCGTCAGAATCTGTTGTTAACATTGAATCGACTGTTCGTCGCAGCGGAAAAAGAAAGAAAACTGCCATCCATGAGCGACAGTACGATAGCGGGTCAAGTGAGGAAGAAGATCTCTCTAGGCGCCGTTCTGTTGTTCAAGAACGCGAGCCAAGCGATTCTACTGTTACACATGTGCCTTATGTGTACCGTGCCATAAAACCCATGGAGCAAGAATCGACAAAATTGATTTCAATGAAGTTCGTCCCGTCCGATTCATACATCTACGATCATTGTGATTTTTGCCATGCAATGGATTTTGATGATGGAATTGTATATGGTGACCCATTTTCATTACCTGAAGAGGAGAAAAATGTGTAACAATAGGTATCATTAGGTTATTCAAAGACAACAATTTTAAGTGTAATAATAGCTATACAGCTTGCGTATATTGTGCGCGACACGTATGTAGAGTACAGGACGAGCGCAAAAATTTTCCAAAAATGTGACAAGAGTGGGATTCGAACCCACGCCCGAAGACAACGGAAGCTAGTAGCTTAGGAATTAAGGAAACCTTAACGTTGCGCCTTAGACCACTCGGCCATCTTGCCGTTCCTTGGAGGTTATACTTTCGAGTAACATAATTGTAGTGACTCCTATCTAGAGAGTGGCAGAGTTACTTTCTTGTTGCTACCACACGCACTTCTTCTCACTGGTCCCCTTACTTACGTTCAGCACTACTTAATTTGCGCATTTTCTGGTCAGCATTTTTGACAAACGTCCAGTTAGGAGGAAGCGGCTTGTTGTCATCATCAAAGGACGCCCATTTGAACTTCTTTTGTAAAGTCATCGGAAAGAATTGACCAATATTCATAATTTCTAGATCAAGTTCCATCTTCTCGCTTGCAGCAGCAGTTTCGGCCGTGATAGGCTCCTTTTTTACTTTTTTGCTTGTTTTGTTTGAGTCTGATAGCGGTTTGATAGGGTTTGTTGGTGTCAGACTTTGCAACTTCTTGTCCCACTTCTTCAGCCAAGCAACGGTAATACGTGGGTCGATGTAATTCATCTTCGACGTTCCCAGAGACACGTCACTTGTGTTGTGCTTGTTCAAAAGCTCCGCCTCTTGTTTCTTGATAGCCTCAAACTTGCCTAGGATTTTTTTGGCAGCAGAGGGAACATTGCATGAAGCAGCTTCGGATTTGTTTGATTTACGCTCGCGTTCGAGCATTTTCAAATGAGCATCGACCTTCTTTAACTCTGCGTCTAGCTCAGTCTTAGTAGAAATCTTAGATATTTTGACGTCTTCCTCCTCTTCCTTGAGCTTTTTCGTTGTAGATTTGCGCTGCTCTGCCTGATACCGACGTTCCGACTCCTGCCGCTCAAAGGCCGAGATCATCCGCGCCTTTTTGGCTTGGATCATCGCCTCTTCATGCTCTTTGATACGTGACTTATCAAAGTCAGGTTCCTTCAGAATTAAGGCCCAATGTTTTGCAAATGGGTAGTCTTTGGGCGGGTAGTCCTTTTTCAAGTCAGCACCCTTGTGGAAGGTGAACAGTTTCTGTTGCTCCTTATAAATGTCGTACTTTAGGCCGTAGATCTTATCTTTTGTGCGGTCTAGGGATTTTCCGAGGTTAACATGGTTGACAGTTTTTTGATGGTTGCAAAGTATAGCCACTTGGCGGTTTGCTTCATTGTAAGCAATCCTAAGATTAGCTGGGTTGATTTCACGCTCTTGCGGAGTAGGACGCGTCGCAAGCCATTCTTCAGTGTGGTCGAGAAGGCCCTGGAATGTGGCAGAGGCATTGTAGGTACGGAACACCTTTGCACTTAGACCCTTCATGTATTTTCCAAGAAATTGATTGACAACATCAGGTGGCAACGGTGTCATCTTGTCGCCTCGCACCTTAGGCGCCGTAAAAATAGGGTCGTCTGGGCCCTTCTCCTGCAAAACGCCATTGACCTTGGACCCGTCAGTCTTTAAAAACATAGCAATGTTTTTGTAGACATCGACATTGTTAATCGTGAGGGTTTCTTCAAATTTCATAGAGTCTTTACCCAGGAAAGATAGATTGAGCCGGTTTGGTGGTACTAATGTAGCGTGCCCGCATCGGAGAGAGCATACGCCATAGGTCTCTGCTTCGTCCTCTCCCTTTTCGTTTCCAGCACGAAGTGAGAAGTTATCAATGAGCCACACAATCGTCGCAACCATGCGATCCACGCGGTCTTTCGATGTCAGATTCTTTAAAACGTCAGATCGGACCTGCTTAACACAAGCATCAAGTCGGCGTGCTTTCTCGAATTTCTCGCGGTCGGATTCGGTCTTGAAGTTACTCGAGGCATCTAGGAAGACGTACTTAAAGCTTCCGTTAATGTTTTCGCGCCAGAGGGCAAGCCAAGTAACATCTTTTCTCTCCACAACCTCGCCCCATTTGTGGCCTGAGGGAGGAGCAGGGGGTGGATGATCTGCGCTGTGATTTATGGTTATCTGTTCGGGGAGGATACGAGTCTTGACCCGACCAGCCTTGGGATGAGCACCCCGACCGAGGAAAAGACCTGGCGGCTCTACTGTGACATTCCCTGCTTTCTGAGGTGTGCCATCTACTAGGCACAATTTGTATTCGTTGTCAGCTTCCTTTCGTGCTGCCAGTTCCGCCTTTCGAGCAGATGGGGCCATGCTCTTTTTTCTCTCTGCTTCAGCTTCTTTGAGAGAGCGCCAGTAATTGAACATGTCGCGGAAATCCAATTTTTCAAACTTGCTAATTTTCGTTCCATCCTTAGGGGGATACCGCTTCAAATACTTCTGGAAATCTTCGAAGAAATTCTTGTTGAAGATCGGATTCGAAGCATGCTGTGTTTCGAGTTTGACGGCGTAAAACATAGCCACCTCTTCTGACTCAGGAGGTAGGGGAACGCTATGGCCTGCTTGTTAGACCTTAAGACACATACCATCATAGCGTAGCGTCACATCCTTAGGAAGAGGGGTGTAGGGCTCAGGAAATTTAGGACCCTTGTGAATGAGTGTGTTCCATCGCTGCTCTCCACCGCCTTCGATGTCAGCTTTAGATTGGCTTTGCTTGGGTTTCGAGCGAGAAGCTTGTTTTCGCTTTTTGCCCGACAGCGGCATGTCATCGTTTTCGTCGCTTTCTTCGTCACTTTCTTCGTCACTTTCCTCGTCTTCCGGTTCCTCCTCCTCTTCTGAGCTGTTTTCTTTAATATTATTCCTCCGCTGGATCTGCTTGCTCACAGGCACGTCAGAATCCGAGTCTTCGGCGGAAGTTTGCAATCTCAAAGGCATATCTTCGTCAGAATCTTCTTCCTCCTTGATATATTTGGAGCTATTTATCTGCTTCTTGGGACGCATGCTGGTTGACATGACGATCGTCCCCTCGCATACAAAGGACGCGCAGTTCCAACGCGTAAATGAACGGCTTGTCGGCTTGAAGGAAGCCCTTGCGCGCACCTCAACCGCGGAGCACGCGTCGGTCACGTGAGTGAGTTGGACAGGGTCGGCTCGTCTCCGTTCGCGCTTCCGTGCCACTGAACGGTAGCTACACTTTGTGCACGGTACGTTGAAATGGGTGTATTTGGTTCATCGTGCTAACATTTTGATGTGATTCATAACATGAAATGACTTGTGCTACTGGTCTATCTCTTGTGAATGACTATTTCCACAGAACAGGCGCATCCATTATGTCTCAGCTCTACCGTGACCCCTGGGCTAAGCGCGAGGCTTGGCGCAAGCACCCTATTTTCTCTCATGGCTTCTACTTCCGCCATATGTTCCCAGGCCTCACTCTGGGTGTGGGCGCGTTTGTGGTTTACTGCGCTTGGGAGAAGCTCGGCAAGAAGCCGTCCAGCCATGGTGGACATTAACTGGTGTATTAATGGGTGTAAGATGCAAAAGTGACTCGTCATGAGAGGAAAACTGTTGGTTTGATCTCCTATGGGGCCATTGTCGCTAAATGCTCGACCCTGACGATAGGTCTTTATCCATTGGTACGGGCGAAAAGTGCATGCATTATGCCCTTATCTCTCCTTGCTAATTTCCCCATGGTACTACATAGCTAGAAAAGATATCATACGACGTTATATTTCGCCGCGTTGCCGTGGCGATCGCGATGGGACCGTCTGAAAAGTAGAAACGATGAACGGGCCGTCTTGTGTAATTCCCAGTAATTCAGCAAGTCGCGATTGCCTGCATAAAAACCCTTTCATTTGATTTCTTGCTTCGCGCCCCACATTGGGCTGGACTTGCCGTCGACTGGGTTGATAGAGTGTTCGGTGTTGTACCAACACTCTGGACGTTCATGGCAGATGAAATAAAAGGAGGCATATCCGAGCCCCTAGCTGTAGGTTCAGCGGAAGCAAAGCCAAATATGGATTCTAAGATCGGGACCACGGCAGATGCTAAAGCTGCTGATATACAGACGCGCCCATCGCGTCGAAAAAAGGCGAGTCGCGCATGCTACCATTGCCAAAAAGCGCATTTAACCTGTGATGACTGTACGTGTAGATCCCTTCTCACATGCAGCGCGACCGTGTCAACGGTGTATTCGAAAGGGCCTCGCAGACCAGTGTGTCGATGGCTATCGCAAAAAGGCCAAGTATCTTCTGGAGGAAGATGAAATGCGTACGTACTTTGATACTAATGGTTGAGCATCCAAGATGCCCCACCCTCTCGCCCGTGACACGTCTGTACAACCTCATGATGTGTTTGGAAATGTACCGAATAAGGTGGCCGCGCGAGGACCAGCAAATGGTGGCTGTCCAGATCACACTACAGTTGCAACTCTGTATGAGCATGGATCATCAACAGGCTATCTTCGTCAAGAATCTGGTTCATTGGGTCGGTTATCTCATCCAGCCACCTCGCTGCCTCCTTCATTCGAGTCTAACTCCGCCTTGGGATTCGACTCTACCTCTTTGGAAAGCTCAATCCTAACGTCAATGTTGCACGACGTGGACAATGTCAAAATGAACAGTGACTCGCCTGATGTTCCTTCAGTACCGGCTATGGACCTGATGGATAGCTATACCCATGTCAACAATGTTCACTCGGGCGAAGACACGCTGGGAGCTTCTGGCTGGAGTGAACAGCAGTCGCCTTTGCAGTCAATGCTGGGCCAGTCCCCGGGTGAGTTTGGCACTATGCCTTCGTCATTTCCAGGTGGAGAGAACATGCGTGAGTCCTCCTTGCTCGGACATGCGGGCGTTGGTCCATCCTCCCTAGAGAAAGATCCAGTGATGGCGCCACCATTGCCTACGCAGGAAGCAGGCATCCGGCGCGGCCAAAGTGGACGGCCTGAGCAGGATCCGAACTCTGAGTCTGTGTGGAGGCAGCGTGTTGCGAAGGTATATCGCGATAAGACGGAACCTTTTCGGTACACCGAGGGGTACCACATTTTACTGAAGTATGCGACACAGAAGTATGACAAGGCTGATGTTTTGCGCATTGTGCGTGCTCTCGCTATATACCGCCCCTCTTTGATTGCCCTTCAGATGCCGCTGAGTGAAGAGGACGAAATCTTTGTGGAGCGTGCCTTTCAGCGCACGATTCTCGAGTTTGAAAAACTGATTTCTCTTTCAGGGACGCCCACTGTTGTTTGGCGTCGAACTTGTGAGATTTCTCTTGTGGGCACAGAATTTTGTATGCTTACCCAATGGTCCAAGGAGGATCTTATCGGCAAATACATCTATCAGTTTATGGACAAGGAGTCTGTGTTGAACTACTGGGAAATGTTCGCCAATCACGCCTTTGAGAACACATCCCAGTCAGTCATGACCAAGTGTGTGCTATTCTCTCCGTCTGGCAAATCTATTCCTTGTACTTGGTGCTTTACGATTAAGCGTGATCCATTTGAGCTACCAGGCTTTGTGGTAGGGAATTTTTTGCCGATTATGTAGCCGTGTACCTGTACGAACAATTGGCCCATTTTGTGGTTCCACTCGAGGACTACATCACGTGCAACAGTCGTGCTACTTGGGAATCTCATGCTCGGCCAAGAGCATGTTGGGAATACCATTACGAATAGGATACGTATGAGAACAGTTGGGGCAGACCATCTCTCCCTCCACAACATGTAGCTGGAGCATAAGTGCGCCTGAACGTACCTGTAAGAGGACATGATGCAATGCTTGGAGGAAGGCCTCATCCGGCTCCTGTTCCAGGAAGTTGGGGGGATCCATAGGAAGAGATGTGTCCCCCAGCTTCTGTTAGGACGAGAAAAGGAACGTACATCGCGCGCGGTCGATACAAAAGCGGGCCAGGCGAGTTTTGGCAAGAAGCCTTTCAGGAACGTATCGTTATATTCCGCCTCAATGAGCTCCAGCTGGACATTTTGAAGCTTGAGAGGGAAGTTATTCGACGATGAACCACAGCCCTTTGCGTGACAGGCAAGCAAGTTGTGAGTAAGAAGCCGCATGGACCAGCGCCTTTGCGTCGTCTGCTGCGGGCGACCACGACGTGCAGCTACGATGAGGAAATCCGCTTCGCCTCTGCCCAATGACTAAGCATCGGCCGAACCCCGGACACGGGCAACACGCGCTCGTGCCACTCACAAAGCGTGCCTGTGACCGAGCTATCCAGGCGTAAGCAGGCCGGTGCGGGGAACTGATTCCGATTTACTCCGATTTTGTGGGGTCAAGTGACAAATCGTGTCGATTCCCCATGTGGCGGACTGCAGCCTAGCCGTGCACGGGCATTATAGGGCCGGAGCTCCCCGGCTAACCAAACCAGATCGCCGACACTGGAGAGCAATTAGCGTATATATAGAGCAACGTCGAGTGGAGCTGTTCTTTGTTACTTACGTCTTACAATATGACATCGCCCGGCAATCATCATGATGAACTCCCCAACCACAACGAAGCTACTCCTCTCGTTGGCATGGATATTCGCATGTTCTCGGATGCAGGTTTCGATATGGACCGCGTGTCCCTGAAGCGCAACATGTCAGTGGCTGAGCTGTACGAAGAGGCTATCCGTAAGGAAGGTGCCGTGATCTCGTCCAGCGGTGCCCTGATCAACTTCTCCGGCAAAAAGACGGGCCGCAGTCCCAAGGACAAGCGTATCGTGTACGAGGAGACCTCGAAGGACCACATTTGGTGGGGTCCCGTGAACATCAAGCTTGATGAGCACACGTTCGAGATCAACCGCGAGCGCGCCATCGACTACCTGAACACGCGTGAGGACATTTACGTGTTTGATGGCTTTGCTGGCTGGGAACCCCGCTACCGCATTAAGGTCCGCGTTATTTGCGCTCGTGCCTACCACGCCCTGTTCATGCACAACATGTTGATCCGCCCCACACGTGAGGAGCTGGAGCACTTTGGTGAGCCCGACTTTATCATCTACAATGCTGGCCAGTTCCCTGCCAACCGTTTCACTACGGGTATGACTTCGTCGACGTCGGTGGAGATCAACTTCAAGCGTCGCGAGATGGTCATCCTGGGTACCGAGTACGCGGGTGAGATGAAGAAGGGTATCTTCTCGGTTATGCACTACCTGATGCCTGTCAAGTACGGCCAGCTGTCGCTGCACTCGTCGGCGAACCAGGGTGAGAAAGGCGATGTGTCGGTGTTCTTCGGTCTCTCGGGTACCGGCAAGACAACTCTATCAGCGGACCCCTCACGTATGCTGATTGGCGATGACGAGCACGTGTGGTCGGACCACGGTGTGTTCAACATCGAGGGTGGCTGCTACGCCAAGTGCATTGGCCTGAACGCCGAGAAGGAGCCGGAGATTTTCGAAGCCATTCGCTTTGGTTCCATCCTCGAGAACGTGACCTATGACAAGGACACGCGTGAACCCGACTACGACGACGCGTCCATTACGGAGAACACGCGCTGCGCCTACCCGATCCACTATATCCCTCACGCCAAGATTCCGTGCATTGCGGACGCACAGCCGTCGAACGTGATTATGCTCACCTGCGATGCGTTCGGTGTGCTACCGCCCGTGTCGAAGCTCACGTCGGAGCAGGCGCAGTACCACTTTATTGCCGGCTACACATCCAAGACTCCCGGCACGGAAGATGGTGTGGTGGAGCCATCGCCGACGTTCTCGACGTGCTACGGCCAGCCCTTCATTGTGCTGCCTCCCCAGCGCTACGCGACGATGCTGGCTGAGCGCATGAGCCATGTCAAGTGCAACGCGTGGCTGGTGAACACGGGCTGGACCGGCGGCAAGTTCGGTGTGGGTCGCCGCTGCCCGCTTAAGTACACGCGTGCAATTTTGGACGCGATCCACGACGGCTCGCTGGCTAACGCTGAGTTCGAGGTCTTTGCACCGGGTGTGTTTGACCTGCAGGTGCCGAAGGCCGTGAACCAAGTGCCGACAGAGCTTCTCGACCCCTCGAAGGCCTGGTCTGACAAGGCGGCGTTTGAGGCGGAGTTGAAGAAGCTCGCGGGTATGTTCTCGGACGCCTTTGTCAAGTATGAGAAGGAGGTGAAGCCGGAGGTGCTCCGGGCTGGCCCCAGCACCAAGCGTGCATGAATAATTAGACTGATAGTGTGTGTGGAATGATGACTTTGCATCAGAAGGGCGCCATTGGATGTTGTGGATTTATGCGACTATGTGCCCGAGCGCAGCCGCCACGCCGTCGCTAGATAGCGGTCATGTCATCGTTCGTCTCGTGGCTGCGCTCGCCTGCTGCGCGCGAGTACTTCTTTGTAGGTATTATGCGCTAACACAGTCCACACACTTTTGGGGTCCGGTGGCCAACTGGGGCTTGCCGCTTGCGGCCATCGCGGATCTGAAGAAAGATGAGACGCTGATCTCGTCCACCATGACGCCAACGCTGTTCCTCTACTCGTGTGTGTTTATGCGTTTTGCCATGCGTGTGCAGCCGCGCAATATGCTGTTGTTTGCATGCCACCTGACTAATGCCACTGCCCAGGGCGTGCAGGGCCTGCGCCTCTTGGTGCGTAGTAACAACTGACACAGCGCTATAAGTATGAGCACGGCGAGCTCGGTCCGCTCTCCAAGAAGACGGCGGCCACGTGAGGAATGAATGCTATAGAAACATATGGCTAGATTGGCGACGGCCGCGGCGCCGGCGCCGACAGCAAGACTTGTTCAGACGCATAGTGCGTGCCAGGGCCTGGCGGTGAACTGGGCCGGGCTGTGGCTGAGCGATCTCGCGAGCTCTTGCGGAAGCGGAACTTGGCCAATGCACTAGGCGCTTTTTGGAGGCTCCGCGAGCGCGATTCACGCGTACGGGGGCTGAGCGGCACAGGGCGCAGCTCGATCGGCTCTTCGGACAGGTCGCAGTACTCGTCAACGATCCCCGTCGGGGAGGCGATCTTGTCATCGTCGCCCTCCAACTCGCTTGTGCCCCAGATAGGCGGGAGATCGAGGCTGTATGCGGGTGCAGAGCGGTCCTCAGACGGTGGGCGAGCGCCCACATCGCCATCGAGCCCCATCGCGGATGGCGTGAAGCGGCGCTGACTCTTGGTCCGGCCGTTTTCAAGTATGGGAACGAGTGCATGCGTTTCGTCGTGTGCAGGAGATAGGCGCGGCCCACTGAATTCGGTATCGTCGTCGAGCGCCTCGCCATGGTGTCCATGTGGCTGTGTGGCGCCTTCGGTGAACTTGACATGGTGGTCCGCCTCAGGCGAGAACGACACCGGGCGGTCGTACAGCTGGTACCGCGGCATGTCGTGACCGAGTGCGTGGGTTGTTAGCGGCTCGAGCGAGGTGTCCGGGCGCGTCTGCTGTGATGCAGCGCGGCGCACCGTGCGCGCGCGCATGATGCTGCCGACGATGCCCATGCCGCCGCGGATCGTGTCGACGCCGGGGTCCTCGATCTGTATGAGATCGTGCTGCTTCTCGAGCTCTCGGCCCATTTCCATAACGCTCAGGAGCATGGACGACTTGCGATCCAGGCCCTGCTGTTGCTGCAGCTCTTCGGGGTCCATCTTGCTGAGCTGCAGGAGCGTGATGCCCGCACAGATCGTGAGGAAGCCAAAAACGATCGTGACGATCGCCACGGGGCTCGCGTGCAGTCCCTGGGACAGGATGACCGAGGTAATGATGGTGGCTGCAGTGAACAGGACATAGTACGTCGGCGTCACGGCCGCCGTGTTGAACAACTCGAGCGCCTTGTTCAGGTAGTTGATCTCGACAAGCAGCGTGACGACCACAAAGCCGAGCAGGAAGTAGGTGAACCAGTACGTGAACTGGTTGTACCCCCGGATCGACAGGATGATCGCCGAGCCGAGACCGGAGGTGACGCTCACACTAAGACCGCCAATCACGCTGCACACAGTGACGTACACGAGCATGTTCTTTTTTCCGTACCGCGGCGCAATGACAAATATGAGAACGAGCGCCGCCACAACACAGATGCCCAGCCAGGCGAGGAACCCCGGCGCAATAAACAGATGCTCGTACGAGTGGATGTTGCCGTCGATCTTTTGCTCCGGCGCGTTGATTGCGATGATCACTGAGCCGACAATGCACAAAAAGCACCCCACCTTGCCAAAGAGCGTGAGATGCTCCTTGAGAAAGATAGCGGAGAGCACCGCGCACACCACGACGGACAGTGCGCCCATCGGCGTCACAAGCACGGCGTCAGCAAACATGTACGCAACAAAGTTGAGCACCTCACCCAAGATCATGATGATCATGCCCGTCCACCACATCGGGCTCTTGAGGTACGCGTGCGCATCACCCGCCGTGACCGCATACTTTCGCTGCGCGGCGAGCAGGCCCTTTTTCTTAAACACAAAGGACGAGCCGATAAACAGCCCGCTCCCTACAGCAAGTGCCTGGAATTAGCAGCAAGTAACGCACCAGTCCCACATATTTAAAGCCAGGCGGATTGCTGTCCCCGCCGCTAGTGCTCATCGCCACGCAGGCACAGACAAGCAGGTTAGCCGCGCACCGCCTGTTTTGGGTCGACCTCCACTTGTCGCCCCGCGATCTGTCGCTCGCCATGGACGACGCCCCGCAGGCCTCGTCTGCACGGCGCGCCCCCCACGGCATCATTGATCAACATGTCGTTCAGCTCAAGAGCGAAGAGGACCGAATTACGAATGCGGTGTCGCCGTGGGAAAGTGGCGATGTAGACGAAGTGTCGCCAGCCACCACCCCGGTGCGCCGCGGGCTGAACCCACTTCATCTCTTCCGCCCAAACACTGGGCGTCGCGTGTCGGGACCGAGCGAAGGACGCAAATGGAACCCATTCCGCTCGTCGAACGAGGGTCGCAGCCGCAGCCGCAGCCGCAGCGATGTGGGGCGAGGGCTGCGCGGCACGCACCGCCGCTCGACCCACAGCCCCGTAGACGGCTGGAGTGTCGACAGCGATGCACGCCCACTGGGCCTTCTCGAGCCACTGAACGTGATACGCTCGCATGAATCGTCACACTCAGCGACGGGCTCCATACAGGGCATCCGCCTCGATACGAACTTGGACAATATTGACGACATTGTCGATACATCGCGCCTGATGCCGACCGAGAGCGTGGGGGGGGAGCGTCTCAGCACGGGCAACGTGTCTCTGCCCCCTGTGACGCCCCGCGTGCTCTCAGATGGAGCGCGCGCGAACCTGGCCGGGTCCGAATCCTCGTCACGCCGCGGCTCGGGCAGCGCTACACTCTCGCCGCGCCCGTCGTCGTCGCTGGATGGCCACTACTCGCCGGCTGGCTCGCTTCCAGGCTCTCTGGCGCTTCGCACGAGCCTGAGCCTTACTGAGGCGTCTACGGAAGAGCGTCGCTCCAGCAGTCCGCGCGCTGCGCCGCCCCTGCTGTTGCCCCAGATCGGCGCTGCGTCCGCGTCCAGCGCCTCGGGCTGGACCGCGCCGCCCAGCTGGGCCGTCCTAACCCAGGCAAGCGAGCAAGAGGCGATGAGAAATGTCGGCAGTGAGTACGCTGACGACGACGCCGAGCCGCCGCCGCCGCCCGCGCACTACGCCGGCGGCGACGCCGCACTCACCGACGACACGAGTGGCTCGTCCCTCCAGTCGAGCATCGTCATTTTCGAGCCGGAGCCCGACACGGTCAAGGTGCGCGCCGCGCCGCCGGTCTGCCACAAGTGCACCGTGTACCCCCTCAGTGAGTCGCGGCGCGCCGCGCGCCTCTTTTGGCGCACGAAGCACGACCATGCCCACGATCGTGAGGCACCGGATAGCGCCAAGAAGCCTACACTCGGCCGCCTCCGGCGCGCACCGAACCTCTTGACGCGGCTGGGACGGCCGAGTGCCGCGCGCGATGCAGCGGAGCCGCTGGAGCAGGCGGAGCCGCCACCTAGTACGGACGTGTCGCCGCCTTCACCGCTTGTGCTGCGCACGTCTGACATGGATATGTCCATGCTGCGTGGCCGGACCTTTCTGCGTGTGTACCAGCCGAACGATTCATACGTTCTTCTGTCGTGTGCGCCTGAAAGCACGGCAGCCGAGATGCTGTATGCGCTGGGGCGGCATGTGGCGATGGCCGATCCCCAAGGCTACCGCCTGTTCCTGTATGAGCGGGGGATGGACCGGCCGCTCACGGCGTCCGAGCGCCCCGCCCGCATTATCCGGCGGCGCCTTCTGCAGGCGGGCTACACCGAGGCGGACGACCTGGACGAGATGGGGCGGCAGGACCTGAGCTGCCTGCTGCGCTTCGTGTACCGCGCCGACCGCTTTCCCACACTGCCCGTCGAGCAGGAGCAGACATACAAGCACCTCAACCTGCAGGCGATGCATCTCACGCTCATTCCCGTGCCTGTGTATCGTATTGCGTCGTCCGTTGTGAGTCTGGACTTGTCTATGAACCCGCTCGCGGATCTGCCGCTCGACTTTGCACAGCAGCTCACGTCCCTGAGGATCCTGCGCTTGGCCTCGCTCGCACTTAAGCGCGTGCCTGCGAGTGTGTGCGCCATCTCGTCGCTCACGCAGATCGACGTGAGCTCAAATCGGCTGCTGGACCTGGACCACATCCCGCTCGATGAGCTGCCGCAGCTGCGCGTGGTACGTGCCACTAACAACCGGCTGTCCGCGCTGCCCGCGTACATGGCACCGATGGAGTTCCTTCAGTATGTGAATTTGTCGAACAACCGCTTCGACACGTTCCCCGACATTCTGTGTGCGATGCCGAACCTCGCGGACCTGGACCTGTCGTTCAATACGATCCGAACGCTGCCGTCCCACATCGGGCGCCTGTCCAAGCTCGTGCGTCTCGTCCTGTCAGGCAACCTGCTCAGCAGCCTGCCCGCCGAGATGAGCGGCCTCGTGTCGCTGCGTGTGCTTGATGTGCGGCACATGACGCTGCAGTCCATCAACGACCTGCCTGCACTGCCCAAACTCGAGCGTCTAATGGCGACGTACAACTGCCTCACTAGCATCGACAGTGCACTTGGTGCATCCCTCTCGCAGCTGGAGCTCGCACACAACCCGCTCAGCCGCGCAGCGCTCCAAGCACCTGCTGCGAGTGCCCTCACGCGCCTCGACCTTTCGCATGCGAGCCTCGTGACGCTTCCCGACAGCCTACTGAGCTCGGTGCCTGTGCTGACGCACCTGGTGCTCGATGACAACCAGCTCGGCGCGCTCCCGGCGCTGGAGGCGCTGACGCGCCTCAAGGTGCTGAGCTGCGCGGCGAATGCGCTTACGGGCGTGCCCGAGTCCATTGGCGTGCTCAGCGCGCTCGTGCGGCTGGACCTGCACAATAACAATGTGCGGGCGCTGCCCCCATCGCTTTGGGCGTGCAAGGCGCTGCGCGAGCTGAATGTGAGCTCCAACTTACTCGAGGGGATTCCTATTCCACCGGCCACAGAGGCGCCGCGCGAGCTTGCTTACCTGCATGCTGCCGACAACCGGCTCACCGAGGATGTGTTTGCCGTCCTGCCATCCCTGCCCCGTCTGGAGGTGCTGAATCTCTCCATGAACGAAATCTACGAGATACCGACAGGTGCACTGCGGGGCGTGCAGTTGCTGCGCGAGCTGTACTTGAGCGGCAACGCGCTGAGCGCACTACCCGCCGAGGACCTGGAGCATCTGACACAGCTGCACGTGCTGTTCCTCAATGGGAACCGGCTGCACTCGCTGCCTGCGGAGCTGGGGCGGCTGAAGCAGCTGCATGCCATCGACGCCGGCAACAACATACTCAAGTATAACATTGCCAACTGGAACTACGACTGGAACTGGAATGCGAACCCCGAGCTGCGCTACTTGAACCTGTCGGGCAACCAGCGCTTTGAGATCCGGCCGAAGCTCGCGGACGTCGACGGGCGCGAGCAGAACATTGCTGACTTCAACTGTCTGCACCACCTGCGCCTGCTCGGCCTCATGGAAGTCACCATGACGCACCAGCCACTCCCGGACGACAGCGACCACCGCCGCGTGCGTACGACGCTGGCGCAGGTCAACGATGTGCCGTACGCGATCGCCGACTCGATCGGGCGCCTCCATTCGTTCCACGTGTTTGATTTGGTCGTGCCGCAGTTCCGCGGCAAGGACGACGAGGCGCTGCTCGGCCTCATCGAGGGGCACTCGTCGTCCAGCGCGGCAGCCACGAGCATCAGCCGTTTTATTCGGCAGCACTGCGAGTCGACATTAGCCAACGAGCTCGCGCGCGTACCCTCGACGGCGACGGACGAGGGCGTCGCGACAGCGCTGCGGCGCACGTTCCTTCGCCTCAACCAGACGTATGCGGAGCATGTGCTACAAAAGCACGATACGTATGCGTCCGAGCGAATGCGCACTGATCCGTCCGCAGCCGCGCACCTCAACCTCTCCCAGGAGGTGTTCTGGGGCTGGGGCACCGCCTCGTCGTCGCCCGACACGCACTTGTGGCACGCGAGTGCCACGGCACTGTTTGCCTACCTGCGGGGGCGCACGCTGTACGTGGCCAACGTGGGCGAGTCGGTCGCTGTCCTCTCGCGTGCTGGTGTTAACATCAAGGTGCTCGGCACGAAGCACGACCCGCTCGACCACGAAGAGACCCAGCGCATCCGCGCAGCGGAGGGATGGGTCTCTCCCAATGGGCGCGTCAACGACAAGCTCGACGTGGCGCGCGCACTCGGCGCATACCACCTGACACCCGTGGTCACGGCCGCGCCGTCCATCGTGTGCATGCCCCTGCTCGAGATGGACGAGTTTGTGATTATTGCCAACGCCGAGCTGTGGCGCTACATTTCGTACCAGATGGCCGTCGACATTGCACGTATGGAGCGCGAGAGTCCACGCATTGCTGCGTCGCGCTTGCGCGACACGGCGATTGCCTATGGCGCGTCCAAACACGTCAGTGTCATGGTGCTCACCGTCGGCGCCCTCTTTGACGAGAATTTGAATGCGCACGTCCAAACTGCGCGCGCCGCGCAGAGCGGCCTCGGCCTCACAAAAAAGACGCGGCGGGGTCGCATGGACATGGACAGCACACTCGCACGGCTGGATCGCGAGGTGCTGCCGCCGATCGGGCAGGTGGCGCTCGTGTTCACCGACATCAAGAGCTCGACGCTATTGTGGGAGACGAATCCGAGCATGCAGGCCGCGATCCGCCTGCACAACCTGCTCCTGCGCCGTCAGCTACGAATCATTGGGGGCTACGAGGTCAAGACGGAAGGCGATGCGTTCATGGTGTCCTTCTCGTCCGTAGCCTCGGCCCTGCTGTGGTGCTTTACCGTGCAGATGCGTCTGCTCACCGTCGACTGGCCACAGGCGATCCTAGAGACGCCCACGACAAAGGTTGTGCATGCAGACGACGGCACACTGCTGTACCGCGGCCTGCGCGTGCGTATGGGCATCCACTGGGGCTGGCCTGTGTGCGAGGTCGACCCGGTGAACAACCGCATGGATTACTTTGGCCCGATGGTCAACCGCGCGGCGCGGATCAGTGCCGCAGCGGACGGCGGACAGATCCTCGTGAGCCAGGACGTTGTCGACGAGCTGGAGCGCCAATTCCAGCAGCACAGCAGCGAATCGGTGCCGAGCGAAGAGAGCAGCGAGGTGCCGAGCGCCGACGACCCGCAACGCAATGTGGTGCTCCTGCGGCGCCTTGGTCTAGGCATCATTGCGATGGGCGAGCGCCGTCTAAAAGGTATTGAATCCCCTGAGCGACTTTCGCTTGTATACCCCAAGAACCTGAGCGGGCGCTACATCCACCTCGCAGGGTCCCGCACGTCGAGCAGCTCGCTGCTCATGTTCGAGCCGACGCAGGCGCTGCTGGCGCTCGGGCAGATCAAACAGCTGGGCTACCTGTGCCTGCGTCTGGAGGCACTAACGAACCGACGGTGCTTCCCGGGCATATACCCCGCAGATCCGTTGTCGCGCATCGTGCACGAAGATATGCCTACGTCTAGGTCAGAGCCCGTGCCAAGCTCTGACCGCAGCCTCCTAGTGCAGCGGTTCGTCACGCGCATGCCTGAGCTGCTAGCCGTGGATGCGCGCGAGGACGCAACGGACGCGGAGCTCGTGCCGATTCTGAGCCAGCTCACCACGCGCATCCGCAATGCGGTGAATACCCTGACTGTGGAATATGTGCGCCAGACATTGGGCGGCCCCGAGGCGCAGCGTGCTCTGCAGATGCTGCTGACCGACCTCGACAGCCGGGCCGCCTCGCCCCTGTTCTCAGCGTCGGCCGTCGGTGGGTCGGTGGAGGAGTGACACCGTTTGATTGGTCCCATAGGCAATCCTATCATCGACGACCCAGACGCGTGCACGTGCGTCGCGGTCCGAGCCGACAGCACACGGCGCCGACCTCGCCCGCTTCTCTACCACCACTTTTGTCTCGTCGCCATGTCGTACATTCAGAACTTTGTCGGTGCCGCCTACCCCGTCCCCTCGATTATCGAAAAGGCTCCGCCCACGGGTGTTGACCTGTACTCGCGCTTCGCCCTCGCTGGTGCGCTGTGCTGCTGTATCACCCACGGTGCCATGACCCCCATTGATGTGGTCAAGACCCGTATCCAGCTGGAGCCCACTGTGTACAACAAGGGTATGATTGGCAGCTTCCGCCAGATTGTGGCGACTGAGGGTGCTGGTGCCCTGCTCACCGGTCTGGGCCCCACCGCCATGGGTTACTTCCTCCAGGGTGGTTTCAAGTTCGGTGGTTACGAGCTGTTCAAGAAGCTCATTGTCGACCAGCTCGGCATGAGCACTGCGCAGGACAACCGCATGAGCGTGTACCTGGCCGCCTCGGCCCTCGCCGAGTTCTTCGCGGACATTGCTCTGTGCCCGCTCGAGGCCACCCGTATCCGTCTCGTGTCGCAGCCCACGTTCGCGAACGGCCTCATCGGCGGCTTTGCCCGCATCGCCCGTGAGGAGGGTATCGGCGGCTTCTACGCCGGTTTCGGTCCGATCCTGTTCAAGCAGGTGCCTTACAACATGGCCAAGTTCGCTACCATGGAGATTGTCCTGGAGCGCCTGCTCAGCCTGTACGGCAAGGAGAAGTCGCAGCTCTCGTCGACCGAGGCCACCACCCTCAACCTCGGCTCGGGTCTGATTGCTGGTTTCGCTGCTGCGACCATCTCGCAGCCCGCTGACACCCTGCTGTCGAAGGTGAACAAGACCAAGGCCCTGCCCGGCGAGACTACGGGTGGTCGTCTGCTCAAGTTCGCCAAGGAGCTCGGCCCTGTCGGTCTCTTCACCGGTCTGACCACTCGTCTGGTCATGGTTGGTACTATGACTGCCTTCCAGTTCGGTATCTACGGCGAGATCAAGCACGCGCTCGGTGCGACCAACTCGGTCGAGATCGCCAAGCCTGTGATCAAGCACTAAGTAGACCTAAGATTTTTCTCTGCTCTCTCGGCCTTCGCTCAGCCACGTGCAGGTGGAGCGCGGCTGCGGTTCGATTGCGCCATCGCCTCGGCGTGCGCCGCCCGGACGTACCGATGCTCTTCTTCCGAAACCATGGTGAACCCCCCGCACGGTGGTGTGCTGAAGGATCTGCTTGCGCGTGATGCTCCCAAGGCGGCAGCCCTTGATGAGGAAGCAAACTCGCTCCCGGACCTCATTCTCAGCGAGGTAGGTGGATCGACGTGATTTACCCTGCCAGCGCCAACTGTGTGACTTGGAGCTGATCATCACCGGTGGCTTCTCGCCCCTGGAGGGCTTCATGGGTCAGGCCGACTACGAGGGCTGCTTGACCAACATGCGCCTTGCCGACGGCACCCTCTTCCCCATGCCCATCACCCTGGACGTGTCGAAGGAGCAGGTAAACACGCTTGGCCTGAAGGCCGGCTCGCGCATCGCCCTCCGCGATCCACGCGACGACAATGCAATCGCGATCCTGACTGTGTCGGATTTGCACGATGTCAACCGCTCCCGCGAGGCTGAGCTCGTGCTCGGCGCCGACGACAAGGCTCACCCGGCCGTGTCCTACCTGTACAACCACGTGAAGGACGTGTACGTCGGTGGTACCGTCGAGGCCATTCGCAAGCCACAGTACTACGACTACGTGGAGCTGCGCTTCACGCCCGCGGAACTGCGCCACCACTTTGAAAAGGTCGCGTGGCGCAAGGTGGTGGCGTTCCAGACCCGGAACCCGATGCACCGTGCGCACCGTGAGCTCACCGTGCGTGCTGCACGCCAGCTACAGGCCAACATTCTCATCCACCCTGTTGTCGGTATGACCAAGCCCGGCGATGTCGACCACTACACGCGCGTGCGCGTGTACTCTAGCCTAATGCCTCGCTACCCTAAGGGCATGGCGACCCTGGCGCTCCTGCCCCTGGCCATGCGCATGGCTGGTCCCCGTGAGGCCTTGTGGCATGCGATCATCCGCAAGAACTTTGGTGTTTCGCACTTTATCGTCGGTCGTGACCATGCGGGTCCGGGCAAGAACTCCAAGGGCCAGGACTTTTACGGCCCGTACGACGCCCAGGACCTCGTGCGCAAGCACACAGACGAGCTGGGCATTGAGATGGTGCCGTTCCAGCAGATGACGTATCTGCCCGACTCGGACGAGTACCAGCCCGTGGACGAGGTGCAGCCGGGTACCCGTACGCTGGACATTAGCGGTACGGAGCTCCGCAAGCGCCTGCGCACTGGTGCGCCGATTCCCGACTGGTTCAGCTACGACAGTGTTGTCAAGACGCTGCGCGAGAGCTACCCGCCGAAGACGAGCCAGGGCTTTACTCTGTTCCTCACCGGCCTGTTCAACTCGGGCAAGGACCAGATTGCCCGTGCCCTGCAGGTGAAGCTGCACGAGCAGGGTGGCCGCAGCGTGTCTCTGCTGCTGGGTGACACGGTGCGCTCGGAACTCTCGTCGGAGCTCGGCTTTTCGCCCGAGGACCGCCACACCAACATCCAGCGCATTGCGTTTGTAGCGAGTGAACTCACTCGTGCAGGTGCCGCTGTGATTGCTGCACCGATCGCGCCGTACGAGAAATCGCGTGCGATGGCGCGTGAGACGGTGCAGAAGCACGGTGGCTCGGGCAACTTTTTCCTCGTGCATGTCGCGACGCCGCTCGAGTACTGTGAGAAGACGGACCGCCGCGGCAACTATGCCAAGGCGCGCCGCGGTGAGATCAAGGGCTTCACGGGTGTCGACGACGTGTATGAGGAGCCGAAGGATGCGGACCTCAAGGTCGACCCATCGCAGCAGAGCATTGCGGAGATTACGCACTCAATTGTGCTCCTGCTTGAAGCGAACGGCCTGATCTAAGTAGACTACCATGCTATAGTTGGTCGCCTCAAAATGCTGAGGAACGATCGGCAACTTGCCAGAGTGGTCTAATGGGTGAGACTTGAACCACATATCGGGGCAATCTCATGGGCTCCGCCCGCACAGGTTCGAACCCTGTAGTTGTCGTTTTTTTTCTGCCTCCCTATGGCTCGGCCACAGACCCGTCCATCTCGTGGCTCTCTGCGAGTACATCGGCATCGTCAGCGAGGCCCACATCGTTCTCATCCACAGCCTGCCATTCGGCTGCGCTCACATCTGCCACAGGTTCTTCCGCCATCGACTCGTCCACAGCTGCATCCTCGTCCTCCGCGTCCTCGGGCTCAGCACCGCCCCCCTGGTCCTGAGCCACGTCCGCATGCATGCGCTCTTCCCGTTGTTTCATCGCCACGGAAAGAGGCACTGCTGCAGGCACAATCTCCCGTAGGAAATCTAAATATTCATTCTGGGCCACGGCTTTGGCTAGACACGTCAGCGCCTTTCCGTACTCACCCATATCGTCGTAACGCACCATCTTGCGCTTATCGAGCCGAGCATTTGTACATCCCTCTTCGGCAAACTTCTTGACAAACAATTCCTGCCATAAGAACCATGTACCTACGGTAGCCGCACTGATCAAAAAGGTCGCTTCCTTGCTGCAAATATCCACGGCACTGTCCGCCTTGCATCAGTCACAAGCCACATACCTTGATGATCTTTGATACGCGTGCAAGGGGGAAAAGAGTCGTTCCTTTCTGAGGGGGCTGCACGGGTCGCGACACTTTCCGCGTTCCACCCGGCACCGGGGCAGACGCCGGAGCCTCTGCCTCTGTATTTGTATTCTCAGGCACTTCGGAGGCAAGTGGATCTTCCATTCCGATAACTGGCTCTCTCTCCGGGGCAGCCTCGGGCACGGGCATCGGTTCCAAAGGCACCGGCGCGTCCATCGCCGTCGTTGCGCGTGACCAAAGAGCGCAACGCGAAATGCCACGAGGCGCGCGTACCCCGCTGGGCCTCCACTTTTCCAACACGCGGCGCACCACGACAAGCCATGGAGCACGAGCCAGGCGATGACGAGTCGCACCAGGCTGTGCTATGGGAGGTACGCCCGATGCCACCCACAATTGACCTACTACCATCATGACTCTGTGCTCTTTGCGATTGACTGTGGCCTCTCCATGCATCATGGAAGTGATGACGAGCTGGAGCCGCCCCTTCTGACAGCACTCCGCGCGGCCCTGCGCCTCATGGAGATCAAGCTTGTCAGTGCTCCCAAAGACCATGTGGGTATTCTGCTATGGAACACGGTATGTTCCCTCACTAATGCAGGCGGCCTCGCGCATGACGACCGAGACGAAGCATGGTTTCTGGCCCCACTCGGTCGAATACGCCCCTTTGCAGCAGGTCAATGTGCCCGCCACATTCCAGCTACGTCAGTGGATCCAATGTACGTCGGTTGCCTTCTTATTTCAGCACTGGAGAAGGATCCTCAGCACCTGCATGGTGACTTGTCGCCGGTAGCAGCGCAGATGCCCATGGAGCATGTCTTTGCGAATGCGCTGCGCCTGCTGACAGCCTCGGTCAAGGCCGGCACGCGCCGCGTATTTTTTGTCACTAACCAAGATGATCCACACCCGGGCAGCAAGAAGCCGCTCATGCAAAAAGCCTGCATCGACGCGATGAAGGTACGTGCTAGAGCCTGACAACAGGACTACTTTCGGCGCGGCATCGATCTGGAGCCGTTTTTCATGGGACGGTCTACACGGCCGTTTTCCATCAACACCTTTTATGCGGATATCCTAGGCGTGTACGATGATGGCCTTGTGGACGACGCCTTGCGTCCATGGCGCCTGCGGCAGCTGCAGGACCAGAACGGCAGCAAGCAGCGTGTATGGGACTCGGCGACCAAGTGGGCCGAGCTGGAGGCACAGATGGACGGGCGCGAGACGACCAAGCATGTTACGTTTGATCTGCTCCTAAGTCTGGGCCCTCTATCGAAGCCCAAAGTAGCCGACGATGACAAGCATCCCAAGCCCGCGGGGCAATCTGAGTGGCGGATTCAAGTCAAGGCCTACAGCCTCGTGTCGGAGACAACACGCGGGCTGCCCGTCCGCGTATCCTCTCACGGTAACGAAGACCCCAATGACCTATATGAAGTGGTGAGTGTCCAGCACATGCACCGTACCACGACGGGTGAGCTGGTCAAGCCCGAGGAGATGGATCATGTCTACATGCTGTGTGAAAGCGACTCGCCCGAGGCGCAGATTTCCTTTTCCAGCGAGGAGATCAAGGCACTGCGGCAGTTTGGGTGCCTGCCCGGCCTATCGCTCCTGGGCTTCAAGGACCGCACGACCGTGCACTTTTACGAGAATATCAAACACGCCTACTTCTTATACCCCTCGGACCTGGAACATCCCGGGAGCAAGCGCACATTCTCAGCGCTGCTTACATCCATGCTTTCGAAGAACAAGGTCGCTTTGTGCCTGTTCCTCCCACGCGAGAATGCCATTCCCCACTTTGCCGTCCTGCTACCGCAGGCCGAAGAGCTCGACTCGGAGGGCCGCCAGCGCGTCCCACCCGGCATGCATCTCATCACCATGCCCTACGCCGACGACATTCGCGAGCCCCCTCATGCATCGTCGCTGAGCGCAAACAGCGACGAAGTTGCTGCCGCAAGCAAAGTGATTGAAAGCTTCCACCGCCGAGACCCATTCAATCCGGATGTATTTCCCAATCCCGCGCTCCAATACCACTACGACATACTCATGGCGCACGCTTTCGGCCATGCTCCCCCTGCCTACAACGACACCATTTTGCCAGACTATGCCCTCATTGAGCGGGTGCGTATGCGCTACTTACCGCAGCGATCGGGGACTTCGATCCGTGCGTATAACGAGGTTCTACTGGCGGATCCACGCACGGCAGAGACACGGCACAGCGCCTTTGATGCGTCACTGGATGAGACGCTGCGGCGCATGCACCGTGAGCACATGCTTGATCGGGTAGGTGGCATCGGCTAACGTGCAGCTGGTAGTGCCCGAACTGCGACAGGCGTGCGAACATTACGGGCTGCCGAAGCATGGCCGCAAAGCAGATCTCATTTCTACGTTGACGGGTTACCTATCACTATCTACAAACGGATGCCAGGGAATAGGCCCTTGAACGACGCAGGATCGAGCGAGCTGTTCGGGTAGGGCAGCCATGGGCCACGGAAGTGCATGTGGCCGCCGTCCACTGCCTGCACAGTCAGTATTTCGCTATTACGTACTAAGACTTGGCCATTGATCCAATTGGCGGCATCACTGAAGAGGAACACGCACGTATTCGCAATGTCCGAGCGCTGTCCTATGCGCTGCAACGGAATGAACCCATTGACCATGTCCTCACTGCCCTTGGGCACAAGGCGCTCGGCGCCCTCGGTGCCCGCGATGAGGCCAGGCGCCACGCAGTTGCTGCGCACGCCCATAGGTCCCCACTCGACAGCAATCACGTTCGACAGCACATCGATACCGGCCTTGGCCGCTGACGGCGCAGCCTGCCAGGGCAGACCCGAGTAGTGCAGCGTTGCCGAGATGTGGATATACGAGCCGTGCGACTTTTTAATTTCCGAGGCCGTTGCACGCACCGTGTTGTAGGTACCCAGCAGATCAATCTCGATAACCGTGCGGAATGCATTCGACGACAGGCCCTCAAGCGGCGCCATAAAGTTGCCCGCCGCACCGCAAACGACCATATCGATCTTGCCGAACTTGGCGACCGTCTGTTTGACGACCTCCTCCATCATGTCAAACTTGCGTACATCTCCAGGTGTTGCGATCGCCTCAGAGCCAGTATCCCTCGACAATTTCGCAGCGGCTTCACGCAGGCGTTCGGCTTTGCGGCCCACAATGGCGGCCCTGGCACCAAGCTTCATCAGCGTCTCCGTGATACCATAGCATATACCAGAGCCACCACCTGTGACGAGCACCACCTTTCCTTTAAACAGATCCGGCTTGAATACGTCCGTCGCAGGCACAGCCTGGTGCTTGAAGCTCTCCGGCATAATGATGGCGGGCCGTGCGACATGTCTTACCCCACGCGCACCCCACGCGACCCCCGCCGAGCGTAGCCGGACCTCCACATATCCTACCACGTGATCTGTAGTTTTACACGTGACGAGAAGAAGGGCATGCTTCCCAACGCCCTCCTCCTCTCTCACCTACTTTGGTCTATCGATATGGTATGTGGGCAGTGTGCATGCTAACTCACTAGCCGTCGCAGAAGTCGTTCCGCACCAAGGTTAAGCTGGCCAAGGCTGCGCGCCAGAACCGGTATGTGTACCCACCTTACGCGTCAGCTCCATTCCCAACTGGTTCCGCATGAAGACCGACAACAAGATCCAGTACAACAAGAACCGCCGCCACTGGCGCCGCACGAAGCTCTCGATCTAAGGGCTTCTGTTGTCTCTGTATCGTCCTTCTTACTGTGCCCTTGGCACCTATGCCCACTGCCAGGATGATGACGCAGGGTATGGTTTCTAGCATACTTGCTTGACATACAAAAAAATATTGCTCTTCAGCTGGGTACAGGAATACGCAGCGGCGTGTGCAGCAGCGAGACTAAGGTTGTGTAGTCGCTTTCGTTGTCCGCCGTGAGCCATCCATGCCGAATGAAAAAGTCCATGAGGACTGTGTGTGTCAGACATGCCACGTACCAAGCGTGCAGTTGGGCTTGAATGTGCCTTCGAGCATTCGGTCGAGGACGGTCGCGCGGTCCAGCAGCTCGAACGACTCTGCCTCCCCGTCGGACGGCGCTAGCGTTACATCCGGCGGTAGGAGCAGGTCGTACACGTACTGCATTTCGGGCTGCCGCCAGCCATGGCTCGTCTTGTAGAAGTAGGTCAGCACGCCTGCCGCCTGAACGTGCTCGCGTACCAGGGGCGGCGGGAGGCCGGCCTCCTCCTCGCACTCGCGCACCACCGTGGCCAGAGGGCCATCGCCTGCGGTAATACCGCCGGCCACCGAGTTGTCGTAATAACCGGGCCATCTGCATGGTCAGCATGTGCCACGTACGTCGGCTTGGTGCTTGACCGTTTGGGCACCCAGATCCGGCCGTCAGGCGTGTAGGCCTGTGTCGTCAGTGACGGTATACGTACCGTGAGGTGCACACCAAATGTGGCCAGGCCAAAGAGTGCACACGCGGAGCGCTCAAGAGTAAAGGCTATGCGATTGCGGCGCTCACCCGGTCCATAGATCGCATACTGCTCGTTCCGCCAGCCTGGTTTCAGTGGCCGTTACGTACCGTCGAGTGGGTCTGGGAACAGACGGTGGTCGCGCATCCACGTCGCCACCTCATTCATCGCGCGCGTACGCTGCTCTACCGAACTGCATGCGTCCGCAAACGTCACTGCGCGCTGCGCCGGAAGAAGGACCAAGGGCCAATCTTGAGCAGCGCCATGCTCACGCAGCACCTCCCATACTGGGGCGGGAATAAAGCCAATCTGCACACCATCACACAGAAAGGCATACAAGCTCGCGTCCGCCCATGGATCGTCGTTCTGGCACGTATGTGCGACCTCCAGCAGGCACCTGTGTCGCGGCATATGAGTGGAGGTAGTGTCGCGTCGGCCGTTGATGGTGCGGCGCAGCGTCTCACGTGCCCAGCGCACTGTCCACCGTGCCACGATGTCGTTGACGCTGGCTTCTACGTACCCCCCCAACCCCACGAATGTTCGCGCTCAGAGCACAAAGCTCGGAGCGAGTCCTCAGGGCGATCGGGTCCTCTATACACAGGGACGCACGGTCGTGCTGCGCGACTTGCACAATGTTACCCGCTCTGTGCTGTACGCGCAGCACACACACCCAGTCACAGTGGCTCGTATGAGTCCGAGCGGCTTCTATGTCGCGAGTGGGGACGCCTCCGGTAAGGTACGCATTTGGGACATAGCTGGCACGGAGCAGTTCCTCAAGCTCGAAGTTGCTGCGCTCGGTGGGCGCATCCACGACCTTGTGTGGGACGGCGAGAGCAAGCGTGTGCTGGTGGTGGGCGAGGGCCGCGAGAAATACGCCCACGCCTTTCATGTCGACACAGGATCCAGTGTGGGCGAGCTCCACGGTCACAGCAAGCCAGTCAATGCGGTGGCAGTGCGAGCACAGCGCCCGTTCAAGGCCGTGACGGGCTCCGACGACGGCACGGTCCTCTTCTACACAGGCGTGCCCTTCAAGTATGCGCGCACACTGTCTACGCACTCGCGCTTTGTGCAGGACGTGGCGTATGCGCCTAACGGCGCGACATTTGCTTCGGCTGGCGCGGATGGCCGCCTGTTCCTGTACGATGGGACGAGCGGCGACGTCCAGGGCGAGTTCCACACAGGCCCCGCGCACCAGGGCACAATCTTTGCACTGGCCTACTCTCCGGACTCTGCGTGCATCGCGTCCGCGAGTGCCGATGGCACTGTGCGTGTATGGGACGTGGCACGCCGCACGCTCCTGAGCGAGTGGCGCTCTGACGAATCGGACAAGGTGGATGCGCAGCAGGTGGGCTTGGTGTGGACACGCGAGAACCTTCTTTCGCTTAGCTTTAGCGGCGTGCTAACCGTACTGAGTCCTGCTGAGACGATCCAAGTGGTCAGCACGCTGGTGGGTCCCTGCCTGGGCCTGACAAGCCTCGCCGCGTTGCCCGGCAGTGCGGCGACACTCGCCACGGCCTCTCACGATGGCCATGTGTACTTGTACGGCACCAGTGGAGTAGAGCGTGTGCCGCGGGAAGACCGCCTACCCGGTCTACTCGCCATAAGCGCTGGCCCCGATGCCAGTCTGGTCGTGGCCTCGCTGGAGGATGCGGTGCGCACCGTACAGGGCGCCAAGATAAGCGAGCCGACTCCTACAACGGGACAGCCGCGCGGCATGCATGTGGGCCCGATGCACACATACGTCTTAACGGAGCAGGGCGTAGACGTTGTCCGGCCAGGCGCCGCGCACCATACACTGGCGTCCCTGGGTATCACTGGCGCCACGGCCATTGCTGCCACGGGCGATGGGCGCCTCGTGGCACTCGGCACAGACACGGGGCCCGTACACCTCTTTGCTGTGCCAGATTCGGGTGCGTGGACGCACCAGGGCACACTGAACGGGGGCCGCAGTGCCATTTCTGCACTGGCGTTTTCGCCGGATGGCGCTCTGCTTGCCGTTGGCGAGGGCAACGGCAAGATTCTCGTGTACCATGTGTCTACGCAGGCACTTCATCTCTCTCATTGGGTCTTCCACACCGCGCGCGTTCATTCCATTGCGTGGTCCGCGGACAGCAAGTACGCTGTGAGCGCCTCTCTGTTCGTATCCTCGCTGCACTAACAATAGCGATACCCATGTCTATGTGTGGTCGGTCGAGCGGCCCATGAAGCACACAGCATACAAGAACGCGCACGCAAATGGCGCATATGGTGCTGTGTGGCTCGACGAGCGCACAATCGCTAGCGGCGGCGCCGACGGCGCCGTGCGACAGGTGCGTGCTCCGTACTTACGCAGTTCACGTGGGCGCCGGCCCTGCCGTAGCTCCCTAAGTAGCCGTGGAGGCTCACTCTCGGCCGAGACACGACGGATCTCGCTGAGCCGTACCCCACTCACGCCTCCTCCTTAGAGATGTCGCTGCCGGATATGCTGGGCGGCGCGTCCGAGTGTGGCCCTGTGAACCCCATGCAGCAGCTGGGAAAACGATTTGGCCAGGACCGTGGGGCTCAGTTCGATCAGCTGCGTTCAGCTGGCGATATGAGCGGAACGCGGCCCAGCGGCTTCCGTACGCGTCGTGGGGCGCCGGACGATCCCGCGTTCTTTTCGCGCGATACGGCGCCTGCGCCATTCCAGGTGCAGGAACTGCGTCAGGCGCTCCCACCTCTTGTCGCACAGCCCGCGTGGCAGGCGCCGCAGACATGGGAGCCATCGTTTGAGCACAGTCGGGCCTCGAGTGCGGCGCCGGCGTGGGCGCAAGACTTTATGCAGGCGGGTGCGATGCCTGCGCAGAGTGCCAAGGCAAGTCCCAGAACAATGAATGCGCCGCTGAGTGCGCCTGTAGGATCGGCCAAGACTGTGCCTGCCGCGCCTCTCACGCAGTTCCGGCGCCCCTTCCCGGCGATGCCGCCGCCCATGGTGGCGCATGCGCGTCCTCGGATGCAGGCGACAGCGCCGAGTGATGCGCTCGAGCATATGAGCCAGTCCGTGTGGGACTCGGCGTTCACGGCAGTGGACACGCAGGAACCTGCTGTGACGCAGGCCGAGCGCACGTCGGAGCTCGACCACATGAGCGCGGACGACCTAGCCGAGGCTGCTGGGCGTCTGCTGGAATCTGTGCAGCATGACCAGAGCGACAAATTCAAGCAGAGCGAGTTTCTTCGGCTCATGGAAAAGCTGCGTGACCGCCAGGCGGAGGTGCGTGGCTCGGACATTGTCGATAAAGGCAAAAGCAAGGCCGCGGAAGGCCCACCGTCGCAGGCGGACCTCGATACTATGCTGCGCCAGGCTTCGCCAATGCTGTCGCGTACGGGCCAGCCTCAGGTGGCGCATCCGCAAGCCCAAACGCAGCTGCAGGAATTCTGGATCGAGGAGGATGCAGCGCGCGAAAAGCCCCTGCACACACGCACGTTCGTGGGCGATGGCGGCGATGTTGCCGCGCGCATGCGTGAGGATGATGCGCTTATGGCGCAGGAACTGCGCGCGCAGGACAGTGACGATCTGATTGCACGTGAGTACAACAAATGGACGTCGATGGGCGCGAACGTGGGCGGCGCGCAAGCAGGCTGGGAAGAGGAGATGAATGCCAAGGACTTTGTCGGTCGCGCGTGGGACGGCACACAGGGCCGTGGTCGACTCAGTGCGCAAAATGGCGAATGGGAGAAACTACAGAACGACTGGGACGAATTCGAGTCGCTGGAAGACGGGATGCACCCCACCGTCGCGCAACGCGTGCAGGTACCATTCCCGTACCAGGCGCCGGAGTACCGCTTCCACGACGCGAACCCGTATGCGGACGCGCTGCACCGCTCTGCGCGGGCACCGACCGTGTTTGACTCGGTGCTGGAGCACGAGGCGGCCGTGCAAGCGGATCCGCGCGACGCCGCCAAGTGGTACTCGCTCGGCCTGCGGCAGCAGGAAAATGAGCGTGAAAAGCAGGCCATATCAGCGCTGCATATGGCCCTCAAGATCGATCCGAAACTGAAAGACGCATGGCTTGCCCTGGCGGTCAGCTATACCAACGAAAACGAGCGCGACGAGGCGCTCGAGGCGCTCGAGTGCTGGATCGACGTCAATGATACCTATCGCGGCATCGTGCATAAGTTCGGGCGCTCTCACGACCAGCAGACCAAGAGCCGGCACACCCAGCTGACGCAGATGCTCATGGCCATGGCCCGTGCGGGCGTCTCGGACGGCACCGCACCGATCGACGCGGACATCCAGGTAGCGCTGGGTGTGCTCTTCAACGCATCGGGCGAGTACGAAAAGGCTGTCGACTGCTTCTCGGCCGCGCTGAGCGTGCGTCCCGATGACTGGATTTTGTACAACCGCATTGGCGCGACGCTGAGCAACTCGGGACGCTCCGAAGAAAGTTTGCAGTACTACCACCAGGCCCTGTCGCTGCGCCCCGACTTTGCGCGCTGCCACTTTAACACGAGCATTTCGTGCCTGAATCTCAAGGTGCGTGATACAGACTGACCGCAGCAATACCAGGAGGCCGCCGAGCACGCCTTTACCGCTTTGCACTTGCAGCACGCGTCGCAAGACAGCGACCCTTCGGATACACAGAGCTCTAGCGTGTGGGAGATTCTGCGCGTATCACTCGAGCTGTACGTATGCACCACTTACCGCAGCATGCGCCGCCCTGATCTCGCGAGCCTCTGTGCGACGCGCGACGTGAATGCCATCCGGCTCGAGGACATCGTAGGCTCGTAGGATGCACGTGATCAATGTATGTGGCCTAAGCGCTCACGATCGCTCGACACGCCTCATGGACGTGTCGTCGCTCGCGCGGCAGGCCCTCAGCGAGTCGGGTCGCCCCGAGGAGGCGATCACCGTCAATCAGCGTGCACTGATTGACAAGGTATGTGTACCGTACTCATGTAGATCCTTGCGCGCTACTCGGCAGAGTTTACCGTATTCCGCGAGCTGCTCCAGAACGCCGACGACGCCGGCGCCACCGAATGCGAGCTCCGCTTCGCGACGAGTGCGACTGTCGCCCATGCACAGGAGCCGCCTCGGCCACGCACGACGGTGCCTGATACCAAGGCCCCGCTGACGCAGTGGACCTTTCGCAACAATGGCAAGCCCTTTAGTGGCGACGATTGGCACCGCTTACGCGTACGTATCAGCTACTAACGATAGCGCATCGCTGAAGGCAATCCTGATCCCGACCGCATCGGCGCATTTGGCGTGGGCTTCTACTCGCTCTTCAGCGTGTGTGAGGAGCCCATCGTACTCAGTGGCGACGAGCTGATGGGCTTTTTCTGGAAGGGCGACGCGCTCTTTACGCGCCGTGCGCCGGCACCACCTACGCCGCCGTCTGCGTCCGGCGCGCCATGGACCACCTTTCTTATGGCACTGCGCGAGCCGACGCCGTTCCCCGAATCGCCCCTGGCGCTCACCCAGTTCCTTATGACATCTCTTACATTCACGCACCACGTATGCAGCGTGGCCCTGTACCTTGACGATGTGCTGCTATGCTCCTTAGAAAAGAGCACGGGATCCACCATGGCACTTGCGCCGTCGCGCCATCTGAAGAGCACGAGCCCCGAGGGCATGCTACGTGCGCTCACCCTGCATACGAGTCCTTTGCGCCTGCACGCGCGTGTTGCGCGCCTCGTGCTGCGAGAGGCGGCAGCCGCCGCTGCGCAGGAGTCGTCATCCTTGCGCCAGACCATCGCGTCCGCCTTCTCCAAGACGGCCGGCGCAGGCGCGAGCATTGCTGGCATGCTCGCTGGGGCGTTTGGCCGGTCGAGCTCGCGGCCGAGCCCTGGCGTCCCCACCGAACCTGCTGTGGACGATGCTGCAGAGGTTGAAACAGTTCCCGCGACATTACTGCTCCGCCTCATGTCAGCCCAGCTGCAGGTGCACGTCGCCGGCGCCTTTGCGCGTGAGATTGAGCGGAGCACGAAAAAGTCCCTGCCCCGCGCCACGCCCCTGCACATGGTCTACATGGGTAAGGACGAGCTGGATGCCCTGGATGTGCCTACCGACTCGGCGACCATCGATGCTCACATCCGCGCCATCTTTGATGGTGTCATGCCCAAGCTCGACTCGCAAGGCCGCATCTTTATCGGTTTCCGCACGCACCAGACGACGGCCTTTGCGGGTCATATGGCCGCGCGCTTTATTCCAACCGTCGAGCGCGAGTCAATGGACTTTGTCGATCGGTACTGCGCCGCGTGGAACATGGAGCTGCTCGCTATGGGTGGCTATGTCGCGCGCGCTGTCTATGAGCATGAGATGCAGCGTCTCGGTGCCCAGTGGTCCGACAACCAGGACGTCCAGGCGGCCCTGCACGCCGGTGCTCTGCACACGATGCGCTTCTTCTCGTTCCACCGCTCGTCACCCTCAGCGCGTGTATCAAGCGCACTCGAGCAGGCCTTCTTCGCGTGCTGCCAGCGCCCATGCATCTCGCTCCTGTCGACCGAGGGCCTGCGCTCCTCCGAGGCGGTGCGCTTTCCCAGCGCCATGCTCGCCGACTTTTGCCGCGAGATCCCTGTCATACCTCCTGCCCACGTTGAAGGGGCTGACGTCTTTGTCTTGCAGCTCCGCCGGCGCTCACTCGTGCTGGATATTACGATGGACGACGTGTTTGCCGAGCTCGCGCGCCGTCCACTTGCGGCCGATGAGATGATCGCGTGTCTCCAGTGGTGGTGTCGCGTGGCGGAGCACCCTTCGTACGAGCCATCACTACTGCGCCAGCTCGTACGTGCCGCCGTCGTCACCACCGACGACGGCGTCCAAGCCCTGAGCGATGTGGAAACTGTGCTGCATACCGGCAAACTACCGCCCACTGTACCACTGCCCCCTACGTGTCTCGTTTATACCGTATCGCGGCCATTTTCACCCGCCGACTTGTGCCGCGTGTTTGGCTGGCGCGAGTTGTCCGTCGCTGCCTGGGTGCACTATATTGTCGAGCTCGATCGCTCGTCCGCTGCTGATGTGCGCGCCTCACATGGACTCACACAGAGCGCTGCCCAGGCCGAGACGGTGTTCAGCACGCTCGCCTGGGCTTGGGGCCACCTCCCCAAGCCACAGGCAACCGAGATTGTGCAGCTGCTGCGCCCTCTCGCCTGCATACCGACGCGCGCAGGCATGAAATGCCCCACAGAGGCGTACTTTGCGTCAGTCTCCCTGTTCCAGGACCTTCCTGTGGTGGCGTTCCCCACACTCACCGTTCGAGGCCCCCTCGAAAAGGTGCTCGAGGCCCTAGGTGTGCGCCGCCATGTTGAGATCCAGCTCATCTTCGATCGCCTCTTGGCCGCAGGCGACTGGTCGCACATGGACCTCGTTGCGTACCTCGCCAAGCAGCGCTCGCACCTCACCGCGCGTGAGATGGAGCGCCTCACAGAGACGCCCATCTTTCCTACCGAGAGCGACAGCGCGCGCCATAAGGCGTCGCAGCTATACGAGCCAAGCGACGCACTGCGACAGCTCCACGTCCCCATTCTGGCGTGGCCCGGTCGCACTTGGCGTGCATCGTCTGACGAGGCCAAGCTGCTCTGGGACCTGGGATTGCGCCGCCACCCACCCCTGTCGCTGCTGCTCGCGCGCGCGGCAGGCGAGCCGCTCCCAGCACCCGTGTCCGACGCGGATGCCCACGCTGTGCGCGCTTATGCGCTAACCTACCTCTTGCAGCACTTTGCCGTGTACCGCACAGTGTACTCGCTGGACGTCGCTGCGCCGTACGCATTTGTTCCGGCGCGCGATGGCGCGCTGTATGCGCCGACCCACGTGTACACTGATACCGCTGCGGCGTCGATGCACTTTCCCGTGGCCGACGTCGCGCCGCTGGACGCTGTCCAGTTGCAGCTCCCAGCACATCCCCGCGGGGCCGAGCTAGTGCAGCGGCTCTCGAATGCGCCTCCGTCTGCCGACGATGCGCGCGCTATCTTCGGTTTCCTGAGCGGTGTGCGGACCCTTTCGGCCAGTGAGCTCGAGCAGCTGTCGCGCACGCCGTTTGTGCCTGTATCACAGCAGAAGCGGCATGCGGCACCGTGTGAATGCTACTTCGTCGGCACGTCGCATGCGCCGCCCGAGTACCAGGCTGTCTTTGCGTATGTGGACTTTGGGACGACGGCCAATGCCTTTTTGCGCGCGTGCGGTGTCCGGGACGAGCCGAGTGTGCCTGACGTCGTTCACAAGGTCCTCGCGGACCCTCGGCGCTTTTACGAGCTGTGCCGGCGCCCCGATACCTATGTGGACATGCTGCGCCGCATTGCGCAACACCTGCATGAACTTCCCTCTGCGCTGGTATCGACGATGAAGTCGGCGCCCTTCCTACTTGGCCTCCAGTCAACATCGCGCGGCGACGAGGCCCCTACCGAGACGCATGCACTTCGGTGCGCGCGGGACTTGGTGATTGTCGACGATGCACATGCGCACATGCTCTTTGGAGAGCATATTTTTGCAGCACCACACGACGAGGCACTCGAGCCACTGTACGCCAAGCTTGGCGCGCCGTACCTGAGCCAGCTTGTGCGTGAGTCATTTGCGGTGGCCGGCCGCCTCCAATCTGATACGCCGCGCACCCGCATGGTGCACGACACGCTGCTAGAGCGCACGCCTTTGTTCCTATTCCAGCAAAAAGAAGTCGTGCGGGATCTCGACTGGCTGCGCAGGGCACTCGTCGTGGTCGAGGTCGGCCCGCCTGGTCTTCAGCAGACGCGCGTGCTTCAGCACCAGGGCCAGACATTCAAGGATGTCCAGCGGTGCTCGGCCATGGCGCAGACCCAGGGGTCGCAGTGGGTACTGCATGTGGCACAGGACATGGACATTGACTGGTTCGAGGTCGCACTCGCACTGTCCAAGGCTATGCTCGCTAAGCAGCCACTGCAGGAAGTCCTGCTCTTCATGACCGTCTTGTCGTCGCCCCTCAAGAGTCTCAAGCGCAAAGGGTTCCATGTGGACAAAATTCTCGCACAGCAGCGCCCCTCGCAGACTCCTACTGCGCCGCCGCCCCTCGTCGCCAGTGAGCCTGCATGGGACAGCTGGCAGAAGCAGCTGCTCCAGATGTTCCCGGACGCACAGCCCGCGTATGTCGATCGGCTGCTTCGCTCGTTCCAGGATGCTCATATGCAGCGTGCCAGTGAGGCCATGCTGTCGCAGGGGTACCCGAAGGTGGCTCCCCCCCCGCCAAGCAAGCCTGTACCAGATGTGCCGCCCAAGGCCATCGCCCCTGCCAAGCCTGACGCGCCTGCGGGACCGCCGCCCCTGCCGCCCAACCCTGGCCCGCTGGGCGGCTCACTCTTGCAGCAGTGGAAAGCCCGCTTCACTGGCCGGCCGGCCGCTGCGCCGCCCGTGCGCCCAGCATCGGACGGTGCGTACGTGGCACCCACAGCCGATATCCAGCGGCATGTGCAGCGTGCGATCGAGGCGTCACGGCCGGACTCCTCGTCCGTCATCCAGTCGCAATCCTCGAAGCAGGTGCATGAAGCCGCGACGTCATACTGCGATGTATCAGGACTCGACCTTGACTTATGCCTGGCTGGAAAAGTGCATGAGATGCAGGTGTTTGTGAGCCGCGACTTGACTTCAGCGTCCGTGCTGACGCAATACGCCGGTGCGCTGGAGCGCCTCATCCACCATGTGTACCGCCCTATTGGCGCCATCTTTGGTATTGATCCGCGGTGCCTCAATGTATTTTGCGATACGAAGGGCCCCTCAATCGCATTCAACCGGGGTGGCACGATTTTCCTGAATTTGCGCTACTACCTGGCCTGGCACGACGCTGATGTACAGGCAGGGCGCCTCGCCCCGGCCCTCGTCTCAGTGTATTTCAGCGTGGCGCATGAACTCGCCCACAATCTCGTCGCCGCGCACAATGCCGAGCACGAGTTTTACTTCTCCAGCGTCGCGGAGCAGTATTTCCTAGCACTGGCCCAATATATAGCCACGGTGAGTGGAGGGTAGCTTTGTCATGGCGACAGCGGCGTTCAGCACGGCGGATGAGGCCATCCTCGAGCACAGGGTCGAGCTCGACCCGGCGGCCGTGGAAGCTACGGCCGCCGCATCAGGGAGCCAGGTAACTGAGCTGTACGACATCCCTGCTACGGCGGAGCGCCTCGTGTTCCAGCCCGGCACTCGCACGCCACTCGCGCGGCCGTTCGAGCGCGTAGCCCTCCAATTCCCCGATGAAGGCCTCATTGACGCCGTGCCCGTGTTTCATGCACTGAGCGAGGCATTACATGCCCTAACGTCGACACCTCCCTCGCTCTATATCCTCGCTGACACCAGCTACGGCAGCTGCTGTGTGGATGAAGTGGCAGCTGCGCATGTGCAGGCCGATGCCATCGTGCACTACGGCCATGCGTGTATGAGCCCGTACGTAAGAGACCCTAACACCAGAACCGCACGGCTTCCTGCTCTTTACGTATTTCCCAAGCGTCCGCTCGATGTCCAGGCCGCCGTGGCCGGTCTGTGCGACGCGGCGAGGCATCTGGATATGCGCGATCGCCGAGTGGTCGTCCTCACGTACGACGTTGCATATGCGCACGCTATCGAGGCTGTCTATACGCGCCTGCAAAGCGAGTGGGAGCACACGATTCCCCTGGTGCTCTCGCGCATCGAATGCGGCCTCAACTTCGACACACGGGTCGCTGCGCATCACCCGAGCGACAAGCCCTGCGGAACGTGTGCGTCATGCGACTGTGCATCGCATCCGCGGCCATCTGTCCGGGACATACCCCTGGATGCGTCATCGTCGTCGCTTCTCGGAGCCCGACATGTCCCATGGCCCCCCGGCACGGACCTCGCGTCGTCAGCCGTTCTGTACCTGGGCGGCGAGTCGCGCGCCCTCACGCACCTGCTCCTAATGCTCGGCCCCGCACATCCTGCGTCATCGTACGATCCCGTGCGGCAACGAGCGCGCTTGGAAACGGGACAGACGAACCGCCTTCTTATGCGGCGCTACGCCACGATCCAAAAGGCGCGCGATGCGTCGGTCGTTGGCCTCGTGATTGGCACACTGGGCATTCACTCGTACCTGCCTCTGCTACAGCAGCTACGGCACATGCTTACCTCTCCCGTGTCCCGGCGCAAAGTGTACACCATCAGCGTCGGCAAGCTGAACCCCGCCAAACTCGCAAATTTTCAGGAAATTGATGCGTTCGTGCTTCTGGCATGCGCAGAAAACTCACTGCTGGATACGCGCGAGTTTATGCGGCCCGTCGTCACGCCATGGGAAATGATCCTCGCTGTGCAGGCCCGCGGCGGCAACGAAGTCACATGGACCGGCGCGTACGAGCTCGATTTCGCCAAGGTTCTTCGAGATACCAAGTCCATGAACATAAATGCACCCACCGACGACGACGACCAGCCACACTACTCGTTCGCTACCGGCACCTACGTATCACGCACGCGCTACGGCGAGGATCCCGAGGCGCAAGACACCCAAGGAAGCACGAGCCGAGCACTAGAAAAGCTCTCGATCCAGCCCCATGAGCTGGCAGTCCGTGATCCCACGTCCGGTCAGCTCACGAAGGTGCTCGATAGCGCCGCCCTCGCACGCCGCGGGGAGCGCACGTGGCACGGTCTCGATCCCAACGAAGGACAGGCACATGCTGCCACCCTCGAGCAGGGCCTCGAAGGCTTTGCGCAGTCGTACCGCGCCGCGGACGGCACACGCGAAGGAGATAGCCTCTCGTCCTGGTAGTGAACGGCCGGCTGGCCACCCCCTGCAGGGGGCTGACTAAATTTCCACGCGCGAGGCACGCGTCGCGCGGCGCGTGGACGCCCAGTCCTGCCGCTCGCGTCCAGGTCCATGCCGCCGGTCGTGTACGGACGGCCGCGGGATCCCATCGATCCCCACCCGGCTGGGCACGACGAGACATCGCTTGAGAGTAGCTCACCATCGTTCCAGCTCGTGTCACCTTCTATGTACGCACAGGGCAAATCCGTCGCCCACGGCGCTACAGCCACGGACGACACGAGCTACGAAACGAGCGTGGCCTCCATGCCCCCTATGCCCAAGACACACACTCTCGAGACGGATGTTGAGTCCGAATCGGATACAGAGGCGCCTGCTGCGTCGCTGACGCTGGCTGCGCGAATGCAGAAAAAGTCCAAGGCGCCTCGCGCCACGCCCCTTTTTCTGTTTTCGGACGACGACGAGCCTACCACGACCGCATCGCCGCCCAAGGATGCGCGTCAGGCACGCATGGCACGTCTGCGCGAGTTGGCACAGCATCGTGCTACGGCTGCCAGCTCCGACGACGAGGAACCTGGACCAGATGCTCTGCGTGCCTCTTCCGCCGGGCTAGGGCCCGCTCCCGAACCTCCCGCGCCGCCTGCGCCCCTGGAAGACGTGGAAAGCGACGTGTCGGAGGGTCTAGAGGCCCTACCCCCTGCGCCTGGTTCACGATCGCGCGGTCTTTCGAAGAAAGAGGAGCGTGAAATGCACAGTATGACGGCGCGTCTACGCCGCGAAAACCGTACGAGCCTCCCGGCGGTCGAACCGAAGCGGTACCAGCTTTCGGAGCTGCTCAGTACGATCCAGCACGCTGCAGCCGCCTCGCCGGCCCACCATGCGATGCACTCGAGCGATCCTGTCGAGATGTCATCCACGCCCGATGCCAAGCCCGCTCCGCCCGCCCAGCTGCCACTGCGGTCGCCGCCAGCGAAGGATGCACACACACGCGCCAAGTGGGCCTGGGTCGAGCAGCAGAAACGGTCGGCGCCCCACCGCGACGAGCATGACAGTGCGAGTGATGATGACCTTGAGGTCGTGGCTCTGGGTCCCGCCAGATCACCACGTGTGCGATTCCGTTCCTCCCCGCCGCCTGACACAAGCCGTGCCGCGGCTGATGCGGCCATGGCCCAGCTAGCCGTGCATCCACGTACGCCCCGGCGTCAGCGCATCTCGACGAACGAGTACCGCTCCCCTCACGCGCAAGCGCCGTCCATGCCGCCCGTCTCGGACGAGCAGATGAACGCCGCCGGGCACGCATTTGCCCTTGCCGCTCACAAGATCGCTGGCACATTGCCACCCACATCGCCCGCGCGGGTCGACCCCACGAGCCCCCCGCGCCGGACACACGCGCCGCCGGTCTTGGGCCTGGACGCACTTAATGCTACCCTACTCGAAAAGGTGCACGCACAAAATGCCCAGCTGCATGCCCAGAAGCACCATCATACCCTCGCCCCCACGCCTGCTCCCGAGCCTCGACCTCCCTCCCCTGATCCAGCTGCGCTGCCTGCGCGCGCGCCAACGCCCAGTCCTGTGCCAAGTGACGCGAGCAGCCCACACAGTACGCACAGCTCCGAGAAGGAAAACATCCCGCCTTCGCGCGATGCATCACCTGCAGCACCGCAGCTGAGCCATGCATCGACGCCAAGCCTCTCCGGGTCTTTACATGCGCCGCTGACGGAACTGCCGGCACCTGACCTCGGTGCCTTTTTTGCACCGACACCTGCTGTTGATGCAGGCCCGGGCCCTGCGCTGACATCCGGCAGTCCTCTCTCGCGCACCCAGTCGAACCACTCTGTACTAGCACAATTCTTCGAGGATGGAACGCAGGAGCCCGTGCGAAGTGGGTCCCTGGACATTTTCGCGAATAATCGGCGCTCTGGGCCAGTTGGCGGCATGACTCAATTCTTTGACGCGACGCCAGTCGGTGCCGCGTCACACAGTCAGGAAGCGATGCCACCCCCGACACGTGCGCCGAGTGGTGATGCCTTTGCGGCTCTGCGGCGTGCCGAGCAGGCGGATGCCCAGGCTCCACCGTCACCCGATGTGCTGCCCTCGCTGCATCCCTCCATGGTCGGATCTTTCGAAGAGCCGTCGCGCGAGGCGCATGGAACAGACGGCATGGTGTACTTGAACGAAGATGGCTTTTTTACGCAGACCAAGCCGGCCGAACCTGCTTGGCCAGCTTCGGCGCCCAGCAACGACTCGGCGTCGGAGGCCGACGAGCCTCATGTCGTGGCAACGGAACGAGTCCGCTCTCGCCACCGACCGACCTCGGCGTTTGTGTATGGTGAGGCGGAAGAGTCCGATGAGGAGGCACGGGACGGCGGACATGGTGGTCTTGCGGGTGTCTTTAGCGATCAGGGATCGGACAGCGACGATGAGGGCGATCAGGACTCGGACGCGGATGGCGACTTGTCGAGTCTCCTCGACGACGAGAGTGATGAGGACGCCGATGTGAAGGACGAGGCGGCGCGTCAGCGGTACCTGCAGCATCGCGATGAGGACGATGCTGCAATGCAAGCCCTCCATGAACGCGCGACCAAGGGTCTCTTGCGACACCGCCGGCGTGGCAAAAACGATTTACTGGCAGAGCTACTCGACGAAGATGCTGATGAAGATGAACTCCGCCGCCGGCTGCAAGCGCCGCAGTTCCGAAAGAGCCAACGACGCCAAGTCGAGGGCGACGGCCTCGATGCTCTGGCTGCGCGCGACGATGCGCAGGCCTTTGTGCGCATGTACTCAGAGACGCACGACGCTACGGATGAGCATGCCAAATACGACTTTTTGGACGTGGGCGATGAAAGCTCCGAGGACGAGCGCGTATCTGCACATACTGTGCGCGCAGAGATTCTGCGCCGACAGAGTGAACGTGCACTCTCGCCAGCAGCGTCCGAACCGTCGCTGGACGACGACGATGACACTGGTCACATTAAATTGAGGGCGCGTCGTCCGTCGGTGCCGCCCAAGCGCGCCGCGCAGAATTCAGACGACGAGACATCACATGTATGTATGCTACATACTCACCTGGCAGTACTCTCGTGTCCTTTTCCAGTCGGGCAAGGTAGACGTGGCACAACTGCCGCGCGATGTCCAAGAAAAGCGCGCGCGCCTCTTGGACGAATACAGTCACGAACCCACCTGGCAGCAGGGGCGCGGCGGCCGCAGCGGAATCGATCGTCGGCGCAGCGGACCCAGCAAGCGCTCCACCTCAGCACCCACACCTCGCGTGCTCGAGCCAGTGACCTCGGCGCCGTCCGTCCTCGTGCCGCATGTGCTGCGACGCGAGGCGCACTTCCCATAGACGCTCGAATACCCATCACGTGATGCAACTACGCGTGCCGTGTGGAGTGTTGGTGTGCGGCGTGTTGCTATTGCCCACCCGGCATGGACGTCCGCGGTGGGATGCAGCCGCCCCAAACGCCTGTGCGGCCTGCCGCCGGTTTGTCCTACACACCCGCCCGTGTTTTGAACCGCAAATGTGAAACACCAGGGTCTCGATTGCCTGTTCTCAAGACGCCTGCCAGTGGTACGTGTCCTCTCACTCATCAATCGCAGCGCGCAGCAGCCGTCCTAGCACGTCACGAGTTCTGTGCGAGACGAATTTGGAGAATGTTGCACCTTCGACGCAGAAGAATGAGACTGGCGTGCTGCCACGCCACAAAACGGTTGACGAGGTCGCCAAGGTAGCAGAGGCGCGTCTCAAAGACCTCCTCCAGGACAAATACATGCTACTCAATGAGCGAGAAGACCTCAAAACGGAGATCCGTACGTATGAACAACTAAAACAGAATTGGGACGCCAGCGAGAACGTAAACTCAAGTCTCAGGTATGCCAAACGCACTAACAAGAGGTCGATAAGCTTGAGAGTATGATTGCTCGCTACAAGGAGCGAGCCTCGCAGCACCAGCACTTTGACGAGGAGCATGCCATTCTCCAGCGTGACAAGGATACCATGGAAGAGGAGCTGCATATTGCGCGCGAGCAGGCGGCCCTCGACGCAGCCAAATGTACACAACTAGAGTCCGCGCTGGACGACTTGCATGAATACTATGTGTCCGCATCTAATGCTGCTAGCGCTCATGCAGACCATATGTGGCAATACCTGACATATATGCATGCGAAACATACAGAGGATAAAGCAGCCATGCGTCAGACCCAACAGGCATTGCAGCAGCAAGTTGCACAATTGCAGCAACATATTATGGTGCTGGAGGCTGACGCATGTAACACATCGGATCTCGTGGAACAACAGCGCACGCACATATCTACGCTCATGCTGGAGCGGTCCCAGCTTGACCAGGCATTGCAGCAGGCCGAGCATCATACCCTTGTGCAATCAACTGCCGATACGGACGACGGTGCCGAGCACGACGCATATATTCGTACTGAACTGCAGGAACAGTGTGACTTATTATCTGTGGATGCCATGATCTCTAGCATTGACGCGGTATGCTCTCGGAGCCTGTGGGAATCTGAGCAAGAGCGCTCCGAGTGGCTCACATCACTTTTACATGAGACAGAAGCTGTGCATCACCATATGCTTCAAGTACTTAAGAGCGAGCGTGTCAAACATGCAGAAGACTTGGAAGCTGGAAAAGAGCTTGCTTCGGCCCAAGAACGGATTTCCACGCTACTACAAGTGAATGCAGAGCTTTCCGACGAGCTGGATCGCATTGCTTGGTATGAGGACGCCTACCAAGCACGGACGCAGCAAGCTAATTTGCTAAAAGAACTGGCCAAAGTGAATGAAGAGCATGAAGAGCAAATGAAGGGTCTTCAGACACTGCATGCACATGAAGAAAAGGAGAGCGAATTAGAAGGTCTAAGCACGCGCCTTGAACTTTTGTACAAGGAAGAACGCGATTTGCAGCAACGCCGCAACGCCTTGGCATGGCATGCTCAAAAATTGGGCGAGTTTATTACCAAGCAAAGTGAAACTGCGCAAGAGCCACGTAGGCGCGTGTCTGATACGGCTTTTGTTCGTGCCAAGCGGGCCACCTACGCACACAGTAAATCGCCTAGCTAGCTATATAAGTACCTTAAGCGTGATACTAGGCCCGGTGATATATCATACACGTCATTGCTGAGTGGTCCACAAACGTCACTCATCTCTGCGATGGAGAGATGTTCTAGTGGATGGGGACCGGGTTCGTTCAAGGGCTGGGTATAAAGCACGGCGCGGCTGTCTGTGGTTAGGCAGTGGACACGGACCTGTGACAAGCTCGACCGAGTCGAGAGAAGGAGTCCGAAACAAGTTAAGCGAGAAAAAACCCACGTAAATGAAAAAGCAAAGCATGATGCTCCAAGCAGGTAGTAAGTAGGCCCAGTCCCTTCGGTCAGCTTATGGCTTGTGCTTACCGATTAGGAAACCACTCAATGCCTGCAGCCCATAGGAGCCATTCAGGACTTAATGCCCAAGCAGACCAAATCACCCATAGAACCAAGGCAAATGTCGCCAAGGAAAACCCATAGGCCTCAGTAATGGGATTACTATGTCGATAGAGAGGAGGCGAGGCGGCACTGGCGCTCATAAGGTCATGGAAGTGGAGGTAAGGTGCGGAGGTCCCCTGGCGGCAGGAGGATCGAGAGTTGTGTGACACCTGCCATGACATCCCATTTTCTAGATCGCATACGAATGCATGACCAAAACCGCCAAAATCAGCATCAGGAAAACGACTGTCTATTCTGTCTAATAGTGGCTCGAAAACAGTCCGCATTTATTGTGGCAGAGACTAACGAGTACATGGCATTTCTCGATACTCTACCTATCCGAACAGGTATGTTTCATGTGGTTACATGACGCAGGACATACTCTGGTCATACCCAAATCCCATGTCGCGCGCCTATCTGACCTGAGCCCTACCCAGGGGGCTGCCCTGGCAAAAGGACTCACAGATGTGGCCCGTGCTATGGAGAAAGGTACGGTATTTCCTCCTACTAATCTAAGCTTTCCAAATCACAGGACTTCAAGTGGCCTCGAATCAAGTCTATGCACAAACTGTGGACCATGTATGTTGCTTTTTGCTGATATCCAGGTTCATTTCCACATTGTACCTGCTCCGCTTGACAAGTCTGAACCCTCTGTTTTGTCCAAGTGGGCATCATCGTCACAGCTAAGCCTCCTGGGCCGTCGCGATGAGCTCTGTGATGACGAAGGGGAACAGTTATCTTCGATAATGCGTAAATACCTTCCTAATGCGAAGCTATAGGGGCGACAAAAAGTTGCGACAAGGGAGGTTCGAACTCCCGTCCTCACCTACTTCCACTCGAACCGAGCGCCAAGGCCATGGGAAGGTGAGATCCTAAACCACTAGACGATTGCCGCCGAAATCGTTCGGTAACATGGAATGGTTCGCCATGAAGTCCATGAACTGATCCTAGATCTCACTTCGTATTCTCATTCCGCTATGAAGTTTTCGAGAGCATTACTTGCGTGGAGTGACTACGTAAATACAACAATTTTGTGATTTGTCCGACCAGCTCGCATGACGATAAATCTGCCGTCAAGCAATTGAGAATCATGCAGCTGCGCGTTTACTTCTTTCACAGGGGTATTGTTAAGATAGAGCCCCCCACCCTGTTGAACCAAGCGTCGCGCTTCGCCTAATGTTAGACAAGCATACGTACTTCGTGATGCAACAAGCTTGGTATCTGCAGCCAAGCGCAAAATATCGGTATTTCCCCGAGGTACATGCACTAGTCTTGGATCGTTCATGAATGCAAATTCCACTTGTTTCAGCGTAAGTGAATGTACATCACTCTCGAACAATGTCTGTGTAGCCAGTCGTGCACGTTGAAGGGCATCTTCTCCTCGTACTAGCTCCGTCATCTCTTCGGCTAAGCGGATTTGTGCAATTCGCTTGGCTTTGTTTTCAGCATGCGTTGAAAGAATCTGCTGAACTTCTTCTTTAGGGAGGAGTGTAAGGGCCAGAAGATATCGTTCCACATCCTCGTCTGTGCTGCGCAAAAAGTATTGATAAAAATCAAAATCTGATAGCATAGTTGAAGATATCCAAACTGCATTTCCAGCAGATTTGCCAAACTTGGCACCCGTTGAGGTGGTAAGTAGTGGAAGTGTCAAGCCGTAGGCAGGGTCTTCTCGCATACACACTTCAGCTCTGTTGGAAAGCTGCGCTGCCTTTTGTCGTCGGATCAGGTCAATTCCAGCCATGATATTACCCATCTGGTCAGAGCCACCCACTTGCACCGAACAACCTTTCTCTTTGTGCAAGACACTAAAGTCATGTGCCTGCATTAGCTGGTAGGAAAACTCAGTGAATGACATGCCTGATACATGTCCGTCAGTAGGGAATAGACGCGTTTTCACACTGGAATAAGTAGGATGTACTCACCTCTCGCGAGCCATCATGTCGTTTACCCTAGCGAAGCGACCCACCTCCGCGAAAAACTGGAGCGCAGAAACATTACGAAACCAGTCGAGGTTGTTAATCAGTTTTAAATCAATGGAATCCAAAAAGAGTGGCTCAGGTTCATTTTTGATTCGACTCGCAATGAAGGGAGCTGGCGTTGCACGAATTCTTCCACGACGCTGCAGGTAGGCAACAGCGTTGTGAAAAAACTGATAGATTTGAGAACGTATAGATGCAACATTTTTCTCCAGTTGCTGAATATCCAGGGCTGATCGTTCCGTAGAGCGGCCTGAGGGGTCTCCAATAGCGCCCGTAGCTCCACCAAGCTGTGTGAGCTTCGTTATACGTACCAAAATCAAACCATGATGGCCATGAGTGACGAGATGCAACATAGTAATTAGAGGGAGCAAATTTCCTACATGAAGACTCTCTGCACTCGGGTCCACACCAGAATATATGGTGCGTTCTACCAATTTGTCTTGATCATTTTTGGTAGATAAATGCTCATTCAAAGCCCGAGATGTCGTATCTTGAACAAGGCCTCGCTCGTTCAAAAAATCAAGCACAGAGTAGCTTCTCGCATAGATTCGAGTAGCAGGGGCTCTACACAGATGGGCTGATAAGCATTTGAATGTACGTCCAGCACGGACTTGTAGCATCGTTGGAAAGAGGCAGATCGGGTCACCCGATGAAGTGCTCGCTCAGACCAATATGTCCAAGTCACTCTACGGATGGGGTTCTAATCTTCATGGGCAACTACGTCGACCCTTAGCTATGACTCAATGTGAAGAACCTATGTATATCGACAAAGTCGATAGTATCATCGGTGCCACAGGCTCCCAGATTTTTGTGTCTTTAGATCAACAATCATTTTATTACGGTCTTACAGCCGACGAACAAGATTGGAGCTCCGATCAGGAACGACACTCTTTGCCCTGGAACTCACATCGCTCACTTATAGGAGCTGACGAGCTTCTATCAACTCTGGATCAAAATGGACATCTGTATTCTGGGGTAGAGGGCGTTCGTCGGATGAACCCACCTTGGCGCGACGTTGCTATAGATATCACGGGACGAGTGGTTGCCATTACAAGTTCGTACGATTAACTGACAAAGATAAGGGCGAAGCATACCTGTATCGAACACACGAAAATTTTATTTTAGGGCACAATGCTCAACATTTATACCTGGAAGACCCTCATGACTGTCCCAAATTTGACCAGGTCGCAGCAGGTGGTGCTCATTTCCTCCTCCTTGCGCAGAACAATCCATCGCCATTGTATATAACGGGAGACAATCGTTTTGGACAGTTCGGTGAACTAGAGGTTTTCTCAAAAGAAGGTCATTTGCACGAAATATCCTTTTTCTCGAAGGACAAAGGATTCCCTTGCAGTATCGCGTCTATTTCCTGCGGCTACCGACATTCCATCGCGTTGACCAAAGACGGAGATGCATATATTTGGGGATGGGTCCAGAACGAAAATGATTCGTTCTCTGGCCCAGCACCCGTAGATGTCGGCAATGAAGATGCTGAGCTACCAAATATCACCGCAGTAGCCTGTGCCGCAGAGGCGTCCTTGTTTTTACTCCAAGATGGAACCGTATGGACTGTGGGTGAAAGAGGCACTATGAAGGCCAGGCAAATTCCGCTGCCGAAGCCAGCACTTCAAATTGCGGCAGCACAATGGTCATATTATGCGCTAACGTATGCCTAAGAACTCGTAACGCCAATGATCAAAGCGGAAAAAGTTCGAGTATGTTTATTTAGAGATACCAGGGCCACCAGCTGGCGCTCCCGGAGTATCAGGAATAATGGGCGCAACAGGCTTGTTGCCCTCTGCAAGAAGGCGCTGCATCAGCACACCAACACCTTCAAAGACACCAAGAAGAATACCACACATAACACCAGCACCGAATGCAGTTTTCGGACCGCCGCGAATTGCCAAACTAGAACCAGTAAAGAAACCAGCAATAATGGCATTCCACGGGTCTTCCTTTTGGCGAACAGACTTGACTGTGCAATCGAAGGTCGTAAAAAGACCGCCCCAGACACCAAAGTTACCGCCCAGGACTGGAGCGCGCGCTTTTATAGCAGATACTGATCCGAGGAAACGCTCACCGCGCGGCGAGTTACGCGCACCCTTGATACCATGCCAGATAGATCCACCAATACAGCCCATAGCAAAGGCGCCACCGAAGTCATTGAGGATTACCCATGGGCAAGGATCACGCGAATGGTCCTGCCCGGGATGTCCTGTTTGAGTGATCGGCATGCTCGCTTCTCTTCAGAAGGGATCTATGCCTACAGCCCGCAACGATGGCCGCTGTTCTATCTGCGTGGCGACAACTCTAGCGCGAAGGAAGGGTTGTATCACGTGACTGCAAAGTTGTCTGGTGTGCCAAGGCCCATTGCAGTAACGACCGGAGACTTGCGTGAGCATGACATTACGTACGAGAACAGCAGGTATTTCGATGCGCGAGTCCAGCTTCCAGGCTGGCTGAATTGTAAACGAATGCTTGTGTCATTAATTCTGTCTTTTGAAATACTGTTTGTCAGACTCCAGCCACATACGAGTAAGGGAGTTGAAAAGAAGGGTCGACTGCGCTAGCAAAATCGGCTAGTTCTTTGACACAAACGAGAATCCCAACCATACCGTGATCGAATCGCCGTGAATGGAGCAATCGTCCAATCTGCCAATCATTTGTACCATAAAGTTCATATGTAGCTCTTTCTGGACCGAGGGTTTCAATACAGCTAATTGAACAGCGAGGAATCACCCTGTATTCCTTAAATGAATAATTCATTAAACGGCTCAAAACGGTGAGCAGTAACGCAGTTTGGCCAAGGGCAGCATTAATTTCTGGCCAATCGACTTGGTCAGCTCTCGAACTCCGCTGTAATACCCGACCTAGACGCAAGTCATTAATTGTACCCATTCCTGATGCGTCTTCTTCGATGCAAAATGCGTCCATATATGCATCAGAAGACTGTAATGATGATAAAATGAGTTTTTCGTATTTAATTAGTTCTTGCAGCCTTGCTTCTTCAGAGGCAAGTTGCTCTGTTTCGGCTTGCAACGCATCGTAACGATGCCAAAACTGCTCCTCTTCTTGCTCAAGGTCCTTTGATTCAGTCTCCATAGATTTTAACTGCTTTTTGAGTAATAAATGATCCCGGTCGTACGACTCAAGGACTTCTCTAAGCGATTGAACTTCGTCGTTCATACTGTCGATTTTGTGTGCAATGCTGTCTTGCTCGCGCCGCCAACGGCTCATGTCTTCCTGTGACATTTCAAGATCACCATCCACAATAGCGAGACGTTCCATCTCGCGCTCCATGAGTGAGAGTGTATCTACTTCCGCTTTGACCTTATCTGCACGAGCAGTCATTTGTTCAAGACAGGCTCGTGCGCATCCTTGGCATAGTGGGTGCTGGATGGAAGACTCCGACAGAGGTGGTATATGTGCAATCCACGAATTGTTTCTATCCTTTAATTCTGACGTGCTTTTATCCGATATTGGCGTAGCGTTTACATGGTCCTGGATTGCTTTGCGCGCTGACCCTGGCAGTGGCCATGCAGCGCTTATTTCTTCGAATGAGGGTGGTTCAGTTTGAATGCTTATCAAAAGTACCTCGTTGATTAAATCGTGCAATACACTTCCTTCACCACTCGAGAGATCCTCTCCGATTTCTACTTGCTTGGAGCATTGCCCACACACCAGGCTCATCCTAGCGCATGGACCTTATGGAAGGTGTGGAGGTGTAGATTGAGCCACGTGGCGCGCGCTGTAGGTCCCGGGCTCGGCCGATGATCGTGCGCTGGCTTTCGGACCGGGCAGGCACTCGCTCCATTGGAGCTGTGTGCTTTCCATTGACCAGAAACGATGGTGTTTGCTCTGGCCTCGCGTACGCTCCGCACCTCGAGCTACCGCCCTCTCCTCTCTAACATTGGTGCTCGTCGTGGATATGCTGAGGCTGTGAGTGACAAGCTGAAGCTCAGCTTTGTTGTGCCCCACCAGGTAGGTGAATTTTCCTTGTTCTGATTCCAGGCGTTCTACGACAACGTCGAGGTGACTCAGGTAAACGTGCCTGCTGTGACCGGTGATCTCGGTATCCTTTCTGCCCACGTGCCGACTGTTGAGCAGATCCGGCCTGGTCTCTTGGAGGTAATTGAATCGAGCGGCACTAGCAAGAAGTTCTTTGGTATGTTTCATTTGCGCTCACACCAGTTTCCAGCGGCTTTGCCACCATCCACCCTAACAACCGCCTTACTATCAACGCCATTGAGGCATACACTGTCGACAAGTTCTCGCCTGAGGTATGTTTCCTACCGAGGCCTGTTACTAACATGTATAGGCTGTCCGCCAGGGTCTGGCCGATGCACAGCGCGTGGCTTCGGGTAACGGCTCCGCTGAGGAAAAGGCGGCGGCTGAGATTGAAGTCGAGGTCTTTACGGCCCTGCAGCACGCTCTGTCTCAGAACTAAGTTCGTAGCCAATATCGCGACTATTCGTAACTCGACAGTTGTGACAGGTTACAGCGTGTACGAACGTTGCGTCTAAGCTCTACCGACTCGACCGAATAATAACCAATACAAAGGAAAGGAAGATGATGCCCTCGGCCCATTCGTCGCCGAAAGAGGTTTCGTTGTCGCACCCAGCGGATGACCCCAAAGTATCCGCCTTAAATGCCAACTAGGGTTAGACTGTAGACTCGGAAGCCTTTCCTTCGGCCTCTAGGACCACAGGGTGACCGTGAGCATGTTCAGCAATATCGTCATGAATAGCACGAAGATGTTCAAGACGCTCCTGCCACTTGGGCAGCAGCAGAAGCTTCTGCTCCAGATGCTGCTTTTCTTCCTGCAGCTGGAGGCGACGGTCAGCATCAAGTTCCGTAAATACATAACCGCCTTGGCCATTGTACTGTAGCACATGGGAGTGGTACTTCCACAGAGAGGGCCGGTGGGATACTGTCAACATCGTGATACCCAGCTCCGTGGCGTGGTCGTACATAACGCGCTCGACGTCAAGAGTAACAGCGCTGGTGCATTCATCCAAAATGGCATACTTGGGCTTGTGGTAGAACAGACGAGCCATAGCGATACGCTGCTTGTCACCGCCACTGAGCGCATCACGCCACTCACGCATAACATCCCAACCGCCCTCTCGTTCAACAATGTTGTCGATTTGAAGAAGCTTGAGAATTTCAATCAAATCTTCGTCCGATGCACCCTTTGCATGCATTTCCGCGACCGTATCGGGGTAGATGACCTGGTCGCGGAGGGTACCCAGGGACAAATAGGGGCGTTGAGGGATATAAGTAAACTCCTTGTTCGAGGGTTTGAACACCTTGCCACCATACACGGGCCACAGACCACCGAGAATACGGAACATACTGCTCTTACCACAGCCATTGGGCCCAATGACCAACAAATGCTGACCTGGTTTGATATGGAAGCTTAGTTTCTCTAGAAGCACGTCACCGTTGGGCGACACAATAGGGACGTCCTCGAAGGTGACTTCATTCTTGTCCTCAATAATCTCGCCACGGCGTGAGAATATGTCATTCTTTTGATCAATGGCACCCTGACCAGAGGAGGTGACCAAGCGTTTCTTAGTGCGACCAGCATCGATTTCTTCCATCACCTCCAAAAGCTCGGTAAGACGCGATGTGTAGCCCGAAATCTCAGACATCTCCTTATAGCTCTGCATGATGCGGCCCATAGCATCCGAAGACGAAAGCAGCAGACGGCGGTTAGTGACAAATACCTCTGTGCGCGAGCCCATGGAAGTGCCTCCAGGGCTCGGGCCCGAAAGGCCTGGGATCTTCAAAAAGACGGGTCCAGAGCAAATAATCAAGCCAATAGCACCCCAGAGCCACTTGATCACACCCTCTTCCATCATACTGTGGCCAATGCGAATGTGGAAGATCCGATTAATATGTTTGACGAGCGAGAAGTACGACCGGTCAATCTGGCGCTTCTCGTTTAGCTGACCACGGTAAAAGGCAACTTCCTCGGCATTTTCTAGCAGACGTACATGGTTAAAGCGGTATTCGCCCTCCAGCTGTTGCTCCATCGCAGCATATTGACCAAATGGTGGAGTAAGCACCTTCACAATCTGTGTTGTGGCTCGGATGATGAACGTTGTCACCGCCAAGAGCTCTACGCCCACCGTCTGACTGAGTCGATAGTTGTACACAAGCGTGTCAATCAGCGGCATGAAGATGTTGCCATAAAGCAAGGCAATAGCGCGACTGAACTTTTGCACGTCCACCGTAATGAGCTGATCAGCATTGCGGACGCGGTCATCTAAGTTGGACAGCTTGTAGAAAGTCAGATTTTGAAGGTACTTGTGTTGGATTAGCTCCGTCAAGCGCGAGCGGATAGAAAGGGCCAGAGAATTGACAAAGAATGAAATGAAGCTATTGGTCAGTACTGCCGGCACAGCAATGCACATCCATGCCACGACTCGGAGAAGGAAGGTCTGCTTGTCGCCTCGTACTAAAGAGGACACAATACGACCATCCAGCTCTGCCACATATAGAGAGATGAGTGTGCGTAAGAGCAAAGAGGCCGACAAGCCAAAGAGATAACCAACTTGCGAGCACTTCCACGTAGGGAAAACGATTCGCAAAAGATGCCAGAGACGCTTGTAAAACAGCATATCAATTGCGACCTTCTTTTTTGGCACGTCCTGCGTGAATGATTGAATTTGGCTTTGTTGTTCCCTCTCAGCTTTCTCCATCTGCTTCACCCTACGGCTCTTACGCCGCGGCATAAACATATGAACCAGAGCCACCATCAACATGCACATGTACACCGTGCGAAGCACACGTTGGATGTCCTGATAATGGCGGCTGTAAAAACCTGCAGACTGAAGGAGACGTTGCAGTGCCGCCATCTTAGCAGGTTCAAGGATGGATCGCAGCCGCGACTGGACCACCATGCTGAATAGGTTGTTCCAAACCACCCAGTAAGGGGAGCGGTGGTGTAGTTAGGTGCCAGCCACGCGGCACCCCTTCAGCCGACAAGGACCGGCCACCCAACCGGAGAATAGATTACGTGATACAAATCGCTAGCTTACAAGGAAATCGAAACCAAGACGAGCGAGGTCGTGGGGGTAGCCAAGGACCATGCGTCCCTTTGGCCATTCATGGAACTAACCTCGCCACCGACATAGCAGAATCCGTGAATCAAGGAAGATAGATCTGGCAGGTCGCGTTCCAAGCAAACCACTACACGCGCGGCACAAGCGCTCTTGGACGCCATCTCCAAGATTCGAAGAATGTGATCGTGGAGTTGCGAACGATCACACGAACGTGGCATGAGAACATAGAGAGACCGGTCTTTGGCGCATCGCACGCCGGGAGGAGCCGTTGAGGCTCGATAGGAGAGATCACATTTTTGGACGACGGCACCTGTCCAACCACGACAGACGAGTTCTACGCCAGCGTCTTCTGCTTGTAGGAGAGCACCACTTGTGTGCCAGTCCACAAATATGCGGCGTAAGAATGCCTCTGCAGTAGCTTTGGGGTGGTGGTGTACATCATGTTGTGCAGGGCTAACTTCAGGCGTGCCAGGTACATCAAACCGCGCCGTGTGTTGAACAGCTGATCGAATGGACGTAGACGCGATCGGCGCAGAGCTAGATACCTGCGTCCATCGCTGCGATAGGGTATGTTCCGGTGTCCGACGGCGCCGGCCCGATAGGGTGGGAGAGGGTGGGGGCGATAAGGGGATTGCGTGAGATGTGGATTCTGATTCAGAGGAAGAAGCGGCCCAAGGGCCCACGGTGTGAACAGAGGTAATGGACGAGCTGGTGCTCGTGTGCGGCGCTGTCCCTCTCACAGACGCACGCCGACCTGACCCTGAGGGTTCAGGCATTTCTTCTGAAGTGACGTCTGGTATGTCAGGCGAACATATACACACCAGGTCCACCATTTTACCATGGAGTCCAGGAAAGCCGAACGTGCCGGCATGCTTGTGCCGGCACGTTCCGAGATCAAAGGTTCATTATTCTCCGATCTATGACTGAAAAGCATGAGTACACAAACCACGTACCTAGGGGAGAGATTCTCAGAATGACTCATGGCAGATTGTATATCTGAACAGCTACAAACGTCGGTGGCAAAGTCGAGGTGGATGAGCGATGGCGCCATCCTCGTGGTGATTACATAAGGGACTACGAAATGCCGTACAACCCCGAAACATCGCACCAACGAACCTGCACGTGTCTACAGGTGTCTAGCCGACCAGGTCGGCGAGAGGGCCAGCATCAATGCCCATCGACTCTTTCATACCCATCTCAAAGTAGGACTGAGTAAGTATCATAGACGTACGTAGATGATCGTCACGGCAAGAAGGATACCGGTTCCGGAGCCAAGGGCGCCTGAGAGGTCTGCCACCACGCTAAGGTTAGACATGTGCGTCATACGTACGAGAGCGCGCCAATCAGAGCACCACCAAACGCAGCAGCCGTAGGGATAATGCGCTTGAGCTCCTTGTACATGCTGGCATCGCGATGACCAACAATGACCATCTGGCTGTCCTTGAGCTGCTTGGCGACCTCACGCGGGCCACTACCCGAGACTTCAATCCAGATCTTGGAGAAGACTGCGCAGAAGGTGAGCGTGAAGGCGATGTAGATGAGTGCGTGCACAGGATCGCGGAACAAGGCACCCAGGCTCGTGGGCGGCGAGAGGTAGTAGGCAATACCACCCACGGCGTGGAGCTGGGGGCTGTCCTCCATCGGGTTCCAGGTGCCCAGCAGCTTGACCAGCAGGCTAGACGGGAAGCGTGTCGCCAGCATTTGGCTAATGATGAAAAAGTTCGACGTCAATGCACTGACCAGCATGATGGGCATGTTGCTCGTGTAGAACAACTTCACAGGGAAGGTACCTTGTTGGCCACGGAACTTGGTGGACTTAATTGGGATTTCAATGCGGAAGCCCTGCAGGTAAATGACGATCAGGAACACGACGAGTGTGGCCACCAGGTTCGACACGTTCGGCAGGCGCTCGCGGTAAAAGGCCTCCTTGAGTGCGCGCGACTTGTTGTTCCAGGTGAACAGGAGATGGAAAAGGGCCACAATCGCGCCCTCGAACTCGGGTCCACGGCCCGTGTTCACGGTCGTGGGCGAGAAGGCCTTCCAGATGATCGTCTCACAAATGTTCGTAGCGATGAACAACGAAATACCTGAACCTAGACCGTAGCCCTTTTGGAGAAGCTCGTCAAGCAAAATCACAATCAAACCAGCCACAACCAGTTGCAGGATGAGCAGCAAGCACACGCCCGCGCCCAGCTCGCTGGGCGGACCGTAGAGACCCGTGAGCACGTACACGGTGGCTTGACCAAGCGAGAGGATCAGGGCAAACAGCTTTTGGGCACCACCGTAAAGCGCGCGGTCCTCGCGCACGCTAAAGTCGACCTGGACGAGGTTGGCGCTGGCAAGCAGCTGGATGATCATGCCAGACGTGACAATAGGCGAAATACCGAGTTCCATCAGCGTACCACGGTTTGACGCGAGAATCACACGCATCCAGAACAGCGGATCCGAGCTATCGCTGGACATGATACCGTACAGGGGAATCTGCGAAGAAACGAGGTAAATGGCCAGCACAATTGCGGTCCACATGATGCGCTGCTGGAACGGCACTGCGGATGAGCGCACACAACGTACCCTTGCGCTCGGGTGCCGAAATTTCCGGCAACACCGACATGAAGGGTCGCACAAGCGACAACACACGGACTTCGGTCAGCGCTTAGGCACGTACATCCACTCATTGTCGTCGAGCCACGGTGGAGAGGAAGAGGCCGTCGCGGTGCCAGCAAATCGTGACGCCTGGGACCTATGCTGATTGCATACTTCCCCGTCTGAATTTTTTCGCGCCGCGGGTCGATCGACGGTCGTCACCGCGCCGCCCGTCCTTGCGATGGTGAGTGCACGCCACTGGACTAATGGCAGATCATTCCTGTTCGCTGCTTTAGCTGCGGCAAGGTTGTCGGTGACAAGTGGGACGCGTACCTTGCGTTGCTCATTGACGGCCGCACTGAAGGCGAGGCGCTCACGGAGCTCCAGCTGCATCGCTACTGCTGTCGCCGCATGGTGCTCACGCATGTTGACCTGATTGAGCGCTTGCTTCACTATAATAGTATGTGTTGTGATCTTACCCCAGTTCATGAGCGCAAGTCGAAACCGTTTGCATAGCGCCATGATAGACTGGGCGCTGGGCGCCACGATACGATCCCCCTACATGTGCGATGAATGCGTCTGCACGTCTCGGAGAGTCGCCTCGCGCATTTCATGAGTGACGCGGCGGTCCTCGACCTGCTCGCGCAGGGCCTGCGACACATGCAAAGGCGCGCCCATCACCATGGTGCGCAGGACCGTCTCGGCTGTCTGCTTCTGCTCGCGCTCGACCGCCTCGACCGTACGGTCCCAGTCGCGCCAGAATGCGCGCTTCGCACGCGCCCAGGTGCCCTGTAGAAACCATGCGCCCGCGGCTGTGGCCAAAAGCGCCAGACCGCCCGCGGTCGACGGGGCCATCTCGACGAGCGACGTCAGCGGCGGCAGCGTCGCGTCGGGCACCCACGACGACGCGGCCCATGCCTCGCCCAGCTTCGTGGTCGGCGCAAGCGCGGGATGCGGTACATGGTGTGCGAGCGCGCCGATCGCAGCAGCAGTGTACGCTGATCCGACACCCACGTAGGTCGTGGCCACCGCGCGCTGCGCCTTCACAACGAGGCGGTCCAACGGGCCGCCACGGGCGAGCAGCTGCTGGCGCCGGCGTACGAGTGGCTCTGAGAGACAGTGTGCATGCAGTAGAGGGCCCATCTGGCGGTCGTCGAACGAGGCGATGGCATTGCGCAGGACCGCCGAGTCCAGCGGCGGTGCATCGGCCAGCGCGCCGCGCTCCAACGACTCAGGTGGGCTGCGGCGTTGCACCTCATCAAGCGTGCGCACCGCCGCCTCGGACTGCGCGGCAGCCTCGGCTCGGAGTCGACCAGCCTCGTACGCCAATCGCGTCTCTTCCTGTACACCAAAACTGCGGCCGACCGCGTACGAGAGCGCAAGACGCAGTTCTTCAACGCGCCACGGCAGGCGCCACCACGCAAAGCTGCGTGCCAACGTTTGCTGCACCGTCTCGCGCGAGTCGGCAAGCATACTGCGGCGCCGAAAACTGCGGGATCCGCTGCGCTCCAGCACAGGCTGGTGTGACGGTAGGTCATTAGGTGGCGCGAGACGTAGCGTGTGCGTGTGAATGGCATGCTCCGTGCGCGCATGTAGTACTTCGGCCAGCGCGGCTCCTGCCTCGAGGCGGAGGGCCTCGTCGTTTTCCGCGCGCATAGCGGCATTGAAAGCAGTCTGTGCCACGTAGCGTATGCGCTGCATGTGCGCGACAGGCTGGGTCAGCGCATGGTGCAGCGCAGCGAAGCGCGACGCCTGAAAGTGGCGCGAAAACTCAGGGAAGCCCTCGTGCCCCAGCAGCGTACGCGCATGCAACGCCAGGTTCGACGAAACGAGCTGCACATGCGGAGCCGCATCCTGCGGCAAGGCCCTAAAATGGGTGCCAATGCGTTTCTGCGCCAGGTCTGCGATACGATCCCAGGCAGCGGCGGCTGGCTGTCCGTACGTCTGTGGGATGTACGCGTCGACTAGCACAGTCGTCCCCGGCTTGTCACCGAGAGCCTCGGCATACGCGAGGATGTTTTCTAGTGTGCCGTCGTGGCGTTCGAGCGTCTGTGCACCGATCACGACGCCAACCTTGTCGCAGCTCAATAGACGTGTCATGAGTGCATCCCGATCATCGAGGTCTGCCGGTTAGGCTGGATCACTTACCGACACACTCATGCAGCTCTATGCCCTGCATCCAAGCCAGGGGGAGCGCATATGTGGCCCCAGTCGCACTACCAGGCCCATAGTGATACACATGGTTGCCCGTGCGCTCGAGCGGGGGCATATGCGCCATGACCTGCGGATCAAGTGGCTCCATCAGCAGGGCATGCATCACAGCACGTGTAGGGTGAGCATCTCCGACCAGCGCAATGCGCTGCGGCCCATGGGTCGTGGCCGCCTGCGACGCCTCGGTGAGGCGCACCGTCCATGGCGAGGCAGGGCGGAACAACGTAGTCAGCTGGTCGAGCACACGCGCGGGGCCGGCTGCGACCGCTGAGGTGCGCGCATGCGATGCAGTATAGCGCACATGCACACACGTACTCGGCACCCAAGCACTCGAGAGACGCGAGGCGGCACGCAGGGAGCGAGCGCGCATCGCGATGCCAGACGCTCGTGGCCGTCCGACGTCGCGCCGGGCAGCGGGTGCTCTCTCTCTCACGTGATCAGAGACGCCGCGGTGGTCGCGGTTTTCGCTTGTCGCGTCTGCGAGCATGGAGCGCAAGCGGGAGCTCGTCGATGCGGGCGACGCAGCGACGAAGCGGGTGCACCTCGACGTGGACTTAGGCGAGGAGGATGATGCGAGTCCAGACTATCAGCGTCTCGAGGTATGTATGTTCCGCTGACCTCAGCGATTTCGCAAAGAAGCCATCTACCGTGGCTTGCGTGAGGCGAAGCGTGAGTCGGCACGCGCGCGCCAAGACCTCCAAGCACTCGAGAATCGTGTCCGTGATATGCAGGAAAGTATTCTCGCGGTCGGTCGGTTCTGGGACCGGATGACGTACCAGTGCAGCGTGCTGCCCGTCGACGAGCCGGCGCTGCAGGCGGAGCTAGAGGCTGCGCGCGCCCAGCCACTCACAATTGTGCCGGGCACTGCGTCGCCTGCACCTATGGACGTACTGTCGGCGCGTTCCGCGCTGCTGGAGCGCGTGCTGACGCACCTCGCGAAGCATTCGACGGCGGCGGTCGCGTCCGCGAACGACGCGACGCAGCTGCAGGAACGATGCGCGGGCCTCGCGGGCGAGGTCAGCTCGCTGCAGCACTCGCTGCAGCAGGCTCAGGTGCAGTGGCAGACTTCGCAAGAGCGCGTCGAGCGTCTGCAAGAGCTACTTCGCGCGGCGGAGCGGCGTGTGGACCGGCTTCAGAGCGACAGCGTGCGCGAGGTGGAAGACCCGCAGGGCGCGCACGCGGCGGCTTCCGCGAAAGAGCCGTCTGGACCGTCTGCTGCATCAGCAGGCACGGCACCGCCTGAGGCGGCGCACAAGGCCGAGTCGCCCGCGGCGGACGACAGCGCAGCTCGTGCCGACACAGCGGCGTCCGAGCTGGCCGCGGCGCGTGACGAGCTAACGACGCTGCGGGAGCTTGCGCACACACGCGAGCGGGCACTGACGGATGTGCGGCAGGAGCTGCTCGAGGCACGGCAAGGTGCGGCGGCGCTGCAGCAGCAGCTGCAGTCGCTACCGGCCGAGCGCGTGCAATCGCATCCTGCGTACCATGCGGTCCAAGCGGAGATGGTGTTTTTGCAGCAGGAGGCGGCGCGACTGCGTGAGGCAGCGGCGGCGTCCGAGCGTGAGAACGCTGAGATGCGCGAGTTCCGCATTGAGTTTCAGCACCAGACGACGACGCAGGCTAATACGCACAGTGACGAGTTGCAGAAGCAGATCCGGCTGCGCGACGCGGATGTTGTGCGCCTGCGGGGCCAGCGCGATGACCTGAATGCCGAGCTGCTTGAGCGGCGTGCGCGCGAGAATGTCAAGTTTACACAGGTTGACGAGGCCAAGGCGCTCATGGCGCGAAAAGAGGAGCAGGTGGCCGTGCTGCAGTCGCAGGCCACGAGACTCAAGACCGAGTTGGCCGCGCTGCGGGGCGATGCGGCGTCGGTGCAGGCGTCCGGCGCTGCGCCTGTCCCCCCCCAGGCCGATGCCGCGTCGCTGCGGCTGCAGCTGCAGGCGGCCAGCGCGTCGAGTGCGGCGCTGTGTGACGAGGTGGACCGGCTGAGCGCAGCGTACGAAGAGCTCGAGAAGCAGGCCGAGGTGCGCCTGGCGGGCCTTGCCAAACTGGAGGACAAGGTGCTGCGGCTTACGACGGAAAAGTCCAAGGCGGACAGCAAGTACTTTGCGGCGATGCGTGCCAAGGACGCGCTCGAGGCGGAGAAGCGTGCCCTTGCGCGGAGCGCGGAGCGCCAGACCAAGGTCATCGAGCGATACATGGACACAGAAAAGGGATTGCAGGCGCAGCTCGTGCAGGCGGAAAAGGAGGTTAGTGCATACCGGCGCAGTGTGCAGACACATGCGAGCAAGCTGGCCGAGGCGGACCGCGATGTGTCCGTGCTGCGGCGGCGGCTCTCCGAGGCGGAGCGTGCGCGAGCGGCGGCCGAGGGGAGCGTGGCGCAGCATCTCGCGACGGCGAACGACGAGGCCGCTGCGCGGCAGCGCGCCGAGGAGAAGATCTCGTCGCTCGATCGCGAAGTGGCAAAGCTCCGGCGGCGAGCGGCCGAGTCGGCGGCTGCTGGGCCGCGGCGCAAAGGCTCTGAGAGTGAGACGCACCTCGAGTACCTCAACACGCTTTTGCGGTGCTCGGCGTGCAAGGAGCGGTACCGCGACCGGATTATTACGCGGTGCCTGCACACGTTTTGTGAGACGTGTGTGAATGCGCGCATCCAGACGCGGCAGCGCAAGTGCCCCCACTGTGGCCTTGCATTTGCGACGAGCGATGTGCAAGTGCTCTACCGTACGTATCGGCTACTTACGTACAGTCCAGTAACTAGGGCGCGGGCACTTGGTACATGGTATCGATGTATCGTGCGGCCATTTCGTTCAGGAGAATAGGCGCCACGGACGTCGTCGAGTGCAGACCGTACACGGTCGCCATGGCGCCGGACTTGGTCGGGCGCGTGTGGGAGTGTGCGACGCTGTCCTTGAGGTCCTGCACAAACGCGTCGACGACCGGCACGGTGAGGCGCGTGCATGCAATGTGGAAGGCCGGCACGTCGCCGCCGATCGCATTGAGGTGCCAGCCGCGGCGGCTCATTTGGTCTCCGACATCGTAGATGTTCACAGAGCCGGCACTGGCGAATGCCACGACGCTGACGAGCGGCTTGCCGAGTACTTGGAGCTCGGGGATCTCCTCACGCACGTGGCGCTCGATGCTCTGGGCCGCGCCGACAATCTCGCGGCAGCTCTGCACGTAGCCGTCGTGGCCGATGCTCATCATGGCAGCCCATGCGCCGGCAATCAGTGCGCCAGGGCGCGAGCCCGCGAGTGTCGGCGAGGCGTACACGCCGCCGACCCAATCGCTCGACACAAAGTACTGGTAGCGGCGCAGCGACTCGTTGCGGTACATGACGATCGACGAGCCTTTGGGCGCAAAGCCGTACTTGTGCGTGTCGCACGAAATGGACGTGACGCCGTCGACGCGGAAATCGAACGGCTCCGAGACAAAGCCGGCCTCGGAGAGGAACGGCACGAGGAACGAGCCGAGGCAGCAGTCGACATGGCACCCGATCTGGTAGTGGCGCGCAAGCGCGCCAATCGACACGATATCGTCGATCATGCCGTCAGGAAAGTTGGGCGCACTGCCGACGAGCAGGACCGTATGGCGGTTGATGGCGCGGTGCATGAGGCCGATATTGACTTTGCGCGTGATGGGATCGACGGGGATTCGGCGCACGACCATGCCAAAGTAGTGACCGGCCTTGTCGAACGCAACATGCGCGCTCGCCGGCACGACGATCTCGGGGCGCGTGATCCCGCGCTCCGCACGCCCCCACTCGCGCATCGCCAGGCAGGCCATCATGATCGATTCCGTGCCGCCCGACGTCGTCGTACCAGCCGCATGCTCTGGCGCATGGTACATGCGCAGGACCATGGCGACGACCTCGGCCTCCATCTTCCGCAGGCCGGGGAACACTTCGGGGTGCAGGGGGTTCGTCAGCAGGAACCGCTCGAGCGTCTCGGCGAGCAGGCGGTTGAGCTGAGGGCCGCCGTGGTACACGGTGCCAGACACGCGCCCGTCCAGGTACACGTCGCGCCCGTCCACCTCGCCGTGGCCGCCGAGGCGCTGGAGCGCATCGACCTGGGCCATGACCCATACGTCGTCGCGTCCCTGCGCAGGCAGTTCACGCATGACAGGCACGGTGGTGCTTGGCATGAGCGACTTGGCGACATCGTCGACAGCCGAGGCCATCTCGCGCTCGACGCGGCGGCGGTGCGAGGGGATCAGCATCATCCATGCAAAGATGCGCTGTGTAAGTCGGTCGTACGTACGCGCAACAGGGCCAAGCGCATGCGGCGCAGCACGGGCGCCAGGCCTTCGGCACGCACCGGTCGAGTCCAGCGGCCCACGTAGTGGACGAACACGGCGAGAAGCACGAGGTTGCGCGCTATGTGAGTGGGATGTACGCACCAAGGTCCCACGACGCCAGGCGCCGCACGCTAGCAGAAACGCTCATGGCGGCGCTGCCAACCTCCATGGTACACGTTGGGGGGCTACGTACGGGGCCGCCACGTGATGTAAGACACGGGCTATCGCCGACCCTGCGGGGCTACCATTCGAATTCGCTGGTGTCAGATTGGGATACGTACCCATTGCACTTGGAGAAGAGATAGTCGCGGCCGCCAATCGAGGCGACGCCGTCACGTAGCACACACTTCCACTTGTTCTTTACACGCTGCACCTTGTCGTAGAGGCAGAGAATCATGTCCTCGGTGCCTTCTGCGTCGTCGTCGTCCGAGTCGTCGAGATCGCTGCCAATCTCGTCCTTGTCCTTCTCTGCGGCGTCAGGAGCCGTGTCATCCTTGCCGTCCGCCCGCTGGCCCTCGTCGTCGAGCTCGCGCTTGCGCTTGTGGGTAAGTGCCTCGTCGGGCTCGCTCTTGATGGGCGCATTGGGTGCGCTCCCACTCGTGCCGGCCTCAGCGGATGCACCGGGCACAGCGGCAGTCGGTAGGGCCGCCTCGACTTTGCCGTCGCGTGTCGCTGCGAGTGGCCGCAAGAGGGGTGCTGTGGGCGTCACGGTATACAGCTGGGACGCACGGCCCGCTGCGCCGTCAAACTCGGTGACCTGCGTAGCAACGAGCTTGGCCTCCCAGGAGCGCTGCAGCTCCTCGAGCACCTCCTTCTCGATGCCCATGTCCTCAAAGTCTTGGCGCACATTCGCAATCACATCGTCAATGATGTGGCGGAACGTGAGCGAGACCACGCGGTTGCTCATACTGCAGAACAGAATATTCCTTGTCTGTGGCAGAGGAGCGTCGCTGGTGCATCCAACACGGCCGTCCCAGTTCGCACCGTGGCTCAGCACAACCCCGGTCGTTCGGCGCGACGGACCGCCACCAGCGACGCGCCGCCGCCGCTCTATAGTCACGTGATTGTCCGTGTCGTCGCGCCGACGCACCGCACCCGCGACGGCACCATGGCGAATCGGGCATTGTAGGTGGCTCTACTAACGGAGCAGCAACGTCGGCGATGTCGTTCTAGCCAAGATGAAAGGGTATCCACCATGGCCGGGTATCGTACGCACGCTGCACTCACGCAGATCATCGACGATGAGCACGTCCCGCAGGCCGTGCGCAAGGAACGCCCAGTGTCAAAGCACGGGTGGTATACGATCCGCTTCATGCCGAAAGCGGACTAGTACGTTGTGTGTGCTGACGCAGTCATTGGTCGTCGCCGAAAGACTTGGTGCCGCTGAGTCGCGAGGACATTGATGCCTTCCTCGCGCGCCCGTCCAAAAGCCGTCGGGCCGACCTGGCCAAGGCATACGAGATCGCCAAGGACCCCGCCGCATGGAACGAGGAGCAGGACCGCATAGTCAAAGAGCACGAAGAGGATATCCAGGAGCACGGAGAGGAGCAGGAGAGCGATGTGGCGGCTGGCGAGGAAGAGGACGACGCCGACGAGCGCCCCGGCGCCGCGCGCAAGCGTTCGTCGCCTCAGGCGGCCCCGCCATCCAAGCGCACACGCAGCGAGCCTACCGAGACGCACACGGAGCTGCAGCCTGACAAGGAGCATGCCGAGGAGATCGACCCTGCGACGCGCAGGGTGCGAGAATGGCGGCACAGGTTACAGCGCGCCTTTTTGAGCAAGGAGGGCGTCATTTATGCAAGCGATATGGACGCGCAGGACGCGCTATTTAAGACCGTCGAGGCATGCGACGACATGACCGTGGACCAGCTGCGGTCGACCAAGATTGGCAAGGTTATGAAGCGGATTCACCTGTTGCCGGAGGTGCCCCGCGACGACGAGTTCCATTTCCGTGAGCGCGCCGGCGAGCTTATGAAGCGATGGAGCGTGTTGCTCGATCAGGCAGCAGAGGATACAGAGGCGTAGTGATAGTGATTTGGTCTGACTCAGCTCTCGAGCGAGAGTGGCGGCACTGCATCGTCGTCCCACGCAGGATCACGCGCGGCCAGCGTGTTCGGGGAAAAGAGCGCGACTTCATGGGGCGCCGGCACACCCCACTCGGTGCGGGGATCGTGCTGCATGCCATTCGCACGCTGAATGTCGAGCGTGGCGCGCAAATTGAGCATTTCCATCTCCAGCTGGGTATTCCGCGCGCGCAGCGCCTCGAACTCGGCGTGGTCGATGGGCGGCGGCGCGCGGGGCGCGGCAGGCTCGGCCTGTCCAACGCGCAGGCGCAGGCGCTCCGCCTGCGCGCGGACCGTGTCCAGCTCCGCCTGCAGACGTGCCATATCCTCGGTGCGCCGGTCCGCCTCGTCGCTGTGCTCGCGCGCGCTGCGCTCGCTATTCGTCACGGCAAGCTGCATATTCTCCCATTGCATAAGCAGCTTGTCCATCTCTTCGCGCTGCGCCTGCATCATAAGCATGCCATCCTCCCACTCGGTGAGGCGGCGGCCCAGATTGCGAACGGTGGCATCGTACTCGTGCAGGCGCTCGAGGCGCGGCGCCGCGAGCTGCAGCTCCGACTCGAGATTAAAGAGGCGCTCGCCCATCTGCGAGATGCGCTCCGCTTGCTGCGCCACGGTGCGCTGGCTCTGCTCGAGATCTCGTGTGAGCTGCTGCACCAGCAATGTGCGCTGTCGCCGCTCGTCGCGGTACATGCTGAGCTTGGCGTTCAGCTCGCGTTCCCACCGCACGTGCCGCCCGCTCGTGGCCTGCACCTCACTGCGCTGCCGCTCCAGGCGCGTCTGCAGCGTGGACAGCTGCGCCTGCAGCGCGCGACTCGTGTGCTGCAGATTCTGCTGCTCCGCCTCGTTGGCCGCATCGGTGATCCGGTCACGGTGCAGGCGCCCAATGTGGATCAGCAGCTGCTCCTTCAAGTACAGCTCAAAGCGCAGCTCATTGCGCAGCATCGTCACATTGCTCACTGACGTGTCGCCCGTAACGCTGGATGCCAACATCGGCGAGGGCGCATCGAGGCCGGGCCCATCAGGCTGCGGCACGTACAGACTCATGCACTGCGCAAGGCGGTCGGACGCCTCGGAGTTTTGCCACGTCTTGGGGTTCAGCTCTGCAGCGCGCTCGTGCGTCGCCAAGTTCGGATGCACGAGGTGGCAGCGGAACAGCGTCAGGCTGCGGCTCTGCACGGTGGGGTTCACGAGGTCGTCCCAAAGGCGCGTGTCGCCCAAGGCCTCCAGCGTCGCGGCCGGCGCGCGGATGAAGGCGAGGAAGTGCAGAGGAAAGAGGCCATATAGCAGCGTAAATAGCAGGTGGGCGCTCGGCACCGTGTGCGACTCGAGTTCCGTGACGGGCGTGTAGACGGCCCGCGCATACACACGGAACATGCTGGCCACGCCTGTGCCGCCATCGCGCACCAGGTACATGGGAATGTGCGGCACAATCATGAGCAGGCATGTCACACCCTGCGCAAGAATGCGTGTAGACTCGGTCATCTCGAGTGTCGATACCAGCTTGTCGAAGAGGCACGTCGACATGATCAGGTACGCATGCATCGAGTGGGCATGCAGGAACTGCATCAGTAGCGATAGAATGGTCGACTGCGCCGACAAATTGTCGAACGCCTCGTCCAAGTGATGCAGGAATGGCAGGGGACGGAGCGATCCAAACATAGACAGCGCAGCCGCCAGCGAGCGCGTGAGGCTGGGTTGTGCAAGAACCGCAGTGGTCTCGGGCACATCCGTGTTCTCGTCGTCGTCCTTCTCGCTGGCCATCTCGAGCAGATATACCGACTGTATGTACATGTCCAGCACGCTCTGGGTGAATTGCCACGCGGGCGACGGGACACGCACCGACTCGGTGCTCTCCTCGTCCATGGGAGGACTCGTATACTCGCTTGGTGCAACGTCCATCACCATATACACAGTCAGCCGTACAGCGCGCGCCACGTCGGCCTCGCCGAGGGCCGAGGACGCCAGTGACGGCACAATCAGCACGTCCCACCAGTCGCGAATCAGTCTCTGGGCACCAAGACACAGAGCCAGTGCCTCGAGGATGTGCAGTACGTTTGGTCGCAGCAGCTCAGGCGGAGATTTGGCCTGGTAGTACAGGTCGAGCAGATCCGAGCTCAGACGGTCGGCCACTGTGCGGCACACCGTGCTGCGCTCCACGTCCGCATCGACATGAAGCAGCCAGTTGTCTTCAGCGACCTCAACGCCGATCTGCGGGTCGGCCAGCAGGGCCTGGATCGCCACCTGACACGCCTCGAGCTGGCTCGGGCTGGATGCGCGCAAGAGCGCCTCGACCTGCTGCTTGACGTCCTTCAACAAGTTAAGGACGCCTCGCGGTACATTGAGCTGCGAGATGCTCTGCGTGGAAAACGACGGCGGCGGCATGGACCACGCTCCCACAGCTGGCTGCGCGGGCCGCAGCTAAGGGCCCGGCACCATCAGGCGGCCCTCGCGGCCCAGCGTTGCAGTCACGTGAACTACTTGGCCTTGCCTACGTCCTCCTTGAGCGAGACGATGCGGTTGAGCACGAGGTCGTCGGCGTCGCCACGCGCCTCGTCGCCAAACAGGGACATAGCGCTGTCTTTATCAACAGCAAAGTAGCCCACGCGCATCGCCTGGAAGCGAACACACTCTTTGCCAATGGTGTTCGACTCGGTGGCCTGAAGACCGTGTGCGGCACTCTGCTCGGCCTCCCGCGCGCGTGCCTTGCCGAGCGCCGCCTCCGTCTGCTTGGCCGCAGCCTGGATGCGCTCTGAGGCGGCCTGCTTTTCGTGCTCGAGTGCAGCGCGCGCCACATCATGAAAGCCGACCTCGAGCATCGCATCCTTCAGCACCTCGCGGCTGTTGTGGTTGACGTGGTCCAAGAAGTTGTCCTGCGCGGCGGGGTTCTCGCACGTGAATAGTGTGTGGAAGAGTCGCACCTCGCGTACACGCACCGGGCTGCGCGACGCCGCGTGCTGTGCGACCCACTGGATGTAGGTCTTGGGCGTCGGCGCCGATGGGCCCGACTCATATCGGCACACGAGTTCTGTCACATCACCTGCGTCGTTCGTGTGCACTGCAGTGCAGGTGATGGGGTGCGGCACCTGGTACAGGCCGACCGTCTTTCCAGGTGCGAGACGGAAGTAGTCCTTCGTGTCCTGCAGGCGGAAATCGGACGCGTCAATGTACACAGTCTTCGTGAACGGCACCGTGACGTGGCCCATCGCCGGCACCTTGGGGTGCAGTGGCTTGTCAATCGGCAGGTAAAAGTCGTCGTCTAGGTTCTCGATCACGATCTTGAGCGGCTTGACAACCATCATAAGTCGCGGCGTGTTCATCTCCAGGTACTGGCGCATGGACTGGTCAAAGCGGTTGATCTGGATCGTCGAGTTGTTCGTCGTGACACCGAGCTGATTGACAAACGACAGGATGGCGCCAGGGGGGACGCCGCGCCGGCGGAGACCAATGAGCGTGTACATGCGCGGGTCGTCCCAGCCGTCAACGTAGCCGCCCGAGACGAGCTTGAGCATCTTGCGCTTGGACATCACCGCACCTTCGATCGACAAGCGGCCATACTCGTACTGACGCGGCTTGTATACGTCGAGCGCGTCACAAAGCCACTCGTACGACTCGCGCGAGAGGATAAACTCCGTCGTGCAGAGCGAGTGTGAGATGTTCTCGAAGCTGTCGACCAGGCAGTGTGTAAAGTCGTACGTCGGGTAGATGCGCCACGTCGTGCCGGTGCGGTGGTGCGGCGCGTCGAGCACGCGGTACGCAATCAGGTCCCACATCTGGGGGTTGCCGCTCCCCAGGATGTCCTGCTTCATGCGCAGTGTCGCCTCACCCGGCTTGTACTTGCCTTGCTTCATGTCCTCGAACGCCTGCAGCGACTCGGAGATGGGCCGATGGCGCCACTTGCTCTCCTTGCGCTCGCCCTTGTCAGGACCGCCGCGACCCTCGCGAATTTCGTCCGCGGTCGAGTGGTCGACATACGCAAGGCCGCGGCGGATCAGTTCGACGGCCAGCTCGTAGAGTCGGCCAAAGTAGTCGGACGAGTAGGTCACCTTGTAGGGCTCGAAGCCGAGCCAGCGCACCGTCTCGAGGATGCTCGTAAAGTACTTTTCCTCCTCGGCCGCCGGGTTTGTGTCGTCAAAGCGCAGGTAGCATAGTCCCCGGTGGAAGCGCGCATAGCCAAAGTTGACAGCAATGGCCTTGGAGTGGCCAATGTGCAGGTAGCCATTCGGCTCGGGCGGAAAGCGCGTCACGACGGAGCCGTTCGTCGCCTTGAGATGCTCCTCGCGCAAATACTCGTGCTTCTGGGGGTTGCCGCCTGGCTTGTGCAGCGAGGCGAGGAATCCCTCCTCGAACATGGCGTCCGGGCGCACCGACGGCTCCTTGGGCTTGTCGGCCTTGGGCGCCGCGCTGGGGGCAGCCGCCTTTTTTTTCGGCGCCGCGGTACGGGGACCGAAGCGCGCAGTGAGCTCGGCCTCGACGGCCGTCTTGATGTCGCCCGCGTTCGCCCAGCGCATCGACGGCGCCGCGCGCACAGCAGCCATAATGGCCGACATTTTTGGCCAGCCGCCGGCCTCCTCGAGCGCCTGCTTTTGCATGTCCATGTGCTGCACCACAGCCTCGCGGCATGCATCCGGCGACACGTGCACGCCGACGCCGCAGTGCGCATCAAACGCGGCGGCATCGCTCAGGTCGACCGCGTCGGGCGCGACGTACTGGCACGCGGTCTGGATCTGGTCGGTCGTTTTGAGGTCCTTGCGAACAATGCGCTGCACAATGTATTCGAGCTTCTCAGCAGGGAGCTCGCAGCCTGACGACGCCGCAACCACGACCATGGAGCCGGTCTTTGCATCGAGCGCCTGCTCATCGAGGTGCAGGTCCACAATGACTTGCTCCAACGCGCGCGCATACTTGGGGTTCTTGATGGTATCGGCGGCACGCTGGCCTGTGAGTGAGATCCGCGCAAAGAGGTCAAGGAGCCGTGAGACGTGCGGGTCGCTGGTATCGAGCTTGGGCGCCATGAAGGAGAGGCAACGAGCGCCGCCGCGCTCCTGACCGTGTCACGTGCTATGAGCTAGTCTACACGGATGTGCTGGTACAAGCGGCGCACGCATGCGTAGCAGGCGGCGAAGCCGATGAAGCCAAAAAGAAGGAATGCGAGCGTCGATATCAGCACAAGGTAGCCCAGAAAGAGGACTTGGCTCGAAAAGTCGGGAAGGTTCAGACGCGCGAGGACAAAGAAGACGCCGTACGCAAAAAGCCACACGGCGCTCGCGCCGCCCGTGATGAACGCGCGCCAGTGCCAGCGGTATTCTTCGGCGCACAGCTGGCAGTAGCACGTGAGAATCGACACAGTCGCGGTTGTAAGAGCCGTCACCAGGAACGTGAGGGTGAGGAACCCGAACGCGTAGTACACGCGGTTGCCGAAGAGCGAGTTCATGATGAAGAACAGCTCGAGCCATGCGGCGCCGAACGGCAGCATGCCCGCCAGTAGCGCCGACGGCCACAGGCGCAGGTACCACGGGCACGGCGGGATCTGCCGCGGGATCTGGTTCACACGCACAGGGTGCGACAGGCCGCCTGAGCGCAGGCCCAGGTACGAGCCGACGAGCGAGAGAGGCACCTGGATGAGGAACCACAGCGCGGCGAGTGCGAGCAGCGTGCCGAACGGTACGGCGCCGGCCGACTGGTTCAGCACGAGCACGACGTTGAGCACGTTGATCATCGCAAAGACGGCTGTCGGCACGAGCAGCGCCGCAAGGAGCATCGTGCGCCGCCACTGCTCGCCGTCGAGACTCGCATACAGCTTGGCACTGACAAAGCCACTCACGCTGCCCAGCAGGGTCCACGCGACCACGAGGATGGTGCCGAGCGAGCCGCGGTTGGAGGGGCTCAGGAAGCCGAGCAGCGCAAACACGAGCGTCACACACACCATCGCGCCAAGCTGGGCGCCCGCGCCGGCCAGCACACTGAGCAGGACGGGCGACGCAGGCGCCCGGAACACCTCGCCATGCACGAGCTTCCACCCGTAGTCTTCCTGGATATCCTCGGTAAGGTCGATCGCATTGTAGCGGTAGATGTCTCGGCGCATAGCGCGCGCCATGATCAGCGCAACGAGCGTGCACAGCAGCGCCACAATGGCCGTCGAGTTGAGCAGCGCGTACCAGTGGATACGCGCGTCGAACACATGCAGGTAGGCATCCCAGCGCGTGGCCCAGGGCGTATCGCTCGGCGTCCACTGCACCGTGTACGTGTACGCCACGGTCGTCGACGCGTTCGGCGACAGGAAGAGCGGCAACTTGACCTCGCACGACGCCACGCCGCCGGGCGCCTGGCCGGGCGGCACCGAGGCGAGCGACATGGGGCGCACATTGACGCCGACGACGCGGTACTCGCCCTTCGTGCGCTCGTGGTACGAGATATTCAGGACATAGTGGTTGTACAGCGCGGGCGTCGGCAGCACATGGCCGCGCGCATCAAGAAAGGTGCCGAGCGCAAACCCAACCGAGTTGGTGCGCAGCGTCCCGTCGCCCTGGGTCATGTCGACGTCGACGACAGGGAGGTGATCGACCATCCAGTTGACGGCGTATCGCTCGCGGATGCGCTCGTTCACAAAGCGCGCCTGCTCCGCAGAGACCTGCGTTTGGCACAGCACTGCACAGCTCTTGGCCTCGAGCATGCGCACCTGCAGCGCGCTGTTGTAGATGCGGTCGCCGAAGAGAGCACTGCCAAGGCCGCCAGGCTCGGCCTTGATGCCATCCGCAGGCTGGCAAAACCCAAGGCGCTCGTCATAGTAGTCGTAGCTCACAAGGCCGTGCACGGGCGTAGCACCCGCCATGGGCTGCAGCGCATTCACTTGCACCGACACGGGATCACCCTCACGGAACGAGTTCGGCGCGCTGCCAGGCAGGTACCACGCCTGCGCCGGCGCCGCAGCGAGCGCGAGCGCGCACGCCCACGCCACGAAGAGTCGCATGGCGAGCCGCAGGAGCCGAGCGCTGAGGGGGGTCATATCACGTGAGGTTCGCGACAAGCCCCACGCCGTGCGACCATGGCGCTCCGGGTGCGTAGGGCCCGCTGACCGCAGGCGTACTCGTTCTGGATCTTTGATCGCCACTGCGAGGCGATCTACTACCAGGACTGGTCGCACCTGCACCAGCAGGGGCCGTCCAGTGCCGCGTCGTCGTTTACATCGTCCATCTCCTCGACATTGCAGCGCGTGGGCGGCGCGCAGGTCGACACAGACAAGCCGGCCACTGAGGCGCTGGTGCGCGCGCGCGGCGAGGCGCTCGATGGCGTGAGCCGCTCCGTGCAGTCGGACGCGAGTCAGCCGGCGGACGCGCGCCTCCTCCCGCTGGACCAGGAAGCCAAGCTCATCTATGGTGTGGTCTACTCGCTGCGCCACATGGTGCGCAAGCTGGGCGGCCTGGACGAGACGTTCCACAACTTTTCCACATCGACTTATACCCTCACACACATGCAGACGCCGACCATGTACACGCTCGTGCTCGTGACCGATCCACCGCCCACGCGCTCGGACAAGGGGCCCCTGGCCGGTCTCGCAGGCACGAGCCCGATTCCCGGCACCAATGGCATGACGCTGCGCGGCGTGCTGCGCGAGCTGTGGCGCGGTCCGTGGGTGCAGTATGCGGCAGGGCACCCCCTTGTGCATGCGACGGAGCGCGAGGCATATGGGCCGGCGTCGGCAGACGCGCCGCGCTGCGCACGCACGCGCGGCATCGACAATGATGCGCTGCGCGACGCGATTGAGCAGGTACTGGTGCAGTACAAGCTGCTTCCGCCATAGCTAGCTACGAAGAGGCAGGCCCTGCTCGTTGAGCAGCGAGTGAGCGCCACACCCACGCTCCAGCACGCGAGGTCCGTCGCCGACGCGCGTGTGGATGAGGCGGCGCACGCTGCCGCTGGGGTGCACCGGTACGGCGTCCTCGCGGAAGCTGGGCGGCAGGGCCGGCAGGGTCGACGAGCTCACGTGGAGCTGGAAGGGATCGTCAAAGCTGGCGTCGGGGAAGTAGTGGTGCATGACGCCAAGGACGGTCGGCATGTCCTTCTCGCGCACGTAGAGGACGGCGTTGGGGCCAGCGTCGAACGTGTACGCGGCGATCGGGTCATCGCCTGCGTCCTTGCGCGCACGATTCAGCTCCTCGATGACCTGCACAATCGCACGCGATGTGTCGTTCATGTAAAAGATCGGCGGCGCTGTATCGAGGCAGCATGCGTGGAAGTTGTTGGAGTCGGCGGTCGTCAGGTCGGTGAATGCGCCAAAGTCGCGCTGCTGGATCGCCTCGCGCATGCGGCGCATGCGCTCCGGCACCACCTGCTGGATGCGGTGCTGCAGGAGGGGCGATGTCTCGACAGTGCGCTGCATGCCGCTCGTGGACGACGTGCCTTTCTTGGCGTCGTTCACGACGCAGATCAGGACGTGCAGGTCAGGCCAGTGCTCGCGCTCAGCGACGCACACGGCCAGCGAGTCGTCGCCGTTGTCCTGCTGCCCCATGTCCCATGCGACAAAGCCACCAAACACGGAGCGGCACGCCGAGCCACTGCCGCGACGCGCGATCTTGGAGAGCTCGGAGCGCGAGAGCGTTTCGCTGAGGCCGTACAGTTCGGCCACAGTCACTGCCAGCGCCGCAAAGCCCGACGCCGAGGACGCGAGGCCCGCGGCGGTCGGGAAGTTGTTCTCCGAGCACAGGCGCAGGGCCCAGCGGGAGAGCGGGGGGAGCGACGGGTCCGCCTTCTCGCGCTCGGCCCGCAGACGGCGGAGCTCATGGAGGCACGCATCGAGGCGGCCGCCCGGCTGGATCGTCTCCTCGTGGCCGTTGAGCCACAGGCGGTCCTGGCACGAACCCGCGCCGACGGTGCCGAACGACTCGTCCGCGCGTGCCGTCGTGACGGTGCGCAGGTGGTCCTGGTCGAGCGTGACACTCAGGCTGTCATTCGTGGGCAGGATGAGCTTCGTGTCGCGCTTGCCCCAGTACTTGACCACGGCAATATTCACAGGCGCGGTGCAGGTAGCCTGGTGCACCGACATGGTGGAAATCGACTGACTCCCACGTGGCTCCATCTCTGGCACCCCCATCGTAGCACCCGCCTATAAAACAGTGGCATCGTCGGTATGCTATTTTTGAGCTGCATGTGCGCACGACGCGGATAGCTATCTGTGCCTCATACAGCGAGGATCGTATGCACTTAGAACTAACGGGTAAGTAATAAAACGTACGCGCAGGGGAGTGAAGAACCACCGGTTCTTGCCGCTCTGGTAGCGCTCCTCAAAGAGCTTCTTGATCGCCTTCTTGGCCTCCTCACGCTGCGACACCTCCTTGAACGTGTCCGCCGAGACAGTGCCCTTCAGACCCTCGAGCTCCAGAGCGTAACGAGTAGGGAAGAGGTGGTTGTAGTTGATGACCTGGCGTTAGCAAACCTCACATACCTTGATGAAGGGCTTGATCTTGCTGCGGCGAGCGAGCTTCTTCGCGCCCATCGACTTCGTCACCTTGAGCGGGTAGCGCTCAATACCGGCGGCAATCACGAAGGGGAAGCCGTGCTCCTTGTTGCCCTCGTCGTGCTGCTTGATCACGACGACCTGACTGTTAGCCTGTCCCGACCATGTGGCACCGAGCGAGCGGTGCTGCGCAAAACCTACCTTCTTACCAGCGTGCCGACCCTGGAGAACAACGCTGTCATGTGTGAGCCCTGACTCGACAGAAATGATACGTACGCAACCTTACCGGGCTTGTAGATCTTAGGCATGACGACGTAGGACGATGCGTTGAGAGGAGGAAGCCTTCGCAGGCCAGGCCGGTTTCGCAGTTGAGTCACGTGTGACATATAGTTTTGGGTCACGTGTTTCGCGAGCTCGCGGAAAAGAGCGCCGCCGCCGCCCGCCGCTCTCCTCAACCAAAGCACAGGTACGTGCCCACGCACACAGCTCACACCACAGGTACCAAGTATGGGTAAGCCTAGGGGTCTCTATACAGCGCGCAAGCAGGTCACCACCCGCCGCGACAACAAGTGGAGCGATGCCCACTTCAAGAAGCGTGCTCTGGGCAACTTCTACAAGACCTCGCCTACCGGTGGCTCGTCGCAGGCCAAGGGTATCGTTCTTGAGAAGATCGGTGTTGAGGCCAAGCAGCCCAACTCGGCTATCCGCAAGTGTGTGCGTGTCCAGCTCATCAAGAACGGTAAGAAGGTGTCGGCCTTCGTGCCCTTCGACGGTTGTCTGAACTTTGTCGACGAGAACGACGAGGTTCTCATCGAGGGTTTCGGTCGTAAGGGTAAGGCCAAGGGTGATATTCCCGGTGTGCGTTTCAAGGTTGTGAAGGTGTCGGGTGTCGGTCTTGCGGCCCTCTTCAAGGAGAAGAAGGAGAAGCCCCGTTCGTAAAAGTGTGCGTCTCGCACCTGGATCCAGCGACCCGTGTCTCGCCCGGTGTCCGGATCCATGTCTGTATCTGCCATTGATGCCCCTCGCAGTCGCGAATCCAAAATATATCGCCTCACTCTATGTATAGCGCATGGCGCCTCTATAGAATGTGCGTGTCCGCAGGTCACTGGATCCAGCGTGCCTTGGCCGTGTCCTGCTGTGCCGCAAGCTGCGTGAGTAGGACACACGTACAAGCTCCTGCTCCTGCTTCACCTCAGCAGCGCGCGCGGCATCGACGTGCGCACGTCGTTGTGCATCCACTTTGCGGCGCAAGTCAGGGGACAGACTCTGTATGTCAGGCGCGCGTACGCACATCATAGAGCTCCTGCTCGTTCGGCGTAGCAGCTTGCGTCAGCACATATATCACCTACTCTTGAGCAGCAGGTAGCCTACGCCAATAATCACAGAGCCGCCCGTGAGGGCCCGCAACCAATTCGCTGCGCCACCGGCCATGGTACAATGGAGACAACCTCCACGACCGGCCCGGCGGCCCCCCAGGCGGCGGCTGACCAGCCCCGCCCCACCGACAAGGTCGCGAGCCTTGGGCCATTTTCTCTACGCATCTACCAACTAGCTAGACATCCTCTCAACAGGCGCCGGGCATGGCGTACGAGGCGCCCGCTCGGGGTCGGGCGCCGCGTCACGTGGACGCCAAAAAAATGTCGGCGCTGAGCGTCCTGCCTGTCTCGCCAGCATGTCGACCGTGTACCATGCGGCGCTGAAGCGCGAGGCGCCTGCGAACAAGAAACGCGGGCTGGAAGATGCGGCGGATGGTGCAGAATCCAAGGTTCGGCGCAACAAACAGCGGGTCCTCGTGCTCCCTTCGCGGGGCGTGACGACGCGCATGCGGCACCTGGTGAATGACGTCGAGGCCCTGCTTCCGCACTCGAAGAAAGGTACGTGCCGTGCCTAACATGTAGACTCCAAGCTGGACAGCAAGTCGGATATGTCCGTGCTGAATGAGCTGGCGGAGCTCAACAACTGTAATGTGTGTTGTCGACGCTGACAGACAGAACTGCCTGTACTTCGAGGCACGGCGCCACGAGGACCTGTACTTGTGGATGTCCAAAACCCCGAATGGGCCGTCGGCGAAGCTGCAAGTGCAGAACATTCACACGATGGACGAGCTCAAAATGACGGGCAACTGCCTCAAGGGCTCGCGCCACATCCTGAGCTTTGACCAGGGCTTTGAATCGGCGCCGCACTGGCGCCTGCTCAAGGAGATGCTCACGCAGATTTTCGCAGTGCCACGCACCGCGCGCCGTGCCAAGCCGTTCATCGACCATGTCCTGACATTCAGCATCCTAGACAACAAAATCTGGTTCCGCAACTACCAGATCATCGAGAAGGACCCTGGCGCGGTGGCGGCTGCGGAGGCCAAGGGCCTGGACCCCAAGTCGGCGTCGCAGGACCCGACGCTCGTGGAGATCGGTCCGCGTATGGTCATGACGCCTATCCGCGTCTTCGAGGGCAGCTTCGGTGGCCCGACGCTGTTCGATAACCCCGAGTACATTTCGCCGAACGCCGTGCGCCAGGCCATGCGCCGCGAGAAGGGCCAGGCGTACAAGTCCAAGGTGCTGCAGGCCGAGAACCTGCGCCGCAAGCGCGACACGTACAAGGGCCACGAGGGCGAGCTGAGTCGCTCCAAGGTATTTTCATGATAGTGTACAAGCTACAAACGCTTCTTCCGGCTGATGAGCACGACACGCTTCTTTGGCGCGTCCGGCCGGTCCGCCTGCCCCAGCTTGTTTTTCTTGACGGCAGGTGTCTCGTGCTCGTCGGCCTCCAGTAGCGAGAGATCCACGCCAGGGATCGGCTCTGTAGAAGGCGAGACGGTGAAGGCAGACGCGAGCGTGTCCTGGTCAAAAGGCACGATGGGCGTGTAGGTATATTCCGGCTTCATGAGCATCTTCTCCAGGTCCTTGGGCGGCGCGTGCCGCGCCGAGCCCGTGCGCTTTGGTGGGCGCACTTTGCCGGGGAGCCCCTCAACATAGTGCATGAATGTCCTGGGCATCGTGGCGCGCTTGGTCTGCGCGGCCGCCTTGTCCGCCTCGGTCGCATCAGGGCCTAGCTCCGGTCGAAGGTACGGTCGCACGGCCGAGTCGTACAGGGGCATGAGGCCGAAGAGCGTCAGCACGTCCTGGGTGCCGTTCAGGTGGAAAGGGACGAGCCCCTCAGGCTCGCGGATCGGGGCAGGCACATAGGCAGGGTTAGCTCCTTGCGCCGCCTCCATGGCGGTGGGTGGAAGCAGGGCGACGACGCGGGAAATGGCCCCATTTCTCCACCCATCATGATGAACCTGGGCGCATGGATCCCTGCCACGCCGCTGGCCCAGTGGCTCCTGCTGGTCGGTGCTATCGCTACGTTGAATGGACTGCAGAACCTTGTGAACCCTGCGTTTAGCCGCCGTGTGTATGCGTCGAAGGCAGGCGAGAAGGAGGCCTCGTCGCTGGCCGCGCGCCTGTTTGGCATCTGGAACCTGACGTCGGCCATGGTGCGGCTGTACGCTGCGTACCACATGCACGAGCGCGGGTACGTTTCGTGTGCTAACGCAGTGCATACATGCTGTGTCTCGGCACGTTTGTGATTGCGCAGGTGCACTTTGTGTCGGAGATGCTGTGCTTCGGCACGCTGGCGCTCGCGCCCGGATCGATCAGTCCGATCGTTGTGTCCAGTATGTACCGCCGACTCACGCAGCGTGCTCGGCGGCAGCGATGATCGCGCAGTTTCGTCACTATATTGCCTAATTGTCGAGCGGCTCGATCGGTGGGATCGGACCGAGCGGCACGATGCTCGTGGGGTTGATCTGGATGTGGCTGCTGTAGTAGTGCGCCTTGATCGACTCAAAGTTGGTCGTCTCCTTGAAGCCCGGCACCGTCCAGTAGAGCGTGCGCAGCCAGCGGTGCAGGTGCGGGTAGCGCCCGCCGCGGATCTGCTGGATGTTGCACTTGAAGTGGCCATGGTACACCGGGTCAAAGCGCACAATCGTGGTGTAGAGGCGGATGTCCGCCTCGGTAAGGCGGTCGCCAAAGAAGTACTTCTTGTCGCCGATGAGCTTGTCCGCACGCTCGAGCGCCTCGAAGAGGGGCACGACGGCCTCCTCGTACGCCTCGGGGGTCGTCGCAAAGCCCGCGCGGTACACGCCATTGTTGATGTTCGGGTACACCCACGAGTGGAACTCGTCGATCTGCGCACGCAGATCCTCCGGATAGTACGTAATGCCACGCACATCGCCCGGCAAGAACTCATCGAACGCCGTGTCAATGAAGCGGATGATCTCAGACGACTCGTTGTTCACGATCGTGTTGAGCTTGTTGTCCCAAATGACCGGCACCGTCGGGCGCTTCTGGTACGACGGGTCGGCATCCAGGTAGAACTCGCGCAGGAACATCTTGTTCTCGTGGCCCGGGATGCGGTTGCCCGAGCCCTTGACGAACGGGCGCTCCACTTCGCGCGAGCCGACGCACCAGCCCTCAGGACCCAGGAACGAGTCGACGACGGTCACGGGCAGCAGGTCCGGCACCGTGTCCATCTTCTTGAGCTTGCGCACAAGCAGGACGCGGTGCGCCCACGGGCACGCCTCCGCGACAATCAGGTGGTACCGGCCCAACTCCGGCTGGAATCGTCCTCCCTTTTGGATCACATCGCGGAACGCAGAGTCTTGCCGGTGAAAGCGGCCGTCAGCGCTGGCCTGGTGCGGGCTCGAGCCGGGAAGTTTTGTCGACATGGTGGCAACGAAGATCGGGCGGGGAGGTCGGGCCGCCAAAAAGGTCCGTGCAACGGGTCGCCACATGCACGCCGGAAAGCAAGCCTTATCTCCGAGACGCCACGAGGACATAAGCGCCACACGCCCAGCGCACACGCATGTGGAGGACATGCGCGGCGGGCGCCGCGGTCAGTGCCAGGGCCACCTGGTGCGCCCTCGCGCGCTGTGCGCTGCTGTGCAGGTACGCGTGTGCCGAGCAGCGCAGCAGCGGCTCGGCTGCTGCACCACGCACGGAGACCGTGAGCGCCGGGACATGCTGCGCGCCGCGCTGCGTGCGCGGCGCATCGCGCGGGTCGCATATGTCGAGAGAGAAGGCCAGCTCCGGGCACAGGTGCTTGCCGTCCTCGTCGGCACACTGCACGCAGAATCGGTGTTCACGGGGAAGGCTGGCGTAAGTCGTGGGCACATACAGGACGTCGCAGCGTCGGCACCACGTGCGGCGCCAGTCGGTGTCTGGCGCGAGGCGGAGCACGCAGCCGGCCACGTCGGCCTCGCTGGGGAGTTCGCCATCGAGCATGTCTCGCACGGATATCACTGGACCTTAGCAGATGCTACGCACTGTCATCGGAGTCCAAGGCGTACCGTGGCGCCTGCACCGGTTCCATCGCAGCGACGGGAAACAGCGAGGCGGGCGGCAGTGCGCCGGGCTCGTCACTCTCCGGCGCAGCATGCGCGCTCGGCGACGCGGTGCGCATGCGCGCGGGGGGCGGCGCAGCTACGGGTGACGCGCTGCGTTTCTGCGCCGCGCGCTGCGTCATCCATGAGCGCCGGCGCTGCAGGAGGGGCGCAAGCAGCGCATCACGCTCGTCAAGGATCGTAATGGTGTCGCTCTGGCGACTCTGACTGCCCATCGCGCCGAGCAGGCCTTGCCACGTATGTGCACGTACATGGACCCGCCCGAGGCGCACAAACTGGCCGGCATGCAAGCGCAGCGCCAGTGCGCCTTGCTCCCCCCACAGGCCCACATGGAAGACGCGCCCGCGGCAGCTCGCCTCGTCGCGTCCAAAGCGGCGCTGCAGGTGCTCGTCGTTCTGCTGCAGCGCCTCGTTGCACGAGTAGTCCGTGACATACAGATCCGGCACGTGCCGACCGAGGTGCACCGCGACGAGCTCCACGACGAGGTCGGCCGTCGTGCCCGCCCGCAGCTCGGCAATGGTCGGGAGGGGCGCAGGCGCGCGCGGCTCGCTGGACTGCGTCAGCTGCGTCAGCGCCGCGGCCTCTTCGGGACCGATGTGCGTGCCTGGGAGCTGCGTGAAGGTGCCATGTGAGCAGAGGGCCCACGAGTAGGGCCGGAACGCGGGGCCCACACAGACGACACGCCCCAGGAACTCTTTGCACTGAATGTGGCGGAGCAGGATCGCGTCGCCCGCGCGCGCGTGGTGCGGGAGCTGATCGAGCTGGCGCGCAAACAGGTTCGCGGGCACGACCGTGCCCGGCGCGCCCGGCTGCGTCGGTGCGCGAAGGTACACGCGCACCATGGCGTCCGCGCCCTTGTCGGTGCCGCGCACGGTCGGCGGCTCAACGAGCACGCCCATGACATTCGCGAGCTGGCCCGCGTGGATCTCGTGGAGAGGGGTATAGGTCAGCTGGTCGCACTCGGTGGGCGGATGCGTGCGCTCGGGGGACGCCGTCGTGGGACGCGTGTCTGCCGGCGCCGGGGGCGCCTCGTCGGCGTCCGCACACGAGCCGAACCACGCGTCACTGCAGAGCGTGGGCTTCGGCGCATCGGCCGGCTGAACCACGACCGTAGCGGGCCGCGTGCGATCGCTCTCGAACCACAGTGTGAGAGGGCCCGCGTCGGCCGTCTCGACGAGCGCCTTGAGCGCGAACTGCTCGGCCCACACGACGCCGGCGCGCGGCGGGTCCTTCGGGAGGCGCTGGAGCTCGGCGCCGTAGCCAGACACGAACACGTAGATCGGCGTGGACGCTGCATGCCGACCAAGCGCCTGGTGCAGCGCTATCGCATGGCGCCCGCGGAGCATGAGCGGCACCGCACAGCCGTCCGGCGCGTCCAGGCAGCACTGGAACGACGGCGTGGCCTCTGTGCCCACCTCTGTGACGTGGCTCAGCGCGCCCGCCGTGCACACCGTCGCGCCGCGTCCCCGCGCGATGCGCGCAAGCCAGCGCGCAAGCGGCGCATTCTCGCCCAGCATCGAATACTCGCCGGGATCAATGCCCAGCAGCGGCGTGTCGGGGTGACTCTGCTGCGCGCCCGACGAGGCGAACGGCGGCCCTGACTCTGTGTCCTGCACTGGATACGGTACATTCGCACGCTCGACCACGCGCATCTCGACCGCAGGGCGGCGGCGGCGCGAGCGGCCCATTGCGAGTGCCGCGCCCGTCGTGGCGGCTGGCGCGGCGTTCGCGCCCTCTCCACATCGTCACGCGTCGCGCCTCTTCGGTTCTGCCGGCATGCAACAGACGCAGCGTGCGTATGTGGGACTCACGCAGTGTCGTTTGAGAAGGACGGCGACGCGAGGGGCGAGGTGCCTGGGCGAGGTCGTGTGCCGCGCATCCGCCTTAAGCGCCAGGCAGCATCGATGCCGACGCTGCCCGTCATGTACGACGGACCGCTGCCGCCCGCGAATGTGGCCGCGCGCCTGTATTTGTACGACTATGTGGCCTTCCTCGATGATGCCGAGGCACTCTCTGTCCCACCACGGTGCCTGGATGCCGTGCATGCATGGGATGATGCGATTGTATCGGCCATCCTCGTGCGCCTGATCGTGCCTCTGGCGCACCTCGCGACGCTCGAGCATGGGACGCCCACGAGCCGCACGGCCGACACGGTCAAGGCGCTGCGCAAGTATGGCGCGACGGCGCCGGCGTCGTGGGCGGCGGCGCAGGCCCTCGCTGCGCAGTACCCCGTCGCGCCGTGCGAGCTCGAGGAGGTGGACGCGGGGATCGCGCCGTGGAGCGTGCCGCCACCGCGCGACGCGCCCGTGGATCTAGGGCCGCGGCGCACGCGAAGCACGGCGCGCCTCGAGGCGGCGGTGGCCGCGCTGAACGAGAGCGAGGCTATGGACGAGGACGACGGCGTGCTGGTGCGCCGCTCGCGCCGCGCGTCCGAGCGGGCGGCGCGGCAGCACGAGGAAGAGGTGCGCGCGCGCGCGCGCCAGGCCCTGGGGCGGGCGCGTGAGCCGACGCCGGACGATGCCGAGCCACTGCACCTCGAGGCCAAGGTCGCGTGCCTTGTGCAGCTGTGCGATGCGCTGAGTATCACGACGACCAAGAGTGCGCCGTTCGAGTCGCCGCTGCACGCGCTCGTGCAGGCCGTGCTGGACCGTGCTGGCGCCGAAGAGCGCAAGGCGCGGCACCGGACGCAGTCGACGGACGCGGCGTGTGAGGCCGAGATGCGTGCGTGCCAGCGCCGTGCGCCGTCGATGGCGTCGCCCCGGTACGCGGCGTGGAAGCAGGAGGTACGCACATCTTCTTACGCAGAAACAAGCCATGGCGGACGCCCATGCGGCGCAGCGCCTCGCGGCGGCGGTGCAGGAGCACGTGCAGGTGCGGCGCCTGACGCCGCGCTCGGGCCCCTTGGGCCGCGACGCGCAGGGCCACGAGTACTGGCAGCTGCTCCCGGTCGTGCACCCTGGGGAGCTCGGCGCGGCGGTGCCTGGCGTGCACGCGCCCTTCTCTGGGCACTGGTCGCACGCGCTTGTGGTGCGGTGCGCGGGGGAGGACGTGTGGCGCGCGACGACGTCGGCGGACGACGTGGCTGCGCTGGTGCAGTGGCTCGAGGGGCGCGGGCGTGCCGATGCGGCGCTCGTGGCGCGGCTGGCGCATGTGCGGGACTACCTGGCGTGGCTACCTACTGCTCGGGCTTGTTCGCCGGGAACGCCAGCACCTCCTTGATGGTGTGCGAGTCGGTGAGGAACATGACGAGGCGGTCGATGCCGAGGCCCCAGCCGCCGGTCGGCGGGAGACCGTGCTCGAGGGCGTCGAGGAAGACGTGGTCGACGCCCTGCGCCTCGTCGTCGCCGGCCTCCTTCTGGCGCGCCTGCTCCTCGAAGTTCTCGCGCTGCACCCACGGGTCGTTGAGCTCCGTGTACGCGTTGGCGATCTCCTTGGTCGCGACGAACGCCTCGAAGCGCTCGCACAGGCCGGGGATGTCGCGGTGGCGCTTGGCGAGCGGCGACATGATCTGGGGGTGGCCGATAATGAACGACGGGTTGACGCACTGCGACTCGATGAACTCGCCGACGAGCTTGTCGATGAGGCGGTTCGCCGTGCGGGGCTCGCCGCACTCGACGTTGTGCTGCGCGCACAGGTCGCTGAGCCACACGCGCGTCTCCTCGGTGTGCAGCTGGTCGGCCGGGGGGAACTTGACGCTGAGCTGCTTCTCGAGCTCGGGGATCATCTCGAAGCGCTTCCACGGCGTGGAGAAGTCGATCTCCATCGTGCGCCCGCTCGGGTCGTCCTTGCCGTCGGGGTGGTACGTCACCTTGTAGCCGCCGGTGACCGCCTTGACGAGGCCCGAGATCATGCTCTCGGTGATGTCCATGAGGTCGTACATGTCCGCGTACGCCATGTAGAACTCACAGGTGGTGAACTCGGGGTTGTGCGTCTGGTCGATCGACTCGTTGCGGAACACGCGGCCGATCTCGTACACACGGTCGAGGCCACCGACGACGAGCTCCTTGAGGTACAGCTCCGGCGCAATGCGCATGAACAGGTCCATCTTGAGGTCGTTGTGGTGCGTGACGAACGGCTTCGCACTCGCGCCACCGGCGATCTGGTTCATCATCGGCGTCTCGACCTCGAGGAAGCCAAGCGAGTCGAGGTAGCGGCGCACGTACTGGATCGTGCGCGCGCGCGCCACAAACACGTCGCGCACATGGGGGTTCATGATCAGGTCCAGGTAGCGCTTGCGGTAGCGCTGCTCCTGGTCGGTGAAGCCGCCGCCCGACGTCTTCGGCAGCATCTTGAGGTTCGGCGCCAGCAGCTGGATCGCGTGCGGCACGATCGACAGCTCGCCCTTCTTCGTCTTCGCCGGCACGCCCTTGACGCCGACCACGTCGCCACGGCGCAGCAGGTCGTGCACCGCGAAAAAGTCGCCCTCGCGGTGGTCCTGCATCTGCGCCATGATCTGGATCTTGACGCCCTCGCCGTGCAGGTCGTAGAAGCGCAGCTTCTGGCCCGACGCCCGCATGTTGTGCAGGCGGCCCGCCACCGACACGACCTCGTCGAGCTGCGCGCCCGGCTCCACGCGGCGCTGGAAGCGCGCAATAAAGTCGGTCAGGCTCAGCGAGACGTGGAACTTGTGGGGGTACGGGTCCGGCTGCCGGCTCTCGCGCAGCGCCTGGATCGCGCGCCGGCGCATCTCGTAGTACTGGTTCGGCGTGAGCGTCTCCTCCGCCGCGAGCGCCGAGCCCGCCTTGGCGGGCGCCGCGCCCGCCGCCTCCGCCTTCGCCGCCTTCTCGGCGTCCTTTTGCCGCTGCTTCTGGCGGCGCTTGAGCTCGCTCTTGCTCACCATCTCGCCCGTCACAGGGTCCGCAAGCAGGTTCACTGCACCTGCATCAGCCTGGTTCTCGGTCATCTTGGTCGTCCAGCGTCGGTTGGTCGGTACGGTTGCTCGGATCAGGCCACGTCGAGGAAGCACGCCAAGCCGCCGCAGCATACCAAGGCGAAGAAAAAGCCCGCCGCGACCCTTGCCCCCGACGCCGCCGGCCGACCTACTCGGTCCTCCACCAGCATGGAGGCGTGGTTCGCCGACCTCGCACGCTGGGTGCGCCGCCATGAGGCGGCGCTCGCCAGCGACGCGTCGACCACGACGCTGCAGATCGACCTGTCGCACCTGCACTACCTGCTCGTGCGCTGCGAGGGCCTCGGGCGCGACGTCGGGCCGCTCGATCTCGAAGTCGCGCCCCCGCGCCCCGTCGCGCGCCCCGCCGACGAGACGCGCAGCCTGTTCTCGATCCAGGACACACTGCACAGCCTCTCGACGTGGTGGGGGCCGAGCGACGCGCCCGACGACCGCGTGTTCCGCTACCTGCACACGCAGTGCATGCGCGTCCGCCGCCTGCGCCTCACGCCGGCCACGGGCGCGCCGGGCCTCGCGGACTTTCCCGGCGCACACGCCACGCCGCTGCACACGTTCAAGTCGCTGACGCACCTCACGCTCGACGGCGTCCCGCCGGCGGCCGTCGTCGGGTGGGACCGCCTGTGCGTGCAGCTGACGCACCTGACCGCGCTGCACACCGGCGTGCCGGACATGGCCGACGTGTTTGTCGACCTCGTGCGCCGCGACACACGCCGTGACTCGCTCCCTGCGGCGGCGTGGCACGCGCTCCGGCACGTCGCGCTGCCGCACAACGAGCTCACGTTCCTCTCGTCCGACGCCCTCGACGCCCTACCGGCGCTCGCGCACCTCGACGTGAGCCACAACCTGCTCAACGCCGTGCCGCCCGCCCTCGACTCGGCGCCGCATCTCCAGTCGCTCAGCGTCGCGGACAACCTGATCGATAGCGTGCTCGGCATCTACCACACGCTCCCCCACATCCGCGCGCTCGACTTGCGTGGCAACCGCGTGGACAGCCTCTGTGGCGTCGAGCGCCTCGCGCGCCTCGCGCAGCTGGACCTGCGCGACAACCTCGTGGCGGACGTGCGCGAGGTCGGGCGCCTCGCGACGCTGCCGCATCTCTCGCACGTGTGGATCGCCGGCAACCCCGTGCTGCGCGCCGAGCCCGATGCGCGCGTCGCGTGCCTCGCCGAATTTGCGCTCGAGCGCCACGCCGTCGTCCTCGACGACGCCGCGCCGAGCTTCTGGGAGCGCCGGCGCCTTGCCGAGCGCCTCTCGCACCAGGTCCCTGCCGGCGCGTCGCGCGGCGGCGAGCTGTCCGTGCCGGCNGGCACCGCCGACCCAGGCGTACCGCGAGCGCATCGAGCAGCTGCGCTCGCGGCAGGGCGACGACTGGCTGCGCACCGTCGCGCGCAGCGAGCTCGGCGAGGACGCGAGTGCGTTTCCGGTGCATGCCGTCGTGGAGGTCGCGCCGATCGAGTCGTTCCCGTGGCCGGTGCGCTCGTTCGTGCGCGTCGTGTCGCACCCCGTGGGCGCTGCGGCGGTGAGTGCGGCGGCGCTCGGCGGCGGCGCCTTTCTGTGGTGGCGCTTTTTCCGGCGCATCCCGTCCGCCGCGTACATTACGCCCGCCGTGCTGCGCTCGCGGCGCATGCTCGTGGGCCGCGTGACCAGGTACGTACTTACTACTTACGCAGCGTGGGCGACGCGGATGGCTTCCGTCTGTACCACACGCCGGGCCTGCCGCTCCTGCGCTCGTGGTGGCACCGTGTGCCGACGCAGGCGAGCGAGCTGCGGCGCGAGACCATCTCGGTGCGCCTCGCGGGCGCCGACGCCCCTGAGGCCGCGCACTTTGGGCGCGAGGGCCAGCCCTTTGCGGACGAGGCGCGCGCCGAGCTGCGGCGCCTCATCGAGGGCCGCACCGTGTGGCTCGACATGGCGCACATCGACCAGTACCAGCGGCTCGTCGGCGTCCCGTACGTGTGGCGCTGGCCGTACGTGTGGGGCCGCACGAACGTGTCGCTCGCGCTCGTGCGCCGCGGCCTCGCGACCGTGTACCGCAGCGCAGGCGCTGCGTACGGCTCGGCGGGGTGGCTCAGCCGCTGGCTCCTGCATGCCTCGTCCGGCCGCGCGGCGTTTGAGCGCGCCGAGGAACACGCGCGGCGCTGCCGCCTGGGCATGTGGAGCCTGGGCCGGAAGCTCGAGACGCCCGGCGCGTACAAGCACCGCATGCGCTAGCTACTCGACCACGACGCCGTCCAGAAGCTCGTTCTTGTCGTCCATCCCGTGCATGCGCCGGTGCTCGGCGCGTGCCTCGGCGCGGCTCGCCTGCCGCTGGCGCATGCGCTCGAGGACGCGCGTCGCCGACTGGAAGAGGCCCTCCGTCTTGGCGCCGCACGCGAAGCACTTTGGCGTCTTGGCGAAGCGCGTAATCGCGCACTGCGCGCAGAAGTAGTGCCCGCACTTGGTCACGATCGGATCCGTGAACGGCTGGCGGCACAGCAGGCACGCAAACGGAATGTCGTCGTCGTCGTCGCTCTCGACATCTGCGCCAAACGAGCCCGCGCGCGCGTCCGCTGCCTCGCCCACCGCGTTCATCTGCCAGCCGGCGAGGTAGTCGCTGCGGTCGTGCAGGAACTTGCATGTGTCGCCGAACCCACAGTACCCCGTCTCCTTGTAGTCCTTGCACACGTCCGGCTGGTAGTCGACCACGGTCACCGTGCGCACATTTGCTGGCGCCCTGATCGGCCCCTTGGCCTTGAACTTGGCCGACGAGCCGTCGTCACGCGTCTCGGTGAACTTCGCGTAGTTCGCGAGGCCGCGGTACGTGCCGTCCGCCGGCGCGGCCTCGCGGAAGTGCCGCAGCTCATCCTCGACGTCCCATTCGTGCGCACCGCGCGTCGCGTCGTCCTGATTCGCATTCGCGTTCTGCGCCGACCCACTCGCGCGCTCGGTGGCGTGCACGGTGCGCTCGCCAAAGCGGTCCGGCGCGCGCGTCGCCGCCGGCCGGTCGCTCTCCGCCACCCGCGCCCTTTTATCAACGACCGCCGAGCTGCTCTCGTCCGCGCCCGCGTCCAGCTCGCGCCGGCGCACGTCGCGCGCGCCGCCCCGCGCCCGCTTGCGGAACACGATGCGGTCGTCGTCCGCCATGACGGTGTGCTGAGTCAGCTGACCCCGAGTCGCTGGCCGTGCGAGCCTTTTTTTCAGTCGCCCCTGCGCTTTTCCTCGCCCTCCTGTCATGGACTCGACGCCGGTCCCGTGCCTTACTCTTCTTGGCCCGTCGGTTTCCCTCGAAGCCAAGCGGCAGCAGCTGCTCGAGCAGGTGCAGGCCGCTGTCCCCGAGGTCACGCGCGTGGACGGCGTGTTCCTGCATCTCGTGCTCGCGCAGTCGGACGCCGCGTGTGCGGCGCTGCGCGACGGCGCGAGTGCGCCGCGCGCGCGCCTCGATGAGCTGTTCGACTATGGCGACCATGTGGCGCTCGACGGCACCTGCGACGCCGTGCAGGCGGCGCTCAGTGGCGCGTCGGTGCCGGGCAAGGACGTCCTCTTCGTCCTGCCGCGTGCGGGCAACACGACGCCGTGGTCGAGCAAGGCCACGGACATTTCGCACATCTGTGGCATGGACGACACGGTGGCGCGCCTGGAGCGCGGCGTGGCGTACGTGCTGGACGTGCCGGCGCCGCTGAGCGACACCGCGCTCGGCCGCGCCGAGGGCCTCTTGCACGACCGCATGACGCAGACCATCTCGCGCGAGACGCCGCAGACGCGCGCGCGCGCGCTGTTTGGCACGTCCGAGCCAGGCGAGCTGCGCACGATCGAGCTGCTCGCGTCCTCGAGCGACACCGACTGGCAGGCGGCGCACGACCGCCTGGAGGCGGCGAACGCCGAGTTTGGCCTTGCGCTCGCGCCGGACGAGGTCAACTACCTCGTCGATGCGTTTGTGCGCGGGCAGGGCGACGAGGCGCCGCTGCGCCGCAACCCCACGGACGTGGAGCTGTTCATGTTTGCGCAGGTCAACTCGGAGCACTGCCGCCACAAGATCTTCAATGCGACATGGACGATCGATGGCGCGGTGCAGCCGCAGTCGCTCTTCAGCATGATCCGGCACACGCACAAGACGACGCCGCAGCACACGATCAGCGCGTACTCGGACAACGCGGCCGTGCTGGACGGCGCGGACGGCGTGCGCTTCCTGCCGGCGCCCGATGCGCTCGCGCTCGACGACGGCTCGGCGCTCGCGCACGTCTATGTCGGCCGCCGCGAGGCAATGCCGATCCTCGCCAAGGTCGAGACGCACAACCACCCGACGGCCATCTCGCCGTACCCCGGCGCGGCCACCGGCTCCGGCGGTGAGATCCGCGACGAGGGCGCGGTCGGCCGCGGCTCCAAGCCCAAGGCGGGCCTCGCCGGGTTCATGACGTCGAACCTGCACCTCCCCGGCGCGCCGATGCCGTGGGAGGAGGACGTCGGCTACCCGATGCACGTCGCGCGCTCGCTCGAGATCATGCTCGATGCGCCGATCGGGGCGGCCGCGTTCAACAACGAGTTTGGGCGGCCGGCGCTCGCGGGCTTCTGGCGCACGCTGTGCGACAAGGTGCCGACGGAGACGGGCGCGCTGGAGCTGCGCGGCTACCACAAGCCGATCATGCTGGCCGGCGGTCTCGGCAACGTGCGCCCGCCGTACACGTTCAAAGGGACGATCCAGCCGGGCGATGCGCTGCTGGTGATGGGCGGCCCGGGCTACCTGATCGGCCTCGGCGGCGGCACGAGCTCGTCGGTCGCCGGCGGCGGCGCCGAGCGCTCGACGCTCGACTTTGTGAGTGTCTCGCGCGAGAACCCCGAGATGCAGCGCCGGTGCCAGGAGGTGATTGACGCGTGCTGCACGGCGGCCGTCAACCCGATCGAGAGCATCCACGACGTGGGCGCGGGCGGCTTGAGCAATGCGCTGCCCGAGATTGTGCACGACGCCGGCCTCGGCGCGCGCTTCGAGCTGCGCGATGTGCCGCTCGGCAACACGTCACTGAGCCCCCTCGCCATCTGGTGCAACGAGAGCCAGGAGCGCTACGTCCTCGCGGTGCGCCCCGCCAACCTCGACGCGTTCCGCGCGATCGCCGCGCGCGAGCGCTGCCCGATCGCCGTCGTCGGCTACGCGACGGCGGAGCCGCGCCTCGTGCTCACCGACCGCCTGCGCAGCGAGACGTGCATCGACCTGCCCATGTCGACACTGTTCGGCAAGCCCCCCAAGATGGAGCGCAGCGCGACGCACGCCGTGCGCCGCGTGTCGCCGCTGGACGCGCAGCTGCAGGCGTACCTGCCGGACGTGCCGGCCGCGGCGCGCCTCAGCGAGGCGATCGAGCGTGTGCTGCGCCTGCCCAGCGTGGGCTCCAAGTCGTACCTCATCACGATCGGCGACCGCAGCGTCACGGGCCTCGTGGCGCGCGACCAGATGGTCGGGCCGTACCAGGTGCCGGTGGCCGACGTCGCCGTCACACGCACCTCGTACTCGTTCGACGATAGCGCGCCGGGCGAGGCGATGGCGTGCGGCGAGCGCACACCGCTCTCGCTCCTCAGTGGCGCCGCAGCCGCGCGCATGGCCGTCGCGGAGAGTCTGACGAACCTGGCGGCCGCGTACGTCGAGTCGCTCGAGCACGTCAAGCTGAGCGCCAACTGGATGTGCTCCGCGGGCTACGAGCACGACGGTGCCGCGCTGTACGACGCCGTGCAGGCGATTGGCCTCGACCTGTGCCCGAAGCTCGGCCTGTCGATCCCCGTCGGCAAGGACTCGATGTCGATGGGCATGTCGTGGCTCGCCGACGAGGGCGAGCGCCGCACGGTCACGGCGCCGCTCAGCCCGATCCTCACGGCGTTCGCGCCGGTGGTCGATGTGTCGCAGACGTGGACGCCGGAGCTCAAGCGCCTCGATGCGCCGTCCGTGCTCGTGCTCATCGACCTCGCGCGCGGCCAGCAGCGCCTCGGCGGCTCGGCGCTCGCGCAGGTGTTCCGCCAGCTGGGCGACGCGGCGCCGGACGTCGAAGACGCGGCGCTCCTTAAGTCGTTCTTCAACGCCATGTCGATGCTCAAGCAGCTCGCCGCCGGCATGCGCCGCGCCGCGCCGCTCGTGCACGCGTACCATGACCGCTCCGACGGCGGTCTCTTCACCGCGATCGCCGAGATGGCGTTTGCCGGCCGCGTCGGTGTGGACGTGGACGTGTCGCGCCTCGTGCGCACGACGCCGGTGGCCGCCCTGTTCAACGAGGAGCTCGGCGCGGTGCTCCAGGTGCGCGCGTCGGACCTCTCGTCGCTGCACTCGGTGCTCAGCACGGCCGGCGTGCCTGCCGACGCCGTGCATGTCGTCGGCTCGGTGCGCACGGACGAGGCGGTGCGCATCGTGGCGCAGGGCACGGAGCTCTATGCGTCGACGCGCGCCGCGCTGCAGAAGGCGTGGGCATTCACGAGCTTCCACATGCAGGCACTTCGCGACAACCCCGAGTGTGCGCGCCAGGAGTATGCGCTGATTGACGAGCCGGCTGGCGCGACGGCGCTGCGCTACGACCTGACCTACGACCCCGCGAGCACCGCGCTGCCCGACGAGGGCACGATCGAGCGCCCCCTCGCGGCGCAGCCGCGCGTCGCGATCCTGCGCGAGCAGGGTGTGAACGGCCACGTCGAGATGGCGTGGGCCTTCTCGCGCGCTGGCTTCTGCACGGTGGACGTGCACATGTCGGACCTGCTCAGCGGCGCAGTGTCGCTGCAGCCGTTTGTGGGTGTGGCTGCGTGCGGTGGCTTCTCGTACGGCGACGTGCTCGGCTCCGGCCGTGGCTGGGCGCACTCGGTCCTGCTGCACGAGGGCGTGCGCCGCGAGTTCACTGAGTTCTTTGCGCGCGACAAGACGTTTGCGCTGGGCGTGTGCAACGGCTGCCAGATGCTCAGCACGCTCGGCCGCGCGGGCCTCATCGAGGGCGCCGAGCACTGGCCGCGCTTCTCGCCGAACGAGAGCGGCCGCTACGAGGCGCGCTTCTCCGAGGTCGAGATCGGCGAGTCGAACAGCATCTTCTTCCGCGGCATGACCCACAGCCGCCTGCCCGTGGCCGTCGCGCACGCCGAGGGCCGCGCAGCCTTCCGCACGCCCGAGGCTGCCGAGAAGCTTGCTGCGCAGGGCGGCGTGGCTCTGCGCTACGCCGACGGTCGCTACCCCCTGAACCCCAACGGCTCGACCGCCAATGTCGCGGGCGTCTCGGCCGCCAGCGGCCGCGTGCTCATCCTCATGCCGCACCCCGAGCGCTGCGTCGCGACGCCATCGCTCAGCTGGGCCCCCGAGCGCGCGGCCCTCGCGTGGGGCGGCCGCAGCCCGTGGTTCCGCCTGTTCGAGAATGCGTACGCGTTCGTCTCGTCGTAGCCCATCTATCATACAAGCAGGTGGCCCTCAGCTGGCCGCGGCGCTCGGCGTGCCGGCCCCTGCTGCACCGACGGCCTGCAGGTAGCCCTTGTCACGGAAAAAGTCGTACACATGCGCGAGCTTGCGCGGATCGATCGCACATAGCTGCTCGCAGTGCTGCAGCGTGAGCGCCCGGTGGTGCGCATAGCTGTACGTGAGCAGCGCCGCTTTTAGCACGAGGAAGGGCTGCGGTAGAATGTGCAGCGCCGAGCACAGCTGCTGTTCGTCCCGCGTGAGCAGCTGGATCGACGGCGCACTCGCAAATGCAAACTCCTCGTCCGGGCCCTTGTCCGCCACGGATTGGCTGCGCTCGCGGTGCCGCGAGCGGCCCGAGGACGACGCCGCATGCAGCGACAGGTGCCCCTCGGCGGCCTCTAGCTGCCGCTTGGTGCGCTCCGCCAGCTCGCGGTCGTAGCGCGCGGCCTCGGCAAACGTCGTGATGCCCATGCGCCGGTACTGCTGCAGCTGGCGGATCGTCTTTTTCAGTGCCTCCTCGTAGCACAGGTTATGGAAGAGCTCTTCAAAGTCCGCGGCGGTCTGCAGCGTCGCAAAGTGCTTGATCCGAGCGAGCAGGTCGCGCTCCTCCTTGGGTCGGCGGCGCTCCGACGCCACGAGGCGGCGGTAGTCGATGATGTTGCGCTCGAGCAGGAACCGCTTTTTGGAGGCACGCCGATCGAGGTGGTCGTTGTAAATGTCCAGCACAGCGAGCTTCAGCTCCAGGTCGGCCGGGTCCTCGTCCCAGTCGGGCGCGCGGTCGTCCGTCGCCTCGTCCGCCTTGGCCTCTTCCTTCTCCGCAGGCGGCGCCGCCTCGTCAACAGCCATCGGCTGTCCCTCGAGCGCGTCCGCAAACGTCTCGTCCTCCGGCTCGTCAGGCGGTGTGGCGACGTGCTTCGGACCGCCGCGCTGGCTGCTCTCCATGCGCGGCTTGCCTTGCGTCGCGCCCGTGCCGAGTGCCTCCAGCTCTGTCGGAAGCCGATCGCCTCCAAACGAGTACACCTTCCCAAACTCCATGTCCTTGATCGGCTGCTCCGCGTCCTGCTCATACTCGTGGTCAAACTCCAGGCGACCGGGCATAAAACCAGCCAGCTCACTGTGCGTCGTGGGGCCGGAAACCAGCGGCTTACCGGGCTTCGGCACCACAAACGCCGCCTGCGCCGCCCGCAGGCGCTCGATGCGCTCGCGCCGCTCGCGCTGGAACGTGTCGGCGCTCTTGTCTGTCGTAAAGTCGGGATCGGGGCCGACGACAGGCAGGCGCTCCTCGCCTTGGAACGACGGACTGCGTGGATGCGCAGCGCGCCATTCGTCGACGGCGCGCTGCGCACGCTCGTCACCGGAAGGCACGCCATTCCGGCCTTCGATGTACACGTCGATAAAGTGCTGCTCGACTTCCTCCTTCCCACGGTTGCCGATATGGTCGGCAATATCCATCCAGTTGCCGACACCGTATATCTGGCACCCGTCAATGAGCAAAAGCTCCTCGTCGACGCCCCAGTCAGGACAAAAGATGGGCGTGCAGTGCTGCTCAATCACACGGTAGTCATGCCACGCTTTGTGCTGCCCGATCTCGGAGCCCGTGCAAAAGCAGGTGCCACATAAATCAAAGTCCTTGCAGCCTCCCGCACAGCGGATGCGCACCGTCAGCGTGATGTCGGCGCCGCATACGTCGCAATGGTATCGCACGCCAGGCTCGGCCACAGCTGCCTGTAAGTACTCACAGCGTACCCGAACGCTCCTGGTTCGACTGCGAAGGCCGCGGCTTCCTGTGGCTCACCGTCATGGGAAGTGGCGCGTCTCCAGACGAGTCAGCTCCGTGTCTCTGCGCGTGCGTCGCCTACGATCGCCTCGACGCCTGCTGGACGATTCGTGTCACGTGGTTCCACGTGGTTGTCGCCACCGTCCTCAACGGCTTGCGCGTGCACTACGATGCTGCCCTCGCGAGAGTATGGCACGGAGCAGGACAAGGTCAATTGCTCCTTCTATTTCAAGATTGGCGCATGCAGACATGGTGACAGGTGTTCTCGTCGTCATGTAGAGCCAACACGTTCCCGCACGATCCTTTTGTCCAACGTATACCAGAATCCCAGGCACCTCGATGCCGAGTGCCGCCTGTCGGACGAGGAACTGCAGCGCGAATTTGACGAGTTCTTTACTGATTTCTTCATGGGTCTCAGCAAGTACGGGGACCTTGTCGAAATGCATGTGTGTGACAATGTAGGCGACCATTTGATCGGCAATGTCTACGCACGCTACGAGACGGAAGAGGATGCAGAGCGCGCCGTCGAGGGCCTCAACACACGCTGGTACAACCAGCGTCCCCTGTTCGCCGAACTCTCTCCCGTGAGTGATTTCCGGGAAGCCTGCTGCCGTCAGAACGAGACAAATGAGTGCAACCGCGGCGGCCAGTGCAACTTTATGCACCTGCGATACGCCACGCCCGAGCTCGTACGCTCACTGTACCAGCAACTGGCCGTGGAGAACCGCGAGCGCCGGCGCGAACGCATGGCTAAAGCCGATTTTCTCCGCCTTGGCTGGAAGGATCGCCTCGCGCGCATCGAGGCTGAGGCACGCCAGCACGGCGAGACCGCGCCTCCCTCATACGATCGCGACTGGCGACGTGGTCCCAGTGGCGGCGACTGGCGCGCCGAACCTCCCAGGGCGGATCCCGAGAGTATTGCTTCATAGATACCACACTACCTACAGCATGACTCCGTGGATGCCGGGGCCACGAGATCGACGCGCTCATCACGCCTAGTTTCGTGCCGATGCGCTTTGAGCTGCTCCAAAATACACTGAGCTACCGACTCAAACACGACCGACACATTCTTTGGTGAGCCCATGAGACATACCTGCCCTGTCTTAGCGCTGGTTTCGAAAAACAACATTCTGGCGTGAGTGCCGAATGAACGTACCGATGCTCCTTCGCCAGTGCAGCTCCTTCCTCAGTCGATACGGATCTCTCCATGCTTGGGAGATCGGCCATATTACCGACCAAGGCAATGATCGCATGTTCATCGGCTTGCTCCTGCACATCCCGTAGCCACAACAGGACATGCTCAAATGTCTCACGCTCCGTTACGTCATACACGATCAGGCAGCCCGCTGCACCTTTGTAATACGACCTTGTAATCTAGATTGTCAGTCATATAGTGGGACCTACACTCCGAAATTGTTCGCTCCCTGCCGTATCCCATATTTGCAATTTTAATCGCTCTCCCTCGGGTAACGTAACTATTTGTGATCCGAACTCAATGCCGATGGTCGTCTCTGAGTCGACCAGGAAGCGATTCTCCGTCAGGCGCACGAGTAAAGACGATTTCCCCACAGATGCATCGCCTATGATTATAAATTTGAGGATATAGTCCCACGCAAGGCGATGAGCCATGGTAGTCGATCTCACCTCCACGGTGGAGGCTGGACATCATAGACGTCAGGGGCCGTCAGCAGCTCCCCCTCGATGTTTGCCCTCGTTGCGCCACGGAACACCCCACTGCAGTGACGCAACTACCTGCTCTAGCGCGATGCATGTCTCAACCCCGTGGCATCTACCACCGTGCTACGTGGCCAATGAATGAGTGGGTTATTCGCAATTAAATATCCCCACATTAGGACGGTACGGGACCGCAGCAAGCACTCCTAAATCCTGCGCTCTGAGTGGCTGTATCTATGTTACTGCATCCAAAATGCTCGCAACTCAAAATTTACCCCGCATTCCACAGCCAGCCAGGGATAAGCATAGGGCGGACCTTGAATATTTTTCTACACGATATCTCTATTTTCAGAAGCCGTTGGGGAGGAGAGATCGCATAAAAGGCAAGCTCATGCTAGTTTCTCTATTCCTTGTATTGCGAGGTCAATTTGCCCCTCATGAAACTCGGAGACCCTACGCATGGCCTCTTCCATTTGCCCGATGAGAAAGAGCGCATCCGCATGCGCGGGGGCGCTCCATTGAATCCTATTAAGATTTTTGCTATGCTTTCCACAATGGAATGGATCCGCATATTCGTTGGAATCTTTGCCTGGATTATGGATTCTTACGATTTCTTCTCTGTATCTATGAGCGTGAAGAACATCCGTAACACATTCAATATTCACGTTGGCTACGACAAATACACAGACAGCCAAATCACATATGCCATCATGCTTACTCTGATTTTGCGTTCGTTTGGCGCTTTGGCATTTGGTGTTATCTCCGACCGACTTGGTCGTCGGTGGGTACTGGCCGTGAACTTATTTATTGTGGGAGCACTGTCCCTGAGCACTGCCTACTGCACGACTCTCAGCTCATTCCTGGGGGTCCGTTGCGTCTTCGGCATTGCCATGGGTGGTATTTGGGGTTTAGCGAACGCAACTGTCATGGAAGATCTGAATCCGGCTGCTCGTGGACTCATATCTGGCATTTTCCAACAGGGGTATGCTATGGGCTATCTGATTGCGGCGGGTGTGAACCTAGGTTGGGTCAACAAACACACCCGTTTGGACGGCACGAGACCCTGGGAGTACCTTTTCTATTTAGGTACAGGTCTTTCTTTTGCTGCGGGAATTTGCCGTGCCATTCTTCCTGAAGGTGCCAACTACCAAGAGCAACGGCGCATCCGCAAACTCAAGCCATCGTCGAAAAACCCTCTGCGTGCCTTTTTCAAAGATGTGGGGCATATGCTCGCAAAGTACTGGGCCGAATGTATCTTTAGTATTCTTTTGATGATTGGCTTCAACTTCTTCAGTCACTCTTCCCAGGACCTTTATCCCACCATGATCGAGAACGTCAAGGGTCGGTCGTCGGATGATGCATCCTCACTAACAATGATCTCAAACGCGGGTGCTATTGCTGGTGGTATCCTTGCTGGCTATGTGTCCCAATATACCGGTCGCCGTATTGCCATGATTTGCTTCATTATCCTTGCCGGTGCTGTCGTACCTGCATGGATTCTACCCAACTCATTCAGTGGCTTAGCCGCCGGCGCTTTTTTTGTGCAGTTTGGTGTCCAAGGAGCATGGGGTGTAGTTCCAATCTACCTTTCGGAACTCTCTCCTCCCAACTTCCGTGCTACATTTCCTGGTCTTGCTTACCAGCTTGGTAACATGGCAAGTTCTGCTTCAGCCACCATTGAGTCCACAGGTGGAAGTAACATCAAGACGCAGGACCCTAATGATCCTTCGAAGATGATTGATGATTCTGCCACAGTCAGTGCAATTCTTCTTGGTTGTGTGGCAGCCTATCTTCTTGTCATTATTATCTTTGGTTTAGAGCCAAAACAGGGACGAGACTTTGCTGCTTCTGACGAATTGGAACCTTCCACCGCCAAGGACGAGGAGGATATTATCCATGTTGATTTTGCGCGGAGTAAGAGTGACACACAATCAGCTGTGGAAGATTCAGAGAAAGTCTCATATAACACCACTTAATGAGTTCTGAACCTTGTCACCTAGGTTTATATGTTTGTAATTGTTTCATTGTTCGTCAACGACATTTATGTAAATACTCTCTCCAGATCTATAGCATATCTAAGAAACTGGGGAAGCCTCTGCTGGTTCTCCCTCATCATCGGTGAATTCTTCCTCGGGAGCAACGCCGCCATGAACGCCATTCAAACCCTGACGCTTGGCCCAATGCCAACCATCAGAGTACGGCTCAATTTTTACTGGAAGCAGCAGGGTATAATATTTATGCGCCATCCCAGGCCCGACATTGAAAAAGACTTGAAAATTGCGAAGCCATCCCAGAGAATACATATTGACAAAGGTCTGATGTGAGTCTCCCGTATTTACCTCGTTCCGTTTTTTTGCACTGCGAGCATAGTGGGCTTCGATCAGTATATATATATACGCACCATTATCTTGGTTTTCAACCGAAGTTTCTCCACGGGCAATCATACGCAAATGCCACATCGCGAACACAATGACGGCCAAGCCCATGACAAGCGCCTTTGCCCAAATAGCCAAATACAAAATGCGATGCACGAGCATCGAGGACCAGGTCTTTGGGTGACGAAACGCTTGGTACGCAAGACCCCAGCCCATGTAGGAGAAGATCATCGTGCCAAGGCCAAACCAAAGCATAAACAAAATAAAATAGCGCTCATTCCCTAGGCCTACGCATTGGTTGATCCAAGGGCAATGATGATCATATTTTAACACACATGTCTTGCAGGTACGACAATGATGCGAGCGCTCCGGTTTGGGAGGAAGAACAATTTGATGAGCTTCCTCTGGTCCCAACCATGCACTGATCTCTGCTTGACCTTCGTCGTCGATATTATCAAAGAGACCTTGAGGGGCTGAAATATCTTCAGAGTGATTATATGAGTTTTGCTTAGCTCGCTCCTGTCGAGCTCGCAAAAAGTGTTCCCGACGGTTAGTCTTCTCACGCAGGCGAAGATCCGGGGGAAGAAGCGCCAAGGCTGTTTCCATCGTAATTGGCAAGCATTTTTTGCAAAATCGATATCGAGCCGTCAAATCCTGTTCGATGGTAGCCGGAAAGTTTTCGACAGCACCGCAATCTTTCATGAAAGGGCTCCCCGTATTACAGGGAGTCAGGTTGGCCGCTGCCGCTACCTGCTGGTAGTGCAAGCGCCACCATAGTGAGCTTCCTGGGCCCAAACGCTTCTCCGGATGAGATTTTGAAAGTCCATCCATAACTGTACCAGGAGGTATTGTGCAAACCATATAATAAGACCAAATCATCATGAGAGCAATGTACAAAAAGCAGATTGTCGAAGCAATGCACTGCATCATGCTTGCTGGCTCTTGCATGACACTTGTCCCAAGAGCACCCGGGAGAGCCAAGAGGATATGAATGGGTGATTTCGTATGTGCTAGATTCTGCAGCGCTTCAGGAATCACCATCTGGGATGGGAAAATACACACAACTACTCGTTAGTGGCATGCGACACTTAAAACATACAAAAAATCCACATCCCCGTTCCAACTAGCACCACGTAGATGGTGACAAAAAGCGGCCCGACATGCCCTACTAATGCCTCACCTGCTCGCTCAACGCGAACAAATCCCTGCCTCACGGCAGCCGAAATGGCCCACATTAGGCTAGTCGGGTTTGAGGCAAGAGGACACAATGACAGCCTCGCCTTCGTTGGCTCGTGAGTGTCTGCGCCTGTGGAGATCATCGGCCGAGCAATCGTCCACGTTCGAATAGATCCTAGCACCTTCATTCACCATCATGAGCGGAATGATAGAGCTCTACGACCGCGTCCAGGTATGTACAGAGATCCATGAGCTAATATGAATAGAGAGAGTTCATTGAATGGCCTGTGTGGGAGCCTTCTATTCCTCCGAAATTTTTCCCTCAAATTGCAGTCGTTACACTTGCTCTTGCTTTTCTAATGGCTTTCTATTTTACAACGTACGTTCGATTTGGCTGGTACATTAACCATGTATAGTCTTCCGCGGGCCGGAAGCAGTATTAAAGAGCCTATTGTGGCCGTTGCTGGTAGTTTGCTGGCGGGCATTGGGGTCGTTGCTTTGTTCAACTCCGTGGGTATCTACCTGTAGAGCTTTTCCTATACATATTTGCGTCGAAACTTTTCACCTCTATTCTAAGAGAAGCCCGTCGAGAATACCCTTTTACTGAGCAATAGTGTTGTTATAGGAGCACCAGTGACGGGCTGGGTCCATAGGCGTGTGGAGGATCCTTGGCCGACCTGCAATTTCCATGGCACCTACGAGTGCTTGTGAACAGGAAGAAGCTATTCCGTTTACTATACAGGGCCTTCAAGATGAATGCAGCAAAATTGAAAAAGACATAAAGTACTCCGTATGTCTTGATAGTGGAAGGATCAACAAACTTCAAGACAGGTTTGCCAAACTACCTACAAAATACCAAGCTTCAGAGCAAGCATGCCTTGATCGTGCTGCAGATTTAGCCTGGGCTGTTCGCTCACGAGAAACACAGCGTCAAAATGAGGAAGTGTTACCAAGTGTACCTCCAGCTTTCCATTTTGATGGGTTCGTTTTCTTGTCTAACGTCATAGCTACGATCATATCAGCTTATACGCGGAACCGATTCCGCTGCGCGACCAGAATGCATTTGAGGGCAAGGTATGTAACTTGAACTTATTTAGCCTCAAAAAATGTTTTCCACGGCTCAAGCGCAGTCGATACCAAGTTCTAGCCATATCTTTATTCTCGAGATCTCCATATATATGAGACGCCATTTACCAATTACCAGAAGAATGCGTGGTTTGGACGGATCGGAAACCGACCAGCTCCATAACACCCCATCTGTGTTTGATATTGATGGTGACCTTGAACTTGTCCAGAAACTTGAATGTTCCTCTGATCAAACACTCAAAGAGCTCACTGACGAGTTTGCCTGTCGCAATGCTGATATACCCGAAGCTATTGACCACAACCCTAACGCATGCGGTTCTGTTACTCATTGGACTAGCGCCGACGACGCAGGCTTTACAGGATCAACTTCCTATACCAAGTACACACCGAATCCTCTTGCGACTGACAAATGCATTCTTATTGACGGTTGCCTCTACGGAACAGTAGAGCCTTCCGAAACAACTCCTGGGGTGCCTAGCTATGTGAAAGCCTTGTTAAGTCATACTTTCCCTTCTGATTCGCCTCTATGTCATGTGAAGTATGGAGGTGCTACTTTGGAAACCGTCAGATTATCATCTCTCTCTAATCTAGCTTTGCACCGGCCATATTGGCTACTTCATGTGGGTGACTGCGAACACATTTGGACCATTGATGCCATTCGGTGCGTCGAAATGCAGCTAATGCAGCCTTTTATCGTCGAATGAACTACTAGAGTCTTTTCCACGCACAGTGTATTTACAACGCTGGATGCTCACTTCACTCGCGCGCCAATACATTGTTCCCAAAAAATTGGTTACCCGGGGTGATAAAGCAGGCGTGCCTTGTGATGTTTGTGACGGTATGAGGGATGCTGTGGTTGCTGTAATGGGCGGCGATGAAGCTTTTTGTTCAAACGGGGACCGAGTTAAACTCAAAGGATGGGGTCAGATTGTTACACCCTGTTGTTCCGCCTGTTTCCGTTCTGCAACAGGGAGTGAAGTTAGTGCCATGCTCGGAAACACAGCTCCCACGGGTGGAAAATGGACCGTGATGCCCCTTCATGGCAGCTAGACAAAAATCGGGACGGTATCAATTAGGCATCATAACTGTACATCCAGGTAGAATCAGATAGTATCCATATACTTCTGTTCAACGACTCAAGCTTGTGAAAGATCGTTCGGTGTCTCGCTGCCTGATCCAGGTACCTCCACATCGACACAGTTCTTTCGGTTCAACGACGCACGGCGAATGCGTACTGTGCCACGAAGTAGGGTAAAGGTGGTTTATCTGGCTCTTCAGAGGCGTAATCATAATACTAATACATTGACGTCTAAAGAGTCTTTGGACGATGCTTTGCGCCGTGCTACTCACTTGAAATGCTCGCATCCACCTTCTCCAGCTTTGCGTCCCATGACTACCACCATTGATCAGAGGTGCGCTGTTTGGCTAGATCTCTTATCTGCATTTGCAAAAAATGGTATGATTGCAGAATCCATGGCTACTTTGGATGATATTCGTGCATGTCATGTACCTTTTAATGTAAAGATGCTTGACTTCACACTTGAAGCTGCTGTGAAAGCCAACAATGTTGCCCGTATTAACGAGGTCTTGCAGCGGTACATGAGTCTCCCTAAAGGGAACAGCAGAAAACCTTTAGCATCAGGTATTCTCCCGCATGATTTCGTCTGTCACTGGTCTCCCGCCACTGTATCTCATTTACTACAACATTGTGCCCGTACTCAAAACCTTGAGTACATGGTTATACTTGTGATGACTGCCGGCGCCTACGGTATTCATTTGACAGATAAATCACTCTCATTTATTGTCCAATGTTGCTCAGATGCAAGGGAGCCTCGTCTTGCTTGGGATCTTATACAGCAAGTGGATCAAATACGAAAGCTTCCAGCCTTTATATGGATGCGTGTTTTGCGGGTATGTGCTCAGCATGATTTTGGCCCTGCACTTTCTCAAGCATGGCATCGCAGTGTTGTTGAGGGTAAACTGGAGCTGGATCATGGGCTCGTTGCACAAGTGCTCTTGACAGCTTCTCGAGCGGGTCTCGATGGGCTTGTGGACAAGGTTTTGCAATGTATTAAGGAACCTGATGAAATGATTCTTGTTCCAGCGATGGATGCCTATATTGAAGCATCTCGATATAATGATGTATTTGATGTTCTTTCCCGAATGAACGAATTGCAAATACCACCTCAGCCTGCTATTTTGGCTCATTTAACGTTAATGGTCTCATCGGACAATGATACTCTACAGTCAGCTTGCAGTGCTTTGTTGCGACATAACAAACCAGTCTGTTCGGAGGTGTGGAATGCACTCATATATGCTACTGCTCACAGAAAAGATGTGCGCATGTCGGAAAAATTGGTTCAATTGATGCCCACTCCTACATTAGACACCTACCAAGCTTGGCTCTTGTGTTGCGTAAATGCTCGGGATGTGGATGCTGGAAAAAAAGCTTGGTCTGCACTTCAACAAGAAACCATTTCAGCCTCCTCTATATGTTACGAGAGGATGATTCGATTGCATTTGACTGAGCCCACTTACGAGGAAGCATTCAGACTTTTAGAGGAAGCCAAACATCTTCACTTAGTCCCAACAAGGCGCACTTACGCCTCTATGATATGGACATGCTTGCAATGCAACGACGAGCGCTGGTGCATGCTCCTAAAAGAAATGCGAGAAGCGAATTATGAACCTGGTGAACGTTTGCGTGAGATATTAAACATTAACACGACGACAGCCACGCCCGCCGCGTAATAGGCTCGAGGCTTTCTACTAAAACAGGTGTTGGACGTGTAAACGGTCTTGACGTAATTGCTAGGTCTAAAGGTTGGACACGCTGTGACGGCTTTAGCTCCCGTGTGTCCATTCTCATCTCGTCAATTTTGTTTTTCTCGACATTCACACGTGAAGCTTTTTCCATACGCTCCACGATGTCAATGGCTCTGTCGTGCTCTCTTTGCAACGAAGCTGATCTTGAAAGCATACTTGAACTTGGCACAGACGATGCCAGTAAAGATCGATTGTCATCGGGAGATTGTTTCGACTTCAAGATTGTTGTTGCTTGAGGAATCCCATATACATGGTTTATTGACGTGCTCCTGCGGTCTTTGTGCGAAAAAGAGATAGATCCATGCACCAAGTCCACAACTGTATGCTTAGATAACTCCGAGCTGCTCATCATCTGTAAAGTGCTCCGAACCATACACTTTTGCCGTGCACACAACTCAATAGGTCCATCATGAGGTGACTGCAATGACTGGACAATGTTCCAGCCCTGGCCTCTTATCAAATCCATCTGGTTTTGAAAGATCCGTTCATTAAAATGTATATCTTGGCTGAAGATCTGCCGCAGACCTTCGATTGTACCAACCCACCAAACAGGATCTGTAAGTTTCGGCAGGAATAGCTGACGCGTTTCCTGGCTAAATGGTTGCCCAATTAATCCCGCGGGTAGAAAGAGCCAACCGTAAGGGTAGTCCCTTAGACCTTGTGGATGCTGATGAGGGAATGAAAGACTGTTATCGATTGCTCCAATCTTGATTCTTCTTTCTCCCGGAGCTGGTGCAGGATTATAATGGATCATGAAGTTATCGAGGCCGCGATCCGTGTTCCTCATTAGAATATCCAAAAGTATGAGCTTTTCAAGTTCAAGCCGAAGGTCATGGAATGTTTCTTCAGTCCATTGAAATGTGGATTCAGGGAATCTCATTTCAGAACGTGGATAAACTCCATTGCCAATATTATTCTGAATTGGATTGGCTTCCTCATCGAGTGGTTCGTCGCTACCATAAGGGCCAGGACCATATCGGCACAAGAACAGTCTTTTTAATGCAATGAAGAACAGACGTAGACGAGCGCCCTGCTTTCGACGACTAAGGCGATGGGCTTTCTGCTCCTCGGTAAGATCCCGTTCCATCAAATCTTTAGGTCGACCTGGAAGAGTATGCCGCTGGAAGAATTTGCTTGCATTTTCATATCCAACAAGAAACTGTTGAAGTGAGCCTACTTTAATAGGCAAAGGTTTTCCGAAGCGCTCCCAGTTCTTGCGGACTTTATACGGGTAATGAAATGAAGTGCTGACCAGTCCAACTAAGCGAGTCTTGGGAACCAAGTTCAGGCCTAGTCGGTCGTCTAAAAACGAAGCTCCCACCTCAGAAAGATAGGAAAAATTTGGAATTAAGCTCACGATTAGCCGTCATCAACGTACCACGGTCTGCCCATAGCCCACCATAGGTACTTGCGTAAAAATTTACGTTTAGGGCTAAGTCAGAACAGATAGGCGTACTTCAAATTCCCATAAGGTTCTTCATCCATCGGCTTAAAGACACCCACAACGTGTGGCTCATTTACCTGTTCGTAAACAAAGTACGAGCCACTCGTGCCAACAGAAATCATGCGCGGGTTTGTGCCAGAGCATATAGCATTTCTTACGCGAACCACTAAGTCAAAGAAGTCTGAATCGTCCGTCTTCAATAAGCGTAGTCACACATACATCCTGAGTAGAGGAAGCGTACACGCTTCGGCCTTCTGTGCTTGGCTCGAACACACTGAGTAAATACCGTGCCGGCGCAAAGCGACGGGCATAGTCATGAACCTTGAATTCATGTCGGAGGACAAATGCAGGGTCAGAGCTTTGCTGCGATGTAGCTACAGATGACAGCAAAGGTGTATTTTCGTCCACACCTCCCGCATGTTGCGGTGCCATAGCGGGAGACGGGCACGTCGGTTTCCTATAACCGTGCACGACCACGTGCGGGCGACCTGCATATCGCACTTGCGCGTCCTCCACAGAGAGGGTGATTCCCCTATGGAACCCACAGCGCTATTTCAGCCCCCTATTGAATACAAGGATGAGTATAATATACTGTATACCCACGCGAATCCACTTCAGTCTTATTACACACCGCATACTGACCCGTTGGATGAACGTGTAGTGCGTCAATATTCTTTGCAAGATCAGAGACGCCTGCATATTCGACGCACATTCGACCTATTGCAACTAATGCTTCTTCGTCATGATATGGATCGCGCAGGTCGTTGCCTAAACATTCTATTGAAATCGCAGGAGTGGAGACCCTTGGAATTATGGAAATGGGGGCTTCAAGTAATAACGCTGTCTGATGGAGAGGACGACTTAGCCTTGCAGTACCTCCAACGCATTTCACGTACGCGCCCTGTTCTCCGGCCATTCACGCTACCATTTCTTATTAGAGAATGGATAGTGAATGGCAATTATCAAAAAGCTCATGAAGAACTTACTAATGTTATCACTTCATACCCTCATCGTCAAAATCCTCAACTGCATACATATTTGGGGCTGCTGACTCTGTATGCGGCATCCGCTCACGCCAGTTTTCCAGAAAAAAATGATTCTCCTTCTCCTTTGGTTCCTGCTTCTATCCCAGCTGATTTTCCTGTACAGGCACTTCAAACAGCTAGAGTTCATTTTGAAAATGCGATAAAAATGGCACCTAAATATCATCAAAGCCGCAATCATGTCATCCACTACAGGGCTATACGGCATAACCGTCGCTTAAGACGGTTAAAGTCCAAGGCGAAATCTCATCGGCATAGGTTGTGGAATCAATTGAAACATGCTGGTTGGATGTTTAGAGAAGCAAGCCCCGAATCGGCCGCATTATTCCAACTCCCTCCAGTCTCTTCCGATGACTCACCTCTCGATGAGCCTTTACGGGCACCTCCAGAAACATCGACACTTCCGCCAAGTGATTTCTATGGGCTGGCTTCTGACTTCAATGATGGATCAGATTTACACTCAGAATCAGATTCTTGTGACAGTTTTTCAGCTCCTGATGATGCTTTTACTGAGGGTCCTGCGCCACCACCAAGCGTCCCTTCGGATTACCCCACAAGCCCCACACGCGAGAACTCGGACGTTGAAGCTGAGTCCTTAGAAGAAGGAGTGCATGCTCCCTCAATTACTGTATCCATACCTGCAGTAACTTGGTCTGTACATGTTGCCCAGATCTATCTCCATATGGTACGTTGTATCCGGTTTGACATCAGTTAGAAATCCATTCCAATCGCCGGAGGCATGAACCCGCGAACTCGCGTAGACTGTAAGTAGCTTGCATGATGTGTAAAGACCCTGACGTGACCTCGACTTAATTGCCACGTGATGATTCTCTATGCGCCATTAGCGCTCTAGTAACGCCTCAACCATCTCTCATCTGCCAGCGAAGATGGATTCAAAAGAGGGGTACGTGCATTACAAGGATGCCGCATTAGTGGCATCAGCAGATACTAACATTCTGTGCAGGTCTGACCTAGGCGTGTCTGCGCCCGTTTCAACGGCCCCTACTGAAGCAGAGCCCAAGTCTGCTGCCGAATTGTCGGATGCTGGCTCAACTCCAATCCTAGGCTGGTCCTCTCATGTGGGGATTGCTACTGACAGGAATTGTCGCTGGAGGCGTACTATGGAGGATGCACATGATTTCCAGCACGACTTCAACAATGTGCCCGGTCAGGGCTACTTTGCGATTTTTGACGGGCATGCTGGGAAGTTTGCCGCTGAATGGTGCAGGGATAACATGAGCGAAATTCTTTCTGAAGAACTTAAGACAAGCCCAGATATGGATGTACGTGAGGTCATGAAGAATGTATTCCTAAAAGCTGATGACCAATTGGAAACTGAATCTGCTAAAGCCGGCGTGCGTAGTGGCTGCACGGCTGTTATGAGTTTTATCCGCTCTGAAACCTGTGACTCAGGTGATTCCTCCCAAAAACGTGTGTTATATACCGCGAATGTTGGTGACGCTCGAACGGTTCTGTGCCGTGGCGGAAAAGCAATCAGGCTCACATACGATCACAAAGGCACTGACGAACACGAGTCCAGACGCATTACCGAAAAAGGAGGTTTCCTGCTGAATAACCGTGTAAATGGTATGTCGATATGATGATTCTAATGACAAGGTGTGCTTGCGGTTACACGGTCCTTAGGTGACTTTTCTATGAAGGAGTTTGTTGTTGGTGCTCCTTTTACTACATCTATTGATCTCTGTGATGACGATGAGTTTTTGATCATTGCATGTGATGGTGTATGTTAACAAATGGTACTGACTCAGCTATGGGATGTCGTCAGCGATCAAGATGCTGTCAATTTTGTCTCGAAAATTCCTGAACCACAACAAGCTGCCAGCTTGCTGTTGAAGCATGCACTAGAGAAATTCAGCACAGATAACACATCTGTCATGATTGTACGATTTAACCAGGTTTCTAAATGAACCAAAAGTTTGCAGATTTACGTAAATGAAAGCAGCATTGTTGGATAGAGTATTGAGCCATTGTCAATGCATGTACGTGTACAGTGACATTGTGTTATTGCGTCACGTGTTGTTTGTTCGTGCAATCAGGCGACCAAATCTGGAGACTACCCGCATAAATGTTAGTTGTGCTCGGCGAAATATTCCTACTGACACGAACACCATCTAGTCTAAGACTTTCCTACCGCTGTCTAATGTTCTGAGATTGATACGTTCTTTTATAATATTTTTGAGGTCATTCTCTTGAATTCTATCAAGTGGGTGGCTTGCTAGAACTTAATATGCAGACACGCTGCAACAGCGTTGCAGGCTCATGCATCCGTGACACTCAACCGCTGACTATGTCTCATTCACTTGGAAAGCAAGGCGTTGGAACATCGTCGGAACTTGAACAGTTTGAATGCTCTAATTATCCGGAAACAACCATACTTCGCCTTAATTCAGATGCAAGACCTTGTTTAAGTGGCATATCAGCGAAAACTACTTGTGGCATTTTGCAAAACGCACCTGAAAATCAAGCACAGTCAGAAAGTATCATGAAACTTCAAAACCAAAAGAATCGTGCCTTCAAGACTTCTATTGTCGAACCCAAGATGCCACCTAGGGCAATGAGACTTTCTCATTCAAATGGCGATTGCAGCTCTGCTTCTGAGCTAATGGAGAAAGCCACATCTGTCAAAACCCCATGTAAGGTTTTTGTCCAGTCTCCTGCACCATATGAGCTCCTTCATACGGGGGAAAGTGATCAAGAAGGTGATGAAAGTTATATGTCTGACGAAGACGATGAAGATGATGACAATGGTGTGGATGAGGCTAGTTCAGAGGGCGATACCGAAACCTGTGTTTCTGAAAATGAGAGTCATACTTTTAGCCCCAGAAATAATCGTTCAACGGGCAAATCACCCCTATCAAATGATCATGCAGGTTTTTCTTCATCGCCTCACATTCCTGTTCGACTTCATTTTGAGCGCCATGAAAATGTTTCTGGTATCCTTGATAACAAATGTGGCCCAGAGACTAAGCTGAACTCATCCTATCACCCAGTCAATGGTCCAGGACGTCGGAGTCTTGTGTTCCTCGATCAATCGCAAGAGAAACAACAAATAAAACAATCTTATTCTTGTAAACCTCCAGGAGATATCGGCAGACGGTGTTCTCCAAGACCAAGGATTCAACTAGATTCTTCATTAAAGGGACGCCCACGATGCAATAGCTCATCAGCGAGCATGAAGAGCTGGAATCCAAGAACAGGTGCTTTATTGAATAAGAAGAGCGACTGTGTCTCTAATTTCTCAAAATGGAGAAGTCGCAGCATGGATGCGGCAACGGAAAAGTCCATCGGTAGTACTGCCATCGATGAAGATCATGACCCATGCTCTGTATGGGCCTCCCAGCATCTCGAGATTGAAGAATCGACGTGTCCCAGTTTTCAACATTCTTTAGAATATTCATCTGTCAAAACACGATCGGCTCCTTTGAGTGGATCATCCACTCGCTCAAATGCAAGGTCTCCCAAAGTTGGGTCGATCCATTTTCCGCCGTCGGAGCCATCCATGGACAAAGCTGAAGAACTTGCTTTAGTGGCCGAGAAGCTGCTTTTACATGCTCCCAGCGACATGGAAGACTCAAATTCTTCCCAGCATACATCCGCTGAAACAAGTCATTTGTCGGAGTCTGAGAACGAAGACGAGTCCTTTGATATATTGCCGGGCCCGCCCAATCTTTGGTTTCATCGCGAAACTAGCATGTCCATGAATCCTCGCTCTACTGAACGAGGGCCTCGGAGACTATCTGTTCCTGCCAGTGTGGTGCCTGTTCCCCTTGGGGCGCAACGTCGCAAGTCAAAAACAGAGCCAATATTGAGTGGATCTTCCAACGGACTTTCAACCTCCATGTCGACCTCACCACGCCTTCAGGTTGGTACCAATGGGATTTCACTAGTTGCCACACCTGCGCAGGCTAGTTGTTCAACATTTGTCAACCGCACTAACGTGGATGGCTATACATCGCCTATACCCAGAATCGACTAGACCTGCAAAGAAAGTTGGATGAGTTTTTTAATGTCAAAGTTTTCGGGCTTTCCGTGGAAAGCACGTAGCAAAGCACGACGTTGCTCTGCCTCCTCGTCGTTGTCGAGACCTTCTAATGCCCAATCGATATGATAGAATCGTTGTAAACAGAGGGCTAAGATCTGAGCGTCTTGCTGAGTCAATATTGGTCGGGATTCAGAGTTTTCCTTGCTAGCTTCGCTGTCAGTAATATCACCACGCATTAAAACAATGCCCTTGGACTCGATGAGCTCCGTGTAATGAGTGAGAACCAGTGTCGGTTGAGCGTATTCTTGACGCAACTGGTATTCAGCGAGGGGCGTAAACATTACAGCAGTTGGAGGAGGCGCGTTTGGCGAATTGCCTTTGGGGGGAGGAAGCGTAGTCCACTGCAAAAACTGCATTTCATAGCCCAATTCATCTTGCTGATGTTCGTTCTTCATTGCTCGTGGAAGAGGAACCACAAACTGAGGAAACTTGCGGGAAGTTTCAAACATGTGAAGATAGGTGGTAGCTGGAACTACTGCCGATAGCTTATTCCGTGAGATGTGGTAGCCTGTCCACAGCTTGCCAATATTTTCGGGCGACTCTTGGAGTGTTTTATCCAAATTCATAAAGGAGGAAAGTGGTTTCACAGGACTGGCAATATCGGCCTCATTAGCCAACTTCCGCCTTTCTTGCTGGATGCGGCGTTCCTCAAGACGACGGCGCAAGGCCTCATCACGGCCTTCTACCGATTTCTCTAAAGCATTCGAGGCCCTCTGGCTCGATGATTGACGTTCGTCTGCTGCCTTTTTTTGTTCATGCTTATACTTTTCGGTCAATTCTTCAACACTATTTATCCCATGTCTTTGTTAGATTTTCTGTGAACGCACTCTTTTGCTTTGGCCAAAAGCTTTTCACTGTATTTGCTCATCTGGGCCTGGCGTTTTTGTTCAACAGAGGCTCCATCATTGCCCGCTGCAAACTTGTCAAGGATTTCACCGGAATTTACGCTATACATCCGCCTAGTGAGCGCACTGTAGGCAGGATTGGGAGTCCATAGCACAAGCGCACTTCGGGCCCAAGCCGGCTTGAGCATCCATGACATGGTCGTGAAATGCGAACGAGATGACTAAGCTATTTCGAGTTGGGCAAGTAGACGTCCAAGAATCGGGGGCACAGACCACACACAAGTAGCATATAAGCGACAAGAATGACCATAGAGAGGGAAGTCGTGGCGTGCATTGTATAGATCGCAAGATTGATAATGCCAGTGAGTACATTGGACTGTGTCTTAGTAGACTATTACATACCACGAGGAATATCATGAGTGAATGTCGATTGATCTTGTCAAGCAAAAAAGGGGGACGTTCGGAGCCCTGCATAAACGTTTCTTCCATAGTTTTAAAAGCCAAAAGGAATGTTGCATTAAATGCAATACACCATAGAACATAGGGCATGTTGGCCTGGTATTAGTAGTTGATCAACGAACCAAACGCCGACTGGTGATGATACCAGAACCATGAAGAATTCCCAATCCCAGCCACCCTAGCGCTGCCTGCCAAAGAAGAGCCTTCTGAAATGATGGTCTTGGAGAATTCCGCAACTTGGATCCAATTTCCAGGCCGGCTAGACCTATGCCAAAATAGCCTGTATCGTGAGTGATAAGCGAATGCATACCTGGAAGGCTGACAAGCCCTTCCTTGTTCATGGATATCCAGCCAAGAGCACTACGTTCATTCGAGATGGTCCATGCACCTAGTTTGGAGTAGGATAGAGCCATTTGATGTAAAATTGAGACCAAAATTCCAGCGAAGACCCAATTGAGCTTGCGTGGGGCAAAGCGCTGTAACAAATCCGTACACAATAACAGCACACTCATGGTAAGAAAAAAGTTCCAATGGGTGCCATATTCGGACAAATGTTCTGGATAATCTGTCCCTTTAACCATAACCAAGCGAACCATGCCCAAGGCCAGCATGGGTCCAACTCGCTTCAGTGTGGCAGAAAACGGCTTGCGAGAGGAGCTCACGGAAACAATGCCTTGTGAATAGACGAACGAGCCAACGCCCAAGTCCATCTTGAGGTTAGAAATACATACATACCAAGCTCGTACCCCAAGTTTCGCATTTGGCGAAGAAACGAGGAAAGATAGGGAAATCGACTGCCAGAATACAATAGGTGGTTAGAACCATAAGGTATGCCCGATATACTGTCAGAAATGAGTAGCGGGGAGACGATGAAAAATCAGGATGATCTTGACTTGATTTTGCGGTCGAATAAGGCAGAGAATTCATACTGGAAATGGATGTGCGTTGTGTAGACGAATAGTCTTCGCACAGGTCTGGCAAACTGGCTTGTAACATGACAGGCGAAGGAGATGGGGTGAGATTCATATTTAAAAGGGCCTGTCCCACAAGAAGATCCCTCTCGTCATTTAGAGTTGCAGGATCGTCATTCTGATCGACGTCGTCGGTACGTAGATTTGCTGTTGAGGGATCCTTTACGAAGCAAAAAAACATCCATAGGCACACAGGTATCGACAATGCGGCTAGAAGCGACAAAGGATCAGTTACGAACACAGTTCCAGCCATCATGAGCGGAACTATAAGAACAAGGAACTCAGAGAGCCAGGCATAGGGCCAAGTCCACACCTCTTTCGCCACGCACAGATACAAGGCATAGCTAACAACAGAGACAGCACAGACCACATTGATGTGCATAACAGATGATCCTGCCTGATTCGCAATCCACGCTTCTTTCTCATGCTTGTATTGATACCAGTTTTCGGCCTTGTTCATGCCCGGGTCGAAGGTGGAGCGCAGATCTAAGCAACCGTCAATGAGCGAGTGTAAGCCCTCTCTCGCGCCCCATTGTCGGCTAAAAACTTATGAGAAACCACTGGAAAAGTAGGCCAGACTAGGTAATCGCGATGGATACTATCGAAGCTAGAATCACTCAGACCGACTCTGTTTAGGTTAGCAAGCAGGTAATAAACATACCACGCAGTAGAGCGTTAAGCTTGTTCACACGGTTGGCCACGCTCAGATCCACTGAACGGTCACCAAGGTCGATCGAGAAACCGCCCTGGAGCGCCTCGTTCACCTTGTAGTCGAACTTCACGCTCTTAGCACCGGCCGTGGTCGCAAACTGCGAGCCCTTGAGAGACGACTCGAGACGCGAAGTAATCGACTTGTCGAGGGGCTAAGGGTAAGAAGGTCAGAGTCACATACCTTTGCACTCGTGATAGTAATGATAACTTCGCCACGGTGGGCGCTGGTGAGCTGCAAAAAGTCCTCAATGACCTTCTCCGAAAGACCGAGACGGCCATTTTCCGAAAGAGCATCAAACAGGTTGCTGGTATAAGTAGTAAGATACGTACCGGGTGAGCTCATCCGCACCGCCCTTCTGAGAGGCGAGCAGGTCCGAGATGGTCTTGCTCCTCGCCTCTGCAGTCACCGTAGGGTTGGTCAGGAAGGTGCGCAGCTTTGTAGCGTCCTGCGAGTCCGACTTGAGCACGTCGTTGAAGTACTTCAGGTCCGACTCCAGCTTCGCGAGGTTCTTCTCACCACGCGTGAGAGCCGACACGTATGCAGCCGAGGCATACTTTCCTGGTCGGGTTAGCACCATGCACAGGTTGGGGCGACCTACCAGCAAGGCCCTCGAGCTGAATCGGGGGGCGGATAGCGGCCTGCGAGGCGTAGCCACGAGTCTTTGGGGTCAGCATATCCGCTCGCAAAAAAGATGGTCAACATACCTGATTGAACACGCGAGGCACGAAGCGAGAGGCCATGATGATGGTCCAGTAAGAGAAGATCGGGTGTGCACCCACCGTACGGCCGGCCTCTGCTGGCGCCCGGCCGTGCCCGGGGTGCGTGCTCACGTGCCTCCCTCACGTGGCCCAGCTGAGGCAGAAGAAAAACGCAGCGGAGGGGAAGTCAGGTCGGCGTGACGACTGCCAGCATGTCGAGCCGATTCTTCCGTGCCATTTCTGACTCGGAGTCGGACTCTTCAGACGAAGAAGAGCTTCTCTCTGATGAGGAGCAGGTGCAGTCGAAGTGGGGCACGAAGAAGCAGGACGACAGCGATGACAGCGACGACAGCGATGACGACGATGACAGCGACGAAAACGACAGCGAAGATGAGCCGCAGCAGGCGCGCAAGCCCATGTCGCGCTTCATGCGAGATGCCTCGAGTGACAGTGAGAGTGAGGAAGAGGTGCGCAAGGTCATCAAGAGCGCCAAGGACAAGCGCCTCGATGAGTTCGAGGGCGTAGTCCATGCGATTGAGAACGCTCAGCGTATTGATGACTGGGCTTCCATTTCGAAGGGTATGTGTTGTACACCTAACAGCAGAATTTGATGGTATGTTGCGTCTCTGCGACCGTCAGCGCACGCTGAATGAGGCGATCCCAACATCGTTTATCAAGTGTCTGTCGTCACTGGAGGAATTTTTGAGCGCCTCGCTGGCCAACAAGGAAGCCACAAAGAAGATGAAGGCGCCGAATGCCAAGGCCATGAACGGCATGAAGTCGAAACTGAAGAAGGTCACGAAGGAGAACGAAGCGGCGCTCGCTCAGTTCAAAGAGGACCCAGAGGGCTACGAGACTAAGGTCCAGGCGGCCCAGCAGACCCCCGCCGTTCCCTCTGTGCTGACAAAGAAGAAGGAGAGCGCGGCGCCTGTCGTTGTGCCAGTGGCAGAGGAGGTGAACGAGGAAGAGTTCCAGACGATTGGCAAGGACGGAAAGGCCTCGTTGTCCTCTGATGCGCTATTCAAAGGTCTTACAGCCGTGCTCGAGGCCCGAGGCCGCAAGAGCACCGATCGTGGTGAGCAGATCGCCACCCTGTCGAAGCTGTACAGCTCGGCGCAAACGCCATACCAGCGCATCCGCGTGCTTTTGACGCTGGTCGCGGCCCGCTTTGACTACAGCACATCCGCCAATGCCTACATGCCGGTAGACATGTGGAAGCAGGCGCGAGAGGAGCTCAACGTCCTGCTGCAGGTTCTGTTTGAGAACCCCTCTTACCTGGTTCTCGAACAAACAGATGACTATGATGACGAGGTCGAGCGCAAGCCAAACGAGAATGGAGAGGGTGCCTTTGTGCATGTGCGTGGCAGTGTGGTGTCGTTCATTGACCGCCTGGACGACGAGTTCACCAAGAGCCTGCAGCAGATTGACCCCCACGCGACGGAATACGTCGAGCGTTTGTGTGACGAGAAGCAGCTGTACCAGACGATTGTACGTGGACAGAGCTACTTTGAGACGGTCCTGGCGCAAGACCTTCCGCCCAAGGTAGCGTCGATGGTGGACGAGCCACTGCGCCGGTGTGTCATGCGCCGTTTAGAGCATATCTACTCGAAACAAGATGTGATCATTCTCGCGCTCGAGACGGCTAACCACGAGGCGCAGCCCAATCTCCCCGCGTCTACCATCACGCCGACGCTCGATCAAGTGCGGGAGCGCCCCGACGGCCCGATGCAGCTTGTGCATGCACTCTGTGTGTTCCTGTATCAGGGCACGGAAGAATCGGGCGAGCGCCAGCGTACGCGCGCGATCCTGTGCCATGTGTACCACCACGCCCTGCATGCAGACTACCATGTGGCGCGGGACCGCTTCCTGATGAGCCACCTGCAGGAGTCGGTGCATCTGGCAGACGCTGACACGCAGATTTTGTACAACCGCGTGCTCGTGCAGCTGGGTGTTTGTGCCTTCCGCGTCGGCCTGATTCGCGAGTGCCACACGGCACTGCAGGAGATCTTCACAACCGGTCGCGTCAAGGAGCTGCTTGCGCAGGGCGTTTCTAAGGGCAGCGCGTACAACACGGTGAGTGCCGAGCAGGAGAAGCTCGACCGCCAGCGCCAGCTGCCGTTCCACATGCACATCAACTTGGAGCTGCTCGAGTGTGTGTACCTTGTGGCCAGCATGCTCCTTGAAGTTCCGAATATGGCGTACGCTGGCGCGGACCCCGAGCTGCGCAAGAAGATCATTTCGCGACCGTTCCGCCGCATGCTGGACTACACTGACCGGCTTGTGTTCTCAGGCCCGCCTGAGAACACCCGCGACCATATTATGCAAGCGAGCCGTGCGCTGCAGAATGGCGATTGGAAAGCGTGCACTGCGCTTGTGGAATCGATCAAGATCTGGAAGCTCCTCGCCGACAAGGATACGGTGCTGCAGCGCCTTTCCCGGCATATCCAAGAGGAAGGTCTGCGCACATATCTATTCAACTTTGCGTCGCACTACGACTCGCTCTCGCTCGTACATCTCGCCGAGACGTTCGAGCTGCCGGAGAACACGGTGCGCTCGATTGTTAGCCGCATGATCTGGAACGACGAGCTGGCCGCGTCGCTTGACCCCACCGAGGCGATGCTCCTGTTCCGGCGCATGGAGCTCCACCGTGTGCAACAGTTGTCACTGGCGCTTGCGGATCGGGCGCACGCCATGCTCGAGCAGAACGAGTGGCTGCTCGACTCCAAGACGGACGACTCGCGCTCGCACCACTCTGGTCATGGTGATGGCAAGGGCGGCGATGCGCGCGATGGTCGACGCAAGGGCGGCCGGGGCCGCCCGCGCGTGCAGCTCCAGGCACCTGCGCTGGGCCAAAAAGTGTAGAAATCAAGTATGGTGATTGCTATGACTGTGTGGGGTATGAAGCTGCACTGTCGGGAGCGCTGTCAGCGGCTGGCGTCTCTGTATAGTCGTCCCAGTGGGACGGTGCATACAGTGGCTCGCGCTGCACACGCTGGAGCAGCTCATCGATCGCCACAAAGTTGCTTTCATCTAGAGCAAACTTGCGGTGACGCCGGCTGCGAGTGTGCTCGTCAAAGTCATCGTAACGACAACGGCAGTTCTCGCAGTGCCCTGGCCGCTTCTCGCGTACACGCGCCACTGCAGGCGCCCCGCGCGCCACACTGCCGGTGCTCCGCGAACGCCGCAGAGGCACTTCAGCGCCACCCTCGGCCAGGTGCAGCATGTGCTGCACCACCGAGCCGGGCATGGCCTCAGCCGGGCGCGTAGCTGCATCGACAGGGGTATGTAGGCGCCAGTGTAGATCAAGCAGGCGCTTGTCGGGGTGGGGGCCGAGCGCCCCCGCATGCTGTGACGTTACTTGCGTCGACGTCGTAGATGCCACGGTAGAGGCGAGAACGAGGCTGTTGTCCGAGGCCATCAGTGTGGGTGTGGGTGGGCCCACCGGGGCCGCGACAGGGCCGCGCAGTGCACCTGCCAGATTGAGCGAGGCCGCGCGTCGCAGCGAGCGGTGCGTCGACGCAGCGATTGGGGCTTGCTGGGAGAGCCGTCGACGCTCCTTGGGATCCACCCACACAAACAAGCCGCGGCCTTCCACGTCGCCATGCAGCACAGGCCAGGGTGCTGGCTTGCCGTGGGTCTCTGACGGCGCACTGCGATCATACTCAGCAATCATCACGGGTCGATGCTCCCCTGTGGCATCTGTCACTAGCAAGTAGTAACTGTGCTTGCTGAAATAGTGTACATCGCTGCGCAACGCGTGAGGATCACGCTCTGTAGTGCCATGCAGCTTTTCCTGAAGCAGCATCTCTGAAAGCCCTTGCCGTTCCGGGCCCACGGCCACTTGACCATCATCGGCGAGGAGTAGCTGGAGAATGTTTTGCAGTTTTTCTAGACGCCAGATCTTCATGCCAAAGCGCTGGGCCTTATATAGCAGGTCGCTTACTGGCAGCGGCTGCGCCAGCTCATCCAAGGGATTGCGGTCCGAGTGTACAGGAGCACTCGGCGGTGCCGTCGGGCGGAGGATCCGAGGTGGCGTGATCGGATCGGGCTGACTACGTTGCGGCTCCTTCACCACCCGCTCCTTCTCGTCTTGACATGGTGGAATTGAGCGCGTCGACACAACATGCGTCACACCACGCGAAAAGAACTCGTCCACACGCGCGCCTAACTGTCCGATCTGACTAGAAAGCGTCTTTTTAAGCCCCTCATCCATCTCATCCAGATAGAATACAAATTTCGGAAAAGCGCGCCCGAAGGCTGCCTTCCATTCGCGCTGTGCTTGTGCCTTCTGCTGGGCACGGTGGTACTGCTCCTCCTGACTAACACGCGTCGTCTTATCGATGCGCGTCGTTGTGGGCCGCGCTGTCATAGCCCCACCAGTTGCACGCCGCATCCCAGGGTCAAGTGCAGAGCGCTGCGTGCGCATACGCTTACTACTAGTTGATTCTGGCACATTGCGGGCGTGTACGCCATCTAGCGGTACAGCACGTTTTCGGGGTGGCGTGCCCAGTACACCGGCCTCGCCGCGCTGCAGCTGGTTCTGTTTTTCTCCCAGCAGAGCATGTGAAGCACTTGCCTCTGGGAAGACATTTTTATTGCGCAGAGGCAAACGCGGAATCTGCCGCTGCGAACCCAGCGACATTTCCGCGTGCCCGTCCAAGGGAGCAAGGGCAAACACTTCCAGCGCTGCGGACGCGACGCGCTTAGTGATGTAGGTGTGTAATATTATCCATGTGACCAGGTTCTCCACGCTTGGAAACTGGCTCGACTGGTGCTGGCCGCCCGGGGAAGTGCATCTGCGTATTCGTGCGCCAACATATTGGGATCCGTCTCTTGGAGAAAGTGGGCCGTAAGGCAATTTACCATGGCACGGCCCAAAATGAAAGTGTACGCTGTGCGTGTCGGTCGGCAGCCTGGTATCTACAATACTTGGAAGGAGTGCCAGGAGCAGACTGATCGGTACCCCGGCGCGCGCTTTCAGTCATTTACTTGTATGGAGGATGCACAGGCCTTTGTTTATGGTGTGGAAGTGACGAAATGTAGGCCGTCAAAACCCACCGTTTTGGAAAAACGGAAGCTCCCTCAGTCTCCCACACCTGTGCCTCCAGCCAAGCGCGTGCCGCCCATGAAAGACACTATCGTTGACAGAGTGAAACGAGTATCCGCCATTCCTATACACCATGATCCAGAACTTGAGTCGTGTATGGCGGCATGGGAGGCCAGGCAAATTGATGCCTACGTTGATGTATACACTGACGGCTCTTCTCTTGGCAATGGCAGTGGCTCGTCTTCGGCTGGTTATGGAGTCTACTGGGTAGATGAGCGTTTCCATTCTTTAAACCAAGCATGTCGCCTAGCAGGACCGGTTCAAACGAATAACAGAGCCGAATTGACAGCCATTTTAACGGCGATTCGCCTTAATCCAGAGCCATCCAGGCCGCTCCGTATTTGGACAGACAGTCAGTACGCCATCAAATGCATTAACGTTTGGATGCCACGATGGCGTTCAAATAATTGGAAGCGCGGATACGACGCAGAAGTAAGTAACAAGGACCTGCTCCAAGAGATCGACAAGGCCATTGGCAAATGCGAGATACGTCCAACCCTAGAGTATGTCAAGGGTCATGGTGGTATCTTTGGTAATGAAATGGCGGATAAACTTGCCAATGAGGGAGCACGTCTTCCGGTCCTGCCCTAAGTTTGTCGATACCGACTTGTTGGCGTTGTCTTGGATCTTTCGACCTGACCGGACGACCCCACAGTCACGCTCTTGAACAGTGTGGAGCAAGCCTCCACATTCCCGAAAAGATTTTGGTCGTGCACGTTCCAGGGCCAAGCTAACGCTCTTGTGCGGTGTGTAGCTAACCTTTACATGTCCGAAATGTTTTCGGTCGTGCACGTTTCAGGGGCAAATTCAAAAACACTGTTCCTCAAGTGAGGGCTGGAAAGACTGTTCCGCTCACCCTGATTACCATGCGCTTCTTTGGCCTATTGGCCTTTTCCCTAGCTTCAGCGACACTTGCGTGCCACTTGCGTGCGCTCTGACTATATACGACGCACCCCACCCGCAAGTCGAAGACCGTTTAACGCGTCGGCTTTTCCCAGAGCTGATCAGTTTCTGGGAGCAGGTAAACGGATCGTGGCCCGAGCATGTGCAGCCGGCTATGAAGCAGCTGGCAGAAGACCGCAAGAAGCGCATCGCAGACACCTTCAATTGTACAGAGCAGCCCATCTGTCACGTCAAGGCTTTGAACCTTACCCTTGTCGATGAGGAAAAACTGAATCAGGCGCTGAATGAGTCTAAGGCACCACAGTCTCTCTTGGACGTATGGCCACGGTACGTCGAAGCCATCCGCTATACCATCGGTGTGTACGGTAATGGTTCTTCAGCACGATCTCCCCGAGATGTTTTCCTTTACAATGCGACAGGGCCAGACTGGACGTACTATATCCGAGGCTACACGGACTATCTTGCGTCGAACTATTCGGGCAACACGCCTCCGCCGTTTGATGTCATTCACACAGTGGTTACGCTCTTGGAAGCCAATGAAAGGGACAATGCTGTCTGGTTCTATGACCTGGATGAGAAGCAAAACAAGCCCGCTAAGGTTCGGGCCAAAAGCATAGACTGGAACTCGTACCCTTACGCTGCCATTGTCTCCCTCGGCATGGGTCCTGAGTTGACGAACGAGCAGCTATCGCCCCAAGCCAAAATGCGCCTGGGCATCGCCGTCACGCAGCTTCACAAGGGTCAAGCCCCATGGATTGTTACGGCTGGTGGCGCCGCGCTTCCTGCCAAGACACCGTACACCGAGTCGGAACAATTGCGACTCTGGCTCAAACAGCAGTACCATTTGGATGACGAGTATATTGTGATGGAATCTCATTCGCGGCACACCACGACCAACCTGCGTAATTCAGCCCGTACGCTGCACGCTCTAGGCGCACCTAAGGACAAGCCCATTCTGGTTGTGACCAACTCGGATCAGTATGAGTACATTCTTCAGGTCGGTACACACTACAAATTCAGCAGCACTCTGCTCTACGCTAGTCAACGTGACTTGGGCTACTACATCGGACATATCAAGCCCGTGGACGACAAGTTCCTGGTCGAGTACCGTCCGAACTGGGAAAAGATCTTCCTTGTAGACCCAATGGACCCGATGGATCCATAATGTAGGTATTTTAGATACGAACTTAGTTGCCTTATCACGATCTTGAGGAATGTATAAAGCTATGTAGCATAGTATAGAAATTTAAATGTTATGACCAGACGTCCAGCATCATGCGATTGCGATCTTTAAGTGCCTTGATTTCAGCATGGCCCAGCTCCTCGTCGCCACCTTTGGCTTCACCCAAGATGCGCGACAAGGTAGCCTCAACATCGTGGCACATGCTCTTGCCCTCACCACAGATATAAACGTACGCACGTTTGTTCAGAATGGCATCAGCAAGAGTTTCCCGGTCCTCCCAAATAAGGTCCTGAACATAGAGCTTTGAGCCATCCGGCTTGAACACCTCACGGGAGAAGGAAACGCGCAGTTTGAGTTTGTCGTCCAACTCTTTTGCATACTCCGGCCACTCGTCCGAATACAGAAAGTCTTCTTGGCGGCGACGGCAGCCATAGTACAGACGCAAGTCAGCCCAATCTTGCAGTGCATTTTCTCCAAGCTTATCCTTGGCCTTGCGAGCAGTTGCCACACGCTCCTGGATAAAGGAGCGGAAAGGTGCTACACCCGTACCAGGACCCACCATGATGATCGGGACTTTGGTGGATGTTGGCAGGCGGAACGAAGAACGGCGAATGTGGATCGGCACCTTGTGAACCTTGCCGCCGTCCTCATTCGAAGAAACATACTTACCCTTCGGACCCTCCAGATTGTATGCCGGTGTGCCGTAGCGAGGGTCACCCAGTGCAGGCACCTCATTGTGCATGGACATTTTGACAGAGCTCACAAAGTTCGACGCAAGACCAAACACATCGGACGAGCCTTCTGACAGTCCGTAGCGCAATGCTACCACAGTGATGTGAACGCGGTCGGGTGACAGCTTCGGGCTGCTCGAGATCGAATAGTAGCGGGGCGAAAGACGAGGGATCGAAGAGATTACACGATCGAAGGGAATCGGCCAAGGAGTCGTCTTAGGGATGTCTTCGTCTGCCAACGAGTCGCCAGCGACAAGTTGAAGCACTTGCCCCAGCTTGTAGCCATGATCTGTCACCTTTTGACGGAAGTAATCCCGGTCTTTACCCAGACGCACCATCTCGATACGAGCCGCTTCATTCGGCGCATACGGCGCAAACGAGGCGATCGCCTGGCGACTCGCGTGTGCATTAATATCAAGGTAGTAGCGCATAATTGCCTCATACGTTGTTGGAACAGGGAAGGGCACTTTAGCGAGCGTAGGGTCTAGCGACTTGATATGAATGGCCTGATCCCTTTTCTCCGAAAGACCCAGCACCGCAAGGAAACGTTCAACCTGCGACTCAGGGTTCGTCGGCCACACACCAAGATGGTCACCATGCTGGTACGTCATGCCCGAATCCGAGAGATCAAACTCCATATGCACACAGGTACGTGATGCCACGCCTTCCACGAACAGCTCATACGTCTTAGCCACAGTCGCAGCATATGGGTTGCGTGCATCGTGGTTGCCCTTGACGCCAATGAGGCTGCGGTTGTGGTATTCACCGTGGAACAACTTGTCGGGCACATCGTCCAGTTCAGTAACTTGAAAGTCGCTCACCTCGCCTGCGGCACCTTCCTCCAAATGAAGGTACTCTGCCAGCTTCTCGAACATCGGGTCCTTCCAGGCCAGATAATCTTCCTCAAGGCTGTTTTCATCGTCGCCCTCGCCACGTTCACCAATGCGATGCGCACCAAGCTCCTGCAGCCGCCTGTCTAACTGACGGATGGACTCGTTAAAGTACTCATACGTTCTGTTACCCAGGCCCAGTGCCACATAGTGCAGGTTTTCAAGCGTCTCACCATTCGTGAACGCCACGTCCGGCGACTTGAGGAATTCCATCATATTCACAGCATTGTCCGTAGGGTCACCCTCCCCATAGGTAGCCATCACAAACACAACGACACAATCCTCGGGAACAAGATCGAGCTTATCCATCTCTTCATTTTCAGGGTCCAACACTAGCGCCGAGGTACCGTAGCGAGATTTGGCCTCTCGTGCAATACGGATCGCATATTCCTCAGCGGTGCCCGTTTGGGAACCGAAAAAGATCACAAGACGCTTCTTCTGACTCACCAGGCGCTCAACAAAGTTTGAGCCACCATCATCATCGGCAACTTGTTCTTCCTCCTTCGCAGATGCACCGAAAAGTGTTCCACGAAGGAAGAACAGTGTGGCGGCACATACAAGTAAGGCCACTAGCCACAAAGTGAACCCTGCCATGCTAGTCAACGTGTCTGAAGAAAACCGTATTCAAGAAGTTCGTTAGCTCCACTTTAACCCCGTGCACATGCGTGCACGCCCGCGGAGGGATCGGACGAAACCACGCCACTTAAGACGGTTGACTAAGCTGCTGCATATGTGGAGGATTTGCCACTATCTCGCACAGAGCGTGTGCTGGGGGGCACCAGCGGCGGTCCTGAAGGGATGGCAGGACGCTCACATCCTCTAGTACGCGGAGCTCAATCCTCCTCATCCATATTGGTGAATAGCTGTCAGCGAGGAAACCCTGTGCTGCAATATATCAAAGGCGTGGCTTGGGAATATGCAGATATTGTGCCTGACTACCAGGTCGGACTGTCGAATGGCGTGCTATTCTTGAGGTATGCAAAGGAAACTCACTCCTAGCTTGCGGTACCACCGTCTTCATCCTGAATACATTCATACGCGTATCCAGAAGTTAGCACATATGTACACTCTACGAGTGCTACTGGTTGTCTGTGATGTGGTACGTGCAAAATCGCTCATGATAGAATGATCATCAACCGGCTATACGTGAGCTGACCAAAATTGCTCTGATTAATCGAATGGTAATGATGGTTGCCTGGAGTGCTGAAGAGGCGGGTAGGTACTTGGAGATGTACAAAGCCTTTGAGCAAAAACCACCCGACGTGATTCGTGGCAAGACGAAGCAAGATTACATGAATGTAATGCAATCCGTTCTTACCAACGTTCGCGGGATCAACAAAACCGATGTTTGGACACTTTCGTCCAGTTTTAAGTCCTTCGCGGATTTAGCCATGCAACCGCCAGAAAAGTTTCTTATGCTGCCCGGCATGGGCGACATCAAAGCCAAGAATCTGGCGCGGGCCTTTCGTGAACCGTTTCAAGCAGAGAAAGCAACATCCCATAAGCAAATTAGTGCTTCAACTTTTGCTGGCGATCTCCCCACGAATGAATTGTCTGTTGGTTCCCCTGATAAGAATGATGCAGTCGAACACGTTCACGAATCAACTGCTTCCGATGGTGCGATTATGGACTCCCTTCCTAGCAACTTTGATACCCTAAGCGAAGAGGAGCAGCTACGCATTGCCCTGCAGCTTAGTATGGACGGGCAGGTATAATATGAAATCATATATTCTATAGTACAGACTACGACGACAACAACAATACGCCATTTACGCAACCATCATTTTCAGGGTTGTTCGTGACTTGGGCATATTTTCCCCAAACAACCTTGCCACCCGACGTAACCATACCAAGGTCCGATACGTTCACCTCAATAATCGTACCCTTCGTCAAGACACCAAGCTGCGTGTACATAGGAGACTGTGGATTTTTCTTCACACCAATGATCGGAAGCTGGAAGGTAGCCTTCAAGTCAGGATGCGTAATGTGTGCCTTCTTGAAGCGGAGACCCATGGGACGAATAAAGCGCTCCAGTTTCGGAGGCTTGCGAGTAAAGTTGTCGCCAACAAAGGTGGCCTTGGTCACCATACGCTTCCATCCATTCTGCTTGCGCTTTCCGGTCTTCACGACCTTGAATGCTTCGTCATCGGCAATACCGCGAACTTGCGGAAGGGGCACAGAATAACGCGCAGCCTTATCTTTCCTGCGCTCTTTGACTGCACTAGACAACGCCTTCGCATCTTTTTGACCCTCGCGGTCAAGTAGATAGGCAGGTAGCGCGGTCTCTGGATTGCTAGGAGCCGCAGATTTTTTCACATCACGCTCCTCGTGCTGCTTAATGGACTTCTTCATCTGCACCTTCTCGGCACGGCGTTTCTTGTTCAGCATCTTGGCCTTCAGACCGATAGTTTTCTGGGCCACAGCAGATGCCCTATGAGCACTTCGTGCTTCACGCTTCCTCATGCGCTCCTCATGGTCAAGGCGCCTACCATGGCGCTTAATATGCTCCTCAATATACTCATTCTGCGGCATGCTGAGTGAGTGACGATAGGCTATCAAATTTTTTGTCCACACGGACAAGGTCCCTTCGCTTAGTCAGCGCACCGGACCCTCCGTGTGGGTGTCTACCAACACTCTAGATCATGGCATCAGAGTGGTTGTCAGCGTTTGGCACCGGCGGGTTGCCGGGCGAGCCAACATTGATGGAAGGTACGCAATTAAAAACTCATGGTAGAACTCGACATCAACATGCCACATGTATGGGACAAGTCGCTGGCCGTCTTGAACCCCTTCCATAAATTCTCGCCGGACCATCCTAAAGACGCGCATATGATGGACGATACTGATCTCGCTGGCCCCTTATTGTTTTGCTTTGTTTTTGGTATGCTTCTTCTGCTGGTATGTTCATGTAACTCATCGAAGTCGGGCAAGTCTCAGTTTGGATATGTGTATGGAGTAGGGTTAATGGGAGTTATCTCCATCTACTTGTTGTTGAACCTAATGTCGGATGGTGGTATCGACGCCACCAAAGTCACCAGCGTGCTTGGATACTGCCTTCTCCCTCTATGTCTCCTTAGTGCTATCAATGTTTTTGTTAAACTCAAGTGCGTAATGAAACTACACTGACACTCAGTGGCATGTTTGGCTTTGTGATCTCGCCCTTGTTCATTTTATGGTGTTGTACATCCGCATCGGGTATTTTTGTCTCTATTCTCAACATGCATAATCAGAGATTCTTGGTCGCCTACCCCGTGGGCCTCTTTTACGCTTGCTTTGCGCTACTTAGCGTGTTCGATGTGGGCACCTCCAAATAATGTGTATCGCATATACCCAGTCGAATACTACTAACAACGTTCAAAGACGCGGTCTGGTGTGAGCCATGATACATTACGTACATAGATCAGGCAGGCTTGCGACCTGTACGATTGTGTCTTGCGCTTGCAGTTTGGGTACTAGACACCGGCCTCGTGACCCGAGCATATTGGCGAACCACACATGCTGAATGATCCAGGCTTCCTTGTCCCGCGCGGAAGAGTTTGCCCGAGGGGTATAGATGCCAGAACTGGGCGGTACATGACAATAGGCAAGTTCTCGACACATGGTGTAGAAGCACCCCTTCTCATCCTCCCAGTCTACTTGTGGCCCCAGGCGGAAGAAGAAGGACGGTAGACGCTCTAGCATGAGCCCAAATGAACCATGACGAGGAAGCAATGATGGAACCGCACAAACTGTTCCGTGCTCATTGTCCAAGTGAATTCCAAAGTATTCTTGTAGCATGTCTGCACGTTGAAGAAGCACCCGGCTAATCTTTTGGGCCACTTGCTCTCGAGACAAAGGAAGGGAGGCTTTTTCGTCGTCCGCTTCTTCCATGTCGTATCCAAGAGCGATAAGTTCAATAAGATTTGGGGGTGGGTCCAATCGGACAGAGGTGTAGGCTCCAAACTGTCGCAGAGCGAGTTGGTAACAAAATTCTTCAATCAACACCGCATGATGCACCAAATACAATTGTGTGCTGTATTGAATTAAACTTAAACCTTTCTCGAGGTCAACTACCCCTAAAAATGCATGGCTTTGTAACAGGTGGGTAAGGTGTGGATCATAGTCCTTATTGCACTCTGAGCGCAGCTCTTTTACACTGGATAGAGGGCAGTCACTTTCCAATACACGCTCCGACCCCTGTACATGCGGTACATTTGGTGTGGCCAACATGCTGTCGAGTGATTGCTCTTGGTGATCCACTCGCACCAAATGGCGTGGATCGTACTTCTGGTCCTGACGCCGCGTGTTGGTGATTTGGACCACATTGGGTGCAACTACTTCACCAAGGGGGTCACTCATTGAGAAAACACGGCATGAAGTATAAGAGGAAAGCCGCTTTTGGGCTTCTGCAGTGATCTTTTCAAATATTTCATCCTCATCCAAAAAATGAACTTCCTGTTTCGTAGGGTGTACATTCACGTCGATGCGCGTGGGCTCGACATCAATAGAGAGGTAAATCCAGGGATGCCTACCTTTTGGCAGCATCAGAGAATACATGGACTCCATGGCCTGTTTGAGATGAGGGCAGTCGACGAGGCGATGGTTTATAAAACAAATAAAAGACGTTTTCCTGGAAGACCAATTGGCCGTGCTAATCCAGCCGCTGGCAGAATATCCCAGCTTAGGATCCGACATCTCTTGTAGCTCGACAAGATCTCGTGCCAAAGCAGATCCATATATGTGTTGGATCGTTTGAAGCATGCCGCTAGAGCTCTGGGGCGTCTGAAGATCCATTGAAGCGCCATCGGCCTTTTTACACGAGAATCCTACGCCTTTCGGGCCATAGTGCAGTGCATATTTGGATGCAATATCTAACGCGCGATTGTATTCATCCGAATAAGACTTGAACGCACGCCGACGTTGAGGCGCATTAAAAAACAAATCCTGTGCAATAATACTGGTACCGACAAGTCCAGCGCATGGTTTTGGTTCGCACTTCATCTTTCCAGCAAAATATTCAGTTCTTTTGTTAGATTAGACACGTACTTGTGTGCACAATCGTCTCGGTCTGTTTTCGTAACAACCTGCACAGACGCAGACACAAAGCTAATACTGGCCAAGGCCTCCCCGCGAAAACCAAATGTGGTCATATTGGATAGATCCTCGAATTTACGAAGCTTGGATGTAGCGAACCTTTCACATAATAGTGGAAGATCATTATAGGAAATGCCACAACCGTTATCGGTGATCTGCAGCGACTTGAGACCTCCCTCTTTGAGCACAATTTTTATCTGTGTAGCGCCTGCATCAATACTGTTTTCTAGTAGCTCTTTAAGAGCATTTGAAGGTCGATGGATAATCTAAGGTGAGCAGTATCCGCGTACTTCGCCAGCAGCAATCCGGTTGATCACATCCTCATCAAGCCTCTCGATAGGCATGGCTAGGCACGCCGCCTGTGTGGAGGTGAGTTGCGGAGAGGCATCTACGAGGTACGAGCTATTCGGAATCCGATGCCTGGGTATCAATGCGAGCCCGCTTGGGATTCTCTGGTCCATCCGAAGCAGAACGTTTCCGATTTCTAGAGTGAGTCGATGTAACGTACACTGTTTTTTGCATTTTTTCAAAAATTAACAGGTTGGAACGGAGATGGAGGTCAATTTGCTTTACATGCTCCGTGTCCACATAGGGTCGAAGCGGTTCAGAGTCGCCATTCTGGTGCTGTGCCACTGAAAGAACCTCTTGAGATGCTTTCTCTAAAATACTCTTTACCTTTTCCGCCTCAAAAGATGGTTTACTGGCTTTGTGGTCCAGTATTTTGGTTTGGGACTCGTCCGCGCTAGGCTGCGGTTCAGGGTGCAAGGCTTTGTGTTTCGCGTTCCAATGTTCATGATTTTGGACGTTTTTCTTGTGAATCTGGGTAGACAGCTCTTCTTTGCTGGAGAGCCATTTTTCTGCAAGCGCTTTTCCAGATAGCGAGTCCCTACCCGTGGAAGAAATCCAGCATGAAGCTAGAGCAATTTGGGAGGGAGTGTAGAGGAATTCTGCATCGGAGAAACGAGAAAGATGTAAATTCGATTGTATGGCACTTGCAATGGAAAGCCACTCATCGCGAGTGAGAGAAGGCTCGATAGTTTGAAGATCAAGGATAAGGCCATACAAGGCCCGGTGGGCGCCATGGACAGCCAATTCAAAGTTCAGACTTTGTACCATCCCAAATTCAAGATCTTCAATAATTTTTTCAGTGACATCGCCTCGAGCTGCAGACGGAGTTTGGCCCGGGTCTCGGGGTGCCGAATTTTTGTTCACTTGAGTACAGAAGACAGATAGAGGAAGAGGATAGTTTTCTGCTTTGGAAGCAAGATATATGCTGGTTAGCCTAGAGTAAGAGTTAAACAGTTACTCACATTATCAATTTGGGATGAAATTGCATGCAAGAATTCCGTAAATAGAATCGCTTCATCAGTGTCATAGCTGTTGCTTCAACTAGAGACGGGAGTCCAAAGGCCTTTACAAGACGTCCAATTCGAAGCAAGTAAAACCGGATAATAGATAGCTCATCTTCTTTTGAAAGAAGATGAAGAGTAGTCCCTGGTTCGTTTTCTTTCACAAACTCACGAAGAGCAGCCGTTGCCTGTGCATACGTCTCCGACCGCAACTGATTGAGTTCTTCACGACTAAACATCCAATGGCGTGCTTGAGATGTCTCTAGATAAGAGGGACATGGGGTCTCTGGTGGCTCCACGCTTAAAGGATCGCTTAATTTATCAAGCGGCGGGTGCGGCACGGCACGCACAGTACCCGCTCGAGGGTCGTCTATCCTAGGTGACATGGTAGCTTGTGGAGGGCCACGTGTTGGTATCTAAGGTTCATTTTATGGTACGGACGTGACGCGCTTACTGGCATCCTCGGCTAAAGCCGTTTCGACGAGTTGTGTGAGCTCCTTGGCGCGCATAGCAGCATCTTTGAGGAGCGCCATAATCACTTGGTACGGGAGTGATACACCACCGGCTTTGTCTAGCACACAAACTTCACGCTGCGCATTCATCACGATAGAAATGCTTGAATGCGCTAAGGTCTGCTCGAGCATGGATGGATCCAACAGAGCCACAGGTATATCTAATTCCTTAGGACCTTCTTTTTCCACGTCCATATCCACCAGCTGTGAGTCTGTAGACGCTGTGTGAGATTGTGCCATCAGCAAACTGCGTTCGGTCTCCGTCTCGGGTCGCAGAATGAACATGGCAAACGACATGCAAAAAGGCATGTGGTGATATGCCAAAGGAACAGGGACACGCTCGTCAGACGAATGGACTGTCACTTCTCCATCCGCCACGGATACATCCGAACGACGGAAATGGCGCAAAGCCACCATACTGGCCAGCACAGCAGCATCCACAGGGGCGCCGTGGTCCGCCAAAAGATGGACAGTGAGATGAATGTGCCAAACGACCTTGCCTGCGATCACGCACAAGGCTTCGCGGTCAATTGCTTCAGTGTGCCGCACAGCTCGCTCTACTAAGCGGTCAAAAAGGGCTTCGCGTTCGCGTGACTCAGTCGCCCCAGCGACACCGCCAGCATCATATTCGACGCCAGCCATGGGCATAATATCCGTCGTTATTTGCAATTGGCCCTCATAAGGACGTTCGGCACGCGGCGGACCTAGGGTGGCATCCACGGACGCTACAACACTGGCAGTCAATCGAACACAGCCCGACAACTTACACTGTATGACCTAGCGACACTTGGCACCAACCCTGCCTATTGCTAAACTCAATGCGGACAGGTCGTGCCTGTCCGAACTTGCGCCCATCAACACGGACTGCCGTGGACCTCAATGCATGCAGCAAGAAATGCTGCTCTGTCAGGGATGGCGGGACTAAATCGCCAGCCGGCATTGTGAAACTCTTTACGGCAAGCACCGCCCTGTTGAAGAACCGATCTAAACAGGAACAGCACATCGCCTATCGCGTCCGATTAAATTACTAAACTTTTTTAAAAAATAGCGATTGGATAGAAACCTGACCATACAACAGGGTCAATTTCTACTAATACGTGCCAAGCCCCAATAGTGTGTGGCAACACTGCATGCATAGCCCCACAAATTACCTGATTGTCACATTCGTCCACCTCAATGTGATGTATCGGATGTATATATATATATATACTATTCAAGTGTGTCCTTGTCCCTCCCTCTTTCCCCCTATTCTTTATGTACTTCCCTCGAGTCGTTAGCGTTCTTGCCCTTGCGGCTCTTATTCCCGCCGTTATGACGGCTCCTGCCGCTGTTCCTCCGGCCTCTGATGCGGCCCCGGCGCCGGTGGATGCTGCTGCTTCCTCGCCTCCTGCCCCTGTCCCTGACGCAGCTCCGTCGCCCGTGGAGGCTGCAGCTCCCGCGCCTTCTGCCCCTGCGCCGGACGCAGCTCCGTCACCCGTGGAGGCTGCTGCTCCCGCGCCTTCTGCCCCTGCACCTGCACCTGCCCCTGACGCATCTCCGGCTCCTGCGGATGCTGCTGCCTCCTCGCCGGCTGATCCTGCTCCCGTTGAGGCGGCTGCTTCACAGACCCCTCCACCCCCTCCTACGAGCAGCAAGATTGTCAACGCTCTCAACTGTACCGATTACAAGGTCACCGGGTCTCTGAAGCTAGACGGTCGTCCTCTGAGCTTCACTGGCATGCCCGTGACCCTTACTGTTTCCGACCATGCTGATGAGATGGTGTTCATTGAGTGCCCGTCGCAGACGATGGATTTCAAGGCTAATGGCTCGAAGCACTACGGTATTGTCTCTCCTGTCTCTTCGCCTACCAACCAGTGTGTGAAAGCGTCGGAGCTTGCTAAGCCCAACGCGCCGCTGGTGATTCAAGACTGCTCGATGAGCGACGACAGCTCTCAAATGGGGCAGACATTTGAGTACGATGATAATGCGCACGTCCTCACGTTCGTCGGCCATCCCGCGCCTGGCGACTTTTACCAGACCAACCTGGTGGACAATGCCACTGTGGCTGTGTCGCCTGACGGTGGCCCTGCCTCGAGCCTCCAGCTTGAGTAAAGTGTTGTTGTTAATTACATGTTGTTGACATAGCTTTTTATAGAGGGCTATGCGGTGTGTATTAGGTTAGTCAAAAGGGATACGGCGCACGACTCGGTCGTTAGCCTTAAGCTCGGCGGCAGCAAACGCGCTGGGGATGGGGATGCCACAACAGTCGCCCCATCCTGCCGCCTGGCCCTCAGTATGGCACGGCGTGTGGGACGTGTCAGCAGCGAAGCGGTGACCATGCTCGTCTTCTACAATGTCGCCCTCGTCCTCGTCCCAAGGGCCAAAGCTGAGCAGGTCGCCAAAGAAAATATGCTGAGCAATCGGCAGCTTCAGCAGCACTTCGGCGCGGTACATTTTTACCATGCCCTGGTTGACCTTGTTCCAGGTACGCACACTCGAGATATCATCGAGCATGGGCGAGTGCCAGCGCAGCGACTCGGTCTTGACGGCGTTGATCGACTGGATGCAGGAAAAGTACATGTACGCCGGCGCGCATTCAGCCACAATCTCAGGGTCGTGAATCGACTTGGGCCGCAAATACGGATGGTCCATCAGCTGCGCGGCGCCCCAGAGAAACGGCAGGAAATGGTAGTCGTCCAGACCCCACACGCCGTGGCTGCCTGCTGGTTCTAGCCAGTACGTGGCTTGGATGATGCGCATGACACCCACGTACTTCCAGAACACGCGGAGGACCAGTGCCTCAGCATCGCGTGCCAAATCCAAGATACCCAGCTTAACGAGACCCAGCAGCCAACAGAGAAAGTTGAGCTCCATTCCACTGCCGTAGTCAATCCGCTTTGCGTTGCCCCACGACTCCTGCAGGTACACGGCGAGTTCCTGTCGCGCCCGAGCATGCTCCGGCCCTGCCAGCCCAGGTATCCCTTCCATGAGCCTGTCAGAGGCGTGACAGATTTTATCGTGCAAGGTCCGGAATGCCGGATTGCCAAAACGCGACACAGATGCCGAGTCCGTATCGCGAGGCGTTTCTTCCACCAGTGCATGGATTTGGTCCACGATCGCGAGGAGCGCTTGGACCTCGGCACTTTCGTGTACCGCGTCCGTGAGCTTCTTCCCACGCACAGCCTCGTTTCCCGCACGTAGAATGCCAAGTATCTCTGCAAAGAGTGGCCCATGATGAAAGTGTTCTAAGTGGCGCTGTGTAACGATGCGTTTGCACGGTCGTGCGTTGCTGAACGTAGGAGAGCGTACCACCTCTGGCATGCGTGCGCCTTCGAAAGGGTCAGCTGGCCCTGGTGCCGTAGGCGCCGGCGCAGGCGCCGAGCGCGTGGGCTGTTGCCGCAGCTTGTCTACGAGCAGGTTCTTCGCGCCTGCGTCCAACGGCGGAGACGGCATGGCGGTCGTGTGGAGAATGGGCCATTTTCGACCTCCACGCCTATGGATCTTGAGGCCGAATGCGAGGCCATCGTGGCGGCGTTTCTACGCACGCACGGCTATCAGGACACACTTGCTACTTTTGAGCGCGAGGGCGGCCGTACCTCGACTTCTTCGGTACGCGAGCATGTCCCGCATGATCTGCGCACCCTCGTGGAGCTTGCAGAGTCGCATGCGATGTCACAGGCCCTGCAAGATATTACCCTGGAGGACAGACCCACAGACGCACTCTCCCAGGTGCCGCTTCCTGCGTATGAACTAGCAGCGACGTACGATTACCTGCACATGTCAAACATTCTATCTGTGATGCCTGCTACGTATCCTGGCGTCGGGGGGCCCTGCATTGCAACGACGAGTGCAGATCGACGCGTGGTATTTACCGACGTAACGAACGGCGAAGTGGTTGGCGTCCTGGAAGCGTCCGTGAGTGCGGATGGCCTACGCATGGGCCACGAGGCGGCCGTGCTCGACATGAGTCAGCACCCGCAGCGCCCGACCTATGTGCTCACGGCCGGCATGGATGGCCGTGTCGTGCAGTGGGACCTGCTGCATGACTTGCCTGTGCACGAAATTCGCGACCATAAACGCTTTGTCGTGCGTGTCGCGCACAGCGATGATGGCCGCTTCATGGCGACGGCTGGCTACGACAAGAACATCCACATTTATGCGGCCGACATTCGCCATGACAAGCCTGTGTACACGCGCTTACATACCCTTGTGCTGCCGACGAATCCCGAGGCGTTACTCTTTGTGCGTGGTCCGGCGACGCCGGGAGATGCGCCCGGGCTACTCGAGCGCACCTGGCTTCTGTACACCGCGCGTGACCGCGCAACGCTGCACTATGTGGCACTGCCTGCAGCGGGTGGTACGCCCGACTGGACGGTCCTGGAATATGGTACGAACGCGGACCCCAACGATCAGCACAGAAGCTACTCATTGGTACGTTGTTTCTTCTCACGCAGCTCCACTTGACGCTACATCCGTCGGGGCGCTATGTCGCTGTGCAAACGGGCGAGTTGGGCACCTCGGATCGCTTGGATGGCGGATCACCTGCGCCCTCGCGGATCCTGCTCATGCCGCTCTTTTCAGCGCGCCGGCATGCGACGCTCTGGACATCTGCGCCGGCGTCGGCTTTTGCGAGTCCACGGCATGCGTGGATGCCGCGGGGCGAGGCTGTGTGGGTCACAGGCGAGGATGGTGTGCTGCGGCTTGTGGCCCTCGATGGCACGGAGCGTGCAAGTGTGCGCTGCCATGGCAGCGCGCCTGAGGCGGCTGGTGGGCGTGCGGGTGCTGCTCTTGCTGCAGCCGCCTGGCGGAGCGGCGGAAACACTGTGATTAGAGGCGTCACAGTGCTAGCCGATGGACGCGTTGCAAGCTGCGGCTATGACCGAACCGTACGGATTCTTCATTCACTATGACGTCTTTGGTCGTCCCATTAATACTCGTAGTGTCTTTTTCGTCACGGGTTTACCCTGCAGCCGCTCGCGGCGCGGGTCATTGCGCTCAATGGCGTACGATGGGCGCGTCGTCGAGCCGACGAGGCGCTCTGCCGATGCCTGCATACGGGCGAGCTCCTTGTCGGTAACGGGCAGCTCAAGGGCGCGGCTGAGCACGCCATCCACGGTCAACGGGGCCGGGTGCACAAACACGAGTTGGCGGAGCGCGAGGCTCCGGTCGGGCAGCTGGGCGCCCATCACGGCCTGGCGGCTCAGACACACCACGGCCACGGCCGTGCGCAGGAGGAACGGGTGTCCATAGCACAGGAACATGTCCCACACACGCAGCAGCGCGGCCCACGGGAGTGTGCGCACGAACAACGGGAGCACCCAGCCGGGAAGGAACATGATGGGCTCGATGCGCAGCTCTTTGAGGCGCTGGTGCAGCGGTGCATCGACCAAGCGCACGAGCTCATCCACGACGAAGTTGTCGACCTGCAGCCGGTGCATGTTGCCCGAGTACATGTCGGACAGGCCATACTCACGCACAAGCGTGTCGAGCAACCAGAATGCGTTCTCGATCTGCAGATGCGTCAGCAGTACTCCCACCACCAGGCACATGCCCTCGGTGTATCCCACATCGGGGTAGTAGAACGCGTACATGTGCAGCATGCGCCGGATGTCATCACGCGTCGAGCCCGCTAGGCCCGTAAATGGCTGACTGAGGGGAAAACACTGATCGAGATCCTGCTCAATCAGCTGCGCAAACGGATACTTGTCGGGGTATGCGAGCGAGTCTTGTGATGCTCGCGCCACATTCTCGTACGCCTCCGGTTTCATGCGCATTTTCTTCTCAACCAGATACAGCCACACCCGGCCCCGCAGCGCTCCCGGCACGCCTGCATGCACTAGCTGCACCGCGTGCTTGTAGGTGCGCGACGACGACGTGCGTTCCGTCAACACAGTGCTCCACTGCTGGAACAACTGCGCACGCTCAGGCAGCGCATGCTCCGACATATCCACGAAGGCCCTGCGTTGCGGCGATCCAAACAGGCTCGGTGCCGGGTGCGAGAGCGGCTCCTGCGGCGGTCGCGGGTCCCGCTTTGGGCTCATTGTCGGAGTCGAATGTCCCGAGCCCATCTGCAGCCGTGGCGACGAAAAGGGGCTCATGGGCCGGCCCACTAGCGTTGTGTCCGCCGTGGGCGCGGGGCTCGCGAGCCGCAGCGGAGACGAAGCGGGCGATGCACCGGGGCCACGCGGCACAGCCGTCGTGGAGCCCACCGACCACGGAGATCCGCGGCCGGCCGGCGTGCCCATAGGCCGGTACGGCGTCTTTTGGCGTGACGGACTGGCACTCACGGGCGTCCCTGGCAATGGAAAACGGACGTCTGCCGAACGAGTACTTGGCTCGTCGGATCGCACGGATGAGGAGCGCGTCATCGAGGCACTAGTGTCGTCTGCCTGGTCCAGAAGCCGGTTCTTCGTGCGTGGCATATCCTGCATGAGCGTATCCATAGGGCGTGGCTGCATCATCGAGTCGTCATTGTCGCTGCTCAGTGCATGGAGCAGTGCTTGCCGACTCGGAGTCGCCTGCGCGTTGTCGCGCTCGCTTGGTGCTTCCATATCCGCGCTCGAAGGCGGATTGTTCGCCGGCGCCGGTGTATTTTGCACGGGCGCCTCGTCCTCCTCGTCCTCCTCGTCCTCATACAGATAGGTGCTCGGTCGGAAATACGAATCGTAGATAGAGTAAGTCGGGTCCCGAGTGCGCATATCGTCCCACAGCGACTCCTCGTCCGGCAACGGGCTTTTCGAGTCGGCACTTGCCTCGGGTTCGAGGGTTGCCGGCTCTTGGTGTGGCTGCGTGTCGGTATACGATTGCCGCGTCACATACGACATATCCAGCGGATGCTGCGAGAGCATTGCCGCCGAGATGGCCATAGCGCCCTCGTCAGAAAACTCGGCGGGTCGCGATTCCCCAGCGCTTGGAGGATCCGCAGCTAACGGCTTCTCGGCCTGCGGTGGCGTCGGTGGGAGCCATGTTCGCTCCTCAAAGCGCACAATCCGCCGTCCTGGCGGCACATGAATTGACGTGAGTTTGACCACAGGCGCAAAAGGGCGCTGCGCCGCAGGCAGCGCGGCGTCGACGGTGCCCGCCGACCGAAGCGGCGTCATAGTATGGACCTCTTTCCCATCAAAAATCCCAATAGAATACCCGCAAAACCCGAGGAATAGGCCACTAGGGTACACCGTGTCCTGGGGCGGAAGCACACAGAAGAGCACCGTGATGGGCTCACCTTGGCGGAAAGCGAGACGATTCGCATTCTCGTTCGTGACGCGTGTGAGTGCAGCTATACAGGTGCCGATTCCCCCATCTTCCACGGCAAAGCGCCACCATTCGTGCCACGAATGCTCATCCATGGGACCGGCGAGGAACGGGGCGCGTCAAGCTCCGCGACGCTCGGCGCCTCCATTTCCAGCCGCAGGGCCCTGCAGCCGGACGGCTCGATTAAACTCCACGTGCATGTAACACCTACAGCTGCACACGGACTGCCGAGGCCGCCGCTCCTCGTCCTCCCCAGGGAACATGCGCCCAGCGCCCGCCGACATGACGCGGCGCCCGCCGAGCCACATTGCCCATGCACTGGAAGGATGTACGTACCAACCACTTACGCCAGACGAGGCCCTCGACGTCATTGGAAGCGGCACATTTGGCTTGATCCGCAAGGTGCGCCGCAAGTCCGACGGCCGCCTGTTTGCCCGCAAGGAACTCAACTTTGAGCGCATGAATGAGCGCGACCGAAAACATATTGTATCCGAAGTCAACATCCTGCGCACACTGCAGCACGACCATGTGGTGCGCTACGAGGAGCGCTACGTCGACTCCGAAAACGGCGTCTTGTATATCGTGATGGAGCTGTGCGAGGGCGGCGACCTCGGTTCGGTGATCAAACGGTGCCGCAAGTCCAAGACGCATCTCCCCGAAGAGACAGTGTGGGGCTTTTTCGCCCAGATGGTCACTGCTCTTGAGGCGTGCCACTACCGATCGGCGCCCGGCGCCCCCGGTGCGCGTCCTGCTCAGGCCATTCTACACCGCGATCTCAAGCCAGAGAACGTGTTTCTCGACGCTGACCAAAATGTCAAGCTTGGGGACTTTGGCCTTAGCAAGCAGATTGCCTCCCAGGCGTTCGCCAACACCTACGTCGGCACACCCTACTACATGAGCCCCGAGCTTGCCACGGGCCAGCCCTACGATACCAAGTCCGACGTATGGGCCCTCGGATGCATTGTATACGAGCTGTGTGCGCTCTCTCCTCCATTCGATGCGTCGAACCAGGCAGAGCTTACCCACAAGATCAAGCAGGGCCTCGTCCCTGCCCTCCCCAGGCAGTACTCACGCGACCTGCAGGAGGCCGTGCACATCATGTTGCAGCTCGACCACCGGCGGCGGCCCACGGTCCGCCAGCTCCTCCAGATCAAACAGATCAAACTCGCATCGCGCACGCACGCACTGGCGCAACTGCACAAGTCTGTTCTTCAGGAGAAGCAACGCGTACAGCAGCAGGCTCTCGCGCTCGACGCCCGCGAGGCTGCTTTGGCTGAGCGTGAGCGTGCCTGCGATTCAGCACAGGCCACTACCTCGGCTGCGCACTCCGACGCACGCGCACTCGCACTCGAGGAGCGCGAGATCGCCCTGCATGAGCGCGAGCGCGAGTTGTGCCGGCGGGAGGAGGCTTGTGCCTCGTACCGCCACGATCTATTGCAGTGGAAACAAGAGCGCATGCAGTTACAGGACGAACTTGCTTCTCAGCGTCGCGCGCTCCAGGAAAAGGATGCGCTTCTCGCTCGCTTGCAGGCCGATGCGTCCTCGCTCGCTCGCAGCACCAGCCGCACGCGTCCACGCAAGTCGTCCCCTCCTAAGACTGCGTCGGAGTCGCTAGAAGCACCTGAGATCACCGAGGCACCCTTAGCGACGCGCGCTGGCACCTCTGACGATGAGTGGGTGGATGATGACGTCCCGCCCCCTTTCCCCCCCTCCAAGAGTGTCCACGCCGCGGCCTCAGTTCTTGCGCGTTTGCGACGCCCCGAAGCGGATATATCCGACTGTTCTATGCGCGATGCTTCGTGTATGTGGCGCTCACCCCGACGATTCCACGCTCAAGCCATAAGCTCGCCGCTACGGACAAAACGTGCGTCGCTTCCGTCGGAGGATGCAGCACCGAGCGCGGCGGCGTTGCCAGCGTTGCACTCAGAGCCTATGAACCTCAACAAACTCCCTCATGAGCCGCAGTGGCATCTCTGCAGCGAAGAAGAACGCCCTTCACCATTCCTGAAGCGCGTCACTCGCATCCCGCTTGAGTCTCTCCAGGACGACGGTCTTGGCGATGCGGGCCTCGCGGACACTGGCCCTCTGGTCCCTGGACCTTCCAAGCCCAAAGAAGGCGTTTCAATGGGAAAAGAGAGTGCTCTTGGGCAAGAGAACGTCGCGACACGCGCCCTCCATGCCCGCCGCCGCTCGTCGCTGCTGCGCCCTCCCGAGACTCGGAGTGCGTTGCACCGGCCCCTTGCTCCCACACGTGTGCGCGCGCCAGGCATCCCTCCTAGTCCATCGACGCGCTCTGTGCGCCCCATGCCTGCTCTTCAGCGCGTGCGGTAAGCATGCCCTCCCCCCTCCCCCGTTATGTTGGATAGTCATGATAATCCGAAGTGGAGGCCCGCCGGTGGCCTCTCACCATCACGCTATGTTGCGAACATTCTCTTCGAATGTAGCAGAGCGGGCGCCCTGCCAGCTGCGCACCTTTGCTTCGTCGGTTTTAGCTCGTTCGGATGCACCTTTTTCGCGCCCGGGCCCCATTCCGCTTCCAAAGGAGGAGCAGAAAGAGTTTGAAAAGCTTGTGCGCGACAAGGAAAGTATGTTCTTTCTGCTGACGAAGTAGACACGATACCCTTTGCAGACATTGATAAGGAAGGGAAGGAGTCGAATGCGCATCCTGATGCGCGCCAAAAGGCCAGCGTCGAGTTCGAGGGCGATGTGAACCCGGTAACAGGCGAAGTTGGCGGCCCGAAGACAGATCCACTCCGCTGGAACTCCGAGTGGACTTTTGGCGGCCGCGCTACCGACTTCTGATAGCACTATGATTCTGTCTCCATTGTTACCTCTAGGGCACTGTGCCGAGGACGACGGACGTGCTACTCGCCAGACGCGGTCACGTGATAACCCGTGTACGCTCGCGTCCTGCTGCCCTGCGTGCCTTGCGACGCCGCTTTGAATTCGTTGGTGCCAGTGGCCCACTCTATTTTTTGTGAACACGCTCCTTAGTCACCCCCAATTTGGGAGTCTTTGTATTCTGTCCATGACGCCGCTGCAACCACCTAGTGTTGCGGCCACTGTGGAGAACCACACGCCTACACCCAAGCGCCGCAAATCACGCGGCCCCCACTCCGCCGACACAAGCTTCGCTCACGCTATGGATCTGCGCTCGCCCGCGTGGCAGACCATCGTCGCCTTCCGGACTTCATTCGGGAAGGGCTTTAACCGTGTATTGGATGGTTCGTTATATGCGCTGCTCACCTCTCTTAGGCTCTTTCAACCTGTCGACGGCCCGCAAAGTGGTCTGCGATAAGTACCAGGTTGACCCCCAAACTCCCATGCTTCTCTCTTACACCGCGCCTGATGGAATGGAGATCGATCTCGAAGATGCAGAGGACTTTCGTGCTTTCCAAGTATACGCTTCTCGCGAGTCGGTCGTTACCGTGAACGTGGAAATGGACGCGGCAAACGTGGGCGTATCCAAGCCGACCACAGACCCGAGTCTGCAAACGCCTTCCAAGCCACGTTCTCGCCGGGGGACACGCGGCAAGGGCGCGTCCGCACCCCCTCCTGCGCCTGAGCCTGCTACTGATGCCTCAGCGCCCATCGCCGAGGACACGCCCGCCGAAGTTCGCGAGGCACCCGCTAGTGGTCGCGAGGCACCGGTTGATGGCCCCGAGGCACCGGCTGATGGCCGCGAGGCATCCACTGCGGCCGATGCAACGCCGAAGGAATCTGGCCGGAAGCGCAAGCAGAAGAAGGTCGCAGAAAAGGATACTGAGAAGGAGGCAGACAAGAAAGCGAAGAAACAAAAGGAAAACGAACCTCTGCAGGAAGCTCCTGCTGCCCCTCCCACAGCCGACTCGGATGACGACTCGGATGATGACTTGCCCCTTTCTCAATCTGCTCCCCCTTCTTCCCAAACAAATCCTCCCCTGTCGCAAGAGTCTGTGTCGGAAAAGCCTCGTCGCCACCGTCGGACCAAGGCAGAGATGGAAGCATTCCGTGCCGAACAGGCAGCCAAGAAGTTGGAAAAAGAAAAGGCTCGTCAGAACAAGGCATCGCATCCTGTACCCACTGATACGACCGCCGAGCCTGAGGCGGCGGGCGACGAGACGACCATCATCCACGAACCTCGGAACGATGAATACATCTCGGCTGCCTCGTCTGCGGTACAGGCTCTCGTTGAAGAAGGCTCGGCTGCCATGCAGCAGCGTTTGAATGACCTTAAAGCCAAGAAGCAGCGCAAAAATGCAGCGGAGCGCGAGGAGCAGAAGCTATTGATGGGGCTAGTTGGCAAAGAATCCTCGGCCAGCGATACAACAATGCGTGAGTACGCCGTTTGTGAATGATAGCTGACACAGCCCTTTGATATGAAAGGGAATTAGCTTCTTCTTCGCAGCCGCAGACCCAAGAGACGTCGGTGCTCACTAGGAACAACCCGGACGTGACCAACCAAGACGAGTCCACGAGCTTTGACAGTGCCGAGCCTTTCTTTTCGCAGCCAGAATCTCACACACCTACCTCCCTATCGCACGTCCATGGACCTGCTCCGCGGCCCTCTGGCCCCTCCGAAAGTACACCCAAGCGGGCCTCAACTCAGTACATGGATGCTTCGGATCACCCGTCTCACGACGCTTCTGCGACTTCACGGCGACCCTCTAGCGGCTTTACCAAGCTGTCTGAGCTCCGGCCTTCTACCCTGCGGCGCACACTTTCTCGACAGGAAAGCCCTATTGTGTCAGCTAGTGCGTCCGAGGCAAGCGCCGATATTGAGGCCATGCTAGGCCCTGCGACTTCGGCAGCTGACTCGGAGGCATCTAGCGACACAGAATCTTCTGCGAGCACCGACTCGGATAGTTCAGAAGAAGATTCAGCATCTGCGCTTCCTGCCTCCAAGATGGCCGGTGCGACAGCAGCTGTCTCTGCCGAAGAAGACAGTCACGCCAAGCGCAAGCGTTCCTTTTTTTCAGCGCTTAGCTGAGTGGTTCCTTTAATACGCATTCATACCCTATGGAATTATGTGTTAGTAGGGCATAAGCTTGGGCTTTTGACCTCCTGAGGTCGTTTCATGCGCCAGCATGAACGGCTTTGAGCGCTCTGTGACGCCGCGCTGCATGAAACCGACATACGGCATCACATTCCATTCCACGCGGTAGTCTACGGCTGTGACATTGCTGCGTGTTAATTGTAGCTAGCACGTACTCGAAGGATTTCAGATAGTCTCGCATACCATATTTGTTGGGCATATTTTGTATACGCATAAGTGCGTCTTGCTCGCAGCGCACAATCTTGTCCCAGATAACAATATCATTTTTACCCTGGCTGTCAGTCACAGCATACGCACGCGACGCGGAGATTCATACGATGCTGTAAGACTCAGGAACACCTGTTTCGTGTTCCAATTGAACAAGGGCCTGAGATCGAGATCGAGATCCAATCTCGTTTCAACAAACTGCTGCATGCGCCTATCGGCATGCCACCTTGCTCGACCAAATACACTGTTGGTTAGCGAGCGCAGACGCACATATCGGCCTTGTTGATTTTCATGGTGCAAAAAGGCTCTCCGATCTGCAAACCTGTCAAAGCAATTACAGAAAGAACCACTGAGATCACGCTCAACGCAAAGGCGGTGACCAGGTTGAGCCGCTGTAATGTGCTGAACATGTTACTTCCTCACGCCCAAACCTACCTGAACATGGTGGATCAGGACGTAGCACGTGCCACGTGGTTCGCCTCCGTCCTACTCAGGCAGCGTTACGCACGACCGTAGTAGCCCGCAAATTCACCTACAGAGCCTACATTCACGCATAGTTGTCCCTGGGATTGTTAGAAAAAGCTGATTACTGCCAACGTACACAGGGAAGTAATCATGCTTGCCGTGAGGAATCGCATCCTTCTGCAGCTTCATCACATGGTGCGTCTTGGTCGACGGGAACTTAGGCGGCATATTTGTGGCCGAGTACTTGTTCTCGGGGGCCACCTGCACCTGCTCCAGCACCTGCGTGAATGCGGTCGGCGAAGCCAGGTCTGAGGGCACGGTAAGCGTAGTCGACTGCTCTGAGCCTGGCAAAGGCAGACTGTTGCGTCAATCCAAAAAACTCATGCAACTCACCTCTTGGTGCCGTCCTCGTTGGGCGAAGCCAGGAGCAGTTCAGTCAAGTACTGCTGTGTAATAACATCCGTCTGAGGGTACTTGCGACGGAAATCACGGTCGTGGTAGAGGTTTTGCGCGATATCTTCGGTCAGAAAAATCTAGAAACATACCCGAAGCTGTATATCAGTGTGCACAGTCGCACAGGTGTTAGTATCAAACATCAAGCCAACTAAAAGGACATACCCTTGGACGGAACAGTGGCAGGCTTCTCGGGGCGCGAAGCAGGCTGAGGGTAGCGGTTCTTGAAGTTAATATAAAGAGAACACTTACAAGCAGAGGAAGGGGTAGACCAGACGAGATCTCACTGCACTGTCAGAGCGGCTTTTTCTTATTACGTACGGGTTGAGAGAGAGAAGGCTGCGGACCTTGCGCCAGAACGGAGTGCGACCCTCTGTGTAGTGGTACAGGTCAGGCGATTCAGGGAGCTTGTTCAACAGCGTGCGCGTCGCGCGAAAGGCAGACATCACGGCAGTTATGGAGGTGCGGAACGAAAGCCGTCGTCGTTGCTATGCCTCCCAGTTGCTTAGTCAGAAGTCCCGGCTGTATGCACCGCGCTTGAGACTACCATGTGGAGTTCTATGGTCTAATTGAGTTACTTCGACGCTTCGCCAAAGATTGGGTCACAACCTTCCCACTGAGCAGGCTCATTGTGAATACGTTTGGATCCAACCTTGTTGCGCTCAATCCAGTAATCCATTGTCTCACGACCAGAACTGTCTTTCGACGTGTGGGGCTTCCAGAACTGGGCCGATGTGTCAGGGTCTGTCGTCTTCGAGAACCAACGTGGCTTGTGCGGTGGGAGCTGACCCTCTTCACGCTTGCGACGTGTAGAGCGTTGTAGGTTCTCCAACTCCACCTTGAGTTGGTCTGCATCGTCGAACTTTCCAACCTCGAAGGCAGCCAGATCAGGTCGAAGTCGGCAGTCCGTAGGGGGCAACCACTGGGCCAAACCATCAGGCTTCGAGTTGAGAGTAACAGCAAACGGAGTGAGGTTGAAGGGGATATCTGCCTTAGCACTGTTACGCCAGAGAAGGAGATACTCATTGTCGTTCTTCGAACTGGCCACAGGGTCTGCACCGCTGTGCTTCGCATCAGGGTTCAGACCACCTTGACTGTTTGCATGACGCGCTAACAATTGGCTGCTCCAGCGACCAGCAATGTCCCACACCTTGTTACCACTAGCATCAGTGACATGGCCCCTAATCTCATAGGCATTTGCGCTGCGCCATCCTCGAGGCATAAATGACAATGTGCACTTGTCACCCGTAACATGATTCACCACATTCATGTCGCCGAAGTGGTCGATAGTAGTGGAGCCTGTAATGAAGCCGCTCACGGAGGTAGTAACCTTGTTCCAAGAGTAGTGCTCCATCAACAACCCATCGTTATCAGGCGAAGGAGGAAGCGAGTCTCGTTTCTGCGCGGGGACCCACTCAGGCTTTATCTTGAGGCGAACATGGGCCACACCTGTTGGTGTGATTTCAAACGACCGGCCAAGAAAGCGCGACTTGGCATCCACGCACCCCATGTACTCCCATCCAGGCGACTCGCAGAAGCATGCCGAGATCGGTGGGTGGTGACTGACCTGTTCGCTGATGTAGCGGTACTGGCCATCGACACTAATGTATTCGAACGTTTCGCCAAGCATTGGGTTGAAGGGCTTCGCAATGCGGCCAATCGTCGAGCTGTAGTTCGACATCGCAAAGGCTGCCACATACATGATTCGGCGCGTTGAATCCGACTGCAAAGCAGCCGCGTCCAAGCACTCAGAAAACTCCAAGTCTTCTGACATACGCTGAAGCATGGATGTCGGCTCATTGAAAGCCACGGGGAATGAGATCTTCGTCAAGTCCTTGCCAATGTTGTTCTTCAAGATACCCCACAAAGACATGACTGGACGCTCATCCTTACCGATCGGCATCTTATGGCGGAGATGCTTGTAGGGCTCATAGCCTGGTCCCTCGAGGAAATGTGTACCGTTTTGTTCATGTGTATTTTCTGTGTTTTTGCTTTGGTTGTTATCCGGCGATGATGCTCCCTCTTCCTTAGGTTCATCTTTTTCTTGACTAACCTGCTCTCCGACGACACCAGCTGGACCCTGTTCGGCATTGGGCTGAGGTGCACTCTCATCCTTTGTGGCACCCTCTGCGTTACCCTCTGTGGCACCCTCTGTGGCATCCTTCGAGTCCCAGCCCGACTCCATAGTGCCCTGTCGGCTAAGAGGTCCTTCCACATGAAGGTTCGGAATGTTGTTCGAATCCACGGTGTCGAAGAACTCATCCTCTTCATCCATACTCTCCTGTCGGGCATTCCAGCTGGAGGGCATCATCTTGGATAGCATCGAACCAGCCATACCTGCAGCGGCGCCCACGGTGGCACTCACAGCACCAGCGGTAGCACCTACAGGTGCACTCATACTGGAACCGGCTTCATTTGTTTGCTCCTGGGTCATAGATTCAGGTTCTTCAGTGGTGGGCATATGGCTCACGAATTGACGTCGTTCCTTGCGCATCTGCCTGTTCTCACTGGCTGCTTCATGTAAATCGTTTTCCAGCTGCCTGTGTTGTCCACCCAACACGGTCATCTGCTCTTCCCACAGCTGACAAGTACGGTTCACACGCTCAAGCTCCTTCATAAGATAGCCTTCACGTTCGCGCACCATATTGCTGAATTCTTTCCAAAGCTGTGCACGTTCTTCCAGCGACCGACGAAGCGCCATGCGAATTTGTGATCCGGCGGCATCAGAGTTAGAGGCCTGGCCAGCCACTCCACCTAACATGACAGGCTGCGCTGGTTGGCCAGCCACCGAGGTAGTAGGAATGACGATATTGGAGCTGTTAGTTGTCGCCACAGACTGGCCAGTGGGCACTGAGCCCTGTGTCGAGGCTTGGCTGTCCAATTCATCGACCAATTTCAGCACGACTTCAAAGTGTAAGTCCATGAGGTTGTTGACCCTGGCGAAATTGGCCGAGTAAGGCATCGCACCTGGCTCTTGTTCCAATCCACCATCATCGATGCTGCCGATTTCACTCATATCCTCGTCGGCGGGTGTATCCTGCATTGAAGCATGCTGCAAGTCCAAATCCTCCTCCTTTTTGCTAGTACTGGTGAGCTGAATGGGCGAGTTCGACTCCATTGTACCCTGACTCTTTGCAGTCAATAATTCTCCCGTAGGAGCTGTGTCATGGCAATAAAATTGGCGCGCCTTTTCCAAAAGCTGAATCCATCGCGTGCACTCGGCAAAATCACTGCTTCGCAAGAACCACCGCATAGCATCCTTGTCCTTGCTGCTAATGATCTCGAAGCGGTTGCGCTCCTTCCGATCGGGCACAATGGTCATGAACCGCAGATGCATTACGCCCCGGGCCTGGCGGCCTTCATCATCTGGGCCTCGGTAGTAGGAAAGTACACCATTTTCCAATACAAACCAGCGGACCTTGTAGCCGTGGACATAGTTGGTCCACTTTTCCATAAAGCCTCTGTAAATAGGAGCCTGCTGATGCGCTAACGAGTTTTCTGCCCCCGCAAGCGCCATCTGGCGGAGCAAGGCATGGATCTGCTCGTCATTCGTCATGTCACTAGCGCTCTGGCCGCTCATGTCTTTCACGTAGGGATCAGCTCCATGGGCCATCGCCGCCTTGATGAGATTTACACTTTTGTACTTGACGGCTGTGTGCAGCACATCCTTGCCGGTAGCGCTGCTAGAAGTAGCAAGATCGACCGCAGTCACTCTAGGACGACTGATCACTTCAACTAGCTTCGCCTCTTCGTCACTTGCGGGGTCACCACGCGACCTTTGTGCCTCGAACTCGTCCAGGTGCTTCTGTATCAAAGCACGCAGTGTGTTGTGTGACTTCTGTAAAACTTGCATCATCTCATAAGAGGTAACAAGTTGGTCTGGCGTCTTCCCTTCTTTGTTTTGGAGAGAGTCGTTGATCGCAGGATGGGAAAGTAGCAGCTGAGCCACCTCGATCCGATTTGTCGACACGGCAAGATGGAGAGGAGTATTGCCCGTGTCTGTTTCGGGCATATTGGGGTCCACCTGAAGCTCGAACAGCAAATATTCAATGGTCGCAGGCAGTGCGCATTGGACTGCCATGTGCAAAGGCGACTCAAGATTGGGCTTCGCGGTCGACACATCCATCTTTTGGACGAGGGACGCTATCGCCGCCCGATCATCTCGATGCAATGCATCGAGCAGTTCAAGACTGCGAATAGCCAAAGCTAACTATGAGTGGCATTCGAGCACGTACCTTGGGATGTTGTCTCCACTGACATGAAAGTACAACGCAAGATGGCACCCGAAAGCGGGGCTGGATCTCATCTCAGTCATGTGATACTTCGCCACACGGGCCAACCGACCGTGCGAGGTCCCTTTGCACACGTGATGCGTTCAGGGCGATTTGCCTGCTAGTCTACATATGTGGTAGCCTTAGGAGGCCTTATAGCGGGATGCGTCCGCCGCGTACTGGTAGTGAAGATTCGCCACGGGGGCGTCCGCGGGATGACTGGAAGTTACGGGCACGCTTTTCCCTTTGACTAGCGGTGCCTGCCTCAGTGGCGCTACCTGGACGCGAGGTCGTCCGAGGCCGACTAGGTAGACCCTGCCCTTGAGCAGTACGTGTGGGGATAGACGACGATAACTTAGCCTTCTCGCGCACATCAGATTCCGCTTCTGTTCGTTTCGATCTGACCTGGCGGTGCTCCTGTCGTTGTGCCTGCTCTGCCGCAGCTTGCTAGGCATGTCAGTTATGCTGCGTACCTGTGTAGCACCTCGCCAGCTCTCATCATTCAAAAGTTGACGACGTCTCTGTCCCTGAAGCATTATTTTTGTATAGGAATCCAACAGAGCGTCGGTTTCGCTAATCCGCTGGGCAAATGCCTGAATCAGAGCGGCCGTACGTACCTCGGTCTGGGTAAGGCTTGATCGGAGCGCACGTTCATACGACTCAAACATGTGATTTAGCTGATGTAGCTGCTCCAGCTGTAACCGGATGCGCTCCGGGGACTCACTCTCGCCGGGCGCGGCCGGCGCGGGTCCCTCCTGGGGCGCATTCGCCGGCTCCTTGCGCAAGAGCACACTGCTGAGTAGCGAGTCGTCTGCCTTGGGGAACATGGTCATATTCGATGCGGTATGATCGCCCAGAGTCGTATCAAGGGCGGAATCGTCATCCATGACATGCCGCGACGTAGGCGTCGATACGTCCATGGCTGGACGCGTGTAAGCGGTGCGAGAAGCCGACGCGTCGTGTATGGCACGTGACAGCTTCTCGCACGGTTCTGACACCACCATGGCAAGGGGGGGTGGGACGCTCGTCGTCGTACTACTCCTACGCCTTGTCCTATTTGTGGGAGCATACGGCGCACTGCCCTGGCTGATTGGAGAGGCACGGTATGTATCTCTGGAGACAGAGTCGGACAGCGCGAGTGATATCCACTTGCTTCCCTCTGTGTCCCACGCACGGACGCGCTCGCTGCCGCAGGGTGCCCGGCTAGCGCGCGCTGTGCATCGATCGTTTGTACAGTCCATCTCTGCGCCTTCCATTTTATTCTGTGTTGCTGTGGAAGAGAGTCTCATCCTCTTAGTCCTCGTGTTTCTCGAGCATATATACCTACATGGCCCAACCCTGCTGCTGCAGTGGCGAATCTCTCTCACGGCTGTGATTCTGTGCATCGGACTATGGTTGCCACTCTGTGCCAGTGCATTATTATGCTTTGGAGGAGCTCGTGGGCGCTGGGTTTCTACGCGCGCCGTTGCCAGTCTGTCGTTATTCGTCGGTTGGTGCTGGGCGTTTCTCCGTGTCCCTTTGCCCAGTGTCATGACACACACGACATCTGGGTGGTCAGGCGCCATTTTAGCACGCACGGCCATGATAGGCGTATCGCTTATTGGGGTGTTGTCCGGCAGCGTGGCTGCTGGCGCCATATGTGACTCGTATGAAATGATGGTACGGCGGCGGCGGCGCTGGGGCGAACAGGACGTTGCAGCAACGCGTACATCCTTCCAGCGCACTGTAACCGAGCTTCAGGTGAAGCGTGCGGCGGCGAACGATGTCGAGGCGGAGCTTGAAGCCGGCGGCGCACGTTCCTCGTGGTCTCGATGGTGGTACCGCAGCCAGAAGGACCGCGAGCTCGCCGTGTTGCGGAGCGAGATTATGGGGCTCTCTGCCATGGCTAATGCGATGCGTTCAGACCTGGAACATCAGGAGGCCCAGGAGCGCCGCGTTCGGTACGCGCGAACCTGGCCTGGCTACGTTGTGCTCCTAGGGGGCTATCTATTCTCTGCGTACTGCCTGGCGCGCCTCGTGCAGTGTCTGCTCAATCTGCTCATCTTTGGATACGAGCTGAATTCTACGCGCGATCTGGTCTCGACGTGCCTGGCCCAAATAATGCGGCTACTAGGCTTGCAGGTCGATGTAGCGGCCTGGTCTCCCCGGATCAGTTTCCTCATGGTCGGTGGCCTGATTGTTATGCGCCTGCGAAAGATCTTGGGGGGCCTTTCCTCTGCGATCCAGTCGGTGTCTACGGGTATTAGCACGCAGCTGCTCGTGCTGTTCACAGCGCAGGTCTTGTGCATCTATGTCCTCGCCGCTTTAATCCAGCTACATGCGGGCGCAAGCACTGCTACGGATAAGAGTATGCTGCTTTCTTCGCTCCCCGAGTTCCAGCGCGTATTTGGACGTGTATTTGACATCGCATTCCTAGCCTGCGCGAGTGCCACGGGCGCGGCCCGTTGGTATGCTTGGCACGCCGATGTATCGCTGCATCGGGGGTAGGCGCCCGCCCACGTGGCGGGTGTTAGGGAGATCGCCCCCCGCTCATCCGCGCCATAGACTCTTGTCCTGGGGTGCTCCACCGGCGGCATGTTGTGCATTCCAAAGGCGAATCACAAGAAACTTTTTGAAGATTGCTACCCTGCGGCCAAGGCACTAGCCGGCACTGCGCCCGAGTACCGCCCGAATGCGAATGAACTAGGGCGTCTGTGCTATTATGCCCAGAGCAAGCCCGCGAAGTTGATCAAGGTGGGCCGGCTGCTCGCCGTGCGCGCGGCTGCTGAATGCCGAGCATTTCGTGCGGCACCCAGCGACAAGACCAAGGCGCTTCTGATGATCACCCTCGGTATCCTGAAGGAGCTTGTCGCGACGTGCGGTGAGGGCCATGTGTACATTGCGCCTACGGTACAAAGCGTACTCACTGAGGCGCTGCAGGTGTCTAGCTCGCGCACGTTTTGGGATGCCGATGTGAATGCGCGCGCCGCAGCTATCTTCGCAATCTATGTTGAGAGCCTCGAGCCGGCTGATATGGAAATCGATGAATGTGTCTCGAGCGCGGTGCTCCATGTGCTGGCGGAGCTGTGCCAGACGGGTGTGAATGCCGCCAAAGACGAACGTGCGTATGTGAACAGCCTGGCGGGCATGGATGCCATTGTCCGGGCGCCGATATTTACGACGTCAGCCCTACCTCGGCTGCATGCGCTCATTGCGCCTTGTGTGCTGCAGCGCATTTACGCGTCGTATGCCCGTATGGACGGAACGGCGACAATGCCGAGCGAGCCTTCGATACCCGTGATTATGCCGTCTACTCAGTCTACCACAACCGAACAGACAGCCAATGTGGCACTCACGGTCCTGCACCACATCCTCGATGCGTGCGATGCCGTGCATCTACACACGGTCGTGCAGCAGATCCTCGCATGGATCGACGCACCTGCCGAAGGAGCGGCGCCGCTGTGGGACGCCGGTGAATGGACCGTTTGGCTGCTGGGACTCGTTGCGCAGTGGGCGCCCAAGTCGTCGCGCTATGCGGTACCACACACCATTGTCGACGCGCTCGCCACGCCGATGGCACGCTCCAGTCTTCGCGAGACACGCCTACTGCAGGCGCTGCATGTGATCCTCGCGAGCAAGACTGAGATTATCGGCCTCAACATGACGGAGATGTTTGATGGCCACATTCACTTTTTGCTTGCGCACGTCCAGCGCGACGTACACGATCCCGCGATCCAGGCCACGATCGAGGCTGCTGGCCATCTCGCATCGCACACCGTGTACTCGGAGCAGTTGGGCGATTTCGTGCAGCAGATGACACCGCACCTGCAGCGGGTCCAGCAGGACGAGACGCTCTCTGCCGAGACAAAGGCTGTGTCGCTGTGTGCGCTGCTGTACTGCCTGCTCCGCATTGTCCATGCTCCTGCAGGTACTCTGCATGTTCCGCTCAGTAGCTGGGCTGGTACAGAGACCCTGCTCCTTTCGTCCAGCTCAGTTGTACGCGCAACATACCTACATGTGCTACTGGCCTACCTGCAGTACGAGCAGAACCTTGGCCTACGCGCGGGAACCCCTTCAGAGACACTCTTGGAGAGTCTCGGGTTTCTGCACTCGCTTGCGGCGCACATATGGATCCTGGCGTCCGCGCACCTGCCAGGCGCGGCGGACGCACTGGATCCAGCGCTGGTGCATGTCTCGCGCACGCAGCTGCAGGACCTGCAGAGTACGCCTTCTGACTTTGCGCTGCTGCGTGGCGTGCTGAATCTGCTCGTTGTCGTGGCCCCTGCGCCGTCGACGCTGGCGCTGGTCCCAGCACTCTTTGGACTGGAGCGCGTGGCTAGTGCGCCTGCGGTGGGCGATCTTATCCTGGTCCACCAGACTCTTGCGTGCCGCTGGCTCGTAGGCGGACTGCTGGCACAGATGTGCGCGGTGTGGCAGTCACAGCGCGGTGTTGACTACCTGCACTTCCAGGTGCTGCCATCTGTGCAGGCTATCCAGTTCACTGCGCCTGTTTTGCCTGAGCGCTTCCAGTTGATGCCAGAGTTACCGCCCTTCTCATCGGGCCCGTACCACCAGGCAAGCCAGAGTCCCATGGATGTGGCAGTAGTGAGCGACGCTCTCGCTGCCAGTGTAAGCCTGCAGAGCATGGTGCACGTGGATGACGAGGCCCTCCAGGTATGGTTCCTGCGTCCTTGGACAGTGCGCTCGGGACTGGACGATGCGCGTGTGTCAGCGCGTCCCACATGGACGAGCTGGACGCCACCGACGGAGCTCCATGCGGCGGATGGCTCGCCGAAGGCCGCCCGTGGCCTCAACATGAGTGTGAGCCAGCTTCGTATGGCTCTCGCGAGCCCCGACAGTCATGCCCAGCCTGTGGGGTCGTCGACGCCAGCGCGGGCAGGCTCCCTGTTTACGAAGGACTCGCGCCGCCGCCTCCGCAGTCGCAGCCACCTGCAGGCCGAGATGCCTGGCGACATTTCGGACCTGCTCGACAGGTTCTCAGTGTCTCCAGGGCGCCCGGCTGCGGCGCCTGCGTCGCCACGCGACGTGACGCCTGCACACAGCACACCAATGCCGGCCTCGGAGGCACCAAGCCCTTCCGGCATTGAGCTGCCTATGCCTGTAGCCGCGGCTGCACCTCTCACTAACGTAATGCAGCAGCTTGGCTAGGTTCCTTAGCTTGTTTACAGCTTCATATCCAGTCCTCGTGGCCGGAGTGCGCCTGGGCGCAGCGGCAGCGATGCATTGCGCGCAATGCGCGGGGCGACGGCCCCGCTCGGGCGTGAGGTACTCTGCTTGGGTGACACAGCTAGTGTCTGCCATAGACTTGCAACTTCGTCAGCGATCGCACTCATATCAATGGATGTGCGCATAGCGAGTGCGCGCGCACTCTCACTGGCCTGCTGCGACATGTGGGCAGCTTCGTTCATGGCGGAAAGAGTCCGTCGCAAGCCAACAAGGGTATTTTCTAACGCTGGCACCTCACCAGCCGTCCACGACGGTGCACAGAGCCATTTGCCTAGGCTGTACGCACAGTCGTCGGCCTGTGCTCGGGTCAAAAGGAGGTCCTGCTCCATCTGATCGAGACGGCGCTTCAGCGCTTCATTTTCGCGCACAACAGCCTCCCACTTGTCTGCCTGCTCTCGCAAGTACGGCGCAAGCTTCACATATGCACATTGCGTGCGATGTGCGTCCAGCAGCGAGCGCGGACCGTGCCAGTCGCACCCGTCGGTACACGCGACAGGCATGGCCCCGCACATGCCCTGATGAGCATCCCACTCGTCCATGCTCATTTCCATTGTGCAATGCGCACACACGAGGCGCGATATCCACGACACATGCTGCTGCTGGTGGGCACGCAGATGCTGCCTCTCACATACATAGCCGCACCCCTCCTCGGGACACCGCACACGCAGTGAGTCTACCATAGCGTGGAGAAGTGGCGGTGCATCCCTAAACTGCGAGTCGCCTACCTGTGTGCGGCAGTAAGGACAGTGCGACAACCCGGTTGCCGCATCCAGTGCGGACCAAAGGCAGGTGCGGCAGAACGCATGCTGACACGGCTCGACGAGTACAGGCTCATGCATCGGAGCGCTGCGTCAGTGCATTGAACGTACAGGCATATTGGACATAAAAGATGCTGATGCATCGACGAGGGCGCCTCAGCATATTCGAACGCATCCCCATTCATTGCGGGGTGCATGTCCTCCCGGTCCGATCGCCGCCTCTTGTTGGCCTCCACTTGCCATGGCAGCCCCCGCTCCTGGCAAGAAGCTCCGGGTGCTTCTGCTTCATGGCTATGCGATGAACCAGTTTTCGTTCCGCAAGAGGCTCATGGCACTGCAGAAAGAGTGTAAGGGTATGTGCTGAACATCTCACGCAGACATTGCCGAGTTTGTCTTTGCCAATGGGCCGCATCACGTTCAGGCCTTTCCTAACGCAGCCAACCCGGACCCGCCGCCGCCTAGCCCCGATGACCCGCTCGAGAAGCAGCCTCGCGCCTGGTGGATGAGCCGTGAAGAAGGCTACGTCGGCTGGGAGAGCGCCATTCAATCGCTTGCGCAGCTTAGCCGCGAGCAGGGCCCTTTTGATGGGGTCTTGGGCTTTTCGCAGGGCGGGACAGCGGCAGCGGTCGTCGCGGCGTCTATTGAGCACCCCGAACTCCTACCTGAGAACCTTGAAGCCATTCAGACAACGCCTCTTAAGTTTATGATTAGTGTATCGGGCTTTCGCCCTAACGATTCTGCGTTCGATCCGTTGTTCTCCGTGCCGCTCCAGACACCTTCCCTGATCATTTACGGCCAGTACGTCATGTCACTAACACAGAAACGACTCTATCGTTTCGTTTGAACGCACTCAAACGCTCATCGATGTGTGTGCCCACGCACGCGTGGTTAGGCATCCGGGCGAGCACTACCTTCCTACACCGTACGTAACGACCACTTATGCCAGCTCTCCTTGGAGAAAGTTTTTGACAGCATGTATGAAAGCATGGGCGAGCGGTGACGACACATGGAAGACAATCTCCCCGCCTGTCTCTGACACGTCCGCGCAAGAGGCTACCGACGACGCCCAATCGTGGACGCGATTGTAGCCGTTTAGTCTTCAAAGTCTTGTGGGTTCTCCTGTTAGTCGCTGCTCACGTACCTCGAAGTAGTATTGCACGGCCATCTCCAGATTGCGACCACACATGAAAAAGCTCTCGATCGCCTTGCTCTCGGGAATACCCATCGAGATCATCTGCTCGACCTGCGTCCGGTCTTCTTCTCCCAGCTGCTGCAGGGTCGGCATGTCTAGCGCGTCTTCACCCTCTAGTCCTTCACCAGCGAGCATGCGCAACACACCCTCGGGGTCCTGGCTGATTGCCTCCGCGAGCTGAGGGTTCGACTGCACGAGCGCCTGTATAAGCGGCTGCAATGCCGCGGGGTTTTGCTCCAGAAGCGTACGTAGCTGCTGCAACGTCTGTGGGCTGCCAAAGTCAATGACCTGACGACCCTGGCTGTCTTCAGGGAACAGACTCTCACTCTCCTGGGCACCAGCACCGCCCTGCATCGCTGCGGCCTGCTCAAACAAATTGCCCGATCGCGGTGGCGGCACCGAGCCCGTTGACGGCGCGGGCGCAGGCGACGGCGTCGCTGGCGTTCCCGGCGCGACTGCCGTAGGTCGCGATGGCGCAGGTTCCTCCGGTAGTCCGTTCATCAGGTACTCCACGGCCCGATCCGGGTTATTGAAGCTCATGCGCATGGCTCGTTGCACATCGTGGCGCGGAAAACCCATTTCCACAATACTGTTCATAGCCGTCTCGAGCTCGGAGCCAGCAAGGAACGAACTTGCTTGCAGTGACTCAGTAGCCGCAGGCGTCGATGGTGCAGCTGGTGTGCTCGTCTTTTCGGGCGCCGACTCACTTGCATCCTCTAGAGCAGTAGGCGGCTTGGCCTCCTCCGTCGCAGCAGTTGTGGCGGCGGCCGGTGCTGCGCTTGAAGCAGTTTCCTTGGCAGGTGACTCCGCAGCAGGAGCATCGGCCGGCTTCTTCACCTTAGGCTTTGACACCATGACGACGAGAAAGTCTTTCTCCTTGATTTCATATTCGCCCATAGTCTTCTCGTCGCTCAGGATTTTGCCCGAGAAGATTAGCTTTTGGTTCTCGGCCGCATGACCCTGCGAACTTTGGATCGACTGCTTCACAGAAGCCACCTGGCATCAGTATTGGCTTCACGTACCGTGTCCGAGGGCTCGACATCGAGGTGGAAGTTGCCTCCCGCCAGCGATTTGACCAGGATCTTCATCGTGGATGTCGATGCTTGAACGCGCGGCCAGGTTGACTGACTATCGACTCATTACATAAGCACACGTTGATCCTCTTGTTCCCACTGCTTCCGGTAGCTTTATACTAATGCTGGGTTTGTGGCTCGGCTGCCTTTTGGCCTGGTTCCAGTTGGTCTCGGGTCTTGTTCCCCCCCACAGTATTACGCGGGGGGACCAAGGGCGCGGTATATCACCAAATCTATCCTGGCACTGGTTTTTCAGTAACTTGAGCCCAGGGCCTCGTGGAACAAACGGCGAAGCCCTCACTGTGCCATTAGAGTCAAATCAAGACTACCTCTGGACAACACAGATCCAGATAGGGACACCTCCTGTCAATTTCACTGTGGCAGTTGACACCGGTTCTGCAGACATGTGGATCGATGCATCTGTATTTAATACGTCTGCATCACAAACCTTTGCTACGGCAAATCAAAACTTTTCCATCCAGTATGACCTTGGAAAAGTGTCCGGCTATGTTTGCACAGACAATGTTCAACTTCAAAGTCTGAAGGTCGAAAAGCAAGTGTTTGGTATAGCCACAAATATCTCCGGCACCAACATTCCCGACGGAGTACAAGGCGTCATGGGCATGGCCAGCCAGGGCCTCAGCCAGTTTCATAATAAACCTTTCTGGCAGAATCTTCCACTTAATCAGAGTCTTTTTTCTCTTTATCTGAGGAGCGCGGATCACAACAGGAGCGAGCCCCCTTCTTCTGATGGTGTCCTCTCGCTTGGCACCATGGATCGGAACATGTTTTCTGACCCGCTCAATTATCTCCCCACAGCAAACGACGATGCATGGAGCGTCAACTTTTCGGGGATCAATGTCTCTAACCACATTATCCAAGTTTCCGCTGATACCAACGCACTTATCGATTCCGGAACGGTTCTTATTGGTGGTCCGCGCGACGCTATTGAAGAATTTTACCGTCAGTTTGATGGTGCATCAGAAATTGACGATGAGCCTGGCTTTTTTTCTTTCCCCTGTGTATCGATTCCAGACGTACACTTGGCGTTTGGCAACGCACAGTACCAGCTCAAGCCAGCTGACTTGATCTTGAAAGAAGCTCGGTATGTCCCTGACGATCAAGACGAGCGTCCTGATTCTGATGACTTTAAATGTATTGGCACCTTTTTCGCCACAGATCCCGGAGATTCGTGGATGATTGGGGGCACTTTTTTGAAAAATGTGTACACTGTCTTCAACCAAGGTACACGGCAAATTGGATTTGCACCACTTGATACCCCCTCTTACCAATCCAAGTCTCTTCCGACAGGCCTGCCTAGTGGCGCATCTTTTCTTTTTCCTACCTTCTGGCTTTTTGCGAGCTTTGTTGTAATTGCGTCACTACTCTCATTATGGTTTCTGTAGAATATTTTAATTACTTTACGCAACTCTAATGATAAGCATTACTTATGAAAACATACCGATGACTCGCCTCGAAGAGTATTCCAAACATGAGTATATGTATTAATGCCACATAGCCCACAAACAAATTGCGAATTCGGGTACTTGATAGCACGGCACTCACGAATACATGCAAGAGTCGCTCTATTGGGTTGAGAGATGCCTTCGCGCGTTTTCGTTGCTGAGTTAGCCGCAAGTACGTACACGAACGCGGAGAGATTCCCCGGGCTGAGTAGCTTCCTCATGGTCATTGACATGCATAACTCCACGGCCTGGGTAGGGCATTTCGATTGTAGATGAGCTGAGATGACGTTCACTGTTTCGCGTAGCTTGCGACAATTGCTCACGTAGCTCCTGCAGCATGTGGGACTGGCTCTGTACCTGTTTTTCTAGCTCTGTAGCGCGGCTCCGGAAACGATCACGCTGACTGGTAACAATGGGCAATAGGCCCACCAGGGCTCCTGACGATGGCTCTTCCTTTGACAAATCTGACTCCAGCTTTGAATTCAATTCTGTCAACCGATGGACTTGTAATTTTTCTGCCTCAAGCGCCTCAATGAGTCGAGCCTGTTCCTGTAGCAGCTCATCATGGGATTTGGTCACTTCAGGGGCATTGCCTTTTAAGAGCGGGTCCACCGGGACAGCAGGTTCACTTGAGGGCTCTACAGGCTCTTCAGGAGGGTCCATACCACGTGTTTGCCAAGCAATAAGATCCCGCTTGATATCATCATAGTCGGACTGACTGTTTAGCGTACGAAGGAGTGTGAATCGTTCTTGTTCCCATGCTTGCGCTGCTAATGTGTGGGTATCTTGCTGGCGCGTCATAGCATTGCGCAGAGCCTCCATTTCCTCGACCCTGCTCTGCCCCTCGCGAGTACGCTCAAGTCGCGACTCGCTGAGTTGTGATTCGAGTGTCGTGATGCGGCCGGACATTTCCTGTATTTGGGCTGCATTCTGTCTCTCCATCATCTCTTGTATTTGAACAACCTGCCTTTCTGCCTTGGAGGCCCGCTCCCTGGCCCTTTCTAAATCTTGCGTCCATGCTTCCACCTGCGACGCGTCAAGAGTTGTCTCCTTGTGAGAGTCAAGTCGACTCGACATAAATTCATGGCTTTCACGTAACTCGCGAATATGTGCATATGCTGCCTTCAATTCACTCTCGAGACGCTCTTGCTGACGCTGAAATTGCTGCGTAGTAGACTCAATAGCGTCATCGACCAGATGCATGGTCTTCGTCGAACTTTCACTGGAGAGACGAAGGCGCTCCTCTGTACTCACGCACCGATTCTCCCATTCTGAGCATTCTGACTGAAGCTGCACGATTTGTGCCCGCAACTGCGACATATCCTGCTCGTGGATTGTAGCATCGACAAGCGCCTCGAGAATAGGATAGGGATCTGGGACAGCTCTAAAGCGGTTCCATGTCTGGAGTACAATAGCTTCTGATTTCTTTGCACGATCCATGAGTGCGTCAATCTCTGCTTGATACTGTTTCAACAACACACGAATATGTTGCAGCTGTACATCCACTGGCTGCCTTTTGAACTCGCGAGTGCGCTCAGCCAGGTTCTGGCGGGCGATAATGGATCTTTCCTGAGCCTGGGCAATGCTCTTGGCAGCCTCTGCCACATTTTCTCCAAATGCATCTAAATGTACATCCTTCCAGGCCTGCAGTGCTGTCGAAAAGTCCTGCATGGCCCGGGCACAAGCGGTGCTGCTTTCCCCCGAAGCCTTGGCAACAGTGAGTCATGCTGACAAAGACACTCCTTATCAAGTCAGCGCTGCGCACCGGAGCTTCTTCCCAATCGATGTACACTTGTGAGACCCGGGACGATTACATTGTTGTTTCTGTTTTCAAGTCTTCGTCTTTGTGAAATGTTTGCTTTTATGAACTCAATTTCGTTTATCCGTGCTTCTCTTCGCACTGGATCTCGCGCTACCCGCTCTTTGACTACGAGCTCTGTGGCTCCTTCGTTGCCGGCTGTCTTACGCCTCCAAACTGGTGAGGTGTTTGAGGGCCGCTCGTTTGGAGCGCCTCGATCTGTATTTGGTGAGACTGTGTTTACGACATCAATTACATCCTACCCTGAATCTCTGACAGACCCTTCGTACACGGGTCAGTTACTGGCGTTCACGCAGCCCATGATCGGCAATTATGGTGTGCCGGACAATCGCATGAAAGGCTCTGCGCGTGAGCATCCCCTGGATGTGGATGTTGGCTGCTTTCTCGAATCTACGGGTGTCCAGGCGGCTGGCGTAATTGTCAGTGAGCTGTGTGAGCGGTTCTCCCACTTTCAAGCGTACGAGTCCCTGGCTAGTTGGTGCGCTCGGTACCAAGTGCCGGGGATCCAAGGTGTGGACACTCGTGCCCTTACGACGATTCTGCGGAACCAAGGCTCTACTCTAGGAACCATCCTAGTCGGTGAAGATGCCAAGCGCATCCCTACTGCATCCGAGTTTGTGGATCCCAATGCTGAGAACCTGGTGAAACGTGTGTCGACAAAGGTTCCTTACACTCTTGAGCCTGTGGGTGGCGCAGCTGCGTCGCGTGCTCATGTTGCTCTTTTGGACTTTGGCTGCAAAGCGAACATTCTGCGTTCTCTTTTGCGTCAAAGAGTCACAGTGACTGTGTTGCCTTGGAACACCGACTTTAACTCGATACGCGACCAATTTGATGGTCTTTTCCTCAGCAATGGCCCTGGCAGTCCGAACAAGGTTCCCGAGGCAGTGGCAAATGTGAAGCGCGTGATTGACGAGTGGGACCGCCCCATCTTTGGTATCTGCATGGGTCACCAAGTCATTGGTTTGGCTGCAGGTCTGCGCGCCTACCGGATGAAGTTTGGCAACCGTGGCCACAACCAGCCTGTCCTAGCCCTTGGCAGCGGGAATATGCGCGTGGAGCCTGGTCGTGTGTATATTACGTCCCAGAACCATGGCTATGCTCTTGCCTTTGAGGAGTCGGGTCCGGATGCTTGGCCAGAAGGTTGGGCGCCCTGGTTTGTCAATGCGAATGACTGGAGCATTGAGGGAATTGTTCGTACGGGCGACTTCGATGGCCGTGCGCCTGTTTGGGGTGTTCAGTTCCACCCCGAGCATGCTGGTGGCCCAGAAGATACCAACCCGCTGTTTGAGGACTACGTCGAGCAAGTGGTGCAATACAAGTCTGCGCGAAGCCCCTCGCTTGCGGCACAGGCCACTCGCAGTCCTAGTGCGATGGCCACAGCTCATTTATAGAGTCAAAAATTCGTAGCGACTAGTTGCGCTCGTATCTAGCCAAACCGGGCAAGCAGATCAGCCAAGTCGTCCATTTCCTGCTGGCGTCCGCGCTGTACCGAATCGAGTGTGCGCCATTGGTCCGCAAATTGAGAAAGACTAATTTCTTCACAAGTATAATCCGCCAATGCTTCCCGCTTGGCCAGCAATTCAGCCTGGTAGCTCTGATAGTCAGTGAACACGAAGTGCGTACGTGGAACAGCTCCGACACATGCGAAAGGGCTTCCTGTGGGTTGAAGCCAGCTGCATTCTGGACGGTTGATGGCGCCAAATATACGTCGACCTGGTACAACATGTCAATCATTTGTGTGGTCTGGGCCTCCATAGCCTCAAGGCCCTCGCGCAAGACTTGCATACACGATTCGGCACGAGGGTCTTCGGGTGAGAGCACCTCCAAGGAGCTAATAGCGGGAATTGTGCGTTGATACGCGTCCTGGAATGCTGTCATTAGCTATGCCATATACGTACCTGTCGCAAGGGTATCTGCGTGACTCACAAGGGCTAACACTCTGATGTCAGCGGCGCGTTGTACCTACGGATTCACCGACATGACCGAGTGGAGGAAACACAGCGCTCCGCGATGGCCCATCACGAGCCAGCCCCCGGGTCCTGGGACCCCGCCAAGGCGGGAGCCTCTGCCCCGGCGGCACCGCGGAGTGTGCCTGTGGATCCGAATGCGAGACGACGGCGCAAAGAGCTTCCAAAGCCGACAAAAGCGATGCAGGCTCACAACGACCTCAATCTCGAGGAGCTGAGTGGCACATCGCGTCTCGTGGATCATGAAGACAGCCAAGGACGAGGCCCTGGCTTCTTCTGTGAAGTCTGCAAAAAAATGTGCAAGGACAGTGTCGGATATCTGGACCATATCAATGGCCGCATGCACTTGCGGCGCCTAGGTCAAAAGACTCAGGCTGAACGGGCCACGCTGGAGCAGGTGCGCGAGCGTATCGCTGCTGTCCGGGCCGAGCGTGCGCTGGGCGCAACGCCTGCGCAACGCTATGACTTTGATGTTCGCCTGCAACAAATTGCCGAGGAGCAACGGCGCGAGCGCCAGGCTCAGCGGCGTGACAAGCGAGACGAGCGACATCGCAAGCGGCTAAAACAGATGCACGAGGCACCGCAACCAGAAGAGGATGCCGATGTCATGGCAGCGATGGGCTTTGGTAGTTTTGGGCCCAAACGGTAGGTGCTATTGGTCTATGGGAATATAGCTTATGCACGCACCAGGGTGAGCATAAACTTGATGTCGTTCACCTCCTGTTCTTCTTCGCAGACGACATCCCCGTTTACGGGCTTCTCGCTTACAGGGCGCGGGGCGCGGCGGATGTTGCGCACGAACACGTCCGTCTGAGTCCGCATCACTTCGTCGAGCGCCTGGCCCATGTCGTCTGTGAAGCGGTAGAAGGCATCGATCTCGTCCGTGGCCTGCAAACCAGCCTTCTTGCGCAGACGCTGGATACGGTTGATTACATCGCGCGCCATACCCTCTGCCTGCAGCTCAGGGTATACCATGCCATCAAGCAGAACCACGACAGCGCCGTCCGAGTCGCTCAAAATATGTGGACCAAGCGCAGTTGCATCCACGTAGCGCATCGCACGCAAGTCGCCCTCGCCCAGCGGAATGCCTTCAATGGTAATCTGACCCGTGGTCATATAGGCTTTAGCCTCATCGGAGGAAACTTGGTCGAGACCCTTCTTCACCTTGCCCATGACCTTGCGCAACTTGCGGCCCAGAACCGGCCAGTCGGCTAGGAGCTTGAAGTTAACTCCGCATTTCTTTTCGTCGTCCGAGAGTACCAGGTCGCGAATGTTCAGCTCTTCCTCAATGTACGAAGCCAGCGACTTGACATCCTCCAGGTACTGCGGGTCGCTGTGGAATACCGTCAGCTCGCGCAGTGGCACACGTAACGGCAAGTTGTTCTTCTCACGCATCGTGCGACCCAGCTCGATGACACTTTGCAGGGCACTGAAGCGACGCTGGATGACAGGGTCCAGGTACGCCTCCTTGACACTAGGGAACGGCAGGAAGTGCACCGAGCGATAGTCGATGCTTGGGTCACTCTCGGTCATGAACTTGCGCAGACCCTGGTACAGATTCTCGCTGATAAACGGTGTGAATGACGACATGGTCAAAGACACCGTGTACAACGTCTCGAAGAGGGAGTGAAGGGCAGCCACAGTGTCCTCAGGGCCGTTCTCACCCTTCAGACGCCGTCGGTTGAAGCGGATATACCAGTTCGTCAGTTCGTTGATCATGGTCAGGAGACGAGGCACAACAGTGTACAGACGGTAGTTCTCCATCTCTACACGCACGCACTCGATGAGACTCTGGCAGCGCGCAAGGATCCAGCGGTCCATGACATTTTCAGATACCTTGGCATTGGGATCGTATTTGTAGTCGATGCCCGTGTCCTTCTTTAGGAGCACGACTTGCGCCAAGAAAAAGCGGAAGCTATTCAGCCAAGGCAAAAACACGCTCGCAATGATGTCTTTGACGCCTTCCTCGCGGAAGCGCAAGTTCTCCGCACGCACAATAGGCGAGTTGATCATGTAAAGTCGCACGGCATCTGCACCATACTTGTTAATCACAAGCGCCGGGTCTGGGAAGTTGCGTAGTGACTTGCTCATTTTCTTTCCATCGGCTGCAAGGACAAGACCGGACACGATGAGGTTCTTCCAGGGTGCCGTGCCAAACAGATGCACACCCAGGATCAGCAGAGTGTAGAACCAGCCCCGGGTCTGATCGAGACCCTCTGAGATAAAGTCGGCAGGGAAGCTCGTTTCGAACTTGTCTGTATTTTCGAAAGGATAGTGCGCTTGCGCATAGGGCATGCTGCCTGACTCAAACCAGCAGTCAAACACCTCCTCGATGCGCTTCAAATGACCCTTGCCTTGTGACGACGGGATCGTGATGTGATCAATTTTGTCGCGGTGGAGGTCCGTAATGCCATTCACACCTGAGCGCTCTTCGAGCTCTGCCACAGAGCCAATGCACACAATTTCCTGCAGGTCATCGCTCACCCACAGCGGGATAGGCGTGCCCCAGTAGCGGTTGCGGCTTACATTCCAGTCGCGTGCATTCGCGAGCCAATTGCCAAAGCGGTTCTCGCCAATGGTCTGAGGGACCCAACGCGTTTGTTTGTTCGCTTCCAGCAGCTTCTCAGCAATGGGTTCCACACGCACAAACCACGATGGAATCGTACGGTAGATCAGGGGCGTGCCAGAGCGCCAGCAGAATGGGTACTGGTGGCGAATGACCGCCTGCACCACAAGAAGATCACGATTCTTCAGGTCCTTGATGATCAGCTTGTCGGCCTCTTTCACTTGCATGCCTTGAAAGTCCGACACGGGTTCCACAAAGCGACCCGACTCGTCCAGAGGGCACGGAGGCTGGACCTCCTTCGTGAACAAGCCATGCTTCAAGCATACACGGTAGTCGTCCTCACCGAACGCAGGTGCCTGGTGCACAATACCCGTACCCGCATCCGCCGACACGTATTCGTCCGACAGGACGCGGAAGGCGCGATCCTTGTATTCCTCGTAAAAGTACGGGAAAAGAGGCACGTATTCTTTGCCAACGAGGTCCTTGCCCACGTACTTTTCCACGGTCTTGATCTTTGCCTTCTTAGGGTCCTTGTAGACCGTCGTGAGTAGGCTAGGTGACAGAATAAAGTGGCGCTGGCGCTCCTCGTCGAAAATTTTCACATATTCAAGTTCGGGATGCACACAAAGAGCAAGGTTGGACGGCAGCGTCCAGGGTGTCGTCGTCCATGCAAGGAAGGCCGTTGACGGATCCTCGCGCAGCGTGAAAGCCACCGTACAGGCGGGGTCCTGCACCTCCCTGTAATCACTGCCCGCCTCGAAGTTGGACAGTGGCGTCGTGCAAGCATTAGAATACGGCATGACCCGCAAGCCACGGTAGACCTGTCCCTTTTCGTACAGTGTTTTGAATACCCACCATTCTGTCTCCATGAACTTGGTGTCCATCGTCTTGTAGCCATTGTCAAAGTCGATCCAACGGCCCATGCGTTCAACGGTCGAGCGCCACTCTGCCTGGTAGCGCATGACAATGGCACGGCATTCCTCGTTGTACTTGGGGATGCCCATGGCAAGGATGTCTTCCTTGCCTTTCACACCCAACTTCTTGTCAATCTCATGCTCAACAGGCAGACCATGGCAGTCCCAACCGAAGCGGCGGTCCACATAGTGGCCAGTCGAATGCGCGAAGCGCGTGACAATGTCCTTGACGGTACCTGCAAGGAGGTGGCCATAGTGCGGCAAGCCTGTAGCGAAGGGTGGGCCATCATAGAACGAGAAAGGTTTGCGGCCCTTCGCCTGCTCCAGTGACGTTTTAAATGCGTCGATAGCACTCCAATACGCCATCACTTCCTCTTCCTGCTTAGCAAAATTGAAACTGCTAGTGGCTGACAGTAAGGGTATCAAAACGCACCATCATGTTCCGGGAACACCGCGGACGCGTTCGCCATAGTAAAGCCAGAAAGATGTGAGTCAAAAGTTCGTAATGGGCTGAAGAGGTTCTCCACTAAATACCTACTAGGTAGCACACAACATCCACCGACGGGCTGGCTCGGCACGCAGCTTCTGCCAGACCCGCGGCCCCAAATTCAGAACGAGTCGAGATGGTCAGTACGGCTGTGTGCCTATGCAAAGCTACGGCAAGGCATAGGCTAATGGCCTTGATAGAACAAAATCACAGCGACGAAGCACCAGTAATAATGTCGATAAGCTCGTTGGTGATAGTGGCCTGGCGTCCACGGTTGTACAGCAGGTTGAGGTTGGTGATCATGTCACCAGCATTCTTCGAGGCGTTGTCCATGGCATTACGCTTGCTGTTAATCTCCGACGCGTGACCCTCGACCAGCGCAGCAAAGACAGCGTTGGTGAACGAGAACTCAGCAAGGTCCTTAGCGGTGCCCTCCTCCATCTCGTACGCGCCAAACTTAGGCGCTTCGAGAAGAGCATTCTCGCTGTACACAGGTACAACCGTCGACTCAAACGAGATCGACGAGACGTACTTGTTGTAGATAATGTTGATCTTGTCGAATTCGATACCGCTCTTCATGATGGTGTCAGTGATAGCCAGGGCATCGTCATAGGTAGGAACACCCTTGCCGATCTGGTTGAAGGAGAGCGCCAGGTTCTGGGGCATGGCACGGCTCAGCTGGCCCTTTGCCTTCTCACCCAGAACCACCACGCTCGGCGACTCACCACCAGCCTTGGCAATCTGAGCCACCTCGGAGCGGGTACGCTTCGACACAGATGAGTGAATACCACCGCAAAGGCCCTTGTCGGAAGAGACAACAATGAACAGCTGCTTACCGCCCTCCGGCACCTGAACCTCCGACTGCTTGTAAACCTCCTCGCTGGCGTCGCCAAACGCAACAGCCGCATTCATGGCACGCTGAGCACGACCGAGACGAGTCGAGGCGATCATCATCATCGACTGTACATGAGAACTGATCCACATACCTTGGTGATCTTCTTAATGTTCTTCACACTCTTAAGACGGGCTTCCAGTTCACGGAGCGACGCCTGGGGAGCGGCGCTCGCGTGGAAACCAGCCACGGGGACGAGGGCACTGCGAGCGCCCAGCGCCGTGATAAGAGCAGGCCTAGTAACAGCACGGGAGAACATCACCAATACCGGTCGTCGTAGTCAAGACCCAAGGCGCTCAGAATCCGCGTCTAGGCCGCCAGCGTGCGCGGCGCCCGAAGCCACCCGGGGAACGCCGGGTACCCTTTATATCACGTGATCACGACTGCCATGTGGCTGCGGTAAGAAGGCGCAGCGCCGGCGCATGGCTCTTTTTTACGCTTGGTCATGTCTGCTACGGCGCCGAGCGAGGAGCCCATGAAAGAGGCCCCGCCTGTCCAGCCAGAGGCTGTGCAGGACGCTACTGACCTGTTCGGTGGCCTTAAGAAAAAGAGCAAAAAGAAGAAAATTCCGGTCGACTTCGATCTTGGCGAAGTACGTGATGTCGCATGCAGCTGACCGCAGACCAAGCCTACCAAGCCAACAGAGGAGGAGCCCACACCGGAACCCGCACAGGAATCGATTGAGGAGCCCGCATCTGAAAAGGCTGGTACAGAGGATGCACCGCTCGATGTATGTGTCGTCTACTGACCTCAGTTTGGTGACCTGAAGAAGAAGAAAAAGAAGAAGAAAGCCACGTTCGACCTTGAGGAATTCGAAAAGGAACTTGGAGAGACACAGAAGGACTCTTCTGATGCCGTTGACGGTGATGATCCGTTTGCGCCCGAGTCGAAGGACAACAACGCGGACAAGGCCGGCGATGTGGAAGCGTGGCAAGGCACGGACCGCGACTACACGTACCAGGAGCTGCTGGGCCGTATATTCCGGACACTGCGCCAGCAGAACCCTGCTCTTTCGGGAGAGAAAAAGAAATACACGATGGTGCCACCTGTCGTGCAGCGTGATGGCTCGAAGAAGACAGTCTTTGCGAACATTGTGGAGATCTGCAAGCGTATGCATCGTCAGCCCGACCATGTGATACAGTACCTCTTCACGGAGCTTGGTACGACGGGCTCGGTGGATGGGAGCCAGCGGCTTGTGATTCGTGGTCGCTTCCAGCCGAAGCAGATTGAGAATGTGCTGCGGCGGTATATTGTGGAATACGTCACCTGCAAGACGTGCCGCTCACCAAACACGCTACTGACGAAAGAGAATCGTATCTACTTCATGACCTGTGAGGCATGTGGCTCTCAGCGCTCTGTGTCTGCGATCAAGACTGGTTTCCAGGCTCAGACAGGCAAGCGCAGCAAGATGCGCGAGCAGTAAACCATGTAATCATACGTATGCAGGTCGTTGCCATAGAGGTATGGTGCGTCTCATGCTTCGTCGTCGGTGTCAGAGTCGGCATAAGCGACGAGCGCTGCAGGCGTGGGTATGGCAGCCGATGTCGAGGACGACTGTTCCGTGGATGCGGCAGCTGGCGTTGCAGTCTGTGATGCTGGAGCAGACACAGCAAGAGATGCTTGCTTGTCTTGGACGGGATCCTGCCTCGCGGGAGGAGCAGGCACTTGGAGTGGATGCAGCTGCACTTGTCCACGGCGCTCTGCCACGGCTAGAGTCTGCGCTGGCCAGATGGCCACTTGGAGATACTCAACGATACCAAAACCTGCGGGCAGAGAGCGCAGGAGCGTGTCGAGTGTCATGGACATAGGCACTTCGACAAAGTGTTGTACTGTGTTCGACAGGTTAGCCGCACTCTCCTTGGGTTGGGTATCATGGCGGAGCTGTGACACGTTGTCAAGTACATGCTGAGGTACCAGCGCCGGGAGCGCAGCAGGCTCGCGCACCAGCGATACCGGCTTTTCAAGGGAAGCACCTTTGCGGACCCACCAGTCCAGGTACTTGGGCGTCGTTTCGTTGCGAAGACGCAGCTCATAGATGTGTAGGAGCAGACGAACGGACGACGGCCAAGCGCTCCATGTCTCATTTGAGCTAGCAAGGCCAAGTGCTGACAAGATATCATTGTCCATATGCCAGAAGCTGTTCGTGTCCTGGTCTCCCTTGAACCTCTTTGCCCTAGACACATCCGCTTCTGTGTCCGAGTGCCACTGTGAAAGGGGCATCTGATGTTGCCGCGCACATTGACGCTCTAACTCGCTTAAGAGCCATGTCGATAGCACGGTCTGCGATGAGAGGCCATGGACAAGTAGGCCTTGGGAGAAGCGCGAAAGATCCGAATCCGGTTGGATACAGTGGCAAGGAAACTGGATCTGGAGAGTGAACACCATGCATCGTTGCCTGTGTGAGAATGTGCGACGTACTTAGCATCCCAGTGAGTGCGATTCATCCTGCGGTGTGTCATGCCGTCTGGCAGCAGCATGATCGGAAGCTTGTGGAAGCCAAGTTGCTTCGCTAGAGCATCCCTTCGCTGCTGCGAGGCTGGTCCGCGGCGCACACCGGGCCTAGGGACATGGTCTAGGGGCAGCATATGAGCCTCACTCAGTGAGCGACCCGTTGATGTAACAACACGCCCGACCTGGTTCAGAAACTGATAGTCATCCAGCATCTGATTATAGTCATAGTCTTTCATAGGAACAAAGCGGGCCACATCACCGCGCTCACGCGCAAGCAGGCTCGGGCCTACACCTTTCGTAGCACCCGCTTCAAATGCAGCGCGTGCCTGCTCGCACGCCAACGTCGCCTTGTGTTGACGAAAGCAGGGTAGAGAGCATGTAGTGGCAGTGCAGTATGGGCATGTGTACTTGCACGAGGCGGCCTGGCACGAAGCACACACGGCGGTCGCAGCAATAGGCATGCCTTGGCAAGTACGACTCAAGCGAAGTCGCACGTACACAATATTTTGTTCCTTACATAGGAGCTATGCTACACGCGCCTTTTTCTCCGAGCTGTCCGCGGGAACCAAGCCAAAGCGCTCAGCACGGCGCTTTCGTCGCTCTAGCTCCTCAGGTTCCACGGCAGACTCTTTAGGCGCGGGACTAGGCACAGACGCCTTAGCAGGCGCCTGAGAAGCGGCCGATTTCGGCTTACCTTTCTTCAGCTCACTGTCGAGGCGGCCCGTGTCTCCCTCGTCCTCTGCCTCCATGCCAAACTTGTGGATTCGATTAATCCTTTTCTCCAGTTCTTCGTAAGGCTGCCCGAAGCGGATGGCACGCGCCTTTCGCTTCTCAAGCTCTTCCAGGAGCGCCTTCGTGCGTGTTTCCATAGTGGGTTCGGACGAAGCTGGCGGTTGCGCGCCCTGCTTCTCCGTGGACTGAGGCGCATTCTCCTTGGCGATAGTAGCAGCGGTAGTCTCTGTCTGCTCTGTTGGCTGCGTGTTTGCAGGCTCACTCGCAGCGGGTGCGTCGCCGGTCGAGCTGCATCGTAAGTGAAACATGCACGTACGTTTCCAGGGATGCTGTGGACTTGGGGTTCTCAAGCAGACGCTTGATCAACTCAGCCTTGTTCCCAGACACGGGTAGGTCCGCCGCTTGAAGCAGCTCCTTTAACTCTGGCACCTTGAGCGATTGCAATTTCGCCTCCATGGTGGCCCCGGGAAAGTGACTGCCCCGCTCGATGCCACGCGACGCCATGTGGCACTGACGTTTGACTTAATTTAGACTAACGGACTACAAAGCTTGGGGGGAAAACTTACACGGAAGTGAGCCTACTAGCATCGAATGTATGGTAACACGGAGTGATGTATGTACTTAGTACTCGATGATAACCTTCATAGCCTTCGTATCTGACGCATGCTTGAACACGTCGTACGCCCTTTGAATTTCATCAAATTTGAAGTGATGCGTAGCTAAGCGCGCCATAGGCAGCTTGCCCGTCTCGCAGGCCTTGAGGAGCATAGCCGTAGTGTTGGCATTCACTAGACCAGTAGTAATAGTCAAGTTCTGGATCCATAGCTTCTGCAGCTCAAAGTCGACTTTTTGACCATGGACACCAACATTGGCCAGGTGGCCGCCAGCGGTTACAATCTGTTGGCATACATCCCACGTCGCAGGCACTCCCACTGCCTCAATCGCGCAGTCCACGCCACGGCCGCCAGTGATCTCCATCACCTTGGCGATTGCATCTTCGGTGCTAGAGTTGATAGTATGTGTGGCGCCTAGTTCCTTGGCGAAGTCCAAGCGGTTCTGGTCAAGATCAATGCAAATAATCTGAGAAGGCGAGTACAATTGAGCCGTAAGCATGGCACCCATACCCACGGGACCCGCGCCAACCACAGCAATGCAATCACCCGGCTTGACGTCACCGTATTGCACACCCATCTCGTGACCTGTGGGAAGCACATCCGACAAGAAAACAGCCACATCCGTGTTTAGGCTTTCAGGCAGCGCATACAGCGAGTTGTCGGCGAAAGGAGTACGAACATATTCGGCGTGTGTCCCATCAATCATGTAACCCATAATCCAGCCACCGCCATTAAGACAGTGCGAGTACAGCTGCTTTTGACAGTTTTCACATGATCCACACCGGCTCACACACGAAATAATCACTTTATCGCCCTTCTTAAAGTGGCGCACAGAAGGGCCCACTTCGTCCACAATGCCGATACCCTCATGACCCAGAATGCGACCGTTCCACTCACCCGTCTGAGTACGAGCTGTTTCCTCGATCTCGGGGTTCTTGCCCTTCCAGATACCCAAGTCCGTACCACAAATAGTCGCCTTGGTCATGCGAATGACCGCATCTGTGGGATCAAGGATCTTCGGCTTTGGGCGGTCTTCCACAGCGATTTGATTAGGACCACGATAGGTCATGGCCTTCATAGTCGAGCTCAAGCGCATTTGCATGGGGCTCACAGGAGCCACAGATCGCCACAAGGGACTTGCGCAGCGAAGAGCCCGTAGGCCAATAAACATACGAGGCACACGGCACAACATTAGGATGTATAAACTATGCTGAAGCCCGTGCTTTATAGTGGCTTCGCCAAGGAGATATGCGGGGTGACACGTGGTCAGGAACTGAATCGTGTGATGCTGAACATTCGGACTTTCTCCGAATCAGGGTCCGTGCGAGGGAAATATCACCCCCACCTCACCTTCGAGAACTGCCGAGAACAAGAATATTCTCGTACTGATATAGCCATAGACAAGGATGAATTATCAGCTACCGTCTTGAAGATTGCTGGTTGCTAGTGTCCACCTTTAGAAAAGGAGAGGAAGCACTTGGAGGTGGACGGATCCTCGTCGACTCGACATTAATAATGACGCTCATCGAGCATTCTAAAAGCTGGAATTCGATATTGCAGAGGAATATGCCCTTCATTGACTTGACAGAACCAGTGTCTTTGGTTTCGAAAAACTTCATGTTCCATGCATGACAAGTTGGATGAAACAAAGTGTTGCAAGCGTTCGAGCTTGAGCACTTGTTCACTAGAAAAGACCCTACTATGATATATTTGGCGGCTGTTTTTGTTAGGCACTTCATGTGTGACGACGCACTGGAATGCTCTGATACGCGAAGAAGCTCAAAGGACTGCAGCAGATAACATATAAAAAGGCATAGCAAAAGCGATTTTGTATCCTGTGCCAAACTGTCTCTTCACCGGGTCAGAATTTGTGTCAGTTGGCGCACACGACCCAACAAGTTCTGGAAAAAATGGTTCCGGAACATGGCCCAAAGAAGTAAACCCAATACGCAAAGAAGATACAGTGTCACAATGCTCTGGTCTTTGGTGGGATCACGAACTACGTCAGTGTGTGCTTTACGCACCAAAGCATTTGGCCCATACTTGTCCCTCAAAGCCAGTGGCAGTGTCGCCGCTGCCGTCCACAATTTTTGCGCCACGGCAGGCCTCAGCGCGGTCCACACAAAATTGCTTCGTACATAAACTGCATGGATTCTCACCACGTTGGGACATATACAGAGGTATCAATGTAGAGTTCGTCGAAAAACATGTGCACTTGCAGACATGGACAAGCCCGACCGGCTGGTCATTAATATGCCAGTTGCGATCATTTGCAACGTCCAACTGGCGCATTCTGGCGCTGCTTACTACTGGATTCAACGGAGCGAGACACCAGTCAACAACGGCGAGCGTTGAGCACTCTTCTCAAGGGTCACCGATTCGGGTCAATCAATGTGGAGACAAGGACGTGTCTACATACCTAGCAACTTCTGGAGGCCTTCCACCAGACGCTCCCTAAATATAGGCTCTTTGAATTCTCCTTCCTCTGTGAACCATTCGCCTTTCGTTAGTGAGAGAAACGCACCAAAGTTTCCGATAGGAATACGACCCTCACGCCTGGCTAGTGTGCGGCCTTGGGTGGTGCGTGTGTACTGGACGAGAAGCTCGTACGTAGGAGGCTTAAGAATCGGACGACCATCTTGTGTTTTCTTTCCGGTAGAAACAGCTGAGTTAAAGTAGGGCGATGAGACGCGCAGATTCTCAGTTTCATTCTGATATAAGAAGCCAGCCACGCACCTTGTTTCCAGAGACTTGGCGTGAGCCTAGGAAAACGATGGGACCACGCAGGTGCTGAACAACGAAGAATGCAACATAAAATATGGCAAAGCTGCACAGTTAGACGCATAAACATACATCGGCACTGTCACCATGAAGAGCGGTCTGGCGTCTTTCCAGTCGAGCTTTTGGCGATACGCAAACAAGACGGAGCCGATCATGAGAACAGAGACAATGAAATTCACGGCCATCATCGCATTGTCTACAATATGTGAAGCCTTGAACAGAGGAAAGCCAGGGGCGGCCTCTCCGGGAGAGCCTTGCTTATCCGTAGGTTCTGTCAAGAGCTGAAATAAGTGCAAAGTGAACGTACACGTTCAACGGTGTCATCGCAATGATATTTGAGCTCCTTAGCATTGGAAAGATCACAAAGCACTTTTCCCTTGGCGTTTGTGCTGGGCTTGGAGGAGAAAAGACCCAACATTACGGCTGTTGGAGAGACAACGCTCGAGCCCTCCTGAGCGGAGATGTGTTCTGCACGTGATGTGCCTGGGCCGCTCGGGCCCACGTACAATGGTGCATGGATGGGTATAGACTAGCAAAAAGCTACTTAAAATCGCCCCAGATGTCCGCAAAAGCATCATCAGTGCGGCTAGAAGCTTTTTTGAGAGGTTCCTTCGAGCCCCAAATATCCTGCGTATTGAAAAGGTCACTGGTCGGTGGTGCTGGTGGTGCACGGCTAGTAGAGATAGACGGAGCAGGCGAGATACCGAGACTAAGAGTGTCAAGTTGAGAAGACAGTCCAATATCCGGCGCGGATGTGAGGTTTGAAAATACATTATCATTGGCCGAGTTTACTTTAGGTGGTGGTGGTGCTGAAAATAGGCTGAGAATTTCATTTTTAGCGCGCATTCCACTCGTCATATTGGAAGAGGACGAGGGCTGTTGAGCAGCTGCAAGGCCTGTACTTGATGAGGGACCATCCCAGTCAAGGTCAAAGAGACTGCTTGAGGCGCCTGTGTTGGCTGCTGTAGTGCCACGACCTGCTGGCACTGTCGCGGGTGTCTGTGCCTGATTGAGAACAGGGGCAGCGGTAGGGACAGGTGTCACCTTAGCTGTCGTCTCGTCTTCGCCTAATAAATCAAGCAGCGCATTGGACTTGCGTTGCGACGAAGCTGGCCCCGGAGGCGAAGCTGCGGCGCGACTAGCACTAGTAGCTTCCGTAGTCTGTGTAGTGATAGGAGCAGATCCCGTTCCCTGGTCTAGCACGGATGGATCTTGAGGTACAGGTGCATCCATGGCCCAGCGGCGACTCTCATATTTGCTCCGAATAAAACTTTCAACTTTGTGGTCAGGCGGAGCGTGACCGGGTTTTAGATGGGCCTCCCAATACGCGTTTGCCCGCTTGTTACCCCATTTCTGAATGGATTCCATTTGCTCCGGTGTCCAAATATCCAGATCAATAGACTTGACTCGGCTAATATGAGTACCCATACTACGATGGAAGCCTGAGCAACGGATGCACAAGAAACAGCCAATGTTCCAAGAGGCCCAGCGTGTGTCATTGCGCTTGCAGTCAGCACAAAGTTTATTTTCAGGTTGCTTTACAAGCGCACGAAGTATACGCGCGTTGGCCTCCGTTTCTGCACGAGACTGTGTCTTCCTACCGGCGTACGACATGGTAAGCACAAACCGACGCGGCGCGCTAGATGCTACACCCAAATGGCCATCACGTGATGTGCGCGTGCGGAGGTGGCGCAGTGCAGGCTGACCTCGCGAACCGCTGGCGCAAAAGAGGCGCGACAACCACGCTTCTTCTTGTTAACCTATTACATGAGTTCTACTCCGTATGTTGGCATAGGAGTTGAGTAACCTTCAGCCCAACTGCCCCTACTGGAAACAACAAGCCTACACTGACTGGTTCTCGGTGCGTGGCTCCCGATTGACACTTAGAATTAAGCAGCGCAAAGGTGCTGTTAAGTCTCAGGCCAAGTTTGAGCCGGAGGGTATGTGGCGTATAGAAAATGGCTTACTTGGCAGTTTTCCGGAACTCTCTCTTCAAGTACTTTGAAACAGTAGAAGAGGGTGACTGGGAAGGATACCTGAGCGCCCTAGACAAAGCAGGCAACACGGTATGTACTAAATTGACTAAGACCAGCTCGACTACCGCAAGTGCGTATTCTCAGTTTGACATCTAGATATGCTGATCAGCTCTTTGAGATCCTTTTGGTGGGTGGGTTGCTCGCTCCAGGTGGCTCGTACCTGGAAGATGGAGCACCAAAGAGCCCTTTCTCAGTTCTTGCCGCGAAGTCATCGGCCTTCGATGACGTACGTGCATACGTCGATGTGATTGAAAAGATGATCCGGCGTTATAAGTTCTTGCAGATGCCGCTCGAGGAGTCGACTTTGCCGCGTATTCTGCAGTACATTCATCGCTTTGAAAAAGAACAGGTGGCCAAGTTGGCTGTGGCAACTGCCCTGTCCATTCAGTCGGGTCTGACAAGTGCTAGCGTTCTTGCACCTCTGCAAAAGGACCATTTGACTAAGGACGGTTTATCGCTTTATTTCATCACGGAGGTGTTCCGCACCTACCTTCAGAACCAATCCATGGAACATTTGGCCTCGGTGTTGCGTAAGGGAGGCATTCGTGATTGGCTATTGTTCTTCCCTCAAACGAAACGCTCTCAGACAGGGGTAATTCAAAGTTATTTCCTCAATGATGCAAAGCTGCCGCAAGTTGCTGAATATTACAACAAGCGCCAGGTGAAAGAACTCCGCGAACAAACCGCCACAGATCTCGCCAACATGGTTCGCACGGAAGATTCCTCAATGGAACAAATGCTTGCTATGCTCAAAGAACGTTTTGATAAGCTTGAACAGCCACCAGAGGAGTTCATTCCTGTCGTATGGGAGGGTCTTACGCGCGGCATTGATGCCGATACGAAACAAGATCAGGTGGAGTTGATCCTGCCAAAGGAGATTGAACGCTTTGCCGCCATTCTTGAGCCATGGGCATCCACAGCGCGCGCTGAAATTAATCTGATTAACCTGATCCAGCTTCACTGCTACACAGACACGCGTGTATTTAAAACGTTCCCGCAATTACTTAAAGTCCTTTACAATGAGAATGTCATTTCTGATGGTGCGATCGTGTATTGGGCCCAAAAAGGTGCAAAGCCACAAGGTAAACAGCACTTCCTTAAGCTTGCAGAACCATTAGTCAAATTCTTGGAAAGCCAAGAAAGCGAAGATGAGGACGACGAAGATGATGAGTAGCTTGTATAGTAGTATACACTGTAAGCGCGTGTCATTTTTGCATTTAATTTCTGGCGCGTGTAGACGCGCCGCGACGCCTCCCGTTTTTTGACTTTCGCTAAATGAGTGGTTCAGCGCAGGACCCGGTCGAGCTGGCTCCTGATTCAAGTCCATCTGCCAGCGGAACTAGCTTGGAATCATACTCCAACAAAAGGGCTAAGTCGGAAGTCGAGCCTCATACTTTCCGTCAGGGCCTGGAGGCTTATCAATACCAGGCACCCTCGCAGTCTGGTACGCCAAGCCAAGGGACTGGAGAGCTATCGTCCATGGTACACAATGTACCAACCATTCCATTGCATGCTGACTCTATGGCACAGGTGCCCTTTCCATCTGTGTCAGCTCCCACTCCGCAGCGCTCAGCGGCAGCGCCGTCGGACAGTATCCTTCAAATTAAAGCTACGCGTCTTGCTCGCTTATTTTCTAGCTACACTGTTGAGCAGTGCGCGGATGTGTTGCGTGCCTCAAACTATGACCTGGGTGAGGCGATTGAGAAATTGCGGCCAAAGAAGGTGGCGCCGCCCCCACCCCTGCCGACACAAACTGTCTTGGCACCCCGCCCTGTACAACACCATGTATCAGCTCCATTCCATGCCCAAGCTTCGGCTCCAACGCGTGCGCCGAAACGACCAGCAAAGCGAAAGTCGCGTGCCATTTCAGACTCGGATACAGACGGCTCTGTCAGTTTAGATGACGCCTCGTCTGACGAGGAAGAGTTTGGCGACGTGGATGAACGCTACTTGCAACAGCAGCAGCAGGCACTGGCTTGGTTCAACACCTGTGAGAAAAGCAGCTTGGTTGATACAATTAATTGCTCGCCAGAGCAGGCAGACAAAATTATTTCTTTACGACCGTTTGACACTGTGGATGAAGTTCATGAGAAACTGGGCGACAAATCGGCCAAAGGTGTTTCACCTCGTTTGTTCACCAACTGTGTGGAATTGATGGCTGGTTACATGGAAGTTGATGAAGTGCTGACCAAGTGTGAAGCCATTGGTTCTCAAATCAGTGAGGCAATGAGCACTTGGCGGACCAATGAAGAAAAGGCATCAGATGAGGGATCAGGGGCCTTGAGTTTTTCGCAGATTCAGCGTGATGGCACCAAGCGTGAAAACTATTTGGACAAGCAGCCTAGCAATCTTGCAAAGGGCGTGGTCTTAAAGGATTATCAATTGATTGGTATCAGCTGGCTTAACCTTTTATATCTCAAGGATACGTCCTGTATTCTGGCAGATGAGATGGGTTTGGGAAAGACGTGTCAGGTTATTTCCTTTTTGGCTCATCTGAAAGAAACAAACATGCGCAAAGGTCCGCACCTGATTGTTGCACCTTCGTCTGTGTTGGAAAATTGGTCGCGCGAATTCCAACACTTTTGCCCAGCGCTGAAAGTGGAAGTGTACTATGGCTCTCAGGCCGAACGACGTGACTTGCGCATCGACCTGAAACACCGTGAAGACTATGATGTGATCCTCACTACATATGATATGGCTACCGGAAACCATGATGACCAATCTTTCCTTCGTAAGCGAGGTTTTGACGTCTGCGTCTTTGATGAGGGACATATGTTGAAGAATCGCAAGTCGCAAAAATATGCAAAGCTGTTGCGCATTTCAGGTCGGTGGCGCCTGTTGCTCACAGGCACCCCGCTGCAAAACAATCTGCAGGAGTTGGTCTCACTTTTGAACTTTATCTTGCCCGATTACTTCACCGATGTGGAAGAGGCATTGGCTGCTATTTTTAAAGTGAAGCAGGGTGCCAGCACCACGCAGTTGTCTCAGCAGCGAGTGGAGCGTGCCAAGCGCATGATGCAACCGTTTGTTCTCCGTCGCCGCAAAGATCAAGTCTTGCGCGGTCTCACACAAAAGACGGAACGTGTTGAATTATGTGATATGACTGAGCGCCAAGCTGAGCTGTACAAGAGTGTTCTACAGCGCACCAGTGCTACCATCATGGAAGAGTCGAGTGGGAAAAAGGGGGCGGCCAAGGATACGACCAATGTTCTGATGGACCTTCGCAAAGCCGCAAATCACCCTCTCTTGTTCCGTGCATTGTATGACGATAAGAAAATCGCAGCTTTGGCACGCGACTATATTCGCGAGCCTGAGCATGCAGAGGAAAATCTCCAACATCTGCGTGAAGACTTTGCTATCAACACTGATGCGGAGCTGTCCCTTTTGGCGCGCTCGTGGAAGTCGACACAGAAGCACATGTTGCCAGAAAAGGCATGGATGGACTCAGGTAAAATTCTGAGTCTGCGCAAAATCATCGACGAAGTGGTATCAAAGGGTGACCGTATGCTCATTTTTTCCCAGTTCACTTCAGTATTGGATATCTTATGTGTGTGTCTGGAGTTTATGGGCGTCAAATACGTTGGCTTTACTGGCCAAACCAACGTGGGCGACCGTCAGCACTTGGTTGACCAATTTACCAACGACCCTAGCATCCCTGTGTTTCTACTGTCGACCCGAGCGGGTGGTCTAGGCATCAATCTTGTTGCCGCCAACTGGGTGGTCTTGTTTGATCAGGACTTCAATCCGCAAAACGACAAGCAGGCTACGGACCGCTGTTATCGGATCGGCCAGACAAAGCCTGTGACGGTTGTGAAGCTCATTAGCCGCGGCACGATCGACGAGGATGTCCTTTCTCTGGCACAGAGGAAGCTCGAACTTGCCGAACGTGTATCTGGCCAGGCGAACGCTGAAGGCGATGAAGAACAGCTCGAATCGGAGATGAAGAATCAAATAACCTCTTCGCTCCTTGCGCAGGTCCGCGAGCGAGCAGGCACATCTTCCTCGTAGGCCATGTGACTTAAATAGATGGGTGATGGAAGTTGTAACGCCTCAACCCAGCAAATTGATGTCCGTGTGTTCGTACATCACTCGAAACTGTACTTGCGGGATCAGGTCGATACTTATTCTATGTGATATGGACATTGACACTGTAGGTATGTTCATCAACAGGCGTTGTGGATTAAATATGTTGATGAGCGTGGATAGCCTTCAATAAATCTTCGTAGCGATGTTGACGAAGTGGATCGATGACAGATAGTCGCTCCAATAACTCTTTGATCTGAGTAGCAAGAGTGTCCTTGACAGAAGCGTCCAAGAGGTCACCCCATGTTGATAATAAGAGTTGTTTATAGTGAGCTAATGATTGCATGCACCCTGGACGTTTAGTGAATGACAACGTACATTTGCTGTCTGGCTCAAGTTCTGCAAGTTCTTCGATTAAATGGATCTGTTGTTCCAATGTCTTTTGGTCGGGATCTTCTATTAGTTTCTTCGTACGCACTCAATGACACAAGCCAGCGATGATAAATCCAGATGCTCTGATCACTCGGATCGGTATACATGGCCTGTTGAAGTAGTTCGAACTCTGCTGTCAGACGACCCTTAGGCATACCTTTGTTCCTTTCAAGCATGCGTTGTTCTTGATGTAGTTTTTTTGCATCCCATACACATACTAATAGTTTGGATCGTTGGTGCCACGCACTAAAGTTACTAAAGTTGCTTTCGATTTTGCGAAGAGTATACCGGAGTTCACTTTCTGCAAGTTCCAAATGAGTCTTTCGCACACTGTCAGGCAGAGAGGATATCGAAAGAGATGAGGGGAAACGTGCTTGATGGTCATCCCATTCAGGAGAAAGCGCAGCAGCAAGCTCTTCCAGGATCCATCGTCGATAATTCCAACCCATGACTCAAGTAAGATCCTGGTATACGTACAATTGCGTGAGTCCATTTCAAGCATCATGTCGACCAAAGATAGCTCATTTTCCCACTTCTTAGACGGATTTGATGACACGACAGGTAGCATTTGTAGACACCAACGGCGATGGTTCCATAACCAGTACACCTTTGGATACATCCTCATGTTTTGCTGCAGCAACATCAGGTCGCCCTCCAAAAGGCGTGTCTGAAGTGTTTGAGCACCTTCAGAAGTCTCCGCCTCCTTAAACATCTGCAATAGAATATCACGCCTGTAGTTCCAAGCCGAATAGTATTCTGGATTGCATGTCAAAAGTGCTGTTGTGCTGTCCAAACCAGCCATGGAAACGTCACCAGCAGCGCGCTGGTCTTAGCAAGCTTGTACATACCCGAGCAAGATATTCATCTTCTACACTTTTATAAGCACTAAGCTTTTTTTGTTCTTCTTCCTTATGACGGGCTATCAACTCAGGCGAGAGGTTGGCCCGAGGCACACGCTTGACATTGTGCATGATAGTTCAGTGGAGGCCCGATGCTGACGCCGCTTCTCAATTTATGATGAATGAGCCAGATAATGATTGGCTTGACTCGGACGAGGACACTCAAGGGCCTTCATTTCAGATGGGAAATAGAGACTTAATGAAGCATGAAGCACAGTTTAAAGACGTATGTGTAGAACTGCTGACGTTAGATGGGATATCGAGAAGGTCTAGAAGCAGGAAAGCTCTCTGAACTACAGGCGGGATTTGATGAAGGCTATAATGAGACAGGAGCTCCTTTGGGACTCTCTTTAGGGAGGCTTCTGGGAGAGACGGATGCACTACTAGTTATTACAGCGTCTAAGCAAGGTCTAACAGAAAATCAAAAGCAGGCACGTCATGATCTACAATTATTTAGCCTTAAACTTAAAGATCTTAAGCTCGATGACTTGGCTGAACCGGACTGGGAGGCATTTGAACATGATCTGGAACATCACGAAGAAAATAACGTTGCAGTAGAGTTGGAAAAGCGACGGCATGAGGTTGCCGCACGCCCCAATTACCTAGAAGAATTCCGACACGAGCTCGACCAATATAGGTACATCTTGACATAATTTAGACGAATTGATACCTCCACCCTCATGTCCTCCGATACTGCTCAGACCTTGGGTGCGATCGCCTTCGTTAGCTTCCTGGTACTGCTTGCTGGTCTGTCGTGCCAAGCAGTCAAAGGAGATAACAGCTATCAAACCCGCTTACTTTTCTTCTGGCTTATTTTTGATGCGCTGATCCATATATTTCGTACGCAATACTATTCTTCTAATCGTCAGTCGAAGGGCCATTTGTCTATCTTTCGCTATTTGGACGCACTGTTGATTCATCTGTTGGTTTTTTCGCTAGCGTATGGAAAGAATACAGCCTCGCGGATCGACGCTGGGCCATTGCTGACCCAGGTGTTGTAGCGGTAGAGCTCTTTACCGTCATTGGGACAGGTGCACTAGCTCTGTATACGGCTAAACTTGTGCTTCAGCAAGACGCTCGGTATCACTTTTGGCTATGCTTTTTATGTATCTGTGAGCTATATGGCGATTATGTATGTCTATTTTATATACTGCTCACACTCTAAGATGACTTTCGTACCCGAATGGCTCCAAGGATCACCGGTACGCGTATCTTTCCAACATTACAGTCCCTTGATACAAAAGACCCTTTGCATCTTTGGTTCTATCTTGTTTTTAGCAATGGGTATGTGAAACTTTCATCTCGAAACTAACACCGTCGTTTTTGCGTCGTATTTCTAGCGTTTGGGTATGCAGCATTTCTATTAACACCCACAGGTCATCATTCCAATGGCTCTCTTTCTGCATAGCAGTGCAGCCATTCTTTCGGCGCTCAGCTCGCACCAGAGCGTACTGCCTCCTAAGAAGCAAATGTGAATCCCTGCATTTATTAATGCTATGAGTTACTGCCATAGCCTACACCTTTACTTTGTTCCCTATATGTGCACGTATCATGAAACATGATGTTTCATGGTTTCCCCAAGGGAAAGTCGTGCTTGTCAATAAATGGAGTAAGAGACATTTGATTCGATATTAGCTCGGCAATATCCTCGTTAAATTCCCGATTATGACTCACGTATGCCTTTTCCTCCCCACTTTCGAACATCTTTTCGGAGGGTGACGCTGGGGGAGGGGCTGTTTGGGGCTTGTCAAGCAGGACGGTGGGTTGGTCGTCCTCTGGGTCATGCCAAACTTGCCAGATGCTTTTCAACTGTTCGTTTCCAGTCTGAAGATCCAGCAGCAAAGAGTCCAGACGTTGATTGAGTTTTACTGAGTCGAAAATTTGGGGTTCAGGTACTAGGCCGGCCGGCGGGGCAGGAAAGGATGGATAGCAAAGGGTAGGCATCCCAGGGGTATCCTCAATATTGGTATCATTCATGAGACCTGCTCGTTGCATTGGGGTCCATGGATATAGAATAAAAAGGCCGCCACTGGTAAGGGACGAACAAATTCTTGGTCAAGCTTCAAATGACCTGACACGCATGTAAAGACTCATTCAAAAAGTCACCTTAGAGCGGCCATAAATGTGGGGAAATCGCATTCCTAGTCTCCGTAATTCGCCGGAACTCCTATCTCGACAGCTATGTCGCTTTTGTCCACGTGACTAAATTGTAGGGGCCCCTGACCAAATGGTTCCTTACCTAAAATTTGACTAGGCTCCAATCGATTGACCGGATAAGAAGCCGAAACGTACAGGTAGGCTGGGGTGTCCACGTGTATGCTGCGTATCGCTCAGCATGACAAACCTATTCATTCCAATAGTACATAACTACGATAATTGACAAGAATACTAAGTGAGACCTGCCGCTTGCTTCCATTGGGGCAGTTTTTCGTAGAGGAATTTTTCTAGCTTCACAGCACACTTGGCATACGGTGAAGAGGCTGGGTTGTAAAGTTTACAATTGTCAAATACTTTTAATTAGAGCCACCAACTTACCAAGTTGCGCATCGCGTACCATATCGTCGACTGTTTCATATTGGTTGTTTTCTAATTTGTTCTCCATTGTGGATAAATCCATTGGATTGGTAATGACTGTGTAGTAGTCGGGTACGTCTGCCGCATTCACAGGAGCGACGAAAGGCCAAGCACTTGCATGTCCGTTTAATTCAACCAGGATATGACGCATGGCCGTGAAATGAGGTCCACGCTTCGAACGGCGAGCCAATTCATCCATTTCTGGAGTCCAGCCCGTCTTATCCAACCCAGGAACTTCAGACGGTTGAACAACAAGCTCAAGCTGGTTACATGGGGAATTTGACGGCTTATGGTCTTTAGATTTCTTGAAGATATCAAGCCCGGGGTATACAATGTGAGAGCTTGAAAATGAACTAATACGCGCTTGGATCAAGCGTTTCTGCGCAGCTAGGAAGTCCTGTACTTCCAAATATCGTATACGGGGCACCATGGTACATTGCATCAATGTGCCTCCCTCGTAGTCTTTAATGTAGCCCACCCACACGGAGCGTGAAAGTGAAATTTCTTTCGTAAACCCCTGCTTTTTGAAGTAACCGATTGCATAATTGTCGGCGTAGGTAAGGAAATGCTTCACAGGAGACACATCCTTGACATGGTCTTTAAGATGGTTCATCAAATGTGAGCCATACCCCTTCACCTGCTCAGTACTTGAGATAGCACAGAATACAATTTCTGCAAATTTACGATGTGGAAATGGCCGGTATGTTATACCACCAACCACCTGCAATCCCCTTTTAACAATGGCCATGCTCCAGTGATGGCGATCCATAACCAAACGCGTGATATATTCTCGGGGCATTTTTGGTAGCTGCTTCATAAAAATATGCTTCAGACCAGTCAAAATTACCAAAGACTCAGGATTATTGTCATTTGTAACCACTTTGAACTGGATTAAACCAGATCGCTCTTCAATAACGGCAGGTTTTTCACGCTTTGGTGGTTCCTGCTGGTGAGCTGATCCCCACTTACACTAAATTCACTGGCGCTCGCAGCAGCGTCATTAGCATCATCGCTTGGGTTTTCTTCCTTGATTTCTTCCTCCTTTCCAGTCGAAGCCAATTTCCGACGCTTAGTTTGTCGCCCTGACGGCGGGGCTGCTTCATGTTAGTCCTCGTGCACTTGAGGTAGAACATACTTGAATCGCGACCTTCTTTTACCGTAGAGCCATCTGATGATGCATCCTGTTGATATACTCTCGCATTTCGTGTCGCTTCGTGATGTTTAGACCGATTATTCGTCCCCGGCATGCCTCTTTCGACGCGCCATACACGAATAGGTATGACGACACGCACCGAGCGCGATATGCACTGTCGATCCACGTGACCTATGAGGGCTGTCTGAATTAAAGCTGAAGGAGATCGGGTACAGGCGCTTCCGACGTGGCTGGTGTCGGCTGGGTAGGTTGTTGGGGTGTTCCGCGCATAAGGCTTGTTCCAAAGTCACTAGAAGGCTGGAATGGCTTTATTCCCGTCAAGTTCGTGATTTGAGATTGGTGGTCTAAACCTTGTGACAGGCCGACTCTCTGCGAATTGTTCTGGTGGAGGAACAAGTTGCCTGGACTGTGTCCAACATGCCCTGACATCTCATGAAGTCGAGGATTATGACCCAAATTCGAGCTGGCAGTGGTGGAAAAGCCATTCTGACTTGCCAATGAACTGAACCCTGGCGATTGTAGGTTCGCGTCGCCCAAGGAGTTCTGTCTTAAGCTGGAAGTACCGGCGAAAGCACTGTTCCCCGTCATCTGTGCTTTGAAATTAGCATCTCCAAGATCCGAGGGAAGTGTGTTGAATCTTGACAAAGTGTTCATACCAGTTGTATTAACACTTACTCCCTGCTGATTCATACTCCGCATGGCTGGACTAGCCGAACCTGAAATACCAAGGCCAATCCCCGTAGCTTGATTCGTCATAGGCAGCGGTTCCGATGGCATGGTTTGTTGAGCACGGAAATGGGATGCATTCCCAGAAAATTGGACAGAACCAGCCTCGTTTGGCAAATGTCCCACATCATGTGAGGTACCAAAGACTTGGGAGCCCGATCTCGTTGATGCCCCATCTGTCTTCGCGTCTGACACGGGGACCGCCACCGATTGGGGTGGACGCACAAATTCAGAAGCTACGCTTCCTAACAATCCTGTCCTTTGTGGAACGAGTCTTGAATCAGTCCCATCATTTTCTGTCTTTCCTTGGGTAGATGATTTGTTAGACCAAGCATTCATAGCAAGCTCATTTAAGGTAGGCTGCGGCGGTGCCTTATGAACAGGTTCTGGTTCTTCAAAGTCGCTCGGGATGGAAAACGGATTCATGGTCCCAGTCTTTTGTGGTCGAAGATTTTGCTGATTACTCGTCCCTGCGCTAGGTTGGGGGGGTTCCTTGCTTCCTACACGCTGCTGTGTTTGAGGCGTAGGCGAACTGGTAGGTTCCTTTGAGGGGGGGGTCCAGGACGGTGGTGCCTTGGGCATTGATGGTACCTGTGCCGCCATGCCTGTGGGTTGAGCCTGTGCCATGGTTGGTTGTAACGACAGCTGACCAAATATTGAGTCGAACGGCGTAGTGTTCATGGTATGCTGAGGCATTAATGCCTGCTGTTGTGGTACCCGGAACCCAGTTGGCTGCCCGGTAAGATAGGGCGTCATTGGCATCTGTGGTGTAAATGGATTGATACCAGTGCCTTGTGGCTGCATGAAGCCGTGGAGACTGTTGAACGGATTTCCTGTTACCTGTGGCATCAAGCCCGTAGCGGGCATGGGTTGAAGGCCAAACCAGTCTGGTTGCGTTTGGAAACTCGTAAATCCAGAGTAGGCAGAATTGAATGGCGTCGAATGAGGTTGTTCGAGTGCTTCGAAAAAGTCCTGTAGAGCCTGTTTGCTCGATGAGGCTTCCTGAGGAGGTGGTTCCATTTTGGGCTCTTCCTGTGGCTTTGGAGGCGCCTCTTCAGAGCCTTTTGCATTTCTCTGGCGAGAGCTTTCATGCTGGTCAAAGTCTGTTTCGTGCAAGTATTCTTCAAGCGCTTTCGCCAGCGAGAGTGGAGCATGCTTCAGGTTGGGGATTTTGTGGCGCAGTTGACTAGAGTGACGCTTGGACGCATCCAAAAATGCCACGAAATTTTCGGTCTGGAAGCAGAACCGACGGTAAATTTCCAAGGATTTTGTGGCGTCATTTTTTGACATCTCAAAGTAATGTTCTAGGGTCAGGGCCATGCGCACTTACCGAGCATGTTGATAATCCCCTCGTTCATGGCGCTATAAAACGAGAGCAAATCTTTTAAGATCATTTGGAATGCGGCCACAACCAATTCACTAGGATTTTCAAACTGAAAAAACGCGCAATCCATCAGGGGTTTCATCATATTTTGAATGATACTGATTTCGCGCAGCAAGCCTTTGGCCACGCTCATCTTGCGTAGACGCGCGAATCGGTCGCGCTTGCCCGCCATTATGATATCGTAACCAAGTTCTTGAAAATTCAAGATCCTTTGTTCCAGGCACCGAGCGTACTTGACAAGAAGTTTGGAATATGTGTACTCATTGAGTCCCACGCTGGCCACACGGGAGAGCCGAATGGCACTCGGGTCACCTGCCAAATACGAGAGGACCGTTGTGGCCGCATGCGAGCGAATCATTGTGTGCAAAACAAATAGAGATTTAAAGACGGTCTGCTGTCAGCATAGTTAGGCACGCACAATGCTATTTGGATCTTCAAGTCGTCCTTGCAAGGCCCAAAATACATCCTGGAGTTGGGTATTTGAGCCATCTGCAGCCTGCAGAATCGGCTGTATATACTTTTCTTTTGGCAGCGTCGACTTGGGCTTTGTCGCTCCCTTCACCAACTTTTCGTAGCCGCCAAACGAAACGTGGAGCGACATGGCCAACGAGGGTGGGTATTAAGTTTGGCCGCGACCCGTGCGCCCAAGTAGATTGATATGGATGGGAAGTATGCTATCTCCACTAGGCGTCTCTCCACACCTGCCGCCATGACCGGGGAGCGGTCGCCGATGCTGGCACGGCAAGATGAGCGCGCCGATAGCGCTACAGGGAGTAGCTTCTCCTTGCCTCCTACTCTATCTCCTGTGAATAAGCTTCGGCTTGTTTTCTACCATTTACTGGCAATGGTCCCGGCCATTGCCACCTTAGGGGTAGCCTTGTACTCTACCCACTCCTTGATGGGCTTGTGCAACATGCGACTCTTATACCCTGACAGCCCCAACGAATCGTGCCAAGGAATTTTGTCTCTAGTTCCCGCTTTCCTCTTTGCTGTATTAGGCGGCCTTTGTTGGTACTCGTGTTACAAACTTCGTCCCGTGTTCTGGGAAATCGCCCATATTTTCCTCTATCTCCTCTTCTTCGTCCCGCGTCTCTATGTGCGCAGCGAGGAGCAATGGGATGAGGCTCTGAACGTTGCTCAGACAGTATTGTCTTCTTTTATTCGCACGTCCATCGTGGAGGCGCTTCGGATCCTGAATCTGGAAATTTGCGTTCTTGTTATGATTGCTCTAGCTTGGCATTCTGACTCTCCGATGGTGTCAGCCCTATCTTCTACTCGTGAATGCTGGGCCGACATCGACGACCCACGATTTATGCTGGCTTTCTGGATCGGAAGCGGTTGGGCCGTGGCCGAGCTGCTTGCCAGCACATGGCAGCTCTTCAAGTTTGTGCCTTTATATCGCACCGTTGAGCGCCCTATGCTGCGTCTAGATGAGGAAGACATTCTGAATGACTTTGTCGAGGAAAGCCACGTTACGGATGGGCAAAATTCGTCACACTCTGACTCGAGCCTCTCGTCCGGCGAAGTGTCTGATGAGCTGGAGCAACTCTCGTTGGATGAGCTCATCTTGATGCGGGAGAAATCTGAGCTTGAACACCAGTTGGGCGACTACCTAGAAAATGTGCCGCCGGCCATCATCACGCTCTGGCGCTTGGACACTGTCCTATGGCATCTTGGCAGTTCTCTTCTAATTTGCGCCTCGCTAACAGAGTCACAGGGGTGCTCGTCTCTCTCCATGGCTGAGGAAGATGTATTTCGCTTCACACCGTTCCCGTCCTTGGCGCGTGTGGGTGTCACCTATTGGGTATTGGTGCTTCTCCACGGCATTGCCTCGACTACTTGGATGATCGCCCTGCCACGCATCGGACTCACGACGGTCACGTACACGTCCATGCTCGTGGGCCTTATCCTCTTGTCCGCGGGCCTGGGCCGCTGGAACGCCTTGGTATAGTTTTGTGGAGGTATCATTATGCATTTCGCTCTTGCCACCATGGCCAAGCGCGACAAGGGCACGTTGCGCGCTGCCCTCGCAAAGCATCGGGCGCGGAGCCATCAGCGAGCGGAGGAGAAACGCAAGGCGGCAGTCGGGCAGGCCAGCAAGGCAGTCGCAGCCATTCCCCCGAAAAAACGGGCTGTCATGCCTTTTGCACCTGACGATTCAGTTCTGCTAGTGGGTGAAGGCAACTTTTCTTTCACGCTGGCATTGTTGAGCCCTCCCCACAACCATCCCCCCCATCAGATCCTCGCGACCAGTTACGATACGGAGGCGGAGGTATACGAAAAATATCCTGATGCACGTGCCATTATCGCACAGATCCGTGCCAAGGCGGGGCTCCATGCGGACCGGATCCTTGCATTTGGCGTGGATGCGGGTGCACTGCATAAATGTGAAGCTGTTACGGGGAATCGCAAGGATGACTCACATCGTTGGAGTAAGGTTTGGTTTGGCTTTCCGCATGTGGGGGCTGGCCACAAGGACGAGCAGCGCAACGTACTGGCCAACCAACTCATGCTCTTGCGTTTCCTCGTGTCGATTGCGCCTTATCTCACACAGGGACGGGCTCCCGCGTACGTAACTGGCAAGGCACGGCGGAGCAGCGACGACGAGGACGAGGATGAAGACGAAGACAACCCTGCAGGTCATCGCCATGCCGGCGAGGACGAGCTCCTCTCTGAGCACACAATATGGCGGCCGCTCTCGCCGCCTATGCGTCAAGGTTCTGTGCTTATAACTATTCGGAACACTCCGCCTTATACGCTGTGGAATGTTCCCATGCTTGGTAAAAAGCTGCGTAGTGTGTTTGGTCCCATTGCTGCGTCAGCACCACCACCGCCCAAAGGCACCTTTATGCCGACGCTGGCCGATGTGGACCGAGCTGGTGCCGAGTATGTGGTCTGGCGAAGCTTTGAGTTTGACCCGCAGATGTGGAAAGGTTACAGCCACCGCCGGACGGTGGGTTTCGTCGAGGGTCTTAGCACGTCCAACAACGAAGACCTCCTGCGCCGCCCCACGCCGCCCAGTGCGTCTAAGCCGCAGGGCCGGCATGTAGGCACAGGCGAGTGCCGTACCTTTGAACTCGCATTGAGGTAGCCTACTGGAATGAGAAATGGAACTGTTGGCCACCGCCCCCATGCTGGAAGTGTCCCTGCTGGAAAAACTGGGCGAACGGATGGCCGCGGGCCCCGAATGGTTGCCCCTGCCCCGCAAATGGATGCTCAAAGCCGCCCTCCTGTCCGCCCGTCGGATCGTTCGGGTCGTCGCCTTGGTCATAGCGCGCCTTGAGCTCCGGGTCGTTAAGCACGCCAAACGCCTCGTTGATTTCAGCCATCTTCTCTTGACTACCTCCCTTGTCAGGGTGGTATTCACGGGCCAGGCGACGATACGCTTTTTTGATCGTGCGGTCGTCCGCGTCACGCGAGACGCCAAGCACTTTGTAGTAGTCCTTCGCCTTGGACTGCTTGAGCAGCTTCTGTGCCTTGACGAGGCGTGCACGCACGCTGCGGTCCATGGGAGAGGCGTGCTCCAGGGCTTGAGAGAAAAGGCGGACAGCTTCCTCGTACTCATTCTGCGACATTTTCTCTTCACCCTTAGCGATCAACGCGGGTACATTGTTGGGATCATGCACAAGCTGCTTGTCGCACCATGGCATGGCTTTGCGAATGAGATTCTGCTCAACATAGGCCTGGCAGTAGAGGCTCTCGATCTCCTGCAGCAGTTTGCTGCGGGCGGCTGGGTTGGGAATTTGCGCGGGTAGCACATGCGAAGCAAGTCCTTCCTTCAGCAGAGCCTCAATCTCTTCGTAGATCGTCGGTCCACCGACCTTGGTGCCTTTGAGCGAGCTGACTACGGCGCTCCAGCTGTCGCTCTCGGCGAACTTGCGCGCCTTCTGGATAGCCTTATCAATTTTGCGCAGCTGCTTGTGCGCACGGATACACGCTTTATTATCTGGGTCATTGTGCAAGCACGCCTTGAGGTTTGTAAGGCCTGCGTCCTGCATCTGCGAGCCCTTCGTGCCGAGGAGATAGTAGGCGATCATCGAGAGACGCAGCTGCAGCTCCGGCTCCGGCGCCAAGTGGGCCAGGCGTGTCCAGTCGATAAAGGCTGCTTCGAGATCTCCCTGCTGTAACGCACACTCTGCATGCTGCTTCCGCGCTAGAAGGTCGTTGGGCGCGAGCTTGAGCAACTCGTCCGCTACCTGCAGACAGTCGTCCGGTGATGCGTAGCTCTTCTTGTCGAGTTTCTTACGGAGCTTCTGCGCATGCTGTATATGACCGCGGATCTCAGCCGCCTGCGTCTTGTCCTTGGCCGCGTGCGCGGCGCCGTGCTTGTCCATAGACTTGAGAGCGTGGAGCGCCTGGTCCAAGTTGCCCTCCTTGAGCTCAATGCGCGCCTGCTGCAGATACGCCTTACTGAACGAGGGACTGCGCTGTATCGTAGCCTCCAGATCCTCGAGGGCTGCCTTTGTCCGTCCGAGCGCCTGCTGGGCCGTAGCGCGGCGGAAGTAGGACAGGTACGCGTCAGGGTCCAGCTCGATAGCGTGGTCAAAGGCGTCCAAGGCGCCGGCGTAGTCAAACGATGTGAGAGCTGCATTCGCCTGGAGTAGCCAGTCTGCTGAGCTTTTGTCTGCCTGTGCCACGGGGAGCAGGATCGTGACAAGGATGGCCACCCACAGGACCTGCCACATCGTTGCCATGGCGCCTCGCGTCGATGCTCAGGAGAGGCCACCGTGGCACCTGCGCCCGAATGGGAAGTATGCCCCCGGCGTGGCCCTCCACCCTCCACTTAGCGCGAGCCGCCCAGATTGCCACCATGTCGGCTACTGCGCCACCGCCCTATTCGTACAACACACTCCCGCAGGAGGAGACTGCGCATGCAGATGTGGACCCGGATGACTTTAAGGTCGGTGTGACAGTGGAGCAGAGTGCTCCCGAGATCCGCGCGATGTTTGTGCGCAAGGTACGTACGGCGCTCGTCTTACGACAGGTGTATTCGGTCCTGTTCTGCCAGATCCTTGGCTCGGCTGTCGTTGCGACCGCGCTGAATGCGAGTGTGGCATCTGCGTGGATCCAGTCAAATGCGTGGATCATGCTTGTCGCCCTCGTGGGCTCCTTCGTCTCGCTCGGCCTCGTGTACTGGAAGCGCCACACGCACCCGACGAACCTCGTTATGCTCGGCCTCTTTACGGCTTTCGAGTCGCTTTCGCTTGGTGCACTGATTAGCTTCATGGACCAGAGTGTCGTGTTGAAGGCATTTGTGGTGACCACGTTCGTGTTCCTCGGCCTCACGCTGTTCACCCTGCAGTCCGAGTACGACTTTTCGTCGATGGGCGCATGGTTGTACTGGGCGCTGCTGCTGCTAGTGGGCACGGGCCTTGTGCAGATGTTCTTCCCCTACAACCACATGTTCGAGCTCGCGTACTCGGCCGGCGGGTGCGCTGTGTTTAGCGGCTACATCGTGTACGATACGTGGCTGCTTCAGCGGCACCTGTCGCCGGACGACTGGGTCCTGGCGAATGTGTCGCTGTACCTCGACGTGGTGAATTTGTTCCTGTCGATCCTGCGGCTCATGAACTCGTCCGATGAATAACTGTAGATTAATCCACACATTCTATGTGATCGCGAGGCAGCACCCACTCTAGGAGGACGGCGATGATCATCTGGAGGCCCACAACCATGCATATGATGGGGCCACCGATGGGCCCGCCCCGCGCGAGGTGGCGCTGCAGCCGCTCCGTCGTGGTGCGCGGCCGCCGCGCCATGGCACGTGCGTAGACCATCTCGAGGCGCTGCACCGTCTCGGCCCAAGAGTACATGGCCGCCACCTGGCGGTGCTGCTGCGCGGGATCATGGTGGCCCGCGCGGATATGCGCAATAGCTTCGAGTGTTGCCTCGACGATGGCATCGGCACTCGGCTCGGCCAGGCGCATCATCGATGGCGGCAGCAGCTCAGGGATGCCACCGACGCGCGTCGTGACGACATACAGACCCGCACACGTCGCCTCGATGATCGACGTACCGAACGCCTCGGTGAGCGACGTGTTGAGGAAAATGTGGCCGCGCGTCAGGTGCTCGCGCACATCGCGCTGCCGCACGGCGCCGACCAGCTCAACGCGTTCCTGTAGCATGTGCTGCTCGCGCATCTGCTCGAGCTCGACGTACTTGGGCCCGTCGCCGCCAATCACGAAGTGTATGCGACCATCGCGTGCGCACAGCGTCGGGATCGTCTGTAGGAGCAGGTCGATCCCTTTGCGGTACATGAGGCGGCTGAGCACCACGATGCACACTTGGCCGTCCGTCGTTGGGCGCGCCGGCGCCGGGTATAGATGGCGCGCATCGACCGCGTTGGGGATCGTCGAAACGTCCCGCGGATCGAGCGCCGCACGTAGCACTGTGTTTTCGCGACTGTGTGAGAATATCGACGTACCCTGTGTGGCTCACACACACGACGTGGTCCACATCCGCCAGCGCAAAGCGCAGAAGCTTGTTGGTCAAAATACTGCCCACGTCGGCAAAGCCAAAGAGCGAGTGGTCCGTAAATACGGTTTTGAGGCCCAGGCACTTGGCATGGAACAGGCCTTCGTGTGCCATGTTCGAGAGCGCCTGGTGCGCATGCACAAGCTCGATGCGCTCACGCACGAGGATCGAGCGCAGTACTGGCATGAGCGCGAAAAAGTTCGGCAGTGTGTCCTGCCGCACAAGCACGCCATACGACACGTAGTACACCTTCATGCCCCCCGGCAGGTACCGCACACCCGCCCGGTCTGGCTCGTACGCATGCGTTATGACAATCACCTGCATAAGTCGCGCCGCGTACCTTGTGCCCCCGGCGCAGCAGCTCCTGCCCGACCATGTACATGTGCCCCTCTACGCCGCCCACATTCGGGAAGAAAAAGTCCGAGATCAACCTGCCGTTAATGCGCGACTGCGTACGCAACTCGCAGGGGGCGAGACGGGGGCGCAGGCGCCACGTCCCCCGCCACGAGCAGAGCTTCGAGCCGCTCTGCCACGCCGTCGATGGCCTCGCAATGCCCCGCCTGCTGCGCGAGGCGCACGAGTAGCGCGTCTTGCAGCGCTGCGCGGTACGCAGCCGGGTCCGGCGGCACAGGGCGCGCCAGGCGCGACACGGCGGCAGCCGCGCGCTGCGCGAGGTCCGGCGGCATGGGCACGCGGCCTTCCCGACACGCCGCGTATGCGCGGAGGATGTCGGCCGTGGCGTCATGGTACTGATTCGCCTCCTCGCTCGGGAACAGCTCGTCCGCCTCCGCGTCGTCGGCGCCTGCCTCTTGGGAGAGCAGGCGCCATACGTGCGCATGGAATGCAGGCCCCTGCGCTGTGCACCACACCCACTCGACGCACGCCTGTGGGCCGCGTGGCAACGCATAGACACTGGCGAACGGTGCGTCGGTCGGCACCGACGGCGCAGGGCACAGCGCACACGCCGCGGCGCGCACCTCGGCGTCGTCATCCTGCAGCAAGCGCAGGAGAATCACATAGAGCCGCTCGTCGGTGCGCGGCACTGCGTCGAGTGCCTGCGCGACGCCCAGGCGCGCCGAGACGGGCGCTTCGGGCTGCGAGCACATGTCCCAGATGCACACGCACGCCTCGCGCCGCACAGGTGTGCAGAGCCGCCCCACAAGCGGCAGGAGCACCTCGCTCAAGGGCCGATGCTCTGTCGTGAGAAGCAGCGTGAGCAGATCGTCGGCGTGCGCTTCCAGCGGCGCATCCAGCTGCGCTACGAGGCGCGCCGCGTGGAGCCGCGCATCCAGCGGCGCCTCGTTGCGGAGCACGAGCGCCACGAGATCGTCGTGCGTCTCGCGCTGCGGCCAGTCGACCGCCTCGAGGGCATCCGTGAGCGACGGGACACGGCTCAGGAACTCGACGAGCGCCGTGCACATATCCGCATCGCTGTGCAGCAGTGCACGCGGCACAGGGACACGCTGCTTCCACGCGGCAGCGAGCAGCGTTGGCAGGAGCCACACCACGAAGGGATCGCGCGCGCACGGAGACGCGGTCCACTCGCCGACGACGCGCTGCACGAAAGGACGCACGGCATCGGCGGCGCCGCACGCATCGGCCACGTCGATAAAGGCAGCGAGAGTCGGCGCACACGTATGGCCCTCGAGCAGGTCGGCGCGCGCACGCACCGCCGGTGCAAAGGCAGGCGACGCGAGGGCGTGCACCACGGCGAGTGCGCCTGCGAGCGCGTTTTGGTCGCGTGGCGTCGCGTCGCGCAGGAGGCGCTCGACCAGTGCCGCGCGCTGGTCCGACGGGACGAGGCGCGCCATGCACGACGCAGCGAGCGAGCGGACCGCTGCATTCGCACTGCGCGTGCACTGCTCGAGCGGCGCGACGAGCGCCTCGACGTCCGGCCACGCCGACGACTGTGTGCGCGAGAGGAGGAGAAGCACGGCGTACAGCGCCGAGCCATGCCCCAGCGCTGCGAGGTCCGCGGCGCCGACGTGCGCCGCCGACGCGGTGAGTGTGTCGAGGAGCGCCGGGCGCAGCGCGGGGCTTGCGTGCAGGAGCGAATCGATCCACGGCCCGCGAGTCGTTGGCTGGAAGGCGCGCACGCCGAGATGCCGCGTCGATACCGCGGCGAAGAGCATCATGGCGGAGTTGCGCACGCTCCAGTGCGCCGACGAGAACGAGGTGACGGCGAGCGTGAGAGCCTCTCCGAGGTGCGCGCGCATAGCCTGTGCCATTGTGCTGTCCATGACAAGCACACGCAGCATGTTGAGGCCATGGATACGGCGCATCGGCGCGGCGTCGCGGGCCATGCGCGCGAGGCGCTCCACGACGCGCTGCGTCTCGGCGGCGCGTGGGCTTCCCGCGGCCTGCGCGCTGAGCAGCGCTAGCGTGGCGTAGCCGAGGCCTGCGCTGCGGCGTGTCGTGCTGAACGAGTCGGCGTGGGCGTCGACGCGGTCCAGCAGGGCATGCAGCCACGCGCTGGGCAGCGCGCGCGTCGTCGGCGCTGCACAAAGGGTCTGGGCGAGTGCGTGATACTGGGGGTACACGGTGCTGAACGCGCCGCGGTGCCGGATCTGCAGGAGCCACGTTTGGAAGAGCTCGTTGGCGTCGCGCAGCGCGTCCGGAGGTGCGTCCTGCGCACACAGCGCGTGGAGCGCCGCCGCTTCCTTGATGGCACGCCACGCAAACGACAGGATCTGCTGCGAGGTGGCCGTCGGCGCAGCCACGGGTTCGTCCGCGCTGCTCTCGGTGGCAGCGAGCGCGCGCTCCCATTCCGACACGTCCTCTGCGCCTTCTGGCGCTGCCGCACAGAGCACGGGCGCGACGAGCGCCCACACGCGCTGGACGAGCGCCGTGAGCGGTGCGCGGTCCACGCTCGGCGCAGCGCGTGCCAGGTACGTGAGCGCGGCGAGACTGCCATGCAAGCCCGCGTGTGAGGCGTGCGCGAGGGTGGGACTGGCGCGCAGCTGCGCGTCCACGCGCGCGAGGTGGGCGGCAAGCAGGTCGGCGGTCCAGTCGCCGGTACGCTGTACGGGCGCGATGCACGCCAGCGCGGGCGCGTGCACCGCGGGCACGGCGACGCGGTGGTACAGGCGCAGGAGCTGCACGGCCGCGTGCGCATCGGCCTCCTTGGGCGCCGCGAGGCGCTCGACACTGGGGCGCACCACATGCGGGAGCAGGAACGACGGGTCGCGCAGCATCGATGACTCGTCGTCGGCCAGGCGCATGAGCGTGAGCGCCGCGGTGCTGCGGATATCGTCGTACGTGCTCTCGGCGGCGAGGTGCACGAGGCGGCGCACGACAGCGGGCGACGGGCGCGGCGCCGGGAGGGGCGCCGACGGGAACGTCTGGTGCGCCTTGTGCAATGCGCGGACCGCCTCGTGCAGGGGACTCCCCGCGTACAGGCGGTCCGGTGCGCGCGCGGCGGCGCACGCCTCGACGAGGAGGAGGAGGAGCGAGACGCCGAGCACGGTGCGGGCGTACGGCGCGCCAGGGTGGATGGCACGCACGGCGGCCTCGTACGCGTCGCGCAGGAGCGCGTCGCTGCGCCCGTTTTTCGCACTGGTGCGCAAGCGCACGAGCAACTTGACGAGGCACGCGAGGGTATCCTGCCGCGCCACCGCGCTGGGGAGGGCCAGGCTCTCTGCCAGGAAGCGGCGCACGCCGTAGGCCTCGTCCGCGCCGAGGGGCAGCGCGGGCGATTTGGCCTCGACACACAGCGCCAGCGCCGCCACGTGCAGGCGCGGCTGGGCCGCGGCGAGGCACGCGTCGAGCACGCCGCGCGGCACCGGCACGCGGCCGGGGGCCTCCCCGATCGCGCACAGAGCGCGCGCCTTGGCCGCGAGGAGCACGGCCATCGTTGCGCGCGCGCTGCGCTGCGCGTCGAGGGCCGCGAGGAGCGGCGCGAGCGCATGGGGCGTGTGCTCGAGCAGCGGCTGCACAATGTGCGCCACCACGTGCTCGCTCGCACGCTCGTCGGCGCGCGCGAGGCGCGCGGCAAGCGCGTCGAGCCACGGCACGCTCGCGGGCGCCACCCGCATAAATGTCAGCGCGAGGTGCGAGCGGCGGCGCACCTGCCCAAGGCCCGCCTGCACGTCGTCCAAGAGGCGCGTGAAGAAGTGCGTGGGCGCCTCGTCCAGCGCGTCGACGCCATAGTGCGCGAGCAGGAGATCCTGCACGACGAGTGGCGACACGCGGCCTGAGCGGATCGACTGCAGCGTGTGCGCCCACGCCGGCGGCCGCGACTCGGTCAGCGCATCCCACACGTGCAGGAGCTGGTCCGTGGCCGCGGCGAGGCGGTTTGCGCCGGAGGGCGAGGCCGTCTCTAGGGCGTCGTGCACACGCTGCGCTGCGGCGTCCCACACGGGGTCCTGAAGGAGCACGTCGGCATCACGCACGGACGGCGCGGCTTGGAGGGCGTGCGCCGCCCATGCGCGCACGGCGTCCATGCCAAAGGACATGGTGCTCCCCGTGTGCGTGCCGTCCAGCGCATGCGGAGTCTGTAGCAGATCGAGTGATTCGCGCAGCGTCGATACGAGCTGTGCGCCTGAGGCCGCGTCGGGCGCGTCGAAGCGCGCGCGGACGGCCGCGAGCGCCGCAGCGGCCCTGCTCATCGTGGCGGCGGAGGGCAGCGCGGTGTGCTGACTCAGCCGACGAGGCGCGCCGCGCGCCGCGCGCGCAGGCCTCGCCAGCATGGACGCCGGTCGCGCGCGTGTGCCGCCGGACGTGCGGCGCCGGATCCTGCGTGCGTTCACGCGCAAGCGGCATCTCCAGCTGCAGTCGGATGCGGTGCAGTTTGTCTACGAGACGCTCGAGGCGCACGACCTGCTGCGCGACGCGGACGCGACGGACGAGGCGCTCGATGCGCTGGCTGGCGCGCTGGTCGACCAGCACGTCGCGGGGGGGCACGCGCATGGGTTCGACGGGCATGTCGTCTCGCGTGAGGCGCTGCAGAAAGTGTACGACCAGCTTCTCGTCGAGGCCGCGGACGACGGCGCGACGCCGGCGAGTGGCGCGCTCACGCAGGGCGCGGCGCCGGACATGGGCCACTTTTTCCGCGTGTGCGATGCGTTCTCGCAGCCGCGGCTCTGCTTCCATGGGGCGCGCAAGGTGTTCGAGGAGGCGGGCGGCGCCTCGCTCCTCGCCGGCGCGCGCGCGCCGAGTGCGCACCATAGGGAGCGGTACGAGCTGCTGCGCAGCATTGTGCTGCGGAACGAGCACTTCCTGCCCGCGCTCACGGGCCCCGCGCAGCGCGACGCCTTTCTGCGGCTCAGCACGACGAAGCACCTGCTCGGCCGGCAGGGCGCGCCGTGCCTCTTGTTCGGGCGCCTGTCGACGGCGCCGGACGGCACGTACACGCTCGAGGACACGGACGGGAGTGTCGCGCTCGACCTGTCGCGCGCCGTCGCGGGCGAGGGCCTGTTTACGGAGGGCGCCTACGTCCTCGTCGAGGGGCAGTACACGGCCGAGGAGACCCTGCAGGTGCTGGCGCTCGGGCACCCGCCGAGCGAGCCGCGCGAGAGTGCGCGGGCGCTGACGGGGCACCTCGACTGGCACGGCACGGGCGCGGTGCCGCCGAAGCATGTGCCGGCGCTGCGTGCGCAGGAGCTGCAGCACCCCGACGTGTGTGTGGCCGTGCTGTCGGACGTGTTCCTCAATGAGCCCACGACGCTTTCGCGCCTGCGTGCGATCCTGCAGGGCTACGAGGACGCCGACTTTCTGCCGCTGGCCATCGTGCTCTGCGGGCACTTTAGCTCGGTGCCGCTCGAGGCGGACGGCGCGCTGGCCGCGTACGCCGACAGCTTTGCGCAGCTGGGCGACCTGCTCGCGCAGTGCCCCCGCGTGCTGGCGGCCTGCCACCTTGTGTTTGTGCCGGGCCCGAACGACCCCGCGGCGACGGGCGTCTTGCCGCGGCCGCGCCTGCCTGCGCCGATCGCGGGGCGCCTCGAGGCGCGCCTGCCGCGGGACGCGCGTGTGCACTGGATGAGCAACCCGTGCCGCCTCGTGTACTACTCCCAAGAGATCGTCGTGTTCCGCGACGACCTCCTGCGCAAGATGCTGCGCCATGCCGTGCTGCTGCGCGACGACCTCAGTGCGGCGGACATGCCCAAGTACCTCGTGTCGACGCTCCTGGACCAGGCGCACCTGTGCCCGCTCCCGCCGCTCGTGCGGCCCGTGCTGTGGGAGTATGCGCATGCGCTGCGGCTCTATCCGATGCCCTCGGCGGTACGTCGTCCCGACTGACGCAGCTCGTGCTGGCCGACCGCTGCGAGCGCTTTGAGCTCACCTATGAGGGGTGCCATGTATTCAATCCGGGCGCCTTTCACAGCACCGCGGCATGGACGACCTACTACCCTGCGTCGGGGCAGGCGGAGCGCAGGTACGTGCGCCGACCTTACACCAGCGAACTCCCGCTGTAGCGCGCGAGCTGGGCGCGCAGCAGGGCCACGAGGAGCGCCGTGCGGGCGTGCCGCCCCGGCGCGGCGCGCGGCGTCGTCATCGGGGCGCCTGGCATCCACGCACGGAGAGACGCGGCGCGCCGGTCAGCGAGCATGTCCGTCTCGCCCTGGAAGTCGGGCGTCCACGGTGCGGACGTCGTTGGCGCCCACGTCGGCCACGAGAGGCCGCGGAAGTACCAGTCGTCGGGGCTGGCCGTCAGCGCGAGGCGCCACTGCGCGTCGGCGCCCGGCGCGGCGGTATGCAGCGCATCGCTGCGCACATACGCCGTGAGCAGGTCCCACGGGAGCGCGGCCTGCAGGACGGCGCACAGGGCGTCGACGGGCGCGAGGTGCGTGCGCAGCGTGAGCACCTGGAGGAACGACAAGGTCAGCACCACAAACACGGCCGGGGCCGGCGTGGCGGGCAGCTCGGCGAGCGCGGCGCGCAGCAGCGCAACGAGCAGGGCGGTGGCCTCGCCCGAGCGGCGCGGGCAGC